CCCCTCCCAGCGGCTTGCTGCACTTGCTGGGCGTAGTGCTCATAAAACACTACCATATCCCTGGCCTCACGCCGCACGATGGTCATCTCTTCGGAGCACCGCTTCAAGCGCTCCTGCTGCTCCGCCAGCGCGGCCAGTTTCCTAGCCAGCAACCCTGCCTGAGCAGATTGTCGCTGCCACGGCAATGTGTCTGCCGCGAGCAAGCCAGGGGCGGTCAAGCGCTGGCAGTCATACTGCGCTCCCTGATAGTCCCCAGGGGCGGCATGCCAGCGCCGCAGCTGAAGGATGTCATCGCTGACTTTGGACACGATGGCTTCCATCTGGCGCCGCAACCGCTTCAGGCTAGTGCGCTCACGATATGCCGCTGTCTCCAGCTGTCTCTGTAGGGCGTAGTAATCCACGAACCTGGCTGCAATGGAAGCATGTAGCTGCTGAATCATGAACCTCTTCCGCTGACCCCCTATCTCCTGGTACAACCGGTCTGCCTCCACCCACCGCAGCTGTACCCGGTGCCTGCGCTCCCACGCTGCCAGCTTGCCCTCAAGGACTCGGCGGTGCTCATGCCGCATTTGCTCGGAGAGCGATTGCTGCCCCTCAGCTGCGAGAGTCACACTGCCACCCAGCGCGTACAACTCCTCCAAGCAGCCTTGGTAGTGGTGCTCCCATGTAAGACGGGCCTGCGAGTAAGAATCCTGACATCAGTGATTCATGCATCTTTATGTATCTTCCAAAGGTGTGCATCCCATTTGCTCTTTACAAAAACTCCACCAGTATGCACATCCTGTCATGTCTTGTCCTGTCATGTCATAAGTCACATGTCAAATGTCCTATCATGTCATATGAACAAGCACCAGTACAGCCAACTGAAGGTGCAGAGTGGAGCAGCACCGGGATGGTGGGCGCGCTTGTTGATGCCCCCTCAGACGATGTCTGCCGCTGCTCCCGGGCAGACCCCTGCGTGCAAAACAAACAATCTGCTTGCATACTTTCTTCTGAGGCAGCTCTTTACTCTGAGTCCTCTGAGCACCTCCTTCTCACTAGCATACCCATTGATACTTATTCCATGCTAGAGAAGAGCCTTCAAAAAGGACCAACACACCTCTGCTTCGTCACTTGCGCCTGCACCAGCGCCGCCTTGGAGAGGATCCTGGCCTGCCGGTGATGGGACGCCTCCTGAGCCACCGCCACCCTGCACCTGATTCATCAGCCAATAAGCGAGCATGCAAAGCATTGCAGACTGCAGGATATATCAAGATGGCATCTCCCCAGAGAATCAGTAGAGACAGGTGCAGCAACTAGGAGGGGTGCATTTTACCTGCAACTCGGGGGCTTTGATTTGGGCAATCTCCTGCTTGAGGGCCCCCGTGGACTGCCGCAGTTGTGCCAGCAGTCGAGCAGCCCTCCTATGCCACTCAAGCAGCTGCTTGGGCAACCTGCGCTCCTTTTTTCGCTGCCAAGCCATCGCCTGCACATGGACCAACATTGTCACTTCTCGCACCTACAGGGTTACAAACTGCAACATCGAGCAAGGCTACAAGAGCTTGCATCATATGAAAGGAGAACTCACCAGGTCCGTCATGTAGTCCTCCCGCGTGGCAGTCGCCATGCGCTTCAAGATGTGTGCAAATTTCCTGTAATGTGCCCAAGCCTGTTCAATGTTGTCACCAAAGGAGTTTCCTGCCGCTAGCATGCGGCGGGCGCCATACTTTTCTTGGCATGCCGGAATGTGAGCCTTCACATGCCACGGCCCCACTGCCAGGCCAGGCATACCCTCCACGTTTCCTTGAACCATCCTGCCAGCACAACACATCACCATTCAAAGGGGACGCTGCTGTGCACTCCGACGAATCCACACACTCATAGCATGACTAGTACTAGACACTAGGAGTGAAATTGTTCCATGCAATAATTGTACAGGGCACATCTTGACGTAAACGCCAGGCATGATGGACGAAAGATTATACCTTCGCCAATATGGGTCAAACTGGCAAGCAATGTCAATGAAGAAGTACTTCAGATCCTTGCCCTCCTCAGGCTTGAACTCCTTCAGCAGACGCTGCAGGAGCAACTCGTAGTAAACAAAGCACTCCGGTGTGAACAGGTTTGCCGCCACGAGAACATACCCGTGGCGGCAAACTGCTGCTGCCACGCCCTACGCACAAGCACATGCGGGAGTGTCAGACCGGCTCCAAAGCACCAGCACATCTTCTTGTTACACGCTTTCCTGCCAAGCAAGGTACATCCTGCAGAGCTGCAATTTAAGGCTGCCATAACCCTACCCCTTGTTGAACTCGCCAGATCCAAGCAAGACCCAATCAACCGTGGGCATGGTATTCAGTATTTTTACCACCTGAAGCAAGGCACGCTAGGGTGCTGCCAAGTATTACCCTTGCCAGCCGGGGCCAGGAAAAAAAGAGAAAAAAATCATGGATATATGAGATGCATGCCAACATCAGTAAGCGCAACAAGATCCCAGAAAAATGCGAGGAGACTCACTTGCACATATAGGCGCAGCTGCGTGTCTGAGGCGGTTGGCGTGGCAGCAACGAACTGAGAGCAGACCGGCCGCTCCAGCGCCGCCGGGTCCAAGGCCTTCCGTTGAGCGAGCAAGGCCTTCACCTCTTCATCAGCAATGAAGGGGCTATAGGGCAGCTTCGGCTGCAGGAAATCAGAGGCTTTGCCCGCCGCCCTGAGCTGCGTGAGTCCCAGGCAGGCGTCAGCAATGGCTGCCACGCAAGTGCGAAAGCAGCAAGGACACTGCACAGTGGGGCCCCCGGAGGCACGACTGTCCAGAGATTCCTGGGTCGCCGGGCCCACCTCAGCTGCATCTCTGCCAGTTTGAGCCGCGAGGCTGCCTGCTTCCATTTCTGGTGGCGATGACGACGCTGCTGCTTCCCTCTGAGTGTTCTCCTGGGGCGGCGGCGGCTGGCCGAGCTGCAAGTCTGAGTCACCGCTGAGCCCTGCCTCCGAACAGATGGGCTGCACGCCAAGCCTGTTGAGGTCATGTGTGGCGATGTCCATTCTGCGCCACTGTCTGACCGCCACTGGGAGGTTCCTCCAGATATTTTTGGGCAGGCCACTCAGTTGCCCGTACGGCACACAGCCGTTCCTGACGTGCACCTCCTCCAGGGCGCTAGTCCAGGCGACCATTGAGGTTGGGCTGGCGAGGCTGAGCTCATGCGTCTGCAACATGAGCGCTCCAGAGTAGTAAACCAGCGGCCTCTGTGGCGTTGCAGGAAAGCATCCCATGCTCACAGGATCGACTGTGAAGGCGGCACTGCACCCGCCACACCTGAATGCTGGGGGGCTGACCTCTGTCCTGCCGCTGATCGAGACATACACAAGCCTGCTGATCGTCTCCACCTGCTCCCACACTGATCCCACCCTCCCAGCCTGACTGCATGGACTGCAAGCGGGCAGGGCTGCTCTGGCAGCTGTCAAAAACTCTGCCTGCAGCTGCTGCTTCAGTGCTGCTTGGCGTGCAGGCTGACCAGCTTGGAAACATGTGTTCCTGAATACATTGTCATCAAAGCACGCATCCCATGCTTGGTGCAGCCGTCTATTATCCTCTTGAGCTGCCTGTTTCCGCAGACGCCGGCGTGAGGGCGGAGGCTGATAATAGGCAGCAGCGGCTTCTCCATCTCCATCTGCAAAGCCATCCTGCTGTTCTTCCTGCTGAGCTGTGTTTCTTGCAGGGATCCGCCAGGATGGAAGGGCGCTGGCCGGCCTCCGGGGTCCCCTCGGTGCAGATGTTGCCACAGTGCTGCCTAGGTTCCTCCCAAATCTGCGGCCTGGCTGCAGCAGAGCAGGAGTGTCGGCTGATGGTATCACCTTGACACTGACCCTCCACCTCTTGTTCCTGACCATTCGTCCTGCATGAAGTCATCACACAACGGTTTCTGCAAGTGATCCACCAGGACATTAAAGGAATGAGAAGTACATCAGCAGCATGCCTTCTAGTACAAGTGATACAACTATCCTTACAAGCACCTGGGCTACTTGCTACTCTTTGGGGTGCACAGTCCTCTCCAGATGCTCCTCATCAGATTGGCATTCCAAGCAAAGCCAGGTCAGGGCAGACACCCACGGCTACTCACAGCAGCAGAGGGATCGTAACGCTCACCAGAACAATTGAACTTGATGTTGGTTTAGATTGTAGACGACTTCAGTGTCTGTCCGGTGCATCAGTGCTCAATTCAGGTGAACGCTCTGTGTTGCCTGCACGCATTTCATTTCAAGGAATTGGCTTGGCAGGGCATGCAGTCACTACGAAAGAAGTAGACATGCACGTCGATGGTCGTGACATTCGATTAGCTGAGTCCAAACAAGTCAAGGATGGGGATGCCAAAAAACCGGCAAAAGTGCGAACCTCACATGGCCAGCGACAGAAGACTTCAAGAATTCGTTTAAATTACTCCCATAAACATTTGCGGCCGTCCCACCCCCCTTTCAAATCCTACTTTGCAACGGTAACCTGGCAAATGGCATTGCTGTCTTCGCAGAAACGAGTAGCGCACGATCCTATAGATACAGGCTTGACCGAAATAATTAGCTTGACGGAGGTACTATGCAATGCTGAGATTGTTGTAGGTAAATCTGAAGGATGTGCAGCATTGCTTTTGTTATTGCACGCCCCGAAGGGGCGTGCTCAGAAAGAGAGCCAAATCCACTAATGTAGTGGAGTGCATGTCCACTAAAGTAGTGGATTTTGCCCGACAGAGTAGGATGCCCAAAAACGTTTGGGGGATCGTAGACTTGGACCTCGAGAAGAACAATGAACGTTGCAACTTGTACATCCTCGAGAAGCCATCTCTTCGTAGCATTTCATTCAAGAAGGGATAAGAATATTCTTGGTGCAAGTTTGGCTCACCGAGGTAAATTAAGATACCAGGTGTGAGGTCACTTCTGACACCATCAAGCGTTGACAATCACCGAACGCACGAGGCATATACGAAAGAATCTAAACTTTGAGCAATCAGCTTGCACAGCCGCAAGCGATTATGGCTGACGCGGATCTATTCGAGAATTGGTTTTCAATCGCGGACCAGGATCACGATGGGCTGCTTACTGGTGCAGAGGCTGTGCAATTCTTCCAACGCTCGAATCTATCTCAAGAAACACTTTTCCAGGTGTGTATAAAATCAGCAAAGAGAATGATCATGTAACGCCCCATAATAAACTCTCATACTCATGGCGTTGTCTTCGAGGGAGCATTTTTTACACAAGCTGAGAGCTTTGCATGCCTGCTAAGTTTAGCTCAGCGAAATACCTGGCAGCAGTTGCAGGTATTTTGCGCGCACTCAGACAGCTCATGGGGTTGACTTGGACGTGCAGGTGTGGCAGATGGTGGCAGGAGACAACAGCTCTCTGACGAAGCAACAATTCTACAGCACGCTCCGACTCATGTCCCTAGCTCAGGTGCTTGAATTCTGCTTGCATCCGTGACCTTCTGCCAGAGCAAAAGTGCATCCTGAGAGCCCCACTGATTGGCTACAAAATGCACTTTTGGATAAGTATTGATAGCCACGCAACAAAGTCACTTTCCCCATGGCTGCCAACATCACTGACTAACTACTGTGCAACGCAGGGGAGCGGCGGCGTGCTGCCTGAGGCGCAGGCGCGCTCTCTGCTGGTAGGCATTGGCCCGGCAGTACCGCCGCCAACAATGGCGGGCCTGCCAGTTCCGCGACCCACAGTAACGCAGCAGACCTGGCAATCGGCGCCGCAGATCCCCGGCGCGCGTCCGGCCGCCCCGGCCCCGGCTGCTGGCGCGTTCCCTCCCATGCCCGCCGCCGATGCGCAGCGCTACCGGGATGTCTTTGCGCGCCTGGACACTGACCGCGACGGTTATGTGGAGGTTTGCTTCTGCTCATTTGCCCTTTGACGCTGTCACCGAGGTGAGATTTGCATGGCTTTTATTGGCCCATTGATGCGCAGAAACGCATAGAGCCATTCGGACAAGCTGTAGTAGAGGAAACAGAGTAGTAAACAGAGAGAATTTGGGCGATGCAACTCATATCTGACTTGGTGATTCGAGAAAGCAGGCAAAATAGTTGTGCAGGCAGGTTTCAACGCAGCCAGTGATGTCATGCAGGGTGGCGATTGCGCTGGCTTCTTCATGCAATGGGGCCTGCAGAAGGAGGTCCTGAGGGACATCTGGGAGGTGGTGGCAGGGGATGAGGGCCGCCTCAGCCAGGACCATTTCCTGGGCTGCCTCTACCTGATGGACCTGGCAAAGCGAGGGGCGCCGCCCCCCAAGTTCCTGCCTCCGGGGCTGTTCCCTCCCATTGCTGGTGCCTCCGCGCAGCCCAACGCCGGGAGCTCCTTCTCGCTCTCCGGCATGCAGCAGGTGTGCCTTTCTGGCAGACCCTTCTCATGTCCTAAAGATCAGACCTTTTTGTGCACATTCAAGAAAATGCGTAGAGCAGCACAGAGTGATCCATGCATGGCTCCTGATTGCCCTGTATCAAGCCACCTGCCGTGTTATGCACCCGAGCAGATGCATAACTCCAAAATCGCCCTAGTTGTCACTTAGGAACGTAAATGTTGGCTGCAAGAGCAACATGTGCATGCATGCAGGAGGATGTATTCTCGAAGGAGCCCTCGCTGCCCCAGCTGCCGGGCAAGGTGCACTACAGTGCGCCGTCCGTGCCGGCGTACGCATCCAGGGTGCCCCAGCCGGACGTTTCATCGCTGAGCGCTGTGGAAAGGTCGCGGCTGCAGGCCGACCAGAAGCAAGCCCAGGACCTGGACCAACAGCTCTACCAGGTGAGCGCATCCTGATCTGCAAGCTATCGTGCATGCTTCTTTTGAGCTGGGTCTTTTCTGCCCCAGGATGGCATCGCAAGCCCTGCATCATGCGCATGCTGATTGGACATGCAGCTGGAATTAAAGACTTGGAACGCAAGGCAAGCTCTGTCTGTACTTTCAAGAATGGCGTAGGAAGCCTGGCTCCTGGGACAAGAAAATTATGGGAAGAGGAATGGTGCATGCTGTTGGCAAGTGGTGAAGAGAATGGGTGCTTGTGTGCAGGCCCAGGTGGAAGGGCAGGCAGCCAAGCAGAAGGAGGCGCTGTACAGGGCCGCCCTGCAGGACCTCACCCTGTTCAAGAGCCGCACCAGCGCCGCCCTCTTGCAGGCGAGTGGTTGTATACCATCACTGTTCATGCATGATTTCTCGAGGTATAATGTACAGCTGATCTCTCAAGAGGTGGCGTATGAATTCCAAGATCAGCAATTAGGCTGCACAGGTGTCGCAATGGTGATGTGGGGTGTGGCGTACACAGGCTCAGGAGCGGGCAGACAAGGAGACGGCGGACGCAAACGCGATGCAGGCGCAGTATGAGGCGGCTTGGGCCGGCGCGGAAGCCACTCACGCTCAGGGCCGCCAGCTGCTGGACTCCCTCACAAAGGTGAGAACAGATTGCTACACAGATATGGGAGTGTCGACTTGCTGAGTATTCATGCTGGATCCATGAGAGCATGTGGTTCACTGCCGCAAAGACACTCCAGACCTACTGGTTGTTGCCTTGATAACCAATGAGCATACTGTTCGGTGAGGACAATTTTAGGTAATGCATTTTTATACTGGCCACAGAGACAAACCCAAACCTGCTGGCTCAGGCCACGTGGCCATTGAGCTGGCCAGTTTGGCTGCCAATAACCTGATGGGAGAGTGCCAGTAAAGACTTCGTGTGATGATACGGGTTCTCTGTGCCAGGCTCGCGCGCACAAGGCGGAGGCCACCACGAAGCTGGAGCAGCTGCAGCGCGACATCGCAGAGCTGTCATCGCTCTCACCTGATCTGGTGGAGGAAGAGAACAAAGCCACCCGCGCCCTCAGCGAGGTGAAGCCCTGAAAGATTGCTATGAACGAATGCATGATTGGGGAAGAAACTCTAGACAGGGGTTGTGTTATTGAGGACAGGACTGGCGTTGTTCTTGCAACAGACAAGCATGCAATGATTGCTGGCAGATAGATCGATCAATAGGTAGCCTTGTGTGGAATCACGCGCGTGGCGGTGTTGAGGAATTAGCTCCCCTAATGCACCTTGGCAAAAACCTTAACGCCCACCAGGCGTCTGGATTCACACAAGTCTCTGTACTCTGAGCACCTCTCACACTGACGTCCTTGCAGGCTCATGTGTGTGGACAAAAAGGACTTAATGACTAGGTTGAGAGTTGCCCTGATCTGCAGCAAATCCGGACGGCGGAGGCAGCCGCGGTGAAGCTGGACATGCAGGCGGCGGCTGCGCACGCGGAGAAGGCTGCGCTGGAGCGGCAGCTGGAGGAGGTCCAGCTCAGCTGCGCGGCCGGCCAGGCCGACGTGGCCGCCCTCAAGCGCGACCTCGCCGCCCTCGACTCCAAGGCACGCACTCCTAGACTTCTTCCACCAAAAACCTTGCAAATTCCACCTTGCTCTCTTCGTCTAGGGTCCTGTCAAGCAGAACCTGGCTTCCAGCTGAGCATGCTCTCATAAAGCGATTCTGCTGAAGAAGGGTCGCATGCTTTGCTTTGGGTATGCCGCTGCGCTCTTCTTCTTTGCAGCTTGGAGATGCCCCGCAGTACCCTGCTTCACGGCAGAGTTGAAGAGTTAGGTTGCATGCTCCATTCGGGGGGCCGGCGGAGAACTTTTTTTGTTAGCTCCTAAAACTGGCCTTGTAGTTATAAAGATGGCATGCGCGCAGTTGAAGGCGGAGGACGGCGAGGCGGCGGCGGATCTGCAGTCGCTGCTGAGCAGCACGGCGGACGTGTACCGGACTCTGCTGGGCAACGCGCACAAGGCGGGCATCGCGGTGCCGGCCAGTGCGCTGCTGGAGGGCGCGCCGCGAGACGGACGCCAGCCGCTGGAGTGGAACGACTATGCCGCTGTCGACGCAGAGGACTGGGAAGACTTCGAGGACGAAGGTGAAGCTTTATTTGTCATTCAATGCGTCTGAACTACTTTCATCTCAGACTCTGATCAATGACGGTACTATCACCTCAATTCTTAAGAATCCTTGAGCATAAGGGGCTCTTATGTGTGCCTAGACCACATTACACAATACTGATTACTGTCATCAACACTTTGTAATTAGTCGAGCTCGTGCAAGGACGAGGTTGGTCCTCCTGTCTGTAAAGTGGGTTGGGGCAGGGCGAGGCAGAGACTGTTGATTCTTCTGTCGGGCACATTTAAGGCATCAGGAGAGAAGCGTTCACCTTGGCGACCACAGCTGAGTAATGCATGTGAGGATCAAACAGTCTTACCAGCTGGCATTTCTGGCAGCCAGGGCTGACTCAAAATCTCAGTGCAGGCTTCCAGGTGGTTGGAGGCCATCCTGAGGCAGCAGCAGAGGTGCAGCCGATGCAGGAACAGGCTCCCGCACAGCAGGAGTCAGAGTCTGTGCCATCGGAGCATCCTGCGCCCGCGCCCTCACACACCCTCGAGTCTGAAACCTCCGGAGGATTTGCCGTTGACTTTGGGGACACCGCCTCTTCCATCAAAGGTTCGGACCACCTCCTTACAATTTTGATCCATCCTCAGGTGCCATGCGATGCTGTCTCTGATGCCCTTTCACAACTTGAAATTCTTGTGCACGTGAAGATGGCGAAGGCCACTCATCTTCACGAGATGCATGATGTATGCGGGAAAGTTTGACTTTCTGCTGTCTGATTTGCTGCAGGAAAGCCAGCGGACTTTGCCGCCTTCAGCAGTTTCCCAAGCACTGCTGCACCGAGCAAGCCAGCAGAGGAGAGTTGGGCAGCCTTTTGAACGGGAATTGAGACTGACAGAAGAGCAATTGACATTTCATGACTTGTATATAGCATGAATGACTGCTCAGCATGGGAAGACCGGGTGTGACTGGCATGCAAGCATGCAGGGGATTGTCCCAATGACGAAATGTTACAGTGCTTGTGGCACCGCAGCAATCAGTATGATGGCTCTTGAAATTAGCTGGAAATTTCCTTTTAGCCATTTCAGACAAGCACCTCGCATTTCCTCAATATTTTCATCTACACATGAGTGCATCATTCAACTGGCAGCACTCTGTGGCTAAATTTTGCAAATGCGTACCAGTAATCAAAGAGCTGTGATCCGGGCTACCAGGGAAATAGCCACTCGGTACAATACTGTGAAAAATCGACCGTGTTCGACTTCAGAGCCTGATCAGCCACAGGGCACATGTACCACCCACTTGTAGATGTTAGATGACATGTTGCGCAATAGTATTGCAATCCTCCATGGCAACTCCATCTTGAAAAGTACAAAAACCAGGACAGGAACTTCCAACCATGGCGATTGCTAAAAAAGACTTGTGTCCAAGCAATTAAATTGGCGTCTTGGTACCATGGGTGGCATGCCACAACAGAGATGCGCAACGCATGCCACCACAGCTGAGAAACCAGAGGGGCCTGAAATTTCCCTTTCTTATACAAGGGAATGTTGCAATGTTCCCAAACCCTGTCAACACCTCCCCCAGTGGGGACCCCCACTCAATCCAACCCCCAGCTCTTGAAGGATCACAAACATTTCTTATCTATTGCTCACAAATGTTCTTCCCATCATCAAGATCCTGCGTCACATAGCAGCTGCCCCAGAGGAAAGAGAGGATTCAAGTACCCATATGTGCCTCCTGCACCCCACCCTGCAAATCGCATGCTGCTCTTTCTTGCGCAATTGCATCTCTGTCAGCGGCGCTTGCCAGAAAACAGGCCTCACCGAAAGGCCTCTGGCGGACTCTCTGCCTGAGACATGATCATCAGGCTGCCTTACGCTTGCGTGTCCCAGCTGTGGGCTGACAACTGCAACCTCTGGCCTGCCCAGCCTGAGTTGTGGGCTGTGGGGTTGTAGGGGGCACGCGCTGCTGCACCGACCGAGGCATCGCCCCAGGGCTGAGCGCAGCATGCGAGGAGCTCCTCTGCTGCATCTGGCACACCCCACCCAACACACAACTGTCAGATCCCCATGCACTGTAAAAGGCGTCCATGCATGCCAGTCGTGATGACTTTGAACAGCAAAGGCATCAGCGCTGAGAATCCCTTGGCAAGCTGGAAATTAAATTTTGCAAGCATGAATGACTTCCATATTTGCCGGAGACTGCACAGCGCCATATTCCCAAGCTGCACTCCCCACACGCACTTCCATATGGCGTTTGTAAAACTTTAAACAGGCAAACCCAGCGTGCCTTATCTATCTGTGTCCCCAGTTCTAACCACCAAGCAATCTGCAACAGAAAGCTTCCCGTTGCAAGAGGGCGCACCTGAGGCTGCGGGGTAGCTGGTGCGACGGGTGCAGCGCGGCCCCTGCGCACGTCGCGGTAGACAGGCAACAGCGTGGTCACCGACTGCCCCGGCACCAGCGCCAAATCGGTGCACACATTCACCTGCTGCACCAGCAAGACATTTAGTGAGGAATACCAAACAATCTACAATCCGTCACTCATCCATGTGTACCTTTCACCTTGCTCCTCTGGCTCAGAGTAGCAAAGTCAGCGGTTCGATTGTGACTCCTGCACATTGCATCTCAACTGCAGCTGATTGAACAATGCACTGATGTCAATGTATGAGGTCCTTGCTTGCAAATTGCTGCTTCGTTTGCTTGCTGCAAAGGGGTGGCCTTGCCTGAGCGCCAGGCTGCCCTTCTGCACCCTCCTCATCTTCTGAGCCATCCTCCGAGACTGAGTGATCGCTGTCCTCTTCCTCATCGCTAGTGTCTTCCTCGTCCTCTCCATCCCCCTCGTCTGCTGCCTCGACATCTCCAGAATCATACTGCAGTTTCCACACGAACAGACTCATTGCGTGTGTAGGATGATCTTTTTGATAATATACTGGACACTGAACAGTGATCATCAACAAGGCTTTCAAGATCTCCTTATCACCTTTGGTATGAAAGCTGAGGCCATGGCAGACTATTCAAGATCATAGTCTGCTGCTCACCTCCGGTTCTTCGACATCTGGATCTTCATCACAGTACTTGCCCGCAGAGTAGTAACCATTGTCCCACGTGGGCTCAAAGCCATAGGTGTACTGCGTGTCCTGCACATGTACATCCACTTTCTTCCTCGCAGATGTGCACCTCAGCAGCTTGCATAATATTCTGTGCTGCCTTGGCCAATCATATGACAGGGTGATCTTCTGACATGGGCAGGGAAAATGGGCCTCACATATGGGACGTAACTGGCGTGTGGGATTGCTGCCAGGAAGCAGTCTTCGCAGAGTTTCCGTTGCTGCAAGCACCAAACAATTGCTCATCCGATGTTCAGAGCTGTGCATTAAACGATGTGAAGATAGTGATTTAGGTGAACTGCCCATTGGTGGGTGGCGTGTGCACACCTTGCCATCATCATAGGGCTCTTCATAGAAAGTTGCCCTGTAGTCCCTGAATGGGGCACATGACCGGCAAATGTCGCATGGCCTCGTATGCTGGTCTGGCTTCCAGACAGACTTGCGCATGAAGTTGCTCTTGCCCTGCCCAATGAAGTAGCAGGATATTTGAGACTGGCGGTAGGACTCAACAAGCATTACACTGGACTGCAGCATTAGAGAACATGGCTGAAAGGGATTATATTGTGAGCACGGGACACATCAATGCGAGATAAATATTTCGGATGATTTGGGACAGGACAGGCTGACGGGTGAGGCTCACATGTCCAGGGAATTTGGCACTGAAGCATCCGTCGCACAATTTTGCCTACAGCACACACACAGAATTGTCACTGCACTCATTGCTGTGAATTCTGTAAACATTAGTACAGTTTATAGTAGAAATTCTAAAAAGATCAATCTTATTTCAGCCCACCATGCCCAAGCTAAATGGCTCCTCCCAGAAGACCGCCCCCATCGAAAACGGGTCCAGCTCTCCACACTCGTCACATGGCCTTGTGTGAGAGGCTCTCACAATTTTCCGCTCAAAATCGCTGGGAGTCTGCACGCAGGAGCAGGTTCAGACCTTCCCTAGGCCGAATTCTCGTCAAGAAGTCGAACATAGCATGATCCCAAGTTCGTAGCAGTAATCTGGAGGAACTCTTGAGTAAACTCAGTAATCTCGAGGACTTCTGCTTGAAGGTTCTTCACAAAAGGCATGTCAGAAAGAAGAGCAGTGGTCGTCATTGGGTGCGAGTTGTTGCACCGGATCGTGATCTTCCTTCCCCCTTTCGTTTACTTCGGGGCCGTAACGTGATGCTTGATCTCTTTCTACCAATGCAATCTGCTCCTGAGGCAGATCAAGACATATTGTATCTGCCCCAGAAGTGTTCTGTGGGTGTACCTCTGGATGCGTCCCGTTGAGTTCCACAAAATTTTGTTATCGCCCATTGCAGGGATTTTTTGATCGATGTGCCCAGAAGTGCTGACGATGAGCAGGAATGCAGGATGCCACAGAAGAAAGTACCAGTTTCCACAACTTTCCAAGGTTGTCTGATTTCAGTGGTGCGACCCAGCGCAGGCTGCCATGGAATGTGTTTGCAAGTGCTGCATGCCGTAGTATGATACTTTTAGTGCTAGCATCTGTGGAGATATTGGAGTCATGATCAGATTTATCAGGGAACTTCCGGTCGGTTCCGGAGGGGAGTCAAATATCGAAGATCGCGATCGACTCAGATCCCAGCAACAGTTAGAAATCGGTCTGAGAACCCTGACGCGTGCCTAAGTCAGAGAAGCTTGGAATAGCACAGATGGCTGTGCCCATCGCTGACTCTGACTCTCGGAGAGCATGGTGCTGGCCCAATTCCAAGAGTCTCAGGATTGGCCTAGGTCAAAATGGAATCTTTCATGGCACACCCTGACAGGTTGAACCTGGTATGTTTCAAGGCTCCTATCAGTCTTGAGGATTTATGAGTTAGTTCTGTGCTTCCCAGTAAATTTTATAAGGATGAAGATCATATAATAAGGATAATGAAATCATTGATCACCTGAGGTGATTCACCTCCGAGTGAGTCACAACAAGTCACGCATTCAATTCAGCAATCATCCAAGAAGAACTTTTAGAACCGCCAACAGATATGGCGATTGCCATTGCTGCCTGAGCACAATGAGGAGGCCAACTCCTAACATGAACTTCAATTGAACAACATCATGATGAGCTTCGAAGCCTTGTTATAAGTTCACGCACCCTTCCCCTTCATTGAAGAGCTGGCATGATGCCAGTGGCATCCGTCAGGCCAGCACATGCAGCAACTGTTGGCCAACTGTACACATATTAGACCATGAGCAACAGCCACGGGTGCTGTTGCAAGGAAAAATTTGCGGCAACCGCAGCGCAGCAGGAAGCAGTGCCATCGCAGGTAGGTGCATGCAAGCTCACACTGCTGACCCTGGCAGCTGTGGCTCTCCGACGCCCAAAAATCAGTTTTGACATGCGCGCTTTGCCTCGCGCTTTTCCTCGCGTTTTGCCTTGTGCTCCGCCATGTGCATTGCCTCCCTCTTCACCTCGCGCTTCGCTTTGAGCAAAGCTTATCCTTCTTTGTCGCGCCTTAACTTCAATATTGCCTCACGCTTTGCAAGTCGCTCTTCCTTTTGCTTTGCCTTGCCCCTTGCCTTGCGCTCTGCCTTTGCACTTTACCTTCAAATCTGCCTGGGTGCGTGCGGGGGGTCCCTGCACCGCAAAGATGTCAAACATCCACTGTTAGTCTACAGTGTACTCATGCACAGTCCATGCTCGGTCTAGAATTCTTGTTGTCTTTTAGTGGTGGCAACAACAACGGAGCATATCGTGCCGGGTGCAGCATTGCAGGTGAGATACCTTGGGCGCTGCCTTTTGGAGGCTTCAGCAGCTTTTGTGGCGGCGGCAGTCTCTTCATCACCTTTCTTTTTCTTGTGAGATGTTATCCTCTGCCTTAGCATTGCAGTCATCATGAGTTTGATCATTTTCAGGTCCTTCCTCTTCTTGTTCCTCATTGTACTGCTCCTGTGAATGAACACTTTCATTCCCTCAGGTGATGTTCTAGCTACTGTGCATCTAATGGCTCAGATTGCAACCTCAAAGCCCTGAAAGAAATGTTACAGGTCGCTCATCCTAATGGTGAAGGCGCAGCAGAAATTCTTCGAGACGGTGAATCATGACATTTATCGTGCTCACCTCATCATCATGAAGATAATCACCGTCATGTCCACTATTGTAATCGTGCTCACAGCATCCAAATCCAAAGGAGAAAGGTACCTTGCCATCCTGCACAGGTATATAAATTGTTGATGCTTGCGAGCTCAGTGTCTGCTGCACATCACATGCATAACACTTCGGCATCAGGCATTGTAAGTGCATGTCCATGGCTAGCAAGGAGGCAGAGACCATACACTTGGGACGTTGCGAGCATTCGGGAACTCCGCAAGAAAGCAGGCCTCGCAAAGTTTCCGAAACTGCAGTCACAAAGGCCACACTCAGACACTCTGAAATGCAAGACTTGTTATATTCAACTTGTGTGCACTCACATCATGTTCCCAGGTCCAGCGGCCAGTGATAGCGACAGTGAGAGTTGGCAGAAGCAAAGAAGAAAATGGCGTGCTCTGAGTGCGCACCCTTTCATTAGGACAGAAGGGCTCTTGATAGTAAAGTGCTCGATAGATTTTGAATGGTACGATTGACTTGCAAGTATCGCACACCCTTTTTTGTAATTCTGGCCTCCACACATACTTGCACTCAAACTTGCTTAGCCCCTGCCCGTGAGAAGAGCGGACATTATTCAGAGTAATTAGACAGTGCCCCCTTCACCTCGAGCAGAGTACCAGTACTCCTGCGATACAACTTCAGACAGGCATGGAAATTTTCTGCCGTGAAATAGCAGAGATTATGCTGATAGAATCCTCACCTCGGCCTCCACCTGTGCTAAGATCTCATCGAAGATCGCTTGACGTGATTCCACTGTCATTTCTCCTTATTCACGGAACAGTACAGTTGTAGCAAGAAGAGAAACCCCGCAATATCCAAGAGGTCAACCGCTGCACCTTTTAGGAGATGTCAAGGCTGACCTGTTACACTCCTCGTCGTACTAACCGAGTACACTTTGACACATCACATAGCTTGAGCTACTCGGTGCAGGGGTTCTCAGGACACTCCGATGGGAGCTAGCGGACAGATCGGGCGGCAGATTTGTAAGGAAGCACGCGAAGCACGATCTCGCGTACGGAGTGGAGTGAGGTCATCGCCCGGATGACTACCGTGCGGAGATCAAGGCGTCGTTAGATCGACTGCACTTCTTCCTCGTCTCGTGGTGGTTGCCTACCAGCGCAGCATTCCCGAAAGATAAGTGCAGCGTCCACCTTATTAAGATACCGCTGCCTTAGAGATAGACAACTAGCGGACCCGTAGCATCATCGACGCGCTGAGAGACGATCCTGGCTCGAAGGAAGACCGTGGTCTCAGTCGAACTGCTGATCCCAGGTGGGTTTTAGATATAAGCGAGCTTTTGAGCGTCTGATGAATGCGTACTGCGCCATCCAGGCTGACGTTCGTTATCGAAACTTGCACAAACTTGGGCACCCCTTTGCCATACGCTTATGCTGCGAAAGTAAATGCATTATCTTGTTTGTTTCCTTATTTGATGGGTGTGTTCTGGTAGGATTTGCGATTCTGGGGTGCACTGTACTGACATTCTGCTGGGTCAGCCGCTCTTCTGTACTTGATGCGCCTGTAGCATACTATCTCACTCGCACCCATGAAAAAATGACAAGAATATTAGGTCAATACAATTGGGGCAAATCTTTTTACCCAAGACAGCATAAAGGGGCTTTGGCTCGCAGGAGGTGGGCAGCCATCACCAGGCATGACCTCCAGGCAAAGGAGTGGGGGTATCTTGTTGGGGTCACTGGACGACTACCATGGACAGGTCGTGCGACCTCGCAGCACATCTTCCAGCATTGTGCAGGACTCACAGGCTCGCAGCTATGTGGTGGGTGCCCTCAGACAGCTTCTCAGCGCTGCATTGTCAGGGCACACTCTAATGCACCTTCACCGCTCATGGCAGCCTGAAAGTCTCCTGAGATTGTTTGCTTTGGTGCAGTACCTACGGCTATTGGCAGCGACTTCTCTCCTCGGCATGATCCTTCTAATGGTAGCAGGTGAGCCACTCGCCACATCCCTTTTTCAGAGTGTGCCACACGGCGGTTGGTTATTGTGGTGCCTCTAAAGGTGATATCAATCTTTGCATGCATGTCAAGATGCAATGCATGTACAGGACCTGAACAATTTGATTTTGGCTGTAGGACATCATGAGCGGCACAAGGCGACCACATCCTCAGTCCACTTCTTCTCTAGACGGGATCTTGCAGGTAATGGACGTTCACCCCTTTCTCCCATACATCTTGCCCAGCATGTCCACCTTTCATCGTAGACTTATTTTCTGTCAACAAAGATTGAGAGTAGTCTGGGTCACCTGCAGCCTCCACGCCAGCTGTTGCCCCAGTCACAGCGCCCACACCTGCACCTCTTCCCTCGCGCAAAACAGCAGTCCCTACATCAAGAGCGCTGGACGTCGGCGCAGTCGGTGAGTCATTGCTGCCCATATCACACACTAATTGCGCGCATCATGCCTCTGCATTTTGGCGTCCGATACGCTGTGGCACAAGGCATGCAGATGCACGGATCGCAGGCAAAAGGCGACGCACAATGCCTTGACCGAGAGAGTCTGCCCTTCACTCTCTGTGTGTGCGCACGCTCTTGGCTGGATGCTGATTGTTAAATGGTCTGCAGGTATAACCCCAAGCAAGCCGGCCTTTACAATCGTTGTGAAGGCCCCTGCTCCCGCGCCCTCCGCCAAGGCCCCAATGAAGCTGAAGGGGGGGCTCACAATGGCGCCCGCACCAGTTCCGGCTGCGAGTGAGAAGGTGAAAACGGCGGGCGGCCTCCCGGGGACTGCACCTGTGCCAGGCCCAGCTGGTGAGCCCCCGACCCTCTGAGATTGCTGAATTTTGCCCATACTGTAGCACTCAAGGAAAAAACCACACGGCCTGCGGTGCAAGAAATTTTTCAAAACAACCTTCAGAGGTTTTCCTGACTCCACAAACGCCAGGATTCATGCTCCAATGGATTCGGCTTGTCGAGAGCTTTCCGAGTCAGGTCTCAAATTTCCATAGGGGTTGAATCTTGGGAGAAAGGGTCTTCCACCCTTCTTGGCCAAAAACAATTATGAGTACTACAGTGCTCACATGTTCCCCCTTGGATGGATGCTGATGTGTCACACCGTGGGCTTGAGGCGCTTGGATAGGGTGAATAGCTGCTTCACGGGGAGGAATAGACCTCAAATGTTCTGAGAGACTTGGCTGATGGTGTTTTCTCTTTGTTGTAGCAGCAAAGAAGGTCAGCAAGCCGGTCAGCAAGCCGGGCAGGAAGATCGGTGCACCGGCGCCCGGTCCAGCAAAGGCTATAACTGCTGCGAAGCAGAATGTCGGCACCAGAGGTGTGCTCCCCACCTATCAAGACTTGTTGAGGCATGTTCTCAGCAATGCGTACTCTTGTAAGACAATTTTGGGCTTGATTGAGTGTTGCAAAAATTTGATTGAGTACCAGGATGTTATGGTGAATCCAATTCACATGATCAGGTGTGCGGTACATTATATTAGTGGCATCTGACAAGTGAGGTGTTGTCCAGAACAGGAAAATACTAGTACGCTACTGCGGTGTACTTGTTGATAGAGTCTGACAGTTGAAGTGGTGCGCAATGCAGGGGGCAAGGGTGCAGGAGCGCCCGCGTACGCGCCAGCTCCGGGGCTCGGCGGCGTGGCGGCAGCGTTCCGGCCGGCAGCGGCGCCGAGGTCCTCCCACTCTCAGAGGGGGGCCTCAGATAAGCCAGTCAGCAGCTACTCTGTCGGGGGGATCTCAGCGCCGGCCGCAGCTCCCTCCAAGGCGCCCGCCAAGCGGCCGGCGGCTGCGCCTGCGCTAGCGCCGGCGGCCGCCCCCGGGCCGGCCACCGGCGCGGGCCGCCAACCCGGCAGCGGCTACAAGTCCATCAGTAGCATCTTTGGATAGGCGGCCAACATCGGCACGTCCGCATGCTCACCTGTTGTTCTGCAGATCGCCTGTCTGTCAGGATCAGTATGTCCCCACGAACGAGGACCCTTTAGTGGACAGCGTTCCTGTTCTTCGAAGAGAGCATGGCTCTTCTGGCTTACAATCGAGGAGTGTCGAATGTCCACAGATCTGAATACTAAAAGCTTGATGTGAAGTGCATTGTACACTGTTTTTTTTCAATGCTTTGAATGGCTTGTACTCCAAATGATAATGAACCAGGTATTGGTCAGGAAAGGGTTTAGGACAAAATTGTGTTTATTCACACCGCGCACATGCGACGATTTCACTAAGCGGAGGCTTTTGAATGCAGAAGTTGGATTTTGGTTGTTCAAACTTGCACAGATGAAAGCCTTAATACCAATCCAAAGGGAATATTTGGATCTTTTAGCAATTGCTAGGTCCAAATGTAAGTCCATACTAGCTTGCGAGGAGGCAAAGGGACCGTGGCTTGTGAAGATTACACAATGAGTTATATCGTCAAGCACAAGCGCGCATGTCCTCCACAATGGACTCCAGGGCAACAGCCCAATGCGTCCAGTGGGTGCCTCCCTGGCAGTACACCACATACGGCGGCCGCAGCGGCCCATCCGCGCTTAGCTCTGCTGTGCTACCGTCAATGAACGTCCCATCCCCAAAGATCACCTCATCATCGTACCCCGGCGTGACCCCTGCACACCCATCCAGCACCCCTTTCCCTCGGTGAACCACACACTGCTCTTGCTGCGTGCAAATCTTCTCTGAATTTTCAGAAACAGCACCTGGAGGTGCGGCAGTATGATAGACAAGGAAAGGCGCTTCTAAGCTCTGTTCGAGAGCTCAGCTTCAACCCCAATGAAAAGGGCAGCTTATATTGCAGCAGTAGATGGTTTATACATGTGTGCTTAGCGGTTTATGGCCGGCACCAGCCAGGTACACGAGCTGCAGTGTGCTGTCATCGAGAGCGCCGATGGCCACAGGTGCTGCGCGCCTCTTCATCCATCAAGAGACAGTAGCTCACCGACTTCCAACAGTCAACAACGGCTGGCAAAATATCAAGAGGGGATAGGCACAGCTCACCAGGTCCATCCATCAAGAGACGCCAGCTCACCAGCTTTCAACAGTCAACCAAGGCTGGCAAGAGATCATGCGGTACAGGTATATCCACCCATCCAGAGACACCAGCTCACCGGCTTGTAACAGTCAACCAGGGCTGGCAAAGTGTCAGGCATGACTCACCGGGCACGGGCTCGATGTAGGAGCCGACCGGGGAGGCGCGCTGCACAGCGCGGCAGAAGGCGCACATGCGCGCGGCGCTGCCGACCTGCACCGCGGTGATGAAGGAGGCCGGGGAGGGAACGCGCCCCGCCGGTGCCACCGCGTACCCCTCGCGACTCATCACCTCGGCCACTAGTCGACCGCCCTTCAGCGCCTCGCCCACCATCTGAGGCGCCAAAAATAGGCCTGCGCAGGCCGTTCCAGGCGTCAGCACAGCCATGACAAGACCCTCCAGCAAGAAATGGCACGCTTCAGAAGACACCCCCACATTAGAAAAATTAAGTCTAGACTATGTGTGGTCCCATTCTTCTGCTTTGTTCGACATTTACTGGTGTGACGGGAACACGCAGCAGCAGTATTTTTCCGGGATGTCTGGTTTCATATTGGGCAAACTGATCAATCTGCCAGGCAAGGCGCAGAGAAGGAGGGAGAGGGCTCAACAGCTGTCAGTTGAGAAGATTGGCAAATAGAAGGACAGCAACCTTGGGCCATGAGGCGCAGGGTGGAGCCGGAGACTCCGCCGGCATCGGTGCCAACGCCGGGCGCGGTCAGCCGAGCGGCCGCAGCCGCCACCAGATCCGCACGGCCGGCAATGTAGCCGCCACCCGGCACGATCGTGCCCCCCGGGCTCTTGATCAGGCTGCCCATCACCAGATCAGCGCCCACCTGACACCCACATCACCAGATTCGGAGAGCAAAAACCTACAGGCCAGCAGGGTGAGTAACAGTGCAAAGAGAGGAGGAACCTATGCAGGGCCTTGGTGAAGTGTTGGTTCTATTGCTCTAGTGTTCAGTAGCAAGCTGTGCTCGACAATCTCCTGTTCTTAGTCAAACACATGCATGAGCTCAGGTGTTGTACTCTGACACAATAAAAGTGTAACATCAGAGTCAGTGGTAGAGGCTCACTGCGCATGGCTCCCTGTCCTCAGTGAACTCTCCGTAGCAGTTGTCCACGGCCACGATGCAGTCAGGGCTCTGCTCCTTGATGATGCGCACGGCTCGCTCTATGGCCGCGATGCTCAGCGTGGGTCTCAGCGCATAGCCGCAGGACCTCTGAATCGAGGCCACCTTCGTCTCTGCTCACAGCAGTGCGTAGAGCCTGTCAGCAAGCCGACAATTGCTTTATGATGAAATAAGCACATGCACAAGCACAAGCACAAGGAGTGCTTGCATTTGACAGTGGTGCATGGCTGCACCGCTGCAGACTCACTCGGAGTGATGGCTGACGCAAGGGCTGCCCAGTCAATATCGCCGCCCTCAGCAAGGGGCAATTCCCTGTAGGCAACGCCCCATTCCCTCAGGCTGCCATGCCCAGACGTCCCCCTTAGCCCTATTACCTGCACCCAGGACATGCCCGTATGAGCTCGCTTAGGGTGATACGACCAAGCATGAACAGCAACGCATCTGCTGCTCTTGTGTTGAGACATGAGCAGTGCTTTTCTCTCTGAGAATGGCAGGAGGCGGCCCCCTTAGCCCTGTCTCCTGCACACAGGGCATGCTGACATGGGCAAGTGCCCAAAGAACCAAAAATTACCCAATTGCTTGACACCAGCAATCTGACCGAGAAGAGAATCTCCCAGGAAGAAGGCAAGGCACACCTCTTCCAGAGTGTCATACGGCTTGCCTGCCACCGCCAGCAGCTCATCCCCCGGGCGCAGCGCTGCAAAGAGCGCCGTGGAGATTGCATGCGTGCCTGACACAAACTGTATGCGCACGATCGCCGCCTCTGCCCCCATCACCTCCGCCATAATCTGCATCCCCCAGGCAATTGTCATCCGGATGTCATGCTGGGCGCTGACTCTGACAAGGAGAGTCAGGCATCCGATCAGCCCTGAATTGGCTGGAAGCTGACTGACTGACTGATCCGCAGGACCGTTGCTCCATGGCTGGATGGTTGCTCCAAGGGCAATACTCTTCACTGACGTCAACAGATGAGGGCTGGGTGAGCACGATGCAGGCAGGAACATTAAGAGTCTTACATCATCCAGAGCTGCGCGGCCCAGGTCGCCATGGCCATATCCAGTGGAGCCGCTGAAATGGTGGGGCCCCAGGCGGGCCCCCCTCATGGCTGCCTGCGCCCGCCTCAAGTTGTGCGCTACAAGCTCATTATCTATCTGGCTGAAGGTCGGGGCCAGATCTGCTGCTGCATCCCACACCTGAGGCAGGCATTGGCAGCATCTTCTCGCAATGTGTTGCAGAAAGAGTCATGAGATGAGAGCCTAGACTGCTAGGATGCCTTCTGGGCAGTGACACGTACAACATGGGCTGCTGCTCGGGATTGAGATGATGTCGCCGCAGCATCTGCACTGGAAAGTTCGCTTTGAGACCAGTGTGTTCGGTTGGCAGAACGTCGTTCACCAGCTACGATGGTGAGCGTTCTCCGTCTGTTAACATTACTATGCAATGACAGAGGACATCTATGGACAGTTAGGAGGCCTGTGCGCCCGTAATCATATCTGCAGAGGTGGGCGTCAGTGCACAGGACTTGTTTTATAGATTGTGAGAGGAAAGCACTGCCCAGCATGACACGCAACAATGTCTAACCTTTTCCGATTACTATAGATATCAGAGTAATTAGCAATTGTTAGGCGCCAGTTACTATACATCTCAGAAGACTGTGAGAGGGGGCTGCATTAACTTCCCACATTGGGGAAGCTGGAGGTCCCACCAATTTAGGATCAGGAAGGAATGCTTCCCATGCATGCACAGATCCCAACCCATAAGACAAGCTCAGATCGTCAGCCAATCATAATTGTGTAGCATTGGTTGGAGTCCGATCATTCATAACTCTGTCCCTTTGGGGTCATCAGCTGTGTTCTGTGAGCTTTGCATGCACCGTGACTTGGCATGCGCATGATGCCAAGTTGGAGTGGCATGCCACTCCAACTTGAGCGCTCACGCGGCACCTATTTTATCAGTGGTAAGATGGGCCTTCCGAAGATTGTTACCATATAATTCGTTATGATTATGATCATGATGTCAGATGGTGGCCTGCACAATGTGCTCACATGAGCAATTTACAGTGATAAAGAGGTAGCCTGAGTGACCACCGTGTTTGCACCGGCCACAAAGATGAGGTAAAGACCTCCGAGCTCCGAGTCGTTTGATCAAAACTTTAGCTTCATGGCAAGACTTGCATCATATCTTTACTGCAGGCGGCTTGCAAAATTGGCATCGCCCACAAGCCAATTGCATGATCAAATAAAATGGTCATCCAATTGTGTCAGGCCTCTCTGTGACGGGTAATACCACTCAGATCAGTTCCACTGAGCCATACTGCTGATCAGTCACCCTAAAACATCCACTCCTGCTCATTCACCCATCCAACAAACTCCTCAACAGGTTGCTGTTCCAAATTTTTATAAGAAATAAAAGGCAATGATCCACCAGACAACCATTTGTTGGTGTTGGTTGACAGGTTCAAAGTCTCGCATTCAGGCGTCATTGGCCTTGTGCCTGTCGCTGACTACAAATATCGAGTGACAGTGACATGGCTCTCGGCGGCAATGAGTGCTGTCATTAAGAGATTCCAGTGCTTGCCAGGAGTCTCACTCATCCAAACTATTCTTGACCTGACCAATCTTATGCATGTCAAACAAGACAAAATATCAGTCATGCTCTATTCTATCTTCAACTCTTGAGCAAAGGTACATATCTTACAAGACTCGCTGTTCAAGGTTTCTCCTCTTCTGGAGGACGCTGTACGCTCCACCCTTGCCCTCCTGGGTCACTGCATCGGCCGCTGGTCTCTGCTCGCCATGATGCCCCTTGCTACTGCTGCCCCCCTCCTGGCTCCTTCGCGGACCCTGTGTCGCTGCACCTGCTGCTGTTTTCGGTTCACCATGATGCACCCTGCTGCTGCTGCCCCCATCCTGGCTCCTCCGCGGACCCTGGACCCTGCCAAGGGAGCTGCTTGAATATTCCAGGAAGCGTCTGGAAGAGGGCCCTAAGGAAAGAGCGGCCGCGGCGGCGGCTGCAGCGGCGGCCGCTTCCGAGGCCGCGCCGGCCGGCCCCGGTACGAAGCGCCGCGGCGGCGCGCCCGCACCGCCGCCGCTGCCGCCCGCCCGGCCGTACCCCGGCGTCTGTGCATGCACCTGCACCATAAAGCATTGTCTCACTTGCATGATGCGGCATGCCCACGTCATGACCCGCCCACGTGCCCACATGCAATTAACAGACCTGCAATTTATGTCCATGAATGAAAGCTGGATTGTCACAAGCCTAAAGGTCTAAGCCAGGCTTGCCTGTGCATCGCTGCCTTGCCTATCAGGTGCTTCCATGCGCAGCAGGCCAAGCTGGCAACACCAGGTGAAGCTGGCAAGCTTAGTATATTTGGCAGTCCAGAGGATCACAATGTTGAAGATCACCTGGACGGCGTCGGGCCCCTTTGAGATCCCCTGCTGCACGGCCTTGCGCTGAATGTAGGCCTCATCGGCGCCAGACTCCATCTGGCCGGGGTGCTCGGGGATGGTGAGGTCCTTGGGGGGTGCGACTGCCAGGGTGTCCGGCAGGGAGGAGGTACGCCGCGCGCTGCAGTGGCTGTAGCCCGCCCCCGGTGTTCCCTCCTGCGGTGTATTTACCCCCGGCGCTGCGAAGGGCGACGTCCCGTCTGTGCTCCGCCGCCACCAGCTGTCGCTGTCCGCCCGAGAATGCTCGCCGGGCTGCCGCACAATCACACTCGCTCAGACTCTTGTCACCTTTGGCAGCGCGCATCCACCGTCACCCACAGCTGTGCAGCACGGCATTCTCCACTGTAGATCAATCAACAAGCAAAGCCTCACATGGCTCACCTGATGGGACACCAGCAGAGTTTGAGCAGTCACTGAAACAGGGCCGCTTGCTCTATCGCAAGACTGGCGGCTACTGGACGAATTAATAATGATTTGAACCTGCAGTTCGAAGGAGGGCCGCTGGGAGTCGATAGAGGCGCGGCCATCGATGGGGCCCATGGGCATCTCGAAGGAGGGACGCCCCTCCACGGATATCCTCCGGCTGTCCGTAGATACGCGCCGCCCCTCGAACGACGGCCGGTCCTTCAGATTTCTCCCAGCCCGCTTCCCCCGCCGTGTCTTCTTCACCTGCACACCGGAAAAGAACTTCCTATCGGTTTGGGATATATGCATGGTATGCACGCTATGCCAGCAAGGCAATCTTGGGCAAGGACGACAGGGGGCAAGAGAAAAAGAGAGGGACATGGAATGTACCCCGGCAGAGCCGTCCAAGGACTGCGCCAAGTCAGATAAGTTGTTGCTCGCGATCCCTGTGCTGGCCATCATATTCAGCAGCAGCTGGTCCTCTGGTTTAAATCGCTGGGCACCCTGCAGGCCACACATGCATCATTGCTTCAGTACAGCACCAGACTTGTTTAATCCTGAACCACGCTGGTCAGACAGTGGGGTGCTGCCACTGTGTATAGCGCTGCAATCGCAGACAAATGTTCAGTGCTCCTCACTTCATCACTGCCGTCTGCCTCCGTGAGGTATTCATACTGCTGTATCCGCCCGTCCTGCCCATAGATGTAGCTGCCTTGTGGGACCTCCTCAAAGTCCCGCCAACTGCTCGGCAGCTTCAGGCCCTGTATCCGGGGAGGCCCTTTCTGCTGGCTGCTGCCACCGCTGCCGCTGCTGCTGCTGTGGCCATTGCTGCTGCCTGCCGCCATTCCCCCCACAATCGCCAGCTTGCCATCCGCTGTGCGCCCGTGCAGCAACTGGTGACTGGAGCCGGCTGAGCGCGCAGCTGCTACCTGTCCCTATGAAAGACACATGCCGGCATGTGAGCGCCAGAGATCAGGGAATGAGAAAACTAGACCTTCAGAGGCGCCTGTCTGACCAGGGGCAGACTGCACAGGTGATCTTGAGCAATGCGCACCATTTGAGAGTCATGCAACACGAAGACGAAGTCTCCCTGCAGCCTGGATACCATGCAGGGGCCAAGCTTTTTGTAGAGCTTGTAGATCAGGTAGGCCTCCTGCATAGAAGCACAGGATCCCACTCACACAACGCACGAGCAAAGGGGCTATGTATAAACGGTTACACACATGTCAATCAGACTATTTATCGACCGAATCAGGTCCTAATTCCGGCAGGAAGATGGATAAGGCTAAATGCAGCTAACGAACGTGTACTGCCTCCCATTCGTGAAAGTTGTGGTTCTGGTGCGTGGCAGCCTTGGCGTGGACTAGCCATGTTAACTAAAGGCACCTGATGTGCTGCATCGCTGCTTACTTCGTCAGTGCCGCTGGTCGTGCAGGTGGAGGAATCCATGCGCTCCAGCATCTGCTGGATTGCACGCGCATTTCGCAGTACCCTGCACAACGAACGGGTGTCTGCGTAATCCTGCTCAGGAATGACCAACTTATCCAAATTCCTTTGCTAAAATCACCCGATCTACAGCCCGTAATTCTGTTCAAATGACTGGCAGGCAAGCGCTCACCCGAGAAAAGCAGCCATACAGCCATCTTGGGACAGGGTGACGACGCCAGTGGTTCCGGCATCTAGCACGGCGAGGCCGGCACTCTGACACAGAATGACTCGACCGCTGGATCCGACCGGGTGGACTTCTCTGAGCTGTCTGTCCAGCTCTGGTTCATAGCTAGCCCAGTCACCGGTTTCAGGCGAACAACCCCGCGAGCAGACGCACAGGAACTGGCCTTCCCCCATAGCAGGCCCTTCACGGGCTTCTCCTTGCGGGTGCAAAGCATGGAGGAGGTATAGGCCCTCTCATACCTCCCCAACACAAGCGTGTTGGAGTGCCATGTGCCCAAGATACAACCGTCGAATGACTGGCAGATACTGACCCGTCCTGTTCAGGCACCGCCGCTTCAGACCCCACGTTGAGCCTCGCTTTAACCCTTTTTTGATTGTTTTGATTGGGACCCATGCGAGTCAAGACAGACATGCAAATGCAGCCACTTGAAAACACTTGAGCAAATCTGACCCTATATAGTACTACGCGAAAAATTCCTTTAATCGTACTTAGATCCACAAGATGAAATTGGAGTAGTCAAGAAGCATGTGCACATCGGCATGATCTGCCCATGGGAGCATTCCTCAGGCCAGGAGAAAGGCAGCCTGGTGCATTCGGCATATCTTTCGACAGCGATCGAGACAAAAATGCTGCTGTCGTGCCGACCTTCAACCGCAATGAGAAGCTCGCCCTGCAGGAGCAAAGGAGAAGGCTTCCTGTGTTCCAGCACAGGTACGATTGTATTGGACCTTGCGTAATATGTGTAATTAGACATAAGAACGCTCACCTTTACAATCTGAGATGCCAACCTCCTGTGCAGATCGTCAAGGTTGAACTGAGCTCCTGAATGCCTGTTGTGCCAGGCGCGAGATCCTGTACCTGGTAGAGCATCATGCCACAGTCATCATCGTGGGCGAGACAGGCAGTGGCAAGACCACTCAGATCCCCCAGTACCTGCTCGAGGCAGGCTGGTGCTCACGTGCGCCCTGCCTTATGCTCTATCATGCATGGGCATTCCACTGGCAGCAGCGCAGATTTGGCTGCAGTCTCCTGCTGGCCCATGCAGGCAACTGCCATTTCAGCTTACAGCCGTGCATCTTCCACACTCGTCAAATACTCAATCATCGATATTTCCGTCAACAATGCATGCGGCAATGCCGGAAATGAAAGCATAGGATCTGGCGCAGATGGGCGAATGGTGGCGTGCACGCAGCCGCGCAGAGTGGCGGCCATGACGGTGGCGGCGCGTGTGGCCGAGGAGACCGGCAGTCCCCTGGGCCAGGCCGTCGGCTATGGGATCCGTTTCGAGGACGTTTCCACTCCAGTGCGGCCTGTCACACCCCTGCGCTTTTTATCACCCCCTTGCAAGGAAATCTCATCAGCCTCAACTTCGACCTCAGACTCCTTGCCAGAGGCATCCGTGCTGACTTGTCACTATGATTGTGGGCCCAAGTGAGTGCAGGATTCAGTCATTGTCATGTCCTGGTGGGATTATGGTGTGCACACGTGCATGCATGCAGGGGACGACGCAGATCCGGTTCTGCACGGACGGCGTGCTGCTGCAAGAGATGCTGCAGGACCCGCTGCTGACAGCCTACAGGTGCGACGGCACAGCGAATCGAGTCTAAACTCCTGAGTGACCTGCTGCGGTGCATAGCACATAGGCTTGCCAACATTCCCTTCTCTCAGTGCTTGTGAGTGAGGGTGATGTTTCTCATGCCAATGATTGGGGCAAAAGGTTGGGGACATCTTCATGTCTTTGGCCTTGTCAGTGGCCTGGATGCCGCTGCAAGGTTCAACAGTCTGCCTGTGAGGCTGAAAGTGTTGAGAAAGGTGCGGAGGAGGACTGGCTCTCCTTTGCGACTGGCTCTCCTTTGCAACTGATGTTCTCGTCTTCCAAGACATGACTTGTCTGTATCTGAGGCGCGGCTGTGCTGCGCAGTGTGATAATGGTGGACGAGGCGCACGAGCGCAGCCTGGCGACAGACACGCTGCTGGGCCTGCTAAAGAAGGTGCAGCGGCGGCGACCGGACCTGCGAGTCATCGTAGCTTCCGCCACGCTGGAAGCTGAGCGCGTGGCGGCTTTTTTCGACGCCAGCACCGTGCGGGGGGCCGCTGCCAAAGCTGGCGACCTCAGCAAGCAGCCCGCCATCCTCTCTGTGGAGGGCCGGACACACAGCGTCCAGGTGCGCAGCCTCTGCTCACATGCTCCTGAATGACCATCGTTTGCCTGCACATATGGAAGTGGCTCAAAGCATCTATTTGGTGTTGGTTTTCAGCAGGAGTTCTTTTTTCTGAAAATTTCGCTCCTGCGACTGTAATTTTAACAGTGGAACAGCAGGTCTGCCTGATTGCTCATAGGATGACAAATGATGGCCTGGGTCATCCCGCACTACTTTTGCAAATCCTGCAACAGCTAGCATGCAACTGTGTTGTGCTGACTGCCGCAGATCCACTACCTGGAGAAGCCCTGCTCGGACTATGTGCGCGCGGCGGTGCAGGCGGCTGCGGACATCCACCGAGAGGACATGCCCGGCGACATCCTCATCTTCCTCACAGGTGCGTTCCCTCCACCCTACAAACTTTCAGCGACAGGCTGCAGTGGGAGAGTTGCATGTGAGCGCAGAGTGTGCTGGCATTGGCAAATGTGTACCTCTGCTTCACAAACACTTATGTCGTCTTGCTCGGGCTGAGAGCAAGGTTCTTGATATCACGGCAGATGCCCTTTCGACCTACTGTTGTGACAAGAGATTAATCGACTGGATGAAAGGCTGCATATAATCCAACGTTACATGCAAACGGTGCAATCTGTGCGTGTGCGCAGGGCAGCAGGAGTGCGAGGACTGTGTGAGCATGCTGGAGGAGGAGGCGCGCAAGGTGCGTGCGGGGCGGGCCGCCCTTCGGCTGATGCCGGTGCCGCTGTACGCCGGGCTGCCAGCCGCCGCACAGCTGGCCGCCTTTGAGCACTCGCCCCGCGGCTACCGCAAGGCACGCTCAAAACCTCCATCACCATGTATCTGACAACTGTTTCTTACCTTGGAGGCCTATAAACTCCTTATTGCACTGTGCAGTAGCTGCTCTCAGATGGAAGCAAGTAGCATGTTTTAGTTTACCCCCCTTCCATCAGGATATGCATGTCACTGTGCAGTGTTTGTGTGCAGGTGGTCGTGGCAACAAATATTGCCGAGACATCGGTGACGATAGACGGCGTGGTGTATGTCATCGACTGCTGCCATTCAAAGCAGGCCTCATACAACCCGCTCACTGGTGAGCACCCTAAAGAGAAAGACCATGGCAATTGACTACACCACTTGCCCCCATGGGCAAAGTTAAAATACAGGGTTTAGAAATACAGTGACAGTCTGTCTTCGATGCCCTTCCAGCATGCAACTTGCCCCCTGTCTCCCATCAAAGGCTTTGCACTGTTCAAGCCGCACACATTCCAGCACAGATTAGAGATGGCTAGAAGTTTGGTGCGCATTTGTGATAAGAACGAGATATTGCTGGTGCCAGGGCTGGAGTCACTGCTGGTGGCGCCGGTGTCAAAGGCGAGCGCCTCGCAGCGGGCGGGTCGGGCCGGCCGCATGCGCCCGGGCCACTGCTTCCGCCTCTGCACTGAGGCCGACTTCCAGGCCCTGCACGATGCCACGGTGCGCCGCCATGCCATCAGCAAATAATCCAGGGAGAATGCACAAACATACAGGACAGTGTGAGCGGAAAGAAAGGTGGAAGGGTTGCCTTGCGGTTTATGTGTAATGCGTGCAAACATACAAGACGTCCTCAGCCCAGGAGCATGATCAACCACAATGCAAATGATCCCCTTCACTGCTGCTGCCTGCCATTCAGCTCTGGCTCAAACTTATGGAGCTGGCGGAGTCCTGTCGAGCAGTGTTCTGATCAGCAAGTGGAACGCAGCTCGACGGGACATTGTCCACATGTTTGATCCAAGACAAGCAGATACACATCTAGTTCTCGTGCCTGGCGCACCGCAGATGTTCTGGGAGGCACATCATTTGTGGCCTGCAAACAAAGTGTAGTACCAGCAGCAAGGTGGTCAGGGTTGCATGTGGAAAAGCATGTGTCTAAACTCCCAATAGCAGTAGAGGGGTGCATTGCACTAAAGTTTGTAAATTTCCCTGTAGAGGCAGTGCTCATCCGCATGTGGTGCGCAGGTGCCGGAGATGCAGCGGGCAGAGTTGTCGGGGACGGTGCTGCGGCTCAAGGCGCTGGGCGTGGACAACATGATGACCTTCGACTGGCTCGCGCCCCCGCCGGCCGAGACCATGGTCCGTGCGCTCGAGCTGCTGCACGCCCTCGGCGCCCTGGACGCCTCCGCCAGGTCTGCTCTAGTAAAAAGTTTGATTCACTGGCAGTGTTTAGGCCCAGACTGGGAAAGTGCGGACGGAGTCACAGGACGACGCAGAAGGCGATGGAAATGGTTATGGGTCTGCGGATAGGCACTGGGCTCTGCGCTGTGGTGACGGCCCAGGGCTCTGCATTACGTGCAATGCACTTTCAATTGCAAGTATGCTCAGAATGCAGAGCGGAAGCACAGTGGCCTTTGTGGTGTTCCATCCATGTGGTTCCAGTGCGCTGCATGGTCATTAGAAGGGGCTGTTCACAATATGCGTTCTACGGTAGTTTAGGGAGTGAGCCTGCTGGGTGCATTTTTGCATGCACAGCTTCGTGATGTGTTCTGACGGCTCAGCAGTCTGCCTGCCTCATATGCAAAATAATTTCTGCTTGAGCACTTTCTGCTCCTTTACAGATGCAGAGCATACGCGCTAAAGGGGCTGTGTGGTACATAATACATGTGCATCAGGTGTGCTCTTGCATTGACAACCTGGGATGTTATATCTGGGGGTGAGCCTATTGGGTGCAAATGTTGTGTGCGCAGAATCATGATGAGTAATATATTGGGTGCGCCAGGCTGTCGAGGCCGACGGGGCAGCAGTTGGCGGAGTTGCCGGTGGATGCGCGGCTGGGGGCGGTGCTGCTGGCGTCGGTGCGGCTGGGGTGCTCGGAGGAGGCGGTCACCGTGGTGGCCATGCTCAGCGTGCACAGCGTCTGGGCCGGCGCCCACGGCGAGCGCAAAGCCCTCGAGGCCGCCAAAGCCAAGTACGCCCCAAACTTGATTGAAAAGGTCACTGCGCTGACGGCAGCGTCGAGTCTTGTGCCGCATCAGAGACCCGTCTTGCACGTTCTTGGGTAAAGCGATGCCTGATGGTGATGATGATGGTTGTTCACTGCTCCTCGGCCTCTCAATGGCTGATGGCTGGGCTGGGATGCTGTGGCTCTGTGCCCCAACCTGCCAGGAGCAAAAGAGCGGTGAGATAGCATGTCAGCAGCTATCATCACTTTCTTGAGGGACCGGCTCAGAGCTTGTCGCTGTGATATATTACATTCCGCGTGGATTTCAGCTCTGTCAGGATTGAGGCTCAAATCATGGGGCGCAGGTTTGCGGTGGGGGAGGGGGACCTGGTGACCTACCTGAACGTGTGGAAGGCGTGGCAGGACTCGGGCCGCGACCGAAAGTGGGCCGCTCGCAACTTTGTCAACCACCGCACCCTCCTGCGCGCCGCTGACATCCGCAGCCAGCTCTGCCACCACCTCAGGTGCGGCCACAACCGCTCTCCTGATTCCCTCTGCGCTTTAATCTCTGGATGCCGGCTGCAACTTTTATGAGATTGGTTGGGTGCTCTCAATTGGGGTGGCTCCCGAGCTTACCCACCTGACCTATCCACCGAGTCTGCTCCTGCCTTGTGTACCTTGCAGCTGTCTTCTTAAATTTTGCTCAAGGTGATGCTTGGCGTGCATTTTAGGCGTGCACGTCAGGCGTGCATTATGAGCTGGATTATAGCAAGATTGACTGTCTCAAGGAGGCATCAGTGGTTCAGTGCTGATCGCCTCCGGCACCTTTGCAGATGCAACATGCCTTTCAGCAGGCGCATCTGCAGGAACGATGATGGCAGCTTTTGACGTGCGGCTCCGTGCAGGCGGCTGCGCATAGCGCTGGAGTCATGCGATGCTGAGGTGTCGCTGCTGCGCAAAGCGCTGACAGCCGGCCTGCTCATGAACGCGGTGCAGCTGGTGGACACCGCCAATGACATCAGCGACCCAGCTTCCGCCGGCATCAATGTCTACCGCATCCTGCGCAGCACGGGACCGGGTAGGTGCCCCTGAGACTGTGCCTCAGCCTCTGCTTGCTCATGAAACCTCGTGTGGCGTGCTCATATATGCATGCATGCTTCAGAGTCGGCAGGCGCAGCCATGCTTGCTTGGCTTGCCTTGTGCACCACGGCTTTGTCTCAGCCAAAGATTACTTGCACAAGCACTTGCGCAAGCTTTCCATATAGAGTCTTGTGCTGTGTTTGCGCACATGCATGCTTTGGAGCTTGCAATCCTTGGCCATCCTGCTTAGCCGGAATAGCGATTTTGTCCAAGTCTGTCTGTCCTCATACAGTGCTGTGATGGCATCTTGCCGCAAATGAGGAGTATGCAGTGCAATTTAGTGCAACTGATCACCTTCGGTTGCTGCAGTGTATGCAGTGCAGCCTGGCTTTGTCTCAAGGGTTGTTTGGGTGATTTTCTCTACCGGATGGTGGCTGCAGGCCCGCCGCCCAAGCTGCGGATACATGCATCGTCGGTGCTAGCGCGCACGCGGCCGCAGTGGCTGGTGTTCTGGCAGATGCAGCAGAGCTCCAGCGGCTGGTTTGAGATGCAGGAAGTCACTGCCGTCGAGCCGCACTGGCTGCCAGAACTGGCTGCCCATGTGTACAGCCACAAAGGAATTAGGAGCTAACGTGTCAATAACATAATTCATGCGCATTTCATTGGAGTGCTCACTGATGAGCTGACTCAAGCACTCGTGCAGGAATCGCAGTTATGTGAGAAGTGAGTTGCACTGGCTTGAAGACATGGAACTTTGTGAACTTGCTTGAATACATGGAACTTTGTGAACTTCTTGAATGCAATTGGAATGCAATTGGTGAGCAGGTTTCAATGCCACCAGTAAAATGAATATAAATCCAACACGTGAGGCAGTTCTGAGCTCCTGATCATGCAATTTTATTTACACAGATTACGGACCCAAGAGCTGGCATGAGCAAGTGCATACTGCCATATGCATACCGGAGTTGTAAGATAAACCTCACCATGCTTACCAAGTCTCAAATTAGCCAAGCAGCATCTGCACAGATATGGCCCCTAAAAAGGAATAAGCATGCATTATCATGCATGCGGGCAAGATTGTCATAATGACGCCATTGCCTTGCAGGCCTAATTGCTTCACCGGGTTGCACAGAGGGTATGACAGGATTGGGATCAAATTCACCACAGTGACACCCCACAGGGGAAGTAATCTCTCATCATCAGTACAAAGTCCTCTTGCCAGAGAGTTCGGACGCTGTTGGAAAGAAAAAGACCTGCGCAGAATGAAAGAACTGGCACAGGATGCTGTCAATTGTGAACAGAAGAAAATGAGCATACTGGCCAGGTCTATATACACAAGATGCAGCCAGAATGGATACCCAATTGATCCCAAGGGCGCACTGCAGGTGTCCTCAAAGTGTTGGAAGAGGAATAATGTTGACAGTATCGCAGGAGGCAAGGGCTCCATTATTGGACATCGACAGATACACGGCACACCAGAACATCTTAATACCTGGTGCCAAGACGCCGAAGGGAAAAAACCTGAAACACCATTTCGGCTTTCCTATTTTGACAGCTGCCAATTGCAGGCCAACAAGGGGAATGCTGCCTTGATGTGTGGCTCTGGTTCTGAGATGCCCTGTCAAGTCCACAGAACCACTCCACGCCGCTCTGCCATTGTTTAAGATCCTTGATACCTTTGGGCACCAAAATTATTCATCTGCATGGCAGGGCGTCTCCTCAAATTCGTGCTCTTCAGCATCAGAGTCTGCCACAGAGCCTTCCTCCATTTGCAGCCCGCCCACATCGCTGTCATCACCATCATCGCTGCTACCGCCCACCTGAACCCATCAAGATATCTTCTCAACCCTTCGCTAGAATATTTGTTGTGCTAGGCCAAAAGCCTGTTATTCCACGTTTTTCCTCCCAGAGGCAGAGACGTCTGCAGACAAGCTGCATGCAAGGCTGCCAACATTCTACCCTTGTTGGACTCGCCAAGCAAGACCCAATCAACCGTGGTCAGTATTTGTACCGCCTCCACCCAGCCGTGGCCACACCGTTTTTATTCGTGCTAGGCATTTACCTAGGCCTTCACTTCAAAACATGCACATCATGCGCACCTCATGCCACGCAGACACGGACAAGCAAACAGATGGACAGAGAGAAAGTATGATTGGGAGCGGCAGCAACGAGGGGGGAGTCCACCTGCTCGGCGCCGTCTGAAGACATGAGGTCACTGTCAGCCACATCGTAGACGCTGTGGATGTCTGCATCAGCCTCCCTGAACTCCTCCACCTCCGACAGCGGCCCTGCACGCACAATGTACCGCTAAGAGTTCCCATCTTACAATACTCTGACCTGTCTGCTCAGCTGACATGCATGCTCGAGGTACAGTCACATGCCGCTGCCACCCACTGACACCTCACGGGTCCACCAGTGCCCCTTCCTACTGCCATGCAAGTTGCGTAGCAGCTGTTCATAACACTCAGGTCCCTCATGCCATATCTGCACCGCAACCCTTCCAACTGCAACGAGCGGCAGTGTTGCTAGCACGGGGCGCAGATGCGAGAGCACATGATCACCCTGTTCTGCAAGGGGCCATTCGGGAGAGACCAGGCCAGACCAGGCCAGACCAGATCAGGACTAGGGGGAGGGATCAGAGGGTCACCGAGGGGAGATGAGGTGGATGTGGAGGGTCGGTCGGGGGAGTCGAGCGCGGCGGCGGACATTTTGCGGCGGATGACCTCCAGCATCCCCTTGCTGCTCCATGTGGCCTCGGTGTACTGCGCGTACTCCGCGGCAACCGCCCGCGTCGTCTTGCTCGCCACGTCCAGCAGACTTTCCCCCTGCCCCGCCACACACCAGTTGTTCCTTGGCACCGGGAAAAACCTACATATTTACCATTGAAATCTTGTAACGGCCTTCCCAACAAAGGGTTCTTAGAGTCGCAGGGAGCTGCCCATCTGTGGCATCCTTCTCAGAACCCTTGCGAGAGAGATTTTGATACGCCAGTGGGCACACAGTAAGCACAGAGCACAGCAGGTGCTCCTGCCACATTGCAATAAATGGCGACTTTCCTGACCGAGCAGCAGGGGCCTTGAGACACCCTGTCTATCTTTTAAATAGTCCAGGAGCTTTCCATGATGGGCGGCATTTCACATCAACTCATGACATTGGAAAGACTCCTTGCAGGATAATTCAGAGGACAGTAAGGAAGCGATTAGGGGGGCCAATGACGGCGTCAGGCGGACACGTAGTGAACAAATGAGTCTGAGGACTGCAGGAGAAGGCGCACCCGGGCCTGGCGGCGGAGGCAGCCGATGACGGTGGCGTGGATGGTGGCGACGGAGCGGTCGACGTTGGTGTTGTTGACGGAGGGAACGGCGTGTCGCTGCGCGCGCGCCACCAGGTACTCCTGGATCGCACGGATCGCGCGCATGTACTTTACGTACCGGTTCTTGCTCGGCTCCAGCGCCATGTACTTGGCGCGCACCTGCCGGCAGCACATTGTCAGGCAAGGCAGTAAAAACGGACTGTAAAAGCTAACATCAATGGCATGGCAACGCTGCTGTTTCCTGGTCCTCAGCAAGGAGCTTCCCTTAACAGCCAACAGAGCAGTAAAAAGGACCTCACACACAAAGCTCGGCACTGCGCATGCAGTCATGAAATGGCCTTACACATCGCATCAATTTTGTACAAATTTCTAGTCATCCTGCCTTGTTGAACGTGCTGTAGCCAGGTTATTTTTTTCTGGGTATAGTTGTGCCAGGCATATGATAGGAATACATTTATTCCAATGATGGGAACGGATGATTGCTGCACCGGACAAGGGGTGGGAAAGCAGTGCTGATAGGATGTGGTCAAGGGGCGGTACCGCGAAGCGCTCGCGGTGCTTGGCCTCGTTGGAGATGTGGATGAGGAAGGGGAGGATGGAGGGGTGGCGCTGCATCAGGCGCACCACGCTGTTCAGCGACAGGTGCACGCCCTCCACCACCAGGCTCTCCTTCCTCCCCTCGTACGCGCCGATCAGCCGATCCAAGCTCTCCAGCACCATCTCGCTCTGCGCCTTGTACCCCTACGCACCGCATGGCTCCTGCCTTAAGCATACTGCAGCCTAGGAAACAGGTGACCTCCTGTTTATCAAGGCACCTAACGTCATACACAAGATGAGCGCACATTCAGGGCTTATCTGTTGTCAGCACATTGCGATTTTAAGACGACATCAGCAATGCAAAGTATTGCAAGCGCTACACAAGATCCAGGCAGGACTCCGTGAGGCGCCCGAAGAGAGATTGGCTAGCAAGTGAGGTGACCTTGATGGTGCGCTGCTTCACGGCCTGGTTGAGGCTGCTGCTGCGCGGGGGTGGGGTGGATGCCTTGCCGGGCAGGTCCACCGGGGCGGCCGCCGCCGGCCGCACCTCCTCCAACTCCCCCACATGCTGGCCCGCCTGCTCACCGGTTCCACTCGGTGAGTCACTCAAAAGCAAGGCAGAAATTGCCCTCTGCTTCTATAAGTATGCTCTGCCAGTGGCTACTATCAGAAAATCTAACAATGCACATCAAGGTTGGTTAACCTCGATTGCTGGACAAAAAGCATTCAACACCAGTGTCATACCATGCAATAACTGACATAATGTCCGGGTCTGATCCAGGCTCCATGGCCAGGCGCTCCCAGCACCACATGCAGGTCCTGGTGTGGTTGTTTTCAACCAGAGAATATGCACAGGCATGCAAGGCAGTAAGCAATTCTTAGAACAAGCCTGCTTCAACGGAGCCATGTTGGGTGGGGCGTGCCTCGTAGGTGGAGGCCCAGAGCAGAGGGTTGGCCTCCTGCGGCGTGAAGCTGCGCATCATGTTGCGCACCGAGTCGGTGGACACGATGGTGCTGATGCCCAGCCTGGCTGCCAGCAGCCCTGCCAGCGTGCTCTTCCCTGTCCCGCTCGTTCCCGCCAGCAGCACAGTCACACTCCGCCTCTGCTCCCGGATACTGCGCACACATGTGACACCCCTTGTCACTTTCCATGCACACTTCAGGGTGTGTTGAGTGATGTGCTGAACTATGCTCGCTCCGGCCTTTATGCTTGGCATCAAACAGGTCCTACGATGCACGCTGCTGAGCTGCCAAGGGCAAGCAAGCACACAGCAGCGCGCTGTCCTGAGAGTATTACACTTTATGCATGCAGACCTGCATGCCAGGCTGAAATCTTCGCTGGCGAGCAGCTTGTCGGTGTACTCCCTGATCTGCTCCATAACCAGCCGCTCCCACTCCTCCCTGTACAAGCTCACCGTGGCTTTCCTGCATGACATGCACAGAGAACATGCTGGAGCGACGACCAGTAGTATCATTGTAGCTGCATGATGTTTGATAAGTAGAATGGCAGGGAAGAAAGTCAGCCGACACATCGCAGACAGTGCACCAACCTGCCAGGGAGAACCCCGACTCGGCCGTCCAGGTTGAGTATTTGAAGGGCATGGGTCCAGATCAGGCCATCCTTGCTATGTAGCATGTCGTTGGTCCCGTTTGATCCAGCAGTGGCATCTATTGTTAATTTTGTTGTGTCATATCCATCGTCTGCTGCAGCTCCTCTCAGCTTCTTGGCCATACTCTCGAAGAGACTTTTGCTTGCCTGTGGAACATGGAAAGACGATGCTTTAACAAATCTTGTTTCATCCATAGACACTTCTGTACTCAAAGAACGTCCCTTCTGCTCTTGGACCCTGGGTGCTGCAACAAGAAAAAGTTGCCCTCTTCTAGTGTTTGCCAGACTCACCTTGTGAGCAACCCTGGGTTTGCACCCCATCAATAGAAGAGTGCTTTTGAGCAGAGCGGCAGTGTAACGGGCAGCAGGTTGCTGCTGAACCTCTTCTTCTCTCCTGAGTCCGTTACCGTTCGTTTCTCGCCCAGGACAGCTTGCATGCTGGTTGCTCTCCACCCTTGTGAAGCCCTTAGTCGCAATATCTGTCGACTGAGTATTCAACTCAGCTTTCTTGTCCAGAACATAGATGTATGCAAGGCTGGGGGCAGCAGTTGACTCTTGATCGCCCATGGCCACCAGGGACCTTGGATGCGATCGCCACCAGCCCTGCCGTCAAAATAAGCCGCTGAATAACTTCCACAACACAACAGCAACGATGCATTTCAGCTCTTGATCGTGCAGGAAGCCACATTGAGGTGAGCATCTTCAGTTAAGCGCACATGGTCACACGTGGCGAGAGGAATCTCTCACGTGCTCTCCATCCCTCACAATTTTAGCAGATTTTAGTGTGTTCAATGTGTCATTCTATGCATAGTGTGTGTACTGTAAGTGCATCATGCATATGGTCCCACTCTTATGGCGAGCTCGCCACCGGCACACGTTTGCTCAGGCTGTGTTCTGTCACAAAAGCCACTTGGCAAGCTTCAAATTACTCAATCTAGTTGGAGATTGAAGCCGATCAGAACATCGAGAATCACCGTACACGAAATTAGCAAATTAGTGCTGGTCGAGGTCGTATCCAGCTATATTCGCGCTGGCGGTTCTAGCCAGAAGCAACTGACTTCCCGCTGCAGTGTGCACTTGGAAAGTGCCAAATCTTGCACTACCATGATTAAACTAATGTTGCAACATCATTTGAAGGGCTTGCTCCATTTAGAATACTCACATCCCAATATTCAGAGACATGCATTGTCAACAGCGGAGAGCACAAAGGATGTGACTTGACAGGGCTACATAGCCCGCTTAGCACGCCCTGTGCCCTTGCCATCCACCTTCTTGATGTACCCAAAGTCGTCCAGGATTGCTCGTGCAGCATTGTTGATGTGCGTGAAGCGGGAAGGACCCAACAGGACTCCCCCAAACCAGCGAGACACCACCACTATCACATTCTCAGCTCCCACAATCGTCAGCAGCTTCAACAAGCGGCTCCCCGCTGCGCTCTCACCATCATCATCAAAGTCCTGCAGCCATAGCATGCCTGACACCCTTGCTGACTTGGAGTGTGGCTCATGCATACAATGAAGCTGACGAGTGCAAAATACATAATACTGCAAAAATATGGAAGTTGTGCACACCTGCAGGTGGGTGTTGCTGTCGGGCACATGTATCCGGTATGCCATGATATTGTGAGTGGCGCGCTGGACTTTGTTGTTGGTGAGTAGGGCAGACATCACAGCTTCCACATCATGCATTGACCTTACAGGGGCCAGGTGCGCCTGCATGGCAGATGTGTGATGATCCTAAGAGTGGTAATTAGGAGTTTGTGCAGTAAATTATGGAACACACTGATGCTGCTTACCTGGAACGTGGATTTGCGTTCTGTGAAAGGCTCCGCACTCTTGATGATGTCCCAAGTCTCCTGGGCAAGATGGCAGGGCAAACAAAGTCAGCTAAATGCAGCACCGAAGAGCCTTCCAGCTGTGCGTTTTGAGTGCAATCGACTCACCTGCGCTCGCCTCTCCGCCTCAGCATATTCTGCAGCTTCCCTTGCGCGAGCTGCTGCTTGACGCCAGTCTGGCTCTTTCTCTGCCTTAGCGGGTGTCTCTTCAACCGGCGGAGCTTCCCACAGGTGTGGCTGCTCTAGCAATTTTGATGCCCATGAATACAGTACCACCTCTCCTGTCACAGATTTTCACCCACCCAATCACTTTAATCATCTCCTTCACTTCATGTGGAGATCGGGACATCGACGCCAAGTTGGGGTGATGCATCATTGATCTTTCCATTATCCTCCCAATTGCGCAAGCGTTGTACCCTGTCTGTGCACTCACCTCACCTGGCTCAAACATCCTTTCCAGCTCTTGCGCTGCCACCCGACGCTCATCGTCAGATGCACAGCCACCATACAGCTCAAAGACAGGCGCTGCACTGGAGGGATAGGTCTCTGGGAAGTGAACCCGCAGAGTCAATTTGTGGGGATTGTCCTTGTCTGGGACGTGGACCTAGCAGATTGCCACACGTTAGGGGTTTTCAGGTGTAACAGAGTAGAAGGGCAGCAAGGGTGCAGCAACTGGCCCTGCGCAGGGCACACCTGCAGACGTTCTTCAGAAAGGACTTCGCAGCTATCTCCAAAAATGGCCTGAAGGGCAAAGACCTCTTCCTGTTGTTGCTGCCTATTCTCTGCAAGGCCAAGAAATCGTCGTACGTTTCGTAACAGCGATCAAAAGTCTTTTGACCCTGATAAGTCAATTAAATTCTCGTCCCATCACATGAGTACAACGGCACCATATTCAGCTATGAGGGGAGCTCGGATCTTCGAGATTTATTTTGAGTGTTACTGTATCTCCTCAGAGGTTCGTGCTCGTAATTGCTCCATGGGATGGCCTTCTTTTCCAGTCTGTAAACTATGTCAAAATGACCCACAACTCACCTTGGCTTGTCGCAAACGACATCAATCGCAGTGCTGACTTCTGAAATCGCCCTGTAATGCATTTGATCAGTTCACATCCATGCTTCCATACCATCTCATGAGTATGATGAGTCATGCATGGGGTGACGTCATAAACTCGAGGCTCCTAAATCATTAGCATATCTCCTTTGGCATAATACATGGAGCAGTAATTCGTTCAGGTTGATGTAATGAATTGTAGTTATCCCACGTTGCTCTGCTATTAAAAATGAAACCATTTGGACACATGCACCATTCCGATGCATACCATAAGTGCCCTCTTGCAGGCCGCCGTGGCGAACGATGAAAGTACAAAAGAGACTATAGACTACCTGACAAATAATGTGCTGAATCAATGTGAGACCAACTCAGATGCGCAGCTTGATAAACAGGACAAAAGGCCAGAGTTTTTCCTGTCAGAGCCTTCATGTTCGTCGGCAGAATTCGCCACATTCTTTCTCAACCATATCAGGGCCCAGGCTCAAGGCATCCTAGCCGCAGCACAAATCGTATGGGATCAGGAGCAGCAGAAAGCTCAGAAGTTGACCAGCAAGCCCAGTGGGAAGCTGCCCTCTGGTTGGCCTGATGAAACGACCACTGAGGTCCGCAATGGTCACAGGAGACCCAACAGCAATGCTCATCAAGCAGCACCACTCCCAGCAGCAGATCCACCAGCCTTGGACAATGACAGCTTCCCAGCCCTTGGGAGCAGCTCGGCCCAGAGCGCCAAGCATGGCAAGGTAAGTTTTGGCATTTTTCTTCCCTTTACCACCATTCTGTGGGTCATTGCATTGCTCTGTGGCGCCCAGTGGCTGGCTCAGTGCTCCAGCTGAACCAGTGCCTCAATATGGAATAATTATATCCGCCCCCTGCAGGCGAATACAAAGGTGCCAGCTGGAGCGCTCATGCGGATCGTCAGTCAGGCGCCGCTGCAGGGGGCCGACAGGTCAGCAGGCAGCGGCGCAGGAGGGTCCAAGCGCAGGCTGGCGCCCACGCCAGTGGCGCAGGTGGCTCGGGACCAGAACTTTGCCGCCCAGCAGCAGGCGGCCACCGAGAAAAAGAAAGGCCCGCCCCGCAAGCTCGCACCGACACCGGTGACGGCGCATGCGCCCGAAAAGAGCTTCAGCAGTGCCGTGTCCTTTGCCTCTGACGCGAGCCAGCCACAGCAGAAAAGAAATGCAGAGAACGGATTCCCAGCGGCCTCTGCCGCTGGATCAGGCAGCCTGCAGACGCCTGCAAAGGCGTCGTATGCTAGCGCCATGTCTTCCCCGACTAGCCTCGCCGGCCAGCAGGCAACAAAGCGGCATGGCCCAGCCACGCCGAGTGGCTCATCCATGCAGCGCAGCACAGGAGGGCAGGCCAAGCAGCACACGCCAAACGGTGAACAACAAAGTGCATGGAGCACCCCGCCAGAGGGGGGGAAATCTGGCACGGAAGAGGATGCCCTTTCCAGGCGCATGGCTGGCTTGGGACTGTCATCCCCAGCGCTCAGCAAGTCCCGGCAGAACTCAGCATCGCCGTGGGGGCAGCAAAACCCGTTCGTAAGCTACTCGGAGGGCTTCTCAGAGCAGGCGACGCATGGCTCTGCGCGCCCTGCTGGCAGCAGCAGCAACGTAGGAACCAACTTTTCAGGCCGCGCAGAGCAGCTCGGGGCACCGGTGTCAGCGCAGAGCTGCGTGGGCAGTAACGATTTGCTCATGAGCCGCTCCCACGTGGCGCCTGCCACTCCCGGCTCAGCAGCAAGCGTCACGAGCAGGCTCGCAAGAACGGACGGTGCAGCGTTTCATGCGCATGGTCAGCTTGATAGCCCCGCCGCGCGGTGCAGCGGCAGCTCGCTTACATTTGCGGGAACGCCCCAGGAGCCCGGCTTGCCTGCTGCTACCAATCAGCCTGCTGAAGACCTGCTCAAGGGGGCTTTAAGAAATGGTGATGTCAGCGCCGCGCGCGATGACGGTGGCGTCACTGCTACTGACATCAACGAAGGGCCTGCCGCGCTGGCGCCGCACGCTCGTCGCACGGCGGCGATTCATGCCGTGCTGCTGAGCAGTGCAGGCACATGCTCGCTGGGCGCTGAGCTGGAGGTCCTGATGCATCTGCTAGCGGTGCCGGCTGAGGTTCAAGTACATGCGAAGCCTGAGGAGCCGCACCCTTTGTTCTCGTCAGGCGCTGTGGCGGCCAGCTACGCCTGCGCCGTCCTCCAAGATGCCGGTGCGCCTCCTCTTGCCTTCAAGGAGCAACTCTATAAGTGTCCGCCGCGTTGTGAAGAGTTGTTGTTTTGCTGTTAGGCTAAGCGCCAGCGAACGCCAAAGCACCTGTTGACAACACTAGTGTTCGATTCATGCAACCTGAGAGGCCCTGGACCGTGCGGCGAGGCCAGGATAAAGCGTCAGACAGCAGCGCATTCTCAGCAGCGAAAAGATCTTCTTGACTAATTTTTTTTGCGACATGTCAAATGACCCAACATCCATTATGGTGCGCAGGTCATGCGGTGGAGGGCCTGAGCGTGCCTGTCTTGGACGCGCTTGTGGGCAGCCGCCAGGTGGCGCAGCAAGCGCCAGATCTGGCGTCCCGGCTGCGAGCAGTTTTGGACCGCAGACGACAAGGAGACGGCGGCGCGAGCCGCGCCTACGAGCAGGGCATCGCTGGCAGCGCATTCGAGCTGCACGCCTTCACCAGTGACGGGCTGCAGAAGCGCAGCAAGGTAGATATACCGTAGTCTCCTGCTAGCTTCAAGGGGTGAAGCACATTGCCAGATGATCTCTTGTTCAGACTGCAACCAGCACATCTCATGGGCATCTTTTTTTCTTTTAGGCTCGAGGGTCAAGCAAGGCCCTGTTGCAGAGCCACAGTGCTCAATGCATGGTTTGATAATATTGGAATGTCTGAATATGAATTGGTCAGTGATTTTGGAGTGACGATCCCAATGTAGTCCCATCTTGACAAGTCATCCTTGGTCGATATGCAGCACAGTTTACAGATCAAGCCCATGATTTCGATTCAACCCATTTGCGGCAATATTTAAAATCCTTAAGGCCTAAGGGAATCTCAGGGTATGTTCAGGAGCCTGTGAGTGCTGTGAGGCAATGAAGGGTGACTTCAATGTCACGTATGGCAGGAGGAGCAGCAGAGGGTGACGAACCAGGAGGCGGTGAGGGATGAGTGGTTCTGCCTGCTCAAAGCAGCGCTGGCCAGCGCCAGCCCGTTGGGGCGGCCGCAGGAGCAGTCCGGCATGCAGAGCCGCAGCGGGCATGCCCTCATGGACAAAGGCGCGCCACACAATGGCCTCTCACAGTCTGTCTACATGAGTTTCAATAAGTCAAATCTTAATGGGGCTGTGGTAGCCTGTCTGGGTGCATGGTCATTCCACTGCGTGAATGGAAGCACACTCCACCAAACTCCTATCAGATTTAGGCTCACTTCCGCGGATTGTGCACCAGGGTGTACACTTGGGGTTGTTACCTGCGCTTCTTCTAGCCAGACAGGCCTTCTTCTCTGTCACTTTTGTACGAGAATGGTGCGAGCCCTGCATAGACTAACAAGCATAGTGCCACCGAGTGCGCAGACAGCGAGGCTGCAGTGCTGGGGGTATTGGTGGAGGGAGCGGGGCGGCTGCTGCGCGGCGTTGCCTCCGGCAATCTGCGCGCGTTTGCGCGGCTGTTCTGCGCGGCCGTGCTTCAGGCGGCCGCCACGGGCGAGGCGCTGCTGGACAGCGAGCTCGGCGCTCTCGCCGCTCGCAACCCCTCCCGCTTCTCCCGCCTCAACCAGCGCCTGCAGGTGTGTCAAATTCATCGGCTTGGGAAGATGCCGGTCTGCCCCTATACTTGGCTGCTAAGCTGCCTGTGAGATGCTCACCGGTGTCTCTGCACTACCTGAAGGAGTACTAGAGATCAGTGCTGTTTGATGCAGTGCAATGTAATCGAGCTCAGTTTATCCCAGTATCTGTCTGCCGGAAGATTGTGTTGCTTGCCGCAACTCTGTTGACCTTCTTACCAATTGATAGTCATGCGGCAAAGGAGAAGATGCACATGTGTGAATGCCACAATATGCTGAAGACCAATAACAATGTGTGCAGGGACAGTCGGGGGCATCAAGGGGCGCGCCGCGCATGCAGCCGCCGCTGTACCGCTCGCGCAGCCCTGCAGCGTCCCAGCATAGCGCCACGTCAGAGGCCGGGTGGAGCCAATGCAGGCCGCAGCAACAGTACCCCAGGAAGAAGGCAGCCAAGGGCCTGGATGACGGCTCTGCTGCCTCGCTGGAGGTGGCTACGATGTTCCCTCCCGCACAGCGCCTCTTCGTGCTCTTCCTGGAGGCCGCTGACAGCCACCGCTTCAACACCCATCTTGCTGCGTGCGCCACCCTCTCTTACATGCAATACCCTGACGGATCAAATGCAGCCTGTTGAACAGCGCTGCAGGATATTCCAATATATTAAGCTAGCTTGCTGAGACAAGCGCATCTGAACAACAGCGGAGGAGAGTAACACATGGAGTCTGCTGCTGGGCATGCATGGGAGCAAGTGCAGGACTCTTCTATCGAAGCACCCATGTTGGCATTGAGTTTGCGGTGTGGAGTGGGCACCTAATTGCGCGTCACTGATGACAGCTGAGTGAGGACTGTTGTGCACAGAACTGACGTGAGAATTTGACAACAATGGGGAGATTGCAGGCATGAGCACCGCTGTGCATGCGAGGGAGCAAATTTGGCAATGGCTTCCCCTCACAAATGAGCAAACTGCCGCTCCTTTTGAGGGATGCTGATGAGGGTGGTGGGAATGCGCAGGTGCATGCAGGAGCGGATGCAGGAGCTGATGGCTGAGGCGCTGACGGAGAGGGGGTCGCGCACCGCTGCCAAGTGCGAGCAAGCCCTCGCACTCGCCACGCTCGCCGCCTACCTCTCCTACCTCATCTTCGGTGCGCGCCATCCCCCCTAGATCCGTACTCCAGTTTGCACTGCTCACGGCTCGTGCTGGCCATCATCTCATCACAGGTCTCCCTGCCCTGCTGGCTGGTAGCAGCACCCATCATTTGGGCTTTCTGGCAAATGTTCTGAAGTGCGATGTTCGGTGAGAGTCATGCAGGGTATGACTGCGTGCCACTTGCTGTGTTGCAAAATACCATCTGAGCACTGTGCCCAATGTTGATCGGGTCTTGCATGGATTTGGCGATGCCATCAAGGGGTGAGATGTGTGGTATCCTTTACCTGCAGCTTGTCTGCAGGCGCACCTTGCCTTCGGCAGGAATTGTGTGATGGAATAATTGCAAAACGGTAAAGATGTCGTTAGAAGCTCAAGGGGCCTATGGGTGCTGCAGGCACGGCGGGTGGCAGCAGCGCTTATCAGGTGCTGGATGTGGAAGGACCAGTGCGCGCAGCGGCCCAGAAGGGGGCGTTGTTGTGGACGCTGCCCTGGGTCAACTGCTACCTGTGGTTCCTGCAGCCGGCAGAACAGACACCCGCCCCTCTCAGCCCGCGCTTGCTCACACAGATGTCGCAGCTCAGGTGGGCTGCCTTTTTGCAGGAACATCTCCTCCTGTGGCAACTGCAGGAAAACAGCAGGCGGCCAGCTGTGGGTTCTTTTCCTGGGTAAAAGTAGCATTACACATTATCCACCATGGCATCGGCAGTGCTGCTGGATTGCAGGGAAGAATACTTCTGCCTGGCATGCTAGATCATGGCGCACTGTTCGGTACAGCATCTGCAATGCAGTTGGGAATGCAATCCTAACCAAATACTTGGAAGTGCTCGCAGGGCCGCAGCAGCTTTGAAGCCATCGCATGAAGCGTTTGGGCCGGCAGCGCTGTGCATGAGGTGCCTCCTGGATGAGCTGCTGGAGCGAGCGGGCCCACCTTCTGCTGACGGCAGCACAGGGCCAGACCTCCTTGAACTGGTGCGTTTGCTGCTCCATCATCAACACCTCCATGTGATGTCATGTAAGGCAAGTTTTATACATCGATATCGATGCCATTATTCTGGATGTACAATTTGCACATGCTGTGCCTATGTGGGTACACAGCGCTCATGGTGGTTTGTGTGTGTGCTGGATCAGGTGCCATGTGAGGCTTTTGAGAGCAGCCTGGCGATCGAGGGCGAGCTGGATGCGCGATTCCTGCTGCTCTGCACTCCCCAGCTGGAGCAGGCCCGCCACGCTCTCCAGGCATGCATCATCCCATTCCTCTTCTACCAGCACCTTTGAGTTCTAGGGACACCTGGGCCATGTTACTCTTCCATGAGATACTTTTGGATTGAGCATGGCTTCGCTCTGCGGGATCAAGGCTGGTTTCGGATGCATTTGCTTTTTATTTTGCATGAGCTACTGCTGTTGGGCTATGCTGGGCTGCAGCCGGGCTATCTTGTCAGCGTGATGCATATGTCCACGCTGCTGAGATGGTCAGTCTGCGGTATGCGTGGACCAACAGCAATGCATTCCTGTCCATTGTGCCACACAGGAAGCTCACATTTCACGCCTTCAAGACCTAATCCCTACAAGGTAGCGCCAAATTGCTAGAGTATGTATGATCTGTTATAGTGGCTGCAGGCTGGGTCAGCAACTGCAGCGCCGAGGGTGAGCGCGCCGATGCCCAAGGGGCTGCGCAAGATCACGCCGACGGCACCGTTCCGGCCCACGGCCGCGGCTGCGGCGCCGCCACCGGACCTGCCGCCGGAAATGGCCGCTGCGGTGGCGCGCTCGGCCGACCCCGACCAGCGCCAGCTGCAGAGCGCCTTCCTTGGGATGTACAGCAATCCCGAGTCCAAGGTGCGCTGCTTGCCTGGGCTTGTGAAGCAACCAGAGCCGTCTGACAAGGCAGCTTGTGACTGAAACAAAAGTGAGAGATGCATCGCACATGCTGGAGTCAAGCGTTTTCTCATCAGCATAGAAGGATACACTACCAGTGCTGATGTGCGAATTCTTTGATGACTGCATGTGTTGTGCAAATGTCATTGACCTACAGCACACTTTTGTACTTAGTCAGATTTCTGCAATTTCATGGTGTAAGATGGGGTTGCCTGGCAGGTACGCCTGAAGACTGTGGTGGACTTTGTGGGCGACATGCTGGGGCAAACCGTGAAAGCGGCTGCCCTGAAAGTGGCAGCTGCAGCCGCAAGCGAGGAAGTTGCGCGGCAGCTGCATCACCTGGTCCAAAGCTCTGCAGAGGCGCTCCGCACAGCTGGTCAGCCGGTCACAGCGGAGGCCGTCAAGGCGTCGCTGCAGCTGCAGATCCCAGGAATAAGGAATAAAACCCTCAAGAAGGTGGGTTGTCCGTGGCACGTCCGTCATCATCTGGCATGGTCTCCTTGCGGCAGAGTCTGTCGCCTGTCGACAATGACAACTACTGTGGCGGTACACCATTTTCACTGGCGGTGGTCAAACAATAATGTGGTACAGAGGCTTGCAAAGACTAATTTGCACTGCTGAGAGTGTGATGTGTCTGGTGGGTTGCAGGCTGTCAGAGATGCATGCACGAGTGCAGTTTGTCATGCAGAGGCCAGTGCGGTACAGGCAGTGGCCGCACTTGCGCTCCCGTCTTGGACTCCTGTTGTCATCGGAGCAGCCGCCGCCATTGCAGCGGACAATGCCGTTGCCTCGTGCGCGCAACAGCTTGTCACGGAGGTGAGCCAGCCTCTTCTTCCATTCCTCTGTAAGATCCCTTGATGTGATCATCAGTGACTGATATGTGTGTACGAGATGGGGTGTGACGTCAGGAAACTACTGAGTAGCGGCGGGTCCTGTGTGCAGGTTTCAAATCAGATGGCCTCGATAGTGCAGGCGCAGTTGGATGAGACAGTCTCTGCCAGACTGAAGTTGAATGCATGACACAGTGTTGTAGATTGAAGTGCCTATCAGAGTCTCTGTTGCCGCCTTTTTGTTGCTTTTCTTTTGTTTATTGATTTTCCTGGTTGTCTGCTGTTTGTTTGCTTGGAAGGTCTCGCAATGAAAGGTGCACAGCACCAGAACTCCTAGCTACGTAGCTATATAGTATACTGTACAGCCACATTCTGAATTAGGGCATGAAACAAGGTAGAATTTGCTTAGATCATGATTGGCCCAAGGTTGTATTGATAATGCAGTAAAGCAGCAGGAACATTTGCCCCAGCGGTTCTACACAAATATAAACAGCTCTTCTGATGCTTCCATACAGACAAAGCTGCTCAGCGAGCTGATCTATGTGTCCCTGCAGGGGAAGCTGTAAACCTCTTGCAAAACTGCCTTACAACGAACAATGGCAGTCATGCGCACGTTCCAGTGCACAGGCCGTGGTCACAAACACAGCCACTCATGTAAAACACTATGCCGCATTCATCAAGGCATGTCCATGTCAGAAGCTGCAACACAATATGTACATACGCGGGCAACTTACACTTCATATCCAATCAGCCAACACCATTTGATCATGGGTCTTCATTTCACACGTAAAAAGACACATGTGGGGTCCCCACAGTTTTGGCCCTGTGACTAACTTATGGGCATCTTCTTAGGCACCTTAAAATCTCAGCATCCCAAAGCAAAAGACAAACAGAAAACCGTATGGATGCATCTCAGGAGGGACGTGCCTCCGCATAGCATGGCAATGAGCAAAAGCAGCTGTTGGACGATCATCTACCGGCTTTGTTGCATGACCATCCGCAGGATGTCCGTGAGGGTCACAATGCCAATGGGCCGCGCCATGTCATCTACCACATACAAGCGGTGCAGGTGCTTTGTCACCAGCTTCTCCAGGATCTGCATGCACCAAGAACACACTCACTTGGGCCAAACTTTATTATCTGCTTTCCCTGAGGTCCCTGCTGAGCCATGCATGCAGATTGTGCTCCAATCATGAGAGGTTGCAGTCATTTGAAGTTGGAAATGACTAAATGGGAGGTTCCCGTCAAGTGCCGGGTCTCCATTGAGACACCAAGGACCTTAGTGTTCTGCAGACTCTGTAGTACAGAGAAGGAAGCACAGTATCATGGGGGGGGGGAGACATGCCTCCGCAAATGTGTCATTGGGTGTGGCAAGCACCAAGGCCTGTCCGACCTTGTGGCCCACAGAGGGCGACCTCTGCCTCAGCTCCCCGTTGTGTGCAAATCTGGCTGCTGGTGATCCAGGCTGCATTGCACCAATGCATTCATCAGTACAAATACAACAGGCCTCCTCTTGTGCAATATCACGGGGGATGCATTTGGTGAAAGCTGCTGGCTGCATGAGGCTGATTTGGACCTCTTGAATTGAATGGCATGCAATGTCCCGTGGGTTTGTGAGAAAACAAACACCTCTGCGTCTGATGTCTGCTTGACACCGGCGGCCGCTCCCCAGTACTCTGTGCCATGCTCCAGCGCCAGAAACTCAGCCACTGGCAGCGCCATCGAGCTGAAATGCTCAGCACACAGCGCCCTGCGCAGACAGCAATCACACATGAGCACTTGCAAGACAAGCTTTTATGTCCTGAAAGGGTGTCTAGATTGCATGCATGCATCAAGCAGCAATGCCCTTAACCCCAAACTTGCTGAACCTTCCTTTATCCGGCCTGCCAATTGCAGAGCAATGCCTGATAGCTGTCCAGCAGGAGAAAGTATCCTCTGATGTTCTTTTGCTGGCTGCAGTGTTCTACTTCTCTAGAGAACTTAAATGGTGGCTTGCCTGAGGTCTGAGAAGCTGAAGTTGCCGATAAGGGCCCCTTCATCGCTGACAACACCCACTCCTGCAATGTCCTTGTCAGCCATCAGCGCCAGCGCCTCTAGCGCGGCCGTGTCTGCCTTCACTGTGATGACATTCAGCTTGGCCCAGCCCAGCTCCTTCGCTGTCTTGTTCCCCAGGTCCCCCAGGAGGTCCCTGTGCTCGTACAGGAAGCTGCATGCACAGCCACTCTTCAACATGGAGCAGCACGTCCTCTTTGCATGCAACTTAACTGCAGGTTGCATCGGAGAGGTGCGCATGTGCAACATGTTCATGGAGCAGATGATTGCCTGGCGATGTCTGACTGGCTGATGATATGGGTGATCTTGCCCTCCTTGTCAAACAGAGCCGCCCGGTGCACCACTCTCTGCGTTTTGGAGCCCCCAAAGATAGCCCTGCAGACGGACAAAGAATCGCACACTAAGTGCGAGGAATTTGCATTTTAATTTGAGTCCACTTGGAATGACCAGAGTCTTCAGAGTGCTGGCGACAAAGTGCAGATCATGACAAGCAGCAGACATGACGCACTTGGTCTCCTTTGGGTATAGGAAGGTGTCATGGATGAGCTCATGCAGGGTCATTGCAGCTGCGCGGTTTTGGAAGAAGGTACCATCACCACCTGTGCTTCACAGGCATCTATCAGTGTGAGGGCCCGACTTTCACCATGCCTGAAGCAAGGGCCTCCTGTGTCTCTCATCAGCCTGTTGAAATTGATTGTTTCACATCAGGATGGGACAGTCACCTATGACTGGCAGGGACCGCAGGGGTCGTGTGGCAAAGTCAGTGCCCTTCTCCTCCAGGACTTGCATGCGTTTGAGCATCTTTGCATTGTGGACAATGTCATCATCAAGCTCTGCAGACAGCATCCCTGAGTCACTCCCTTGAACAGCAGTAGAGACAATAACGTGTTTGGAATTCTTGGTGAAGAATTTACATGCATTGCCTGTCGATTGGCAGAAGGTTGCTATAGATTTGTTTCGCTCTGATTTGGAAGTGGGGTGCATAGGTGGAGTTTACCTTTCAGGAAGGACACCAAGATCTGCACACACCACACGGCAACAATGAGTCAGAAACTTGCTCTTGTCTGTGACAGCAAGACTTGCAGAAATCCTATGAAGTACACCACAATGCAGACAGCAAATTAGGAACGTACGTCTCTGATGTCCACAAAGCAGACAACGTCTTGGCCTGCTGTGTTGGTTGTGAATGTCGACGGATCTACGCCTTCAGGAGGTCCAACAACTGGCGCTGAGAGTATCTTTCGCCCTGCGAGGGTCTGCAAGCAGAACAGGACGGGCTCTGAATATGAACCCAGTCGGAAAAGCTCATCTGCAAAAAAGGTCAGGTCCCGCAGCAACTCGCGGGCAGTGCAACTGATGGCAGGAGAATCGGGTGCAGAATTATACAGCTTTTAAAGAGAAGGTCAATAATGGACGTTTAATGACAAGACAAGTACTGAAATGGAGTAGTGACCTGCAAGGTAAGCTCGACAGTTGTTTCTTGTTTGAGCACCACGAGAGGCCGCTCTCGAAGAAGAGTGCTCAATTTAGTGCCTGTTGTCAGCTTCCTGAGCTGACAATCAAATTCCTTTTCCCCCATATTGCTGATCAGGCCATTCGAACCCTTCTGGTTCTTATGATTCTGGTAGATCGCGACAGATCCTGTCAAATGACCCTCAATGTCTAGCCTCCTGATGGGGATTTTTGATCAGATACGGTTTTGATTTAGAGCCCTGGGGAAGAGACTTCCGAAATGCAAATGCCACCTTGGCTTAATGACTCATAGGTGTAGTAATATCGGGATTGCTATGTAAGATTGTGGCAGACGCACACTGGTTCCAGTCGAAGTATTCATCAGATAGGTATTAGCTCCACTGGAGACCAGATGGACATGCAATGTCTCGACAAGCCGTACCTCAGCTAGCAAGATTTGTGCATCGAGGGCATGGATCGGGTGGTACAGACCAGCACATACATTGACGCAATGAGCATACGTTAATTCTCCTTATACCCATCAAGTTTAAGAACAGAAATCCTGGTGTTTTCTGTTGAGGGATAGCGTTTGAAGTTTTTGTTCAAGGTGCTGAATTCCACTATCCTGGCCCCTTGCTTGAGTGTGGTGTCGCATCGTCCCCGAATAGAGTCACTGCAGAATTGAAAGGGCTTGTGTGTCCGAGTGTATTATATTTTTATTCCAACGCCGAAGCCTAGCTTAGTACACTATGCCGTCGTGCAGAGCGTAGGGCATGTATTTATCAATACATGGCCCAAAAGCATGTGCAGAAGTGCTTTCTTCTGCATGTGGTAGTGCTTCTCTTGGTGGGTTTCGATACAGGAGCCCACGTGAGCTGCGTGACTCTGCCAGGAGACAAGCAGGCTCTCCTGGCATTCAAGGACGGCTTACAGACTGATGCTGTATGTTCCACATTTCCCAATTGTTCTTGTATGACATTCAGCATGCATGAGCTGGCGATGGTCCCTGTTCTGCCCTCTTTACCAAGCGTGACTGCAAGGATTAAGCCGTCAATCCTCGAGGGTGCTTGTCCTGCGCAGGGCCTCCTCTCAAGCTGGACTGCCGCCTCTGATCCCTGTGACAATGAGTGGGCATTTTTGTCCTGCAACTGCTCCTCTGTGTATCCTGCCCTCAGCGCAGCAGAGTGCAGCAGAGTCACATTGGACCCCAGTAGCCGGCGGGTGCTTGTGCTAGAGATCGGCCCCATTGTCAGAACCCAGGGACGCCAGCTTCAAGGCTCCATCCCAGATGCTCTGGGGAACCTCACAGAACTGCGCACACTTGACCTCCATGGCAACAACCTCGGGGTGAGCTGTCACCCATGCAACACCGTGCATGTGCTCAGTGTTGGTGTGCAAGGATGACATTGTGAGCTGCAGCTTTCAACATAGCAGAGGTGAAGAAGGCTGCATGTTCAGGGGACGCTGCCGGAGGCTCTGGGAAAGCTGACGAATTTGAGGCAGTTCATCCTGTCAGGCAATGCTCTCGTTGGTAGCCTGCCAGCCTATGTGGGGACCTACCCTGGAGTTGAAGAGGCCTGGCTCAGCCGGAACAGCCTGAGTGGACAGCTCACCGATGGCCTCTGCAGCAATCCTGCTGGGAGGGACACCATCCATATTCAGGCAAGTTGCTAGTATTGCCCAAATATGTGTACTGGGTGGATGGCATATATCCACGTCTTACTTTGCTCTGTCAAATGTTGCCGCTCATCGTGCAAGTCGTATAATTCAAGTTGGAGCTGGTGCCAAGTTTCTCGCGCATTGCTGGTTGCCAAATTGGTGATGTGTGTTTGATGATGTGCAGGGAAATGCAGGTTTGTGTGGCAACATCCCTGGCTGCCTGCTGTCACGCATACCCGACCTGACTGGCACATCCCTCATGGACCCAACAAACACATCCAGGAATGCAAATGGCGGTTTCTGCGATGATGCACCCCCGGAGTGTGACCCTGCCATGGGCTGTGGGTGAGCCACCGACTATATATAACTTCCATGGAAATATCTCATACACCGTCACCTCTTGCAGTTTTGGTAGTGGCCACTGTAGCTGTCATGACCCGTGCCTGTTTGTCTGAAATGTGTAGCGTCTATATCTAGCAGTATTTGCCAATGAGATTTGTTGAATCCTGGTTGATGGGCGCCATCGCATTGTGCAGGATCTTGGTGCCTCCGTACTGGACAAGCGTCATGGCTGTGGCATTTTCCTTCACACCCTTCACAGACAATGCGTCAGGCATCAGGGAATATGAGTGGGGCTTGGGCTCACAAGCTGGCCTTGATAATGTCATCCCATTCAAACCTTTCAATGGCACCACAATGGTGAACCTCCCACCAGCATCTCCCTTTCTTAAAGCCTTCATGCACCCTGTCATCCCTAAATTTCATCTTGCGCACAACTGTGAAGCTTGTGATGCCGGCATGCTAATGCACATGTCTTGCCTTGGTACCTCAACATGAGAAGGATTGTGCATGTTCCAGGTGGTGCCAGAGGTGGGCATAGCAGGCAAGGTGTTCAGCAACATGACGCTGCAAACACAGAATGTTTCAACGCCCTTTCAGAGCCTGCTGAATGGCATGAGCTACTTCGTCTCTGTGAGAGCCACCAACAATGGCGCGCAGCGCCTGACTGCAACTACCACCAGCGCCGCAGTCAAGGTACCTGCACTGACTTTCTGCAGACAAGTAGGTGCATACACAGGTTGCCAACACAGGTTGCGAGTGGATGTGGGTTGCATTTTTCTCAGCTGCAGCTGCTGGTATCTGCAGGTGGACCAGACAGCGCCCATGATGGAGAACCAGGGCCATGTCTACAACTCTCTAGACTGCAAGACCTCCTTGACACAGACTGACACCATAAAGTTCTGGTGAGATCTTGAGCAAATTTCTATGTCCTTGTCTCCAAGTGAGTCCCAGGCACACTGCTTGTAGCTGCCAACATGCGGAGATGATAGCATGCCGTCTGGCCCTTCAATCTGCAGGATATGCTGGGACCCATTTGTGGACAAGGAGTCTCCCATCACCTCCTACTCTTATCAAGTCTATAATCTTGTCGGCAACAAGTCTGGGAGTGACGAGGACATGCCAATCACATCTTCCGTCCCGGTCAGCCTTTCTACCATGGAAGCGGTGGTGGTTGGCCTGCAGCTCAAGGTGACCCTCTACCTTAATGCCAACGCACTCCTCAAACTTGCCTACACAGATGCCCTCAGTTTCCATACCTTGATAGCCTGGATGTTGCGAACTTGCATGTGCACATACCTCCTCAAGGGATCGTCAAGATAGTGGGTTAATCTGGTGAGACATGCTGCCCTTTGAGTCTGGCATGCTGGCAATGCAGGTGGGCAGCTCTTACTATGCAAGGGTGCGTGCGTTAAACGCTGCCGGGCTAGAGGGGTTTGAGGATTCACAGCCGATCAGAATTGAGGAGCAGAGCCGCAGCCTGCCGCCAGAGAAGGTGGCCGGCATTGTCCTCGGTGCTGTCTTTGGCACGGGGATCCTCGTGGCTGCCCTCACCATCTACCTCACTCGCAGCTGGTGCGTCCCATATGCTTGCTACAGAAAAGGCTCTTGTGCTCTGCATTGTCTTTTCCCCCCCTCTTACAACATCGCATGGAATGCGGAAAAAGGACAAAGCGGAGAAAGGACAAAGAGAGGACAGAGGGCCAAGGTTGCTGACAATCAAATACCTTGTATCCCATGACAGACTTCTTCATCATCAATTATGAATGCACGGTCAAGAGCGCTTGTTAAAATGTGAATCTGGGGGGTTGCAGGACGCAAGCCAGTTGGCTGCAGAGGCGGCAGGCACGTGACAGGGCGAAGCAGCTGAAGAGCCTGATGTACGGGCTGATGGCGCACATGGGCGACGGCAGCAAGCGCGCCATAGACGACCTGTGCAACGCGCGCGAGATGGCCTTCGTGGTCACCGACCTGGAGAGCTCCACCGCGCAGGCCTCCGCCAGTGCCGCCGCCTTTGCCAAAGTGCAGGAGATCCACGACACGGTGCGCACCCGTCCCTTTCCCTAATAAACAAGTCTTTAAGGGCCCAAAACGTCGTCTGCTGTGAACGCTGGCATGTCCTGCGCGCTATTTGAAGTGTGTTTGAGCATTGAGACTTTGGATCTGCTGTGGATTAGAGCAAGCGGCTGGATGTACTGGAGCGGCTTCTCTATTCTGCAGTATCTGTACTGGGCTGGTGCAAGGGGCAACAGCCCTCCGCCTGACAGGCAGGGTGACTTTATATCTCCGGCGTACCTCTCTCAGGTCCAAGTACGGGCCAGCTCTCTGGCCTGCTTCATTGCAGAGAATGCCAAAAAGGATGTGGGTGTTGGTGCGCAGGTGTTGCGGGAAGCGATTGCAAAGCACGGCGGGTACGAGATAAACACGGAGGGAGACTCTTTCCACGTCGCGTTCAAGAGCGTGGTGGAGGCGATCGGCTTCTGCATGGACGCCCAGTACAAGTTGTTAGAGACCCCCTGGACCCGCGATGTCCTCCGACTGCCCACCTGCAGGTGCACGCACCTGCCTGCACCTTCCGCCCAGCTTCCCACTCCGCTGCCCTGCTAATGCTCATTGTGATTTTTGAAATTTGTAAGAATGCAACTACAGTAGTAAAATTGCTCCCTTGCTCACCTGACTTGCCAGTTGTGACTCTGGTAGCACGTGTCATGCCCACACAAGACCTTTGCAGGAGCTGGGATGGTGTGGAAAGTTTTCAAGGGATTCATGTGATGAAGGGAAGCTTGTGTGATGGCTGCTGATCTGGGTGCTTTGGCTGTGTAGGGAGGTTGTGTCGGCTGACGGTGTGGTGGCATTCCGGGGGCCGCGCCTGCGCATGGGCGTCCACTTTGCTGCCGAGGGCACCGTCGCTCACAGGCACGCCTCACCAGACACCCCTCCCTCTTGTAACCCTGTATATATTTATCGGAAAAAATTGCAAACCAGACAACCTCTAGATGGGGCGCACTATTATATCATGCATAGCAGGGATGCGTACAAGACCGGCCTGGCTTGGGCAAAGGGGCAACACAGACACTTGAGCTGTATTTGCTCAAGTACCCAATACTGTCCCAGAGTACCCACCTTCCTGTCCACAGCCAAGGGCATAACCCTCTTTATCATGTGGCAGGAACAGTGCTTGCCGTAATAACAAACCAAGCTGATGTGCCACAGTGTGTGGGTGCAGGCTGCACCTGCTGACAAAGCACCGGGTGTTCAGCGGCCCGGGCTTCCAGCTGGCACAGGAGTTGGGCGAGGCAGCCAATGGGGGCCAGGTGCTGCTGTCACAGGAGGCCTGGGTGCGGCTGCGCGGCAGCATGTTTGCCGCGGGCTTCCCTGTTGTGGACCAGCTCGGCCTCTACAAGCTCAATGCCTGGCCAGTGCCCATCTGGGTGTACCAGGTATTCACTTGTCACCGAGTCACGCAGGCCTGCAGAGGCTGAGGGGTGTCCTGTGGCTGACCAAGCTTGCCAGTATTCACACTGTAAAAGCCTAGGAATCTGCAAAATGAGGCAATTTTTGTGTTGGCAACACTGCAAATCTGGTGCGTCCTTGTGTCAAGTAAATCCTGTGGTTCTAGATCAGTGAATGGGTGGAGTCGCTGCACATAGACCTGGAGGTCTCTGGGCCAGAGCAATGCCAATGAGATGTGCCCATTACTGTGGCTGCAGGTCAGGCAGCTGATGACTCGGCCGCTGTCCCGGACATTTGGGCCGCTGCGCAAGCTTGAGCTCGTCGAGCCGGGGGCCGGCTTCAATGTCACGCCGCCACCCCACCTGGGCGAAGCCAAGGTACAGTCCTGTTGACTCCTATTTTAAATGCAACCACCTTCTGCCCCGCCATGCAAGTTGTAGGATGAAGAGCGCATGCAGAAATGCTTGGGCCCAGAATGGAAAGAGAAAGACCTGAGGTAATTGACTTGTTATTGAACACGTCCGCACAGCTTCTCCACCAATTTGCCGTGAGCAACTCTTCTCTCTGTGAGTCCTTCTGGTGGATGTGAAGGATCGCTGAGGGACTTGGCACTGAGCATGAGATTCATAGCGGGAGCTGTGGCAGGTGGTGACCTTTGTGGCGGTGCGACTGGCGCTGACGGAGCAGCAGCGGGAGAAGCTGCTGGCGCCGCCGACGTCATCACGACTAAAGCTGAGCTCGGGAGGGCGTCCGCACGACCTGCTGGACACTGCGCCGGCGACGGCCAGGAAGCTGCAGGACATCGTGGCCATTGTGGCGCAGCAGTTCAACGGCTATGTCTTCAACCTGCAACCGGGAGAGGTCAGCTTCAGCCCCTTACCTTGCGCAGCTGACAAGCATAGTGAATAATTTCATTTGAATGCCAAAGCTTGCTAGGCAGAGCTTTTTGTTGTGCGAAATGGCAAAGTCTTCCTTGCCCCTATTTCGTACATGACATGGCTGCGCAAAGCAGCACTGCATCTTCATTGAGCCGAAGAAATTGTTGTTTAGGCTTGCGTAATGACATGCCACAGGACATAGGGCTGATCTTTTCTGCAGGGTTTAGATGGATTGACTCGTCGGAAGCACTCAAGGTTTTCCTGTCAATTGCACCTAGCCTCCTGACCGGAAAACCGTCATTCATTCATTCATTTATAAGTTTCATGTGTCACAGGGGCGCTGCATGGTGTGCTTTGGCGCGGCGTTGGACGCGGTGCGCTTCTGCCACGCGGCACAGGTGGCGCTGCTCTTCCAGCGCTGGCCCTCCGACTGCACAGCTGTTGTCGGCCCCACGCAGCTCACCCCCGACAACCGGCCGCTCTTCGCCGGGCCGCGCGTCGCCATGGCCGTCCACACCACACCCGCCCACGAGTGCGCCACTCCCAGCCCTGGAAGATGTTGGCAGTAGCATGTTTGGCAATTTGTGAGGCTCTTGTGTGGCCGCACAGTCTGCTCTGTGCGCAGGACAACCAAGTGCATCAGGATGCAGTGTTGTGCTCTTGATCCAGCTTGATCCAACCTTTGAATAGACAGAAAGAAAGAGAGGTGGATGTGTGCAATTTGTTGTATGAAGCGATAGGTGTGCAGGCTGAGGGGAAGTTTCGGGACTTTTGTAAGGAGGAGCTGACGTCTTGTTGTGGTGTGCAGGGAGGATCTGGCATCAAAGCCGCTGAAGGGCCCAGAGGTTGCCGACGCGGGCTTGGACGGCAGCGGGGAAATTTTCACAGAGCGCCTGGCGGACGTGGTGTGCGGCGGTCAGGTGGTGCTGTCAGAGACCACCTGGTCCGCCATACAGGACCAGATCCCCGGCCAATCCCAGGCAAGCACCAGATCCTGTTCTTATGTTGATTGGAGTATATTGCGGAGTATGAATCCGTCACCACCGGCTATTTGCCTTTTGGAGAGTTTGAAGCATTTTTAGACACAAGTAATTTGGCTGCTTGCAGCTGTCCATTAGGCAATTGTCTGCTCTGCTCCTGCCTTTAGGGTGCAAGCACTGTCTCGATATCATGTCGATGCACCCTAGACATCAATATGCATACCTGGGGTTCATGGGTGGGACTGTGACCTGCGCTTGCTGCTCCCAAGTGCACGGTGCATCATCTCTAACATGTGTGCTGTGTGCGACAGGTGATCAGCCTGGGGGTGCACGTGGTGCATGAGGCGTTCCCTGGCGCGATGCTGCTGATGGAGCTGATGCCGTCGCTGCTGGCGCGGCGCTCCTTCCCGCGGCCGGCCACCCAGCACTGCCTCGAGCCGGGCTTCCGCGACTCGCCCCACCCCTCAGCCGTCGCCCTCGTGTTCGTCAGGGTGGGCCCTCCCTGCATCTCAACCATCTGTCCATGCTCTCCAGCTCATAACTTGTCGTATTGCCGCAGCCATCATCTGCTCGTGTGTTTCCAGCCCTCTCAATAGGCACACACCATGAGCACAACCCTTCCCAATTCCCTCGAATTCATCAAACAGGATCCCCACGAGCAAGAAGCCTGTGCAGATGCGTACTGTTGCGGTAGCGCCCCTTTACTGCGATAAAGAGGGTCCAGTCTGATTCTGCTGGCACCGTCCAAAATAAGTCACAGGCGAGCATACCAGGCCTGTAAAGTTATCATGCACAGCCTGTGTACAAGTTGTTGGCGCTGAGCAGCAGTGGTGTGCGCGCAGGCGGCCAAGCCAGCGACGGTGGTGGCGGCTGAGAGCAGCGCAGCGGAGGTGGAGGGGGATGTGGTGGCCACAATAGAGGCATACAACCTGGCGCTGGGCCGCTACACGCGCACTGTGCGCGCGACGCTGCCGCACCATGGCGGCTACGAGTGCAAGGAGCCCGAGCCCGGCAAATTCACCCTCGCCTTCCCGTGCGTGCACCCAAGAAACCTCTCGATCTGTTTATCAGAGCGTATCTCACCAAGCAGCTCACAGTATCAACCTGTTTTTGGGAAGGAGACCCCATCAGGCCCTAGACGGGAGGCCGCACTTGTACGATTTGATGATATAGTGCAACTTTGGCCTCATTGTATAACCTGACGGGGCTTCCAGAGAAACAGACATCAGGGCTGTGAAGATCACGGTGTGCCTCTTGCGTTTTGTACTGATAGAGAATTTGCAGAACATAAATTCCATTTGAATTTTGAGAATGTGGACGCCACAGGACTCTGGAGGCGGCAGTGCGGTGGTGTGCGGAGCTGCAGCTGGCATTGCTGGACCTGGATTGGCCAGAGTCGATTCTGCGGTGGCCCGACTGCGCCCCAGAGGCCGACGCTTCCACCGGCGGCCTGCTCTTCCGCGGCCTGCGCGTGCGCATGGGCATGGCCTTCGGCCGCGCTCAGCACCGCAAGCCCCTCAACACCGGTGAGGCTGCTGCCCTGGCACATGACACACTGCTCTCTGCTGAACTCTGCTAAGTAAAATCTCTTACTCCCGCTTGTTCTTGCAGACAGCCTGGCCTGTCATGTAGTGTCTGAGCAGGTCTCTGTCAGAAATTGCTGTGGCACTGGACGGTGAGCAAGCCAAGGATGGTTCAACCGGTGCAAGAGTCTGCGCAAGAAATTTTTGAGTGTGCGGCATTCTAAATTGTTTTTTTAATAAGTATCAAGAGGGAGGAGGTACTTGATGGTGAGCACAGGCAGGCAGCGTGTAACGATCAATGGGAGTGACTACGCAGGGAGGGCGGATTACTACGGCGCGCTGGCGAATCTGGCGGCGCGCGTGTCAGCGCTGGCGGCTCCGGGGCAGATCCTGGTGGAGGGCAGCGCGGGGTTCCGCAACGAAGCCGCCTGGCAGCGCCGGGACGACGGCTGGGCGCTGCTGCCGCGGCCGGACCGGCCCAAGGACGAGTCAATCGCGGATGTGCCCATCGAGCTCGAACAGCTCGGCTACTACATGCTCAAGGCAAGCGTTCGCCGGCATAATTCTGGGAGTTCAGGTTTTGTTGTTGGCTGTTGATGCGGTCAGCAAAAAGGGTGATCAGCTGTACCTTCCTGCAATGTGAAGGCAGATCCCAGGGAAAGACAGCGCTGGAGACTACATATTTTGGTGACTCCAGCGGCAGTCATCGAGGAGAACATGAGCTGTAGCTATTTGCAATTGGAGAAGATAGAGCGTGAAAACACTTCAGATTCCCCATACTTGTGCAGAACGTAGAACACCACAGGACCTGTTAGTGCGCATCAGCAGCATACAGCACATTGATCATGGCTTATGCATGCATGCAGGGCATGGACGATGCAAAGCTGATCTTTCAGGCGGCGCCGGCCGGCCTGAGCGGGCGCAACTTCGCGCCGCCGAGCGCAGCCATGCGCGTGTCGTACATTCCACGCAACCGCATGCGCTTCTCCGTTACGTCCTCTTTCGTTTCCGGCACCAGCGGCTCCGGCGACTCGGGCCACTCCTCGGGGCTCCTGTTCCCCACCAAAATTGGCCACATGCTGCGGCTGCCCGCCCGCTCCTCCTCTGTGCGCCCCCTACACCTCCTCTTCGTCATGCCTGTGCCTGTGCTTGGATTCTAGCCTGCCAAAAGCATGATTTGCGGAGTGCTTTCCAGCATCATGTTGCTTCACATGGTCTCATGAGAGGTCCTGTTCTCAACAAAGCGCTGGTTGCAAACTGTATGTGTTTGCTATGATAAAGCTCACGTGATGAGCAAGCCGTACCAGAAAGCCAAGCTAAGTGCGCACCTTGCTCTTGCACATCTGATGGGTGGCGCCGGAAAGACCGTGTTGGCTGTGGTGCAGCATTCCTGCAAGGTGAAGAGGGCGGCCAAGTCGCAATCAGCGCTGCGCACGCGCTCCTTCCGAGGCGCGGAGCAGTCCGCCCCCTCCGAGCTCGTCATCCACCGGTGTGCAATTCTGCTCCATCTCTCCCTCTCACTGTGTCTTCATGCTGCATGCAGGACGGCATCAGTTTTTTTTTGTTCAGGAGCGTCCCTTAAATGCCTATTTCCGTTCTGGACTGTTCCACACTCTTTGCGGTGGAATGCGCACAACCATCAGGATCATAGAACTTTCAGCATGATGGTTGATTCAAACCTAAAAACCAACTCAAAACAAATTTGAGTTCAAGCTTGTCTGCTGGTGCAGGTCTCATCCGAGCAGCGCATCGCCGTGGGGCAGCTTTGCGGAGGCGATGTTCCGGCGAGTGCGCAGCTTGGGGCAGCCGCGATCCCCGTCGGCGGCCGGCCGCCCGCGCCGCGGCCGCATCAGTCAGGACCTCGAGCTCGGCAGCCCCTTCGACGACGCTGCGGTGCGCTGCCCCTTTCACACCAAACCCGGCCGGGGACTTTGATTTTACATACTTAGACTCCCCTCGAAAACCAGCGCGCGTGGCACTGAAATGTTGGGTGTTGGTGGACTGCGGAGCATATTGTTGTCTCCAAGCAACAAGATAGCGCTTATCTCAGGAGAGAGCTGCCTCGCTTGTGTACTATTGTTCTGGTATTGTGACCCATGGGATCCCTCTGTTGGATCAGAGAGGAATTCCGCAAGCAATTAAGCGATCATGCTCAGAAATCTTCAAGGACGACATGACTTTATTGGGCAAGTTTAGCCACGGGCAGAAGTCGCGTCAGCGCCCTTCCAATGCTTCTGTCATGCGGAGAGGTTCTCTCTCCGCTCCCAGGCTCCAAACTTGCCCCAGAGCAGGACAGTGGGTTCATAGTACCGTTGGAGGCCGCAGCATCTTGCTGCAACACCCCTCCAGCTGTCTCCAATAACCACGACATGTGATACTCGTGCATCAAATCCCTCCTCCAAGTGATGACACCAGCACTTTTAGGCGGCCCTCTACAGCCGCCCGGGAGACTCGCAGGGCTACCCAAGAGAAGAATGCAAGCTCTCAGAGGAATGCAGACATACAGGCATGTCAAGCGCCAGAGCATTCAGATTCGCAGACAAATTTGGGGCATTGAGCGCTGAGCTTTTTGTGTGCTAGGTGAGGGATGCCTTGCCGGGCTATGCAGCACGGCGGCACTCAGCGCAAGAGAGACAGATGTCGGCGGATGATGTGATGGTGCCTGTGGCGCTAGAGGCGGCGTCTGAGGAAGGGTCGCCCATGATATCTCCCTCGCCCTCCGGCAGCCTGCACTACGCCGAGGCATCCTCGCCGTCTGGGTCTGTGCGGCAACCTGGTGAGGGCCCTGCTGCTTGGTACACTGTTGAAGTGCAGCTGGGAGGACTCAGATGGACGCATGTGTAGCACGCCAGAAGAAGAAGGCCTGCTGCAAATGATCATGACGTTTCCAAACGCCACCATGCACAGCTCACTGCTTGGTGACTTCTCACCAGTCATGACTGGCATTTGCATGAAAGCACAAATATGTGGTGTTCTGCTAAGGTCTTGCATTGCCATTGTGCTGCATGAAGGATGTGAAAAGGCAATGGGGGTTCCTCACTCCTTGTTGTCTTTGTGGAAATTTCTGACGCTTTGATGCTGGGGCCGCAGGGACATTCATGCGGACGAGGCGGGCGGAGTGGGAGGAGCCGTCAGCCAGCAGCAGCTTTGACGAAGCTGCGCCGGCGGCTGCGGCGGGGCCAGCATCGGGTCTGGTCGCGCGCATGGCCGTGCAGCGCTCGGGGGCCGGGCATCCGCTCAACCGCTCCTGGAGCGCGTCTGACCGTGCCGGCCCATCCCCGCTCTCCGAGGCCAGCGGGCCCTCCGGTGCACACCTACCTCCCTGTAAAATCCTACAGTGCTTCTGCAGGATAGTAGAATGTATCTCATTAGACACTACTGCCAGTGCTCGGCTATGCCCTGGAATTGTAGCTCCCAAGGAAGTTGCTCACTTCAGGCCCCTCTTGTTGTGCACTGCAATGAAATTCCGGTGAGTTCCTCCGGGGCCACCGGTGAGATGACCGCTACCTGCTGTCTATTCTGCCAACAGGCCATGTCCTGACATTGCTGGCAAGGAAGCAGCTCTGTTGGCAGACGGCCATATTGGTGCCTGAAATTTATTGTATTCAGGGTGCTCCTATAGATTCCTCTTCCTTTTCCAAAGGCCATAGTTTTGAAATACGCATGGTGCGCGCTGGCAACAGGTGGCGTGCAGACGTCGCTGTCAGCGCCAATGTACGCGGGCGATACAGAGCGTCTGCGAGGCGGTTGCCAGTCGAACGACCCCGAGCGGCCGCCCATGCACCCATGCTCTGCCGGCAACAGCTTCACAACAATGGTGTGCGCTCGCACAGTTTGTACATGACCATGCATTGTCCCCAGCTCGACGCTGCCTGCTTCCCTCCATTGCAAAGTTGCTCAACCTCTGCATCGCGCCCTGCAGCGCATGCTATTCTCGAGCTTGTATCGATGCAAATTCCGTAGCTTTCGTGGCCCTCAATTTATGTTGGCAGCCGTGGACAGTTTCCAAAGTGCGAAGTGGGGCCATGCGCCAAGAGCCCGCCAGAGCTGCTACTCTACTCAGCTGGCGGCGTGCTGCAGATCTGCAGATCCTGATGTGGGAATGACTGGAGGGCGCGAGCCCGCTGCTCGCAAGTAACCACAGAGATTTTGCTGGGTTTCTCCTCTCGAAAGAAATTAAAAAAGTTTGCTACGCCGGGGCAGGACACGAGCCGCGCGCAGGTGGAGAATGCGGCGTACGCGCGCGAGGTAGCTGAGCTGTTTGCGTCCAGCCGCCGCAGCATCAGCGCCGCGCAGCTCGACGCAGCCGCGCGCTCCGCTTCCGGCTCATTCACCAGCGCGCCCGGTGTCAGCGCCTTTGCGCGCGCACGCTCGGCCAGCACCGGGCCCCCGGCCGGCGCGGCCGCCCCGCAGTCCCTGGTGCGCGCAAAATGCGGACCACCACTTGAATCTATACCCTGAATATAACCATGGAGGAGATCATGAAGAACAAAAGAGGTGTGCACGCCAAGCGCGCAGGATGTCTTGAATGTGATATGTGCGTTTTTGGACGAAACCTAAAATTTTGCCCTTCCGCCTGTATTGTACAAACCTGTTTGCAGTCAAGCTTTGTTGTGACTGATAGGTCAATTGAATAGTTGTGATGCACTGCTGGAGGCGCATGCATGCATGACACACAGCAAGATGCTGGCTGCTGCTGTTCTGGGTTGGTTTGAGGCCCAAGGGATTCCACTGGGGGCAGTGATGCTTTTGTTTTAATTGCTGAGACTCGTCGATGCAGAGACACATCCCTGAGCCCCCAGGCTCTCTGTCGAGCTCCCACATACCACCCTAAAACACTATTATAAGGCTATTGATATGAATCTTATACAGACTTTAGCATGAACGCCTTGACAGAGCACATCAGCCTGCTCTGGGTTCTTATTGTGTGTTATCCTGTGCCCCAAAGGCAGCACTAGTGTACTCCAGATCTTCTAGGAGGCCTTCTACAAGGAGAACCCACGGTGAGATTGAGCAGTGGCATGCAGGATTCCCAGTTGTTGCGGCAGCAGCAGCATCCCAGGAGCTTCAGCACGGGGGCGATAAAGCGAGAGGAGCTGGCCGCAGCTGAGCAGGCGCTGTCGGGTCCTAGATCCAAATCTGTGGAGGTGCGTTCCACCACTGCATGCCAATTGCCCTTAATGCCATGGATTGCGACTGTAAATTCCCCCTATCGCATGCCCCTTGTGCTCACTGCCAATGTCCATGACTGCATTCTCTTGAGAGCGCATTTCCCTCACTTTTTAGTAGTCATCGCATAGCAAAAGGGTGTCTCACTCTAGAGATGTTGATTTTGTCCATGCACTATGTTCACACCGCAAGGCAGCCCCTCCTCCCTTGTTGGCACTCGCATTGGTGTGTGTGTCTTGCATTCTGTCTTGATTTCAACAGACTTTTGAAAACTGAATATTTAAAAAGTGATATGACGTAAAAGCCCTGAGACATTTTTGGCACTTTTGGCGGCCTGTCTGTCTGGTGATTCTTCTCAGCATCCTCAGCAATAAATTTGGTTGAGATTTTGAAAATTAATTGCATGGGGGTTGCAGGTTGAGGCGTTAGGCAGAAAGCGCAGCATCACATGGAGGGACCGGATGGGGCTGTCCTCGGCTCCGCTCAGCAGCTCGTCAAAGGATGCACCTGTTGAGGTGTGCTCCAGAGAGCGCAGCTACCAGGGCTCCCTGCCAGACGTCCACGAAGAGGTGTACGCCCACATAACTTGCTCCCGCGCCGATTTTTCTTGTCAATGTGTCCCAGCTGTCACTCTCCTGTAGCATTACGGGCTGCTTACCAAGTGGTCGATTGGCTGGGGAACTTCCTCCCACATCCATTGAATACTGTGCATCACACCACTAGGGTGCTTGGCCTCGTCCCATGGCGCCTCGCTGATTTGCCGCCTGCGCCTCCTCCTTGTTGCTCATCAAGGTTCAAGGAGAGGAAGGAGAGCAGGCAGCCCACAAGGAGAGACGTTGGGGCAGGTTGTCCAGGGGCCAGAGATGTTCCCTTAGGCTCAAGAGTGCCTGCAATGCTTGGAAGGCCATGGAGCTGACATGTTGGTTTGTTGTGGGTGGCACAGATGGAGATGTCAGGAGCGCAGCTGGCCGGGACATTACCTAGGAAGCTGGCTCCGGACCGTGAAGACAAATAACACATTTTGTCAGTGTTTATGTCCTGCTCCTGAAGGGAGTCGGCTCGTAGAACACCCTTGTAGAAGTATGTCCGGTAGACTTGTACCATTATTGCTGAATTAGATGATGCAGAGCAGCTTTCCTTTTGAATTCTTCTGTGTGTGCGCACTATCCCCAGCAGGCTGCCTTGTCAAGAGCCTGCACGGGATATATGAGTGTGGAGGTGAAGTTATGCAAAGTCAAGATTGTGGAAACTTGTGAGCTTGAAAACGACTGAGAGAGGACATCAACATACTTTGATGTGCCATTGTGAATTGTTCCCAGGAATCCGGCGCTGTGCAGTATGCAGCATTAGTAAGATCTGTCTCCAGAAAATAGGCTCCTGACCAGACCAAAGCGGATGTTTCGCAACTTACATAGTAGAGAGTATATCGTGGATGTGATTGGACTTTTCCTGTCAATTCTTGTGCTTGCAAGATCACCATATATATGAGCAGTATTGTCCTGAATATATCTGCGCACACGGCGCACGGGCCCAGGGACTTGCATGTCGTTGTAATTTTTCCAACACAACACTGCAGAAGATGGATGCGGAGCTGCTACTATTGAGGGCGGAATGGGGGTAGAAGATAGTCAAGGTAAGCAAGAAAACGGTTTTCCCCATGGGGCCACTCCCCCCAAATGCAACTGGACAGGTAAATTTTGCACAATTTTATATAATAGTGAGGAGCAAAACAGGTGAAGGAGTAGAAATTTACCAGCTATGTCGTCAGATTGGAGCAGGATCTGCAAACCAAAGCTCAGAATCCACAGCAAGTAAATGGGGGTAGAAGGTGAGGTAGAAGCTTCCCATGCATGACGGAACGCCACCTCATGCTCTAGCTACATCCTTAACTTAGTATCTTGGAAAGGTCCTTCCGTACATCGACCCAGACACAGACTCTGGGGAAAGGCCGCTTCATGAAAGAAATAAATCGCAGACCGCTGTAGTCTCCTTGAGAAGGGTGAAAGCTGTGGCCTATATCATCTGTGTGCATTGACTTAAATCTGCAGCACCAGCGGGCGCTCATAGAAAAAACATTTTTATGGTTCAACCATAAGCTGACAATCACGATATCGGTGCTATTCTGTTACGTGTAAGGGACTGCTCCCCAAAGAGGGGACATGGACAGGGACCAGCCTATGTATGAGAGCCAAATGCTGGCACGAGCCAGAGCATCACCAGATCCCGTTGCATTCCTGAACGCACGTTTTCATGTCCGGAATCTGCCAAAACCCAAGGTCGATCGGGAGAATCAGATGGATGCTGTGACTGGAGCAGGAGGGAAGCATGAGAAGGTGCCTTTGCCTGTCCAAAGCAACAGTCAGGGGCAAGTGTTGATGTTGTCTTGATAAGTCAGGTAATTAATTTGCTTGATCAACGGCTTGCAGTTCGGTTCCAGGTAGTCAAGCTTCCTGGTCGTGTGGCCAACCCACGCAGATTGCAGTTATGGGAGTCTCTGTCATCCAACAAGACCTTGTTTGACGTCTGTCTGAGGGCAAGTGATCGAGAGGTGCGCAAGGATTACAGCAATCATTTTCATCGCGGATGTGACCTCTTATCTCCCTGGACCACCAGACAAGCTCATCATATCTCAAGATGTGCTCAACCTTCTGCACAAGCAATACACCTATATTTATATATGACTCCCCAGAATGTGCTTTCGTCTGTCACAGGTGGACTGCAACTCGCTGCTGCTGGCAGAGGAGAGCGTATTCTTCACTGCCAAGTTCTCAAACCCGGACTTTGGGGGATCCTCGAGGCTGGTGGAGCTGCAGGACGTGGATGGAGATACGCTGGAGACTGTGGTGGCAGCGCTGCTCACTGCCACCATCAAGCTGGACCGGGACAACATCGAGCGCTTCCTGCACTGCGCTGACATGCTCCAGGCAAGTCCAGCCCTCAACAGAACTGACCATACTCCTTGTGACCCAGCTCACGCCCCCTCAAGCTGCAGCACAGCACCATCCCCGTGCATGACCTCTCAGAGCCTCATATGATGGTCATGCTCAGGAACGAGTGCTGTATTGGATGCTTGGCAGGTAAATACAAATTATGACCGAAACTCTCGCCGAGATTCATCTTGTTCCACGCACGATATAGAGCGGCAGTGGACGTGTCTGAGGAGAACACAAATTTTTGACCCTAATCTCTTCTACAGAAAGTTCACTTCACATCATGCGTTACCCCAACGGCTGTGAATGTGCTCGCACAAATATCAACAGTCAGAGTGAGGGGCTGCATGTGGGTGGGGGTGCAGCTGTCGGCGGTGAAGGACGCGTGCTGCCTGTACATGAGCGACTGCCTGGACGAGGACAGCGCCGCAGCCACGCTATCATTGGCGGCCAAGTACTCCTGCGACGGCCTGCAGGCGCACACGCAGCAGTACATCGTGGCCAAGTTCCACTCCATGCGGCCTGATGCGCTGAAGGAGTGCACGCGCGCCGTCCTGTGGGACCTCATCTCCCGCGACGACCTCTCCCTCCACAGCGAGCTGCAGGTCCGGCTGCCTCCACCCACGCCATGCCTTCTGCTCCTTCCTGACTGCTCAAGCATGTTTCAGCAGTTCATGTTTCTATGTGCATCAATTCACTAGATTGTGTATTGTCAAGTGAGGTATGGTTCTTTGCAGCAGCATGTTGTATCATTGATGTTTCCTGAGCTGACAAGGACTGGCAGGAACCGTGCTCAGCCCGCGCCATCTCTTGTGCACGCATCGTGAAAATGATTGCACAAGGAGGGGTATGATGAGGAGAAATTTCATGTTGGGGCGCCGGCGTGCAGGTTCTGACGGCGATCACGGTGTGGTGCAATCACAACGGGGCGGAGGCGTTCATGCAGCTGCTGCCTGCGGTGCGCGTAGAAAACCTGAGCGCTTACGAGCTGCAGATCATGTCCCAGCACGGCATGGTCCTGGAACACCCCGCCGCTGTGGAGCAGTTGCAGGCAGCTCTTGCCGCCAGCCACTCGCCCGATAGCCCACCACGGGGTCTGACCCCCGGCCCCAGGTGCCTTTCTATTGTCATTCTTAAGATAAATTTATTGCCAGAGGCGAGGTGGGTATGCAGACACGCTGCATGTAACGGCTCCCAAAGTCCTGCCCCTTGCTGGAATTGCCAGAACAAGCAAGGCCCGATGACCGTGGGCATCGTGCTCATTATTTGTACCGCATTCCGCCAGCCGGGGCCTTTCTGTAATGCCCTGAAGTCAGGCATCGGCGCAAGCTGCTCGTTGTCTACATTCCTGCCCGAGAGTCACTTTTGTCGCAGGACTCTTAGGCCTTCTAGGATTACGAAGTTGAGACAAGTCAATTAGAAGTGCTCTGATCCTGGTTAAATTCTGTCCGACAAGGTCTTTCTGTCAATACCACCATTTGCTAGGGCTCTTGCTAGGAGAGGGGGTGGGCGTTGCATGTATGGATACTGGAAATATTGTGACGGGGGTGTCTGTGGGGCCACAGGAAGATGCGCAGCGTGGTCACAACGACGCCCTCCTGCAGCCGCGAGGCCGCATTTGTTCGGGAGCGCCGGCCGCCGCTGTGCCTCGGCGCTGGCCGGCTGGTAGCGAGGGTGAGCACATCTTTGCACATCCCTCCTAGGAACAACAGTCCCATGGGGCGTGCCAGCCAGAACAGCCTCACATTGCTTGTCCTTCGGCATGATTTTGCGAAGACTACTTTTAGCCTGCTGGGATTTGTTGCGAGGCATGGAGCTCAGAAGATAATTGCGCAGGCCTTCAGCTATGCTGGGTGCATTGTGGGCAAAAAGTGCGGGGTCTGTGGCAAAGAAGAGGGTGGCAGTGAGACTCAGAGCGTTACTGCGAGCTCTGGGTGTGGTCTGATGAGGGGGTGTGCTGGCGGCAGGGGATAGAGGGACCGCTGGAGCGGTACAGGGAGGCGCAGCGCGCGAGGATTTGCGACCTTCCAATGCGGGTGGAAGCGGGGCCCGAGGCAGCCCTGGTGAGCACATCGTGAGAGTAAATTCTACTCTACAGAGCTTCGAAGATTTTCTATACAGTTGCGCGGTGCTGACAAGCGCTGATGTCAGGATCTGCTGGGACTTCATGTGGTCTGCAGGGGATGCGTGGTTGTGGGAGTCTCTGGGAGGTCATACTGCCTCTCAGGGGATGGGTGATGTCAATATTACTTTGGACGGCAATGGTGAATGAGTAGTAATCAGTGACGTGGTCATGCATGATTCTAGGTACTATCCGAGGATGAGGCCGAGGAGGCGGCTGGGGGGCAGGGCCGGCGCATGGTGCGGCGGCGAGTGGCCTTCCGGCGCTAGCAGGCAACTCCTCGAGATTGAACTTCAGGTTCACAACCGTAACTGTAGCCTACAATTACACTGATTGTGCAAACATATCCACTCTGATCATGAACTAGGATCCAGCTTGTTGGTTGCTCCTGGCTGGCTGCTGAGACGACCAGCTGCTGTATCAGACAACGTTTGACATACGCACTGCATGGTTTGTTGCTTTGTTACCGGGTGGGCAGCAGAGGGCGGACCCGCATTAGCAGTGGGCGCGTAGATAGTGATGGTTGGACAGTTCATGAAAGAGCTGAGCATGGGATTGTTGTGGAAAACCTGAATGAACGGACTTGGTGCTCAATTGAGGTCAATTTCACCTGCCCACTGTGCCTGGCAGGCTGTATATAACTTATACCACTGACTTTGCAGTACGGTTTACTGTTGAAGTAGGATTGCACATCGCCAAAGCGGTCATTTGTGTTTCAAAATGGTTTCTGTGTAGGAAATGTATCCAGTGAATTGTGGGCAGCACATTACGTGCTCAGAAACTTGCCAAACCTAAGGCTCACCCGACTCCCACACACTTCCAAAGTTGAAAATAAAACAAGCTCGCAAGTGCGCTATCGGCATGTGCTCTGGCACGCCACTTCGCTGAGATTTCGAGCACACACACACACTGGGTGAGTACGAACCAGAGACAAAATTTGCTAAACCAATTGCAGTATCTTACACCAAAAATACATCCACCGGCAGAAGCCAGAAAATTGCTGAGCACCATATTCTGCACAAGGTCTGTGATGACACCTGCAGGGTTGGCACGCATATATATACATTTTCCTAAAAAGTACAGCCATCTTCTAAATGGCAGACACCAGGTATACATGTGTGATAGACACTAGCTAAAAAATGAAGCTCTGGAATTCAGTCACAAGAGCAAGTGCTGTCCTGGCTGAAGGACAATCAGCATGAAAAGTGTGAGGTTTTCACGACTCTTCTGCCAACTCGTCTGCAGACTCGCTGCACTTCTCCAGCTCGGCATCGAGCTTGCCAGACAGCCACAGGTAGAACATCCTGAAGTCTGAGCACAGGCTCCAAAGGGGATACTTGAAGGAGGCTGGCTTGTTCTTCTCCACGAAGAAATGCCCCACCCAGGCTGGTCCGTACCCTGCACGCGTTGGGCAATTTCTCCTTATGAATGTAATATCTGTAAACTCTACAAAGCTTCAAAGAATGCTCATTCTATGCTGGTGGCCATTGGCCACTAGGGTTATTGTGAGACAAATGCCCACTTGGGCAGACTTCTTAAAAGTAGGAAATTTTAATTCCTGCAACAAATCCATGTAGAGGGTCACCTGCAAGTGGGATTGCCGCCAAAAGGCGGGCGTCCTTCTTCACAGCAGCTCCGCAGAGTGCGGCCAATGCCAGGCCACTGCCCAGGTAATGCAACTGCCTGGTGTCGCTCTTGCTGTGCTCTTTGAGGTAGAGAGGCCAGAACTCATCATATGTCTTCAGGCGGTCCTTTCCGTTGATCCCCATTTCTATGCTAGATCAGAACACTTTGGACTCCGAATTATATAAGCTTCTCAAGAGATCAAGTAGGGAGAAAGAAATGATGCTCCCCTCTCCTGGATCAATCATGAATAACTACCAAGAACCAACCAAATGCCACCTGGACATGACACATGGGCAGAGTCAGAGAGCGGGGGGACCTTGGCCCTGGAAGCTCCCAGAACTCGCGCATTCAGACAAAGGATTCCTCTGAAAGGAAAGGAACATCTGCGTGCGTTGAACCTGAGGAGAATATAGTAAACATGGATTTCGTCGATCGCTTCACAAGCGGCTCGGCAGCACAGCGCTTCTCTCCGGACACCCTGTTCAAGTTCACTGACCTGTGAGACTTCTTCCTGTGGCTCTTTCGCCTGGTGGCTCTAGCGATTTGCGCAGTATTTTCTCTTGTTGATAGACTACCAGAATAGGCAATTAGGTGCCTGAGCTGGGTTGCTTATGCCGTAAACTGTTCTCTTGTTGCAATCTTATGCCTTGTAGCCCACAAGCTTTGCATCCTACTGAGGCAGGAGACGTATGCCTGGCCTGCAGGACCGTACCTGTTCAGAAGCACCTTGAGAAGGTCTATCTGACCCTGTCAGCTGCTCTGCTGATCGCGGCTGTTGGCACGTATGTGAACATCCTGACAGGGCTGGGAGGGTTTGTGGCTGCCATCGGTTTCGTCGTTTGCGCCACATGGCTGACAATGACCGAGCCTAACGCCTACAATCTGAACAAGCGGTGAGTCTTGTGATGATCACCTCCTTGTTGCTCTGGTCACTTGCTGGATCACCGTGTTTGGTCAACCAATCTCTCTGCAGGACCTGAACTAGTCATGGGCCATTGGCCTTGTAGGTATGCTCTGCTGGCCGGCGCAGCCTTCAGCCAGGGCTTGACTCTTGGGCCCCTGATCAGCATGGTCTTGGCAGTGCACCCCGGCATCCTCTTCACAGCTTTCTTGGCCACGGCTGCATCCTTTGCCTGCTTCTCAGGTGCGGAGCCCTATCCTCACATAACTTCCGCACCCCAGCTCAGCAAGCAATACAAGCAACAATTGTAAAGTCAATTTGTCTGTGTTTCTCTGGCAGCTGGAGTCCTGCCCAAGGCTGAGGCGTGCATGAGTTCCTTGAGCATGTCATACACCTCGCATTAGCAGATAAATTTCTGAACATGCTTGCCTGGAATGCCTGATGCTTGGTGGGAGCTGCTGGGGCACGTCTGTGATTGAGACAGGCAAATTTAGAAATGGCTTCCTGCTGACGTCAAGCATGCGCAAAATTTGGATCTGACAACCATGCACATGGTGGCTCATGTCGAGGCTGAGAGGCATGCGTGTGAGCGCAGGCGCTGCGATGCTGTCGCGCCGGCGCAGCTGGCTGTACCTGTCAGGCACGCTCTCCAGCGCCATGTCCATCATGCTGGTCATGCGCCTGGCCACCTGGATGTTTGGCGGCCGCGCGCTGGCCTTCCAACTGGAGCTCTACGGGGGCCTGGCCGTCTTCCTGGGCTACATCCTGCTCGACACCCAGGTGAGGCCAGCCCACTGACCCATGCAGAAGGGGGTGCTTTTGATATCCATCGGCTCATTTTCCATGTGGCTCATCAGGGCTCATGATTGAGCACACCTGGATGCTGCAGCACTTATGTGCTTGCACAGCCATTCAAGGCAATGCATGGCCTCTGTACCCAGGGCGCAGTGGGCCGCGACTCCCTCTTAACCTGATATTATGGAGGTAGGATTAGCTGTATTGGAAAGGTGGGCGGCTGCTGAGTAATGGTGTGCTGTGCAGGTGATCATTGAGAAGGCGTACCAGGGCAACAAGGACCACATCCGCGGCGCGCTGGACTTGTTTGTGGACTTCATGGCCATCTTTGTGAGCCTCCCTCCTCCTTGCCAACATGCCATTCAGCAGAACAACATACGCTCCTTTGAAAGTCTTAGGGATTGCCCAGACAGTGTCACCAGGAGGACGTCCTCGTGTGCAGTCCCCTGGGACCTGTTGCACTGACTTGTCAATGCTCGTTCAGAGAATGAGGAGTGCAGACATCAAAGCGAGCACCACAGACAAGGATCTGGACTGTCGCGAGTGAATGCCATGCAACGACGAGACACAGTAATTATTTGTAATGTGTGTGCTATTTTGCAGGTGCGCCTGCTGGTTATCCTGATGCAGAACGCTGAGAAGAAGGAGGAACGCCGCGAGCGCAAGCGCCGCTAGTCATCCTTTGTCGTCTCAAGCTAGCGATGACGGAGCCCGGTTGGTTACCAGCTGATGGGATGGATGGCTCCGGGGGATATCTTGTGCGCTTGAGCGGAAGGAGTCCTGTGTGACAGCCCCCGAGTTTGGTTTCGTACATGAGAGCATGTGAGGTGTTGTTTTTGTATCCTTAGTGCTCTGTCTTTGACAGATGCAAGGCAAGTCATCTGTACCTCCAAATGTATATTCTGAATTGAACTGAGTTCAAAGCTGGGACTCGCGTGATCATTTGCCTGTCCAGCCAAGTGGGTTTTCCAAAGTGTTTATGTAAGGATTGTACCTGCAATTGAGCTGAAGGCATGTGATGGGGAGAGTACATGCATGCATGCTTCGTATGTATACACTGTGCAATGTGCTGTGTTGACTCGTCAGCAATGCTGTTGCATATAAACATGAGGGGTTGGATGCATTGATGCAGTCGCAGCAGGATCCAGAGGCTGACGGACTTGCAGCATTTTCTTACATGACCTGATGCACAGCCTTCAAGGTTCTGCACAGTGACATCAGATGCAAGTTGAATTGTGCACGGCTGCTTTCCAGCAGCACGGCAGCATGTGGCTCTAACAATATGTACCCAACAATGTTTCTGTTCAGATCAGCTGCCAAACACTTGAATACCATCGAGCCTATGTACAATCGAATGCCAGACAATAGCACTCTGTTCAGGGTTCTACCTTGCTGGAAGGACTCAGTGCCTTGTTACTAACTTAGTAAGCAGTGCTGCATTGCAGAAATCAGGACTGATCGCAATTTTGCGCAGCGACAAAAGCCACAATAAATCAGCAGTAATAATAGCAGAGCACATCAGATATTCCTCACCAGAACCTAAAGCTTTTGAGAGCTACTAGAACTTCTCAAGGGGGCTCTCAAACGCTCCTGGTGTCTACCAGCAAGACATACTGTGGTGTCTCAGGCCTGTGCATTTGCTGGCATCACTTCCTGTCGTCCACAGGACGACCCCCTTGGGAATGATCTCTCACAGAACAATGTGAAATGCAAGGTGATATGTATTGTGTATCAGACGCTTCACATGACATACTCACACAACTGTTTCTTGGCACACTGCATGGTTGATGCTTCGTGTGCTCTTGCAGCTCAATCCTGCAGCAGGCGCCGGCCCACAGCCACTCCAGTGGTGACTACTGGGGCACCGGAAACAGCAGGGGTGGTGCCAGCAACTGCAGGGGGTGTTTGGGCCTTCTTCACGATGGGGAATTGCTTCTTCACCAAGGGGAACTTGGGAATCACAAACTTCTTCTTCTCTGCACACAGCCAATACACAAGAAGTAATGAGCCACTCATGCAGTACACTAATATGTGCAGGTTCTACAACTGACCAGCACTTGAGTGTTTGCCAGTGGGATGAGAAGCAAGGCAAGCTGTTGCTGTACTAGGACGACTGAGGGCACCGTGTGTCACATTGGGGTAGCAGCATGTTGCAAAGCTCCCACGTTCGAAGGATGCATAGTTACCTGCAATAATGGGCAGAAGAAGGCCTTGTAGCCTGCGGTTCACTGGGAAGGACTCACGCTCCACGGGTGAAAAGTCCTTCAGCTCGGCATCCGCCCCTGTGAACCAGCGTACAATGGTCATTATCCCAGCTCGAACAACTCACGATTCAACAACAACTTTTCAACCTGTTATAGCAGGCGGTTATTCATGCAGCAGCACCGAAGGCCGCCTCCCGATCGGGATCAGCTTCCACGATGTCAGACCATCAATGAACCTTGTTCAAGTGATCGCCCACCATTTTTCAACGAACAATGTCACCCTAAGCTTACAACACGATTGTCATGTATGGCGCGCTCTCCTCAAGTCCTGCCATACTCTTCGAGACTGGTGCAAACCTGCAGCTCCGAGGCCGACTGCCAGCAGCGCAAAGACGGCGAGGAGACTGGCGCTCCGCATTGTGCTTTCTCCAAGTGAAAGTTGCTAGCTTAGATTCTAATAACTCCAGTGGTTATGAAGATTTCCTGCTTGGAGTGCAGACGACACAACCCCACAAAATACCAAAGTGTGACTGTCCTAGAAGGAACTGCTTTCAGTACCTTTCATGCATGAACCGTGCTTAACATAATATCTGGCCGCGTGTCTCATTTTATATGTCGTCCAAGGCCACGAGGACCACATGCACGACTTTGTCCAAGGATTGACTTGAACCAATCTAGGCAGTCTCCAAAGTTTGACCGTTCGACGTAGATACGGCTTGGATGCAGGTGACTTAGCAGGACCCACGCTCACAGAACGAACAATATTCCATATTACCGTAGCAGCAATTGTCGGAGATTAAGTGATAAGCTGGACCAGAGAGACGCAGTGCAGTCGTGACTTAGCACCGACTCGTCAAACTCTCATGCATTCCGAGAACACATGGCTTTCTGTCATCGCCCTTTTGCATACATAACGAAACGCAAAGAATTTCGTTTGGATGCACGGGGCTCGCATAGCAGAAGTGCAGCCGTGCACGCTTCCAAATTTGCCTGGATACAGAGGCTTCATACTCGAGGTGAATAAGACCGTAAAACTCTAGACGTTTTTTTGTTCTTTCTTTGACCTGATCTTGATCAGTTGCCTGAGGCAGTGCTCTGTGCAGCAAACGTCAATGCCAAGGCAGGCACTGTGAAGGGGAGGAAGCAACATCGAGTCGGCAGCACCTTAGCACACTCATACAAAACGGCAATCTCACATTGGCCCTGACTGATCTGCAGCTTTCCCTTCTGTTTGCAGGAGCACCAGCGGCCGCTGCCTCAGCTATTCAGGATCTGCAATGGTATATCCATAGTGCTTGACCAGGTGCAGCAAGTCCCTTCCCCACTGTCACTGCCACGCAATATAGGCAATATAGGCAATATAGTTCATCCAATCAGCCCTAGGCGGCTGGAGTGATGTAATCTTCCTTCCTTCCTAGGCACCCCATTAAATTAACTACAGACCATCTGGGAGGTACGCTGCCTATCTTTGAGTCAGGCGTACGGATCAGCCTTATAGAGATAGAGATTGTCAGGGGAAGTGCTGATGTTCTTGTACAGGTGGCACCGGCAATCCCACAGGGACCTCCTGCGTCGGAACGAGCGTTGAGAGAAATACCTCCTACCAATATTCAAGAGGCCCAGGATACCGCTCAAAATCATGTGCAGACAGTGCAGCTGCCGGCCTGGCTCACATTTGATCGCCAGGTGAGAGCGAAATCAGATCAGCATTCCTTCGTCTCGTGCTGATCAGCTGCCCGTTGTATCTCTTCCAGTCCATAGTAAAGAGTCTCCAAGATTCCTCACGCGTGCCACAGAATATTGCCAGTTCTCAAATGCACAGACTGTTCCTCTGGCTACTGGAATCTTGCTGCCAAGGCAAGCTTCCTTAATGTGCTGGTGGCTGCGGTCGTGCTACTGACACTCTGTCCATGCTCAAGGATTATAACAGCACTTGTGGTCAACATTCAGGCTTCTGGTGCATCGCAGGTGTTGCGATTCTTTGCATACGTGAAGGAGCCCCTGTTGGAGGTTGCTCCGGAGGCGTACAGGGTGCGCCACTGCATCATGCTGCACCACTTGGAGGATGCCACGCTGGCGATCAATGAGCCGCGCCAGCCTGGCAGCAGCTTCCCTTGTGGGCCAGTCCTCAAGCGCCACAAGTGCGGAAGCGACTGCCACACAGTGCTTAACACACAAGTGTTACTGTGCAGCGCTGCACCTACATGCCTAGGGTTGTTTGCTGACATGGCAGATTGCCCCTGCCAAAGGCATCCTGCTCTTCCTCAGCCCATTTGTGAAACGGACGGGAAACAGGCTTGAAACGTCACTTTGAGAGAGGAACTTTCCGATGACTGATACTCAGGGCAGCAGTGTGAATGCTCATGCAGGTCGGATGTTCCTTTGGAAAGCCTCAGAGTGGGCTCGAGTGTCACGCTGTTCTCGAGGACGTACCACATCATTGCAGCAGATGCATTCACCAGAAGGTTGATCTATGTGCCTTGAACAAGACATGCATGACGAGAGGCCTCAAGATCAGGATGTTTGAGTACCGGTCTAAGTCTGCATGTGCTGAAGCAATGATGTCAGCTCTCTGGCATGTGCACATCAATGCTACGTTGCAGCCTCTTGCAGGCCCCACAGATGTGGCTGCATCACGCTGCATGTACACACTTTGGCCTCTGACTTGTTCTGGGTCTCCGGCCTGTGATTATAACACCAAATAAAAAAATGATGTTGCCTGTTCAGGTTTATGGAAGCACAGCGAACACCGTTGGATGCAGACATACCTGCGCCAGAGGACCCCCAGGAGCAGAGAGAGAGGGAACGCCGCGCTGCGGGCCTTAAGACCGCAGCTCAGCGGCCGCAGCCCGTAATGGACACCTTTGACGCTCTGCAGTTCTTCAAGAACGACCGGAAGGCACGCGCGCAGCAGAACACATGCCTGTCTTGTCATCAGATTCTGTGCATGTGCCTTCCTCGTAGCTTAGACCTGCCCAGCTTGACTCTTGGTCCTTTCTTCATGGCATGAAGGTCATGCAGCTTGTGTGTGTGTCTGCCCTTCGGGCACCAGCCCTTGCAACAAGATCCACGGGGTGTGCGACATTTAATCCGCAGGGCATCCATGATAAGAATTACATGCAACTGAAAGTATTACTTGGAGGTCGAGCTGGTGCCTCAGGGTCCAGCACAGGGAGTTAAGTTTACCAACCCCTACGACTTAGGTCTAAGATGGCGTTACTGGCGCAGGTGCTACGCTTCCAGTGCTACTGGGACGACAGGCTGGCGCTGTACGGGGACATGCGCATGTTGCGATTGTACTACTACTTGTCAGATGACACTGTTCACCTGGTGGAGGTTTTGCGGCCCAACTGCGGCCGAGACCCATTCCCCCACATGCTCCGCCGCATGCGCCTGCCCAAGCACCCGGAGCCCGTGGGTGTGGCGCTGTCACTTGGCTCTTTCAAAATGAAGAGATACAGACATATACGGCAAGTGAGAGGCATTTGATTCTGAATATTAATTCAAAGTTTAAAGTTTAAACATGCTTGGGCATGCAGCCCGGGTAACAAAATATCGGCCGTCAGCGGTCTCCAACTGGATCCAAAAGGCTTTGAAGGGTGAACAAGGGAGAAAATATTCCTGTACATCGAGAGATTGCAGCGCAATGAAACTTGTTGCCTCTGCTGTATTGATATGCTGAGAATGCTGTCATGCGCAAGCTGGTGATGACAGGGGTGATCACAGGTGTACATGCGCAGGTGCACGGCCATTGTCGGAAGGCTTGCGCATCACACCACCGGAAGCATACTACCGATGGCAGGAGCTGCGCATTGGCGGTCAGATTGAGGTGAGCTCTCACGGCAGCGCTCATTCTGCTCGGCTGTACTGTCCTCTCGCGGTATGATGCTCTCATGCTAGACTTGGCTGAATTTATGGAAAGATAGGAAGGCTGGTCAAAATGTATGCGTGTGTTTGACAGGTTTTTGGACGCAAGGTGATGATCTATGACTGCGATGCCTTCACAAGGCAGTGGATAAAGGAGCACTTGCAGCTGCCTGATGCTGCCTTGAAGCCCATGCCGGTAAGCCAGACATGCAGATTATGGCCTGCTTGCTCACACTATGTCGAGACTCGAAAATGTACCGAAATGAGGCCGCTGTTATCTTCTATGGGATCTATTCTAAAGGGATTGCTGTGCAGGTCCCCAGCGTACAGCATAAAATGTATTCCAGAGAAGTGCCGTCAGATGCTCTTGGTAAGGCTCTTTCCAGATGCACTGTCGAAATATCCTAGGCATGCAAGAAGACAAATATAGAAGAGAGCGTGCAGGGTTTGCAGATGTGCCCTGGGCCAGTGAGCACTTAGTCCATCACCACGAAGACATAGTCAGCCTGAGAGTAGCATATGCATGCATGAACAGTTTTGTCATATAAAGAATTTTGCAGGGATAGGATCGGACGAGGATTCCCTCCAGAATGTGCTGCGGCTGCAGCCCAAGCCACCAAGAAAGGACTTCAACAAATTTGTGGGGAATGATGGCAAGGTGCTGCGGTTCAGTGCTGTGCTGAACCCCAGGCCCGGCAGCAGCCCTGCAGATGCTGCCATTGACCTGGAGCGCAGGTAGCCTCACGTCCTCTGCCTTGATTCTGCAAAGTCCAAGGCTGTCACAAAGCCAGGCGTATCCATGAGATGTCCATATGTCCATGGTTCCATGCAGAGTCGTTTCGATACTGCCCAGTACTTATAATACACAGGACGACTGTTCAATATGGCATGCAATCTGACTATCATGGTCCTCTTGTGCTGCATATTAGATTTAAATCTGTCCTGGTGAAATTCTTTCATTACACAGGCCCTCTGACAAGAATTGCAATGGCGCTGTGCAGTTTTGTGGTGTCCTTCTTCCTGGCAGACAATGCTCTCCTCATCTTTGAGCGCGCCCAACCGAACAGCGGCTGGGTAGGGGGCAAATATTTGGAGCGGCGCCAAATTAGGAACCCGGCAGCTTCCTCTTTCTATGGCCCGCAGGACATGCGCGTTGGCGCCAAAGTCCATGCTGCCGGCAGGTCAGTCCTATTTCGAATTCATGTTCAATTTCTGCCGTTGCACATCCTTTCAGGCGAGATGGCCCTTGTCACGAAAGCTCATTATGACAGAACATGAATGTGTGTTTGCAGGACATTCAGTCTGACAGCGGCAGATGAGTACACCCGCAAGTACCTCGAGTCAACGATAGCAAACCGGGACAGGACATCTTCCTGAAGCAAGTGTTCGATGAACAGCAAATATATTTGTGAACTGCGCCATGCTGAGGAAGTTGATAAGCAAATATCTGAATTTTCTGCACCCACTGTGTCATTGGACAATTCCTGGCCAAGTGCTGGCTCTTCGCTGTCGATGGGAAGCTGCTGCCTTTGTAATCGAGTGACTCAGCACTCCAATCGGCCCAAACATGAAGCAAAACACCAGTGAGTGGGCTGTGAGCACTCCCTCTCTGAGCCCGTCCAGCCACACTTCCCTGCAAGCAGAAATGGCTCCACTGGCATTGGACAATATTGTGCTGCCGCTGCTGTGTTTATTCTATTGTGTACAGTCACACAAACACCTTAAATCGACGGTGTAAAGTCAATCAGGAGTCAGTCATGGCTGCTTGCCTGGCTTGATAGAGGTCCAGCAGCAAGAGATGCAGCCATGCCAAAACAGTGATGTTGGCTGACTGAAACATGGCTCCCACTTTTAATACCTGCATTGCTGCTCCAGTACTTATGACTTGGAAGCCAGGGAAGGGAACAGACATCGAGCAGACAATGGCATTTGTCTGGTGGGGCAAGGGCCTACATCCGGCAGAGGGCGGCAGCTCCTGATAGCTTCTGCACATATCCTGAATACCCCTTGGGGCATCCATGCAGCTAGGAGGACCGCATACAAAGTTGCAGCCCCGACAAAGAAGGCAGCTGGTCTGAGAACCCTCTGCGTCTGCGCACAAGCCCCCACATTGGACGAGTTAGTGATGCATGATTCGCCATCCAATTTTCCTGCTGCTGTCATTGATCAGAGAGCAAAGCTATCGATTTCTTCATCGCTAATCAGTTTACCGTGTCTGAGCGTGGGGATGCAATCATCAAGCCATACAGCGGCATAACTGCAACTGTTGCAGTGGTAAAGATAACGTCTGGCTGCAACCATGCACAGCTGCAGCGACAGACACCTGTCCAAGAGCAATATATGTGATGAGACAATGTCAGCTAGCGGCCAAATGGGTAGGTAGAAGCCAACCAAGAAGCCAAGTTCTTTAGAAGGCTATCACCTCTATCATGCTGGAGATTATGCGATCTCCTCTTGTTTGGTCTCCATATTTTTGTTTCATATGGAGACAGGCCAAACAATATATTATTGGTCTTGCGTGCACCGATTGCAAGATTGCAGCATCGATCTGCAATTCGAAACATGATAGGTCACAAGCGCAGGTGTAATGATCCGTCACCATGACACCATCACGGGTTTGTAACAACACGACTTGTTTGCATGGCATTGAGTTGCTTCCATCGATCTTGAAGGAGACCAGGAAGACAGCTTTCGAACACTTCATACTTCATTTCCCCTCCGAGAGTCGCGATCTTGAACCTCATCTGCTTGCGAGATAAAGCGAGGGACCTGATTCTGCGACTACAGACCAGCAATTCTAGGATTCTTCTGGTGCTGTAACACGTCAGAAACATCAGGATGGCGACGATGGCTCTGCTCAGCGGTGCCCCCACGCTGCTGAAGAACGCCTCGCCTCTGAGCTCCCGCATCAACCGCAGCTCCAGCCTCGTCCCCTGCTCTCGCAGGAACGTGTCTGTGTGCGCCGAGCACAAGCCTAGCTGGCTCCTGGAGAAGCCCAACCGCCTTTGGGAGCTCGACACCACATGGTATCCAGGCGCAGAGGCCCCGAGCTACCTGGACGGTTCTCTGCGTGAGTGCCATCTGCCCGCTTTGTTTATTCACTCTCAACACACAAGACAAGGTTCTGGTTGATCACAAGCGTTTGAATCAATATCTAAACAATTATATCATCCTGAAGTCAAGTTTTCCGGACTCCCTTTGGCACCAGCCCATTAGCTGGGTCCAATGTGCACACCAACACAGCCAAGTTGATAGGGATTTTGTCTCATTTTATGCCGTTCTCTGCAGCCGGAGACCGTGGCTTCGACCCAATGCGCCTGGCTGCCAACCCCAGCACCCTGCCCTGGCTGGTGGAGGGAGAGCTGTACAACGGGTGTGCAATCCCGCCACCTCACCCTGCCCTGGGAATCTTGTGACTTGCACTTGTGCTTCTGTACTTGCACGCTCTTGTGATGCCATTTCATGAGTATGCATGCTGCGATCAGCTGGGGTGAGGATGATGTTTGCATGCAGGCGCGTTGCCATGCTCGCAGTCGCAGGCATCCTCCTTGTAGAGGCCGCAGGCCTGGGCCCCTGGTGGTCTGCCCCCTTCAGGGTGAGACACTCTGCAGAGCAGTTCAGCAAGAAATTCACTGCCTATAATTTCACATGGGGAATATCAGAGCAACTGCAGTGCATCTTCCGCACCCTGGGAGAAGCAAAGCAGATGCAAAAGTGTACCAGCCATGAGATGGCATATTGGCAAACACATATCTGCAAACATATTTGGCCATGACTCAATATCAGTCCACTTTTCAAGTACGGTGTGATAACAATTTAAAGTAATCTTCAAAGAGTCTGTTTATATTTGAAAGTTCTGGTGCAGGTTGACTGGCCGCTGCCGTACTGGCCAGGCGTGGTGGTGTTCCACGCCATCTACGCAGCCTTCGAGGTCAAGAGGTTCGACAACTTCCAGAAGTACGGCGAGGTGGGTGCCAGCACCAACTGCACAGACTCCATCACAGCCACAGTAGATTGCATGGCAATGTCTCTCGAGCAATTATACACCTGATGTAGAATCCGGAGCTGTCCCTCGTATTGATGAAGTGAGACGCACAATACATCTTTGCCAGCCAACAAGGTTGAGTAATTTGATCGCATTTTCACCCGTTCTATCGAGTCCCCTCATGTGAGGATATGTTTCCAGAAAAAGACAGTCAATTTAAGCGCTGTGTGTGCTGGTGCAGACCGGCCTGCTGGGCTTTGTGCCCTTTGACCCCCTGAACATGCGCGATGACTACAAGCGCCAGAGCGAAGTGCGCAATGGAAGGTGAGCTCAAAATACTTCTTTTAGACCCTCATCTGCCACTCTTGGCTACAATGTACCACGCAGTTGCCAGCATCCCGAACGCCTCCATTCAGGGCATCTCTATCCTAACATGTCAACTGGTGCCACTGGCGGGAGCATAAGTTGCTTTCGAAGTTGGCAATATCATTTGAAGGACAAGAATCTTGTTGAGCTGGCGGAAGCTGACGGAAGGTGTGCTGGGTGCTGCCAGGTTGGCGATGCTGGCGTTCATCGGCTTTGCCAGCCAGGCAGCCAACACCGGCAAGGGCCCCCTGGAGAACCTCAAGGACCACATCGCCGACCCCACCCACAACAACAGTGCGCCCCTTGCCCTACCCCACCTTGTTCAACACCTTAAATCAACTCTGATCTGCTGTACCTTTTGGCACCTTTCCTGTTTGTGGTTTTATAGTAGATGCGGCCCTTTGTCTCTTGAAGTTGAAGCCCGTTGTACTCTGCACTGGCATGACTCCCTTCTGTGTTTTTGCACTGTTTGAGAGGCTTGCGCCTCATGCATGCGTGATGAGCTGCCAGGCATTAGATTTGGTATACGCACTGCTAAGCCAGAGTACTGGCACAAATCATTTTTAGTCCGCCCAGAACCATGTGATACTGACCAAATTAGGGACACCGGGTCAGGGCCTGCCCAAGCGACGAATCGAAGGCTAGGGAGCTCAGAGCGATCAAAATGTCCACAATATGATCGATGAGAAGACTCAGATTAGATTTTAGTAGTTGAGTCTTGATTTAAAAAGTCCATGTGCGGACCATCTCTAATTCTGACTGTGGCGGTGCAGTCTTTGCATCCAAGGTGGGCCCAGAGGTGACGCTGGCTGTGATTGCCATCACACTGACCCCCATCGTGCTGGAGGCTCGCAAGCAGCTGGGGGGCGGAGAGAAGGAGGGAGACAACTTCCGCGCACTCCCCTTCCTCTGAACACTTCCCCAGTCCTGGTGCGCAGACACTCCTATAAATCCCCAACAAGGGGAGGAGTGCTTCTGCTGAGCTGCCAAGGAAATGGGCGCATGCCTTGAGAACACAGCCCCCTGTCTGTTGAAGCCCATTGAAGCTTCAGGACAATGGCACGTTGTGCAGATGCGGTGGGCGTCGGAGCAGGCTGTGTTGGATTTGCTGTTGCAAAGAGAGTAGAGGGTTGGCCCTGGTGTGGGGATGCAATACTGTCCTTTGAGAAGAACACGAGAGTCTTGCGGCAAGCTGAAAGTTTTGCTGGTTGCAATTTTGAATCGCGCCATGTACCATGTAATAGCTGTTTTTTGTGTAAGCTTCCGCCGGCTGGGCCTTGTTTGGAATCGATCAGATTCCTAAGAATGGTGTACGAGGGTCCCAGTGAATGTGCCACACAGTGACATCATGATTTCATTCTCTGGTGGTCATCGCAAAGTTGACAAGCTAGAAGCTATATCCGCACATACTTACAGGAAGCAAGCCCTTACAAATTGAAGCCAGCATCTTGCAGGTGTTGAGATTTCCAGGAAAGAAACCCATCAATTTGCACACAACGGTTGACAACCCTGAAATACCTCAAGCTCATTTACTGTCAATGAGGAGAGTATGAATAGCAATGTACATTCCAGAATATTGGATAAAGCCCTCATTCATGCAAGACTTGAAAAACAGCACAAAATGCTAAGAGCGCTCGGCACGACACAGATAAAGACCTCAGGTCTGCGGCCTTATCGGAACAGTTTGAAGTTAATTGAGAAGGCGCAAACCCCACGAAACAGCTACAAGAACAGACCAGACATTTTGATACAGTAGACTTGTACAGAGCAGAAACCACCTGTGCACAGGTCCTCATCGTGTATGGTCTCAAGTCTGCCATTCAGGACAACCATCTGTCTTCTTGCTTGTCAGCGCAGCTGATGACTTGCTGCTGCTTAGGAATTCCCATTGTCATGTGCTTGCATTCAGAGACAGGCAAAGGTGCAATCCCTCGCATGCCCACCCTTGAGGCTCTCTTGAAGTTGATCAACTTCAGGGGAGGTAAAGGGCTGCGGCAGCCTGAGTGTATTCCTCTGATTACTAACTGCTGGTGTCATTTGCTATGGCTGAGGGACGGGCAAAGACCCACCACCCTTGCCGCAGCACCCCCACCCTGGAGGGTCAACATTCCAGGGGAATTTATCAGGGATACATGGGCCTGATCAGGCGGAGATGGGGGATCCGGCAGGGGAGGGGTCGCGCGAGCGCTGGACGGTGTGCAGCATGAGGGAGGCCACAAACACGAGCACCATCTTGGCGTTAACTTCCACCACGTCCTCCCAGAGCAGGAAGATGCAGCAGCCGAGCTTGCGCGCGATGCTGATCACATACTTGGCGTTGAGCTCCCTCTCTCGCGGCGTTCCTCCCGCTGTCACCATTGCCAGGTCTATGCACCGCGGCTCCACCGCCGCCAGCAGATCCACCTGCGCGCGTGGGGGTGCATCTCAGGGGTGGGGCGCTGTTATTCTTACCGGCCGAGACTGCGTGAGAGGCATGCATGCCAAATTGTGCTCCGTGGGCATCTCGGAACCGTTGTCGCAAGCAGTCTGCTGACTGTTTTCTAGTCAAGAAAGCAGGTAAAGCCGACTTCCCTGCTTCCCCCATGCTACATTAAGAGTGAAAGGCATTCGCTTTTTGCTGCCTGAGTCGCTCAAGAAAAACCATCTGTGCAGGCCAGGAACCAGTGATATACAGCACTGTGAGAGTAGCATGGGCCAAAGGCCACATGCGGCAGATTGTGAGTGGGAAGGAGTGCTGACCAGGAAGAGGCCGGATGCGATGGAGCGATCGTGGAAGGAGGAGATGCGGCGCTTCTTGCCGGCAGCCGCCACGCGCGCATTGGCCCAAGACAGGATCTCCAAGTCCAGCTCAGCGTCCGATATCTTTGTCCCCTTGGACGACACCGCCTGTGCAGTTAGCAATCACATCATTCGTCAAGACTCAAAATCTCCACACTACAAGGCGCATGCAAGGGATGGTTCTCATAAGGACAGCACAAGCTTGCCAAGCAGAGGAAGAAGCATGTCTAGCAAAGGTATGCTTCAGAGCATCAGAGCAATAGCTTGCTTGACTGGGCCTGCGCATGTGATGTGGCCAGAAGACTCTAAGTCAATTTACTCGTGACAAAGACCATGGCAATGAAGAGCTATCAGGCATGAGGGGCACACCTGCAGCAGGCCTCGGATGTTGTAGCGCATGAGCTGCCACAGGATCGCGAGCAGCAGCTTGTGCTGGCCATTGATGATGTCAATGCCGCCGATGTTGACCAGCGGCAGGGCCAGCACCTGCCTCGCAATGCGCACCACCTGCCCACACCACATGCAGCATGACCTCCCACTCACCCTCGCCTCAACCTTGCCTCAGCAGCCACGGCCAGCGCACAATACAGCAAATTTGGTCCACCAAGCATGCTCCATGTTTACCATGTTTGAGGGCAAAATCTGCCAGAGTTTTCAGCAGGACAAGAAAGCTGTCAATTAGGCTGGTCCAAAAGCGAACAAGCCCTAACATGACACCGGAAAAGTCTCATGACCAGGCAAAGATAATCCCCAGGGAGAGGCGCGCCTGGTTGCAGTTCTCGATGGACTTGGGCTGCTTGAGGAGGGGCTTGAAGGGGGGCTTGTGCACGGAGGACCAGGCGACGCAGCCGGCAGCGATGGTGTCCAGCACGCGCAGCAGCACATAGCCGTCACGCAGCGACTCCGTAAGGTTCTGGATGTGCACCTCGTTCCGCAGCAGGCTCAGCAGCCACACCCGGAACGTGCGCTCCTCCCGCGAATCCTGCGGAGCAGTCTTGTCTATAAGCAATGCAGACAGACAACGACTTCCAGTATCTCAGCGCTGTGCACATCCTGTGACACGAAATTCTAAGCAACCAATTCGTACCCTTTGCAGTCCTAATCACATCATAGTCTTATTTGCCTTTCTGGTATTATCGTGTCAAGTCGGTCCTGCTCCCTCAGCACCGGCATGCGCTTTAGTGTGTTCCTACATGCTACATGCATGCATGGCAGCCAAGGCGTACGAGGGACAAAACAGAATATGAATGAGAGGGTCTGGACATGAAAGTACTTGCCTGCACATCGTATTCTTCCAGCCACTGCGCGAACTGGCTCATGTGGCCGGCCAGAGCGGCGGCCGCGCGTTCGAGGCCGTGCCGGGCCCGGAACAGCGCCGCTAATAGCACAAGCACCATGTCCGCATTGCCCTCTGCGATGCCGCGCGCCGGCGGCAGCGCCTCGTCAGTCAACGACCGCGCCGCTGTCAACACTGTCTCCGCCCGCGCCACCAGGTCCTTCTCCCTGCGCAAGCGCTGCCCGTTTTAGCAAGCCACTCAAGCTCAGGATCACATGTGCGATGCGGTGTTTGGGAGTTGCTTTTAATGTCCCCAAGCGACTCATTGTCTCACACTCTTCGAGTCCATCCTCCTCACCCACCCTGACAAATGCCCCTTCTGCCAAGACAATTGTGGTGTCACTTGTCATCATCGATGCATTGTCTCCTTGAACTCTACTATGCTGTGCGATACAGAAATGACTTGCAAGCACTGCGGACGAACTGCGTTTTAGGCCAGCAAGGATGAAGCACAGAAGGCTCACTGCAGGCTGACGGCGTCCAGCTTGGGGGCAGCGAGCTGCGATAGCAAGCAGTACAGCGCAGTGGAGTCGGCCAGGTCAGGTCCGAGATCCTTCAGCGGAAGCCAGGCCTCCCAGGCAGGGCCGGCCGCGCCGATGTGGTGCGCGACCCAGCGCAGCAGTAGCTGCTCTGCCGGCACATCAAGCAGCGCTGACATCTCCTCCCCCGGCCGCTGCAGTACTACCGTCTCCGGCACTGATTTGACGCTCACATCCTGGATATGTCGCCACAAACACTTTTAAAGTGCTGATCCACTCAAGAGCCGGGCCGGGTGCATGGAAGAAGGGTGAACATGCTTCACTCATGCCCTCTACCCGGGCCCGTAGGATCACGCGTCACCACAAGGGGACTTGCAATCATGCAAGTCCAGTCTGAAGGCATATGCACCGCACACAGTAGTCAGTAGGATCCCATGCATGTTCGCACCTTGAGGGCTCCTAGCCTGATTATTTGCCATATGCAGCTCCTCACAGCCTCCTCCTGCACAAATAAAATGGTATCGATCAACGATCGGCACGCTCGGATTTGCGGTGTGCAGATAAGAATAAGGGCTAAGTTTAGTAATGAGCAGCACTGGCTTGACTAGAAAAGCCTCACCTTGCCCTCAAAGATGTCTTCTGGTGTGACATCAGCCAGGCTGCACCCCAGGGCTTTCGCTGCGTTGATGCACAAGGCATTGTTCTGCAGGGCCTCCCTCCGTGCTAGCTGAGAGGATGCATCTGCAGGAAGATTGAGCGCGCGCTCGTCCAGAGAGTCCGGTACGCACGAATTCAGCAGTTTACTGCGACACACCAACAAGACATATCGGTTGCCTGTGCAGAGCATGCTCATGCACATTTGCATCAAGACACTGTAGCATCTCTGTTTCTCTGCTGTGCAATGCCACCGATCATGAATGAAATTTTCAATCTGCTGTAGAGCATGTAGACTGGTATGGCTTTTGCTGGCACTGTGCAGAGAGGGACAGGCAAGTGCGGCTCACCAGAGCAAGATGCCGTCTCTGCAAGCGGCAATGAGGGCAGCAGCTGTGGGCTGCAGGGGCAGCACGCCATGCAGCACATCATCTCCTTGCAGGCGGGCATTGATGCAAGTGGCATAGTACTGCATCTCGGTCCGGCCGGGCTCTTGCACCTCTATTGGCGCCGCCCTGTCAGGGATCAGGTCCGCGGCGTTGTCACCTGAGCAGCAGCAGAAAACGTGCTGACAGCCTCCCCAATGAATTTTGTGTCGACTGAGGATGTACCCCTTGTAGGATGGTGAAACTTCAGAGTCGTGCTGTTGTGGACCACCCAACATCCATGCACTGCCCTCTTACATGCATTGCTTGCCACATGCATTGCACAGCAAAGTGTAGCATGCAAGCTACCTGGCTGTTAGCATGTGATATATCAGATCAGCTGCGCACCTGCACTGCTGCTGGGCGTGTCTGCCTTGATGCTGCCGCTGCGGGTGGGCCCCCCGCCGGTGGGGGGCGTGCGGGGGCCCTCCTCTACTGCCGGATCGCCATCAAGGTCCCCTGCGCTGGTGGCCACCTTCCGCAGGGAGGCCCGGCTGGCCGTCAAGTCCAGCGTTGCCTCCTCTTCGCCCTCCACCACCTCTCCAGCCTTCACCGGTGTTTTGCCGGCCCCGGGCCCGGCGTCAGCTGCCGCTGAAGCACCAACCGCTGCCTGTGCTCTGTCATGGTCTTTCTCCGACTCTAGCAGGAGCACGGCCCGCTCCAGGTTGCTAGGGGTGCTGCGACCAGAGGAGCTCGGCGGCGCCAGTGGCTGCCCCTCAGCCAGACGGCTGGTGAGGCGCGAGACTAGTGTCCACTTGGCAGACTCGGCCTCCGAGCTGACATCGCTGCGCGGCGACGCCAGGCTGGCGGGCTTGGAGGCCTCGTTCACACGCACGTCCTCCAGCTTCCAGTCCTCGCCCTCTGTCAACACATGCGCTGCAACATATTAACCCTCGGCTTGCTAATGAGACATGCTTTAAGATCAGAACTGTACAACTGCGGTAGAGAGCGTCAGAAGCATTTGTGCATTTCGCAGCGGTCAGATCATTGCATGCAGCCAGGCACAGAGGAATTCTGTTTCCAAGGTGCACTCCACTGCCAGTGTTGACCAAAAGCCAAGGGCATTTTGGCCACCAGCAGCTGAGAAGCAGGGTACATTCTGTCAGGGTACAATCTGTCAACAAGACAAGCCTACTGAAGTCTGATGATCTTTGGATGTTTCCTTATGTCCCGTTTGAGCTGGAACTACTAGTGTGAGTCAAGCACCGCTAGGAGTCTTCGTTTGGCGTCGATGTCGTCCCTCCTTAGCTTCAGGCACTCCAAGATCAATGATGTGTCCCTGATCTTTGCCGACAGCCACCTCCCTGCCCTTCAGGTTCAGAACATCCAACTCCACATCCTCTTTCTCCTGAACTTGAAGCTCGAGACCCTCGTCGTCATTTATCTCTGAGTCGTCCGGAGAACCTCCTGACGCAGCTGCAAAAGTGCTCAACAGACGGCCTCCCAGAGCCCTCAGGGATGCAGCCATGCTTTCACTGTCTCCTCAGCTTGCACACATTGACATCCACTTTTCAAGGCGACACGGGTTTGACCTCAGCCAAACGCTGCCACCCTTTCGTCAAATCCCCAACCACATTATGCCCTTACAATCTGAGCTTCACTCATCGTAGAGGGCTGCAACTTGCACAACGGCACCCGTTGCATGGTGCGAAGCTGACGCTGGGCCAGTCCTATTTTGGTGCCGCTGAATCATTCTCCCAGGAAGCAAGAAGCCGTCGAACCGATATCTCAGCCAGCGTGTGGTACGACGAATATGGAGACTGTTCCATTATGACAGCAACATCTTACAAAGCCTCTCCCACGAATTGAATAAGCTGGTGGAACGATATTGAGGTCAGGATCCTGTGCAGAGCTTTGTGCCGGTGCCGTACATCAAGAAAGCACGTGTGGTCGGAGAAGGGTTTGATATTTCTGTTTGGAGATGATCATGAGGTGAGATTTGTACAAGTGTTCAGGCGATCGTGGTCATCATAGCAGTTTAAAGCTCGCACCCGACGATAGGGTGATTCCCGTGACCGAAAAGGGGCTCAACAAGTCCCACCACCAGGAGCACGGATGGCTTGGATTACTGCAGCTTGTCTACCCCAGAGTGAGCAGACAGACTTTCAATCGCGGCTAGCCCCTCAAGTGGGGCCGTTGCGTAGTGCACAGCTGAAAGGCTGCTGATTGTGAACTAAAGATGGACCCAAGCAAGCCACGGCCAAAGCTGGGCTCCACCAAGAGCACCAGCAGGCTGAGGAGCTCCAAGTCGCACTTAGACCTTAATGCATTGCAACGCGCTTGGTATGTGCCCCTTCGCACTCGTATGTTGCATTGAGCCGCAATTTGTGTTTGCCCTACTCCTCCAAGACGTGTGCTTCCAGAAGTGCACCGCATTTTGGTTTTGCCCAGATTTTGCTACTGTTGTGTGCATGCACCCATAGTCTTCTTCACCATGCGCCTTTGGTTGCTACTTGATTACAAGCGTGGTGTCACTGCAGGAGTCGGAACAACTTCCCCTGTGCAGCTGACCAGTATGAGCTTGTGAGGGAGATTGGCAAGGGCGCATGTGGATTGGTGCGTCTCGTCCCTCATGGAAACTCTTACTGCCATTCTTGTTGCTTATTGACCTCTGTACTGATGAGCATGAGGTGCAGTGGTGAGTAGCCCTGACGTGGACTTGCAGGTGTGGCTGGCGAAATGCCTGCCGCTAGATGAAGAGGTGGCCCTGAAAATCCTCGAGGCGGATGACTTGAAGTGCCCTCTGGTGAGCAGAAGTCACAGAGTTGCCTCCTTAAAAAGGTTTTTAAAAGGTACCTGGTGTTTAAAGAACAAGTCTGACAACTTCCCTGTGGTCTTTACAGGAGCACATCATGCGCGAGACGCAGATAATGCACGAGATGCGGCACCCGAATGTCATGCCCCTCTACTGCTCCTTTGTGCACAAGGAGCAGCTGTGGATGGTCATGCCTTATGTGGCAGGAGGCTCCTTGTTCGGCATCATCTCTGGCAACTACCCTCAGGTAAGTCAGCTGGAGTTCCTATCAATGAACTGTCCTCCGTGCTGTTGTCAAAGGGCCAGTCTATTTGAGGCGTTGGTCCCTTCTTCCAGGCGTTGTCATGAGAGGCCTCCAAAAGAAAGCTGGGGACCTGACAGATGATAACATCATGCCCTGTGATGCGCAGGGGCTGGAGGAGGAAGTGGTGGCCACTGTGGCTCTGGATGTCTTGCGCGGACTAGAGTACATGCATGCCCACTCCATGATCCACAGAGATGTCAAAGTGCGCATACCCGTGGTGCCATGGTTTTGATGGTTTCTCAACATTTTTGTATGTCAGGTTCTTTGGGTGATGCCGTTCTGACTTGCAGAAGAGAAGCAGCAGCAGACCACGGCAGAAGATGTCTTGACATAGCACGAAATTTGTGTAGGCGGCGAATGTGCTGGTGAACACAGACGGCCGAGTGGTGCTGAGCGACTTTGGGGTGACGGCAAACATGCTGGAGCCGCGCACGCCCTCTCCCAAGGCCACCACCTCCGCGCTCACTCTCAGGGAGATCAGCTCCGTCAAGGACCTCGCCCAGCTGGCGGGCAAGGAGCCTGCATCCGAATCTTCATCTCCATCTACCTCCCAGCAGCGGGCAGATGAGGGTGCAGGGCCAAGCGCGCACCCGGATGTCTCACCTTTTGCTGGGGCGGATCTAGATCTGCCAGGGATCGGGTTGAGCGCGGCCGGCGCGGCGGGGGGCGATATTTCGCAGGAGGAGGGAAGTGGCAGCGGTGGAGGGCAATTCCGGTCTGCGTGGGCGTGCCAGAAGTATCTGGCACGCAACACATTCACCGGGACTCCCTGCTTCATGGCGCCCGAGGTCATGGCCGCCACAGATGACTGCCAGTCGTCAACAGGGTGAGCTTGCCGCTCCCAGCTCCACCTGCCCCACAATGTGTGGAGCCCATGATGCCTGCAGATATCAGCAATTATTCTCAAGATTGCTTGTCGTACGCCTGCTGCCTGTTCTTCATGCAGTCATAGAGCCTGTTTGAAACATCCAGAAGTGCAGCACGTGCCGGTCAAAAGAAACAGTCAACATGCGTGTAGCTTTCTGTGAAATCTGACTGAATGAATGGTCCACCACATCTGAAGGTGTGTACATGTATCGATTGTTGTTATTGGGTGGCTGCAGGTACAACATGGCTGCGGATGTGTGGTCATTTGGAATTTTTCTGGAGGAGCTGGCGCTGGGAAGGGCGCCATATGCACACATGAAGCTGGAATCTGTCATCCTGACTACACTGCATGAGGATGCGCCAGTTTTGGGCAACCAGAAGACCAAGCGCAAGTTCTCAGAGGTGCGCAGTCTGCTGAAGCATGCCTGGCAGCTTGCACAGGGCGCAGGAATGTATGACTTGCTGCAATTGACTGTGTTTGCTGAGTTGACATGCTTGACAGCTTGCGCAGCGCAGGAAATATTTATGGGGTGCCTCCAAAATGGCGTGTTGGCTGAGTGTATATGTTTGGTGCACGCAGGAGCTGCAAGACATTGTGGCGGTGTGTCTGCAGAAAGACCCTTCACAGCGGCCCATCTGTTCTCAGCTGCTCAAGCACAAGTTCTTCAAGGTGCGCTGAGCACCCTTGCCCATCGTTATTTAACCACTGTATGACTTCAGGCACTTGCTTGCAGGCAAGCATGTTTGCTTCATGCAGTGAAGGAAGCGTGCTGGCGTTTGAGCATGCGCCAAGTCTCTTGTCTTATGTGTGTGACCTTAGGCACTCCGAAAGGAAAGTAGTGAGATTGAAAGTCTTCTGTGTCACTCTCATATGTGTCCGTTTGAATTGGTGCAGAAAGCTGAGGACAGCGGGTACCTGGTGAAGTATCTGTTGAATGGCAACAATGGGACGCCATTCAAGGACATGCTGCGCACAGTCACCCGCACACTGCGCTCCTCAGGCTCCTCCCATAAGATTGAGCTGGTGTGTGCCTGCCCTGCACATTGATCTGCTTTCGCAGCCAAAGAAATGTGCTATGCAGCACCCTGCCCTGGAGATCCTAAATTCGTGATGTAGATAATCTTGTGAAAAAAGTCAGTTGCTGGGATGTGCTGGACAAAGTCAGTCTCAATAGCATGCTGCCAGTTGCTTGCTGTGAGGGACATCTCGAAGGGTCCCTATCTTGCATATTCTTGCAGTATGTCTCAAATTTCCATGTCTTGTCCCACTGAAGGGTGTGTGCGTGAGTTTGCAGAAAACGCTGAACGTGTATGCGACGGCGACGCTCTCTGGTGACGTGGCAAATGCGCTGGCGCTCCTCAAGCGCATGACGCGGCCGGCCATGCGCAAGCAGAAATCCGGCCTCCTCATTCCCGCCAAGGAGCTCGCCTGCTGCCATGTGCGGCTCCTTACCTGCTGTTTCATCCTGCCTTTCCTTCCTCCGTATTCCAAAGCACATCGCTCTCCTGTTTAGAGTTGTTGAGAGTTGGTGCCCAGTAATGGGCAATTTCAATGTGATGTCAAGGGGGGCATCAGTACACAGTAGCCATAGCCAGGATCACTGAGCAGAAGGGCAGGGAAGGAGGGGCAGTGTGGGATGATTGAAGGATTGCCGGGGTGCAGGGGGTGGCGTTCACAATAATGCACAAGAGTAGGGGCGGCTACGGAGCAAAGTTTGTGACCGGGAACGGATTCGTGCTGGCACGAGCACAGAAGGCCAAGGCCCGCCGCAAGACCTTCATGCACTGGGCGGACGACACCTTCAGGTGCCTCCTCCGTCTCTCTCTCTACCTGGGCACCAAGATATTCCAATTTTTTCAGCGTCGTTGTCTTGTCATGAGGATTTTCTTGTTCTGGTCAATTTACATGCCATTTTAGCCTTACATGATCAGGCGAAAGTTACAAAAATCTACTAGCCCTTGAGAAGCATTTGCACTAAAGCGGGGGCCTTGGCGTCATGTCCGGTATCAGGCCTGTCCGGGTGCTGAGCTGGGTGTTTTGTTGCAGGCCTGGGCTGAGCCTGCTGGATGCTGGGCTGCCACGTAAGGACAGTGCGGAGGAGAAGATGGCCGAGAAGGACCTGTGGACCGCGCCCAGCTACTTCAACATCACCCTCTGCGGCCTCGGCGACGACTTCGGTGCGCGCCCTAATCTTGTCAACCGGCCCATTGCATGCTGCATGCTCCTCTGCCATACTACCGCATCTGTTGGTCTGAGAACAAAAGGTTACCTGAGTATTTGACCCACGAGGATTGTTGTCTTTGTAAACGGTGTGAATTGGATGTCTCACTCTTGCAGACTCTGGCCTTTGGATACGCTTTACTCTGGATGTCTGACTGATGGGGGTTGTGGTCTTCGGTAATTGTGTATTTTGGACGTCTGACTGATGGGACTTGTGGTGTGGCGCGCTGTGCAGAGCATGAGGAGGTGGAGGCCATCATCCTGCTGATGGACCAGGCGGCAGTGGAGGTATTCCGGGCGGGGGAGGGTGTGTTGGAGCACCCGCGCATGCACGACAGCGCCTCCAGCGTCAGCGGCCACCCGCACCACGCCATCAAGGCCTACGCCATTGAGGACGACTCCGTCTTCGACATGCCCCTCACCGGTCAGACCCTGACGCCCTTTCGTCATTAATTATCCTTCTCATTGGCAGCTGGACGTGCTCCTTATTTTGAGTGCCCTCCTTTGTTTCAAGTCCCTGAGCCTCTGCTTGGGCCTTGGGAGTTTGCCTTTTGGGGCTGCCCCATAGCCATACATTGTTATCTCACCTTTCTCCTGTGGCGATAGTAAGGAGTGCAAATGCTGCAGTGCATTCAGTCATCGCTGTTGATTGTCTTCCGTGTCTGTGCTGCACGGGCGTGCACAGGCGGTGATTCCCTGCAAACTGCTGTTGCCATGGTGCGTGCTGGAGAGTCTGAGGTTCAGCGGTTGTAGCATGTTTGTGAATTGTATCTGTGTCTCTGGTTGTGCAGGCGGACGCGTGTGCCTGAATGCAGCCGCCAACGCGCGGGTGTTCGGCAACACAGCGGCGCAGCCAAGCGAGATCCTGTCGGGCGCCGTGCACTCACCACATGAATTCCAGGTGCGTGCATAATCATGGTCCAGGGAGGCATTTTGTTTACAATAAGATATGACCGCCGGTGGTGTTCACTGAAACGCAATGACGCGGTGCAGGTGCTATATAAGCTGTTGTCGTCGCTGTCGGCGGACCAGGAGGTGGCGCCCGGCGGCAGCGAGGCCGTGCGCAGCAAGCCGGGCGCGGGCGCGCTGTGCCGTCTGGAGGAGCGCGGATCCACCATGCTCTACCGCATGCCCATCTGGCTCTACGATGACGACGAGTAGCTGCCGCCGCGGTGGCAGCCGCCCTGTAGCTGCCCGGCAGCTGTCTGGAGTGTGCGGCTCTGTAGCAACGACTGCAAAGCAGCGGCGCCGTGGCTGCCGCGCTGTGTCTGCGTGGAAGTTGCCTGGAGCATGTGGGTGTCCAACGGCAACGTGTAGCGGTCGCTGTGGAAGCACAGCTGCACGGCAGCTGCGTGCAGCCTGCGACCGGCCTCTAGGCCAGGATCCGGTTTGGTTCAGCGCCATGCCGTGTTGTGCTGTGTAAATGTCATCATGTCCCCAGTATTGCTGGGCTTGCATCTTGAGCAGAGGCTTGCTGGCCCCATTCTGCTGGCAGAGGTGTGGTCAGGCAAGGTGGTTTGGTATATTGCGGGTTTGAGAGGCGTCCAGCAGTGTTGGGTGCAACGCTGCAGGTAACTGGCAAGACAAAGGAGGTGGCTGTGAGGGTGTTGGGTAACCCCTTGGTGTTGAAGCTAGTATGATTTTAACTGAGTCTCGGGGTCAGTCCAATGAAGTCCTGGTTGGATTTAATGTAGATGTCAAGAACATGGCTGCAGGGAAGTGTGTCACGGAGAAAATCTGGGGTCTGCTTTATCTATCAGCTTTTGTGGGTCCAGGAGATGCCTCCGGGGTTGTGGGTCTGCATGTTTCCCGCAGCAGAGGATCTCTGCTTCCCGATGTCACAAGATGGCTTGCCTTAATTTCATTTAGTAGACGCTGCTGTACGTGTGTAGTCTGCATATTTCGTTCTGTATCCAAGCCGAGGTTCTACCTATAGAAAAAAAGTGCAAGGTTCCGCTAATGTAGAGAGCCTTGTGCCTGTTTTGGACGGTGTCTGGGTTATCATGCTGTGCTCTGTGGTGCTGATGCTGTGTTGCATGAAGCATTGTCCAGCCACACACACGCACAGCAGGCTGTACGAGAAGGAGTCTGGACAGGTTGTGTCACTTTGGATGGACAAGGGGTGTCCTCAAGTAATGTGAATGTTTTTGTATATCAAGCGGGGGCTGCTATGCCTTGGGTCCTTATGTGATGGGGCCAACTGGATGCTGTGTAGGAAAAGAGAGAAGACTGCAAGGGACAACTGGATAGCGTTGAGCATGATGTTGAAAATTGGCGTGTTGATACTTGCCCCGTTTGCCCCCCAATAGGTAATGCACAGGGGTAGTACTTGCCCCTGGTGACAGTCATTGCTCTGTGTGTCTTTTAGTGGAATCACCAATCTGGTTTTCTCTGCTCTTCACTTCAAGTTTGGTCCACCAAGCTGTTGCGACATTGTCAACAGTCCAGATGTCTGTATGTGAATAGGTAGTAGCATTCCCGTCGTATCTTGACTCCTGTAGCTAGATCAGGGTCAGCTTTCCACCGTGGTGATCGCTGTCTTTCGTGACAGCAGTGACCTGATGCTGCAATTGACACTGCGGATATCGTCTTCTGTTTTGATTCATGAATCAAGTCCTGATCAGGACTTGCACTGTGCCAGTCCTGCCACGCATGATAGGAGTCTTCCGAAGCAGGCCATTGTAAGAGTGTTTGCCATTGGGACCAATTTGTAAGAATGTCAGGTTCATGACCCATCTTTAAGTCCATCGCATTCCTCCACATTCCTTCAATTTACACCAGTAAAGCCAAGTATTTGCCTGGCGTATGCTAAATAAGGCTTGGCGGAACAGCCACGCTGTCAGATGAATCCTCGCTACAACAGATCTTGCATCCTATCTTGAACTCGACAGAGGGATCGAGAGTAACGTTCGGAGGAAGAAGGTCAGATCTTATCGAATAGCAGGCATCAAACGTGCTTGCCGATCATGGCTGCCATGACTCAGATGTCCCGCTGCGTCCTGGGTGCTAGGCCTGTCGCCCCATCGTTCACCTCCCTCCGCCCTAGGACGCTGGTCACCAGCGCCGCTCGCGGCCTCTGGCTGCCAGACACAGAGCCCCCGGCTCATCTGAAGGGGGAGCTCGCTGGGGACCGTGGATTTGACCCGCTCGGCCTTGGATCGGAACCCGAGAGGCTCAAGTGGTGGGCATGTCTATCTGCTCAGAGCACTTCACGCAGTCATTGCAGTTTTTTTGGTTTCAAATCGAATAATTGTAGCGATGGTCTATCACTGATCTGAGATATTTGTGGACCGTGCGCAGGTACACCGAGGCAGAGAAGACCAACGGCAGGTTTGCCTTTGGCTCACACTGTCTTGATATGAAAACATTGCCTTGGTTGGGCGTGCCGATCTTTTGAAGTATACGTGAACGCAAGATTTTTTCAGGTGATTCCTGGTAGGTCTGAGTACATTGACAACGCAGGTGGGCCATGGCTGGTGTTGCTGGAATCCTTGGCCAGGTAAACCTGGGATGCAATCGCTTGCCAGTGGTGGAGCAACGTAAAAATATATTATTACGGCATTTACAGCTCTCAGACCAGCAGCCTTCTGATGGCTAATTCCACTCTGTCAGAGCACTGAGATTCCTACCTGGCATGGACAGGAGCTGTTGGGTGTGCAGCCCAAGTGGTTTGAGGCAGGTGCCAAGGACTACGGCTTCCCTCCCCTGGCCCTGATCTCCCTGGAGTTCCTGCTCCTGGGCTTCCTCGAGCTCAAGAGGTACCAGGGCTTCAAGAAGACCGGCAAGGTGAGTCGCCACCCTCAGCTAACCTAGCGCTGTGCCCTGCGCACTCATCAGAGCCTGCCTTATAAATTGTTCTCAACCTTCTTCTGCAGGGGTCCTAAATGTAGATCTTCAGAGACCTCAAGGGTGCAGGACATACTGAGCAGGAAGCTCCCATTTGTGGCTTGGAGCGTGTTACTGACTTACCTGGGTGCTTCTTGGGTGCAGTCTGGCTTCCTGGACTCCTTCCCCTTCGACCCTGCCAACCTGGACTCTGAGGCCAACGCCGAGAAGGAGATCAAGAACGGCCGTCTTGCCATGGTGCGCAGTCCATCACAGCACCCTTACTGTTGCCAGGGACCTCAGAGCACCAACATGTCATGTCAGTCCTATTTGCCCGTGTTGAGGCAGTTCATGGTGATGAGGGGCGCTGAACTGGTATTGTACAGTAGACAGCCCAGAGAGAGAATCAATCAATGCCTAGTAGGGAGTCTTTGGGAGGAAGTTGCTGGATGCAGGACTGATTCGGTGAGTTTGGGGTGCAGGTTGCGTTTGTTGGATTTGTCGGTGCTGCTCTGGTGTGCCGTCAGGGCCCCATTGAGGCCCTCCAGTCCCACCTGTCAGACCCCTTCAGCAACAACATCATCGGCAGCATTGCCAGGTGGGCACACACCCTCAGTTTTGCAGAGAAATGATTGGGTGCTGCAGACACATAAACAATCACACAATCCCCGTTTGAATACAAAGAAGAGGGCGTGTTAAGGCATCTGCAAGCAATCAGCAATCATTGTGTTCAAGTCCCTTTCCATGCATGCATGCAGTAGGATCTGGGGCAGGCAAGGCTGCTTTATAAACTGCCAGGACTGTCTACAAGCACACCTGTGTTGACTCTCAACTACTAGATTTTCCTATACAAAAGTCAAGCTGGTGCCTTAGGGTGCTGTGTATGGTATCATGACACAATGCAATACTCTGATATCATTGTGTTGCTGCCCCCGCACAGGCTTCCAGAGACCATTGGAGCCACATTCCCAGCTGCGGCACCGCCTGCTCTGGAGTAAATTGCCTTGGATCAATGGCAAGTTGGCAGATAATTTTGAAAAGCAGGTACAGGAGTTGGCCCACGTGGGTTCATTAGCCTGATGGTGTACAGCCTGTTTTTGGGGCTGTCAAAGCCTGAGTGTTTCTACATTGAGAAGAGACTTGGAAATATTAATGTGTGGTTATCATAAGTGCTCTGTGCCAATATATAGCGTGCTCACCGAAAGTGTCGTTCGCGTGTGCTGTGGTTGTCACAATCGCGTGAGACAAGAAGCTGTAACATGCATATCGAATTATAGGATGAATTCATTATATGGTATGTTGGGCATTGTTGGCACAGCAGAATGTGACTAAAACTATATCCCCCTAGGAGCGGCGGTATCTACAGTCTCTATGGCAATGCCCTGGCACAGATATCCTGTTCCCAGGCAAGAGCGTTAAAATTCCCCTAGCATCAGGGGACGCTACTAGCATACCGTCGTCATGACAACAAGCATTGGATGGTGTGCAAGGTTACATGTACATTCACTCACTGCGAGCTCAGAGAAAACCCTTGCGCACAAGCTAGACCAATCCTATATGCAGCAATCCAGCGCAGCTGCTTGCACGCACTGGTATGACCATGGCAAATCCTAGTTTTAAAAGCAACAATAAGTGCTTCTCAAGAATGAACCAACGTCCTCCACAGCTATGCTCACAACAAACGCCAAAGCAGCAGAAAGCATCCCCTGTGCAAGAAAGTGCCATGGCACAGGTCCTCAATGACAGTCAGCTTCTGAGTTCTAATAGTGGCAACAATATCATGTCAGGCATGATCTATGCAATCCAGAGTACAGCTTAACAGGGGCGACATGGACATAAATGACAAGACACAACAGACACAAGGGTCTTCTTCTCTCACACAGATACAACACACACGACAGCTCCAAATGTTCAGGCTTGAATGTAACTCAGAGAGGTCTTCTCTTCAAGCCAACTGAAACTGCAAATGAATAACATGGAGAAATCTTCTCGAGGCAGGGTGCAAAGACATGCAGCTGGTCTCTGCCAATCAGTGGCAGCCAAGCAACGGTTAGTGCGGTGTCACATCAGTTTCTCTTCTCGACCTCTGACCCTGGACATGCAGTTGCATGGCAGCGGCTCAGGATGACAGTCTATAGGAGGCGCTGAATCACTTCTGCTGCTCTTGTGCTCTCCGAGCCGCCTAATATAGCTGCGCATATTAGTCGCGGCAGACAAGACAGGCGCTCACGCTGTTGAGCAGATCATTCAGCAAGTCTTCTTTCTCTCCTCCTCCTAAGCCTTGCAATGTAGCCTTGCTGTACAGCAAGGCAGCACCAGGATGTGTCAATTCTGGTTCCTGGAAGTATTTTGCTGTGTTCTGGCAGTTACTGCGGGTCAGGCGCTGCTGTGCTCGTTCAAAGCTTTCCCTTGAAGTCAGGGTTTGTCCGCAGCTCCTTCTCTATGCCCTCCAGGAAGGACTGCACCAATGCACACACATACTGTTAAGGTGCTGGGTATAGAAAGTTGCAAAATGCACTTACCACAAAAAACACCTTATATCCACCAGAGGGAGAGCAACGCAACTGCAAGTGCGCTGGCAGGCCCTGCACGGTATGTGCAAAGAGACCAGCAAAGCCAGCACAAAAAGCAATCTCACCTTCTTTACAGACACTACAGGGTAGGCTATGAGGGAGACCCGCAGCCCCAGATGGCCGACCATCATGGCATTGCTCTCAAACTCAATCACCTGCATGGCAACCCCACATGCAGAATCAGCGCAGATTGCATGACCTAGTTACTGACGCCAGAACACACAACCCTCCAGACACAATGCTTCACAGCACCCAAGCGCAACAGACTGCATGGCACCAGCAAAGGCCCAAGAGTTTGCTGGGGAGCTTGCAGCAAGATGAAGCTCCTAGCCAAAGCTGACACACAAGACATGCCAGAAAGAACAGCACAGGACAAACATCAGAGTACTGGCATTGGAAAAAATGGTTTGGAAGGCAACTGCTAACCACATCTTTTCGGCGGCGCAAAGGGCAACAAAGGACAATTTGTCGTCAACTAAACACCAGCAGACCTCTGGACACGGCCTTCTATGACATGGCAGACATGACAATCCAAGCACAGTGAGTGCCATTGTATGGATTCCTCCGGACCCCAAGGCCACAGATGACCTCTAGGGGGGGCAATTTGTGAGTGCCATTATATACGCAGCGTGCTCTGGCAGATGAGAGGGGTCAACCCACCGTGACGAGCATCTTGCGCAGGGGGTCTCGGTGCGCGCCTAGCTCCCTCTCCAGCACGGTGTACTCCCAGGCCTTGTGCGTGACAACCAGGCGGAACTCCGTGCGCAGGATCTCGCCCGGCAGTGACATGAAGTCGTCCGTGGGCGTGAACTTCAGGAACTCCTCCGAGGTCAGGTAGTCCGGGCGCTCTGATTCTGGAAATGCGCGCGACACCAGGTTCTTGGAGATGCCCTGCATGCATGCACAGGGCCAAGTCATGTCAAAGGGGAAAACCCGCTCTCTGGGATGTAAACATAAACCTGGTCTGAGGGACGAATGTTGTTTGGAGGAAACCCTACCTCAAGGGCTTCTACACAGGTGACAGGTCGCAGCAGCAGCCTGTTGACCTTCGTTTTGCCGCTAGGAGAGTACCACCGCACATACAGGCTGAGCTGCAGCGGTCTCTCCCGTTTTCTCCGCTGCCTCCCCTGTGTGAGACAGAGCTGGCATGAGTGCTTCATGAGCACAGTACCACAATACCAAGCACAAGAACACAAGCACAGGGCATACAGAAGTACGCATGCGGATTTGACATTTTCGAAATATTGCTTAGTAGGACAGCAGCGCACACCTCCTCATGGGCTGTAGATCTGGTGTCCGCTTCCAAGCATTCCAAGCTCTTGTCAGCTAGCCGCTTTTGCTTTCTTGTTATTCGTCGTGGGAGCTCAACTGTGCTGCTGGAAGACTGCATTCAGTCCTCCGTCACGAGTAAATGCCGTGTAGGTCCCTCAACTTCTTGCCTAGATTTTTCTCAGGAAATGGACGTCCTGATGCGCATTTGTGGTCCCTTTCCGATAAGATGGACTTTTCTGGACAGCGTAGATGCCAGGGGAGCAGGCTGATCACGATCCACGCCGCTTGAAACCAGAGACTCCTCCTCTTCACTAGTTGCAAAACCTGCCCCTAAGCTAAGACAAATTTTCTTCTCACGTGTTTTTCACACTTTTAAGTAGACACAGTCGTCTGTATGGGGCCGTCGCCCTGCAGAAGTTTGCCGTGCAGAGCAAATAAGGTCCAGCCAATGATGTTTAGATATCCGTTCGCCAATCGACTTGCACACCACCTGCTCCCAGTTTGATGCAACGAAAACGGACAACTGTCCCTTCTAACAACCAATTGTACGACCAATTCACGCACAAATCTGTGCCTTCTCAACTCATGGGCAAAGGACACCCAGCCAAGACCTCCCGTTCTGCCGCTACCCACCCGCTACCGGGGGGTCCCTTTCCGCGCAATCCGCAGAAACTTGCTCTTGCACTTGCTTGCACAACTTGCAGAGCCAACTTTTGAGGGACGGAAGTTCTATTTACATTCCATCTTGCCGTGCTTCGACACGTACAAGACCTTGTCTGAAGTCTCCTCGTGAAAGGTGTTGCTGACAAGAGTGGTTTCAGGGGGAGCTTGTGAAGTGTAGGACGCGCACAGAGTCTGAAAGACCCTCCTGCCGCGATCATAACAAGTAGAGGAAGTGGTAAGCGAGATAGTCTTGAGACAGGTGCAGCTCTCCAGCGCGCAAGACAAAATGGGGCGTGCCTTGGGTGATGGCCTGAAGAGTTATTACAAGACCAAGATAGAGGAGTTAGAAATATTGGCACGCGACAAGCAGCATAATCTCCGTAGGCTTGAAGCACAACGGAATGAACTGAATACCAAAGGTAGGACTTCAGAGTGGCTGTTTGATCGTGTCTCCCTTGTACTTCTCCCCTTTGCCCAACAGCGACACTGGTGACAAGATTGCCTCAGGAATAAAAGCCGACTGTCGCGATCACTCCAAGTGTCTTGAGGCTTAATATTTGAATGCAGTACGCCTTTTGAGAGAGGAGCTGCAGCTCCTTCAGGAGCCTGGGTCATATGTCGGGGAGGTGCTCAAGGTACGAGTATTTTCATTTCGCCATCAAATTTGGCAACACAATTGTGCTGTGTCACTGCCACTGCTGGAAAAGCATAACGGCTGCTTACCCGGCTCACTGTCCACAGGTGATGGGGAAGAACAAGGTGCTGGTGAAGGTCCATCCAGAGGGAAAATACGTGGTGGATCTGGACAAGTCCATCGATATCACACAGGTATGCACAAATGGCACAAGGCATCTTGGTGGTGAAGATTGCACCAAATCTTCCAAGCCTGCGCCGTGAGGATAGAGTATCGCACAGGTTGCAGAAAATTGCCTTCATCACAAACACCAGAGCGTGAGATGGCAGATATATGGCGGATACTCATGCATGTCGCCAAAGATGCTCATACTTGCTGCTGACTGCTTGTCATTTGGGCATGCAGGTGACGACTGGAGCACGAGTGGCGCTGAGGAATGACAGCTACACGCTGCACCTGCTGCTGCCCACCAAGGTGGACCCACTGGTGAGCCTCATGAAGGTGGAGAAGGTGCCAGACTCCACCTATGACATGATTGGCGGCCTCGACCAGCAGATCAAGGAGATCAAGGAGGTGTGACTTGTTTCCTCTGCTCCTCCTTTGTTTTCAAGTCATAATATCTTGTCACCATTCAGGGGTGTGGACATGTCCATCAGTCCCTGCAGCCACTGCTGTAAGCAGCTTGATCACATCAAGTTGATGATGCAATGTGCATTGTTGGGTGTTGAGGCAAAGGCTCTGCAGACTGAATACACTGGCATATGTGTGCAGGTCATTGAGCTGCCCATCAAGCACCCTGAGCTGTTTGAGAGCCTCGGAGTCGCACAGCCGAAGGTGGGCACCAACACCTCAATTTCTTTTCCATGTCGTAGTCATACCCACAGCCTGTTGGGCTGCGCACTCAGATCAAATCAAATTGAAGAAATGTTGGTTGCTGGAATGCTGCAGGGAGTGCTCCTGTACGGGCCGCCAGGGACCGGGAAGACGCTGCTTGCGCGTGCCGTGGCGCATCACACGGACTGCACCTTCATCCGCGTGTCCGGCAGCGAGCTGGTGCAGAAGTACATCGGCGAGGGCTCGCGCATGGTCCGCGAACTCTTCGTGATGGCCAGGTACGCATCCTTACTTCCTGATGTCGTCCTTCTTACGCTCCATGTGCTGTTGCAACTAAGCCCTGTGCATTACGCAACTCATCCGCCCCCCACAGGAAGGCAGGAGCCCTCCCGTGTCTGGATTCTGCCTTCCCTGTGTGATCCTGGCTTTAAAAAGGCCTCAATTGGGGATTGTCTAGACTGCTTCCGTATAGTGCGCTTCGCGGAGCCGGCCAGGCTGCCTGCAGCCACATGCCAGTCCGTGATGGATTGCCCCTGGGCAAATCTACCCTTTCATCACCCGCCAAAAAGGCTCCCAGAGCAGGGAACTATAATTCAAAGCCTCCGCCTTCATCCCAATGATGTGCCATCATGAACAGGGAAGGCATGATCGTGGTGCGATGTGTGCAGGGAGCACGCGCCCAGCATCATTTTCATGGACGAGGTGGACAGCATCGGCAGCGCGCGCACCGACAACGGCGGCGGCGGCGGCGACAGCGAGGTCCAGCGCACCATGCTCGAGCTGCTCAACCAGCTGGACGGCTTCGAGGCCACCAACAAGATCAAGGCAAGCGCACATTATGACTCTCACTGATCCTCCTGCGAGCCAGCCATTCGAATTCCACCCACGCTGCGCATCTGGATGTTGAGCGGCAGTGGTCCCTCTCATCTCTCCTGTTGGAACAGAGGAAAGTTGCTGTATTGGGACCTTTAAAGAATAAAACCCATGATGTTGCTGGCCGTGGTGAGCGGCAGCGAAAATGTTTCATCGCTTCTACTGCTTGATGTTTTTGAACATGAGAATAAGCGAGTCGTCAACTCTTGTTTGATGCGTGTCGCACGACTGCACTACAAACAATAGATGGCCTTTGCTTGATATGACATGGCTGGAGCGCCTACTGCCGAGCAGGGCTGACAGGCTCCCTCAGCCGCTACCCGCACGGGCGCGAGAACCTGCAGCTCAGAACTGTATGTTTGAAATGGAATTGGAACACTGCGCCTGGCGCAGGTGCTGATGGCGACCAACCGCATCGACATTCTGGACCCGGCGCTGCTGCGGCCGGGGCGCATCGACCGCAAGATCGAGTTCCCCAACCCCAACGAGTCATCGCGCGCCGACATCCTGCGCATCCACTCGCGCAAGATGAACCTCGTGCGAGGCATCGACCTGCGCAAGATCGCCGACAAAATGACCGGCGCCTCCGGCGCAGAGCTCAAGGCACGCCACTTCTTGATCATTCGACTCAAATGAGCCTAATGATGGCCCCATTCCCGCCACACCATCCTTAGTTATATCCCGTGCCGTGCCTGTATGCTCACCAGTCTGGCTGGGAGGTCAGATGATCTCACGCCAGCCAGCGCCCACTTTTTAGCATCTTTTCTGGTTCTTTTTGGCCGCCTGGGAAGTCCACGTCACTTGAGGCAAGCGGCGCCAAAAGATAGGTAACAGGCAATGGGTGTTGGATTGATGCATTATCTGTTTTGACCACCCAGAATTCAAGACACCCAAGGCAACCAATGCCTGAAGCTAGGCAACAGGCTATTTGTGTGGTCCTGAGGCATGATCTGGGTTGACACCTGATTTGTTGAAACTAGGATCTGGCAATGGATGAGAGCACGTATCTGCAATTACAGGCGTGCTGCACGGAGGCTGGCATGTTTGCGCTGCGCGAGCGGAGGGTGCATGTGACACAGGTAAGCTGACCTGTGCATCTGGCCGTTGTAATCGGCATGTGTGGCAACATTGTAAGCTTTTCCATGCCCTGTGCCGGGTGATCACAAGGAATGGCTCGCTCACAGAACAGTGCTCTCGCAGGAGGACTTCGAGATGGCTGTTGCCAAGGTCATGAAGAAGGACTCTGACGCGAACATGTCCCTGCGCAAACTCTTCAAGTAGGCCGCAGCACAAGAGACAGACAAGACTGCAAGGATGGACACTAGGCAGCTGCACATGGCCTCGCCTCAATGGCAGTTGTGATATTTGTGCGAGTCTCAGGAGTGTGTTTGTACACTAGACAGAGCAACAGCTGCTTGCATGTTGTTGAGCGTCGATATTTTGTGCCTGGCATGTCATTTGCAAGTTGATCAACTCCTCGAGTGATCCTTGGACTTTTAAAATCCATGTTACCAGATTTGGAACAAATCATTGCATTCTTTCCATGGCTGAAGCTAGCATATGCAATACAGTACCCGCCGCACACTGACCAACATACCATAATCTGCTGTTTCTAAGAGTATGTACTCAATTCCTTTGCTGGACAGTGTTCATCAGTCGCTTCAATGCTAAACAAAAGAATTGTGCAGGAGATCAGTGTGATGTTCCAGTGAGTTCCAAACAAGCAGATTATACATTCCAGACAAAAGCAGTATGATGGCACTCTCAACAGCATTTCGCGCAAGTCCAAGATCAAGCCCATATGGAAGAGAAGATAGCACCACGCAATTCCATGCATGCTCAAAATCCCTCGTGCAGAGCACGAGTGTTGGTACACAACGTGTGCTTTAAAATACACTGTTCCTGCGTCCATCGCTCTCGAAAAAGTCTCTCAAGGACCTCTTCTCCTCCTTTCTGTCTGCGATTCTTTTGTGTCAAACCAAACATCCACCACATCACTATCTCTCGCCACCCCTGAGGGCAGCCGCCTCGGCGGCCGCTGCGGAGGAGGCCTCTGGTTCCTACTTCCACCTGCATGCAACAGCAGGCTGTGTGGAGCACCACTGCTGCCTCCGACAAAACCTTTGCAGTGTGCCAAGAAACAGAGCGAAGCACGCTCTGAAGCCATGAGGGAGTTAATTTCATCAGTGCAGAACGCACCTACCCGAGCCCCATCGCTCGCCCTTCTTCTTGCTCTTGGGCCTGGCAGCGCCGCTGCCTGCCTCAATGCCCAGCACCCGGCTTGCCACAAACAGGCCCAGCACCACTGTGCCCACCGTCAGCAGGAACTGCAAACAAGCAGCACTCAATCAGTACCAGCACATGGCCAATACTGCCCTTGCAAAATCTGGTGTTTGTTGCTAAGATGCATGTTTGAGATAGATGACTGGGAGAACCGCACCCCTAGTATGCTGCGAGCAAAGCCAATGATGACAAGAAGGAGCCCTGCCTTCACCGCCAAATTCACCTGATGGCACAGACACACCTGAGTTGCTGATGATTTCATTAAGTAAAAGCAGTGCAGTGCTGAACACCATGAGGAGGCGCACGCACTGTGGGTCGGGACACATCATCAGGCACATAGTCGTAGACAATGTCTGTCAGACGGTCAGTCACGCCCAGAAGCGCTGACCATGCTTGTCCAAGGATGCCACCCAGACTGAACCCCTGCAGGGTCACGAATGCTTTTCAAAACCGCAGAGATGATGCATTTGAATCTGAAGTTCATCGTGCAATTTCCTTAATGTGAAGAGACGAAATGCAATGCATGCCTCTCCATCGCTCGCAAAATCCCCGTCATCAAGCTCCACTTCGTCCTCGACTGGCCGTCTCCTCTGGGCGTACACCAAAGCTGACCGACATGAATTGAATTCATATCTTCGTCCAAGAAATTGTGGGAACACCCTGTCGGTGTGACTGCCCAGATTTTGGCCTGAAGTGGCAAATTGGAAGTCACCATCGGCAAGGAAGTATAAATACCAGGGAGGATGTTACAGACTCGGCAGCACTGAGACGATAAGCCGAAATATATGGTTGCGTGCCATCAGTTCTTGTTAAGAACATCAAAGTGGGCGTACCAGGTCGGTCTGGAAAGGCAGAGCAACGGTCATGAAGCAAGGCTCGACCTTTGGGGCCCATAGAAGGCTGTGAGCATGGTCCGTGACCATCAGAAAACTTGACCAGACATTTAGAAGACCCGAATATGTTCGCAATCATTGTCAGACCTCTTCACCAAATATCACGATGCTTCTGAGTGGCTCCCTCTCAAAGGTGCAAGGCAATGTCGTCTGTGATAGCTCACTTGCAGTCTACAATCTTATATGCTTCATTCTTATGTTGATCATAAGCAGGACAAGTCTACACACACTTTCACGATGGAACAGCGGTGCACTTGCAGGGTTTCCGGGGTCGAAGAGCTATCAGCTGATACCCTGTTTAAGGATATGATTATCTACATTTAGACCAAGCTTCCTAGGCCCATTTTTCAATGAAAGGTTCTTGAAGAAAGGTGCAATTGCACATATAACTTGCTTTTCGGGTTGAATAAGTCCGTATGTGTGTGCTGTGCGAAGAAAATCGGCCCCTTTCCAAAATGTAGACGTAGGGCGATCTGTAGATCATTGTGGGTCATTTTAAATTTCAAACCATTTCTGCCAACTCTCCAACGCCGAACAAAGACGATATGTATTGCTTTCATGGAAAGTAATTCCAAATAAAATTGCCGGAAGAAGCAAAAAGCAAGATCTCTATAGCAGCTACCAAGCAGTTGTCTCAACCGAGTTCGATTGGAATCATATTGGCGCACCTAACATAAGAACTCTTGGAATTAAAGAGACTATGACTCCTACGAGTGAAACAAAGGAGTTGGCAAGTGATGCACATGCACTTCTCAAGCCAGATGGGACTGGTCCCATGGCTGGCGGAGATAGATCGAATGGGGTTTCCAATGTTGCCAAAGACCCCGTCAGCTTATCCAAATTTGATGCCACTGCTAAGCCAGCAGCCTCACCAGCTGAGGTCTTGCCAGGCAGCGATACCCAACTGCTGGAGCTCATCAAAGACTCGCCTTTCTTGGATTTCAATAGCCCAATGACGCCTTACGAGTGGTTCAAGTTCGTCATCATGGTAAGGAGCACGTTTCCACCCTTGCTTTTCATTCAGTCCTGCAGTATGCAGATATTACATGACTCTGATGGAATAATTGTGCGCAGATGCCGGTGTTCCTGTTCAGATGCTTCCTGACGGTCCTCTTCATGCCGTTTGTCTTTGTGGTGCTTCGCCTGTGCCTGCTTGGCACCACCGTGAATGAGCCCCTTGTGGGCTGGAGGAAAGCCTTCGTGCGCTTCTTCCTCATGTATTGGTCGCACATCCTGCTGCACATCGGCTTCAACCTGTGGCCAAGCATCACCGGTAGGGTGGCTTCACCACCCTATGCACCATCGGAATCAGAGGACCCCCAACCTGATCTCCATTAATTTGTCTTGCTGAGCGTATTGCGGCACCACAGCAGATGTTGTGAGCTGCAGAGAATGCCCAATCAGCACATAAGCGAGAAAAAGGTTTTGCTCTTTCTGCTTGCAGGATATGAGAATGTTGCCAAGGCATATGACTGCCGAGCGACGCTGGTGTTCAATCACGTCTCCTATACCGATGGCATCATGTTGGGCGCTTTCTTCCTGCCCTGCGGCCTGGCCAAGGCCTCTGTGGCAGACATCCCCTTCTTTGGCGCTTTCGCAAAGGTGAGCAAATGCCTCTTTCCAAGCTTTTGAGCTTTCAATGCCCTCTCCTAGACACAGATGACAGTCTGCCAAAGCATTCTCCGCTAAGGGTCAGAGCTTGACATAGACCAGGACATTCAATAACATAACATCTCTTCAGAAACCTGGAATTCATCCCACCTGGCAACATATCTCACAGAACTGGACATTACATTGTTTACTGTCCCTGGCAGGGGTGCTCCTTTCTCTTTGTGGAGCGGAGGGGATCATCTGATGAGTCAAAGACGGTGCACGCCTCAAGGGGCAGCACAACTGAACTCATACACCAACGCGCAGCTGACCCCAGGTCTGCCGCTCAGCCAGTCCAGACTGTTATGACCCCAGGACTGTCACTGCTCAAGCTTGCAGCCCCGGATATCCAATCTGCACCTACTTTCAAATTGAACAAGGCCTGTCTGGGAGAGCTCAGTAAAAGGAGCTTTGATTGCAGGTTCCCGCTCTTTGCTATCGCCCCAGAGGGCACGTGCAAGCAGCACAATGTGCTGTTGAAATTCTCGTCCGGGGCCTTTGTGAGCGGCCGCCCAGTGCTCCCTGTCCTTCTGAAGTACAGATCAAAGTGCGCCGCCTTCCTTGTATCTTTTCCTCATGGCAACTCTTAAAATGCCAGCTTAATATTTTCACATTCTTCCAAGCTGCTGCCTGCCTCATGTTGCTGTCTCACATCCATTGCAGAGCTCTTTCACTTGAGCTTTTAGACACCAATCAGCTTGAAAGGCCCTGATCGTGCATGGAATCATGGAAAGCAATCCTCGTGGGCAATGGCGCAACTGACAAGTGACTCAGCCTCCTGCATGTCATCGCAGGCACTTTCACCAGGGATGGGGCCGTGTGCAGAGCTCCTTCTGGCACTTCTTGCGCGGGCAGACGCAGTTCATAAACCTGGCAGACATTGAGGTGCTGCCGCCGTACATGCCCTCGGCCGAGGAGCGCGCGGATCCGCGGCTGTACGCGGAGAATGTGCGCCGGCTGATGGCTGAGAGGTTGGGCGCGCAGCTGAGCCCGCAGGGCATCAGGGAGCAGCAGCTGCTCAAGCGCCACGGCGTCTGCGTTGACTGGACCGGCAGGTGCGCGCACATGCGCAGCTCGGTGCTTGTCGGAGAAAGAGATGCAGACATTGTGGCAGAGTGAGCTAGCAAGCGCGAGAGAGTAAGAGGAAGGACTGCCTCCTTGCGACGTAACATCGTGCATCAGCAGCTGTTTGAGCATCCTCCTCTTGTGGTTGGCAGCTTGTGTCGTGTTTTTGTGCTCAGAGACATTTTGCCGGGGTGGGTTGCATCTGTGCATTTACTAAGGAACTCATGTAAAAGCATGCGTGGTGCAGGAAATTGAAGATGCGGAGCGGCCCTCTGCCAGCAAAGCCTGCTGCTGTCCTCCCTGAAGCGTAATCAGGAGTGTGATTCAGGCCATTGATGTGTGCCTGTCAATTGGTCACCCTGCTCCTTTGTATGTGCTGCTTCACTGGTGTTTGTTTGGGGACTCCTGATTGATGGTGATGCCTATGCATATGGTGGCCAGGACTAGTCATTTGGTCAATATTTTCTTTACTTGAATCAGTAGAGGAGGGGCTTGTGGATTGTCGGCATGCCATGACGCTTGCATTGGAGCTGAGTATTTACAGAATGTTGTGCCTGGTTGCGGTCTTAGGGTCAGATACTTAATTACTGCCTCCACAGGCTAAAGACTAACTTGGTTCAAATTTTGAAGAGGTCAGAAAAGCCAGTCCTATTGGCCTGGCCATACAGCAGAGTTTTCAACGAGTGCAGGACAGATGTGACTAGATTTACCATAAAATTATCCATCAGAGCAAACTCTAGAGATCTCCTATCATCAACCTGGACAACGAGCCGCACACAGCAGCTAAAGGAAAATGTTCCCATTCCCCTCTCGCAGCCAAGACACAGAACTGCATATAGCCTAACTAACCTTTCAGATTCAAATTTAGAATTCAAGAATCAGGCGACAGCATGTTGGGGCATGGGGGTCCGCAGGCGCGCATCGCTGCTGTTGCCAAACACGAGGTTGAGAGTGAAGAGCAGCGCGGTCGCGCGCGCATAGTCGAGCTTCTTCTTCTGCTTGTCGCTCACCCAGAATTTGAACGTCACTCCGCTCGTGCGCCCATTGCCCAGCAGCTGCTCCGCCTGCTTCTTGTCGCCCTGCCGCCACAGTTCCCCCCATAAAAAAGTCAGGCAGCAGCCTTTTGGCCAAAATTCCTAGCTTTCAGCGCTCTTACAGGCCAAAAGTATTCTTTCTGGGCCAGTTGAGCCAGTTGAATAACCCACAGTAGTCACCACCACAAAAGTGTGAGGCAGCAGACTTCACCCAACACAATCGCAACAAATTTACCAGCAGGAATTGGCCCTGCTTTCACCACCCTGAAGATCCAAGGGTAACTTCCTTTGGCACTGCAGCTGGCTAACGAGCAACAACCCCTACGCATGCTTTCACTGCTCACTGGATGCCAACAGTTACACCTCATACCAGACATGTGGAAGCTTGCCCCTCATCCCCCTGGCAAATGACAATCGGAAATGATCTCAAACAGAGGCAGGAATGTGGGGGGTCTATCTGCATGGGTGAAGAGCAGTGCTTGCCTGGATAATGGCTTCGTGGATGATGACACCGATGCCGGTCATGGCTGACGCGACGTCCAGCAGGGCGCTGACTCGCTCCTTGCCCTCCGCAATGCTCACCACTGTGAACTTCTCATCCTCCTCGTTGTCCACCACAATTGCGCCGCTCTCAAATCTGTGCGATGACAGCGTCTGCTCCCCACAACCACACAGCAGTGACTTCCCTTGCACTACTTTTGCAAGGTGGAGACCTGCTGTCTCTAGCCAGCTTGCTTCACTATCCCTTCTCCTTCTGTGCCATACCCTCATCTGCCTCTTCGGCCTCGTCACTTGCACGGTTCAAGTCCTTGCCACATTCTTTGCCACATCCACAGGTTTATCCTTGCCGCATATCTTGCCACAGGCTCACAACAGCCCTTGCCAGATGCTCTTTCAAATAATGGGACAATGATCCCACAAGCCACGCGTGAAAGGTGACGATGAGCTAATTGTAGGTGACGAATTATTACAACAGGTTGTGCGCATCTCGTTGACAGCAGGTACATGTCAGCAGCACCTTGGAGTCTGGCGTGCAGTACACAACGAAGTCGCCCACCCTCTCCTGCAGCATGCGCGCATGGAAATTGCTGAGCTTGTTGCCGCGCCTGTCTGTGATCCAAAAGACGTTCTTCGCCATGCCCTCGTCGTCTGTAGTCAGCCTGCACACAAGCAGACATAAATATGGAAAGAACAGGCAGTTGTCAGGCAGTGGTGTCGCTCCCGTTCACACATGGGGAAACACAGTGTCAATGAGCAAGTCGGGGTTGCTAGCGTGCGCACTTTGCAGTCTCCACAAGAAGATCCAAGCCATTCAGTACCCAGGTGATGACTCGCAAAAGACCTGGGTAGTCCTTGACCTGAGTCGTGCAAGTAAAGTTAGAAAGTCTTCAACTTATAGGATTTCTTGCAAAATCACACATACAGAGCATGAATAATGGACCTCACCTCAATGGTGAGCTTGGTGAAGTCCCCTTCATTGTCGATCTCAATCTCTCCAGGCACTGCGCACGTCAAGGTGTATGTGTGAAAAGGAGGCACCAAAAGCAAGCATAAACCCACAAGAAAAGGAACATTAAGATCACGTCCAAGGACATCACAATTGATTGCAATACTTCCATTGTTACTTTTAGGTGAGACTTCGCATGGACAGCTTTCAGCTCTCCCAACAGAGAGAAGCCCTAATCCTTTGATCGAGGAAACCCACTGCAGTACTCCCCCTCCATGACGGGGTCGAGCTCCATGCGACTCGTCAATGCTTCTTCATCTGTCGTGCTGTTCGCACTTGCTCTGCACATAATGCTGTCGATGCCAGGTCTGCAGGGTGTATTGATGGAGGGTTTTGATGGTCTGTTGTGTCCCACAAGCGCAGCATTTGGAAGACGGTGGGGACATCGCGGGATGCTTACTAAGGTATCAGTAGTACACCTGCTGAAGGCTACCCGCTGAGACATGGTGCCAATACCTGGTGGACTGAAGTAGTGTGGAAGAGACACTTTTCACCTCAGACCATTTAGGTTTCTATAGTAGAGATCTTACAATGAATTATCGATTTGTTTTCTGATCACAATACTTCCAAGGATTGTTTGCCTTTGCTTGTGCGAGTCATTTGCTTCCGAGTTGTGCCGAAGGAAGGGGTAAGCCTGCCCAGTCAGGCACGCCAGCATGCTCCTGCATCATGCCGACACGTGCCTTGTTTTCCGTACGTATATCCTGGGTCAGTCCCCGCGAAAAGAAGAATCAGAATTGCTTCCCTAAATCAATATTCGTGTGTTTATACTCTAGTACTTGGAGATAATGGCTGATCCGCTCGCCAACGTACCGGAGGTGCCCTCCGTGGATGCCGCGAAAGCAAAGGAGCTCGTGGAAGTCAAAAAGTTTGCGTTCTTGGACGTTCGCACTGTTGAAGAGTATGAAAAGGGTCACGTCGCGGGATCCGTCAATGTTCCATACCTGTTCTTCAAGGAGGATGGCAGTAAGGAGGTGAGCACGTGGCCTGCATCACTGATGTCATGCCCTAAAATTGGCCTCATATTGTGCAGCAGAACGTGAAGGGTCCTCTAATGATTTTGATGGCACCTTCAGTGAGCATCCATACAGCGTTAATTCTGTTCAGCGCCAAACTAAACCTTCACCTACCTGCTTTCCTATTCTCCGAGGATCCATGCACTTTAGCGATCATGCATCCTGATGGATACTGAGACAACTTTGCTGCTTGTGAACGCAGCTGAACCCGGAGTTCTTGGAGAAGGCCACAGCTGCACTGCCCGATCCCCACGCAGATATTGTTGTCTCTTGCCAGATGGGGAGGCGTGGCGCTCTGGCAACAAAGGCTCTCCAGGATGCTAAGTACACAAGTGTTGTCAATCTTGACAAGGGGCTGAGCACCTGGACTTGCCCTTTGCAGAAGTAGCACAATCCAGGACAGCTGGCATTATGATCACTCAGAGCAGCAGCTATTGCTAGCATTCAGCATGTCCTTGATAACTCCTGCCCAGGTATCCTGCAGCAGTAATGCTCCTTGTCAGGATCTGAGAGCCAGCAGCAAGGTTAGTGATATCCCACTCTTGGGACATTTCAAGTCTTGGGGGTGCCTTCATCCGATGGGCGGCATAGCCACATTAGGGAGCTAGTTGGCGCTTTTATCCTCAGATTAATTATTGTTTTGGGACTGCTTGGCAAGCATTTGAAGCACTCGTGTTGATGAACGCGGCATGCACCGGCCAGGTTGGAAATAAATCCATCGTGCTATTGTTTGCAAATTTTAAAGTGCACACATTGTGCTTTCAAAGTTTGAGGTTGGTTGCAAAGTGATGAGGGTTGTAAATGTGTGCACAGTTAAGTACTGTGGTAGTTCACAATGCGGGGGATGGTGTGTTCATCAAGTTCTCAAGACACCAGCTCAGCTAAATCCATGAAGTTGCAGGCTAGAGGTGTTTAAGTTGTAGGTAAAATTCATGGCCATGAGATTGTTTAAGAACTGTTTTGGGTGGTTACCGTTGTGGTTTGCTCGCATTCTCAGCTCACCCTTCATTCATGATCATCTTCATGAAGTGCGCACATTGTAATGTGAATTGGTGGCAGGTGCAAATTCATCACACTCATAAAGACAATCGCAAGTTCTTTCATCCTCTATTATAAAATATCTCACATATATTAAAGTATATACTCAGGCCTCACGAAGGGCATGTGCCCGTATACACGTGACCATCACCAACCAGCATTGTGCATCAGTTTTTCCGAGAAGTATACGAGGCAACTCGCAACACTTAAATTTGTCTACATCTAGCTTATTGAGCGCATTGCATATCAGAAGCACTGAACAGGGCTGCTGGAAATCCCCAGCCAGTGACACGTGCAAGATTGTCCGGATCGTTCCCAATCATACATGTATGAGAAGGCACTACAGGAGAACGCCATTGCTGCTGGATAGGTATACAGAGCAATCTGAAGGTGAAATAATTGATAGACAGTACTCTGTCAGGCATCAGTGCTCTCCATGCTTCTGCACAGGTTCAGCTTCTGCATGAAGAGCAGCAAGAGGGCCTCTTGATGAGCTGCCGCTGGAGCAGTGTGGTCTCCTTGCATCATCTTCAGCTCCTCCCATGCATCATTGTGGTGTCCAGCAAAATAATACAGGAGGCATAGCTCCAACTGGGTGCTCCTGTCCGAGCACATGGACTTGTCCAGCCCGGAAGACTTGCACAGTGAAAGATTGCTGGAACAGAATTTGTCTCAGATCTCAGGGGCACTTCGGATTCGAGCTGTCACACAAACAGCAGAGAAGGGGCGCTGGCAGGCAGAATGGCAAGGTAGGGATGGTGCTGGCAAAGTCAATGAGCACCTGCATCCTGGCAGCAGGTAGGCCCTGCGCTCTGCAGCAGCAATGGCTCGCTCCATGTTCATGCCTGGGCACAGCAACAGCACTTTGTGAGCGAGAGTCACCACAGATGAGTGTCTTCCAGAGGTCTACCTGGCAAGGCTGGCAGCTTAAGAAGTGCGCTTCTCAAATATGCACTTAGCTGTGACGACGATTCCCAATACGCTTCACATAGTTCACTGACACACAATGCATGCCGGCCCTGATTTTGCCAGCGGTCACAAGAGGCGCATTGAGTATACCATGCAAAAATTGATTCACATGCGCTGCCAATGGCACAATTTTACCCCTGCAAGAGTCCTACAGTACCTCAATACCAGTGCTCACTCAACTCCCGGGCGGACACATCAGCAAGCGGGCGCGCACCAGTGATCTGTGCAATGGTGCCGGTGCTGCCCAGGGCGGTGGACAGGGACACAGGCACCATGAGGCCCGGCTCCGGCTGGCAGCCGACCGCGGCGGCCCAGTGGGTGTCTCTCAGCGTGGCCAGCAGCGCTGCCAGGATCTCCCTCTTGGTCGCCGGGTTGGTCAGCAGCTCGTCGCTGGGCCCCTCATGCTCAAACACCTGGCAGATCTGCGCATGTGCGTGCAGGAAGCTTACGTCAGCATGTTGTAAAAAAGTCTTCTCTCAGTCCTTGACTCTTAACCGAGTCCTTTGATCAAGCCAACTCCCGCCAAGGTCAAGCGTGGGACACAAGTCCTCCATCTAGTGTCCTCACCGCGCCAGTACTACACGGTAAGATGGCCATCGGTAATAAGTCCTCCAATGCTGGGGACACCCTGTTGCTTAGACTGAACGAATGTGCGTGACGAGGTGCAGGACAGCATGCCAGGCTTATGGGGCAGATATCAAGGCATGTCCTGACTCTGCTGTCTGGCTCTACTAAAATTACTATATATAATTCTTAAAATACTACTACAGGGGGAAAAACAACGCGCACCTCGTCCAGGAGAAAGAGGGCGCCCTTGCTGTAGGCGTCGACGACGAAGCGCTGGCCGCAGCTGCGCAGGGGGGCGTCGGTGGGCCACAGCACAAAGTAACGGCCCCCCTCCAGCGGCCGCGCGGCCATGCGCAGGCCTATTCGCTCGCACACCTCCATGTACAGGATTGCCAGCGCTGCAGAGCCCCCCGTGCCCCTCTCCAGCACCGTGCTCAGCTGGCTGTCCCTGTGCGTTGTATGCTATGAACTCAGCATCGCATCAGAACTGTACATGTTACAAGGCTGCACCCTCTTTCTGTGCAAATTTGCAGGAGTGCATGCGCACACTTCCTGGGCTCGATTCTCTGCTCTGTGGCAGCCCGTCTGGCTTGAAAAGTGTCCAACATGGGCCTACAATATGATCTGCAATGCCCTAATGTTGTATTCGAGATACTTCTGAATCCAAGGCCAAAGCAGGAAGGCAATCACTGGACCGTGGCATAGACGCTAGCGTTGGGTGGCCAGGTGTCAATTTCTTGGGTACGGAAGGGCACACCTGGGGTCGCCATGCCGGGTCATGCGGCGGTAGCCATGCCGCTCAAACAGCACGTCGTTCACGGCCGCCAGTGCCTGCACCGGGTAATCGCACACCGGCGAGCGCACCCCCCTCACCGGCCCGAGTCTGTGCTGCTCATGCGCCCGCGGCCTGCTCTGGCGCCGCTGCTCCTCCCCGCTACTGCTCAGTTCTGCTGTGTCCGCCGTGCCCGGCCCCCCTTGCCGCCCCTGTTTCTGCCTCCGACCTTTTCTGCTGTTGAGGCCATTGACCCTGCTCCTAGACGCTCCAACAGACCCATCATCCAATCTACCGCTCTCGCTCACCGGCGAGTTGGGAACTGACCCAGTTCCTCTCCCCGTGCTCTGCTGCTGATTCTCAGCACTGCTTGCGTTGGCCTTGCTGTCAGCAGTGCCCTGGCCATTTCCCCTGGTGGCTGCAGAGTCTGGGTGGAGATGGAGGGAGGTGCTTCTCCTACGAGGCTTGGGCTCCAGTGGCGGTGGGGGGTCCCTGGGCTTCACTGGAGCAGGCCCCATGAGGCAGCGAGTCCGGAACAGCGCAGCTGCTTCTGCTGCCAGCGCATCCAATCGCTCTAGGCTCCAAGTGGATGCGCTGCCAATCTCCCTGTGCAAAGACAAGCTTTCCGTTCAGGACACCGTCTAATCACGTTTTCAACACCTGCCAGGGCTCGGCAACACTCTTGTGTGCGAATGAGCTATGCAACAGAGTGCAGGAAGAATGGGGTCCAGGGACACACCGTGGAGGGTACAGGTGAGTCTCATTTCCCATGTTCCCGCCTACAAAGTTGTCCACTATTCTGGACGTCCTCGCTCTGCTCTCCTGCTCATCCACAACTGCCGCGGCTTCATCCTCCAGAGCAATGAGCATGCATGCCTTGGCCAGTGTGATGTGCTCATCAGGCTTGGCGGTCTCCTCATAGAAGCGCTGCCTTGCCCATTCAGCAACCTGCACAGTAAGGAAATGACCAATCTTGTTGAGCTGTGTCATGTGCAGAGTTCATGACGCATGGAAAGCATGAGGTTTTGACCGTTGAAAGGAAGGCAAATACGAGGCAGATACCTCTCGCGGATGAGATGGCACCGAGAGCGACGACGCTTGGCACAGAGTTAGTTGCCTGAATGCGTGACTGATCCAGTGCAGTCTAAAATGTTTTGAACGCGGTTGAAACGAATGACCAGAGAAATTGGCGCTGCCCAAGGTCTGGTGCACTGATTGTGAGGGCATCTGATCCAAGATCTGTGTTTTTCGATCTCACAGATTTAGGCATCCCCTTGATGTCTTGCACAATGTCTCATCTACAGTCATTCAGTACCCTTCTCATTCGAACAGCCTGAGATCCTTGTGCCCTCTGGGCCGGGTGAAGAGCATCAAACTTGATGACCTCACTCTCACGTGTGCAATCCAACAGTGTTCGGAGATCCCAAGGACTGCTTTCCCGCACCAATCTTCTTATGTGGATCGTCTTCGGATCAATGCTCCATTCAATCGATTAGTTCAAGTAGAGGAGCACCGGGAAAGTCTGGGAGACTCTGGCAGCCTCCACGCTGTCGTGATCGTTTGTGCTAAGGAACAGAATTAAAACGGAGAAACCTCCAAAAGTTTCGGTGTGTGAGAGGACAGGATGCAGATATTTTCTACACGTGTGAACGTAGAAGTATCTTGGAAAGCTTCCGAAGATACATTCATGCCTGTGCTTGGGACTATGGAAGGTTGATGATACGTGCTATCGCTCTTTGTGCTTCGCAGTCGCGACAAGATCGGTATAAATGCTTTGCAAGGTCCCTCAAATGAATCTAGAAATTATCATGTGCTTAAGTGCTGTCGGTAAGCTTTAGACCAGAGGAGGACCCCTTACCTCTGCAGCTATGGCACATTTTGCACACTTGATTAGTTTCAAGTCAGCCCTGCATATTGGAAGGCATTCTATTTCCAAGTGGCCGGCCATTGGCTTGCAAGTGGATCCTCCAGATTTTGTGACATAGCAGCATACATACCTGCACGCTGACTATGTCCAGGTTGCAACCAATAGTGTACGGCTGAATTGATAGGAGGAAGGGCAAATTTGAACGGCGCGGCTGGCAGCGGACCCAGCCCCCGAGGAGTCCAACGCTCTTGCAACTAAGAACATCGCGGATACATCTGCTGTCAGCGGAGCAGAGGTGAGTCCTCACAAGGCCTGCGCATGCTGTAGTCTTTATCTGTATGCCATGGGGAGCAACATTCCTTAAGCTTGAGTGGAGGCATGTTTCTACATGGCATAGTTTCACAATCTCCTTAAGAGCATCCCGGCCTTCAAGGAAAGTTTCCACGTGGCCACAGTATTTGTTCACAGCATTCACCATGCTTGAGAGGCATCATGCTGGTGTCAGCGCTGCAGAATTTGCCGCCCTGCCTGATATGGCTAAATTCTGCTTAATCAAATCTGACATTGAGATTTAACTCCCGAACTTGAAATCAGACTGAGGTGGCAGCTGTCACTGCAATTTAGTAAAGCTAAGTTATCGTGCCAGGATTTCTCCGAGCTGTTGATGTGCACCACTGGTCCAACTGATTGGCAAGTTGGCAACCGTTGCTAGCATGCTTCGGAGTCCAAGCCGCGTCGGTCATGAGCGCCTAGTATCAACTATGGACAGAATTAAAAGTCATCCTCTGAGTTTGGTGACAACCAACTCAGGGTTGACCATGCTCGACTTCTTCCAAGAGAGAGAGAGAGAGAGAGAGATTACACTTTTTCCAGCCACACAGGGCTGATTAAGCGTCCCACATATCTCAAACCATCAGTAGCACACACATCATGAATACCCGAAAATATGCATCCCAGCACGCAGACAAGTATCAACTGCCAAAAAGGACTGCAAGGCTGCTTGTGGATGTATGTCGGTCCAAACCAGCGACAAGTCAAGGGCAGGACATGGACGCAAATCACAGGCCAAACAGATTGTGCGTGCTGCGGGTGGGTCCAGCCATTTGCTGTCATTGTAAAGACTGCCCAAATCCTTGCAATAACAGCGCTTCTCGGTGAAACAAGCAAGGGGGGTACCCAATGCCCCACAATGCTTGCCGCCACCTGTATTGCTAAGCTACTACACAGCAGCATGTAGACCCGTACCGAACCAGCAATGCAAGGTCACCAAACAGATCCTCAGACCTGCACTTGTACTGTGGATCAAGTACCCCCACAAGGAGCACAGCTGAGTGGTTTGCAAAGGCACACCTGGACTGGCAGGTGTTCAAGGAGCTGCAATCAGGTGAAAACTGCAGGAGGTTAGACTGAAATCTCCTCAAAGCCCCAATACAGCTTGTACGCGCTTTGTCCTAGGTTTGGACCAGGACCCAGAACATCCTGCCTGGGTTTTGCAGGGCACACACAAGAACGCAACACTGCAAAATCTGCTTGTTCTGTAAAAGGTCTCATGGCCATTTCTATTACTGCGGTCGATTCTTCGCGTCAGACAATGATGCAAACAGCCGTCGCATCCTTCTTTTACTGGTAATGGCGGCTGGCGGCTGTTGCCTCTTCCGCCCCAACCAAAGCTTGGCCGTCCTAGATATTTTTACTACTGCGTCATTAACATCAATTTATTATTATGCTTCCCAGCCGCTATCGCCTGGCCTCTGTCTGCTCCACTTTTGTATACCCACATTGTTGCTGTCAGGGCCGCCTCTGTTGAAGCGTCGCTTTGTGCCCGGCGATTATTTCGTCTGATTACGTCCTTTCATTGAATTCTCTGTGATGTTGCCTGGCTGCTGAAGCCCGACCCAGTTGATCAGTGGTTTATGGTGATGCCGTTAACTGTAAAAGGGCCGCCTCTATCGAAGCACCTTGCCCAGCCATTATGTATGTTGCCATGATTGTCGAGGAGCCGGATCCCGAAGGACCCAGGCCCCACCAGGAGAAAGCCATGGGATTTCCAATGGCATTAAAGTACACGCAAGGGCAGATCCATCAACCATCACCGTGATGGTGACTGGGTGCATCAAATGCATGCACGAGCGCCAGCTGCAGCGCCGGTTCCGGAGCTTACCGTACGGGAGAGGAGCCTCCTCATGCTAATCTTATCATCTTCTCAACAAATCTGCAGGAAAGTCGTATGCATGTTCTCTTGCATGCTCTGAGACGCTAGCCACGCCCGTCTGATCCCCCAGATATTGGAACTGCGGCCCAGGCGCCACATCAACATCGATCCTTGCATCTGATTGGCCGGAGCCAGATCTCAATTGACCCGAAGGAGGACGCTTGTGCCTCACACACCCATCTCCCATCCCCTCCACGCTCCTCCTGCTGCCATTGGATAGCCAGGTTCTTGTGCTGTCCCCCTTTGACGAGACGCTCATCCGGGGTGGGCCCAGCGCAGAGGATGTGACCGGGGTGAGCAGGGTGCGTGCATGATGATTGGAAGCTCGGCCCAATTCACACAGGCTCTGCCTGGTCTCTCACGGGCAGGTAAGCAAGGCAGAGGATGTGGATTGGCCGCAGTCAGCCAGCAGGCTCCAGTTGCCCCCCCAATGCGAACAGGCACAAGGGGCACGAGCGCGCACAAGTTTAGCCAAGAGCCTCAGATATTGGAGCAACAGAGCACGCTAAACACGCCCTTGGATGTGTTGACGGATGACCTGCGCTTCCTGCAAGCGAAGACTGGGTTGGATCTGCTCACACCCCTACAGGAGGTGAAAGAAGTCCATGATCAGGTATGTCTCTGTTGTGATATGCCAGACGCTTTGCAGAAGCACCCGGACTCATTTATACATTGTTAGTTTCGTTCATGCTCTACCGTTTGCATGAAGACTGATCGGAGGCATAGTACGAGGAGGAAGAATGTGCTGACCACCTGTCTGAACAATGCAGGTAGTGGCAGCTCTGAACCCCATCGCTGGCGAGAGGATGCAGGAGGATCTAGAGGGAAGGATATATGCACTCCAAAGCGAGCTGGAGCGGGCACACCGCGAGGTACAGCTCTTTGTGGAGTGCTAGCACTGCACGTGCTGATGGAACTAATGTATACCACAGACACCAGAGATAGCTGTTCTTAGGTTGCCAACACGCACCGCAATGACGCAGGTGCACTGTTCTGAGGAGCAGCTTGAGAGCACCATCGAGGAGCTGACGAGGCTGGAGATGGCAGCGCACGGCTTCACCGAGGTCCTCAGCAAATCAGCGGCGAAGCAGTCAGCACGCTCGGGAGCAGGAGCCTCCGCATCTGAGGAGTCTGCCTCGGCCTCGCAGCAGAGCGCAGCATCTGCAGTGCAGCAACTCAGCAGCGTGCAGCAGCTCCAGCGGCAGAGAGACGACGAAGCAGAAGGCGCTGTGGGCGTCCGGCAGCGGCATGAAGCCCAGCAGCAGAGACCACGACCGCCAGACAAACAAAGGCATGCCCTCAAACCCTGTGTTTTTTCCTATCACAACTCCTTGCGCGCCCCTGCTAGCCCTGGCAGCGGTTCTTCACTGTTGCAATGTAGCTCCTCACAGCTTGGATTGATGCTCAGGGAGCTTTCGATTGAACTAATGCGTGGCTGTCTGAAAACTTGAACGGTCTTCGGGCAGGAACAAGCAGCTGCAGTCAGACTTGGACCTGCCGGAGCAGCTGCAGGACTTCTGGTATCCGGTGGCGTTCAGCTCGCAGCTGAAGGATGGGGCCATGGTGACAATGGAGCTGTTTGGGAAGCCGTGGGTGCTGTTCAGGGACGCCCAGGGGCTGCCTTCCTGCGTCAAGGACGCCTGCGCGCACCGCGCCTGCCCACTTTCCCTGGTGAGCACTCCTTAATTTGTGCAATTTGTGGAACTCAGGAGCGTGCAACGAGAAGTAGCAGTGCTCGGAGCTAGCGCAAAACAGCAAGGCTAGGTGACATGCAAAGCTGGACGTCTGGGCATTGAAAGGCGCTGTTGTGGCACGCAGGGGTCGGTGGTGGATGGGTGCATTCAGTGCCCGTACCACGGCTGGCAGTACGACGGCAGCGGCAACTGCACCAAGATGCCCTCCACCGCTTTCTGCAAGGGCATCACCGTGTCCACGCTGCCCGTGTCCGAGTCCGAGGGCTTTGTGTGGGTCTGGCCCGGCCGCTCCGTGCCGGAGCACAACGTCCCCCAGCACGTTACGCGGCCCCCTGATGGCTTCACCGTGAGTCACCCCACCTTTTTACTCCTCCCTTTCTTGCCTGCATGACTCTTGCCCTGTCGGCCTTTTATGTCATTCCTGGGCATCGGCACCTTTGGGGTTGTATCGATGTTTAAAACCTGGCAAATCCCTTGCAACAACCCCCCATCACAGCAGGACATTGTGCACTTTCAAAGAGCTCGAAGAGGCATCACAGCAGGACATTGTGCACTTTCAAAGAGCTCGAAGAGGAACTCTGAGCTCAAAGACTGCACTACTCCATGCACCAAGCCGATTATCAATGGCGCTATATTGCCAGCAAGTAAAGGAGAAGCATCCAGTCGTCAGCTAAGTAATCTCCCAGTCATCAGATTAGTAATCGTACTGAGTTCTCATGCAGGTGCATGCGGAGCTGATACTGGAGGTTCCAGTGGAGCACGGCCTGCTGCTGGAGAACCTGTTGGATCTGGCGCATGCGCCGTTCACGCACACGAGCACGTTCGCCAAGGGGTGGCCTGTGCCGGACGTGGTGAAGTTTAACGCGGCGCGCATGCTGGGCGGCAACTGGGAGCCCTATCCCATCGACATGGCCTTTGAGCCCCCCTGCATGGTCCTCTCCACCATCGGTGCGTCTGCAGTCCCCTGCTCGGTAGAGAAGCCATTTTTTGTCTAGTACCGAGGACCCGCTGATATTTGCATCTTCAGAGCTGACTCCTGTCAGCATGTGTCGAGGTTCTTCATAGGACACCTGGTCGTACATCTTTTTGCATGTGCTATGCTGCACTGTTTCAGGATTGGTGTATGCTTTCTGAGCCTGCTCCTCATGGCTACTGCTGCTGTGGAGGCCTTGTGCAAGGCATATAAGTGTGTGCAAGCATGTGCTTTAGCGTGGTCTGGTGCATGCGGCAGGACTAGCGCAGCCAGGGAAGATAGAGCGGGGGGCGCGCGCGGCGAGTTGCAAGAACCACCTGCACCAGCTGCACGTGTGCCTGCCGGCCGGCCCCGGGCGCACGCGGCTGCTCTACCGCATGTCCATGGACTTCCTGCAGTGGACCAAGGCCGTCCCCGGCATCCAGGCCTTCTGGGCTCACATTGCTAAGCAGGTGCTCTGCCGCCCCTCTCACTCCACTGCTCCAGATGGTGCACAGTCGTGAGAGGCGCATAGACCAGCCGTGCTTTGTCAACTGGGTGTCTGGGAATCAAATCACATATATCATACAAGAGTTGAAGGCTGGTGACGTGGCGAAAGCCTGTGCAGCCGCATGTGGGGCAGGCTGACTGCCAATGAACTCATTTAGTCGTAGTCTATGCGTCCATGAAGTCATGGTTACAGATCACAACCGTTGACTGATCACATGTGCGCACTTGTCCTGCGCAGGTGATGGGGGAGGACCTGGTGCTGGTGGCGGGGCAGCAGGACCGCATGCTGCGCGGCGCGGACGTGTGGGCCAACCCGGTGGCCTACGACAAGCTCGGAGTCCGCTACCGGCGCTGGCGCAACAGCGTCGCGGCCGGCTCCTCCGCCGAGCGCGCGCAGGCCGAAGCCGAGCTGCGCCCCATGTCCGCGGGGGAGCTCTTCCATGTCCCGGACGACGGCTGCCAGCTCGGCGAGGTCTGCGATGTCGGCGACCTGCAGCCCTGAGCAGTACTTGCATCGAATCTTGGCCTGACTGGTGCACCAGAGCAGCACTGTAGTAGCTTGCAACAGTAGCCTGACTGGTGCACTATAGCAGCACTGCAGTGCCCCTTAACCGCAGCATGAGTGCTGTACTTCAACGCACTGCAGGGGCTTTCAACAGCAGCCTGACTGCTGCGCTACTGCAGCACTACTGGAAGCAGCACTGACAGCATCGGGCTAGAGTGCCGGTTGGACACAGTCCAAACTGCGGATGTTGGCTGGGCTGTCAGTTGCGCTAGGAGTCTCCTGTGTCCCTGGTGGTAGCACCGCTTGTTTCTGTGCAGGGAAGTATCTCCTTGGCCTGAGTAGGCGAAAGCAGAGTGTGCCGAAAGGCGTCCTCCAGCGTGGGAGATTGTGCTGTGGAGATGTGCGTTGCTGAACTTTGGCGTAGGCTCTAGGGGACATTTTGTTTGCTCTGGGGCTGAAGGGCGGCTGATAGGGCTCCTGGTGGAGCATTCGTTGACCTACAAAGATGTAGAGCAGGAGTGTAGAATCCAAGTTGATAGGTAGAGTGTGGTACGCTGTGTCGAGATTGTCTTAACCTTCGTGAGCGTTGCTATATGAGCTATAAAAGATCTGAACAACACAGATGATGGGTTTTGTTGGTAGCATGGCTTGCACTTGTCGAGTACGATTTGCAAATATATGCTGGGTTCCTTGGCCTTTGGCGCCCATGAGGGGGGTACAGACAATGGATCTGTTTTTGGAAAGTGTCCCATCTGCTGTTCTGCAGCTCCTACTATTATTATTTGTGCACTTGTTGGCGGAAAGGGACCGCATCGTTTTCGCCAAGGCCTGCGCCATTTCTGCGCTGCAAGCCCCACCAGTGCCAAGCATTCTTTATTCATCAGCTTACGTAGTGGTATACCGGATGAAGGTGCACTTCATGACTTGAAAGAGGTGCCGAGAAGAAAGAATCTATTGAATTAAGTACAAGGCTTAGCTGATGGATCTCCGGAGAGTGGATGTAAGGGATGTACACCTCGATGCATCCTCTGTAGGATGGAAGCAATTGTGACTGGCAAGTCCGATCTGTGTAAACTATTTCACGAGACGTTTCCCAATCAAACTCATCGAGACCCCCATGCATCCAGATGCCACTCCTACCGTATTAACGGATACACAATAATACTCAAGCTCTCTAATTCCAGCGCCTGAATCTACACGCGAGCCACTGACAGCACAGCTTTCGCAATTTCCTTCATGTCGCGTTTGCAGAGCATGATACATCGGTGGCATATTGGCACACGTTAAACTTTCTGCCGGAAACAATATCAGGCAGTTCCACCCCAGTCAACTCCCATACACTGCCCTTCCATAGGCCTAGGCATGGATGCCAGAGCCCGGATATTCATGCGCAGCTTGTGTCAGCGCCGCTGACTCAGCGGTTCTGATGCCAGCGCAGCCGCCGCGACAGCCGCTCGAACATGGCGCCGAGGCCAACGCCAAAAAGTTGGAACACGACGCGGCGCCAGACCTGCCGCCGGCGCTCGCTCTTTGCCGCCTGCGCCGCCTTTCTGCGCACGGGTGACAGCGCATCGCGCATGCGCGCTATGTACGCTGCGCACGTCGCCGCGGCATCGCAGGAGCCGTCGGACGCGCGCGCCACTGCTGAGCTGGACAGCCACGGCGCTCCCAGCAGCAGAACACCCACCTGCACATCCGCCTGATGTCATGTCTTGCACCTTACTTCATGGATTCAGTTGCTTGAGCGCGCTTAACATAGCATGAGTCACTGTCACATCATCAAGTCTCATAACCAAATGTCCTTGAAATCGCTGCATCCCCAGTGCCAGACAAGGCTTGTCTAAGGCATTCCATGTCGTGATGGCAGGCTCTAGGATGCAAAGCTCATCACAAGTTGACAGGCTGGAAAAGATGACCATGGCTACGGGACCCGGATACACTACCATAATCTCAGTCTTGGGATTCAGTACGTGCAATGCCACCAAGGTTATCCAATGAAGTACTAGAAAGAAGACCACTGTGCTTGGCTTGCAACAAGAGTGAGTTGGGTTGAGGAGGAGCTTCAGGGCAGCGCACCTCCAGATTGCGTTCGCCCTTGATGCAGCGCATGCACAGCAGCTCGGCCAGGTGCTGAAGGGAGCTGTCCGTCCAGAATGGCAACACCTGCACCATTAAACGCCCATGTCAGCAACGTTCTGAGCATCCTCATGTCTCCTGGATACCCTCAAAGGCACCATCGCGGCTTCCTCCAGTGCAAACTGTGTAGTGTATCTAGAGCAACAGAAGCTCTCTGTAAGAGCCTCGGCTAATCTCAACACTCTACGCACAGTGCAGCCAGCAACAGTGTGCGAAATACTTTTCTGCACCCTCTCTGTGACGTCAACATGACTAAGCACAGCCTCAACTAATGCACAGCAGTGTAAAAATGGTGTACCTCGTGGGGTGGTGGGCTGCTCTCGTGCGGCAGGCGCTCGCTGACTTTGCTGAGGTCCAGGATGTGCAGCTGCGGCAGAGCACCCAGAATGGCCACGTCCTTGGGGCCCACCTGCCAACATCATATCACTATTACTGTATTATTATTATTATTGTTACACTAGACCCGTTGGGAGCCACCTGAGGCTCATTGGTCTTGTGGGCAGTCTTCCACTTCCGTTCTTCCTACTTACCTTGTCACAACTGTAAATCCGCCAACGCCGGAGGGAGACACATCTCTGGACACACGCAAACCCATGAATCCTAGGTTGGCTCATGGCATTTGTGGACGAGCCAGGCGACTCGTATTTCCCTGGTCTTTGTATGGGCATGTTAGCAGATGTTCTACAGCTTTGCAGCACCCAGGCACCAAACAAATACAGTGGATCCCACTTTGCTGCACAAGCTCTTTACAGGCGACATGTCCTCTATCCTTGCAATAACCCCCTCAAACCTACAAAGGGCGGGTGGTTGTGTAAAGATTCCTAGGAATGGCATTCGACAGTACGCAGCTCTATCAGGCTCACCTGCAGGTCCTGGTTGCAGGACAGATCCAGGTGCGTCAGCTGCCCGGCGGCTGCCAGGGCCGGGGGAATGCAGCGGAAGCAGTTGCCCTCCAGGTCCAGCACCTTCAGCGCCCCCAAATAGCGCCCCTTGGGCAGACTCTGCACTCGCCGAACCACCAGTCAGAATGTTGTGCACTTCGCAGCATGCACGAGACGTTGCTCGTCATCTTGCTGGATAAGCATGCTGCTGTGGGGTGACAGCTTCACTTATTTTACATTCCAAGACAAAGAGGTTTTTTGCAAACTTCAAGCAGCTGCGCCCCAGTTATCAATTGTGAAGTCACTAAATACGACCTGACTTCACCCATACAGCAGCGTAGCTGGCACGCACCATCCACAGCATAGAGGTTCGGATCATTCTGAAGAGACATACCTTGTAATGATTGTGCTTCATCCAAACGCAGTCAAGGAAACACTTGGGAGCATGCAAAGGACTGCCTTGCCATTCGCCGCCGTTGCTGAGTGCTGACAACAAGATAACAGCAAAATGTGAAGGGGGTGCACCTGGAGGCCGCAGTAGCGGAGGCTGAGGCGGCTGGGGTTGCACTGCCAGGAGGTGCCCAGCACCGGCGGCAGCGCCACCAGCTGGTTGCACCGCGCCAGCAGCATCCGCTGCAGCCGTGCGGCAGCTGCCGCAAGCACACGCCAGTCAACACAACCCAATTGCATCGATCCCATATGCAACTAAAGCCACCAGAGGCCATGCACCTGGTCCAGCAGTCATGCTGGTGAGGTATTTGACTCTATGGTCCACGCTAACCAAATGCATGACAGGGACAGACTGAACAAGTTGATCTGAGAACACCCCAAAGCCCAGTGCGTGTATGAAAGCAAGTGCAAACGATGGAGCAGATATGGACCTTTGAGGAGGTCTGAGTCGATGGCTTGGCTGGTGGAGCGGCGGCAGACGATGTTGAACATGTCCATGAGCTCCAGCAGAGGCGGCATCAGCCGCAGCGTGTCCTCCCAGGGCACCATCATGCCAGGCTCCACACTCGTGCAGTCCTCTATGCGCACCTCCTGTGCAGCACCACGAACCATGAGACGAAAATGCACAAGAAGCAGGCGAGTGATCCATACTCTGAGCATGAGACCCTTGAGAAATATGATACACAATGGAGCAGGAAAGTGGGCCCACAGATCATGGATTCATTGGTCTCCATTCAGAAAATTACAGAGGGATCCACAGAAGTGTGGCATTCTAAGTTTCGGTGAGCATTTTTGCATTTTTGCAGCGCTTGCACCCAGGCAGGGCAGAAAGCCAGATTTTTAGTGACACAGAAGGTGATAGTCATGACCCGTAAGTTATGGCACCTCTGCAACGGGAACAACTTCAGGCCTGGTTGGACCTGGATATAAACACTGCACATCAGAGAACAGGAAAATGATATGAAGGGCGCGAGGAGGGTCAGGCACCTCGAGGGAGGGCATGGAGAGGAGCTGGTCGAGGCAGCCCATGGCATCGAGGCGGCACTGGCGCAGGCTGACGCTGCCGAGCCCCCGCAGCTGCGCGAAGCTTCCCGGCAGCTCCAGCGCGCCGCAGGAGTCCAGTCGCAGCTTCTCCAGGGACGTCAGCCCCATGACCTCCTATGCAACCCACACCTCGCATCAGTAAGCTCATCTTTCTTATTGGGGTTTGAAGCATGCTCTATTTTGCTCTCCCGGTTTATAATCAGGCATGACCTGGCCAAGGTCTGCAGGTGGGCGGACGCTCTCTCCCAGTTGAACCCCCTTGTCGCAGAAACAGCTTGAAGCCCCCGCATCAAAGAAACGTATCGAAGAAGCAAAGGTCATACGTGGCGGCAGGGTGAAGGACCTGCCTGGGGTAAAGTACCACGTAGTTGTTTTGCTAAGAACAAAAAACAATATGACAAGAAACTTAATCAAAAGGAGACCCCTTCAGATTGCTTAGGATCGGGATTTGCCCTGTTTTGGCAGAATTGCACAAAACACTGTTGCCTACATACTTAAAGCCACATGCAACCTTCCTGGACAAAGCTGAACTTGCCATTGGCTCCCATGGCAACAGCGACTGCAGCTGAGCGAGCCACACATCGGCCAATGACGGCCACCACACAGATATTTTGGTGCCTACTAAAGAAGCAGCACAGCTAAAGTGGGGAGCAGACCTCGGGCAGAGCTATGGCGGGGCGCTCAAAAGCACGCAGGCTGATGTCCAATTCAGTCAGGTGCGATAAACGACACAGTCCGGCAGGAAATCCTCCCGCCCACTGCATCAACGCTGCGCCTGTCCCCTCTGCCGGCTTGGGCGACGCATGCATGTCGAACGCCAATTCCGTAAGTCTGCTCAACCTGCGCGCAGTAGCAAAATTCCATCTCACAGAAAGCAACCCAAAAACGATTTATTCTCACTTCACCTCTTGACACTGCACAAACCATCAACACCATGCACAGCATTCAAAGCTGGCCGAAACACATTGTACATGGGGCAAGGCATTCCTGCCAGAAGATGCAAGATACCCAGGTGTTTCCGTGACAAGTTGCCACGGAGCATGCGAGGGAAGAGGCGCACCCGCCAAAGGGATCCAAGTCTTGGGCGACAAAGGAGGGCTCGGGCGCGAAGGAGACCGACAGCTCGCGGAGGCCAGTGCAGCGTTGCAGCAGATTGGCCAGCAGGGCAAGCTGAGCCCCGCTCAGGCTGCCCACGGCAAATATGCGCATCTCCCGCAGCAGGTGCAGCTCGGGCAGTGTCGCATGCAGCAACCTGCGTACCAAGCACCCCAACAAGGCGCGTGAGTACAAAGGATGCTGTCATGTGCTGCCGACAGACATATGCATGAGTGCAGATAGCAATTAAAAATGCACTCTGCCTTGCTGGGTCGACCATTGGGAGTTCCTGGGCAGATCTCATCTCAGCCCTTGGTCCTTGTCAACCGGCGCAAGAGGTCTGTGACTACCTGTCCAGAGGTGCAGGCCCCTCCGAGGCGACGGTGACAAAGAGGGAATGGACACAGCAGGAACGCCGCCGGAGCCAGTGTGTGAGCCGCCTGCAGTCAATGCCGCCCTCCCTGGCCTTGCCGTCACTGGATGTGACATCCGTGACCTTTACCCTTTCCCACATGAGGCTCGGGGCGCATGCCGCAGCATTCCATGCTCTGCACACGAGAGGCACTACCTGCAGCCTGCAGGTGATCGTGCATCGTCAGTAATCTGCATTGTACCATCACAAGAAGATCACTAGAGGGGGTTCTTTCTCAGGCAAATATTTTGCTTTGCCAGTATGCGCCACGCGAACATGATGCTGTACAAGCGCAGCTGAGGATACTAGGCTGCAAATCATGTGGTAGAAAGGGCCTCCCCCTGAATATATTAGATCCACCCGGATCTGACGACTTGTTGGTGTATGCTCACGAGTGGATTGCAGCAATCTCACCTCTCGCTTTGGTCGAGAATGGAGAAGATCCGCTGTAGGACATCTACCTCCAGCTCGTTTATGTTCATTCCGTATTCCTCGGATATATTTGGCATGGCTTGCTTGCCTTTCTTCCGTCTACCTGAGGCAGCAAAGTGGCACGTCAGGCAGACGAAGATCATTTCTGGATGCTGTAACGTAGCTCCGATGTTCCATTTGGTGTTCAATTCAACAAACAACTCCTTATACAGTATTATGGAGACGATCAGCTCCCAAGGTACTGCAGCACTTCAATTGAGGAGGGCCAAACACACCTTGCTGAAACGGCATTGGACGCAGCGCCCGCGTGCCTGCAGCCGGCTATGTCATAGTGAAGAAATTTTTCACCTAACAATCGACGTATATGGACGACTGCAGCCTCTATCTGCGTCCAGCACGACGGGGAAGCGCCGAGGAAGTTTATAGCGGTGGCAAGGGTGAGTCCCGATTAGGACACTCGGTGGCATGTTGATGTCAGCAATGCATGGATCAGATGGGGACCTTAATCGAAGCTTTTAGTGAAGCTTTCGCGAGATCGATGTACCGCAGATGCCGAGATAAAGCCCGCGCAATTGTGTCTGAAGAACCCACCTGTACTTGTTCATCTTGATCACCAAGGAATCCTACTACTATGTCTTCCTTTCATGGGCAATGCTGCGGGTTATTTGGCTGTCTTGATTTGTAAGTGGGCAAAACAAAATTTGGAATCTCATTTGACCCTTGTACCGGCGAGCCGGTCCTCAACCTTCTGACATGGATGTATTACACACATCACGTTTATCTTCAGTAGCGAGTTGTTCCCGCCGCTGTGTTTTGGAGGATGGAGTGCCAAGGCCTGCTTCACTGAAGTCCTCTATTTTCTCGAGGCAAAGCTGCAGAATAAAGGGGCGGCAAATAACGTGCCTTGAGTCTGGGCCAGTACACTCAAGAAGACAGATACACGATTACAGCCACAGAGAATTGCTGAGCCTGAGTGGATCTGCCAGTGGGGAACGAGGCACATTTTCTGGAGCTCCTCACAAAGCACAAAGGAGCGGGCATGCAGTAAGGGATGTCTCTGTGCACATCAGACCAATACCTGCTCTTGAAAGCGACACTGCACGCTCCAGCCCTGATTGGTTTGCCGAAATCAAAGCAGGTGATTGTCATGCTTCAAAGCTACAGTTAGGATCACATCCAACAGCCTAGTGTTTGCGTGAGACCTGAGTTGTGTGTCGCAACTGCAGTCCTGCGAAAGTGGCTGCAGCTGGCAAAGCCCCCGCAATGGCTTTGGCGAAGCATAGCTGCATGCGTTATGGCAGGCCAGGTGGCGACTAGGATCTTGAGAGGTAAGGACCACCCGCATCGCAAGCTTTCTGCTCACAAAAGCACATCATCAACCCTCACGCTTTATACTCTAATAATGGCTCACAGGCTCCTGCATGTCCTTGCAGGAAAGATACATGTACGCAATACAATTGAGCAGCTGAAGCTTGTCGGCCCGCGGTCGATGGGTGTATCTCTGCTGACTGCCGGCTTTGTCGGCATGGTTTTCACCATCCAGGTGCTGCCTCCTGCGCTGCATTGCTCTGATCTACACAGAATCAATCTCAAGTAATGTAGCGTGATGCAAATGCAATCCTACTGTGTGTGCTGAAGCTGCGGGGCTTTCGCAACACAGTTTGTGCGGGAGTTTGCCAAGCTGGGCCTGACGCGGTCGGTGGGAGGCGTGCTGGGCCTTGCTCTTGCCAGGGAGCTCACTCCAGTTGTGACATCCATCATCCTGGCAGGTAACACTCAGTATATCTCACTTAAGGACTCGCACATCTGTCCGAGTGGGATCATCTGCATACAAGACTCTGATGCTTTTTTTGCAGATGAAGGCTCCATATAAAAGCTTCATGTGCTTGATACAGCATCATATGACAAAAACGTTGCAGAGCTGTCCAGCACGGTCAGTGTGGGATGAGATTTTCAGCCGATGGCGGTTTTGATGGCGGTGAACAGGGAGGGTGGGCAGCGCATTTGCTGCGGAGCTGGGCACCATGGCTGTGAGCGAGCAGACAGACAGTCTACGCGTGCTGGGCAGTGACCCTGTGGATTACCTGATTGTGCCACGGGCTGTGGCATGCATGATCGCCGGCCCCATCCTCAACCTCATGTGCTTCTGCATGGGTGCGCCACCCTTCATTTTTTGCTTCAAGTTGCTTCAGAAGGCCATCATGCATGTGTATTTCCGGGACCCAAAACAGCTTGCTTTTAGGGCAGCCTTCTCATGAAGGCTGAGATTCATGCATAGCCAACCTTCACGATATCTCTGGACCCTGGCATCCAGATAAGCCCAATATCTGCAGCATGTCATGAACGCAAACTTATAATGGAGTGCTCTGAGAACCAATAGAAGATCTGATATTCTGGCTGTGCAGGGATTGCATGCAGCATGTTGATCGCAGAGCTGGTGTACGATGTAAAGGCCAGGATCATCCTGGACTCGTGCGTGCGTGCTGTGACAGCCTGGGACATCATCACCTCCATGATCAAGGCCTGGGTCTTTGGCCTCATCATCTCTGTGGTGCGCTGCCCGCCTTCCCTGTCCATTCCTCAATGCTGCTCAAACCTGGATTGAACATCCATCCAATGGGAAGCTGGCGGTGCCATTTTTGATGCCTGGTGCCCAATGGATGACAGAATATATTGTTGTGACATCGCATTGTTGCCGGATGACGTTTACTTGTGGGGCAGCCCTACTTCTTCCAAACGATGCTCGCTCTGCCTTGACGTCTGCATGTCTCTCCTCTGAATAACTGGCTTCCTAGGCCGTGCAAGGTCGTAGTGCGCAAAGACGTGCACAGGCAGCAAACAAACTCATGGTGTTGGCTTTGCAGGTGAGCTGCTCATGGGGTTACACGACGGCAGGTGGAGCCAAGGGAGTAGGAGAGAGTACCACATCTGCTGTGGTCATCAGCCTGGTGCTGATCTTCATCGCTGACTTCTTCCTGTCCTTCCTGTTCTTCCAAGGACAAGGCGACGCCCTCAAGCAGCTCAAGTGAGGGGTGCTGCTTGCAATTTTGCATCGCTGGTTTCTGAGAGTGGTCATGTCTGGGAAGTGTAGCAGAGCTGCATGCATGTGGGCTCAACAGTCCCTAAGGAAGCTAGAATTGCAAACATTGCATTTCCAGGATTGTGTATCTGTTACATCAAATTGAGTTCGAGCACAAGCCTTGCTGCGTGGACTGGCGGACCATGCAATTGTAAATATTATGGTTTTCACAGCTAAAAGGCTTCATTATCACTTTTTCTTGCTGGGTGCCAACTGCTTGACAGCCTTGATGCCGGCAGTGATGGGGCTTTCAGCCGCCGAGGCATTCAAGAATGCCACCTCCAGATCTTCACTCGTGGGCCGCCGCTGCATCTGACCAATGACCTTCCAATTGTTGCCCCAGCCCTGCTTCAATATCTGCCACGACGCCTCTCCTGATGTCCCCTTGAGAACGCGCTTCGAGACTGCACCCTGAGTAGTTGCGACGATGAAAGCCTGCAAAACCAATGCTTTTCAAGCTTCTGCTTAGGAATTGGCATCTCCTGACCAACCAAACTCTACACGACATGGCAGCTCCTCCTTTTGCTATCACACTATCTCCATATGAACATCTTAGAAAAATTAAAAGTATTTCTCTCACCAAGGAGACGTATCTTACTTGTCACACTACACACAACAGAGTAGTGTTCAGGAGGAGAGGATTCATTATTCATTGGTTATGCACACCTGTATGGCGACGGGTTGGAAGCAGTAGACCACCTCAAAACTCTTCACAAATGCAGCATGCTTGCTGGGTACGTCCCTCCCTTCAGCCCATGCAGGATTCAGCAGAATGACCACCCTCCCTCGCCACTTTTTGAGCAGCTCTTCAATATCGCCCAGCTGCATACCTTGAATATCATCAGTCGCTGTGCAAGATCTCCAGTCTATTGCAATGCAAAGCAATGCAATGCATGCATGCATGCATGCCAGTACCCTGCACCCAGACTGCCGAATTCACAGCATCTCCATCAGGTGACTATGTCCAGGCTGGAAGAAATCACCTGAGCTGTTGAAGGTCCCACGAATATTAGGGGACCCACAAGAGGCTCCTCTGGCTCATCATCTAGTGCCACAACTTGGTTCTGTACTGCTGTGGAGGCCAGCAAGGCGGCCTCAATGTTGCCAAAAACCAAGGTGGTAAGGCTTGCAATGTCAGGAGGTAATCCCTTCAAGACAAGTCCTGCCAGGGAAACAACCTGATACAACCACCACACCAGTGTAGTTCAGCTTTTCTTAGTCCGGTGGGGACATTGTTGTAAAATGATAGGCATTTATGATGAACAAAGGGCAGAAAAACTTACCGATGCAGGTGACTCATCTGCATCCGGAATCTCCACTACAAGCCTTCTGACATTGGACAGCTTGAAACCCTGAACATGCCAATATTAGCATCCCCTTGCTCCACAGAACAGAGTGCAGGAAGTGAACTTGCAGGAATGATGATGTTCTGCTTCTTATAAGCATGCAAATGAGTCAGCAAGGAACGTGTAGAAGTATAATAAATGATGGCTCACCTTTGTAGGCTTTCCTTTCGCTTTCGTGTCACCCAGCCGTGTGTTGATAGCGTCACATGCCTGCTGCACCTGCAGAACCACACAATCCGAAACTGATTGCTTGCCGATGCCCGATCTTAGACAACGGTCTTGGGCATGTCAAGCGCATGAGAAGTTCAAGGGTCACATGAGGGTGTTCAACAAAGACTTGGTCCGGTCCTCACCGACTCTTCTCTGCTCTGGGGCACATTGACGTTTGTACTAGACGTTGATCCTCTGCCAGACGGCCCAGCTTGACATGTCACTAACTGCCCTCGGTCCCTGAAGTTCCCATGGAATTTACTACCTTGTCCAAGCAATACTTGCTCTGGCAAATTTACGAGCTTGCTGCTTTGTCCAAGCGGGGTGTGCAATTTCTGAAAGCTGAGATTAGTGGCCACTGCTTTTGGAATTGCAGGAATTATTGATGAGCAGGATGATATCAGAGATGTGCTCATTTTCGCGCTACTGTTGTTAATTTTGATGATTGTTATACATTTGAAATCGAGCTGGGAATGATGAATCCTGGATTGCATAGGGCTGATCGTCTCAACACCCGATGGTCTTGAACCCTTTGAGGGAGCTTTTGTATTGGAAGGTGATGAAAACCTGTTCGACAGCCAGGTTGCGTCTCTTTCTGCGCGAATGGTCAAATGTGTTGCAGTCGACATTGAAATCTTACACAGCCAGTACAATGCTTGTGTACAGATCTGATCAAAATCAGTGCCCAGGAAGTTCCCAGATTTTTCAAATTCTAGAGATCTTCTCAAGGGCCGTCCTTGTGATCACATGATGCATCTTGAAGATTCGAATCCTGAGAATTCTGTGTACTGTAGAAGTACTCTGTTCCAAAGCTCTCTCAACGGATCTGCGACCCCTGCGATGTCGTTCCGCAATATGCCTCGCATTTGACGCCCCATGTTTGAATTTCATACCCGCATCCAAACCCCTGCCGCAAAAACTCCACAAACAGCATTATCACGAACAGCAGGGTGGAGTCTGCCCCTCAGGATGCCCCAAGCTTCCTGGCCTCCTGCTGCAGGCTCACCAGAGCATCTCCTCTCCCACTGGCAGCCTCCAGGCTCCTATGAAACCCCCTCAGCCATGTTCCCATCTCCTTAATGTCCAGGGTTCCACTCCGTGCATGTGCAGTCGGCTGCCCGAGTGCTTGCGCAGCTGTTGGGCTGCCTGAAGCCTCCAGCTGGGCAGCCAGGGCCTCGGCACGATCTAGGATGGCGTCCGGCATGCCGGCCAGCCGCGCGCATGCCGTCCCGTAAGACTTTGGACACGCGCCGTCCTGCAGCTGGTACAGGAATGTCACCTGCACATACCAGATCCATCAGCACAGCGGAGGATTCGTTGTTTTGACGATGCAATTCTCAGGACTGCAGACACATGCCTTGGCACTGCAGCTGGGCAGATCAGCTCCGAGCTCCGAGATGAGTCAATGGTGGTGCAGCACATTCAGTGTCCCGAGCGGAAGCAACAATAAAGCGGCAGAAATCAGGCATGCAGAACAAAGCTTCTCTGTGTGACACTCCACCCAAGCCTCCAGTGTGCACACCAATTTGCTTTACCAAGCGTAACAACGGCATAACGCATTCAACAACTTTCAGAAAGGGAGGCTGGACCCGGCTCTCGATACTGTACGAGCCAGAATAGGCAGTGCAACACCTGTTCGCGGCCGGCGGCATCGCGGTCCACGTGGCATGCCATGTGGCGGATGGAGGTGGTGGGGTCGTCCGCATGCGCGTCCGCCAACTTGTGGTAGTGCGTCGCGAACAGGCCCCTGCCACAAAAGTACAGCACAGCACGTCTGAGAGACGGACTGTATGGGAGAGCCATAACTCTGCCAGAAATGGACCCATCAAGCACGCACATGAGCTAATGGGCAGCGCAAAGCGCTCGTTACTGTCATGAACGGCCAATAAGGACCATGCACGGCTCTCCAGTGCATTGATGCTGGTTGCAAGAGCAGCAAATCCCAGATATGACTCTTAAAAGTATGGCAGCTGCTGGGCAGCAGTCCCAAGACCCCATAGAAACGTATCATCCCCAAGTATAATGGTTTTGGGTTAGTATCTCTAGCTCGACAGAAATAGACACTGTTACAGGCAGGCTGCAAGGAACGCCGGAGAAGAAAGTTCACCGGCACTTGATCCGCTGCGTGAAGGCGTGGATGACCGCGGCTGCGATGGCGGCACCGTCAGTGGTGGCGGTGCCTCGGCCCAATTCATCAAGAGCGACCAGGCTGGCGCTCGTGGCTCTGTTCAGGGCCGCCGCCGTCTCTATGAGCTCCACCAGAAACGTGCTCTGCGCAGAACAGGCGTCCTTCATGATGCCATCTTGATATCTGCTGTGCCGTGGGGGTACCACAATGCCTTTGCAATGATGTCGTTGTACCTGGAACACTCGTTTTAGCCCTTCAACGGCGGGCAAGACCCCTGTGCCTCGTCTACAAGGAAGCTTTTTGACAGGCACGCTTTCGACTACGGAGATTGGCTTATTTTCTGCTCACTCTGTCCAGCAGCATAGCACAAGGCAGGGCTGTGGTCACTTATGGCCTGACAAAAGAAATGCAACAACAGCCTGGTTTTAGGTGTGCATCATCTCTCTTTGAGCCACACTTGACTGCGGGTATGCAACCCTGATCTATTGTGATCTGGTCCGGAGGCGTCTCATATGTCACGCATCTCATTGAATTGCGAGGCAGCCCTTTTCACTTACATGGCGCTCACACTGTCTTATCTTTCTTGCAGTCACATCAGCTTGACAAAGAGCAGAGGTGCACCTGGCCGGTCATGATGGCGTCCCGGGCGCCCATGCGAACAAAGATGGCGTCGACGGGCGTCAGCTCTAGGCTTACAGCCGGCACCCAGGCGCCCACCTGCGCCATCAGCGCCGCCAGGCACACCTGCCGCAGCAGCGTGCTCTTCCCTGCGCGCCACACAATCATTGATATTAGTCACAGTGTGCGCACCCATTGGCTGCCTCCTTTAGCTTTCAAGCTCACAGAGTGCCTGCCCATCCTATATCCTGAGTCAGTGAAGACATGACATTCTGCTCCGAATGAGGGAGAATCACTCAATACTTCTCCAGTGTTGAAAAGCCTGCAGGCGACTCTAAAACTCCTCCCATTGCCTGGTATTAAATGTTGGGTGTGTGTGCAAACACATGCCACTGGCGTACTGACGACTGCGACCACCTCTGTCTGTTCCTTTAATGGCGAACAAGCATGATGGTATGCTGACTGGGACCAGAGGATACGGGGGGCGCACCCCCCATGTTGGGACCGGTGAGGATAATGAAGGGGGCCTTGTCGCCGCCCAGCTCCACATCATTGGGGATGAATGTGGCGCCCGCGCTCATGTGCAGGCCCGCCGAGGGGTGCCGCAAGCCCTTCGCGGTGAAAATCTGCGCCGGTGAACATTCACGCACTCAGCCCACACCACCATCTTGCACCATACGTCCAATACCATTGATGGTCAGTGCAAGGTATTTTGCTTGCTGAATGCTGCCAGACTCTTTGTGGCTTATCTGAGGAGCAACAGTCATAACATGTTGCTGGTGGGAGAGGCAGTGACCATATGAGGGACTTGCAAAGTGCCTCACATGGAGTGAGTGAGTGAGTTGTCCAGTGGACAATGTCCACAGGTGACGAGCTAAAGAGACTCTTCAGGGCCACAGCTTTGGCAAGTCTGTGGCATCCCAATTTATGGCATCCCATGTGTCAAATGCTAGTGGGACAGCGTTGCGCCACCTGGCGGTCACGGTCTGCAGGGACGAGCCTGGGCCGGCACATGGGCCCCTGGGCGCTGCCGACGTCGGCCACAGCCGCCAGGCTCATCAGCGCGTCCAGCTCAGCCATCGCCTCCACGGCCGCCTCCCACACTGCATGCTCCCTCGCAAACCGCCGCACCACGCCCTGCGCAAACACATGCGCTCACATCCTCCTTTACTGCCTCCTGAGCCCACAATTGTGCACACTTCCCTTCCTGGCTTACTTGCAGGACAGGCAGGCCCAGAGTGTGCAAGGTGGGTTAGATTGCAAACTCTGCCTGACAGGCACAGAACTCTTTGTTGACCTCTCAACTCAATAAATACCTATGATCAAGCCAGGCCCGTCTTTGCATCCTACCCTTCCTACCAGGTGTTTTCATAATTAGCAGGTCAAGCTCGCGCCTTAGGGTCCAGCGGACTACCAATCCATCAATTCACGGTCCCCTGGAACAAGGGGTGTGGGGGATTTGCAGGGTGGTTAAGAGGGGTCGCGCACTTGGAGGATGGTGGAGAGGGCTGCTTCGCGTTCCTCCTGCGCGGCTGTGTGGTCCCGCACCAGATCGGCCGAGCGCGGGCTGCGGTACCGCTTCCACCCCTTCTTCTGGCCCACCAGCTCGTAGGAAGAGGGAACGCTCCCCGCCGCAGACTGCACCGCCAATCGCTCAGTCAATATTACATTCGAATACTCTGCATTTAGGGTGTGCCTGTATTAGGGGACAGGCCTCTGAATGTCTGCATCTCAATGGATGCACCTGTGCTCCCCGCCGCAGACTGCACCCAATCATTCAGGCAGATTCTTGTGCACACACCCTGCACTGGCCTCCAGAGTTCGCAATGAGAGGCTTCAAAACTGCGCAGGCGCAAGCCTTTGTCTGCCAACCAGGTCTGCCTGTGGTAGAGGCCAAATGACTGTTTTAAAGAAGTGCATGCCTTACAATAAATTAATCAGGTGCGTCTGTGCAACTATAGTTCAACAGGCAGCTTTGACAAGGCAGCTGCATTCAGATCGAGAGCAATGCTGTGCACTGCAAGCTTTGATTGGGCGCACGTCTGGAATGTCCAGGAGATGGCTGTCCTTGTTGACAGAGACGTAGCTGATGCTGGAACAGCCAAGCTTCTTCTTCACCTCCTTGAGATGCTGCTCAAATTCTGCCTCCACTGCTGCAACCTGCACATGAAATCATTTTGAATCCATCAGGAGATGACTAAAATCGCTCCGCCCTCCACAAGCACAATGATGGTTAAGTGGAGATATTGACAACCCAGCCAGGCAACATGCACGCTCTGATTTGTAGCCTTCAGAGCACTCAAAACGTACACGAAACACCCCCTTGGCCGATGTGCAGCAGAAACGGTGGGGGGCCACACCCGCGCGTGGCCCCAAAGCTCTATTTGTTGGCGTTCTGGGAGAGGGCAAAAAGGCCCTGCAAGTGCCGTGATTGCAAGGAGTACCTTGTCAAGGAAGGGAAGTGTACCATGGTTTGAGGAACAGGCTCTGGTGTGGTGTCATGCAAGGCATGTTTGCTGATGTCAAGGGACGTGTGCGCCTTGGCTGGTGTATATTCCCCTGGTCAATAGTAACCAGATGACCTCCAGATGGGGCAGCCTATTCCAACAAGGATTATGTGCGTCAGGATCGGTGGAAGGTTCACACCCGAGCGTCGGCGTTGTCGAATGCAGCCTCTGCGCCGGGGTGGGGGATGACACGGCCCAGCTCGGCGGCCTGCTCCCAGTCGGTGAAGGCCTGCAGCTCCTTGAGCGGCCGGGCCATGCCGGCCGCTGCCGGCCCCATCGTCAGCCGCCGCAGCTCCTCGCTGCCCAGCTCGCTGCCCATCTGCTGGAACCCCTCCCATGCCGCCTGCAGTAAATGTTTGTCAAATCATTGCAACGCTTGTGTTCCAGCTCACAGCGTTGCAGCAACTTCTTCTCAATAATGGCCTTCCCTGTCTTGCCATTTTATCCACCAGTGGCATGTCAGTCGCACCTGTTAATGCAGTCATTGCAGGGAAGTCTCAATTCAGAAAGGCATGCTTAAATCGTGACATCCCCGCAACTAATGTCTACAAGGGGTGCATGTTCAATCTAACAACCATGAGAACGATATTTAGATCTTGAAATTTGCGGGCATGATTAATGTCTGTGCATGCCACAGCAACTTCTTGCAGTGGGGGAGCAATTGTATCAGGTGGAGCATTTGGATCGCAGGTATGTGAGTGTCCAGTGCGGCAGGCAATGGCAGTGGCTGACCTGGACGCTCTGCAGGCCACGCAGTGCGGTGATGAGCGAGAGGACCTTGCGCTTGGCGGTGTCCTCGTAGTAGATGGCCGCGTTTGTGCCCTCGCCCTCCGCCAGCGTGCTCGCCTGCAGACGCGCCAACGCCCGCTCTAAATCCCCCAGCCCTGCGCCCATGCACCCTGATAAACGTACATCCTCACAAATCCCGTAACGCCTTCTGAGCTTGGCGCCACGCAGGTGTGTCTCAGGTAAGATACTCTACACTGACATCAAGTATACTTGAGCAGACTCAGAGGAGAGGATGTTCCAGCAACATTGCCTTCTGGGCGCGCACCGGCAGAGGATGTTCCACTGTAAATATCACTGAAAATCAGAATCAAGAGGTGACCATTCACTATGCGCGCCTTTTACAGGCCAAGCATTAAGTGAGATGCAGGGCAGTGTGTTTCGCAAGTCACAGCTTGGCTCCGGCCTCTGACAGGGCCTCAACACTAAAGAGTTCACGGGCCCTGGCGGGTGATGCGGGCGCAAGTAAGACAATTACAGGGACTAGCCCCTTTTCAAGGAAATAGCCCCTGCGGGCCCAAAAAGGCAACCGCTTGTTAGCACGGTCCCCCCACGCAGGCTCACTATCAGGGCCCCCCCTCTAACTTCAAGTCACTGGGCCAAAGGAGGTGTGAGACAGGAATTGAAGGAGATGTTTGAGCTCTGTAGCAAAGACACCGGAGAGATTATCGAGAGAGGTAGCGGTTTGCCTGTGAGGGCGGTGCGGGCGGCCTGCGCGGCCCCGGCAGCGGGTCCCATGAGGTCAGCGACGGCGTCTTGGCGCGCGGTGATGTCAGCGATGCGCGCCATGGGCCGGCACAGCCACGCGCGCAGCTGGCGCTTGCCCATCACCGTCGTGCACATGTCCAGGCACGCCACCAAGCTGCCCGCTGATCCACCCTCCGTGTTCTCCAGCACCTGCACCATAGCAAAGCAGTCGTTAGCCATGATGTTTCATCTACAAGCGCCAAAGTGTTTATCACCCATATCCTCCTGTTGCGTTTGCCCACGTTTATCATGAAGGTGTCCTTGAGCAAGGACAGTATTGCATGCGAGAGCAAAAGTGTGCACACAAGGAGCAGCAGCAGTGGACAAAAGGCCTGAGGAGCACAGTCATGCTGCGCACAAGCCTTGTACTGAAACACATATATTTCAAGAAGAAGCAGCGGACCTCCAGGTTGTCAAAAGCGGAGCCGTCGAGGGCGACGAAGCGCGGCGCGTCGGGGGCCGCGTCGGCGCCGGCCACGCGCGCGCAGCCGGGCAGCGGCCGGAACGCGCCCAGAGGCAGCACGCGGCCGTCCAGCAGCACCTCCTGCAGGTGCCGCCGCGCCAATCCCAGCGCCAGCAGCGCCGCTTCAGCTTCTGCTGGCTCCTCCGCCATGGCCTGCGCGCATGCATGCTAGCTCTCCTTGGCAACCGAGCAGGAAACCTAGCCGAATCCATCCAGTAGCTGTCCTTCACCTGCAGAAGGCTGGCATGCGCAAGCCCCTCCACAGGGCTCTAGCTGTTGGCTCTATATTCACAACCCCTGCGCTTGCTTTCAAGCAAGTGGCAGGCCTGATTTGACAGATCTGCATACTCTGAGGTCAAAATAGCTGATGTGAAGTCCTTGCTTGGAGCTGCAATTCTCGGGACATTGGTTGCGCAGATAGTTTTCCTGTGTGTACCAAATGCACCGTCTCTCGCACCTTGAGCAGTGAGGGCCAGGCATCGCGGGAGCCCGCTTCCATGCCGGCGGCGCAGGAGAAGTAGTCGCGCGTGTCCAGCTCATGGATGACATCAGCGGCCGACGCGGGGGCGGCCAGGCGGTTCGTGCGCGGGCCCCGCAGCGCCGCTTTGAGGACCCTCTGCGTCGCCTCGCTTAATCCCCCTGCCGGCAGAACCAGCTCCGATGGCCGCATCTCCGCCAGCTGCGCCCGCAGCTGCGACCGCGTGAGGTCGTCATGCCTGCACCCCAGAGCACGCCATATGCCTGTCACTGTACTTCACTGCAAACTCTTTTCTCCACCCCATTTGCCAGATATAGGGACACAATTGTTCAAACCTAGCAGGTGGTCTTTGAATCCTTCTTATGAATCATCCAACAAATCATAACTTGTCACCACTTCTGACTGTTTTGGAGTCCACAACAGGACATTCTGGGCCATCATGCCCTATAATACAGTGACAGGCAGCTGCTCAGGAAGTGAGCATAGCAAGGCGCACCACTGGCCAAGGGTGAGGGTGTTGGAGGCGCAGTCGGCGTAGCAGGCGCCCAGGAGTGTGCGCTGGGGGCCCCCGGGGGCCACGGGCGGCGCCGGCCGCTCCCACAGGCTGAGCACGTAGGCCGCCTCCGGTTGCGTTCGCAGCATGTCCGGGTCCGCCAGCGTGCCGGTTGTCAGAATCGCCACCACCTCCCGCCTCACCACGTTGCACTGCGCAGTCGCACATTCCCAAGCATCTCTCCCCACTCATCTGGCACAGTCTATGTTATACAACAGGAGCTTTCACACTGCCAAATATATATAGCAAACGGCACCCAGCAGAAGCTGCCGCGCCTCTGACCGCTGCAGGATCTTTGTCGACTTGCAGGTGTGTTTTCAAGGGGGAGCATGCAGCAAAGCTTGTTATGCAGCGTCCACATTCCTCCTCAAGGGCAGGAAAGGGGACACGGGGTCTGGCTGCTGCGCTGCATGCGATGGGAGGAGAAAGGGCAGCAGTGCACCTTGGCCTGGCCGGCGGGGCGGTTATCATTCCGGATACGCAGCATATCAGGCGTCTCTGTCTGCTCAACAACTACCACTCGCAGCCCCGCCCTGACCAGCCGCTCCGCATGCATCAGGTAGTTCACCTCTGGGAACCCGCAGTGCGGCTGCTCGCCCTGTGCACAGCAACACCCCGTGACTTGAGCATCTGATGTTACTGGGTCGATTGTCTTGACAGCAGCGCTGCTTGTATAGCGCCACTGCTGTCTTGCAGGTTCATAGGCCGAGCTGCAAATGGCCAAACAATGGACGCAACTGCCAAGTCTTTTGTTACAGGTTCTGATTGAGAGTCGGGGTGCACGTTTCGGAGGAGCCAGCCTGGCAGGTGGGAAGCCCATAGCACAGTGGCAGAACCCACCTTCATGTACGTGAGGCCCAGCACTTCAGCGCCCACGTGCGCGTCCATCTCAAACATCTCATAGAACTTGCCCATCTTGAACAGCATCACCGAATCGAAGTGCTGGGCCTTGAATTCCCACCTGCACACCATCCACAGCTGTTTTGCACACCCCATGAGCCTCACCCCCAGTATTTTAGCACGTACACCTTCATGCAAATTTTTGCATGGGCCCTGTACGAGATGGCACAATGAAGAGCAGAACATCAGAAAGGCTGCAGGCACAACAAGAGGCAAGGCTCACCACTGCCGCTGCCCTTCCGACACCTTGGCCTTCTTAAACCAGTCATGGGGGATGTAGAGCGTGCGAGGATTATAACCAGGCTGCCCTGGGCGCTTCCTGGTGGCATCCCTGATCTCCTGTGGTGACAGAAAGGGAAAGCGGTCCTCCGCCCTCTTGGCGTACCTCGCCATGTCTGACGCTGGTTCCACATCATCTGCACACACCCCATATTACGTTACAGTCTTGAACAACTTTGCAAACCTTTCAGTAGAGGTCTGTCTCTCTTTGGAGGATGTAAAGGTGCGACGCAGTCATCATGGTAGGTGATGCAGGTGATCAAGCACCTGCGCCTCCCTTTGCGGCGGTGGCAGGGGTGTTGAGAGCTGCGCGCATGGCTGTGCCAGACCCCTTATGCTGTGCACTGCCTTGAGCGAATGTAGGGGCGATGCGCGGCGCGGTTGCAGGGGTCTTGAAGACCTGCTTCTGCGCTGTGTCTGGCTTCGCTGCTGACTTGGATGCAGCCTTCTTCGCGGGTGTCCTCCTCTTTGGCGCTTCATCCTGCAAATGTGGTGCGGCATATCAGTACAAGATACAGTATATAGGATGCAATGACATGGATCTTTCACCAAATTGCTGTTGTGATTCATGGCACTCGCTTGATGATTACGGTTAAGGCAGAAAAGCTCGCACCTCCTCACTGGCGGCATCATCAGCGCTGTCATCACTGTCGCTTTCGCTGGAGGCCTTGTCGGCCACAAACTCGCTGCCTGACTCGTCCCCGCTCATATCCATCGGCGCAGCAGCAGCCTCGTCTTCATCGTCTGATGACAGTATAACTTTGCGTTTCACCAGGCGCTTCAGGGGCCTCTTTGCCTGCTTGGACCCGCCTGCCGAGCCTGCAAACAGTGCCTGTTAAGCAACCATGTGGTATGGAAGCAGGTGATAATCTCTGCACTTCCAAATCAGTTTTTGATGTGGTGCCAAAGCATATGAATCTGTGGATCTAGGGACACACCTGATTTCTGCAGCAGCTCAAACTTTTCTTGGCTGAGGTCAAGCCACTCTGTCTCACCATCCTCATACTCAACGAGGTGCTTCCCCTTGGTGGCATCATGTTGGGTGATATCACCCTTGTACCATGTTTTGTCATCGGCCCAGAAAACCTGGCAGCGCAGTCCCACAATCTCCTTCCCATGCCCTTTTCCTGACTGTTCTGGACGAAGCTCTGAAGCCTCCTGGCTGCATTTGGCCTTCTGGCTTGGCTTTGCTGAGCTTTGCAATTGAGGCAAGGGAGCTGTTGTGGCTGGTGATTTGTCTTCGACGCACTGCTTCTTATTGCTTTGATTGTCAGTCGTGCTGTTTGGCTCAATAACCTGCGATCACAAAGTTGAACAGCATTGTAAATTCGACAACTGTTGTGAATTTGTAACGTGTGCAGTTTTACCATGCATCGCTGTCCTCAGCAGTGCAACGTGAGGGATTGGCCTGGTCACATTCACTTGCTTATTTCTGCCTCGTCACATATTCCGATCGGCACACCTGCAGGGGCGCTGATTTTGGAGTGAAGAACGAAGAAATAGGTCTCTGTCCTGAGATTGGTGCATGCTTGCGCTTCGCCTGATTTTGCTTGGTAGCCATCAGTCTGGCACCTATTATAGCAAGCCTTATTCGATACGGTTCATGGAATGGGCTTCAAGGTCAGATAAGTAGCAGCAATTTAGGTGAATGATGAGGCGATATTGAAGTAAAAAGATCCTCCTGAAAATGGACAGATGAGCAAACGTTTAAATCGGCGTGAAGTAATGAGTTTTACTTGAGTTTTATCATGCAAAGCCTTTCTCATGCCAAGAATCTTGGCTGAATCTAGATTAAAAAATAGCAGAGGCCTTCCTTACATCTTTCAGCAGATGTTATACCCTCATACGTATGCAGGATGTGCATGGCATGCAGACCTTTAAAGTCAAGTTGTCACTAAATTTGACCCGCTATATCTGTGCGCCGGGCAATATTACGGCATCAACTTGATATTGAATATATATCACTGGCAGTGCCAGAGAGTGCTTTGTTTGTGCAAAGCCACAGGAGCCCAAACAGAAGCCCTGCTGATTTGGCTAGCGAATGGTCGTCCATGAACTCCTGGGCCTTGTCCAATGGCAGCGCGAGCACCTCTATCGCCTCCCCTGTGTCCCTGAGTGCATCCCGTCAAAATTCAATCAGCTACAGCATGCAGAACATGAACAGACGCATCATGTGCTCTCAAAGACTGGAGACTTTCAGTGCATTGGCCCAACATATTCCTGTGTGGTCCTTACATGTACTGTTCGCACTGAAGAGAAACACAATGCAATATTAAAGAAGCCCCCTTGAAACTCCGTGTTTGTGCAAGCAACCACTGAGATTAATCAAGAGGGTGCTTCAGAATAGGCCAATTGATCTCAGCCATTTTGCGAAAATGAGGGACGATTGATCTCAGCCAATATGCAGCGATGAAGACTGCTAAGGAATGAAGATGAGCGAGGGGTCTCACTGGAGGCCGCCGCCGCCGCTGGTGCGCATGGAGTCGTCCACGTCGACGCAGAACATGTGGTGCTTGGAACCGGAGATGCCCGTGGATGACACATACATTGTCACCGGCCTCACCGCCTCCACCGGCACCACAAAGCCACACTCCTCCTCCACCTGCCGCACATGCGCATCCCCTTCTTTCCTGCTGTGGAATTTTTGATCAATCCTGCCTGTGCTGCTATCTCGTACACCCTCCCTCTGTCAAGCCCCCTCTCTCCTTGACAGCTCACACGTTCACTGGTGAACGGAAGCATGGGCTTTCTTAAGCTGCAGCACTGTCAGTGAGGCGCCAGGGGAATGACAGCAGGAAATAGGCAATGAAGGGACACGATAGAGACAGCCCAGTCAATGCAAGGGAAGTAAAGTCTGTCTGATGACAATTGAAGCATGAGAAGGTAGATTGAGGTACTTATTGGTGCGGTCACCTCCTCGCGAGCGATGTCTTCCAGGCTTTTGGTTTTGTCGATGATGCCTGCGCACAGCTCAAAGGTGAACCCGGCGCTTAGCGGCGGCTGCGGCCGGCCCTCCGCCTCGGCCTCCATCCAGCGCGAGGCATACACCGCCGGCCTGAACTGGCGCACCAGCAGCAGCGAGTGCAGCTGCCTGTGGTACAGAATGATCCCCACGCTGGAGTGCGCTGACACCATGTCCCACCTCCTCTGCCGACCTGCGCTCAATCCAACTCATCCTTCCATAATCCATCGATTGATTCCGTCAAATTCGTCCATCACTTCATGCAAGCACACTGCCAGATTGCACATTTGTGCACCGCAACAATCACCATATTAGCTGGGGAAGCTGCAATTACCATGTGTTGTGGCACCCTTCGTTCCAGGATCTTAGATCGTTCTAAATAAGGGTGTGCAGCTGCAAGTATTGGGGATGATGTAATTGCACGCACCATCAAGGTGGTACATAATGGTCCGTGGATGCACAAACTTGGACTCTCCAGGGCTCGGTATGATCTCTACTTCACCCAGGCGCCTGAGTGTAGCTTCCATGAGGCCTCCTGGGTTGTGCTCTGCTCACCAACACAATGCGCACTTAATACCTTGTGCTGCATCCATAAAAACAGCCATTGATGCCAAACAAGCACCGTGCGCTCATGAGCGGAAACAATGTGCAAAGATCTCCCAAAAAGCCTACCAACAGTAGTTCAAGTCTATGGGGGTGTGAACCATATGATTGTCGCCTCTTTCTCTTCAGCTCGGGGAGCACCTTTGGAGAAGGATTGCAGTCCATGCGGGTAGAGGTCTTCTCCAGGGTTTGTCAGATCGGGCATGCTGCTCTTTGTTCTTGTTGACCGCAGCTGCTTTGCAGATCCTAGACCTGCAGCAAAGAAAACAGGCCCACTGAAAGACACCCGGAGTCTGAGACAAGGCAGTCTTTGTGCTTCCGCTTTTCACATGCCACTTACTGCCACTAAACGTGAGCATGTACCCTGCAAATTGACTAATGGCGCATTGAAATATTTGCAAAGTCCGGCTTGCATTACAGATGTCTTTGACATTGCTGCTATCGCACACTTTGTTATTTGAGCCCTTGAACTCTCAAGGCGACTGTTTGGTGGTCACTCTATGCAAAGGAGATAGCATGCGCTGCTTATATCCTTGAAGGTTTCTCTGAAGAGGAACTGCTTGAAAACTGAGAAAACAGTACCTTGTCTGGACTTCAGCTCATCAGAAACTTCTCAAGATCTGAGTAGAACGGCACTGGTCAGAATATGTTTCTTCAATTGCTACCTAGCTCACCCTACACTATATTTGCTGTTCTAGCGGCCAGGCAGCCCAATTCCAAAACCCCTAATCTCTCCTTAACTCTCACATCGCTCACATGAAAAGGAAAGGGTCATTATGTTTGCTCCTTTGTCATCACAGAAAGAGAATCAAGGGGCCTTGCAGGCTTTCTATATGTGTCTGCTGCACATCAAATGAAGAGGTAGCCTGAGGTGGCTACGTAGAAAAGTTCAAGCTGCACTAGCACCCTCTGGAGTTTCCTTGATGGCGTCAGCGGCGATGCCAGAAATGAGGCGGGTGGCTGCCAGGGTGGCCAGCAGCCCCACAGCGGTCAGCACCAGCTTGAATGATTGAGGGATGCTCCCTGAAGCTGTCAGGGCCCCTTTGCTGGCACCCCCGAGCACCACATACACAACAGAAATTGGCAGCAGCCCAGCCCAGGAAGCTGCCACATAGGGCCAGAACCCCACACTCGTGACCCCCAGAACATAGCTCAGCAGGGTCAGCGGGATCAGCGGCGACAACCGCAGCAGGAACACCGTCTTGGCCGGGGCTCTCTCCGCCACTGCGCGGTCGATGCGCTTGAAATTTGAATACGACCTCAGGTGAGGCTCCAGAAGCGGCCGGGCCACGGATCTGCTGAGAGCAAATGCGAGCGCGCAGCCGGCGGTGGAAGCTAGAGAAACCACTGGGACCCCCAGCAGGGGACCGAATAAATAGCCGGCAGCGATGCTGAGAGGTGCGGCCGGCAGAAACAGCGCGGTGCCGGCGGCGTAGAAGGCTGCGAAGAGCAGCGGCCCGTAGGCGCCTGAGGAGGCGACCAGGGCCTCAACATAGCTCAGCAGGCCTGCTGGCTGCATGGCAGCTGCCGCTAACGGCGCGAAGCTGGCATTGGCCTGCATGCATCGTTGGCAGGACAGCTGGATGCTGGAGATGGCAGCGTGGTGTAAGGTGTGGCTGAACGCAGCCGCGCTCCTGCTGACGGCTTGCAGAAAGTCTGGGTGCTGTCTGTCAAAACTTGCTGCTGGTGCCCCGTCCAAAGGAATGCATGCGCCTGAACAACGTGTAGGGGCCTTGCAGGTCAAGGGATGGGTGGCGGTGCGCCGCAGCAACCTTGGAGGTTTCCCTGCGACGCACCGCCCATCCCTCAAAATACGTTGCAGCAGGCCTCGAGATCACTGTTCGTAATGGTCTGGACTGACTTGCTGCAGAGGGTGGAAAAGGCTGGGCAAAACTCCCTCGAAGAGACGAAGGAAGAAAACGAATCGAAAGTGACTTTATTTATTGTAAAATCCTTCGAAAAGGTAGACTTGATGAGTCCAGAAATTCCCATGGGCATGCCGCAATTATCGGATCCATGCAGGGCGAAAAATGGACATCAGGGTTACTTTACCGATGTTTCCAACATATGTATTTGATTAAAACATACCTTGACGATGGAAGGCGGACAAGCTTCTGAAACGAGTGACCTTGTGTGTCAGGAGCCTCGTGTTCATTCAACCTCGTGCGGCCTGACCCATGCGTCTGTGACTTCTGCGCTCCTGAAGTGGCCAACAGCTTTTACAACGCCTTCAAATGGACATTTGTATCGCTTTCTTTCCAGAACTCATCAATTGCTTCGTGGGGAATGAAATGTGTGTCGGAAGAGTTGTCGAAGGCGGCGTTCCTGAGAAACTCAATACTTGCAGTTGAAGAGCAATACGATCAGATCGACGGAAGGATGCATCGATAAAAAGTTCTTAAGAAATCATTGTAAGTATGGAGAGAGGTCTGAGAACGCTGGAGCATAGCTCCCGCTGTATTTCGGATCGCCCCTTCGTTCTCAGGACAAATCAGTGTCATCCTCGAAGGCTGGACAGGCGATCAATCAGGATACAGGCAGTGAGTGTCTTGAAAGATGTCCCTACCTGGCAGCAATTGAGCGCATGCGCCGGTGCAAGCGCATTGGAAGGGTATGTACTTCGTCGGAAGGAGGTGCCCAGATCAGCGCCAACTCCTACATTGCCCACGACAGCTGATGCAGAGACTGATAAGCCTGTATTACTATACAGGTAGGATGCTCGCATAATTACGGCATCACTGTCCCTGCAATGTAAGATTTGGGTGGGCAAACTCTACATCTGCCAAGCATATTCTCCTTTTTTAGAAGTTCATGCTCGCCTCGTTTGGGCACCTTCAAAGACTTATATCTTGTATTAAATGCACACGGGGTTGTTCTGATCTCAGTCGTGTTCGTTGGTGTTCAGGGACACAAACGCTTGGTGCCCCTATTGTGAAAGGTGATTCCCCCTCTCAAAGTGCCTTTCTTGATGTCACTAAAGGGGCATACACAGTGCAGTTTCAGCGGGTGCTTTTGTCATGGAAGCATTCCTTTGCCAGACGGTGGTCGCTCACCTGCATGCATGGTCCAGGGTCACTTTTGCTTTGGCAGAGAAGGACGTCCCCTACGACTCGGTGCTTATAGACCTCAGAGACAAGCCAGCCTGGTACAAGGACATCGTTCCCACAGAACTTACACCTGCAGCCCGGATCAATGGCGAGCTTGTGTACGAGTCCATGGACATCTTGCAGGTGATACTGTTTGTCCCGATATGATCATATTTGATGAAGCTCAAGGCATGTTATGTATTTTTTTTGTGTGCTGCTCACTGATTTCTGTGGTGATAGACGAGTGCTTGAAAGCAAGAAGACTGACTGAAGGCAATGATAGCTCAGCAATTGATTGGTGACATGCCCATATTGTGTCATGCAGAGGCTGGAGAGGGAGTTCACAGAGTTTCCACTGCTGCCCAGCGATGCCAGTCTCAGGGAGGAGGCAGAGACTGTGATGGGTGCTTCAGAGGCTTTGGGCGGGGCAGGCTTCAGGTGAGCAAGAGGCTGTGGCGCATCAGCCATCTTCTTCACCTGATTTTGTGAGTTGGAAATGCCTTTTGTGGACTGAAGATGTCATAATGTCTGGCTAGCATTAGAGTCAGTGATACACATATGGAAATGGTGGGAGTTAACTCAGCTCAGGTACAAGAAGTACTATATTTCCAATTGCAGGTTTGTGGCTGGAGGGAGCTTGGCCACAAGGCCTGATGATGAGAAGCCCGGCCCTGCCAGCGACAGCCAGCTGGCAGAGATGCAGGCAGCGTTCGAGGAGCAGCTTGCAGAATTCGAGCAGCAGCTCAGCAAGCACGAGGGCCCTTTCATTCTCGGGTGCACATCCCACCTCCAACAATGCTTTGCAGTAGGGCTTTTTTGGGCTGTATGTCCTCCTGCACACTTACAGCATCACTGTATCTCTTTTGGTGCACACTATTCCTACAAGCGCCGGCTTCTCTTACAGTTGCAACTGCTTGTAGGGAGTTCGGCCTGGTGGACATAGTGTATGCACCAGCATTGGAGCGTTTGGCAGCCAATCTGCCGGTCATGAGGGGCTTCAAGCTGAGGGACCATCCTGACTACCCGCACACTGCTGCTTGGTTCCATGCCCTGGACCAGAGGCCTGCCTACCAGAAAGTGAAGAGCGACGATGTCACCCACAATCAAGTCTTCAAGTGAGTCCTGCCCATCTGCGCTGCACCCAAAAAATCATGTCTGACTGTACTTATGGATGTGTGAAGGTTCCCAACAGATCGGACAGCATCATAGCGACGACAACAAGAAGATTGGCAGTACCCTGGGCAAAATCGTCCAGACTTGCCACTGAAAGCACCAAGATGATGAGATGCGCATCAGTAGATGTCACGCCCACCATGATGTTACAAGCTGCTAGTATAGACTGGCTTCATCATGTGCACGATTGGAAGCTTTCATATTTCTCATCTGTTGTTGCCCCTCAAGTTCATAACCTTGCCCTTAGTATCTGACCAGTTGGGTCATTCAGCTGGTCTGAACAGCAGCTCTGCCTGGTGCACAGGAGGATATTTGGAGTGCCGCTGGCCGCAGCTCCGGCAAGCAGTCCTGGGCAGGTGGCGGCGCGCAAGGAGGCGGCCGCAAAGATCGCGGCCAACCGCACCGCGGTGGTGAATGACCTGCTCAAGAACAGCGGCATCGTGCGCGGCCGGACCAACCAGTACGGCAACACGCTGCGCGCCGTAAACGGGTACCCAATGGAGCCGTCACCGGCCGCGGTGGCCGCTGTCGAGTACGCGCTGCGCCGGCTGTGCAGCTGGCTCTTGCACGGTGAGCATCTCAAACTTTGGCAACTTTTCAAATTCCGTCACAAGTGCAATTGAAAGCTGCAGAAGCATGCATGCCTAACTGTCCCTGGTGTTTGCACGGTAGAGTAATTGTACACCATCCTTGCTTATACCCCAATCTCAAAAAAGATATGTCTTTTCAGATTACATCGGGCAAGGATTCGCACAGCTAACTAATGACAACTCCAGCAGAGCCGTTGGCGTCACATGCACGTGTTGTACTTCAGGCACGCCTGGGCCAAGGCACCCGGACCTGGAGGCAGCAGCGCTTGGGTCGGCGGCGCTGGTTTTCTTTGCTGGCAGAGCCTCTTCACCCAGGGACCTGAGCGCAGCTGCCTGCACGGAGCTGAGGGATGGCTGCTGGCAGCTTCTCAAAGACATGTACTGATGCGCTCACAATCAGAACCCAAGCGCTCAGAAGAGTTCTGCTTTAACGGATGAGCATACCTTATTTTTTGCTTTCATGAAGGTGGAAATCACGGCATCAGATGAGCCTAAGCTGGCCAATCTCAAACGCCACTCTTAGTATTAGAGTTCAAAGAGACAGCCCGGGGTGCAACTGTCTATCTTGGAAATAGTAGAGGAGGTGGAAGCTTTTGTGCGGTTGTCAGCAGTGCTCGTGCACAAATCTTGGTCCACCTGAGGTTTGGTCTACTTGGTACGTACCTTTTGGTTGGTTTTAATCCTATGGAAATTCTTTACTAGCGGTAGGCTCAAGCTTCTGGCAGGCCGACAATTGTCACGGTTTGGCTGGACCCCCCTTTTGTCAGGCTCATGCAATGACGTCTGATTGCAGCTTGGACCTTGTGCAATTGTGAGGGGCACGTGAACTTCATTTTGATGAAGTCCTACATAGTACTGATATGGCGATGTGGTATCGCTTGCCCGTAAATCATATTCAGTGCTCCTGTTACCCTGTAGAGTCTGCAGTGTACTGCTTATGTAGAAGCATGATCTGTACTTCATGATGTCACAGCATGCATGTCACTGACCACATGTTGGTTACCCGGCCATGTGGTCATGGTCAAAGAAGGTGCTCAGTAGTCACACTGGACGTGGCCACAACATCCATCGAGAGCTACAGTATCATGCCGTGATTTATGACTGCCTCATCAAAGAGTCAAGTCAGCGTCAATTTTAGGACTTCAACTGCAATTTTACGGATTCGTGCTTTCGCATGCAAGACTTCCCTGGACCCGTAGCCGCTCTAGGCAAAGGACAGGCGCGAACACCCCTCAATCGGTACACCATATTTTCAAAGCGGAAAATTCGAGAACCTGGAAATTTCGAGCACCATTGGAATTAGCCAGAATGACACATCAATTGCACGTGGACTAGAAAGCGTCCCAGGACGGCATCCCTGTCTGCAACTATCGCTGTTGATTCTAAAATTCGAGGTTAGAGTCTTACTAGTTTAAGAAGATCGTCTATCGACAGTTGTTTAGATTGATCATGATTCTATATTCTTGCCTCGCACTGGTAGAGCCTGTGTGCTCGTGCCTCGTGTCTACCGAGGTTTCCGTCAACTTCGCACACTCTCCTTGTGAAAATTCCGGTTCATTCGTAGCCTTAAAATTTTGTCAATAACATATTTCTATATTTCTATATTTATATTCTTATATTATATTTCTTACTGCAGCAAAAAGGGGCGTGCAGCACTTTTGGGACTTCCAAGGTTCGGTGTCCCGTCTCTGTCCAGGTAAGTTATTCTGTTGTGAAGACAGCACACTTGCTTGGTGTTAACAAATGGCGGATCCCTCTTTGTTTGGATTGCCTTCAGTGAATTCACTTTCTGCAAGGCCACTTTGCTGCAGCACCCTGCCAGCCACTGAAATCTACTGCGCAATGACTGTGCATGTTCGTGACTCAGGGCCTTCGCCAAGATAGTACTTCAGAACATGGCCGGAACAGCCATGGATGACAGCACGTCAGAGGCACTCTCCAGCACCACGAACAACCCTTACAAGCAGCTCTTTGATCTTGCAGCTGAGGAAGAGACGCTGCAATCAAAGTTGAAGGGTTTGAGGGCTGATATTGAAATCGTTGAGCAGTTGACGGATGAGCAATTGGGCAGGATCCTGATGGAGCTGTCAGCCGCCACTGAAGAGGTGAAAATTGCCCAGCGCCTCCTGGATATCCTTGAAAAGGATGTGCTGCGATCGGTCTTGCAGGCATTGCTGAACCACGAGGAACATGCAAAAATCAACCTAGGATTGAAAGCTGTTGTTCAAGCACATCAAAGCAATGCCATCACCAGCTTGGATGCTGAAAAGATTGTCGAGGTCTGGGACAGGGTTGGCACGTCAATGTCATCCAAAGTGCAAGTACTAGTAAGAATAGAAAGGGGTTTAGTTTTGAAAGGCCACAATAAAATATCAGCGCTTCACGCAGCACTGCACCTCTGCATCACGAAGCCTGATGCGGCATCGTTCAGGCTTGAAGACAGAATGGTCAATTGGAATTTCTCCGCGGCGCAGCACACCCAAATTGTATCCGAAGTGAGAGCAACTCTATTCAAGGCGCACGCAGCAGTTGGCGGGAAGTTCAGGGCTGTTGAGGCGCAGTCAGCTGCCATGCAGTCTCAGAAGCACAGCTTTGTCGAGCTGCAGAGCCTCATCCAACACGCAGAAAATCGCCTGGCAGAAGTGGTGAAGGCCCAGCAAGACATCAAGCATGCCCTCAGCAGGCTGCACCTGCAAAATGAGAAGCCTGAAGAGCTGATTTCACTGTGAACTACACAAGTCCATACATAGAATCCAACACATGAAGGAGCTCATCTGTAGAGTTGCAGACCTGGCAATTTCCCATTACTGGCCAGGATGTGTTTTCCATAGTGGACAACACATTAGTCCCTCGTGCACAGTTGGCAATGTCCTTGACAAACATAGTAGGCTTTTGTAATCCTGGAAGAATTTTAGAGTCGCGCCTCAGTTGATTATGCAGATATCTACGCATAGATACGCATCGATGAGTGTGTCGGGTGTGGTCTGGCTGACCAAATGGTGGCATCGGAGCCTATTGTAACACCGGTACATTTGGGACATCTTAATGAGAGGCTTCTGGGTTCACTGACCAAAGTGCCACAGCATGTTAATCATAAAAAATATGAATGAAAATTAAAAATTTCAAGGGAAAGCCATTTGTACATGTGCACAAGAGGGATGGGCCACTTCTTTACATCGTTACCCTGCTATAACACAGTGACACTGTCACATAGCCAAACTCCCGATACAGCGACCAAATCAACTACAGTGTGCAACGTGCAGTGACCAATTTGATGCACACTCCTGAGCGGGTGAGCAAATACACGCAAAGCATGTAATGTGTACTGAAATATTTTGGGAATGCCCGATGAATCTCCTACGCACACAGCAACCATGCATGGCAGGATCTTGCAATGCAAAATGTCCACACAAGATATGCAGCCTCCTACTTCATGATTGTACTCCTATTTTCCTCTTTCGGTAGTACTAAGTACTAAGGATCCCCTTTCAGACACAGAGATCGGACTACCTCTCTACTTTGCAGCACAAAGAACACTGCATGTTAACACGATCCTCTTAGCATCATGAAGGATTCTCCCCTTGTATAGATACCACAGGCTCTGCGCACCCCAAGCCAGCCGTCTACAACACATTGCAAGCATGCATGGCATGCGCGGGATCTACTCCTATTACTACAAAGGTCCTCGGACTTAGCCGAAGCCGAAACCGGTGGCGCCCTCGTGCAGCGCGAGCATGAGGCGGTCGCGCAGCTGCTCCTTGCTCTCGTACTCCACCAGGTCCAGCTGGTTGAAGCAGGTGTGCGCCGCCGGCAGCTTCTGCTGGCTCCCGTACGCCTTGTGGATCTGGAACTTCTGCGGCCCGCCGATGCCCTGCGCGTCAAGTTAACCCATGACTCAGGATCAACCCCAATCACTGACGCACTTGCCATGCGTCTCACTTCATGCCATGTTTCAGCACCGACCCAACTCATAGTAGCAGTTGCCTTGCACGCCACTCGTGAAGCTCCTATGCAATTCCCTGAAACGTCCCATGTACCTGTACAACAACTGAGGACGCCAGCATGACCATTTCAGTGTCTTGTTTGCTTTAAGGGTGAGACAGCTAGGGTGCCCAGAACGACCCTATGCTGGGGTTGGGATCAGGCATCTTGAATCTCTTCTCTGCATGCTCCTCACACGACCATGAACACGCCACAACAAAGCGCTTGCTGAGCACAGCGCAACGGTTCTGCATGCCGCTACGACCAGTGTAAACCGGACACAACAAAGGGCTCGCAGAGCAGAGCAGGGGCAGCGCACCTGCAGGGCCTTGAAGCCTTCCAGGGGGACCTTGGAGGTGCCGGTGACAAACTGCACCAGCAGCGCCAGGTCCTCCTTGTCCATCTCGCGCACGACCTCCCAGAAGTACTGGATCACCGGGGACGCGGGCGAGTAGCCATGGTAGTCGGTGTTGGCGCGCAGGTCGTCCACATCGATCTCCGGCAGCCCGCTGATCAGCAACTCCAGCTCGTGGTCATTGAACATGGAGATCAGATCCTGCGCCGCGTGATAAACCCCACGTGAGCTGTTTTCCTTCACACATTACCGGATACCTTATATGTTTCTAGCCTTCTGCAACCACAGCTCTAATGACATTATAATTTGCAGCCTCACTGCTAATCTCACTTATCACCCTCCTGCTCTGGATTCGGGTTCGGCAAGCCTCGTACACACTTCTATTCATATGAGAGCAGGGGGCGCAGCTATGCATGCGGCGTCCGAGCTGGTGCAGCATTGCTCTGCATGCAGCCCTAAAATGAACGAGAAAAGAACAGCAAATGCATGATGCAGTATTGACAAATCCCATCAGGAACCAGTTGCTCCTCAGCAGCTCATTACTTGCACATCCCTGCAATATGAGCAGTGAAGGAAAGCGAGCCCTGATGGGACCGGTCATAATCAGAGACTAGTGAGGAAGGCAGGGGGGCCGCACCCTGGGCACCATTTCCCAGAAGCCCTTGAGGAAGGCCTGGATCTGAGCGCGGATGGCCGTGGTCATGCGGTGCTCCGCCACCAGATCCACGTACTCGCGCTTATTCTCGTTCGTCACCTGCCGCCCCGCAACAGCACCACTCTCAGTACGCGCACAAATATTTGTCCCTTACAGCATTAAAGAAGACTACAGCTTGCAGCGCAGCCAGCCCAGAGTATTCACATAGAACCTCTTTGAGCAAGCAAGCAAAGTCACTTCTATCCATGCATGGCCACAATCCTCAAGGGCAACCAGCTCAGAACCAGCAGTTCCTGCATTCTCTATGGCGGCGCGCTCACAAGAGCCAATTGATTATCCATGATCTAGTGCATGCAAATGCAAAAAAATGCAGGAAGGAGATAAAACGGCAGCCAGGGGAAGCACCTTGATGTCACGGCCGCCGGGCTTGAGCTCGACGTGCTCCACGCGGCCAAAGTAGTCCACCTCCTCCACAAAGTTCAGGTCCACCACATCCGTCATGTCGTGCTCCAGCAGCCACGTCAGGTTCTTGAAGTACTCCGGGTCCACCCCCTCTATGTCCTGCGCACACATCCACACAAACAACGCGCCTCAGCAGCTGCCTCCTCTTGGCGCCGGCCTTCAAATATTCTCAAGGGTTGGAGCAGAAAAATTTATGCTGGTGATCGCAAGAACCCCAGTACTGGCAGCACGTTTTTGGAACTTGAGGCAAAAAATGGTGCATTAAGCAGCAGGACAAAGGCAGGCAGGGTCTACCTCCCAGGGCGTATGCAGCAGATGCTCTTACACGCGAGCATGCAAGAGTAGAGGAGTAACCCTGCTTCCTTTTCTGCTCCTGCATTGCAGGCTTGCAAGCACCAGCTAGTTGCATCGACTTAAGGGTGCTGCAATGGAGGCGCACCTGGTAGGTGAGGGGCTGGCCGAGCATGTGCTTGTAGAAGGAGCGGGTGAAGTAGGCGTCGATGAGCTGGCCGTCGTACAGCGCCTTGCCCACCACGCGGCCCACAAACTTGAAGAAGTCCAGATGGTTGGTGCCGCGCGCCTCGTCGTTCTGCACGATGCTGTTGGGGTTGGGCTGGAACGTGGAGCCCCCCGTCGGCACAAACAGCGATATGTTCGGGTTGAACGTCTCCCGCGCCATCACCTGCACGCATGCAGGTCACTTCAACATTCAAATTCAAATTTGAAACTAGAATTTGCAATGGACGGGGGCTCATAGTATATGGGCAAAAGGATGCAAGGTGCCGTAATGCCCATGATGATGGGTAGGACGAGAGCAAGAGAATGAAGTTCAAAATAAAGAATTCCTTTGTATCTGTCAGAATTAGGACCCCCAGCCCTGTCAAGGTCAGCAAGGGGGTCATTCAGGAAGGAAGAACATCGCAAGAGCAAGGGATGTACCTGGTACCACTCGCGGGTGACACCGCCGGCGTCGATGCCCTCCTCGCTGTGGAACTGCACTGACAGCTTGCCCCGCATCTCCTCAGGCGTCCTGCAGGCGCCGCCCAGGACACGCTCAGCTCAAACACAGACACCCCCTCTCGTCAAAAACATGCATGCACGGTTTTGCAAGGAGCCCAGCAAGGCCCAGATACAGTCATTCAACATATTCAGCTTGTTTTTGGACACTGATGGAGATTGTTGCACATGCGCGTGCACGACCCAAGCACACCCTCTGGAGAACTGCAACTGCAAAATAAAGAGCGTGTAGAGGACGATTGGACAATTGTAGAAGGACAAGATCATTGCTGCAAAGCAGGTTGGGTGGGGCACGCACTTGGAGCGGAGCTGGTGGAAGGAGTCCTCGAAGATGTGCTCGCGGCGCACGTGGATGCGCAGGGAGCCGTGATAGCGGTCGCTGGCGGAGCGGACCTGGCTGCGGAAGAAGGCGCGCTTGTTGTCAAAGTCGATCAGCCGCGGTGTGCGCATGAGCTGCGTCAGGGGGCCCTCCAGCAGCAGCTGCACGTTCTGCTGGATCAGCACGTTCACCAACCGCCTGTGCCGCTCCGCAAACCTGCGCCGCGCATGCAATCCGGTCAATGTTTTTTTCTTTTTCTGTTTTGTTTCAATTCCTAGCCTGCTCAGCACTCCGCTGCTTCAGCCTGTATTTGGGTCCTTGGGATGATCTCCCTTCTCCCAGCTCATGGCCGTGCCTTGACGAGGCGCGCATGCGAGATCTTCACTGCACTCTCCTGTTCTGCAATTGCTGATTTTCTTCTCTTCTCTTCTCCTTCAGTTTTCTGGTTCTCTCTCATGCTGTATCCAGTGTTTCAGACGTGTCATCTGGTTCACCAAATCAGCTCTCCCCTGGCTGCTGCTTGTTTAAGAACAACTGAATTTGTCTGAGATTTCTCATGATATGGTGAACGTGCCTGGGAGCGCTGTGCCACCTTCACAGCTACTTCTTGGAGCCATGCCTCTCAAGCGCTACAAATCACAATTCATGATGATGCGATGGAAAGGTTGCCAGCAACAGCGCATGCATAATTACATAGGCCTGACTCGGCAGAAAATACTGCCTGATTGTGAAGCACACAGCAAGGGGGTGGTGAGCCAGCAGCAGCACCTGAGGAAGGGCAGCTGGGCCTCGAGGGGTTTGCCGTCGGGCGAGGCGCTCTGAAAGGGTGTCTCCTCGGACGTGACAGGGGCCAGCGAGAGGTCCATGGAGACCGAGGTGGAGGAGCGGCGGCGCATGCTCAGCGGCGGCGGCAGGTGCGAGGTGCGCGGCTCGCACAGCACAAAGAACGCCTTCACCAGCGGCAGCACCTGAACATTTGTATGGTCAACACTCAGTCAACTTGCGATACGTTGTGCTGGATATTCTTGTTGCGTGCAGAATCAGCAGCATGTGGAGGACTGTGCATAATAATACCTTATCAAAGATTGTTTCAGCAGGTGTGCATTGTCAATAAAGCAGGCGATCTGAGCAGAGCTTGAATTTTCCATTCCAGCAACGGTTTTGAGGTCCCCCAGAATCAACACAGACCAATGGACTTTCACCCTCTGCCTTTTCCTGCTACAAAATGCGTGCTACAAATGGTACACCTTCACTTATCTGTACTGGCTCTGAGGGACCTGGCAGCATTATGAATGAGGGATTTCCAGGTTTTCTCTGCAATCTAACAAAAGCAGTGCGCAGGCTCTGTAAAAGAATTCACAGACCTGAGTGGCGCCGGGCGACAGGATGCGGTTGGGGTTGGCAACGTCGGCCGGGCCGGCAGGGTGCAACTTGGGCAGATCGGCCTCCAGCGCAGCGATGGCGTCACTGAGAGCAGCCCACAGCGGCTCTGTGCGCGAAATGAGCTCCTCCAGTCCTGCAATATCTTGCGGGTCCACCTCCTTGTCCTTGAACAGCAGATCCTGGCCGCCCACAAGCTGCAGCACACGCCCCGCCAAATTAACGTGTCGGTGCTGATTACTCATGTGCGGGGACACGGTATAAAGCATGAGTGAGGTATGCCAATGCTGAGGGCAAAGGACTCTACCACTGGGTCCGTGGCCCCGGAAGTGTATGGCTTTCATGGTTGTCAAACCAACGATCCAGCAATTTTGGGTTCACAATCGCGAGAAACCAAACATGTTCATGCGACTGCAGGCCCACGCAGGCAATTAAATACAATTAGCCCTCACAAGAGATCCTTGATGCCGTTATAAGAAGTAAATAAAAAGTGTTGAGATGGCTAAAGGGATGAGGTGGGCACCTGCACCAGGGGGGTCTGGTCCTTGACGCCCTTGGGGTTGATGAGGGCATTGATGACCTCGCAGATGCACAGCACGCGGCTGCCCAGGGCGCCCAAGCCTATGTTCACCACCGCGCTGGAGGGACCCTTGCCTGCCACCATGGCGCTCAGCTCCCGCACCGCCTCCCCCGACAGCCTGCACACACAAGAGAACATATGTCGTCAGTATCAATGCTTTTCCAGCTGTTGCTGCTCCTGTACAACATTGGGGGCCATGCATGCAAATATGGCTGTTGTAATTACCCCTACATTGAGCTAGCTGAGAGGCGGTATTGCAGGCCCCTGTGTGACCATGTGCATTCTGACACGATGCATGCATGGAAAGTCGACAAAGGGCTGCTATACGCACCACTTGTGATTGCAGAGAGGTTTTGTTCCAGCCTTCATGTGCATTTGCTAATTTAAACAGACAGCAAGGCCGGGATGAATTGGGGGAGTGCACGCACTTGTGCAGCTCGGACTCGAGCTCATTGAGCATGGGGGTCTTGCTGTCCTCGCAGCAGATCACAACGAGGCGGATGCACTTGGCTGCGCGCTTGTAGGCTGCCTCCGACATGCCGCCCTGGCCCAGCAGGCGTGGCAGCTGCCGCAGCAGCCCCTGATCCACGCCCTCCAGCAGCGGCTTCCTCGGATTCTTGCCAGATGCATCGCGCATCATCTTCTCCTCTATGGCAGCACCTGCACAGGAACGACCCACACACCGCTCATGCACGTTGCATGGCTTTCCAATTGCCAAAAGCAAGCTGAAAATATGCATGCAGCATGTGGACATGACCAGGTCAGGTGCGCACTCCGCTGCACAGCGGCCATTGCGTCGCTGGAAAGGCGGCGGGCTGCAGCAGCAGGGGTAGGCGGTGGGTCCTGCTGGGTGGATCCAGGGGTGGCGGGCTGGCCGGCCGCGCCCGCTGCTGCACCGGCGGAGTCTGCCGTGGGCGGCGCAGCCTCGAGCCCTGCAGCCGCATCCCGCCTCGCCTGGTTGCGCTCAAGTGCGTCGTGCACAAGCTGCCTCGTGGTGGTGTCTGCCAAGTAGTCGTACCTCTTTGCGACAGACAGCGTCACCTGGCCCCACAGTCCACAGCTCAGAAATAAAGCGGCAAGGACTGCTATGCATATAAAACCAAGTCCAACGGGGTTTTTGCAGGAAATGGCACCAACTGGGTAAGCTTGCAGCAGGGATGTTTATGTTATATCGAAGGTACCTGCAGCACGAACGTGTCAAGAGAGGAGCGAATGGACACAAAATCAGAAGGGGGAAAGAGTTTATACCTCTATGGTGGACAGAGCAGCTTCGAGGTGGGCAGCAGAGCGCTTGCACAGCGTCTTCCCCAGCAATTCCAGCAGCACGTCCAGGCCAACCTTGCTGTCCCTGGCAACGTCCTGCTCCTCAATGGCCTTGCCCTTCCCCTTCTTGTCCTGCACATGCCACACGCGAATCTTTAAGTGCGGTCTGCATGTTTTCACCTTCATCTATGAAGGCACAAAATGACAGCACCCTCGGGGTGCATCACAGCAACCAGCAAGGCATGGCAATGCTTTAAGGACTCGCCGACGCTGGGTTCACTGTCAACAACGTGATTGATTCATTGTTGTTAAATGAACACTGCCTCGTGGTGTCTTTGAAGCAGGCCCCGTGCTGACTCCCCTGTGCTTGGCTACTGACCTGTACCTGTGTCAGGATCATGGCATTTTTGCACATGCAAGTTATCGTGATCTATCACCATGGAAGCGTCAGCGAGAGCAGCAGCTACCTGCGCGCCGAGCAAGATGGCGGCTTGGGCCTCGGCCGGGCGGATGTCCAAGCGGATGAGGTCAAAAGCAGCCTTGGCAGTGTGCTTGGCCAGGTGGGTGACGAGTTCCAGGATGCGCCTGGTCATTGCCGGCGGCACAGCAGTGGCCCCGCGGCCCAGGATGCCCAGATGCACCAGTGGCAGCAGCTCGGAAGCTTCCTCCGCAGCCGCCATCCCCTCCCCAGCCTGAATGCAAAGAAATGGCTGAGAAGCTGCAGCCATTTTGGTGTGTATCCGACGTGCTTAATCTGGTAGATTGCTTGTAGACTGTGTCATTGACAACAAGCTTGCCCCGAAGCAGGGGCCAAGAGGTGCATGTTGCTCTCATAGACGAAAGAAGCGCAGGGTGAGCAGCTATGCTGTCACATCACCGCCCCAGCTTGTGCGTTTATGGGGCCACCATTCAGTAATGAGGTGTCAAGCTGGATTACATGTGGTCTGATCTGGCAATGAGCAGGGCGGCACCTGGAGAGCGGCAGACAGGGAGGAGGGCTGCATGGGCTGCTCGGATTCCTGTCGCGCGGCGCGGGCCTCATCGGTGGAAAGAGGGGCGCGCAGCAGAGACAGCAATATGCGCAGCGCAGACTCCATCGTGGCGCGGTCCTCGCAGAGGTTGAGGAAAAGGCGCTGCAGGTGCTGCTTCACCAGCGGCGACGTCACGCGCAGCAGCGAGATCAGCGCAACCAGCGCTTCGTCGTCCACCTTTACCGGGTTGAGCAGCTCCAAATCCTGCTTGGACAGGAAAAAAGCACAAGTCAAGACCTCTTCCTGGTTTGGAGGCTTCTTGATAGGACAGGCGATCACGAAATCCATTTCTCACCGGTCTGGGGCCCTTGCCAAGGTTGAAGAGGGACTGCTGGATGCGGCTGTCGACTGTGGCCTGGATTCGGTCCATGGAAAAGTCGCCATAGCCGGCCAGCCGCCCGGCCCCCGATGCCAGCCGCTGCCGCGCCAACTCACCGCGCCGTCGCGCATGGTCCCTCATGCCCCTGCAATTACAAATACATTCCTATGAGACACTGCACCTTTCCATCTACGACCATGGTCTAGTATTTGAGGCCTTGAACCCTTGTGTCAACAAGCCTACCCAAGCGCATGATTACTGCAACCGGTGGGGCTGGAGCATAAACTTCTGCCCTGAAGTACTCAATCATACACCATCCTGATCTTGTTACAAATTGCCATTGTATAGGTGAAAGGTCACCATTTCTGATGCATCAAAGATCCAGGGGATCGCATGTATGGCAGTGGAGGCAATTCGACAGTAAGCCTAATATATTAAGACTAGTATTGATCAATGTGCACAGGGGAAGTCGAGGACCACGCACCTAAGGGCGGCGTCGCTGAGCTCGCTGGGCAGAGTGGGGCGGGGAGCGACGTGGCGAGCGCCGAGGCGGCCATGGGCGCGCTCGCGCAGGGCCTGGGCCTCGGCCAGGATGGCTGGCGGCAGCTGCGCCAACATCTCCTCGTCCGCCGTCATCAGCACCTCGTCCCGTACCTCCGGTGGGAAGCTCGCGAGCGTCGTCGCCAAATCAAGCTCCTGCGGGCCCCTCTGCCCCGCCGCCGCAGCCGCCTGCTCAATACGCGCATGGCAGGATTCATCGACGCTCAAGACAGAACAGAACAACTTCAATTAAAGGCACAGGGTGGACTCCAGTCATCAATTGCCATCTTCCGGGTTGTGAGCCTCTAGCAGACTGCATGGTGAGCAGCACCGGTGCATGCTGATCACCAGGCGGTCGGTGGAAGGCCTCAACCGGGACACAGGCTGAAGGCAAGGGAGCCCAAAATTCCATTCTATCTGCCTCCAAATTCCAGATTGCAATGAGCATCAGGGCATGCCAAGATGGAAATCACCTGGGCGGCGGCGTGCTCGGCTTCGGCGCGGCGCTGCCGGCGCTCGCGGCGCTGCGCCTCTAGGACCTCGGCCTGCAGCTCCTCCGGCAAAGCCGCCAGGAACTCTGGGTCAATCCCCGCCATCTCGTCGTCCGAGCCGTCCTGCGCGGACGGCCCCGATGCACCGGCGGGGACGTCACCCTCTGCTGCACGCCACACAATGCATCTCTAAGATGTGGGGTATGTATTGATAACACAATACACATACAGAGAGGCTTGCAAGCCTCAGCTGCATCCAAAATGGCAATACTAGCGGTCCTCAAATCGTGCAAGATTTGGAGACCGCTGGAGCACCATATTGACTGCATCTGCCTGCAACTTTCACGGTTGCAAAGAAGATAATGTCAAATTTGAAGCTAGAGTATGGGGAACAGTAGCGCACCTGGGCCTGCAGATGACCCTGGTTCTGCGCTTGGCTGGGCAGTGTCCATCGGCTGCGGCCGCTCTGCTGAGGGTGCCCCGGGTGTGGCGGCTGCAGAGCCGGCAGCAGCATCAGTGGGATAACCCGCGTCCCCAAGCACCTCCCGCTGCAGCGCTGGCGGCATGCTCAGGAACACCTCCAGATCGATACCCGTGCCCTGCACAGACCGACGTCAGCAGATTGCTGGTAAATTTTGTTTCAGCATGATTGTCGTTGTCATGATGTCATGGTGATGAATTTGTCCGCCAAAAATTGCCCAAGAAGGCCGATGCCAAACATCCACACCTCAGGCACCTCCATCAAAAAACTTGCAGAGCAGACCTTGCAACCCGTTCTGGAATGATTTTCAGCAAAATTTCCAGGGGCTGTAGCGTCTCCAACAAGTATGATGATGCAGATGCTTCAGGTGCAGCATTTTGGGAGATGCTGTTCTTCTTCAAATGTAAGCGTACCTCAAGAGCCCGAGCGAGCTCTGCAGGGTCTTCAGGTAGGCTTATTGCTCCTGAAGACGCAGGAGGAGAGCTTCGCTCGGCAAGAGCTTCTGATGGCGGCACTGCATTCGCCATCTCCACATCCCTCCCCTGTGCAAACATCATGTGGTCCTTGATATAACCAAAGTTCTCGAGAAGAAGAGCAGGCGCAATGCACACAATCCTCAGATGCTAGCGCGGACTGACTCTGCAAACATAAGTGACCCGCTAAAGTATTCTCTAGACAAGCTCGAATTGGCCGTTTTGGCTCGACAGAGGCAGCAAATTAGAAAGGTTGAAAATGTGTGAGATTAAGTAGCTGAGCAGCTACACGAATCTGCTGGGCACCAATGGACAAAAGAGGAGGGCTGCCTCACCGGTTGCGGTTGCGACTCAGCGGCGGAGGATGACAGGGCCGCGGCCCCAGACAGTGCCGCGCTCAGCATATTGGCCCCGATGATCGGCGGTGGCGACGGCGGCGGCTGGGCCGGTGCTGGCTGCGCGGAGGCTGTCATGCCGGACATGGCAGCGCTCATGGCAGAGCTGAAGAGCTCCGCGCCGATGGCGGTTGACAGCGCGGCCGGCGGCTGTCCCTGCGCGGCCGGCTGCGACGCCGGCCTCCGCTGCGGCGGCCGGGCGAGCGCTGCGGCCAGCCCGGTGCGCAGCCGCTCGCTGGAATCGCGTTCTGCAACGTCCTGCAAGAAAAGATGGGCCTATGTTTAGCACAACAACCCCTGAACTTCCCTTCAAAACATCAGCCAATACTTAAATGTTTCTGCATTTTGAAGACTGCCCAAGGTCCCCTGGTCAAAACACACAGGAGGCAGGATACTGCAAGTCAAAAGAGCAAGGGATCGGTGGATTACTGGGATGCAAACAACAGGCTTGTGTGTGTGCGCACCTGCGGCGGCGTTCCCCGCAGCCTGGCCTGGTAGCGGGTGCGCCTGGGCGCAGGCGGAGGCAACGCCCCAGGCGCCGTGGCAGCCGGGGTCTGCTCGCCCTCCGGTTGCGGCTGAGCCGCCGTCTGCTGTGCACGCTGCGCCGATGCGGGCCTCTCTGCAGGGGCATCCGTTGATGCAGGTGTGGAGGGAGGCAGCAGAGATCTGCCTGGAGGTACTCTTCCCCTGTATCTTCGGGGGCCTTCAGGCGTCGGCTGTGGCCGCGCAGAATTCTGTGCCATCACCACTTTTTCAGTATCTACGTGATCATCCATGGAATTTGAATGGCATTGCAACACAACACGCAGCAATTAATGTGCAGCAGAATATCCAAGCAGCATTGCCAGAGACACTGTGGGTGCTCAATGTCATGCATGTCACAGGTGCAGCAGCGAGCGATGCTTACCTCAATGGCATTGATCATTGCCTGCATGTCCGCAGGGACTTGCGCGATGTTGCGGGGATCAAAGCCGGCCACGAATCGCTCAAACTGCGCTGCGGCTGCCTGTGAACCATTCTCCCGCAGCCTCCTGCAGCATGCAGAAGGGGCTGAGAACAACATACAGACTCACCTTGTCCCAGCACATCTGTTGTCATCCAGACAATTGAGAAATTGACAGGTAACAGGTTGCAGAGTTGGCTGAAGAAGGCGTACCCGCCCACTCTGTCCCGCAAGGACTGCCGAATGATGTCCACTTGTGGATCGGTCAGCGCCTGGGCGGTGGCTGGCATCTGCTCGCCCTGTCTGGCAGCGCCCTGCTCTCCATAGGTCAGGATCAGCCGCTCCCAAGCCTCCCTCAGGTCCTGCAGACATCCAACATGGTCAATACTGACAAGAACCTGGTAAATCAGCATGGGCGTGACTCTCGAGCAGAATCTCATCGCCTCGTCTCAAGAGACTGTCTAACTTATAACAGCTAAATTCCCTGTAGACCAGCTGCCACCTGTAGACCAGCTGCCGTTAAGACTGCCCCTCCCAGCAAAACCCAACCAAATGTGAGCACAGAAAAATATATCCCAACATGTGGAGCTGTAGCGAGGCCTCATGTGCACAGCAGATGTGCAGAGGAGGGCGCAGTTTCTAAACCCTCACATGTAGAATATTATTTCTACATGTTATATCAGGGGGTGCTAAAGACTGCCCACTGGTAATCGTCAGTCTTCAGCATCCCTTGCCAATCTAAACTACAAGTGCGCACCTCTGGAACGGCGTCAACACTGCGTATGCTCTGGCGCAGGGACTCCAGGCTGGTTGCCACATTGGCGGCCGCCCTGTTTGCGTCCTGCGGAGACACCATCGTCTCGTTGCTCTGCTGCTCCGACGCCGTCTGGCCGCTCACGCCAGCCGCCACTGCCTGCGGTGTGCTGCGGGCGGCATTACCCGCAGCTGCCTGTTGGCGCAGGGCACACAGTGTGATTTGTTTGAGACGTCAACAAAGATCGCTCGTCTCCAATTTTGCTGCATGACGGATTTGAGGGCGTCACTGCCAAGTGTGGAGAGGTTCAGTCCTCAGGAATCGCTGCCTACCTATGAACGCATAGCGTCTCAGCCAGGGCCTTAGCCCCTCATCCTTTCCTATTTGCTTTGCTTCATGATGCAGAGAGTGCCATGCATGCAGAGCTGAAGAAGTTGCTGTCTGTGTCAGAGCATGCAGGGCGGCTGCGAGGGCGACAGCACCTTGTGTGTACCCTCATTTGCATTGTTGCATGACTGACGGAGAGGGTCGTGCAGCCACAGCTGAGGAGATTTGTCACCTGTGGCGGGGCGGGCGGGGCGGCTGCAGGGGAGACCAGGGCGGCGGCAGCGCGGCTGGCCTCCTGGAGAGCGTTCACTGCTTGGCGCACCTGTGCGCTGCTGTTGAGCAGCGCCTGCAGGTCGGGTGGCGCGTTGCGCAGCCTCTCGTCCATCTGCCGCAGCGCCTGCAGCGGAAAAGTTGTCTCAAGTCAGCCAATCCACATCAAAACGTTGTTCGGGAATTGGGGTCTTCTCTCACTCACCAGGGACATGCTCGTGGCAAGCCGGCAGAACAAACAGGTTTTGCTGCTTGCCCTGACCTGTGCAGCTTCAGCACAAAGCATCCGCAAGTGAGAGCTGCACAAATGGCAAGTTCAAGCGCCAGCAAAAGCTGGCCAGCAGCCAGCATGTTTCTGGAGGTCGCCCTCAGTCTATCAAATGTTGTTCAGCAGTGCCCCAGTGCCTCGGAAGGTCTATGAGCTGGCCAGGGTTGCTCAAAGTACTTAGTCAAAGCAGTCAAAATTTGTAAAAAAAAGGAAGTTCACATCACCTGCTGGTTGCGCTCCATGTTGGCGTGGGCCTGCTCCAGCTCTTCGCGATGCCTCTGTATCGTTGACAGGACCCGGTCCATGTCCTGCCCTGCCTCAACTTGCTCCCCGCCAGCTGCACGCTCCAGAGCCTGGGCTATCGCCGTCTGCGCCTCCTGCAGCGGATCTACAGCAGCCGCCGTTGGCGGCGCTCCTGCCTGGTGCTCCTCAGCCTCCTCAGGGGCTGCATGCTGGCGCAGGGTCTCCACAAGAGACTGCTCCAGTTGCCCTGCAATACCAAGCGTATGTTTAGACTTGTGGCTGAATGTCAAACAAGAGAAGTTGACTTTGTGGACAATACTTTCCGCAGTTCACGGCAGCAACGGCCAAGAACGTACCTATAGAGATCAGGGCTGAAATTCTTCACTAAAAGCCTTGCTTGAGGCTTCATACAAGGCTTACCTCTCAACCCCAATTAAGCTTACACGGAGGATATCAAGGCTTTCCTCCCAACATCAAGCTTGAGCGTGATCCTGTCTCCTTTTGTGACACCGTTCATGGCATGCATGCCCTGCTCTTTCATAACCCCTCGAAGAACAGTTGGATTGGGATCTGAAGAAAGCTTCACCTGCCAGCTGGGTGGACTCAAGCGCGGACGGCGGCTGGCCGTCGTTGGACCAGTTGGACATGCCGGCCATGACGCCGGGGGTGCGCAGCACGTCTCCCGAGAAGTCGATGAGGCTTCCAGCGTTGGGGGCCTGCAGCATGATTCCGCGCGGCCCCGGGAAGCCCCGCTGCCCGTTGTCCGCCGTGATCATCCAGTACTCTCCCGCACCGGCCGCCTGCACCACCAATGCCGGGTCAGCCGCAGCCTCTTTACAGCTGTTTGGGAAGCTAAAAGCCCCGGTATCATTTAGCTGTCTAGTTGTGGAGCGATGCGAAAAAAACATGCGTGAGAAATGCTACTAGGTCATTAGATATGAGGCAGGGTAGGTGGCGTACATCTTCGGCGCCGAACAGTCCCGGAAAGGGCTGGTTCATCCGCATGATGCGCATCTCGTTGGCAGAGCGCCCCTCGTCTGCAGCGCTCCGAGCGCCGGGCGCCGCTGGCGGCCTCTGTAGCAGCCTGTGATGGCAGAGACAGCTGGTCAATGCACTAGACAACATTCCACAGCAACTTTGTTCAAGAACGGCTCTGACTGACCTGTAAGCGGCACAGAAGACCGCAAGGCATGACTGTTTGGTAACATGCTTTCTGCTGAGGCCACAGGGTATCCGAGACCAACTTGGATCAAGGAAACCACTCTTTCCAGGTAGATATTCAAGTAAATCCCAGTGCAGAGTCCCCCTGCAGCCAGGTAAGAGGAAGGTAGCAGCACTACAGCCCACCTGTGGCGGGGGGCCCCGGTGGCGCCCGGGAGGCCGGCGGCGGAGGGCGCGCCGTTGGGCTGCTGCGTGGCGCGCATGCGGTAACGGAAGCGCTGGTCGCGGCCGTCCACCTGGACGCCGCCCAGCGCGCCCGTGTTGAGCAGCTCATTCACCATCATCTGCGCACGCGCCACACCCACTGCCTTGAACAACCCTTGCTTATTCCTCCTCTTTCACTCCTGGTTGCCTTCCTGCATTCTAGGCGCGCATGCCTGCTTCCCGGCGAGGAGATGATTGCAGGGGTATTGCTCCACTGCAATGCTTTTCCTTCCTTGCGGCCACTACCAATCAAAAGAAGCATCTGTGTTCCTCTCCTCGCTCCATTTTCTTGGTCTCCACCTCTTTCAGGCGGGGATGCCCGCTTTCTGACAAATATTTCATGCGTGTGTAGGAGCACAATGCCCGATGTATGGTGGAGGTGAAGATTGGTGCTTACCTCGACAGCGTTTTGCTGGGCTGCGGCCCCGGCGCGCGCGAGGTTGTGGGTGCCGTTCATGCGGGGGATGCCGACCCACCGCGGGGGGTGGGGGTTGGGGTGGAACATCTCGTCGCCCATCATGCCATCCTCCTCCGGCCACGCCAGCAGGCCGTCCTCATCATCCTCCTGCATATGACAATGCTGCTGAGCTACTTGTAGGTATGAGCACATCCACTCGCATGCGCATCCTACACTGCATGTGCACATGCCCCAATGTACAGACTCCTGGTGTGACCAGCGTTCCCTTGCACACTTCATCCAGTACAACAAGCAGAGGCCCTAAAGAAGCCACCTTTTGTGTGACCAGCATTCACAGGACCTTGCGGCCTGTGCAAGGAAATTAGTCTCCAGACGGAAGCAAGTTTATAAAGAGCCGCACATATCAGAGCAAGACCCGCGCTGTGCTGGTTCTGTGGCAGGGTGCCCAAGAGCAGATACACACCCCAACAGAACTTCACATCTCGAGAGCTTCAGAACGCACCAGCAGGAAGTCGTGGTCCTCCATGGCGGGCAGGTCGTCGATGCCAAAGTCCTCCCCGTCTTCACCGTCCTCATCCTCGTCATCGTCCACGTCATCGTCCTCGTCACCATCTTCATAGTGACCGTGGTCGTCCCCTTCCTCTCCCCCATCATGCATGTCATCCTCATCCTGCGCACGGAACACACATTGTTACTGCTCCATGTTCCTCCTTAACAAGGAAGTACCTTGCACCACATTGCAGCAACTCGGTGTGCATCATCTCCAGCTAGATTCTCGGCATTATCTCTTGCGGTGCAACGTCTGCGTGTCCCTAGAACAGGTGCTGGAGATCGTGATCATTTTCACAAGCGTGAAAAGTACTGCGTCATGAAAACAGGAGGGGTTTTGGCATGTGTGGCCGCACCTCTGTGCTGCCATCCTCGTCCCCGCCGTGCTCCATGATGAGCTGGTCGTCCCCCATCAAGGGCCCCACCATGGCATCCTCCTCAATGTCGTCAAAGATGACCTCCACCTCCTGCGCCCACCAACCCAAACATCGCTCCTTCTCCTCAAACTGCATGGAATACCGTGATCTATTTAATGCATATATTGCTCTACCCGCTCCTGCATCTTTGACAAATGTCCTGGACGTGCACAGCAGCAGAGGAAGAAATTGCTACAGTTTAGAATATGTGCAGTGCTGATGGCGGCCTCTCCGCTCCAGCACGGCTGACAAGTGCTCTTGGCATCAAGGCAGCCAAGGAAGCCGGTGCTACAGCAGAGAACACATGCAGCTCTTCCTGCGCTAGCCTGCTGTCAGTGCCCCCCTGGACATGGTGCAAAGGAAGCCAGTGCTGCATATAAACAGCACCGTCCCCGCTCCACCAGTGATGACAACTTTCCTGAAGACCCCATGGTAGCAGAGGAGGTCAGCGATACATCACAAAAGCTCTCACATGATCCTCGTCCCCGCTCTCATCGCTGCTGCTCTCGTCGTCGCTGTACACGGACTGGTCCGCGCTGTCGTGGTGGTGATGTCGGTGATGATGTCGGTGGTGGTCATCATCATCATCGTCATCATCATCCTCGTCATCAGGCCCCTCAGCGCCCTCCAGGTCCTCATCCTCTTCGTCTGTCATGTCCGGCATGGGCTCCTGCGGCGCAGGGGGTAAACAGGTCCAGATATTAAATATCTGCATTACTCCTCAAGGCAAGAAGCGCTTGTTGCGGTGCATCTCTTTCCCATGCCACAGGTCCTATGCAAGTAGAAATTGCTGAGCGCTGCAAAACAAGTGCGAGTGGCACAGGCGTGTAAGTTAGAGCTTCCTCACACAGGCAACAGCTGCCAGCGGGAGGCGAGTGCGGTGCAGGGGGATAGGCGGGTGGTCAGCCGCCACTTGTGAGGTAGTGGGAGAGGGGATATTGCAGAAGGGGGACTTGAAGGAGGGGCCCCACCTCCCCCATAGCGTCATCCTCCTCTGACTCGATGACGTCCTCGTCGGTGCCATCCCCCTCTGAGTCTGACTCCGGGAAGCCCTGCGCGCATGCATGGCCCGCTAAGAAACATTGCAACATACTACCAGCACCCCAGATAAGATCTACAAAAGTGCCTCAACGCTGTCAGCGCTTCTTTCCGTGGTTGCCCACAACACAAATTAAAATTCAGTACTCACGCAGACCTCCCACTTCTCAAGGACTGTGGGCCAAAGGTCTCAGGAAATTATGACCAAGCTTCAGCTGACCTCCATGCCGTCCTCTCCATAGGCGTGCTCGATGATCTGCTCCATGACCGACTCTACGGATCGCGAAAGGCCGTCCACCCCGTCCTGATTCTGATCACGCTCAAAGGCCTGCCGCAGCCGCTCGGCAGCCGCCACCGCCTCGGGGCCGGCCGCCGCCGACTCCTCCTGAGCATCCCTCATCGGCTCATCTCCCGACGAAGGACCCTCCTGCATTGCGCAATACAATTTCTTTTGTGAGGCCAGGAGCCCCATCAACGATGCTAATTGAATTCGCCCCTGCCACAGCTCTATGATTTCAGTGTGATGACTGACAATGTGCAGATTTGTTAGAGCTGTGAGAACATTTGTGGGTCAGGCATACCTACTCTTGGTTGCCTGAAACGACTGGGTGGGTCCTTTAAGGAAGTGCATCCAGGTGTAAACACATTCATGCCAAAGATCGCTTACCAGTGCTGCCAGTGCACGTTCAACGTCCGGCTCTGACGGCCCAGCCGCCAAGACGCCGCCAAGAGTGGTCCTGTCAAACAGCCTCGGCTGCCTGCTCTGCCTGCTAAAGGCTCCGAGCAGGGACGGAGGCAGCGCGCGAGTCAGGATCTCCAGCGGCTTCAAGATGGATGTGATGCTCTTGACAGCCTGCAATCATTAAGAAATAATTTAGCCAATTCTGACTATCCACTCTACCCTCAGTCATGCCCTGCAATAAGACGAGAGAAATGTTGTCTTTGAGCCATCCTGCAGCAAGATAAATGATAGGTATAAATGAATGGATGCACAGAGCATGACAAAGACTGAGTCGTGCATACATTTGGATGGTCCATGTCGATGAGCTTGAGGGCGCCAATGAGGGCATTGATGACCCCTGCGCTGCGCATGCAACGCAGCATCTCCCCTGAAAGCCCACTGGGCTGGCCCGCCTGGCTCTTGGCGGCGCCTGCTGACAGGAGAGACCCTGCCAGCTCGACAAAGGCCTTCACCTGCACAGACCCCACCCGCATCCACGGTCAATACACACAAAATTACCATGTTTACCTCCCTAGCAGATGCACTTCTCCATGCACAACATCTGCTGGAGCTATAATGGCAAACACACTTCAAGGAGATTTTCTGGGCTGGAATATACGCAAGAGTGACATTAAGACTGTGAAGCTATCTGACCTTGTAGGGTGGTGGGAAGCCGTCCTTTTGCTTGAAGGGGATGGTGGCCAGCACTTCTGCGCTCGGCATGCCCCCGGCTGCAGGCGGCTTCTGGTCAGGGCTGGGGCTCAGAGTGCGCACGATCTCTGAGATTATGCGCTTCCTCCCCTCCGCAGACCTGGGGCAGCACGGCAGACGCTTGAGGCTGCTGCACAACTGCTGTATATAACCACTGACAAAGGGTTGAGAACGGGGCAACTGCAGTAATCAAAGTCTCAAATAGGGGAAAATTTGGGAAATTGTCTGCAATGTGACAGCACACCTGATGCAGACGGCCTGCAGGAAGAAGGAGGTCTGCTCGCCCAGCGGCTGCATGCTCACCTCAGGCTCTGGCATGAACACCAGATGCCTGTGCATCACATGTCTGCACGCCATACCCCACCAATCAGCATTCACATCGCACCTCATTGAATGCTTCATAGTTTTGCTGTTCCAGTATGCTTGCCCAAAGAGGCAATGTGTAGCACTTTCAACAGCTGAAATATGGGCTCATTTGCATAACCCTTCAATGATGGCACCTAATGCTTGAGGTGTAAGCCTGAGGGTGACTTCCTATTCCCACCTGAATAGAAGGTTCTGGGCGGAGTCCAGCTTGGGGGCAGCAGGGGTGGATGGTGGGCTGGAGCCACGGCCGCGCGTTCCCTCCGCATCGCGCTTGAGCAGCACGCCGACACACGCGTTGTACATGAGCGTGAAGTCCGTTAGCATTTTCAGCGCAATGCACTGCACCAGCATGTTCTTCTCCTGCTGCCTGTGTTCCAGCGACTTGGCGCGCGCGGCTTGCTCCACTTGCGCAGCAATCTGTCCACAGATAATACTTGTTACAGAACAGCACGCAACTTGACAACATAAACCCTTGCACTACCGATTGCAATCTCACAAGTCCGTTCTGAATCTGCCGTCTTCTCCCAGCAAGGCGCATACTTCCCACTCTGGAGGTTCCAAGACCTACTGCATTACTGAGACTACCACAAGGGAACTTGTCAAGCGCGCAGTGCTCACCTGCTTGACATCGAGATCCGCCGACAGTGTCACATCCGCAGATGGTGCCTCGCTGGAGCTCGGCTGTGCTGCTGGTGTGTCTGTGTCCATTGCAGCAGCACCTGTGACAGAACAGGAGCAAGATGAGTGGTTACGCGATGCACCATTTTGACGTGCTGCATGTCACGCGATGGCCATCACCAACAAGAAGCCAGATGGCAGTATTTTTCCATGAGGAGACATCGAATTTGCAGCAAGCCAAGGCATGAGCCAAAGAGCACCTGTGCTGGGGTCCTTGGGCTTGCTCTCAGAGTAGGGCCCCTCGTAGCGCAGCACCAGGTCCACCAGGGTGTCGATGACTTCCACGAAGTTGCTCGGCACCTTCTTGCCGCTCCGACCTGGTGTCTTGCCGTCCTTTTCCTTTTCCTTTTCCTTGTCCTTGTCCTTGGGGGTCTTCCCCCCACCACCGCCACCACCGCCGCCCCCACCTGGCCCCCCGCCCGGAGGACCACCCCCTGGAGTACCACCCCCAGCTCCTGCAGCAGACACCCACCTTGAGTCTTACTAACGCGCCAGGACCAACAGCAGACATCAAGAAAATGTTCAATCCCCTCGAGACTGCTCAGCTCGACACATGCCGTCCCGAATGCTGCCTGAAAGACTATACGTTGGTCAGACTTGCACTGCAAATGATGGGGACCTTTTCATGAAGTAAAATACACTTACCGCCATGCCGCCTGGCACTGCCGCCATCCCTGCGATGAGCGGGAGCGCCGCTGCCGCTTGGGCCGGGTGTCGACCCGCCAGGTGCTGACCCACCCACGCCGCCAGAGGAGCTGGCAGGATTGCCCTGCCGGCAAAAGCAGTAAACTTACGACATCCAGCCATCAACAAGCCCAGCCACGGAATCACCCACTTATCCTTCAATTAACATGTTCTGATTTGCTCCCAAAAGCATTGTTCCAGACTTCCGCAACTTCCCTGATGAATTCAGTCCTTTCTTCTTTTCCAATACTTAAAAGACCGCTCACCTGTGGGTCTGGGGTGGCAGCAGAAGGGCCAGAGGCTCCACTGCCTCGGGATGCTCCGCCAGTGCTCGAGTCTGGCGGCCCCCCGCTCGGCGCATCACCATCCTTCTTGTCATCAGACAGCTTTGCGCCATCCGCCTACGCGATAGATGACAAATTAATGTGAGCTTATATTTCTGCTGCGTCCATTTTTGACCACCTGCTAACTTGCCGACCAATGGAGCGTCCTGTCATGCGAACTTGGCTGTAAAGGGTTGGCAATTTTATCTGACATTTGATGTTTGAGAGCACACCTTGACCTTCTTCAGGACGACCAGTGGCCGCCCATTGTTCTCACGGATGGTGCATGTCCCAAGGACGGCATCAAAGAACACAGTGGGCTCCCGGTTGATGACGGCCGCGCATGTCTGCAAGAATTGCTTCACAGGCATGCTGCCATCGGATTGCTGGCTCACTGCACCGCACATGCCACCAAGACTCAAACCTCATGCCACAGGCTTCACCAGAGGCTGTTGCCAGTCTCTTGCAGGTGCATAACATTGCTGCGGCAATTTGGATTAGGGCTCTCCACACAGGACAATGGAGAAGCACAATTCAACAAGCGTATCGACACACTTCTTAGGCCAAGCAAGGTCTGTTGTCATTTTCCTCTGCATGCACATGTAAGCCAGTGTCCATGCAGCTTCACCATAAACCCATCTGCTGCTAGATCAGCCTGCGCGTCCTTATCCAGCATCCCACTTCTGCGCCACATGATCACTCATTTCTGCAAATTTCAGGTGGTGCATCCTGAACACCAGGGCGCACCTGAAGGGTAGCCGCTAGGCTTGGGGGCGCGGCCCTTGGTGAGGGTGCTACGAATCTCGGCCTCCATGGCAGCCTGCAGGGTGACGGGGTCCTCCAGGATGTGGCGCATGATGGCGCTGATGTAGGGCTCCAGATCCGGCGTGAAGCAGGCCAGCGGCAGCTCCAAGATCAGCTTGGGGCCCCTCCCAGCCAGCACCTGTGACATCACGTCAGCTTGGATATAACGAGCTGGGAAGATAGTCTTATCAATTGCACAAGCCAGAACATTCTGTTATATGATCACAGGAAAGCCACTACTTGTAATCATATCAGTCCTCACGGCTCTCAAGAGCTGGGAAAAGAAGTCTTCTGAGTTGAGCAAAAATACCAACATTTCGCATTCTGCATCCCACTTACAAAAGGGAATAGGTGCTCGCCTATAGAATAAAATGCTGGGCGTACAAGTTTAGGCAGGCAGGTGACATGACTCAGGGACGGGTCACCTTGAGGGCGATGCTGTGGCGCTTGGTGAGGCAAGACAACAGCAGCAGGACGCCCTGGGCCGAGGAGGGGGGGTCCGGCAGCTGCAGGGCAGCTGCCTCAGTGGGGGTCTCCTTGGGCTCCTGGTAGACAGCGCCCCAGGCATGCAGATGACGCAGTAGCGCCATTGCCACCCTCACTGCCCTGTCCTCCTCCTCCTCAGAGAGGATGCCCTCATGCCTGCACGCGCCACAGAACCATCAATTGTCACATGCGGACTATGGAATTCAGGAGATGCAAGGTATGCAAAATTGGTTATATTGATCATAACATATTCGACATTCAGACTAATGTGAATGGCCAGCTTTTGGCTGAGGAAGAGCATAAGAACAAGACCTGGGCTCAGGGCATGCAGAGACTAGTAGAGTTGAAGCATGGCATGGATATTTCTCAGGGAGGGATGTGGAGACAGTGGCGCACTTTGGAAGCTTCCTGAAGACGTCCTCCACACTGGGCGCAGGCTCAGGCATGGCTGTTGTGTCGGCAGGCCCAGGGGCAGATGGCTGCTCTAACGCCTGAGCCTCCTCCGCTGCTGGAGCAGAGGTGGTGGCTGCAGGCTGCTCAGGAGCTCCCGGTGCATCCACATCCATGCCCTGTGACAATAGCATCCGATGAGCACCACTGTTGAATGTCGGGATTGACTTGCGTACTGTAAGGCAGCGTACTTCTGCCGAGGTCTGCTCATCGTCATCATCATGTCATCATCTCACCACCACCACCACCACCACCACCACCATCAGCATCATCATCTCATGCTCATAGCATAAAATGCAGATGAGGGGGCATGCCTGTTCTGCCTCCGGCGCAGCAGGCTCATTGACGCTGTTAAGCTCGGGGGCACTGGCAGGAGCCTCCGGAGCCTGCCAGTCGATACGGGTGCAGGCATCCAGCACCAGCAGCAGAGCGTCCACCCAGCGAGGGATGGGCTCCACGTCACCGGTGCCCAGCCCCTTGAGTGCTGACGGCCGGGTGGCATGCGCGGCCACCCATGCCTCCAAAAGCCCCAGAACCACGCTCGGCAGACCTGCAGGCATTCACACTCCTCCTCTGCCACTTGCGCGACCACCATTATTGTAGCTCCCAACTTTTCAGGAGCTTGGAAGGTGGTGCAAAGTACGGACCGCGCGGACAAGACCCTGCTGGCTCGGATGCTCTCAAATTTGCATCCCAATTTGTGGCATTGAATCCATCCGCCCCTAAGTATCCAACCCATAGCAGAAAGCTGGCTCCTGTGGACGACCGCAGCAACCGCACGAGGCCCTGCTGCGCAAGAAACTGGACCTCGTGAACAAGAGGTGCCCGTACGAAGGAGCCTTCTTCGGTACTACACCTTCCATGATGTGCAGCTGTGGCGCTCTAAGGCTCATTCCTGGCCAAGATGGGGGACAGTTGTAAGCACCTGTCTTGGCGCCGGCGCGACGCATGCCGGGGTCGTCGTCGCAGAGCAACGCGAGCAAGTGCGCGGGCGCGAGCAGGCCGACGGCCGGCTGGCCGCTCACGGTCTCCGCAAAGGAGTCCCCACTGTGCAGCCGCTGCAGCAGCCGCGCGATCACGGCGCCGTCCTCCCGGCAGCCCTGCTGCGCGCTGTGCGACTTGAGCAGGTCGGCCAGCGAGAAGGCTGCCGTTGGCACCTGCTCCAGCACCGAGACCGCCCCGTCCACCAGCTGCTCTGTGCTGGGCGCCTCGTTCTTGGGCTTCAGCAGCGCCTGCGGGAAGATTATAAACATCAACTCACAGGATCTGTTGGACTCGGTGACCTCATGAGGTTCAGTTGGCTTTCCTTGGCGGCTGTGACAGATCCTCAACCTGCTGGGCTGCTGATGAACCCTTTCTGTGAAGCGCCAGTAAGAGTCCAAGCCAGGCAGCCCGACAAACAGAATAAGAACCTGAGCAGAACGTAATGGCTGACATAGGCCGATCGCCTGACAAAGCAAGTCTGGCACATGGGGGAGTGGGTGTTTTACCTGAGCAGGAGCCAGGTTGATGGCTTTGGCAACCACGGGCACTTGGTCGGCCTGGGGCTGAGGGGCCGGCGGCGCAGCTTCCATCAGCTCCTCGGGGTGGCTGATCAGCCACTCCATCGCCAGCTCCACGCTATTGTGGCCCACCTGCCACAGGACTGCCAGCTCAGGAACTTGCTGATCGAACATAACTTGTTATGCGCTGTGTGTAGGTGAACGGCCATGTCTTGAATGCATTCATGACCAAGAGAGAAGCAATGAAGACATGGCTGTCGACTCAGATACAGCGCGTAGGAGCAGGGTACTTTCCTTCATCTCTGAATGCATGCAACCGCTGCTGTGTGGTATATATGGCTGTTCAAATCATGCAGGTTACCTTGGAGAGCACTTAGTACCTGCTACGCTATATATGTAAGTACCGTAAGATTCAAATTCAAACAAAAATCTGCGCACCCGTCTGAGGGCTTCCCTGACGCGCTCTTCGCTGAAGCCCATCTCCACGACCTGCTGCACGATGGCCGGGTCCGGCGGCGGCGCGCCGCGGGCGCCCGAGCGGCTGGCCGGCGGGGTGACGGCCTCGGTGCAGTGCTTGAGGATGCTGGTGACCGCGCCCGTGTTCTGGGGGCTGCAGGAAGCCAGTGAGGGGCTGCCCCACACCGGCAGCACCGCGTCCAGGATGGCTGACTGCAACACGTGCACAAACCCGTCTCAAATCAAACTCCACATGAATGCCAAAGCTAGAAACCATGCAGCATGTCAGGCTGCGCCGTTGAATATCCAAGCACTGCGCGAGGCGGCTATGTGCGGCTTGCCCGATTCAGTTGAACATTTTAGAGTGTAATGTCAACATGCACATAGCCGCCTCCCACAGCGCCTGTAAGGAATTGCGGGAGCTTGCATTCGTGGGAGCAGAGGTTGCATGCCAGACGAATGAGCAGGTGGCTGTGGAGCAAACATTTCTGTCTCAAAAAGAGAAAAATAAAGTGCACCCCACCTTGAGTGACTTGACCAGGTTCTCGGCGGAGCTCCAGGCGGCGTTGGTCTCCTGGTCCTCGTCATTAAGGGGCACCACAAGCAGGGAGGCGGCCAGGGGGGAGTTGAGGATGCGCGCTGAGTCAGAAAGCTGGTTCAGCAGCGCCAGCATTGACGCCAGCAGCATCTCTGCGCGCTCCTTCACCCGGCCCACACGCTTCCTTTCCGCCTCTGTCTTGCGCCTGGCGTCCTCTGCACACCCACAGCAGACCCTCAGCAATGCATTATCGTTCCCTCAGCATGCATGGACTTGAAGTGGACAAAATGCTGCAGTACTTCCCACGACAGATTGGCTGCCCATGAGCTATTGCACTTTGAGATGCTCAGCAAGACATTATGTTCTGCATCCCTTGCATTGTTACATCTGGAGACAAGAGGTGGAGCAGCAAACATGTTTGATGTCCCTTGCATTTGGTCATGTGGGCTACACAGGAGAAGCAGAGGTGACTTGCCACTGGAGGACGGCGCCTCTTCCATCTGGCTGGCCGGCGCGCTGCCGAGGGCGGCCTCGGCAGCGGTGACGTCCCACAGGAACTGCGCGGCGGTGCCGAACTGGGCGAGGAAGGCCTGCAGGCCGCCGCAGCGCACCCAGTAGTTGAGCATGAGGCAGTGGCACGTGCCGCGGCGGTTGTCAAACAGCACGACGCCCAGATCGTCCACCATGGCGCTCAGATAGCGCGCCCGCCACTGGCTCCACTCCTTGTATTTCGCCGGCGGCAGCGAGCCTGCGGAGCTGCTTGACGCCTCCGCATCCTGCCAAAGGAACGGAAACCGTTGCTCAAGACGTAGCCCGTGCCAGCATGACAGTCTTCCAGATTTGAGGCTTACACTAACGACGTTCAGGCAAACGACTCTTAAGCAGCCAGCACCTTAAGGCTTACCACACCGCCTAATCTCTGGCACTGGATTGATGACATCACCAGCAAGGATCGCCATAAGGCAAAACGGCCTGGACATGTGAGGCATTCCTTTGCTAAGGGCAGGGGGGCAGAGGTATCTTCGAGTTGAGTATTACAGACTGGATTTCAAGCTTGTTTCTTTGTCTGCAGCATTACCATCATCTGATCCATGCAAAGGCTGGAGGGCAGAAGGGGCATCCTAGAGGGCATGCCTTGGAAGGGTCGGGGCCGGAGCCGTCCCAGTGCTTGATGCCGACGCCCTCGCAGTTCATCTTCATGACGAGACCGAGGTGCAGCGCGGTGCTGCGGATGGCGGGCGTCATGGCCAGGCCCTCCTCGCGACGGCGCAGCGGCGTGTGGATGGACTTGGTCAGCGACGAGTAGAAGCCGCGCACCGTCGCCGCAAAGTGCGTCAGCACCTCCAGCGCCAGATCCTCGCCCGACTTCTTCTTGCCGTTCTTATGGCCCCCCGACGCCTCCCTGCGCGCATTTGTTACATCGCGGTCACGCCTCCCTCCTATAAGACCCATGCACAGCGCCCAAAATACAACATCTAAATCTGGTGGATTACCAGCTCCCATTCCACACTTTGGAGGGTACAGCGTGCTCAGTCCACGCCCTCATCATGATGTGTGAAGATCAGACTAAGCACAGTGGTGTTAAAGGGGATCTCCGGGTCTATGTACTGAGGACCATGCAAGAGCAGAGTGAGGATAGCCTTTCTCTATGGTTCACAACAAGCATGTGGTGTAAGATTGCATGCAAAGAAGCGCACCGGGGGCTGCCGGCAGCAGGGGGTTCGACGACGTCGCCGTCTTCGGCCAGGCGCTCGCTCTCGGCAGCGAGCAGGAGCGCACGCGAGGGCATGGGCAGGCCCTGGTTGGCGCGCATCGCGGCTTCTCGCAGCACCCGCTGCTGCTGGCGCATGCTCAGCCCGTCGACCAGCTCTGCAAAGTTCTGGACGGCGCTCGCTGCCTCTGCCTCGGGAGCCGGCTCCTGCGGCGCGGCCTTCTGGACCCCTGCATGCATGCACACATGCCTGAGCCACTGCACTTTTCTGTGGCTTTCCAGTGACCACACTGCAAGCTGCACTTTGGCCAGAAGGCTGCATTTGTGAATACCAAACCGTCAAGTCTGATCACCCACTTCGCCCCTACTTCATATAGCCACGTGTACCTGTCCATACTATTCAGTGTAGGCCTACTTCACGCCTTCACTGCCATCCTGTTCCAGAGGGCCAAAGGTCCTTAATGCCAGTGTTTTCTGTACCAGACATCCAAGACTGTCAGTTCTGCTTGGCGCTGGCGCCCACCTTCGGCGCTGGCCGCCTCCAGGAGGCCCTCGGCATCCATCTCGGCCTTGCGATTCTCGGCCAGCGCGATCTGCAGGTGCACGATGCGCTCCAGGTCCCCCACGCGCGCGATGATGGCCGACGCCGGCGTCACGTTCTCCACGGCGAGCGCGAGCTCCGGGACCGGCTCGTCCAGGACGAGCGTTTTCAACCCGGCGAAGCGGCCGGCCTTGGACACCTCGTTGAGCATGGACATGCCGGAGCGGGAGACGGCCGAGGCGAGGGAGGTCACTCCCTCCAAGGACGACACGCAGCGCGTGTACTCGTCCCGCCGCTTTGCGTCCACGTCTTGCAGCGCCGACCTGCCGATGGACTGCAGGCATGTACAGGGGCATTCTCAGCGATGGCAACCTTTCAAGCACAGGGCAGCCACGACCAGTAGCACGGCCAGTAGCAACACACACAAGGACACACACAGCGGCAAGCTTGAAGAGAGGAAGATGTACATGCAGTATGCAATGCACGTGCTGTAGGGTGCGAGTAAGCTGCAAAGTGTATCTGATGGTGCAACGCATGGCAATCAATACGCAGGAAAAAGGTCAAATGGAGCACACCATGGCCAGGAGCAGGGTGGTCCTCAAGTGCTCGGCCAGCGCCTCAGCGACCTTCTCGGTGACCAGGGCGCCGTGCAGCTGCGTGCACGCGCGGAAGGCGGCCATGACGGCATGCGCAGCGCTGGAGGAGCCGAAGGTTGGCGGCAGGTGCTTCAGCGTGTAGAGCCTGAGCAGCAGCTGCAGGCCACCCTTCTCCACAAACTGCCTGGAGAAGCTCTGGTTTGCCAGCATCGTCTCCAGCAGGCGCGCCGAGTGCATGATGCACTCCGCCACGTGCGGGTGCCAGTTGGCATGGCGGTCACTGCCGGCCTTGGAGCTGTAAATGAGACACAGAACGTTATGCACGACTTTGTAAATGCACAACCTTCACCATACAAACAAGAGGCAAGCAGAACCCATGATGGCATTCGATCCTTCAACTGTGCCATACATGCACAAACGCCATTAAAATATAAAGTGGCAAGAAGAGCCCATGATGGCGTTCCATTCAACTACTGTGCCACACATGCACGAACTTCGTCATTAAGACAAGAGGCAAGAAGAGCCCATGATGGCAAATCCTTCAACCAGGACATCACATGATGGTGCTCACCTGGCAGCTGCAGATCCTGACATGTCCACGTCTGCAGGTGTGACATCTGCAGGCTTTGCGTCGTCTGTGTCCATTGGCTGAGCACTTGTTGATGTTCCAGTCTCCTGCACATGACATCGGATCCGTCGCTCACCAGACCAGATTGCCAGCAGAGGAAAGGGGGGTATACGCATGCGCAAGTGTGGCACATTCAAGGGGTTGAGGCTGTTCAGTACCTCTGGGCTGTTGTCTGCCTGGCCGCCGATCTCACAGAGCTTACGGAAGATGGTGAGAACCATCTCCACGGTGTCATTGCGCAGAGAGTTGACGTGGCGCATCAGCTCATCGAAATTGCTACCCAAGGCGCTCGGGGTGTCTCCCTGGAACTGCAACCATAACCACAGCTCAGATATGCTAGTCTTTTTTAAGGCTACAAGGACAAAATAGCCGCCATTTGCAAGCAATATCTATAGCAGAGGAATGCATGGAGACAGGTGGGCACTCACTTGCACAGGACTATGTTTTGCAGGTACAAGACAACATGCAAGACTTACCTGCAGAGCTCGCAGGTATGTGGGCGTAGTGAAGATGGGGACAAAGCAGTCCAGAGCCTTGCTCTCCTTCACTCGCTCCAGGCCCTTCTCATTGAGACACAATGCCACCAGGGTGCTTGGCACAGCACAGACAGCTTCTCCAGATGGCAGGACACCCGCCTGCATTAGCAACAGGATTTAAAGTAAGTTATCAGACTATTCATGCACTTGGTGGAGGTAGTGCATGCAGTACTGCAGGGTGCAAAATTACACATGAAAGAGAAGCAGTAGGAGGCTTGTACCTTGATGGTGTTGAGGAAAGCCTCCGGCAGGCCCGCCTCCTCGAGCGCAGTAAATGTGAGGGGCTCATGGTGCATCTGGTCCGTCATGACAGACGCTGACAGGGCAAAGAGTCCTCCCCCAAACTCGCTCGAGCGCTCGAAGATTCTGCGCAGGCAGGCGTAGAGCGCCGCACTGTCCTCCTCCTGCACACAATCCCAGTCTGTTTTAGTAATTGCGCCCCTCATGACCTGGCCAAAACCCAGCACGCCAATGTGAAAAAAACCACATGCAAGAATGTCCAAGGACAAATATACCTGCGGCCTGGCAGATGCCCCGGGAGCGTAGCTGGTGAGGGCGATGGTGCGCAGCAGGGCCTTGAGCAGCACGCGGCGCTGGTATGAGATGAGGACGCCCGGCTGTGGCGCCGCGGCGCCAGACTTGGGCCCGGCCGGCGCGGCCACAGCTCTCGGGGCGGGCGCGTCCGTCTGCATATCGTCCGGCCTGGCGGCGGCTGCAGGCGTAACCGCCTGATCGGGCTCAGCCGTGATGCCGACCTCCAGCTTGAGCCGGTCGATCATGTCGGTGAGGCCGCCCATCTCCCGGAACTGCGAGGCCGAGCTAGTGGAGAAGTCCATGAAGGCCTCCAGGATGCGCACGGCCGAGGCCACCAGCCCGATGTGCGCCGGGTCCGTGTCCTTCAGCATCGGCATCAGCGCCGACAGCGTGCCGGCCTCCTGCAACGCGCTGCAGCCAGAGGTAGAGGCCGACAGCGCGCCCACGAGTGTCAGCAGCGCGTCCACGAATTGAACGCTGTACTCCGGCTGCGCGCCGCCGGCCGCGCCGGCCGCGACCGAGGCGATGGAGCGATGCATGAGCATGGACAGCAGCCCGCTCTGGCCGCCGGAGCTGATCGCGGTGATGACCCCCGTGTGGTGGGTGCGGTCGAGCAGCTGCACGGCCAACACTCGCAGCGCCAGGATGCGTAGGTCCTCGGGGATGGCGGCTCCGCCGACGAGCAGGCAAACGAGGTCGCTGACGAACTCGGGCTCCTGGGAGTAGAACTCCGCGACGGCCTCAGGGCTGGGGTTGCACTGGAACAGGATGTGCAACGACAGCAGCCGCAGCCGCGCCAGGTGGCGGCGGCCCTCCAGCGTGCCGAACTTGCGCGCCACTGTGATGCGACCCAGCAGCGAAAACCTGCAGCAGCGACGGGCCGTTTAAATCGCTGCACAGGAAAGCCCATGGACTGCACTGAAGATGATTAGAAGATTAAAAAACACCAGCATGACATGGACAGGGCATGGCAAGGCTTGCACGGTGTTTTCGTCAGTGAGCATATGATTTGCGTTCTAGTATGCACAGTAGTTTTACAGCAAAGCCTCACCGGAGCTTCTCAGGCACAGCAAAGCGCTGGACGAGCTGGCGCAGGATGTCATGCTCGCTCTCCTGGTACCTGTCCAAGTGCTGCAGGTTGATGACTCGCAAGCCTGATGGCTCAGAGCTGTCTGCCGGAGCTTTGCCGGCATCACTGGCATCGGCGTAGAACTGGAAGTTGAGCGTGGTCCCCAGCGACAGGCACTGCAGCACACAATGCTCAACAGCGTGCCGACTGCATTTGCAAGTTTTTATTGACATTGACTGCATTGGAAGGGGGCAAAAGCTGAGCAATGTGGACATGAGGTTTACCGGTCTGATGGGACCCTCATCAGATTGTGTGCACACTGTCAGATCCAGCCCCTGCATGAAAACAGAAGAGTTGGGCATGAGAAAACAACATGGAAGGTTCCAGAAAGGGGACTCTAATTGAAAGAAGGGGCAGAGATATGACACGACTGTGCACCTCCTCTTTGCCGCCCCATCCTTGGCTCAATGCCAACAGACGGGTGTTGAGGTCTGGCCATCCGTGCCACCTCACACTGGAGGCATGTGTCTTCCTCACAAAGGCAACCAGAGTGTGCAGCGTTGCAATGACTACCGCCGGATCCGGGGCAGCCAGCAGGCTTGTCAGGTGCTGCACAACATCAGCATCAGTAAGAGATGCAATGTTAGAGACAGGGTCGGAAGAGTCTGCCAAGGTTGCGGCCATTGAGGTCTAGACACTGCATGAAAAGAAGGTCTTCTCCCAAGAAAAGGCCACCAAATGTCTCAATCTTCTGGGATAAGCGTCTTACCTCGTAGGAATGGTACAGATGCTTGTTTGAGCAGTTCTCCAGTATGATGGCTGAGACCCTCAGGATTGCAAGGACACTGCGTGAGGGGAATGGGATGTCCCCTCCACCGCTGTCGTATTTCAGCTGTAGATCTTGTCTTACCACCAAGGCACGCTCGAGAAGGTCGTCAAAATAGTTGAACAAGGTGGCCCAATGGTTGAAGTCACCCTGCAGACACAACCCTTTCCTAACACATGATCGAAGCAAGGACGCATCTGCTGGTGCCATCAAGAATCTCAATAGTGTTCAAGTCATAATCAAAATGCATGCAGTACCTTCTCGAAGCGCCAGGAGAATCCATCCAAGACATCGGGGAGGGCATCAAAAGGTGTGTTTATCACCTTGTCCACAATCTCGCGCACTTGCGCCGGCTGCATGCAGGCATTCATTGTCAAAGGATGTCATATGATAAAAGTGAATCAGCATTGCCAACGTATCCGCGGATACATTTAGCAGAAAGCTTGGTCTCACCGGCTCCACAGCCTTCTTAAGCCTGACCTTCGTCATCAGGGCAACGTTCTACCTCCAATATCTATCCCATAGCTGATTGAGTTGAACAGCCTGTGATCTTCTCTATCATTGTCGTGACGATTCTTTAATGAGACCTGCACCTGAGTGTTCCTCGATGGAGGAACCCTTTTGGTGTCCTCTAATGCCAGGGAGATAATAGTACTAGAAGGCTACTTGTTGCCAAAGCAAAATCTGGATGTGAGTCAGGAGGAATGGAGCAATTTCTAGATACCAAAGCTTTCAGATGCAGGCTTACGGAAGCCCAACGCAGTGCTGCTTGATACAAGTATTTTACAAGCATGCGTTTGTAAATTCACCCAGTGCCCTCACAGGAGGTCCTTTCTTCTGACTTGAATCTCAATCATGATAATCGTTAAATTCCAAAATCGCCTAGAGCACATGCCTGCATCAAGGCGTCCAGGTGTTTGGTACAAGATGTACACATCAATAGTGTACATCCGTCTGAAATCCTCAGCACATGCATGCATACGCTTCAGCCTGTGAGTACCACTGATTCCTAAGTCAGTACGCCACAGAATTCGAGCGGACCAGGAGGTTCCTGCTCGCCGGCTCAGCGCACAGGCCTGCAAGCTCATCATGCTCATCCGTGGCAGGCCCATCCCTGCTCATGCCGTTCACCTCTCCCTTGGCAAACACACTCTCCTCCCCGTCTGCTAGCTGCGTGCTTTGCCGCCGTCCGTGGTGCCAGTTATGCCCCTCCTTCCATGCATCCAGATCGCGCGTCATGCGCTGCTCCATGGGCAGGAAATTTACGCCGCATGCCTGCGAATCAAGGGAAGTAAGAGGAACCTGATGATCTGACATCAAGCCACATCAAGGTAGAGTGAGCGCCAGATCGAGGAGAAAGAATAGCCTCACAAGGGAGCGTCATGCAGGAAGGTAAAATGAACCTCCGGCCCAGCGGCATCATATGTCCGTATTGCATACATTTAATCCAAGTATTGGCAACTGTAGACATGAAAGATGTGCTGAATGGCAATTGTAGACATACAGAACGAGCTTCAGCTTAATTTGATTTATTGGCAGATGCAGACATCCTGTCGGAAGGGGATCTTGGGCTAGTGACATGCATAAATATGCCCCCCCCCCCCAATTGAAAATTTTGCAAATAGACCACGGGGCGCGCTACATTCACATTTTAGTTGAAATTGTGCTATGAAATTGAATAATACGCAGGAGCCGCATTGGTGACGACATTGAGGGTGAACCTTGATGGCAGCCAGCTTCTTCCTGCGGTGCTCCATCTCCTCCTCAAAGCCTGGCAGGTGGGCCCAGGGGTCTGGGTGGACATCTAGCGGACTGCAAAGCAACATGGCAGACACCTCAGGCACAGGCATGTTGTCCCACGCCTCCCACTGCAAGTTCAGGTTTAGGACAAGCAGATAGAAATGCTTGTCCCAAATTCTCCACCCAGGCAATACAATTTCTGGTTGGGAGTGAGTTCATGAGTTCATGCATCAGGACAAGCAGAAAGACATGCTTGTCCCAAATTGTCCACCCAGGCAAATGCAGGGTCAGGTTGTAATGAGTTGGATGCAAAAGAAGGTACCTCAGGCCAGGCCCATCGAGGCCACGAGCAATGGCCTCACGTGTCTCCTGATGTGATGCGCAGTATCTGCAGAGGCCCCAATCAGTTTCATCACCTTGGAGCTCTGAGGCAGCTGTACAGGTGCCTCATAAAGCAGCTATGTGGCGTTTGTGGTGCTGGCTTGATGACATAAAAAACGGGCAACTTACAGGCATAAGAAGTGTACGAGGCAATCGTCCAGTCCGGGTGGAAGGCCAAATGCCGGAGGCAGATCGAATCTCCTGCACACAGCACGATTGTCCCGTGATGTCAATTGACAAGAGCTCTTGCTCTCTCAATGTGCCAGCAGTGGCTCATTGCAGCCCAGCGCCTTTCATCAAACGAAAGCACTCATAGGGGGAAAGTGACGGCTGCATACCTGCGGAATTTTTCCCTGGTGTGACAGGTGTAGCATGCAGCACAATTGAGGCCATAGTTTCCACAGACCGAGAAGAACTGTCCCACTCCCAGAGTCAGTGCCAGCCCCAGGCAGCATTGAAACCAGCCTGCATTGCGCAAGTCACCATCATGTCATGATGCGTATAACGTGATGATTGTATGAAGCGTCCATTGACTGACAAATAGAGAGGAGTGGCGTATGCTGTATCACATGAATAATCAATGAAGCCATCATAGAATGCATGACACAGAGGCGTAGCCAGGGAGGGGCGCATACAGAGGCTGCTAATCTCATGCTTGTCTCCCTTCCCGAACCCCTGGAATGGCTCAGTGTATTCTCTGCCCATTCTCAATGCATGCGTCATGCGGCTCCACCGTGTTCTGTCTACTGAGAACCAGTAGCACTCCATGAATGTCCTGTGCCACAGCAAATGCACCATCCAGTGGCGAGACCCTCTGCAATGCTGAGGTTGGCAAGCAATTCTGCGGAGGAGTCAACAAGCTTGCCTGCCAAAGCAGATGCCACGCCACTTCAGAGGATTCCAGCGGAAGCTGGGGCAACATGGGATGTGCACAGCACTCTGTAGGACAGCGGAAACGTCAATTTCACGATGGCATGCGGAAGCAAGGATTCGTAAGTCAAGTATCAGAGCAAGAAATAGGAAGACTATTATCAGATTAAAACATACCCTTGCCACCTTGGACCGCTTTCCCCAGCACTGCACCATGCCAAAGGTCCAAGTTCCATCCTGCAGGCATACATTCGCAAAAAATTGGACACGAGTGACATAGCTGCACCCACGCAATAGTTTCTAAGACTGAGTGATATAAGAAGCTCCTTTGAAAATGCGACTGATAGAGAAATGCCCAGATTGAACTGCCAGTGTTTGTTGCAGGACTTGCCTTCACGACAGGTGCATACTGCTCTGCGATGTGCTCAGGTCGGACTGGAAGACGATCCCGGTAATCATGTTCTGGGGGTTTCATTGTGAGTGTCTCAGGAGCCTTCCAGTGGGTCAACCATGTGGCCCCCTCGACGTCTCGCCTGAACATGTTTCGAGGTGCTGGGCAGTTTGAGCAGGTGAGCCAGGTCAAGGTGCTTCCTGGGAATTAATGCAACTCTTGTATTTCGCTTATATTTATCAAATTCAGTCCTCACAAAACGAGAATGATTTCTCGGCGCACGTGGGACATGTCGGACCTCTACAGCCGGACCTAGCCGGAAGCTGCTGCGCACAGGCGGGACTGAATTGCTGTGAGCTGAGAAGGAAGTCCAGATTGATCCTCGTCGTCGTAGGTAGTGGGACAGTAGGTAGTATGTGCTGTTATCTGGATAAATGAATATCAGAAAATTTGTGGAAATCGGTGGCAAGTACTATCGCACGGGCGGCTGAAATGTAGAAGTTGTTTTTCAATTTTGACAACAATGGTTTGTGGATCAAGGCAATTGAAGCTGTTCCAACTTTTCTTGCTATTGCTAGCGCCGTTGTTGGCAAGGTGTGCACAACATCTGAATAAACTAATCACCAACGCAGTCACATACCTGCGTTCAACACATAATTACTTGCTTGTTGTCTGATTGCCCGCACTTCTAAGTGAATTCTCCTATTTACACATATTCCCCGTGTTCAGGTGTCAAACGCCACAGGAGCAAAACCTTCAGAATTCTGTGAACAGTGCTAGTTTCCATGCAGATCTACCATTTCTCGGCGACAGCCACAAGAAAAGATGGTATTTGTACCTGGTCATCTCAGTCGTAGGTGTCTTCTCTGCTGAATCCCTCCTCAGTTGGCCTTTTGCAGCAATCTCATGGGTTGTTTCACATCCAATTTATTCTTTCAAAACTTTTTGGCTGTTGCAGGTGCCGCCTTCCTCATGAGCCTCACTGTGGTGATCTTTGGCTTTGTGAAGTGGAGCCAGCGGAGAAGGTGCTGCAAAGTCACCGAAGCCTGCCAGTTTGTGTCTGATGCTCAGCTTTGAAGCGTGTACAAGAGAGGAATTTGCACGTCTTAATCAAGTCACTACTGGCCTGCAGGATACTTGCCAAGAGGGCAGAAGCGACAGGGGATGAAGAGGCGGTGGCCAAACGCACTGATGTTTATGGAAACTTGCACGAGAAGGAGTTGAAGGCTCCAGTGAGGCTGGAACTCCTGGCTTTCAAGCCCACAAAGGAAGATGACCTGCGTGTGAGGTGAGGATCTTGTATTTTCTGCCTTCTGCCTTCATGTGCCTTCTATGGTCAGGCAAACCCGAGATCGATTAGCTGCCATCCAAAGAGATGCCCGTCAGGACTGAGAGTGCGCATGGCACCATACAACAGAGTGTCGTTTTACTTTAGAATGGATGTCATATCCCCAATGTCATCTTTTGTGCAGGGTTGTTTGCAAGGACAACGAGGCGGCATTGCAGAGGGAACGGATGCGCAGGACAGCTCAGCATGAAAACCCCTTGCAGAAGCTGCATACGCTGCGCAGACTCAATTCCTCTTGAAGGGCGGCCTTCATCCTTCTGCTCTCATAGCAGTCATCAGGACAGCTGTGACCTGGATAGTTGCTGCCGGCACTTGCTAAAGAAGCGAACACACCTTGTTCTTTGAGTGTCATAGGGAATTTTGATGCCATTTTTGGTGTGTCAGGAACTTTGGCTGTATTGCAACTGAATTAGGTCATGAGCTCAAGGATAGTAAGTCTTGCACAGAGGCCTTTGCTGAATGATTCTGCCGAATCTATGTGGCTCTCTCATCCCCTGCACGTGACTGGTTAGAGAGTGCAGATCCTGTATTTTATGCAGCGTAGCACAATACCCAGGGCGCCTTTGTGTCCCCTCGAAGGAATACTGGCCCTGGGTATTGCCTTAGAGGAATGAATTATATACATGCCATTCTTGTAGGCTGCGACTTGTCAGGTGTGGTCCTGAATGTTTCTGCTTGTGTGATGGTGCAACCCGTTGAATTGAGCTTCTTTTTACCCTTTTGCTGACCAGCCAATGCCACCTTTAGGCCAGGAAATAAGAGAACTGAAGGTACAAAACAAATTCATGTTATCTTTGCGCGCAAGTGTGTGCCCTTCATTTGGTTGAAGACATTGCAATTGAATGTTGTTCTTAGAGCTCAGCGCAGTGCAGAGAGGCTTGCAAATGAGCATTGATAGTGTATTTTGATTTCTGGATTTAACTTTACACCTGCCCCTTGGGACAACCATGCCCAAACAGGCCACGATGATGTGAAAAGTGACCTTCAAGCAACAATCAGGCTCGGCACATTCAAAGTACAATCCTTGGCCCAAGATCAAGTTGCAGTGCCTGTTGAAGGAAGAAGACAGCACACATCAAGGCATTACCGAGCGCCTCATTAGTGCTCCATATGCTCATGCTCATGTATGCAATGTCCTCATCATAATGACGACACAGCATACATGGTTAAAAGACACCGCAGCCGCTTCAGGATCTGAAGCAAGTGTCTGGGCCAAAATCGTGACATAGTGCCTTTGCAAGGTGCTCAAAAGACAACGCTGCTGCTTCACAGTATGATGGAAGTCTCCAGGCAAAAAATTATGCCGAGTGCCTTTGCCAAAACAATGGCAAGTTGCAGGACATTCAGAACATAATGCTGTTGGAGCGCTTCATCTTCCCGGATTTGGGCGCTGATGTGGCAACTGCTGCCAGCTCAGCCGCCAGGTCAGCGTCGCCAGGTGCCGCCAGCAAGGCCATCTCCACACCCCCTCCCACACTTTGCAACGGGCCATTGTCCAAGAGAGATGCACGCCCACTGTCCACTCTTTCTGTCACACCTGCGCAGCATGCACCATGCTTGTCCGTCAGAACTCCATAGTGCATGCCACATTCTAAAGTCTCCAGTGCAGTGTGCGAGGCAAGACATGTGGAGCACAGACCCCCTGTATGCACCACAGTGGTTGAAGACAGTCATAACATGCAGTAATTGCAGTCACCATTGCTGAGGTCATCTTGAGTCCTCTGATTTGGGCTCTGAGAAACCCGCTCTTGTGATGGGCAACATGCAAACTCGTAATCAGCATGGTTGCATACCTGCATGGCCTGCGCGGCTGGATTTGCCGGAGGTGGCAGCCATCTCGCGGCGTGCCTGGCGCCTCTCACGAAACGAGTTGATGTCGCGAGTCATGCGCTGCTCAAAGGGCAGAAACAGGACGCCCTCCTCCTGCATGCATATAGGGCAAATCAATACCACAGCGACCTTTCAAGACACCGCTGAGCTCTGATCAGCATTACAGATGCGCCTGGAGCCCACAGCCCTGCCTGCTGGTCTTCTGACAGAAGAGCTTGCTTTGCAGGAGCTATCGCATCCCTTGCCCTTCCCTTGTTGGTCTTCATGAGCGTGTGATCACAGCCAGAGGACACACAAGGGCCGCCTGCCAAGATAGGGTCCAATGTACTGGGTGCCAAGTGGGTGCAAGACCAGATCCACCCCAACGTTGGCCGGGACTCTCCACCCCTGCACCCACCCCACCCTCCAAATTATGTGGTAGGTGATTTGAATCACAACAATGGCACACCTGCAGTGCGGCCAGTCTGCGCTGACGGTGCTCCATTTCTGCCTGGAAGCCCTCAACGTGGGCCCAGGAGCTGGGGTGCACGTCCAGGGGGCTCAAACCCGGCCCATCCAGACCACGCACCACTGCCTCTCTCATCTCCTGGTGCGATGCGCAGTAGCTGCACGCAGCAGGACAACTTGCAAGGTTGAAAGCATGGCAAGGATGACATGCCTGCCAGTTCACATTCTGCTCAAGGCGGCGCTGTCTCCTGGCACAACATTCACCTAGCAACCTAATCTGATCTGCGCATTCAGCGTTTAATTTAAGGTACACCTTACCCTGCATGCAGCCAGAGCTGATAGAGTACTAGGTGCAGCACTGAATGGTGCCGGATGAAGCGCATGTCTTGCAAAATGGCAGGATGCGCTTGACACTGTTGTCAGCCAAGCACAGGTGCCGGCTATGCATGCGGAAAACACGAGGAGGGTCCCTCACATGCAGAAGAAGTGGACGAGGCAGTCATCGATCCCCGGCGGCATGCAGAAAGCCGACGGCAACTTGAACGCCCTGGCAAATTAGACACATGAATGATTTCAATCATGACCATATGGTAACAAGAAGACACACACCCTTCCCAGATTCTTGTTGCTCGTAAGGCGCTGGACATTAGGTAGGAAGAATACAGATTGGCGAGGAGAAGGTTTGGCTGATGTGGGCACCTGCGCATCTTCTCGCGGGCGTGGCAGGTGAAGGGGGCGGCGAAGTTGATGCCGTAGTTGCCGCAGATGGAGATGATCTGGCCGATGCCCAGGCCCATCGCGCACCCCAGGCAGCACACAAACATGCCTGCCCACACACACCGGCACTTGAGCATAGAAAATACGGGTTTAGTAGTTTCCATCCCATGTGTTTCAGTCCACATCTTGGCACGACAAAACATTCAGCAGGAGGCACACCATCATACTCCAGCTGACTGTCCATCACTGATTCATTTTGTGTTAGCCTCAGCTCAGCCCAGCCCTCAGCCTAGCCTCAGGTGCAGGCTATCGTACAACAGCTTAGGGTGACGGTTAGCACGGTGGTTTGCCCATGTTGATTGTTGTGATGTGCCAAAGGGCAAAGCATACACAAGAGTGTGGGGCGCGCACAGAGGTTGGCGATGTCTGTGGGGTAGTTTCTGCCCAGGCCGCTGAATGGCTCGCTGTACTCTCGGCCCAGGGACAGGGCATGCACTGTGCGGCTCCATCGGGTCCTGTCTATGCCGAACCAGTAGCACTCTGCGAGCGTCCTGCCAGACAAAGAAGGGCAGTCAGCTGCTGACGCTGCTTTACAAACAGGCACAGCTAGCTGCCTCATGTGCATCTAGAGGTGAATTTCTCTTTGACTTCGCCTGAGATCTGTGTAGGAACACGAGCCCTTTTGCAACAGGTGATAGGACTTGTTTAATTTGACACATTCATGCGACCTGCCGTTCTAGAGCACGCCCTCACATCTTGGCTGCAAGGTGCTATCTCTTGCATGGTCCTTCCCCAAGGCAAGTCCAGTGAGGGTTTTATACAGCTTGCCTGCCAAAGCACAGGCCGCGCCAGGCAAAGGGATTGAAGCGGAAGCTGGGGCAGCAGGGCACATGCACTGCGGGCTGCAAGACAAGCCAAGAAACAGGGTGTCAGTGGACCTTGCAGTGTAGTCTGCAGCAAGGTCGCACATATGGTATAAGAAATATGGTGCTGCAACTTTTTGTGCATCGGTTACCTTGATCAGCCTCTCCCTGCTCCCCCAGCACTCGAAGAGGCCAAGAGTCCAGCGCCCATCCTGTAGATGTTCGACAAGAATAGAGAATTAGGGCTTCGATACGGGCAAGGTAAGGCCTTGAACTTCTTCGTTCAACTCATCACAACAATCAAAGACCTGGACAACAGAGGCAAGCTGCTCTGCGATCTCCTCGGGGCGCGTTGGAAGGGTGTCACGGTAGTCCGCCTGAGACGAGACCAGTGTCGTTTCTGGTACTTTCCAGTGCGTGAACCAGGCATTGAACATTGTTCAATCTCGAAGTTTCTCTCAATTCAGCAACATGAATTTAAAGGGGGCCATCCCTGAACAACTTGGGATTGAACATTGTGCGACGAGGATCCTATCTAGTTCTTGGACGTGTCGAATTAGAGAAGGCACAAGCTGGCATCGCTATCCTGATGGTGTTGATGTGAACATCATCAAAAGTAACATTACTTAGCACTTTGTCTCTTCCAAGACACTTGAGAACGCATAGTATAGCCAAAGTGCTGTAAGGAACGGTGCGAAGACTAGGTCACGAGGCTTGCCTCGACTGCAAAGAGCAGCTGTAGGGCGAGCAGATTGATGTAGATAGGGATGCGTTCATCTTCAGGATGCCTGTTACATGCACTGTCGTGTCTTGTTTTTGCCACAGCCTTCAGCTCTGCAAGGTACGAGAAAATCAAGCTACACTGTCTCCACCTTCCTATGCAGGATCTGCAGCAGACAAAGCTCTCCTTTCTTTCAAGAGGAAAAAAGAGGTTTCCTTCAACTTTCTGATCGTCGAATCATGCTGCTGCAGGGCTCAAGGAGTCAACCTCAACGTTGGGCCACTGGGTGACTCCCACAAGCACCGTTGGTATGTGTGGACAATAGTCTCAGTGGCCGGTACGCGCAATCACTTTCCCCTTCTCACCCATTCCAAGCATGTATCAACAGTTGTCTTAGGCCAAGCAGCCTTGGAAACATCGAGGCTGTCATCTGTAGGCGCAGCATTTCTCATCAGCCTCTTCTGGACCATCCGGGGCATTGTCAAATGGCGCAGGCGTGTCAAGTGCGCTTCACACCAAATGTTCTGCTTGCCTCATCCCAGCAATTGCCACACTGCAGGCTGAGCGACTCCAATTTTCACTTGGACGTTGATGGCACATCAATGTCACCATGGATTGTGTTCCGCTAGACTTCAGTTTACCAAATGACCTCTGGGTGGGGCAAATATAATTTAAAGTAAGAACAAGAGGGACGCCAAGACAAGTTGACTCCATATTCGGAAGCACATGATACAGGACATGCAAAGGAAGGACACAGAGCAGGGCCGGCTTGGGATTGGTCACACACAAGGGTACAGGCCTCTTATAGGACAGGACAAGATTATGGAAGCGTTTTCCGAGGGGTGGGGGGGATTTACTTAGACAAACACATGTGTTGGCCCCGGCTGGCGGGGTCGGTAAGTACTGAGCACCATGCCCACGATTAATTGGGTCTTGCAGGGATCTGGCGAGCCCAGGAAGGGGTAGGAGTGTGGTATTAAATTGCAGCTTGTCTGCGGACGCACCTTTTCTCTTGGCAGGAACTGCATCTACTAATAATACATGTGTGTGGGATTTTTGGCAGGGCGCAGAGGGTGCAGAGGAGGGCGGCAGAGTTGGGGGTGAGCCCTGACAAAGTTTCAGGCGATGACGTGGAGTTGGGCCTCTTTTCCTTCTGGGAGACTGACAACCTCGACAAGGAATTGCCCGCTGGTGTAGGCAAGGCTTCATCCGGCAGAAGTCGGCGCAAGGGAGTGCTCATGAGCGAGGCTGATGCCAAAAAACTCAGGTGAGACCGCTGTGTGCACTGATTATACTTTGTGCAAGGTTGCTCGTGTCTGTTTCCCAGCAGCATTGTAGTGGCATGCTGAGATTATTGTTGCCAGCCATGCAGACCAATAAATTTGCTTGAAGACACGGGCATGCAAATGGCGATATGGTTATGTGGCCCCTCTATCAGTCAGGATGGGCACAGTGCTCGGCACTGGCTCAATGCTGTTATATTATGCCACGCTGAGAGCATATACACTGGACTATGTTGGGAAACTTTTCTGCAGGGAGATACGGAAAGGGACACCCGCGCAACAGGAGGCAGAGCGGTTGTACAGGACTGGCCAACATCCCACCTCTGCTGAACTACTGCACCACCTGCGCCGTGTGGACTCCTTCTGATGGTTTGCAATTGCAAGCATGCCCTCTCGGCCACCTAAGCATTTTTATCTTGCAGATGCCAAGCTTGACACGACCAGCAACAGCTGGCTGTGAGATATCTACCTAGGAAGTATCGGGGAAATACTCTGTAAGCAGCAGCTGCAACTGGAAGCGCCCGTGCTAAACCTCCAGTCCATTAAATTTTTGTCTGAGAGGGAGCACACCAGAGGAAGACCTGTGATCCCTGGGTTGAAGCGAGGGGCAGAATGCGACCAGATGCGCATGCTGAGGTCAAAGTGTCGAGTAGCAGTCCATGCGCCTTTGGGACTGTGGCTGATTAGGATCTGGTGTGTTGTACCAAAATGCAGTGCCATGTGTTCAATGCAACAATAACTGCCTGCACCCACAAAATGATTTGTGGGTGCAGGAGCGGGCCCTGTGTGCTAGTTGTCTGCATACCCAGTGGAGTTGATAGACTGCTACTGTTCTAACCCAAGCAGCTGAGACACCAAATGTGGTCTATATATCCGCTGCAGTCCAATCCATCCTTCAATGAATTAAGCTGTTCATGCGTTGGTGAGACAGCAATGAGCAAACCTAAGTTCTGCGCAAGCATTAGCAAACCTCGCAACTAGTATCCGTGCTTTCTCCTCGAGTCTGCAAACCAAGGTACAGCAATATCCTTGCACAGTGCTCGACATTTAGATTCATTCCTCCTGCTACTGGCCCAAAGTCAGAGCCCTGCTGCAAATTTTATTCACCTCAAGCGCGCCCCAAGAACCTCTCCACTAAAAGTCTTACCCACGGTGTTATGCGATTGTAAGTTAGCCCCCGCTGGCGAGGGGCGGTATAAATGCTGAGCAATGTAATCATAAACTAATTTCGTCTTGGTTGCATTTGGCGAGCCCAACAAGGGGTAGGATTTTGGCAACCATTAACCTTGCCTCTTGGCAGACAAATCTTGTAATGAAGATAATTGCCTGCAGCACTCATCTCTACACAGCGGCGGCCTCCAAGGCTGCCACCTGTGAGAGTGTTAGGCGGTCGTCAAAAGGCTGCAGCACCTTGACATCGATTCTGTCGCCGCTCTGGTACCTGTCCGAGACCTCCTCAAAGTCATCCAGGTCAAGCTGTGACCTGTGCACCAGCCCCTTCACGCCGGGAGCCACCTTGACGAAGACTCCAAAGTCCACCACGCTCCTGACCACTGCACCCCTGCAGCAGAACCGCTTTTGTCACCGCTTGAAGCCAGAGCAAGCGAAGACATACAAGGCTAATGATAAGGTCGGTAATGATTGTAATCAGTCGTGCACATTGCACATCTGCCCTGAAATGCAGCACTTCCAGCAGCGCAGGGCTAGGCGCGGTGCAACACCTTAGCAATTCCCTTCCAACCTCTCTTGTTTCCGCAGCGCGTAGCACCTGAACTGACCCCTCTGATCGTGAGCATAAGACTGCACGCTCTGCTCAGACATACATTACATTCCGCCGCCAAAATGTCAGCTCATAAAGCAGAAGAGGACGGCCTGGCATATTCCAGGCAATATCCAGGTTGGCTGGAAGGTTCCGGCAGCATGTCTGGTGACTCACCGCACAATCTCTCCCACAGCAGGCTCGTTACTCCTCTGCGCGGATCCGTCCTCGAGAAGCACCTCTTTCCGTGACAGCTTCAGCTTGCCATCTTTCAGCGTCTGTGCGCGCACGCATCAGGTCAGATGCCGTCATTCTGTCTGGTCAGGTACCGTAAACCGCAGGTCAGATACCGTAAAACCAATGTTCCGCCAGGTTAAATACCGAAACACTGTAATACCGTGAAAACCTCACGGTAGATACCGGCAGGCACCAGTGCATCAGCTGGGTGAGCCTCTCGAAACATGCTGGAGACGGCGGCTTACATGTATCTCTAAAAGCATGAAGCTCAACCACAGCAGAGAAAGGACTAGTTGTTAGTGATGGTTACCTCCTGGCAGAGACAGGGGTGCGGATTACGGTGTTACATGACCTTCCCTGGCCTTGAGCAACCAGATGATCCCTAGGCAGGGCACCCAATCACAGCATGCATAGCAGTGTGTGAATGTGCAGGTGTGCAAAAAGACAACCTGGGTGGGCACTTTCGGTGTTTCATTCTCAAGACATTGGATTCGACTTCAGGACCGAACAATACTAGGCCGCGGCTGGCGGGGGGGAGTATAATTATTGAGCACCGCGCCCACGATTGGTTGGGTAATGCATGGATCCAGCAAGTCCATCAAGGGATAGCATTTGTGGCCGCTTCAAACTGCAGCTCGCCTGCTCACGTACCTTGCCACAGGCAGGAACAGCATTTAATAAACATCATGACAATTCTGGGGAAAAAGTCATTGATCAGAAGCGCACGTCTATGAGTTTGACGTCGATGCGGTCACCCTCTTCCCAGGCGTCCATGCTGGCAGTTCTGCCGAGTTCCAGCTCCGATATGTGGCACAGGCCCCTCACTCCCGGCAGGATCTCCACAAAGAGCCCAAACGCGCTCACGCCCTCCACGCACGCATCCCTGCATGACAGGAATAACAATTCTGGATTCTGCTATCTTCTAGTTTGTTGATTATTTGATCAAGCCAAGGAATCTGTGCCCTTTGTAGGCCTTCACCCCTGCACGCCTCGGGTGCATGTCCTGTGAACCAAGGAAGACAGCCACAAATAGCCACGGCAATATGTACTACTTCGGTATATCTTCAAAAAGGTTTCCCCCAAAAAGGTTTCCCATCACTGTCAGACAATGTCAGGCCGGAGACTTTCCTGTTTCATGTGCAAATGTCTGACCCGCTGCTCCTGTTCATGCTCAAACGTGGCCACAAATGTGGCTTTTGACGGGTGAGATGTTTGAGCGCTGCTGCCGCGGGTGCACCACAGGCAGCCTGGATGGCATCCGGCGCGAGAGGTGTTGTTTCGGGTGAGAGAAAACAGCAAATGCAGGCGCACCGGTAGATTTTGCCGATCTCGGGCTCCTCGGGAGGGGTTGATGCTGATGTGGATGCCCTGTCATCGACCACAATGCCCAGCTGGTCAAGCAACACCGCCTTCCTGGACAGCCGCAGCTTCCCGTCCTCCGACACCTGCAGGCATTCGAAATAAATTTTGAATGATGAAACATTGTCTGAGATGTGTCGATGGTGGTGAAAACACATTAAATGCACTAGACATATGCGAAGCCTTCACTCAAGCCTCGCTCACAAGTATTGACGTCGACACATTGCAGAGCTCTGCTCCTCCCAAGTCAACCTGCTGCATGCACGCATGCACGCATGCAGCACCACAGGCTTAGCACGATTTCTGTGCTGGGCTGTCAATGGCATGCTTGGCTGTCCCATCAGTCATCACCAGCTTGAAATTCACTCTTCTTTGTACCTCAGTAAACTCCTCAGGACCCCACCTCGACAACCTTGGCATCCATTACGTCACCGGCGTGCCAGCAGCGCAGGTCAGGGTACTGGGTGACGTCCAGGTCTGTCTGGTGCACCGTTCCCTCCACGCCAGGCGCCGCCTCCACGACTAATCCAGTCGCCATCACCTTCGTCACCCTCGCATCCCTGCACCAAGGGAAATATAACTTCATGACTCACGCATGGAAGCACACGCGCGGTGAGTTGACGGTGTTAGGACAGCTGGTCGATCGCCCTCATTTACTGGCGATATGGGTGGGTAGTCTGAAGACTGGCCTGCCTGCATGAAGGACACTGGAGTGTGCCCTGAAACATGGGCCGAAGGGGAAGTTGGGCCCTGCTCAGGGCATGCAGTCTTAGCCTCAGCGCAGGGCGTGCTGCCTTGCTCCTGGGCTGAGGCTATCACTGCGATGTTTGAGCAGGACTAAAGGTCAATAATTGTGCAGGCGCCAAGAGGGTGCGTGGTCAGGACAGAGGGCTGCAACGCACTTGTAGATGCGGCCTAGCTCGGACGAACTTGCTGACGAGGCGGCTGAGGAGGCAGTGCGGGAGGCAACGCCCTCCTCCAGCAGCACAGACTTCCTGGACAGCTTCAGCTTGTTCCCTGCCATGACCTGAACAGCCGCACGCATATCAGTCATTGCCGCGTATTCAGGGAATGCAACACCCCAGAATCGCGTAAAAAGGCGCATCTAGAGTCCTCCAATTCTTAATGTTGGGTTTATTGGTGCAAAAAAGCAGTAAACCACGCATGCCCGGGGGCCCCCGCCTCTGCACAGTCCCAGATACACTGATGCGCGAGGGGAGCGAATGCTTCACTCCTGGGTGCCGCCTTGCTGGCAGACAGTTGAGAATTGCAATGCAGCGGGCCCGAAGACAAGGGTATGAAGATGTGAGTCAAATGCCGATCCCTGAGAGGGGAGAAATGCAGGTTAACATGGGCTGAGGGAGGCAGGTTTCCACCTCGAGTAATTTGACATCCATGGTGTCCCCTGGGGACCACTCATCTGCCTCTGCCCTCCCGATCTCCAGCTCAGAAACGTGCACCAGGCCTTGCAATCCTGGCAGGATCTCAACAAAGACCCCAAAGGCCGCGCAGCTCGTCACCTGACAATTTCTGCACCCACATGCTGGCCCTCAGGACAGCCTTCAGAACGGAATAAATGATACATCGACTCTCCCTTATAATATACCATCCTGAGTACTCAGGGTTTGTTCCAGAAGCAAATAAGCAGCCAGACATGTCATTAGAGCAGGTGAATATTAGTCACCCACCTGTAGATCTTGCCCGGCTCTGGCTGCTCCATAGGTATATCCTCTGCCCCACCCTCGATCTGCAGTGCCTTCCTTGACAGCTTGAGCTTGCCATTCTCCAACACCTGCATAGAGAATGCTTGTTATCTCAACCGCGCATAGCCAGAAACCAATACTCATCCTCAGAGTGCATGCATGCTATTCCAGCAGGCACAAACAGGTCTTGCAAGGAGAAGCTCGCTCAAGGCCTGTCTCACTCGAGGCCCAACTGGCAATGTCCTGAAATGAGCCGCAACTTGAGAGGTTCATTAAAGACACTCTTGACAATATTCTGAGAAAGCGCAGGCGATGCAATATAAGTCTAGTCATGGTGGAGCAGGACAGGTGTGTATGAGGGTGCAGCACGTCAAGGGGAGAGAACCAACCTCCAGTAACTTGACATCAATGGAGTCACCGACAACCCAGTTCTCCGCGGTGATGCTGCGATCCACATCCAGCTCTGAATTGTGCAGCAGGCCAGTCTTGCCCGGCAGGATCTCCACAAACAGCCCAAACTTCTCCACCGAGTCCACCTTGGCGCCGCTGCAAGCCCACAAAGAAAGGGTGGTGGACAGAAGTCACGAAATCCGCATTCAATGCCCAAAAGCCCACAATGAGCTTCGAGGAACCAAAGAAGCAAAGGACCTTTGTGTGGCAGCACAATGACAGCTAGGGATTGCCCAGCAGTGCTTGTAGTTTTTCCCTCATACGCGCGCATGACAGGAACAAGCAGGGCAAAAAAGAGGCAATATCGTACAGGCAGCCATTTGTACAATACATAGCAATTTGTCACCACCTCTCATGGTTAAGATTCGCAACAACACCTTGAGCTGTGCCTCGAATGATACCTAAAATATGACAACTGCATTTGGGAATGGTAGCTCACTTGTAGGTCCGGCCAACCTCTGGCTCTTCCAGGAGCCTCTCTGCCATCTGCAGTGCTTTGGTTGCAATATCGTCGCTGCTCGCCATTACCTCCACGGTCCCCTTTATGTTGTCAACGACCTAGCACACCCATGGCCATATCTCAGCAATTCTGCGCGAAAACGAACTTTTCTTTCTTCGTAAATGCATGCATCATTGGCTGGCCGCCAAACGCTAGGTGCCGGGCCCAGACAGATAGAGAGAGACTGAACAGAGAATGCCACAAGAAGGTCCAGCAAGCACCGAGCGCCCGCTCAGACGGAAATGAGCATATGGCCCAGAAGAATCTGCACTCCACGGAGAAAGATCCTTACAGAGGCAAATCAGGTTTGTATATCAGCAAAGAAGCACCTTGATGTCATCGGCGCCGGACTCCTCGATGAGCGCGCGGATGTAGCGGCCACCGGGGCCGATCAGCTGCCCCAGCTTGTCGGGGTTGACGTTGAAGCGGCGGATGCGCGGAGCATTGGGTGCCAAGGAACGCCTCGGGGCTGGGGCGCAGCGATCCATCTCCCCGAGGATGTGGCGCCTCGCCGCGCGCGCGGCCGCCAGCGCAGCCGTCAGCACTTCTATCGTAATTCCCTCCACCTGCGGGGCGCCGATAAAAGAGCTCTGTCAGACAGGCATGTTCAGATCATACGTACAAAATTGCCTGATATCTGCTTCTCGCACTGCTGCTGTTAAGCAGGAAGGGCCATGCAGTGCGAGCTCTGTTTAGACGGGACAACGGCAGACATGCATGCATGAGATGCAAGCGTAGCGTCATAGAGCATGCTGTGGTGACCTGGTAGCACTAGTACAGTGCTATGAGATCAAGAATATAATATGCAACTACCGTATTTCTCATTTTAAACTTCGCACCCTGAGAATTTTGTATTAGTGCGGGGTTACTTTGAGACCACTTCCCTCAGTAAAAAATAGATTTTTGCATTCTACCCATGCCAAATCCAGATCTGCCTTTGACCCTTTTTCAGATCTTTTATTTACTTTCCGTGGGGTTTAGGGTGATTACGGCGGTACCTTGATGTCCATCTGGAAGGCAGTGATGTGATCAGCGTCGCCGGCAACTTTGAAGTCCATGTCTCCCATGGCGTCCTCACTGCCCAGAATGTCTGTCAGAATCTGGAATTGCCCGCTGGGCTCCAAAATCAGACCCATGGCCACCCCCGCCACCGGCCGCGTCACCGGCACACCTGCGCAGCACGCACCGCTGTTTTTACAAGTACTATTACTGCATGCTGAATTTTGCGGAGAGGCAAGATGCGCCTGCAGGAAAGCTGCAGGCAGACGCTACCACTCAATTTACCCCTTGTTAGACTCATCGGAACCAAGAATACCAGTCAACCATGAGCACGGCGCTCGGTTTTTATACCGCCAGCCGGGGTCGGGGCAAGGCTTGCACAGAGCCTGGAACAGGGTAGAAAGCATGCGGGGTCTTGCTTTTGCAAGATTCCTCTGGCTTTTTGTTTGTGCAGTAGTGTAGTGTGAGCTGCACCTGCATCGAGGAGGGCCAGGTAGCCGCCGCACACGCTGGCCATGGAAGAAGACCCATTGCTCTCGGTCACTGTGCTCTCAACACGGACGGTGTATGGGAAGTCCACCTGCATGTCCACAGCACCTCCTTGGCTGTGTGCATGCCTGCTGAGTCCGCTCAAAAGAGCTTTTAGTATAAATTTGCACTGTGTTCAGCACAGCGCGCAAATGGCATCAACACATGCTCCAGCCAAGTCCAAATTGCCACATTTGCACATGGCGACGAAATGCGCAGGCTCTGCACCCGGCTTCATATGATAACACAAGGGTGCTCACTGTTTGCTTAGGAGAAATTACTAGCATTTTTCCGGCATCGCTACTTGTTAGCAAGCAGCTGCCTGTTTCTATCAAGCAGCAAGCACTCACCGCGTCGGGAATGATGGGGGTGAGCGCGCGCTCGGCGAGCTGGCCGTGGCCGATCTCGCGGCGGCCGGGCGCGCCGACGCGGCCGGTCTCGCCAACGCAGCTGGGCGGGAAGTAGTACTGCAGGAAGAACTTGCGCGAGAACTGCCCCTCCAACGCCATCTCATCCACCTGCTGGGCATCCTGCTCGCTGCCTGCACCACACCCATGCAATGCAACGTCAGTGATAGTGATGCGTGCCGATTGGACACCAGTGTGAGCTGGGCAAAGACATAACTTCCCTTTGTCACAAATTGGACGGAGACAATGCAACCGCCTTGCCAAGAGCTCTGAGCAGTGGAGTGCGGCATGTATCAGCCTCATGGCTTGAGATCCTTCTTTCTGCTTTTTGCTAGATCTCCGTGGATACAGCGCATGCACATGCGCACTGCAGCGCATCAACAAAAGCTACACTGTTCTTCAAAGTTTGTTGATACTCTTGTGGCACAACAGTGTGCTCCTTAGAGAGCGCAAAGAAACGGATGTCCAGGAAAAATTAGAGCCAGGGGTAATGATAATGCGTCTCCAGATTCTGCACCCCCTTTTAGGGCCTGGGTGAGGGGTTCCTCACCCAGGGTGACAACGGCGATGGTCTGCGTCTCGCCGCGGGTGAAGAGGGAGGAGCCGTGCGTGGATGGCAGCAGCCCCGCGCGCGATGTTATCGGCCGCACCTCGTCGCAGCGGCGCCCGTCCGCCCGGCAGTCCTCCCCAAGCGCCATCCGCCGCATCACCCGCGCCTCCACATGCTGCGCCACCATCACAAATTCGAATTTTCAAAGTCGAATTTTTCAAACTTGAAATGTCGAAGTTTGAGTTCAATTTCTCAAACTTGAGTGGCCTTTTGTGGGATAGAGGCTGGCCAATGGCTATCCATGCTGGTGCTGATGCATGCCTCACATCCCCATTGTGAAGCAAAGCTGCATTGCTTTCTGGTGCACTGTCTGATGCAGAGGCTTGATGAGCCTCAATGCGCATGGGGAAGGTAAATGCAGGGCAATCACAAGCTGTGCGATATTGCTGTGGGTCACTGCAGTGGTAGACGCTGTAGGTGTTCGAACGAGGATTCAGCGCCTCGGCAGAGTTGGAGCACCTTAAAGGCTCGGCCAAATTGGGAGAGGTTGGCGACGGGCGCTGCCCCGGATGTGCCGACAGACATTTCCTCGACGTCGCTCTCATCCTCTGACAGGCTCCCGAGTGACTGGAGAGAATCTGCTTCTGCCAGCTGAGACTTCACCCGCTCCTGTATGGCCATCACCGCCGAAGACCTTTCATGCTTGCCTGCCACACCCCACAAACCCAAAATTCAGTACATAGCAAAACATAACGTGCAACTGGTAATTTTTTATCTGTTATCAGGTGAACCGCAATTGACAACCAAAGACCACCCAAAATCCAAGGCAAGCAAAGTTCATGCTCTGCCCTACTCACCGCCACTTCTTCGGTAAGCAGCCTCCACATCGTCCCTGCACAGGGCCTCAATCCGGGCCTCCAGGCCTTCTGTGCCGTGGGCCATGTCTTGGCGCTTCGGCCGCCCCACCTGCTTCCTCCACCCCTCAATCGCCCGGCACTGCTCTGCCACAGCCTCCGTTCCAACCCTCACAGCCTGCAGCGCACGCCTCCCACCATATTTACGACCATCAAAAAAACGTCTCGGTGAATTGGGGTATGGGTTACTGTCTCATATATGAGAACACTTGCATGCAGGAACATTCCTCCCATATTCCCACGACGGAAGGTATTGATGTCCTTGTACCGCTCCAAACAACTGTGCATCCTCACAGCAGAATTGCTAGGCCACAGTACTGAGAGGAAGGGATAAAGTTGCCTTGAGGATACCACAGAGTGATACAGGGGCCGCCGTGTAGAGCGTGGTACAGACAATACAGGACATGGTGCACAAGGTCTCTCGGGTTAGCAGCACTGACCTCGAGCATCTGGTCCTCGGACAGGAAGTCACAGTAGCCCTCTATCATGAGTAGGGCATCAGCTGTGCCGGCCAGCATGAGGTCCAGGCTGCTCTCCTGCAGCTCCTGCTCGCTGGGGTTCACCACAAACCCCCGCCCCTCCAGCAGCCCCACTCGCACCCCCGCCACCGCCTTCTGCAGCGGAATATCTGCCACCCCAACCATACTCACCATCAGCTGCACATTCTTTTCCTCAGCAGCAAACTCACATGCATGCGCCGCCTCGATGGGCACGCATGGCGTGTCATGCATGGCAGGACATTGCCATGCGGGATGAGGTCACAAAGGGTAGCTCCAATAGGCAAATGATTGAGTGGAGAAGGGAAGGCCTGAAGTCATATGAGATGGGTCCGATGGCAGGGATTTTGTTCGTGGAGGGCAGGTAAGAGATCACAAGACGTAGACCCAACAGGACAGAGGGCATTGGTCCTGCAAGGTCACAAGACATGGGTCCAATAGGACGGGAGGCAATCACCAGAGATGGCGAGGGCGGCAGCGGCGGCGGTGATTGCAAGCGGCTCGGGGGTGTTGATGCCGTCGTAGGACAGCACCCAGATGAGCACCTGCGTGTCATTGGCCCAGCCCGGCGCAAACATCGGCCGCAGCGGCCGGTCCACTAGACGCGCCGTCAGCACCTCCCCGTCCTTGGGCCTCCCATCGCGCTTCAGCCAGCCTCCGCTGCAAGCATTAGTCACCGTGTCAGCCACACTGTAGTGCATCTTCTGTGCACGTCATGTGATACCGAGACCGTCGGCTTTCATCAGCTGTGATGTAGTTCTGAATAAGCAGTTGTGTGCTTTCATGTGAAACATCCAGTATGTCAAAACACAAATATGTCATTCCTGTGCCCCTGGGCTACAGGATGCCACAACTGTAGCTGTCCACAGACTGGACATAAAGTTGCAGCCATCTATTTCGGGCATGCATCTTAGGAGACATTGTACGAGACATTGTGCTGTCGTGCCGACCCAACATCATGCTTCATTGTGCACAAGATGACTCCAAATCAAGACAGGTTTTCTGACAAGAGAATATGGGCAGCAGACCTGGTCCTGCCGGCTGCACTGAACCTCTCTGCATAGTTGACCTGCAGGGGAGTAAAGGAGCCATCGCCGACAGTATGGTCTCCGCAGCACGCTGTTGCATACAACACCTGCATGACCCAACCTTGTCTCAGCCATTGAACGCCGCCAGGAAGGAGGCTCCAAAGGCCCCTGGTTGGTTACAGTGGCGCTGCATGCTGTGTATGCCGAATCTGACAGCAGCATATCTTTGCCTTGTAAGCTGCGACTCACCGTCTTGCCGCAAGTCAGCATGACAGCACCATTAGCCTGGCGCCCGATCTCACCAGTCTCCAGCAAGATCTGAGGCAACAAGAAGACATGTAATACACCAGATGATGGATTTGCAGGGATAGGTTCCTGTCATGCGCTGTAAGACAGAAGAGAGAACTGCAGGACTGCTGGCATGGCCACAAGTTGTCGGCACTCACCGGTTCCTGGCCAATATCAATGGTCACATTGCTGGTCCTTGCTGTAGATGGTGTGCTGAGCTGTTCTGATCTGCAAGTGAGACGGTGTCTACTGCTGCAAAGACTAGGTCTGCTGCGCTGGTTGCACCTGGATAAGTGTGTAAGTGCGCATGGTTGCCAACGAACAGGCTTACGAGACTGGATCCCAAGTCTATTGATGCCGATTGGCAAGTTACACAATGGTAAATGCAAATCCTGGTGTTGTGGCCTCTGTCCGACATTGCGAGCCAACCCTTTGAAAGTCTCCATTTGTTGTAAGAGATAAGATGACTGCCGCCTGCTCAAATTTTACAGTAAAGCATTTGTGGACATTTCAACGTGTATCACTTGTATCAGAACAAAGATTTGTTTGACTGTGTATGAATTTGCATCGGCTATGTGCCAAGCTGCAGAACACGTTGGACTATCTGATCTTCTGGCCTGCCCATGCATGTCGGAAATTTCCGGAAGGCGCCAAGGTCTCCTTGACTTTAATCTTTTGGACGAGATCACGCATAGCAGAAGGATTACAAGGCTTTCATCATAAGATCTGTAGTTGTGCTAGATTATTCTTGCTTGCCAACGAGAGAGATCTGCACCCATCGCACCTCCAGATCAAGTGCAAATCAGATAAATCAGAGCATCTGGAGGAATTGTAAAAGCCAACAGAATGCTTTCAGACAGGATGCGTTGGCAGGATGTTTACTGCGATCACAGCGACGACGACCCCTTCCCCAAAATGCTCGAGGAGGAACCAGACAATCTGCTGGGACCCTACGTTGCAACAGAGGTTGCCCTTGTGGAGAAGGTACAATCAACGAAAAACTTGATTGTCTGATGTCATCACCGAAATCACAACAGAGAGCAAGACCAGAATCTTACAGCACAGTGCAGGCCGCAAGTCCAGTGCCATTGTTGCACTCGCAAATACAGTTCATGTGCATGCTTAGCAGAGCACATCGCTGCTACCGACGCAGGCGCTGCGTTTTGCACAAGTGGGGCCGTCGGATCGTGTGCTGGATCTGGGATCCGGTGATGGCCGCCTCTGCGTAGCGGCTGTGCAGCAATTTGGCGCCGAAGCCGCTGTGGGCATTGAACTCGATGAGGACTTAGTGGAACTATCGCAGGCCAGGGCAGAGCAGTGCGGCGTCTCAGGTTCAGCTAGGTTCCTGTGCGCTGATCTCACTGCCCCTGCAGGAGCAGGCGCAACAGCAAATTCAATGCAAGGCAGTCCCACTCTGGTGATTGTGTTCCTGCTCCCTGAAGCCGAGCAGAAGTTCCAGGAGGTGCTGATGAGGCTGTACGATGCTGGTGCTCGCGTGCTGTCACTTGCTTTCGAGCTGGACAGGCTACAAGGGCTGCAACTGCGGAGGAAAGAGACACCGATGTATCTGTACAGCAAAGCCCCCATTTGATTGCAATACTGATGGCAGAACCTGTTTTCTTGAGATACTGTTAGCCCAAAGGAGGTTGGAAACTTCATCTACAAATCAGCATGGGAAGTGAGGTGCTCTGCATGGCTAGGTTTCGGGGTATCGACCCCAAACTAGTCAGCATTGAAGGGTGTTTGACGATGTGAAATGTTTTGTTTTTGTTTGAGAACAAAATGGCATTTATATGTCAGGAAAACAATCTAGGTGGTGAAGAATACAATTGCGCTCCTCAGAAATGGCAATGTCCCGACAGATAGTTTTCACGTTCGGACGATGCCTACGAAGATTGCAAACTGTATACAGTCTTGAAAGAATGACAGACTGCAATACGCATAGAACGTTGTGCAGCACAAATGTACCCTTTTGGTTTGGAGCACAAAAATCCTCACGACTGAGTTCAGTCGTTGCAGATCGGCAGCTGATGGCCCTTCAAGCAGCAAACATATGGCAATCTATTGCTGCATCACACAGCTTCTGCAGAGGCAGGAACTCCATAAAATATTTTCTTAGCGGTTCTTGCAATTGCAGCGTATGCCAGTCATGTTTGACGCTCACATAGCCCAGGATCGAAGGCAACAAGTAGCTAGCTTAGTAGGATGACGTGCCTAGCAACCACTAAAATTGTACATTTGGACAGGAGATGGAAGGTTTAGTGTGCACACGGGTGCTGCTTGTCACGCACAGGCCGCCAATGGGCCAGCTGTTGAGGAACCTGATGAGGGAGCAGTGGGGAGAGTTGTCAGATTCTTGCTAATAGGGACCATAGCCGCTGTCGCCCTCAAACTGGCACCAAGCATAGGTATGCTCCGTACTAGCAAAGCCATCTTCATGTGAGGAAGCGCTATCACATCACAGCAGCCAGGTTCATTTGGTACATTATGTTACAAGTGCCGGGTGTAATTTTCAGGTCTTTCCTAGGGTCACGAGGCTGTGTGTGGGGTACGCACAGGTGCGGGTAATGTAATTGGGGCAGTGAAGCTGCTGGAGGCAGACACATCCCTCATGCAGCGCACTGGGGCTGACAGGGTGCGCATGCTGGCCAAGTCTGAGTGGGGGCATGGGATTCTGCTGAGGGAAGGGGCGCCCGCAAAGCTGCTCGCCCTGCTTCATGAGGGCGCCGACCAAAGTGGGCATCCATCCTCCCCGCACCCTTTGCAGGTGGAAATTGTAGAGCATGGCGATGAGGTTCTTCACAGCAAGTCAAGCTAGTGTAGGTATCGTGCTGAAAGCAAGATATCTCTTGTTTCACTATTGCCCTTTTGTGGCAGGTGTGATCACAGCTGCTTTGAAGGCCTTGGACGCGCTCTGTGCTCAGTATGACGGCAGGGAAGCTCTTGTTCTGGCGGGTGGGTATATTGCTGATGTCACCACTTCCTCATACCATTACTCATTCTCTGAGGCAGTCATGCGTGCTCCTGTTGTCTCCTGAAAGAATTCATGTATTTGCAGGTGCTGTAGACAAAATACAGGAGGCATTTGATGGTTCCTGGGTGGAGAGCGAAGACGGACGAGAAACACTGGCACAGCTACTTGTTGCCCTTAAAGTCCAGCAGAACAATGTGGACTGATAGGGCAAAACCTGTCATGGCTGGATTCGGGCATGATGCAACAATCAGATATGCAGTGAGAGTAGCAATGGGACAGTAGCCACACTCGTCATGTATCGCAATTGTTGCAGAGAACTTGCGCAGGGCTGGCTGCGCTGCTGTAAAAACAAATGAAGCGCCTCATGCCTTCGGTGTTGGCAGTGCCGTACTGCGACAAAGATAAGCATTTTAGGATCATGATATCTTGCATACTCTGTTGCCCAATTGCCTTGGGCCTTCACACACTTGCCATCATAGGAGGGCACGATCTTGTCTGCTGCAATCTTCTACAACGTAATGTAATTTGTCGCGGCGGTGCTGTGCATCTAGGCAAGGCAAGTCTGTACAAAGCTGGTGCACACACCAGGGATCACATATAACTCACAGTGATGAAGCAAATATTCATGACACAAAGAGCCAATATTGTTTTTGTGTGAAAAGCGAGGCATCAATGGCTCTCTGCCTATCCAGCAGGCTGTGTCCATCAGCTTGAGTCCCGATGGGAACGCGAATAATCTTGGCACCGACGAGCCTATCGTGAAACAGTCGAGTTCTCACACCGCATCTAAAATAATATTTCACACGTCTGGAACAGTCCTAATGGATGCATTGTGGCAAAGTCCCCTTCCATTCGGTTGTGCCCCGACAGCTCGCAGGTAGACCTTCGAATGACTTTTCAAAAATTTCGCCTGTTTTGGCACGCCTTCCGTTGGCGGGAAAGGCCCCACAAATTTAATGTTGTGACAGAAACACCTGCCCATCCACACATCTGCGAGCATCTTGCGCATGGTGAAAGAGCCCACAGTCCTCTTTGAACACGAGGTCACGCATGCGACACCTCGAACCCATGACAGAGTAGCGCCGGGCCGCCAGTTGCCTTGCAACCTGTCTGCAGAAATATATTTGTTTGAGGGACCCTTTTTTCAGAAGATTGGGAATTCGTCCAGCGTACTGGAGCCAGCTGCAAAGTTATGAGATTTTGTCAGCACACTCCCCAGAATCCACTCTCGTTGGCGGAGAAGTCACCTGCTGAGGTGGTTTTCCTTCTGCCATCAGATCTGGATGCTGGCAAACATCGGCCAATTGCTCATGGCAGAGCCAGAGACCGCATTGGCTCAGTATGCATTGCCGAGTGCCAATATTTTAGCGCTTCACTTGGTGTTGCTGCACTAACATCTGCATGTTGTCACCAGGGCTTGAGCCATGAAGGCTCACTGGCAAACCCAGCCAGCAATCAGCAAAGGAAGAAGGGCTTGTTCAAGGGCTGGTTCTGTTGCTTCCATTCATCGGTGGTGACTGATGCTCCCTTGCATCTAGCGGTGCGCCAACCGAAAGACATCCTGACAGACTGGTAACCTCCTGGACACCCCTGCATTCCTGGACACCACAGTCTGCTTCTCTCCCCACCTAATGAATGGATTTGTGCTTGAATTGCAGTGTGACAATGTCAGCTCCAAAAGGGGTGGGACCAAACCGGCCCCAGTCAGTGTGCTTAACATCAATGTGGATTCCTCCACTCTGCGCAGCCCAAATGCTGACGCAGCGGCCCGCGACTTGGTGAGCCAGGCAGCATATGCTTTGAATGTCTGCACATAATTTCTAACGATTTTTTATGACAATGTCGACCACATGCTTGATACCCTAGCCAGAGCTGATATGCTGCTGCAGAGAGTTGTGGAGTGGGTCAGAACTGGGCCAATCAAGGAGCAGCCTCTCCCCCATACCAACTCCTTGGGTGAGTGCAAGACATACCTCGAGATTTATATGGTGCATCCTATTGTTCCATCACTGAAAAAGAATGTGGCCATCCGAACGGGTTGTTGACTCTTGCAGGGAGCCGGGCCACACAGATAGGCGAGCATGCAGAAGGTGAAGAGGAGTCCAATCAAATGCCCTCAGAGGCTGATGAAGCTTTGGCAGCAAGGTGGGCGCACACACTGATGACTGCGCTGCTTCCCAGAAACTTGCATCTTTTCCCACTGGCGCCCTCAGGCCCCTGCCGCCATGATATAGGTAGTACTGTACTTCAACTTGTCGCTGAGTGTTAAGTATGCTCCGCGCAGCGTCCGGGCGCAGCAATTCGCTCGCTACAACGCACTCAACTTGACACCGTCGGACGACAACTTCCAGTCGGTCTTCAGGGCAGCGCCGGATGCTACAACCAAGCCAGCCGCCCCAGACAAGGCGGACAAATGGTCCATCACCTACGAGGACATCTGCGCCGCGGCGTTGCCCGACACCAAGCCCACCGTAGGGGCTGCGCGCGAGACGAACGCAGATCTGTCAGCGCAGCAGCCGCATGCGAGGCCCGCCGGCTTGCCGCATGCAGACGCGGAAGGCGGCCGGGCGGCGGCTGCGGCTGAGCAGGTGCGCGCACATGGCGGCAGGCACCGGCGCAATGCGAGCCGGGACGAGGGCAGCTTCGAGGAAGTGCTGCGTCCGCTGTCGCTGCCGGCCACGCCGGCGCACGCGTCTGAGAAGGGGTACCTGTCGGGAAGCGATGACATCAGCGCGGACGAGGTCAGCGATGACGGTAGCACCAGCCTGGAGGACATGTCGGACGGCGAAATCCTGACCTCCAGCCCGCCCCTCGCGCTGCCCCGGCCAGCGCCCAAACCCACCGGCGACCCCCGGCTCTCGCTGCGCCTCTACAAGCTCGTGACCAGGTCAGCAATCCGCTCGACAACCGCCCTGGAATGCTCGAAGATACACGCGTGCAACACATGCACGTCTTAGTTTAGGAAATTACAGGGGACGGCTTGCAGCATTGACTGACACTAAACGAAGCCATGAGTCAGGTGCACTGCCTTAAGATCTCTTGCGAGTGAGTGCCAATATTGTTGCAAGTTTCTCTGCCAAAGAGGGTGAAAGCCAATGCATGCATGCAGGTCTGCGGAGGTGATGCGCACGCCGCCCAAGCGCACCAAGTCAAGCAAGCTCGGCGGCGCAGCCCGCCCCAGAGCCCCCTGGTGGCTGGGCTCCGCCAGCTCATCCCCGATCTCGCTCGCAGCCTCATCTCCCGCCGCGTCCGTTGCCCGGTCGGTGTCCCGGCTGTCCATGCGCCAGCCGCCGCCAATCGCGCGCCCCCCCTCCCCGAGCAATGAGCCGGCCGTGCCGGCCGCGCCGCGGCCAGGCCCGGGGCCGGCCGGCCCGACGGCTGGCGGCAGCAACGCGCACAGCGTGGCGTCGTACCTGTCCACCTTCCAGGCGGCTGCCGGGAAGGCGGCCCGGGAAGGGAACTCGCAAGACGCGGTGCGCGCCTATGTGGCGGTCGCTGGGCCGGGGCAGGCGGCGCAGCACGCGGCCGGCCACTCCGCAGCGCTGTCCGCCGCGGCCGCTCGCAAGAGCGCTGGCGATAAGGGGCCGCATGGGCTGCAGGAGCTGAAGCTGCAGCAGCTCATCACCCCCCTGGGTGATGCCAGCAACCGAAGCCCTCCAGCCGGCCCAGGTATCCTTTCCCTGGCTGGCTCACACTTGTGTCCTGTCTTGCTCACTTGCCTGGGAGTGCGGAACACCTTCATTCAATGATGCAAACGAGGGATTAATAAAGGTGGAGGAAGTGCTGCTGATCTTGCCAAAATGTCAATGATGACATCTAGTGGACAGACAGGCCAAGTGAGAAGGAACACATTTTTGAATGGAGTGGCTGCGGTCATGGCGCAGGCGGCTCGATCAGGGGCCTGCAATCTTCGGTTGGTAGCCAAGCGGCGGCACAGGCGCCGCGGTCAAACAAGAGACCCAGCCCCCCGAGCAGGCTGCCCCAATACCAGCGAGCGCCGGTGCAAGGTCAGCAACTCTTTGGCAGCGATTTCCCACATTCTTTACTAATGATGAGATTACGGATATCCCTTCATATACAGATATCCCTTCCTCATAACCTGAGGAAATATAGGATGTTTTCTTCTGTCTATGGGCGAGCTAGGGCTCATGCTTCTGCTGCGGCGTGCATATAATAACTGCTGTCAGCCAATGAGTCAGCCAAAATCCTCTCTTTTGTACTTCTCTCATCAGGATTCTGTGGGTCACTGCTGGGTCAATTTTCAGCAGTGTGCACCATTGCCTGATAGGTGGCGCAGGACGGAGGGACATGGAACGCCCCATTATCAACACCTCCCTGCCCCCAGCGCCGGTCAGGGGAGGCGCAACATCGAGCACAAGGGACCTCGACCGAAAGTCCACCCCCGCCCGCCAGATGTTTGCGATCATCTCCGACGCCATCACTGCCGCCAACGAGGCCATGAACTCCCAGCCATCCGTTTCGCGCACCACAGCAGGTGGGCACAATAGAAACCCGCCACAGCCCACACTGGCAGCTCACTTGCCTTCAGTGGTGCCGCTGCATGCGTGTCACAGGTTCCAAGGTGGAATAAATCCCAAGCAGACTCTGCGAGTCACCATGACACCATGTATTTGGGCGCTCATAAGTCATGAAGTGATGTGGTGCATATGCTGCATAGGGATCTCCATTCAGGAGTGCATGGATTGTGATTGCAGGTCCATCGGCAGGAGTGGGCGCAGGGGGAGTTGAGGCGCCGGCTGCGGCTGCACCGGCAGCTGCCCGGCTGGGTTCCGGGCAGCTGGGCAGGAGGGCCTCTCAGCGGCCCTCGCCGGTGCTGCCAAGGCAGGCCGCACTGGCGCCGGCATCGCGTCTGGCCCTGCCTGCTGCCCCGCACCTGACCGGGCTCACCTCCATCCCCAAGCTGGGCGGTGGGGCCGCCGGCGCCACTGGCAGCCTGAGGACCAACAGGTAACGCCCAAGTGCCCTAAATCTGTAAGAACTCAAATGATGCATTCTCTGCCTTGCTACGTGCTCGTCTCTGACAAGCGCTCCTGATGCCCTCATATACTTACAGTATGTATGAATAAATGGTACAACTGAGAGTTCGCAAGGCGTTGGCAAAATTTCTGCTTCTTGCACAATTTGGGCCTGGGCTTGGGTGCTGGGAGTGTCCCAAATAGGTGCCATTGGGGGGGAGCGAGATCGATCCCTGAGCATAATTGTGATTGCTCGGCAGGATCACAAACATGGGCCCTCCGCCGCCGAGGGTGCCGGCGAGTAGCCGGCTGCCGGGACCCCCCGGTCAGCTGCCGGGTCCCCTCAGCCGGCTGCCGGGACCCCCCGGCCGGCACCCGGCGCCCCCCACCCACATCCCCGGCAGCCGCCTCCCCGTCCCGCCCGGCAAGCCGCCGCGCTCGCCGCTGGCCGGCACCAGGGCGGCCTCTGCAGCTGCCCTGGAGCTGCCACACCGCGCGGGTCATTACCTGCCAGGTGCTGGCGCCTCCTGAAACCTTCATTGTCTTTGCTCTGTGCCATGATCTGCTTTATTGCTATTGTTCTCCTCCGTCCACTTCTGCTTCGTATGCTCTGCAGCCATGTTGACACTGTCGTAGCTACCTGCCAGGTGCTGGGGCCTCAAGACCCCGTCTCTTTGCTCAATGCTTGATCTGATTTATTGCTAAATTTCTAATCCGTCCCCTTCTCCTTCGGATGCTAGGGTGCAAGTATGTTCACAGTCGTACCTACTGTCCACATGACCTTAGTTTAGAGCACTAGATCATCAACATTGGGCCGTTCGTACATTGTTGCATGCTTTGATAGGCTTTGTCAGTCACGTGTGACTCAGCAATCTCCTTGCATGTGGAAATGATGGGTGGTTCTTGTGTGCTGCCACAGTCGGTGTGCCGCTGCACGTCGGCATGCTGCATGCGAGTCAGGCGGCAGGCGACGCGCTGTCAGCGCCCAACACCGGCCGCTCGGCCGCTTACTACACCCCCAGAGAGGCGCTCACCCCTCGAGACTCATCCATTAAGGCACGCACCTCATATCAGTTTCCAGCATAGTGTAGTCAGCCAGAGACTCTACTTCGCCTCATCCACAGTTGGAGCTCATCAGAGTGAAGCTAGCCAGAGATTCTGCTTCCCCTCACACCCAATTGGAGCCGGCTCACTCCTGCAAAAGATACGGGACATCCAAGCCTGCCAATATGCCACAGTAGTATTGCAAGGGCATTATGGCTTAGAGGTGCACATTCTCGAGCGTATGATCTGTAGAGTTTAAATCTTGATGTCAAACATGGTTGAAGTTGTGTGTGTAGATGGACGGCGCGTCGCCTCCTTGGACCCCCACAGGCTTCCACACCTCTCGGGAGGACCTTCTCAACAGCAATGCAGCCACTGAAGAAGGTGAGCAGAATCCAAGTGTTTCCTCAAGGGTGCCACTAAGCATTGAAGCACTTCATCAAGTGATCTAGTGGCAAATTATTAGTTTGCGTCATTGCCTTTGCATACGGGGTTGGCTGGCTTGCCTGGTGTGGGGCATGCAGAAGGCCATCTTTGCGTATTTGGCTGGCATGCCTCTTCATTCATTGATGGAGAGCAGAGATGGGCGCCCGCTGTGACTTCAGGGAAAGAGGAATGCAGAAACCAAGGCAGAGCAAGGGCCAGAGATGAGAGGAAGGGCTGCCTCGCAAGCGCAAATCATGCAACACAAGAAAAAATGATCACCCGGCCCAGGAGCACGGAGTCTGAATCCTTAATAAAATCAGAGAGATGTGAACTTATCGTGCGTGCAGAGTGCGCGGCGGAGGCGCATTCGCGGCACCTGCGCGCCTTGGTGGAGAGTCTGGCAAGCGAGGAGCGCGGCCTTTTCAGCCCCCTCGACGGCGGCCCCAAGCGTCCGGTCGCACGTCGGCTGCACAATGACGGCCCTGGACGCGCGCAGCCACCGACAGAGCCGACGGCACAGGTGGGCTTCTCTGTATGTCCACCAGTGCTCATAGAAGCCTTGCAAAGTTCATACTAAGGTGGGGCTATGCGGCACCAGGGCTCAGAAACATATCAAACACACCACCCAGCTCGCAGCTTAGGTGGGCTTTGGTGACTATCTGCCAGCGATCACAAGAAGCATCAGCGGTCAAAAGTGGCTGGAGAGAGATGAATATACTGCGTTGACAGAGGTGCAGCAAGCTTCCCTTTGTCCCTGCCCGGCAGGACAATCTCCTTTCAATTCGACAAATGTCGCCCTTCTGACATGCACTTGCTACTTGCTACAGCATCCCTGTCTGAAGCAGCTGAAGAAAGATTGCTTAATGGCGCGCAGGCCGTTACTGCCGCAGGCTTCATGAGCGCTGACAGCGTTGCCCAAATGGATGTGGACAATGGAATTGTGAACACAATGTTCAACATCAGCAGATCTCCCAGTGAGAAGAGCTCCTCGGGTGACTGCGATGCTCCTGCCTTCAGAAACCCGCTCTACAGCAACCGGGGCTCACCAAGCAGTTGACCGGACCAATCAGCAGGCACATTATGAATAAGAGAAGGCATCCACCGCTGGATAAGCACATTTTGTGGTCTGATCTGGTGAATTCTGAGCAGAGACCTGCTGCCTCGAGCAACCAGGGAGCAGCATTGCTGCATGCGGTTGCATCAGAAGGTTTGGCACGGTTGCTGTATTGCTGCATCTCTTTTTGACTTCTCTTCAGCCTGAGTCTGGTATTCGTTCATGCTCAATTTTTCTCCCAGCCGAGATCTCTAGAGAGACTGCACTTCATTAAATGATGAGCATGTGCACCTGTTGGAAATAGTGTCAATAAATGCAATAAGGTTGCGTTGCCATGTGTACATATTGTGGCAGACTTTGAGCTGTAAAACAGCCAGGTTGTGTCTGCTATGAGATCAAGCTGCAAGTCTTTTGTTACAAATGTCTCTCTCGAGCCAGACGTGAAGAACAAATCCTGCAAACTCTCACATGCGAGCACACATGTCCTGCATGGTTGACATTCAGGAATTGTAGAGCATCACTGGCACCCAAGCTTGCACTGATGCTGATCCTACTAGAGCTACTTGTCCTAATCTAGATTAGGTGTAGATCTACACCTTGTCAAAAATGTGGCAATTCTGCCGGCTGCAGAAATTCTGCAGCAGAATATTTGCTCATTCACACCCTTACTATACGTTGAATAGAACACAGGAGCGGGGTCACAGAGCAATCCTGCAAGGATACTGCAACACACATGATCGCTCTGAAAAATTCCCCATCTGGACTTTTGATCCATGCAGAGCTCGTAAAATTACCATGTGATCTGCTATCAGAATTTGCCATTCACATTGCCCGCATCTCCCACTCACCAACTGCTCAAATCACAGGAGTGACTCCAGCAGTCCTAAGGCCATTTCCAGCATCTGCTCAAAAATTTGACCATCCTCTCCGCCTCCAACCATCCAGATTGCGCCCCAAGGGGAGCGCTTTAGAAGCTTCTTCTTTCGTATACTTCCCCTGTACACCATCTGCACTCCATTCAACCACCCAGATTACACGCTATGAACCCCCTGTACATGGGGTTTAGGCCTGATGGCCAGCGCCATCCATTGTGGGGCGCCTCTATGCAATCCCCATCCTCTGAGCCTTCCGACCATCCAAATAGCAAGCCTGGCCAGGGGGACCCTAGGTTTCGGGCCCCCGTTGCAAGGGGTCTAGGACGGCTGGCCAGCGCCATTGGGGGGCGCCTCAAAGCGGCCTACATCTTCTGTAAAACCCAACTACCCAGATCACAAACCTAGCAATCCTGAGGTTTGGCCCTTCTTTGCTAGGACTGCTGGGATTTTGTGCGCCTCTATGCCCTTTGGACCCCTCATCGGGAGGGGTCTAGGACTGCTGCACAGCGTGCACGGCCTCAGCAGCGCCGTTATAGAGGGCCTCAATGCGGTCTACGTCCTGCTTGGAGCCGAGGAAGATGGGGCAGCGCTCGTGGATCTTGCCAGGCTGCAGGTCCAGCACGGGTCCACTGCCGGTGATCGCGCGGCCGCCACCATTTTCCACCAGGAATGCCATCGGATTGCCCTGCGCAGCATCAGTCTTGGGGTGAATTCAAGAACTTAATCACCATTTCTGATGGTTTTCACAACCCAAATCATTCCACTTAGGGCTGATCTGATGCATGACTCTGGTTCTTTAAATTAACGCTTAGAATGAACGCCGTCGGATTGCCCTGCGCGCAGCACAACGCACCGCATGTCTCACTCTGCTCCATGTGATCTATGATCACACCATTTTACTACGGTTGTATTCTTGCTGCATGATGTTATTTTGCAAGGCAGCTCTTTCCCCTTGATCTCTGACGCTCGCGCTGCCTGTTCATTCACAGGAGAAAGCAGTTCCTGCCAATCCATTGAGTTCTGGTAAATTAGAGGTTGGGGTTGGAAGCAGTGGGAGATCCAAGCTGCAAGCTGCACCGCTGAAAGGTTGCATGCACTTCTGCACTGTGGCATTTGGTGGAATTATTGGGGGCGGGGTGAAAGCAGGAGATAGCAGTCAGCTTGCCTCGTAGAGCAGGCGCAGCTTGCCGGTGTTGGTCTTGGAGTCTGCGGGGTACATGAAGACTCCGCCGTAGAGCAGCGTTCGGTGCACGTCGGCCACCATGCTGCCCACGTAACGCAGACTCTTGGGGTCGCCCCCCTTTGCCGGCTGCTTGCACTCCTTCACAAACCTGCGCCATGGTGCAGGCAGATCTTTGATCACCGGATCATCTGGAAGATAGTAGTAAACAGCATGCAAGGCGCTCTGCACTGGAAGATGCCCTGGCATTATGGGGTTATAGTGCTGGAATCAAAGCACTGGCTGCACTGTGCCATTCACCGGCAGACCCGGCCTTACCTCAACAAATAGATACAAGACATGGCACAAATGACACATAAGTCACATCAAGCAGCAACACTTTCGTATGGAAAATGCGAGCGAGTTGTTCCTGGCCACAGAATCCATGCGATTGAGCCAGCTGCACCCCAAATAAGCTAGAATCTGCAGGAAAGCCACCCTCTCTGTACGAGGAGCACCTGTCTTCTTCAATAGAGGGAAAGAAAGGCAGAGAGAGACAGCAAGACTGATCAGGTGCTAACTACAAGAAACAACATGAACATGACAGGAGACTCACTGCGAGGTGGGGGCGTCCCATAGCACAGAGTTGCCCTCGTTGATGGAGTAGATCTTGCCGCTGTTAGGCACGTGGAGGGCAGGGGATAAGAGCACGAACTCTCCCAGGGAGGGGTCCAGCGTGAAATGGGTGGGGGGCCCGCCCACAGATATCACCATTGAGCAGCTGCTGCCATAGAGGCAGTAGCCAGCCGCCACCAGCTCCCGCCCGGGCTGCACAGAAGCGGTTGATGCTGCAAGGTTCAGCAAAGTCTGTAGCAGCATGTGCGTCAATTCTGACTCGAAGAAGGGGGCTTCATCAGAAGTCAGAAACAGTGCTCGAGGCAGGAAGCAGGTTGTGGGTTCACATCTGGGTACAAACGCAGGAAGGAGCGCACCCGCAAGACGTTTCTGACAGAGGCGGGTTCGTCGGCGGGCTTTTTGAAGATGCCATAGATGGTGCCGATGGACACGCCGCAGTCAATGTTGGATGAGCCGTCCAGCGGGTCAAAAACCACGCTGTAGTCACCCCCGCCCTCTATCAGAATCTCCTCATCGATTTCTTCGCTCACCTGCACAGAGCATGACCACCTTCCAATCACCTCAATATAAATTACACGATTATCATTTTCAGGCCATGCATTGCCTGCCAGAGGCAAAGTGAGTGCCTGTAGTCACATAAATTCTCCTGATAGCAACAAATGCGCCGTGTTACTTGCTGGACAATTTAATTGGACTGCAAGGGGCATGGCAAGCTCAAAATTGGATTAGAAAGAGCCTGCATGGGCAAGCATGGCAAGAAAGGGGCTTGGGTGAGAGGGGTCACACCAGAACAGAGCACTGCCCGCAGCGCTTCAGAACATTGATGAAGACTTCATTCGCCAGCACATCCAGCTTCTTCTGATCCTCTCCCTGGTGTCAACAAACAGGCGCACACTCAAACAATCTCCGTTTTTATTCCTCTCTGGAGTGCAGCGAGAAGCGGTCTTGCTGCATGACATGCAATGTGCAGCAACGCAGGCCATGCATGAGCATGACAGCATGCATGCATTGAGCAGATGGAGGCTGAGCCATCTCACCTGAACATTCCCACTGCCTGCCAGCCCCAGAATGCCGGCCAGTCCAGCCTGAAAGGGGACAAGGGCACAAAGCTCACAACTTTAGTACAGAGCTCTGTGCACAAGTTGTAAGGCCAACTTGCACATATATAAAAAGTAGAGCCGCATCAGGCTTACTTTGCGCACAGCAGACTCCACATATTTGCATGCCACGCAGATGGCGTTCAGAAGAATTGAAAGGTTTCCTCGTGCGTTGGGCGCCTGCAGCATGGTGACCAACCCAGTGAGCATTAGATAGTATATGCTTTGCATCTCGCAGATCTTTAAACATGCCAAGCAATAGAACAGTCTGACACGATATACAAGGGGATTCTTGAAGCTTGGGAAAGTGGACGATAAAGTATAGAAATAAGATCGCAAGCACCGAACGGTCACCTTGATCTGCTGCTGCGTCAATATCCATTGCGTCAATGTTATGGGATCTGTTCTCCCGATGTCTGACTCATGCATCACCATTGTTGGCGTCAAAATTGAGCCAAATTCCTCACCTAGAAATGCAAGCACTGCATCCTCGTCAGCAGGCCTTGGTACACAATATGGGAGCCCGGAAAAAATGATCTGCACTTGGTGCTTAGCAAGAAAGCACTTTATGCATCATACTGCATTGCTGTGAGGGGTCTATCCAGCTTAGCATGCACTATTTTAGCTCACCGACAATAGAGATGGCGACGAACCTCCCCAGAATATTTTGAGCGAGATTAGGACTCTTTTGCGGAAAATTACTTGTTAGCAGAAACGTACAGAAGCAGAGTTTTGCAAGTAAGTATTTTTTCAACCAAAAGTGACAGAGAAGGTGGACACAGATGGCAGTTGCAGGGTTTGGAGATAAACCCTATTCTGAAGCGAGATCCTTTGAGAATGCCGAGCGCGTGTTTGCGTTTTCACTTTGCAAAGGACTTTTCTGACCATGCTGACTGCCAGATCTATCAGCGCAGCAGGCTTTTGCCTCGCCCCGGCCCACCAGCGCACTGCCACGAAATTCAGGATCTCCACAGGTCGATGCCTTTCCTTTGCATCGGGATATTGTATCAGTCGACATGGCCAATCCTGCGTATCATGCGGCAGTATTGTGTCACTAAATCTGGTCGTGGATGTCCGCTCAAGGCAACGTCGCAGGTTCACAGAGGTTGCCATCAGCGCTGAGTGTATGAGTGCTGTGCAGGAGGCAGCAAGAGGGCAAGGCACACCACGCTTGCTGTGACAAGCAAGCTTGTTTTGGTTCCAACAGGTAATTATTCTGTTCCCTATGTGAAGATATTGATGAGTGCTATCAGATCCGAGCTCATCAGTTTCCATCATTCACCAAGCGCTGACGGCGTTTCCAGCTGAATCTGAATCCAAGGTGACTTGCTTTTATCTTTCTCTGACTGGTTTTGATGGGTGCCGGATGGTCTTGTGCAGGTGATGGCAGCACAAAACACCTGGAGGAGCCTGTAAGTCTGCCTGAGGAGATCGAACTGAAGGATGGAGTCTTTGAAGTTGGGAGGGAGGAGCCTGCCGACGTCGTGATCCCTATTCCCACAGTGTCTGGCCGCCACGCCCTTCTCAGGATCAGTGCGTCTCTCAGTTTTCCCTTCCACAGACATCATGCCGCATGTGTGCAGGCGGTTTCAAAGATGTTAACAGAGCATCATTTGTAATCATTGTTGTATGACGCGCACTTGCAAGGCAGCCGCTCCTCTCATCTTCCAGCACTCGCCCTGCCTTGATGTGTGCAATTTTCTTTCTCTAACAAGATCAGGTTGAGGGAGGATTGCAGCTCTGAGAGACGCACATGCATGTCCATGCAGCTGGCACAAAGGTGCAGGTGACAGATCTGGGGTCCACTAACGGCACCTACCTGGATGAAGAGGAGCTGCCCACAAACCGTGCAGCAGAAGTGTACGTCGGCTCCAGAATCACCTTTGGTAAGTCACCCGACAAGACTAGTCCCTGTACTTCTTGCGCTCTTAGAGAGCCCAGTCGAAAGGAGTCCTGACTCAGCTTTTGAATATTGCATATGAGCAGAGCTAGGGCTCATGCATTGTGAAGAGCCATTGTGTGCCTGCCATTTCCTCGCGCATATGGGGACATTGCTGGCGACTTCCTATGGACCCATGATAATAGATGATGCAGACATGCAAGACAATGCTGAAAAGGTAAAAGGACCTGCCTGGCATGTACATCAGCTATGTAAAGTCCTGCTGTGCTATGCAAATGCAGGTGACGCATCACTGGCCATGTTTGAGCTCGTGGAGAGGCCGGAAGATGTCACTGATGTTGCTGCGGATACAGAGCAAGAGAATGTTGTGAGCGTTTGATGCTCCCAGCAAACTGATGCATGAGAAGCTGAAGATTGTGAGGGTGAGGGGAGTGGGGAGTGGGAGCAGAACGATAGAGGAGCGGTTGATCAGATTTGTATTTACTTTTCATAGGATGCGCTTGGTGTAGCAGATGTGATCCCCTAGGCGAGGGAGTTGTTTATTGGGGGCGCTGTGACTTCCTCATTGGCTGCTTCCTTTGCAGGAAGGTTGTCTGTGTGCAGCAAGGTCTAGAAGGAACAGTTTGATCTCCTTTGTTACTGCCGCACATGGGTCCACAAAGGATTCCCTTGTCTCTTGGTTGGGGTCTTGGAGCCTGTAACATCTGCTGGCATATGCAAAGCTCAATTCTTGGCAGCTAAACTTGCTGCTGGGCTGAGGCGAGATGGCTCTGGGCTAAAAAAATGGAATGGTTTATGGCATGAAGGGACTTGCGATCATTTGATGTGTATTCATCTAGTCTCATCTGATATTCCACTGGTTATAAGCATGATCACTGATGGGCGTGCCACTCGAATGCCATCATGCAGTACCTTCAGAGCGCCAGCCTGGATTTTTCCAAACACAGAGTGGCTGGCCCTCCGGGATGGCGTCTGAGTTCTGCTTGTCCATGGGCCACAGCTGTTGCACATGATTTGCAGGACCAAATTTTCCATGGATTTAGCAGGAATGCATAGGCTCCAGGCATCAGCGTGGCCTGTCCCTTCCAGAGACCAACAGGTGGAGCCAGGGACAGCAGTTCAGCTGGGAGGCTGCTGCATGAGCGCGCATGCATGCATTCTTGGCACAGGATACAATTCCAAGGTTAGGCAGATTTGGGAATCTGTCCGCATCACGCTCGCCGAAGGCAATAAATATGCAACACTTGTGTGCCAAGATCTAGCAACTACACAGCAAACCACCGCAGCAGAACTTGGCTTTCGAGAGCGCAAAGGACACTATTCGGCCTTGTCTAGGACGTGAAACCAGGTGAGGCATCATATGGTTTTGTACCTCGTCGGGTACTTCCGTGTAGTGCGTTCAACACTCACACTCTTCAGTATCTGCAGGATGTTCGATACAGATTCGGACGCTGCCCTGATCGGCTTGGCAGACTCAAATTGGGACCCAAAGCCAGTAGCAATGCCAGAGTCAGTTTGGGCACAGATCGCCAAGTACATGTCGTTGCGTGAGTGGGCCAGAGTTTCAGGGACCTGCAAAATTACAATGACGGTCAAGCTGGAGTTTATGGAGATCACAGATCAAGTTTCCACGTCAGGTGCCTGGGTTTTCATCTTCCAAAGTTGCCATTTTTCAAACGCATGCGCACTGACTGTTGCATGCTGAGTGCAATGAACCACGTTCGTTGTGTCTGTGACCTTCATGCTCATTGTCACTGAGGGAAATTGGCATGCTGCAGGTCTCTCATGGGCATGCAAGAGGCTAGACAATGTCAGGAAGCTTCACCTGCAGAATACTGGGGCTGTAACATCCATGGCAAACTCCCATCTTCCACGGCTGAGGCTCCCTCGGCTTCAGTGGCTCGAGATCAACATGCCAGATGCCCTTGGCCAAGAAAATGCTTGGTTCACATGGTGTCTTGCGCAAGATCCAAATCTGATGGTGCTGTCATGCAGAGTCAAGAAGATGACCTGGTTTCCAGCGCTGTTCTGTTTGAAGCACCTGGATCTGAGTCTTGAGATCCTAGATGCTGCTGCTGCTGCTGTCTGCAAAGCACTTGCCTGTGTGGAAGGCATGGCAACACTTCGCCTGGCGACAGGGTATCCTGCAGGCATCTATCAAGCACGTGAGCTCCACTTGGACCATCTGGCGTCCTTGCAGACTCTTGTGCTTCAGCGCTTTTCGGCCACTGATCTGTGCCTTGGCGCAGACTGTGAGTTGTGTGTCATGGATGCTCGATTTGGCAACAGGGAGTGGGCCACTGCACCAAAGAATGTGGGTGTGGTTCGATTTGTTCCTGAGCCGTGGGTCACAGGAGCCCTCCCTGACTTTTTCTTCAGACTGTCCAACCTGCACACCGTGCACCTCTCTGTAAAGGGTGCAGGAGATCCTGACAACCTTGTGTCGCTGGAGCCTCTGGCTCATGTCAACAGGCTCTGTCTCCAGGGATAGAAGCTTTATCTCGAGGTGCCCTGCAATGTTTGTTGGGTGGATGTGTTGTTCACCTGCGGTGAACTCATGTTGGTGTTTGATGACGTGCAAGGCTTTGCAGACACGGTGCCTGAATGCTGTGTCAAATTCACAACTGCAAGGGGAGCATGGCTCGGGGATCTGTCCTCAGCCCTGAGCCGCGCAGGCATCTGCTGGGGCACTGCCGGCTCCACTCCAGCATTGACCTCCTTTTTCTATCCAGAAGAGTGGCGCAACAACTTTGTGGATTGCTACTGTGGCGCCTGCCTTGAGTGCCTGAAGCGCTGCTTGTCAGCTGATCATGTATGACCTTTGCACTTTGGTGTACGTCAGGGATGATTGTCAGACCAGTAACATGCAACGGATCCCCAGCACTTTGCGCTTGCGTGCTTGGAAATTTTGCTTGGTGTGCACTGATGGAGAGCCAGGACCTGGACGTTGAAGCATGAAGTAAAATTTTTGAATGCTGTTTGCAGATAATTATTTGAACTTGGAACAGCCTGCAAGCTCAGATTTGCAGTCCTTTGCTGTGATGAGGCAACGTCCTTTGCATGGAATCACCTGCTGTGCTTTGATTTGACCGGCTATGATTTAGTGTACCTGCTGACATCACCTGCTGTGAACGATACACAGGTGCTGTGATGTAATACCATGCATGACTCTGCTTCAGCTTATAAGTCTGTCGCTGATCTTAAGGCACGCCATGATGCTCACAGCAAGCGCAATTGCAACCGCAGTGTGTTGTTACATCTGTTCTTGGAAAGCCATGTCCTCAATCCAGGCAAGATTCGTCCAGAAAGTGCTGGAAGCTGCTGCATGCATGCAATGCTGACGTTGCACTCCGAGGTTTGGCAGATTTGCGAATCTATCCGCATCATGCTCGACAAATGCAACATTTTAGAGTTTCTGAACTTCTTCCTGTGCCAAGATGAAGACGACTATACGGCGAAGCACCAAGCTGCCTTACGGGAGCGCTTCAAAAACACTGGTTGAGCTTCTCTTCCGTCCTGCATCAACTAAAACCAGGTAATCTGCCCCTTGTGCGTTATTGGGTGTTTGCGTGCACCGTCTTCCGACACTATTGCCCATGAACAATTCTGTGAAAAATTCTGTGCCTTTTAGGATGACAGATACAGGAATGGATGGTGCCCTGAGCGGCCTGGCAGAGTCAGGCTGCAGTCGAGAGCCAGTGGCACTCCCAGAGTCGGTCTGGGCACATGTTGCCAGCTACATGTCCGTGCGTGACTGGGCGAGAGTTTCAGGGACCTGCAGAATCACAACGAAGGTCAAACTGCAAAGCATGGACCTCACAGATGGCTTTCCCAACTCAGGTGCTAGCTTTCTTCCTTGCTGCAAGCAATGACTGATGCCTGGCATTTGCAAGAGAACGTGATATCTGCCTGTGATCTTCATGCTCATGACTCACAAGCAATCACTTACAGGAAGACATGCTGCAGGTCTCATGTGGGCATGCAAGAGGCTAGGCCCTGTCAGGAAGCTTCATCTGCTGGACTCCAGAAATGTGATATCCATGGCGGACTGTCACCTTCCACGCATGAGGCTCACTCGTCTGCAGTGGATTGTGATCACCCTGCCAGAGGCCGCTGCCAACAAGAATGCTTGGTTTACATGGTTTCTTGCACAAGCCCCCAACCTGATGGTTCTTTCGTGCAAGTATATTTCAGGGGCTTGGTTCCCTCCTCTGTTTCATGTGAAGCACCTAGATTTGACTGTCAAGACTCAGTCTGCTGCAGTGGCTTGCGGCGCACTGGCCTGTGCAGAAGGCTTGGTAACACTGCGCCTTGCAGCAGAGCCCCTTGCAGGCTCCATTCGCGTACCTGAGCTTCATTTGGGCTGTGTTGACACCCTGCAGACTCTTGTCCTTGACAAATTCTGGCCAGCTGATTTGCAGCTGCCTGAATGCTGCAACCTGGGTGTATATGGCGCTATCTTTCCCTCACAGGGGTGGGACATTCCTCCGGAATACTTCCACATGATCAGCCTCTATACCGGTCAGTTGGTCTCTAGAGCCTTTCCTGACCTTTTCCCAAGGATGTGCAACCTGGACACCTTGATTGTCTATGTCCCAGGAGCAGGATATCCTAGGAACCTTGTGTGTCTAGAACCCCTGGCTCATGTGCGCAGGCTTTACCTCCGAGGAGAAAAGCTCTATCTAAAAATTCCAGGCAGAGTCTCTTGGGTCCATTTGGTGGTCACTTGCACTTCGCAAGAGCAGCTCATGCTGGCTTTTGATGATGTGCATGGCTTTGCAAGCACAGTGCACGAATGCTGTCTTTCTTTTGCATCTTTGAGAGGAGCGTGGCTAGCAGATCTGTGCTCAGCATTGAGCAGCAAGGGTGTGGGTTGGAGCACGGTCTCATATTCAGGAACCAGTACATTCCAGTATCCTGCAGTGTGTTGCATCAATTCCACGGACTGCATCTGCGGAGCTTGCATCGAGTGCCTGGAACGCTGCTTACCAGATGACCGTGCATGACAGTGTTCAAATATAGGTCAGGGTCTGTACCTAGTACTCAATGCCTTGAACGGTTACATTAATGCTCAGTGTCATGTGCATACACGTGTAGTACAATCTCTATGCGGATGCAGATATCTTCTCAACCTTGCAGAAAGTTCGTCTGTGCCTTAGTCTACACAGGCTACTGGCAATAGGTTTGTCTCTGCAAACTCTGCAAACATTGAATGTACATGCATGTGGCGCCACTGGATGGCATGTGAAGTTTATCTTGAGACAGGCTACAGCTGTCCAGCAAATAGCACATAGCTTACAAAAGCACTCCTTTGCGTGGAAGCGATCTACCAATCTCTGGAGTCTTTGCCACAGCATTTAGAACTATTCCTTCATGAGACCTACATGTGAAGGCTGCTGCATGCATGCAATCTCGGCTCTGCCAGGCTGGCTAAGATAAGTCCAAGGCAGATGCGGAAATCTGTCCGCGTCATGCTTTATACTTGGAGACTTCAAGTGCCTGCCAGGCCAAATATAACTAGTGTGGTACGCACATGGGGATTGGGAGGGCAATGGCAGACTGCCATTGGCAGTTCAGATTTCAAATCTGAGATTTGAGAACTTGGGAATATGGGCAGGCCATAACACATTGGGGCACCCTTCAGTATTGGGCGTACTAATCAATTGTTGAGCTGCAACTTGCTTGCAGCCTGCAAGCCACCAAAGCTGTCCTTGGCTTTCGTGTGTGCATGTCGATATCAACACTCCTTTTCACCTACTAGTGATCCTCGCGGCCCTTTTCCTCCGTCTGATGAGGTAAGCTCGAAAACATTTTGCTGCAACCTCGGTGTTTGCGTGCACAGCCTGCAGATATTCTTCTTCACAGCGCTATAACTTTGCAGGTTTTCCGCAACAGAGTCGGATGCTGTCGAGAATGCTCTGGCAGACTTGCCTCCAGACTCAGACTCTGGTCCAGAGCCTGTGCGATTGCCAGAGTCGGTGTGGGCACAGATAGCCAGCTACATATCGTTGCGTGACTGGGCCAGAGCTTCAGGGACCTGCAGAATCACGACGAGGGTCAAGCTGGCAACGATGATTATCACCAAGGGTTATCCCAGATCAGGTGCTGTGCTGAAAACAGGCTACTTTGCATTCTTTATTATTGTTACACGCTTTTCTGCCAGAGGCAAGCTGCGTCAGCAGACAAGCTGCAGTAAAGGCTGCCAGAATCCTACCCCTCTCGCCAGATTCGAGCAAGACCCAACCAACCGTGGGCACGGTGCTCAGTATTTATAACGGCCCCCGCGAGCCGGGGCCAAATGCATTCTTCAGTGCCTGACAAATGTTGCAACCGCATGAAGGGAGATTGAAAAGCCCAGGGTGAAAGGCAAAATTATGCTGCAGGTATCCTGTGGGCCTGCAAGAGGCTGAACAGTGTCAAGGAGCTCCAAGTGTGGGAGGGGGCTGCTGTGAGATGGATGGCAGACACTCATAAGCCACAGCTGCCACTCCATTGCCTGCGATGGCTTGAGGTCAACATAACAGAAATTCTTGGCCGAGACAACGCATGCTTTGCATGGCTTCTTGCGCATGCTCCTGCCCTCACAGTGCTTTCATGTACGGTGGGCACAATGTCCTGGTTGCCACCGTTAGTCCACCTGAAGCACCTCGATCTGACTCTCAGCGGTGCAGCTGGAGATGTCTGTGCAGGCCTCACCTCTGCAAAGAGTTTGGTGACTCTCCGCCTGGCTGCAAAGAATCTCCGCAGTGCGGGCGTCGTCAAAGTGCCTAAGCTGCACTTGGGCCATTTGAGTGCCTTGCAGACTCTTGTGCTGCATGGCGTATCGCCAACTGAACTGAGCTTGTCGAAAGAGTGCTTATTGTCTGTCAAGCATGCTATGTTTGACAGCAAGGAGTGGGACAGTGCTCCGAGGAATGTGCACATAATTCACACTTGTGCTCTGCCGAGGGTCAGCACAGCTCTCCCAGTTTTTTTCTTAAACTTGTGCAACCTGCACACCGTGCTCCTCTTTGTCAAGAATGAGGCAGGAGATGTCAGGAACTTGGTGTCTCTAGGACCCCTGGCTCATGTGCGTAGGCTGTACGTACAAGCGAAAAATCTCTATCTCAAGATTCCCAGCAAAGTGTGTTGGCAGGAACTCATGGTCAATTGTGTCCCACCAGGAGAATTGATGCTGTCCTTTGATAACGTGCAGGCCTTTGCAAGCACAGTTTCCCAATGCTGTATCTATTACCCAACCTTAAGGGGCTTTTGGTGTGCAGATCTGTGCTCAGCATTGAGCGGCATGGGCATCTCTTGGAGCACAGAAGGCTCAACTGCAGACAAGACCAATGTGTACTTTCCTAAATCGTGTGCAATCAACTTTAGAGATTGCTCTTGCGGCGGTTGCCTTGAGTGTCTGAAGCGCTCCTTGTCAGATGATCATGCATGATCGTTCGGAGTATTGAGCCTCTGCCAGTGTGTGGTACAGATACCTAAAAGGATGGCCTTGAATGCATGGATGCAATGATGCTCGGCGTGCAGGAATGAACTTCCAGACCCAGGACAGAGCAGCACTTCGCAAATTTGAGTACACAGATCGATATATGGAGAAAATGCTAAAACTAATTCCAGACCTTGATACGGCAGGTTCCGTTGCATGCAGCTGGTATGCCAATGCCTGTGCCAATGATCAAGTTCACAGCATGCAGGAGCACACAACACTTCCCTTACAGCTGTCAATGATCATGCGGCACCCCAGGCCAATCTTTAGCAAGCGCTATTGCAACCACAGTCTTGTTCATCCGTTTTCATAAAGCCAGGCCCCCAATACAGGCAGAAATGCTCCAGAGATTACTGGTAGCAGCGCATTGTTCGCACTGCTGTAAGGCAAGCACTGAAGAGGTTCAGTCTGCAGCAGTCTGCACATTGTTGCAGTGGCAGCTCCAAACCTCTGACTAGCATGGGATACAAAGGAGTATGGAAGACCCCCTGGCTGATAGCAGCCGATGCATTTTGCAGATGCCGCAGTGGCAGCCTTCAACCTAAATTCATTTTGAAATACCGAAGCATACTGACAGCAGCCGATACACCCCTAGTAGGTGATGACTATTTCCCTGCCCCCCGCCATCTCATACACCATGTCCAGCGCCTCTGTCAGGGCAACCTGCCCAAAGCGCCCAATGTAGTTGGCATTCACCTTCAACTCCCTGGGAGCGCGCTCCGGGTTTGCCTTCAGCGCCTGTTCACACGGCAGCCACCAGCCTGTCAACAAGGCATGGTGCAAAGCCAATCGCAGAACAAACGGTGCAGAACGAATAGGAGCTCCAGCAACTTGTGGAGGAAAGGCCAGTCCATGTCAAAAAAAGCCAAAAATCAGAGTTCCGTGTGAGCTTCATTACATGCCTTCATCAGTTGTAGGTGACACTATTAGTTGGAAGCCACATGCGCCGTGTCCATCTCCCGGCTAGCACGAAATAATAAATTAAATTGAGGACTCTTTTACAAACTTAAGAGGGTTCAGCAAAGCGCCTGAGCGAGTGTGCACGCACCCTCGTCCTTGATTCAATTGCAGCCCATAGTCAATCCTGCCAACTTGTCGTTGCAGATTGCCATCTGCAATGACCAAATTGACTTGCAAAAAACCAGAGAGTGGGGTCCGGGGGCGCGCCTGAGCGAGAGTGCAGGCGCCCTCGTCTTTGATCTCGTTGTAGCCCAGGTCCAGCTCCGTCAGCTTGTCATTGGTGTGCTCCTTTAGCGAGCGCGCAATCTGCGCCGCCCCCGCGTTGCCGAGGCCGTTGCCGCGCAGATCGAGCACGGCGATCGAGTTGTTGAACATGAGTAAGTCCGCCACCGCCTTGGCGCCCGCGTCGGCGCCCACGTGGCACCACCCCATCTTCAGAGTCTCCACCTGCAGTGAGAGACATAACTTGAGACATGTCTGCCAGCCAACAAGGCTCAATCAAATTTTTGAGTTCTTGCAGACCACGCTGAATTTGTGCGGAGATCGAGCAGCTGTCGGAGGTTTCGTTTGTGCCGTCCTCTGGCATCCAAGACCCAAAAAGACGCTGTTGGAGCCTTCACGCCACCAGCCTTTACATGGCAAGGTGAACAGGTGACAAGGCTAAACAGAGCCAGCGGTCGTGAAGCAGTTGAGGGACTCAGCCCACAAAGCTGCAGACAGCTGGCGTCAAGGACATGACTGTATTGGCCAACTGAGGGAATAGAATAGCGGGAGGACACACCTTGAGGTCGTACTTGACCACGTCAGCGAGTGCGAGGGCGCCCTTGTCGCCAATAGGGTTGTACCCCAGCTCCAGCGTGCGCAGCGTGTCATTCCCCCTGAAGCAGGAGAATCACTTTAAGGTGATGTTAAATTTACATGCATCCTGGCAAACAAGATCAGAAGGTCCGCCTGCCCACTGCTGCATGCATCACCCAGCAGGGCCTATCTCAGGAGCCTCGATCTGGAGGCAGATGTTGTTTAGAGCCGGTGGGGGGCGTCTAGGTGCAAAGGTCTTTTGTTCTTCCCCACTATAGGCTCAATAGTTTGTGGCTGTAACCACACTGAGGCCTCTTTGCACGAGGATTGTCATCTGATGGGATACACAGCAGGGGCCTCTTTCCACCTGTGCAAGAGCTGTTCATCAGCAATGCAGTGCATCTTACACACAGGGCGGAAGAGGTGCATGCGTGGACTCTTGCATCCTACACATCAGCACCCCATAAGAGCCCTCTCTGATTTATAGGAGACAACAGTAGGTGCGGTATAAATACTCAGCATCATGCCCACGGTTGACTGGGTCTTGCTTAAATCTGACAAGTCCACCAAGGAGTGGGATTTGGTAGCCTTTACATGCAGCTTGTCAGCAGACACACCTTGCCTCTGGCGGAAAAGCGCTGATGATGAAAATTCGTGGGGAGGGACAATTCTGACCAGGATGCATGCATTTGAGTGCATAGAAGTGGTCGGATGTCAACCTGAGCGCTCCGGCGAGGGCGGTGATGCCATCGGGGCCGACGTTGTTGCCGCCCACATCCAGGCTCACCAGGCTGCTGTCGCCCTCCAGTGCCTTCGCCAGCTGTGCGGCCAATCAGCGCTGAGTCATTTCTCCATTTCAATCTTTCAAATTGACACCCCATTGAGCTCCCAGGTCTACTGCGTCTCAGTTCAAGTGGCAACATTTTGCAACGGATCCCCGTCACAAGAAGCATGAACAGGCAGGTAACTTCTTGCCACAAACTTCACATGCAGCTTAGTAATGTTTCCATTGAAATTGTGTGATTTCAGATCATTTGGGTATTTCATCAATTGACCTTTCATTGCAGCGTGCCCCTGTTCTTCTTTGTCAAGCTCATGCTGATATACTCCTGCTGCGGTCCTGGACTCAGCCAAAGTGATTTGCAAATATTTCATAATCTGTTGATCAGGAAATTGATGATAGGACTGAAAAAACTAGCGCTCACCTTGAAGATGCCAGCGTCGCCGATGTCGTTCATGTAGAGGTTGAGTTCCTTGAGGTGCGCCTTATCCGCCACCCTGGCAATCGCCTCTGCCCCCTCCTCTGTCAGACTGCACAACCAAACACCACACGCCTTCATCCACCCCTGTGCGCAGCCCCCGAGTTCTCCTCACCGCCCTTTTCAGTGCATTGTACCCCCCTTGCTAGCGCTTACCAGGGGGCCAGAACTTAGTGTCAGTTGTAGATCCCCCTGTGCTCGGAGCTCTTGAGGAAGCCACAGCTGTGTTGAAGACTCTGGCCAAACATGCTGCTGCCGATGCATTTCTGCGTCGATCAAACAAGCAGCAAAAATAGACATTTTGGCTCACATACGGGGAATAATAGATAGGCCAGCTAGTCACAAGTGAGGACCACGCCAACTGAGTTTCGTGGGAAGCACAAGTATGCCAGTACAAATGACCAAAAGCCTGCCTCAAACTTATGCAGCAAAGTGAAGTGAACAGGGGTCCCTGGTGCCAGGTGGAGCTGTCACGCAGACATGCAAGCCAGGATGCGAATGGCAAACAGGTGATCAGCGCGTGCGGCAGGGCAAGGCCAGGGGAGTCAACCTGTTGTTGCCAAAGTCCAGGGAGGTGACGGGGCTCTGGCGTTCGATGAGGGCCTCGCAGATGGCGCGCACGCCCTCGTTGCCCAGCTCGTTGCCCTTCATGTGCAGCTCGCGCAGGCTCTTGTTCTTCTTCAGTGCGTTCGCCAGCACCGACGCCCCAAGCGCCCCAATGTAGTTGTCACTGCGCGCGATTGAGTTCGAATTCGAATTTAAATTCAAACGCATTCAAACTTGGAATCAAATCCGCGGTGTTCTGCAAGAATGATACACGTATGTGTCCTGCATTTATGTCCCATACATGTGTGTGAGAATTAGCTGAATACCATGCAGCAGCGTCTGATCAGGCCTGGTGGCTTGTAACATGATTATCCGATGCGACTTGATCACTGTTGTATGCACAAGTAGGCGCGAAAACATGAAAGTAGCAGAAAGTGCAACCAGTAGCCACCAGGCAAGTAACAGCCACAGGCTCTCACTGCTCTACTCTGCACCCGTCTTCCACACCCAAGGATTTTTTATTGCATTGTTATGTTCTGTAAAAAATGGCAGGCTGCCTGGATGCACTGCTAATTAGCTCACCTGAGGTGCAATGCAGAGAGCGAGGTGTTCTCTGTGATGGCCTCTGCCAGTGCCAGGGCACCGTCGTAGTCTATGTTGTTGCTGTTCAGCTCCAGAGATGTCAGCGTTGTGTTCATCTGCAACAAAGGAGCACTCCATGTGGTATCATGTGCACACGCATGTGAAAGTTCTGTGATGTTCTTATGACCAGGTGTGAAAAGAATTTGTTCTGCAATCTCCTTGGTGGCATGTTCACACAGAGAATTCAATTGTCCAGGGATGACCTTGTGACCAAATGGAAAAAGGGGCTTGTTTTGGAATCACCTTGAGCATCTCTGCTAAGAGTGTGGCCCCCTTGTCCCCAACATTGTTGCCGCTGAGATTCAATCTCCTGATCGTTGAGTCACCTGTTGCCACCAACAGAGGAGTCTGAATCCCATGCATCCCCACAGCAACAAGCAAGAAAAGGAAGGAATCGTTGTATTCATGCCCTTTTAAGAAGGTGGGCTGCCCCCCAATCACTTCCCCATGCGTTCCGACAGTAATCAGCAAGCATACACCAGGAACAGCTGTTTATACGCCAATGTTTTTAGGGTTAATATGCCAAATTGAAACAAGGTATGCCAATATCAAGGAGGGGAGATGTGCCCACCAGTGAGGTGTTTGGCCAGAACCTCTGCGCCCTCATCGCCGATAGAGTTGGTGTCCAGGACGAGCGTCTGCAGAACATCATTGTGTGACAGCGCATCTGTCACTGCTGTGATCCCCTTCACACCGATGCCGTTTTTGCTGAGGTCCGCCGCCACACACCTGCACATGCCAGCATGCCATCAGCATGACTGCATTGAACACAGCCAAGACTTGTGCAACCTGGTGTGGCAGAGCCTATACTGCAAAATGCCCCATCGAATCAGTATCAATTATGTTGAGTCAGCAGTTAAAAAAAAAAAAAAAAAAAAAACAAGAGTTTTGGGGGCTTGTTCAGCCGATCATGAGGTCTTGCAAGCGACCCATTTAGTTTTTGAGTCATAAAAGATGTGCAGATACAGCTCTTCACCCTCTTCAGTGTGTCATCATAAAGTCCTGCAAAAGATCTCCATCTATGAGATTTATCAGAGGGAGGCGCTGACCTGTCATTGAAGGCAAAGCCCTCGGATATGAAGATGCACCCCTCCTCGCCCAGGTTCTTGGCAGACAGGTCGGCATTCTGGCTGTTGCGCAGCTCATCTATCATCACATTCAGCCTCTGCACCGCCTCCTTCTGCAGCTGCTTCTGCTCCATTGCCTGTGCAACCACAAAAAATTAAGACTCCATCCTGTCAGCATCCATGCCGCTGTGTTGCCCAAGACCACCTTGGCATGGCAGCTGTGAAAAGTCACACCTCTGCCACGTTAAAGGATTGGAAATTCCTTGGTACCGCTAATGTTGAGCAGTTGTTGCTACACACAAAGGGGCGCTCATGCAAAGTTGGGAAGGCTGAGTAGGACTTCATCGCAAGGCCGAGCCAGCAGAGCGTGATCGCCAAGAGGAAGAAGCTGCTCACTTTCTGGACCTTGGGCAGCTGGGTGGACATGAGTTTCCGGCCGACATAGTACGCGGCCGCCATCACCCCTAGGGCGCCCACGCCAATCAGCCCGATGCGCACGCCCTCGCTCATCCCCGGCCGCTGCTCCTGCACCACCGGTAGCAGCTGCTGCACGCTCTTTCGTTTCCGTCGCCGCCGCGGCGCCGCCGCCGCAGCCTGCTCCATTGTTTCCCTCGCCGCTGCACGCACAAAATGTAAACTAGAGTGGTCTTCACGGAGGCTCCAGTTTAGATACTATCAGTCTGTATGCTTCATCTACCTGTGATTTTTCCGTTATTTTGAGCTGCCCAGCTTCTATTCTGCAGCTTAATTTGCATTTGGGCAGGCCATAACAACGATGGCCCCATATTCTCAGGTGCTCCTCTAGATTGGGCGGACTATTTAATCTCTGGCCTTCAATCACCAGGTGACCTCAATCTAATTATTTTACTCTGTGTTGTGATAGGGTGCTCCATCTAGAAGCAGCTGGCTGCTTCGAGTCCTGTGAAATATGAGGTCCACAGTCCCCTGTTGAGATCACAGAGGCACACACTGCCAGAGCCACCGTTGGTGATCAAATACCACCGATGAGTCTGTGTCACATCACTGAATAGCCTCTGGCAGCTGCCCTAGCCCCTGAAACAGTTGATGCTCTGTGTGCATGCTGCATGGGGCTGATCATGAGAGGAAGTGGTACACATCTCCTCACATGTCTGTGCAAGTTCGCTGTTGATCCCCGCCACGCCCTCCTCCACCTGTTCTGTCAGCCGCTCCTCCAAAGCATCCCCCTCCAAAGGCGATGCCTCCGCCTCAATTCTCCATCCCTCTCCGCGCTCTGTCACCTCTTGCTCTTCTTCGGGCGCTGCTTTACAGCACGTGCTCAATTGCACCCGCCTGCACGCAGCTCTTCCCCGTCAAGAGACTGAGCTCAAAGCCTTCAGGAAGGAGACACTGCTGCCCTTAATAATAAACGTGCTGCTTTGCATGCAGACTTAGGACTTCCTTGCAAGTACGGGACTTTTAAGCAGACGTTTGCAGTACGTCAAGATGTTCTCTTAGGTTGCTCCAGTGTGCCTGAGGGGAGGACACACCTGCCAACTGATGTGCCATGTCGCAATAACAGTGATCTTCTGTGTTCTCCATTTCTGTGTCCTAGAGATCTGCCTGTTTGCAATCTTGAAAAGAACACCTGGGTCCTGCCATTGCCCTTCATAGAGCACACAGAAGTATTGGCCAGAGCCATCGTCATCAAGATATCAAGAACTGTCGAAGAGTCTTAGTTTTTGCAATACTCTGTCATGGTAGTGAACAAAGTATGACACTGTTGTTGCCCTGTTGAATTTGCTGATTGAATGACCTCCAAGATTTGGATGATCGATCAAGCTGTCCTGTTTCCATCACTTGGGATTATGACCTGCCAACCGCTTATCCAGACATGATCTTTCTGAATTTCGCAATATCAAAACGACTTTGTGGATGCTCATCACAAGCATAAAATTGAATAAGATTTAGCTTTTTATTTAGTACAAGTATTAAGATGCAGAGCGCTATGCAAAGAAGCGTTTCTCATATTTCTGCGATGTGCAGTTGCAGCAGAAGTGCTGCTGTTCATTTTGTGACACCCCCGGTCTCTTCTGCAAACGTGCAAATTATGCTTTTGAGAGTGCCTATTGCAAGGACTAGTGCTGCACACCTTTTCAGCAGCAGGCATACACACCTGCGCAACAGGTTGCAAACAGCGATACAGATGAGTGCAACTTCAGACTACGGCGCCAATTGGGGGGAGGCTCCTGAGTCTTTTCTGGTTCTGGTACGTTTGTACATCCTTACTGCTCGCTCCTTCTCACTTGATATGCGGCTAGTCCCAGTATCTCGGTGTTCGATAAGATTTTATTTACCCACAAAATGCCCTGCAGGGCCTTGCTCATTGCTTTGAGAAAGACGACAACGGAAAGCTGGTGGATCGGTTTGTCATCGAGCCCATCTCAGCAAACTCCCTGGAGGTGAGGCTCACTTCTGCACCTGCATCGAGGCCCCAGTCAAGTGATCCTGCACCCGCTCGTAGACAAGTCACTGTACCCATGCATGTTTGCATGCTGAGGATGGGATGTGGGTGCTGGCAGTGCATGGCAACGGGCGCCAAGACTTGCTTCAAGGAGGTGAAGAGCGTGACATTTGGCGACGCAATGGCCCGCGACAGATCAGTCTTGCCAGAGGAATGGGCCAGCGCCTCTTTCTGCGATGAGTACGACTTCCGCTGCGGCGCATGTGCTCGCACATGGTCCCGCCCGCACGCACAGGACAACCTCATGTGCGCCTCTATGCAGCCCCCTTCTTGGATGTTGCTAACTTGCATTGCTGTTCTTACTTGCTGCCTTCCTGCCTGGGCTGCAGCCTATTGTATATGCCTTACCATCCACTCTGCAAGGTACTGATAAGGATCTGCAATGATCAGACCACATTTTACTGATCTGAGCCACCTGTGAGAGAGGTGCTAACGCATACTTTTTTTGATCATGTCAGACTCTGTCTCGGGGAGATGGAAGACATCGGAAGAAATTGCCAGCGCCAAGTAGGGAGAAATGCTGCCTTTTGTCATTACTATTTTGTCATTACCTGATGATTGGTAATTTTTGGCAGGGACATTGTACCGCTGGGCCGCACAAAGAACAACTTCAACTACAACCTGGACGAGAAGCGGGTGCTCAACTTTGAGAACGTGGTGAACGACGATGACAACATCAAGCAGGACATCAGCATTGACGTCTACGGCCGCGCAGAGAAGGAGGAGGGCGCTGATGCCGAGTCAGAGGCACCAGCAGCAAAGGAAGAGGTCAGTTGCTGTCCCTTACACCCATCTGTTAGCTGCAAATGTCTCTTACTGTCTTCTGGAATGGTCTTCCCCCTCGCAGAAGAGGACAATTCTGCATGCTCTCATATTGGCCAATTGCTCTGGCCTTCTCCCTGGCACAGGCCATCCTGAATGCTCTCTGGATGGTCTCCTGCCTTGGGCCGGCAATTTTGAATCCTCCTATATCAACCATTGAGTGCGCATGCAATGCAGCTGCAGTGTTTGCAAGGTGGTGCCGCGTGTTAAGAAAGATTAGCTGAATTTTGATGTGCATGACTTGCAGGAAGAGGAGCTGGACTCCCTCCTAGCAGCTTAATGGGGATATCCTAGGGACAAGCGATTCAGTTGACAGGCTTCTTAGTCAAGCTGCCAAGGAGACAGGCTGTGACTAAAGCTGTTAAAGCAGAACTTGAACTGCAGGTTAGGCGTGGAGAAGATCAGAATGTATGTATTTGACATGTGCAGCAAGACATGTTTGCTTCTGATACACATATGTACCCTTATGACTCCAGTCTGGCTGATGTTGAGCATTTTACATGCTATCCAAGCTCGTATCAGTGGTTTGACTCTGCAATAATGACTTCTGATGTACACTGTGGCGACTATTTGATTTTTGCATTCTGTTGTGTTGATCCATTTGTAGAAAATATCATCATCATCATCATCATCACATCATGGCACCATTACAAGCTAGCCAGACAATGCATGATGCATACAAAAGTTGCCCGGGACAAGAAGCTTCTTGGGAGCTCCCAAAATGCCGGAAGCTGCAGCATGCCTTTGACTTCAACAGGAAGCTGACCAGGGTCATACCGTATCATACGATACGGTATAGATGATGTAGAGCGCGCCCCGTGGTTTCTTTATAATTTCTAATTTGGTGGGGCTTAATTAAGTGCAAGAAAACATGTCTGGCACTGCCGTGGCAAAGTAAAGGGTGCATTCTAAGGAAGGGGTTCTATTTCATGAGCAAGAAGGTGGGCACTTATGCTGCGGCAAGGAGCCTGCACGCATGCATGAGGACCTGCAGCCTAGGCTAGCCAGCGCCGTGCAGCCGATTGAGATTGATCTTGCTGCCATCCAAAATGCTGTGTTATCCATATGGTTGGAAGGTCTATACAGTGCGTGCAAGTGCATGCATATATACTGATAAATCCCATTGACATGAACTCCTTTAAATGGGGACAATCCTAAACTGCAGAAATTGATCAACTCATGAACCCAACTCACAAGTCAGGCCCTTCATCAATGCATGCTCAAAACAAACACGATCCAATACTCCTTTCCACACACGTTGTCCCCGGCCCAAGTGGGCGCCCGGTGTGCTCTTGATTTTCAAAAAATAAAAGTTCTTTATTTCCCTTGCAATTGCACACTACGATGACCCTCAACATTTCCCAATATGAAGATGTGAGGTATCAGTGATTGCGACAAAGCCAATGGGCAGATTGCAAACGGCGGGCTTCTAGTCACAAGCACAATGCAGCGAGTGAGGTCAACCACACGATTGAAAAAAAAAACAGGACACAATGGTGAACCTGCATTTGCGCCAACGTGCGCGATCCAAAGAAACGATCTCCAACTTGTAATTCGGTTGGTATCGTGGATGAAGTGACTCTGCCTAGTCAAGAGCATACACTAGGACAGCTGCTACCAAAAAAGAAGGGACCACACAATGCAGGGCCCCGAACACAAAATAAGTAAACAGATTAAACCATTTCTCAATGAGCCACCCGGGTCTAGAATTCTGGAAAGGGCTTGTGTGGTCTTCAACCAGCACGGCAGCATTTCCTGGTCACTCTCTGGTGGTAAATTCGAGTGCTGTGCACCAGCACTAATGCGTGGCAGCGTGAGGCTTCAGGCCTCCAGCTTCTGCTCCTTGAGGCCAGCCACAGCTGGGGTGTTGTTTTCTGCCGCCATGTCCTCAATGGCAGGATTCACCTGTGGAGAACAAACACAAATCTGTGAGGAATTGTCAGCTAAAAACAATCCTCTGGAGTCATGAAGGTTTATACCCCAGCCTTGTATAGCGGATCCACATCAGCAGATCTAGATATCGCAGGGCTGTCTTTGTTGTCATTATAGGGACACAAATGCTATCTCCACTCTGCACACTGGCCCAACACAGCTGCAGGTTCATGACTGCTCACAGTGCCTCCGCTACACGTACTAGTGAATCATGTAACTACCGCAGGTTCGACAGAGCGTGCGGATTTTCTGTGGGATTGAAGATTACAAATGAGCATGGCGACATGGGCACGGCCTCAGCATGCGGCAGAATCCAATATCCGGCTCAAATCCAAAATGGGCTGCAGACAATGGAAGGCTGAAGCACACACCTGCTCGATGCCGCAGCTGGAGAGCATCTGGCCGAAGTGGGATTTGGAGTGGAGCGCAGCGTCTTCCAGGTGCATGCCCTTGGTCTCAGGAACAAAGATTGTGCAGCAAAGGCCTGCAGCAAGTTGAACTTGCACGTCAATATATGTCACAACTAACGAATGCATGCATGCATGCCTGCATGCCTGCCTGCCCCTAACCAGGAAATTCATTACTAGGCCTGCGCAAGTCAGATCTCAGCATGCACCCTACTCCCTTCACAAGGGAGAACGCAACATGTCAGATTCTGGCTGACCCCATGCTCTGTAGGTCCCTGGCCTCCACTGCAGAAATGCATGACCAGGAGTCCAGCAACAAGTGAGCACAGGCAATAATCTGAATGCACAAGAGCTGGGTAGAGTACGGATGAAGTAGTCATGGACAACGTTATTGTCCATTGATGCATCGTAGTTTCAGAGGCGTTGAGCTCACGAAAAAGCACTAATAGGCAAAAATATTGCTGGCACGCTTCAAAGGGCATGGCTTACCCAGGAAGTTTGTGGCTGCCAGGATTGCAAGCGTTGTTGAAATACCGGCAGAAAGGAAGAGCTGTCCAAATCCGAATGCTCCCACAATAGCGCCAGCTTTACCTGCAATCACACACACACAAATTTCCTCATCTCCGTTATGATGATAGCCAGGAGACTGTGCAAATGGCCTGATCTTCCTGCATAGATGCCGTGCCAATGATTACCTACATCAGAACAAGAAAAGCGCAATTGTAGGCTGCAAAAGTCAAGTTGCAGGTGGCCAAAAGTGGCACGTCGGCTTATTTTGACTTGCACTGCAACATTAGGTGGTGATCGGGGAACAGCTCTTTGGACTACAGTACTCCCTTACACAAGCTAGCATGTACAACCCACTGCTGAGCCTACTGAGTCAACAAATAAGCAAGAAGACTCCAATATCACTTCATGTTAGACCTCATCATGTTTCCTCTGAGAACCTCAAGAATGACATTGACATGTCTTGCACGCCTAAACCTTCACCAGCCTTTGCCATACGCAGCAGTCAAGTACCATTACCAGACTGAGTAGGAGCGAATGTTTCCTTTGCCCTTTCAAAGTGCAGAGCAACAAGAGTTGTGATGACTCACAGCAAGCTGCAGAGATATTTCTTTCGCTCTTTAAGGAAAACGATAGATTATCTGGAGGGGTGATGACTCACCGCAGGCTGCAGAGATGCCGTGCAGAGTGGAGCGGTACTTGGTTGTGAAGAGCTCCACAGGGGTGACGAAGGTGGTTGCATTGGGGCCAAAATTGGCAAAGAAGAACGTCAGGGCATACATCACAATGAAGAGCCAGACAGACACTGCCTTGATCTGGGTAATGGCTGCTGCCAGGATGATCAGAATGACGGTCATGATGGTGAAACCTGGAGGCACGCACACAAGTAAGGTGTCAGCTGAGTGCACAATCCTTAGAACCTCTTTTTCTAAGGCATTGGCAGAAGTGAGACACTTCTACTACCAGTATTTGCGGCATAAAAGTTAGCTGCAGGAAACACAAGTGGCATTATCCACTTTCGGTTCCGACAAGGAAGGGCCGTTTCTGAGAAGAAAACCCCAAGACAGCCATGCTTCATGAGCTGTGTGCCATGCGGCATTCTGTGCAAAATAATGGCATATGAAATGAAACATGTCGATTCTGAAGTGGCGCACAACATGCACGCCCGTTCGTATGCTCAAGAACGCCATGCATCCACTGGGCATTCAGGAACAAGCAAGCAAGCAAAGAAGCCTAAACTCTCACGAAAAGGTAGCATAATGCAGCCTCTTCTTGTGAGCATCATGCCAATCTGCATGTGCAAAGTACCAGAACCAAACACATGTTAGAAAAGGGGCCTCACCCATGTATTGGATCCTGACACGGCCGATAGTGTCAATAAAGGCGACGGTGAACCAGTAGCCGGGAACGGTGCCGAGGCATGCGGTGATAGCGTTGCCTGCCGCGGTCTTGAACATCTTGTCATACACTTGCTCTGCGCACTTGCCGGTACAGGTGTAGTTGCCTCCAAAGGGAGGGATCTGCACATGCATGCAGCAGTCAGAAGGGATTGCAGCTGAAACTAACACTATGCACATTAACCTTGCCAGGTACATTGCCCGCAAAGGGGGGGAATGTGTGCATGCATGCAGGCTGCATGAGGGAATGTTGTAAAAGCTGCATCAGTGACAAGAATTCACTGATCTGGGCATGCAGAACATTGGTTGAAGTAACAGCGCAGTACAAACACAGAGCACCCGTGCCCACGGTTGATAAAGAGTTTTGCTTTTATCTGGCGAGTCCAACATCTAAAAGGCTCTTGGCAGCCTTTGACCTCAGCCTCTGTGCGGTTGCACCTTGCCTCTGGCAGGAACAGCGTGTAAATCTAAGCCTCAAAGAAATTCTGATGTTATAAAGAGGTGGGGGGCTGTACCGGGAGGTTGTACTGGGGGCAGTTGTGCGCCTTGACACACTTGGCAGCGGGCAGGTTGATGCTGGGGTTGTAGCCGATGCCCTCGAGGATGTTGGGCAGGAAGAGGTTCTGGGAGTAGAAGGCAATGTCCAGCAGGAACCAGGTGGAGGCAGTTCCAAAGAGCACCCAGAGGTTCCTGCGATGGCCCAAATGGATTCAATCAGCCATTTGAATTTGAAGTTGAAGCTGAAGTTGATAATATTTCGCCAAGACTATGGTATGCAAGAATATGGAAGTTGAGCGAAATGAAGGAAGAAAGAGAGTAGAGAAAGGGACCTGTAGACTGGGACCCTCTACTTCTTGCAGAACCGGGGTAAGTATACGTACACAGGCCTGGCTTGGTCAATTATTGCCCTTTTATAACAAGCTGTTCCTGCCAGAGGCAAGGGGTCTTGTCTCCGTCTGCAGGCAAGCTGCAGGTGAAGGCTGCCGGGATCCTTCCCCTTGCTGTACTCAACAGATTCAAGCAAGGCCCTACCGCAGGCTTGGTGCTCAGCATTTTCACCGCCCCCCGCCTACCGGGCGTCGGTCGATGGGCATCAAGAGACATATTTGAATTTGAAATTAAGAGTCACCTGTTGCGCAGGATGCTTGGGAAGGTCATGTAGCGGTGGAGGGACTTGGCAGAGATGCGGTCCATCTTGGAGCTGACGGTGTAGTCCTCGACAAAGTCTGCCTCGTTGGCCTTCACCGCCATTGTGTTCTTCAGTGCCTTGGCCTCGTCCCTCTCAACATCTTGGGAGAAGCGGGGGGTCTCCGGCAGGCGAGACCTGCGCACAGCCACTGACGGGTTTCAGGGAACATTTCTGACACCACCAAAACAGCTTGAGCTCAACGAACTGGTAAGCTTGACAGAAATTTTGAGTGTGAACTTCCCTGGCACAAGCGGATGGCTTGTACTACACGGTAGGACCTCCAACTAATCATTGTATCTTCAGACTGATTGATGCACAGCAGCCCAGACTGCCTTGCTCCATCAAGATATATTTGTGTATTGATCGAGGCAACATCAACGCACAACAGCATCGGCATGTAGGGGTGGATGAAGGGAGTGGGCACCTGAGGTAGATGGTCAGAACGGTGGGGATGGCTCCAAACCCAATGATGATGCGCCATACATAGTCCAGGTAGTTGATGTCTGTGCACACACATAACTTTTGATATAGACACATTTTAGGCTTATTTTGTTTCAGGCCTATTACACAGGCCTCAAGTCTGATGTAAGGCTCAGTCTTGTTCCATGCAAGGCACGCAGACCAATGATTTGCCCCCAAAAATGGCAGGCTGGAACTCGCTTTTACTGCAGGGCTTAGCCCTGTCCCACACGCGCATGCACACCCAAAATATGCCCTAGACTTGACACGTTTGAAGCGTCAGATGAAGTGCAGCATGATTGTCAATAAAGGGCTCACCATAATTGATAATGCTGTTCTTGAAGCAGGAAATGGTGACCACAGAGACGATGGCCGCCGACAGGATGCCGAATCCCTGCATGTGACAAAACTGAGTCAGGCTCAATTGCACCGGTAGACAAGCAGAGGTAGCATGATACTCCTTTCCGATCCTTGAGAATCAGATGCATGGCAGCAGCGTTCTGATGACAAACACAACAGTAGTGTATGTGGGGGCTCGAGCCACAGATGCTGAGATTTGGTGCAGGGATGAAACTCATGGGGAAGAAGTGGTTGTTTCGACATGCAAAATAATGGAAGAATCCTAGTGGCTCTGGCAGGAGTAAATGATGGGGGTGTTTAAGTTCCCACCTGCATGGCAAACACGGATGCAACGAATGCGCCGCGCCATTTGGAGGAGGAGTACTCGGAGGCAATGGTGGCAGACAGCGGGTAGTCACCTGCATGCATTCCAGTCACAAAGTATTTGAATACAAACAATTCCAGCTCTGTACCAGGCTATTATTATTAATATTGTTATTATCATTATTACATGCTTGTCGTGCCAAGAGGCAAGGTGCGTCCTGCAGACAAGCTGCAGTGAAAGGCTGCCACAATCAAACCCCTTGTTGGACTCGCCAGAAGCAAGACCCAAACAACCGTGGGCACGGTGCTCAGTATTTTAACCGCCCCCCGCCAGCCGGGGCCAGGCTATTAGGTGCTTCTATATGATGCATGCCCCATAACAGGCTACAGGAGCCCATCAGGCTAATAAGCAGGCAGCCTACCCACTTGGCACATGCATGAGCATGCCGACAGGTATCAGCAATGTGCGCCAGAACACACTTCAACCTTCACAACAATTGGCAGGTCATTGGAATCCTGCACAAAAGAATTGTGCAGATTTGCATGTTCTGAACCTCAGAGGGTAGACAAGAACACGTGACAAAGAATGAGAAGGTGCTTGGGACAGATTACTCACCGCCAATTCCAATGCCCAGGATGAAGCGCCAGATGCAGAGCTCTGCCACCATCCTGCAGCAGTCCCGAATGAAATAATACGTTTTATTGCACCGCGGTTGCATGCAAGGAAACTTGCTGCGGCAGTCTGTAGCTGACAATTGAAAGCACCCGCAAAATATGGTAGAACAAGCATCCTACCGTTGCTGCTCTGCTGTTTGGCAAAATTCTCAAAATTGTGGCAGCTGGAAAATGCATGCATACAGAAGATGTTAGGGATTGGTATGATGGGTGAATTCTTACCCGATGCCCTTGACAGTAGAGGCAGCGAAGCACTGGCCAATAGTGGCCGTAATCATGATGAGCAGCGTCAGTAGATACACCTTCTTGCGTCCCAGATAGTCTCCAAGGAAGCCGAAGAACACCTGCGCAAAAGTCCATGCATCAGCGCTGAAACCAGGCTGCAAAAGTGATGTTGTGCGGTTGACAGTATTGATTATAATTGCAAGCTATTCGGCAAGGTGCAGGCGCAAACGAGCTGCAGGTCAAGGCTGCCACACGATTCACCCCTTCATGGAGTTGCCAGATCCAAGCAAGACCCAATCAGATGTGGGGATGGTGCTAAAAATAAATGCCAGCCAGGGCTAGCCGTGCACTGGATATGCTAGAATGGCAGTTGCTTCAATTTGCTTGCTCGCTGCTACACTAGGTGAGAAAAGCTTGAGGCCGTGCTCATAGGCATTGATAAGCTTACCTGACCAATGAGAGTGCCGACGAGGGCCACACCGGTGATCCACAGGTCGTCATTTCTGTTCAGCTTTCCGTTGAGGTGCGGGTCTGCAGGTCCCAGGAAAGCAGAGGTCAGGTTTCGTTGGGTTGCCCACACGCGATCACAGAGGTGCAAAAAAGCAAGATTTAGTTATTGTGACAGAGCAAAGGTCGGGATTCGGGAGGTCCAGAGCACTCACAGTACACGATTGCCATCATGGGCTTGGCGATGCCGATGATGAAGAGGTCGTATGCATCGGTGTAGAATCTGTGGATAGCCAAAAGCAATCAACATACACCGTGGCGGCATTGATTACCCAATGAAGTGTTCACAAGCCGCCAGCTGCGTTACTAGAGGCATTGACTAGGGCTGTCGGGTTCAGAGGCCAACAAGAAGACGATCGTAAATCTGAACAGCAACATAAATTTGCAGGTATGCACGTATGCTTCAAGAGCGCTTTGAAGTCATCTCAGTGGGTATAACACGCTTGAGCCCATGGTCATTAACCGAACGCGTGAGCTTTCGACATACCCGATCCCGGCCACAAGAATGGCCTTGATGTGGAACCATCCGAACTTTGCGGTGTTGAGTTCTTCTCTGACGCGGTTCGACATTGTTGCGCGCGACTAGGCCACTAAGTGGGGGTGTCCGTTGATGAGGGACCACTTCTTAATGGGGTCGGCTCGTCCAAGTCTGCGTGCAGATCAGCTCCTCTATGATGCGCTCTCTGCAAAATCAGTCTGCACGATCAAGTGCAGGGAGAGTGTATCTGAAAAGGATGTCTTGTACGACGAGATCACTCTCGGATTGCTGATGAGCGGCTGCGCCCCAAAATCGTCACGAAAGATTCCAAGATTCCCACCGAAGGAGCACATTGCCTACTTTGGACATTCGGGTTAATGCTTGAAGCTGAACACATTCTCCGTTTTCGTAAGTTTCAATTCCTGATGTTTTTGTGTCTAGTTTATCATATTGGATTACATTTGTGGTAGATGGTGGCCCATACGTATTGATCAGGATGTGCACGTCACTGTTTACGTTCGACGTGCATCCTGGCATCCTGTTCCTTTTGACTTTCAACAGAGATGAGTACTACGACAGGTATGATTTGTCTAGGTAGTCTCCCATCTGGTCTGACAACAATTGTCATTGAAATTGTGTCAAGAAATAGTGCTCATGCCATGCAGGCCCACGAAGGAGGCACATTTTTGGGATGATGCGCCCGAGATCCTGGCTGGCAGAGACCTCAAGGGAGGGGGTACATGGCTGGGTATCACAAAGACTGGCCGCTTTGCGCTTTTGACAAACTTTCGAGAGGTAACATCTTCCATTAAACATGAAACATCAAGGCTGTCCACAATATTATTAAAAAAATTTGCGGTTCTCAGACATGTATTACAATCGAGAGGCTGACAGATTGTCATTCACAGCCTGGTTTTGGCAGCGTCAAGGGGACAAGCCGTGGGGCGCTGACTGTCGATTTCCTGAGAGGAGAGCAGTCTCCATTGGAGTACCTGAAGGGCCTGAACGCGCAGGTGCAGCCGTCTAACGCAATTTCAAATTCTCGAGTTCTCTGCAGCTGCCTGTCCGTCATATGAGGGTCTGTTGCTGTCTTGGCAGGCTTTCAATGGCGTCAATCTGATAGTGGGAGATCTCAAGGCCAAGAGTGTGGCATACCTGACCAATCGGGGTAAAATTGAGGAGCTCAAGCATCCACAGGAGCTGCCGGCAGGCTTATATGGGATCAGCAATGGAGTCCTGGGAGACAGATGGGTCAAGGTGCGGATATTTTGCACGCTTGGCACATCTCCGCTTCTCAAAGGGCTTTCCTGGCCCTTTGCTAGGACTATGATTTGTAAGGACCTGAAATTTGGGTAAATTTGTTGACTGCTCACCCCGCATGCTTGTGTCCTCTCACATGCGTCTCTGCCCCATTGTGTGCGTGCAAATGCTGCTGACATGAGCAGTTTGTCAGAGGATGGGTATTCATGAAGGACTTCTGTAAGGGTGGAATTGTAGCTGACCCACGCCGCAAGGGACCATAATTGTCGGAATGCGTGCCATTCTGAAACCTGCCAGCACCAGGTTTACTTGCAGGAGGGCGAATAACTGGTTCCCAGGTTATGATGATGTTAGCAAAACACCGGTGGGGCTCCACAGTTGGGGTGCTCCGGCCGCTTAGTAACTGGTAAAGGGGCAGTCCAGTCAGCACTCCAGTGTGACCATTAAACTGTGTTCAGGTGGTGCGGGGCAAGGAAAAGCTGAGCAGCTTGGAAGGGGATTTGGCGGAGGGGCATGTGCCATGGGAGATCATAATGGGGGACATCATGGGCGACAGGGAACGCGTCACAGACGATGCGCAGCTGCCGGACACTGGAATTCCGGCGCATTACGAGCGCATCCTGAGCTCCATCTTCGTGGAACCTGCTGAGATGCCGGTGCCGCTCAACAGCTTTCTCCAGCAATGCTCCCACAGTCTTAAGGGCCCTGTCTGGGGCGAAGATTAAACATCCCTTTCCCGGCAATTGCCTTCTAGGAATGCATCACCCCTCACATTGGGATTCTCAAAGTTGAAAGCGGCAGGCTTTGTTTTCGGCTGAATGGTGAAATAGGAACGGGTCTGAATTGCACTTCACCTGTTGCCAGTTCTCTCCTTAATGTGCTGCTTCCCGCTGCCTTTCATGCCATCATCTCAGAACTTTATTGAGCAACCCGCTGTCATAATGAAGGGCTGTGGGGTGACAGGATGGGCCATATGGGACTCGCAGCCAGACAGTGGTGGTAGTGTGGCGCGACGGAAGGGTGGAGTTCAGAGAGCGTTCTAGAGGAGCAACTGATGACTGGACTGAGGTGGAGCATGGTTTCAGCATAGAAGGCATGGGCAATGACATGTGCTGGGCAAAAGAGGCTTGAGATCAGGAGAGTTCCAGGCCTCTGCGGGGAATGCAATTGCAAATTGCCCTTTTGAAACTGTGAGAACTCGCTTGGAATTGTAGAACTGCACAAGCGTGAAGTCATCCAGCAAATGCGGAATGGAATGGAATGGCATCGAAATGGATGGGGGCTTGCACAACACGATCAGCTCCATGCGTGAAAATTTGTTTGAGTTTAAGGATATCTCATAGCTCCAGAGGTAAAGGACAAACATTCTCTTTCTTCCATAATCATAATCGTTGTGCACGTTATGCATTGATATTATTACAGATCGGCAAACCCAAAGCCAAAGGCCTCAGGGCATACACGCAAGGCGTCTGCAGCCACGTTTGCGGGGCACATCAATCTACTCTACTCAATCCTACTCAAGTATGATGTGCATCAGGCGGTCAAGGCATCCACATGTTCAGAGCAGCATCGCGGCATCAGCTGTCCCTACTGCTCAGCCTGGGCATCCACGGCCTTGATGTCTTCCAACAGGGCAGCCCCGGCCCTTTCGCCCATCATGCGCTCCTGGACATAGCCCAGCAGCACCTCCCAAGCATCCTTTGGGTACCTGCAGCAACACATTTTCCGATTTAAAGCAAGCGATTGCATCTCTAAATGTGCAGATGGGGCTGTCATAAACGCTCGTGTGACAATAGCCACAGTCTCAAAATGCTGCAGTCTCATGAGCAACCTTTCAGAGGTCACAGCTGCGATGTATCATGCCTGGCAGGTTATGATGTCCTTGCCAAACTAAGGATAGAGCAAGAACCCTTGATCCAGGTGTTGAACAAGACAACCTCCCACACCATGCGCAATGCGTCTTTTGCAGACGCTTGCCCATGCTGCGAGCGTTCTCTAGTCAAACACAGGGATCTCAATCCCGACCAAGGCTTACATTGGTGCTCTTGTCACAGATTCTGCTGGTGTGTCATCCGAGGCATGAGGCGTGAGTTGAAAATAAATGACACACAGTAGCTAGAAGAGGGGACCGGAATGGCTCACATGTCCACGAGGGGCAATGCCACGTCATCCACCATTTGGCGTCCGTGGCGCTCGTCCTCCTTTATGTGCAACTCCCAGTAACCGGAGGCAGCATCGCTCAGGCCCAGGTTCTGAGCTGCGGCCAGGTATGAGCGGTATACACTAGGCCCATTCACCTGGCACAAGCAGATATCACGCGTTGGTATCACAATGCGATTACCTCAAGCGCTGGGCAAATATACCAAGAGGCCCGCTTTGCAGGGCAAGATGAAAAGAAAGCAGCTACCGTGGGGCTGCATCATGCAGTCTGCACAGCTCGCTTGGGATGGCTTTTGAAAAAGTGCATGGCACACAGGGTTTCCTTTTGTGGCGTTCTGAAGCTTTCAACAGATAAACAAGCATCTTTTTGGCGTACTGACTACTTTCTGGTGGACATTATGAGGCCACATATTGGCATCTGGAAAATAAATTAAGAGCCAAATTTTACCCTTTTTAAGCTGAAACCACCCCGAAAACCTCACTTTTGCTGAACATTTACATAAAAGTCCTGTTTTTTTTGCCAATTTTGTGGCTTCCGCCAAAATTTCCAAAGATAGGTGGGAAGCCACATTGTCTAACAGCGGGGTTAATTATAAGTAGCGCTGATGGCACAGCTATATCCAGTGGCCCTGAATGATTCAGACCTGCTGGGTAGCTGGTCAAGGCACCCCATTACTCAGGGGCCCGAGAATTTTGGCAACTTGTAACTTGAAGGGTGCCGGGTTGGGTGGCATGTTGGACAGCTCTTGGATGGTAGCAAAACATCAGCAGAGGCCCTGAACGGATCGGAGCTCTTCCAACAGATGGTGTGCTGGAATTGTTAGCTTGGCAGGCCAAAAGTGGGCTATGGTTCACAGGATTTCAATCTCCTTGAGTGGCGATAGCTGCTCACCTCGAAGAAGGTGAGGCCCCCAAGGTAGCGGAGGTAGTGCCGGCGGCGCTCTGTCAGCAGAAAGTTGTGGTTCATGGCAGCCAGGCTCTGCCAGGGCACCAGCCCAAAGTAGTGCTCTGGTTGCGTGCACAACCCCAGCTCATCCATCATTGTCGCGAAAAAGGTCGAGTGCTTCTTCGCATACCGCCCCGTCCCATACTCCTGCGTTGGGGCACAACCCCTCTTTTCACCCTTCACAATTCTTTGGCAGCAGGATGAGGGGGCCATTCAAACATTTTCTAAGAGAGCATCCCATCCTCCTTGACAAGGCTGTTTGGTACCTCGTCCCAGACTGCAAATACAGCCCCGATCTCTCGCACTATTGGCAGCCGGACAGCTTCCCTGCAGCATTGTCTTTTAATCCAGAAGGATGCTGTAGCCATTTTCTTCTGTGAACGCCCCTCTTGAGTGTTGTGCCCAGATGCATCTGCATCCCTGAGCTCACCAAGGGCATCTCAAAGTTGCAAAGATATCCCTGCATCTCTCACCTCCATGAGGACTCTGAAGACAGCGCACATGACCTCGTTGGCCGCGCCGCCACACACCCGGCTCTGCCGACTCGCCTCCACCAAACCATCCACAGACGCTGCACGCATGCGCGCCAAATATCATTCACTCATGCTCACGCTCGGCCCGTGAAATTTCCAGTGTTTCAATGCTATCGTCATCTAACAGCAAAATATTTTATTTTCTGCTAGGCATGTGCCAAGCGTGCAGCATGCCAGGCAATCCCCACTTGCATGCCGCCCGAAACTGCACCACACACAGCAAGCTATACCCAGACTTTGCGGGTGACACTGAAAATATGCCTGTGATATGGAATGACCGCTTTGCCTTGATGCGAGGAGCCAGGCTCTTATGGCACATTGTGCAAACATTGCATGCATGCACGCACCCACAGCCAGCAAATGCTTGTAGCCTGCCACTCCCATGCTGCTGCGCATGTACTGCGCGGCCGGGCTCAGCTCCGGGTCCACATCATACGCTGCACGCTCCCTCAACTGGTCTTGCACCTGCAAGCTCCACAACAATGAGTTGCACGCCGCTCCAATCTCCTGCTTTTCTTTTTCTTATTATTACACCCTTTTCAGCCTCACAAGGGTGAGTAGGAACGTTCCAGCAGTGCTTCATACACACATGCCACACATCTGTTGCTGATCGCCCAAACCCCACCTTGGTTGCCGCCTGCTTCTGAGACTGACGGACTAGTTGCATGCATGATTGTGCCATGACTCATATGTGGCCACCCCTTGGATCAGGAGCAATAGGTGCGGCAGAAGCAGTCAATTGCTACCCTCAACCATTCAGATTTGAATTTGGGCCGGGCACCTGTGAAGGTGTGAGCTGGCTGTTGATGGCGGGGTCCACATGATTTAGCTCCCATTTCTGCCAGGGTTCTTCGATGGTGTCGCGCAGCTTTGCCAGGTAGATGCTCCGCTCATTGCTGTAGTTCCGCAGGTCATCATACCTGTACAAGTCATCAAAGCAACTCCTCATACAGCTCATTATACCTGTACAAGTCATCAAAGCAACTCCTCATACAGCTTATTATACCTGTGCAAGTCATTAAAGCAACTCCTCATACAGCACAACCTCGAGTAAGGGAACGAAGCCAAGCTGTGAACGAGCTGCATGCACTCAGCTTCATGTTCCATGCAGAGGGCACGTGTGCTCACCAAAACAGAACCATGCGATTGATCCTGTACAATATACGCTGCAGAAACAGGTGGGCTGCCTGTGCGCCTCCATCACACCCTGCATGCCCATCAAGTCCAAGTCAGTCACCAGTTCGAAGTCAGTCACCTGATGCTCGTGAAGCCACGTCCTGCCAGGTGAGGCTCAATGGCAGGATAAACCAGAACCCACCAAACCATCAAGCTGTTCTCGAAAAAGGGTGGCTTTGGTATCTGGCAGGCTGGGCCCATGTGAAGTTTGCTCACCAGTGGAGTAGGCCTGCTCTATGGCAGACTGCACAGCCAATTCCACTTCACTGCCATGCGCTCTGAGCTCCTCATCAACCCTGCATGCCAGCGGAGTTTCATCGATCTCGCTCTATATTACCCGCTTGTTCCAGCCCTTGGAGCTAGATGCGTTGCAGCAGCCTCTCAACACTTCCCTTCCAGCCTTCCTTGTCTTGGCATTTCTCCCACCAATCTGCTCAGCATGCTGCTATAAAAAAAAATCAACTTGCCATGTTTGCTCTATTCTGCTGCGAGGCGAGTCAGCTGGGTGCACACCAGATCTTGTTGTCCAGGTCCTCTGTGTTGAGCAGCTCTACAAATGTCTTTTCAGCTTCGCTGAACGGCGACGTGCGTCCTGTAAACATGAAATGAGGTCTATTGATGCACGTATTATGCACTTTTTTGTCTGGTATTTCTGAATGTGTGCACAACTGGTGAAGTAGATCCCAAGCACTGACCTATGGAAGGCAAGCATATCGAGTTGCTGCCGCTCCTCCTAGGATCGGAAAGAATGGGATTGGGTATGAATGTCTTTCTCTCATCTGTAAGGACCGCAGCCTGAGCCCGGACTTGTCGCTTTGTGCTGTTACAGCATGGGCGGACTGGTCTGGGTGGCACAACAAGAGGACTGAGAGGCAAGGCCTGCAGACACGATCATAGTTATTCTTTTGTACGTAATAACAACCAATGCACTCCTTTCCAGGCAGTGGGCGACAACATACCTTCGGGGTGACTCGCTGCATTGTCACCTGATGAGGACACAGTCGACGACACGCAATCGAATATTCTAGCATACTTGGATTCAGGAATCTACTCCTGATGTCTGATTTTCCTGCTTGATGATAAAGAGGTGCTCGGGGAGAGAGATCGTCTTCGTGTGCATGTGTCAGCTGTCACACGTTTCCCCTGCCCGAAATTCAAATGCCCACTCATCAGGCCAGCCCAAAATGTGCCGGTATATACATTTCGCGAAGTTGCTACAGACACTCAGAATATCCAAGTGTCACTTTCCAGAAGGGATCATAGTTAGATTTTGTGGTGACAGCTCGTCTGTGTTATCGTTAATTAAGCAGTTGGAGGGTAGGTTGGTAGGCTGGGTGTCCCGACACACAGCCCCTGGTGCCATTGCTGACTTTCGGCCCCATATTTTGCCTGTAAAATTGTGATTAAATTGGGTCTGATGGCTGTGGTACCAGCATCCATACGGCCAGTCCCGACTCGCATCCCGCCCGCACCGAAGCCAATCGAGAAGAAGATTGAGATAAGGTACTGTGATGTTTTGAACTTTTTCGTTAATCATCTTCCTGCATCGCTCATCTTTTGGAGTAGTCTATGTCAATCACTAGACAATACACAGGAAGGGAATCTCAAGTTCTATGCGTTCTATGCGGGTTTACGGATGGGGTGCTGTCGAATATGCAGGACCTCTCCGAAAGAGATCTTCATCTGCGACGAGGAGTCTCATTTCTACAGCCAATGTCTTGAAAAGTTGGTGTTGAAGAGGTGCAGAGGCAAACAGACAGTGCGCGCTTCCCTCTCCCGTTCGTCAGATTCGACAACGTTCCTTTCGAAGATGCCTCTTTACCGGACTTGTTTGCTTTCGGCGTGACAACACATTTCTTGGACTTTCATTGTTTCTTGGACTTTAATTGGTTCAGTTGTGCTGTACAGGTTCTGGAGTTTGGAACGGGGGATGGTGGACCAGTGATTGCCAGCCTGTCAGGTTCCAGCTTCCAAGGAATGGTGCATGGCTTTGAGATCAATGAGCATGCAGCAGCAATTGCCTCAAAACGTGCAGCAGAGAGTGGGCTGCAGAAGTGCTTCCAGGTGACGGCCTCATCTTTAGGCATGACATTGCAGACACTACAGCCGTCATGCGGTCAGCTTCAACCCCTCATTGTCTTTTCTTTTGGCAATTTTTTTTCTTTTTGGAGCATGCTCCTTGCATTTGAGTCCTTTGCAAAGTAGAAAAAAGCTTCATTGAGAAAGTTTGGCCGTCAAGGTAGTGCAACAGAGCTTATGAGACCAGCAAGCTACTGCACAGCAACTAGTACAGTTTTCTTGACTGTGACATGCGTGTACACAGGTACACAACAGCTGCTTCTTTGCAGCTGCGCGGAAGAGCAATGCCAGCTTTCTTGTAGCGAACCCCCCATACATCCCGGCTCCTGACAACCGCATCATGATGCCTGCCCTGCATGGAGGCCCCGACGGCGCAGGACTCACCAGGGTGAGCCTAAAGATTGCCTGTCAAGGCGAACATTTTCAGGTTTTCTGCGGCGAACACCTCCCATGTCAGCCAATTAGCCAAAATATGCAAGGCCCACAGAGTCTGTGCACTTGCAATCAGCAGCCACCCCTGCAACTCTCAAACATAGGGGTGCAGTCCAAAAAAGCGATACAGTCATCAGGTGTACAGGGGAAAGAGTCATTTGGTCATTCAGCGGCCTTTCAAAGGGACATCCTACGGGGCTCAGGGGAAAAACGGGCACTCAGGCTGGAATCAGGGTAGAGATGTAGACATCAGCAACACTGACAATGATCACCTGCCTGTTACGCGCAGGATCTGATGTCACTGGGTGTGCCAAATTTGATGCTGCTGCTGTCGAGCTACAGCAATCCGGTGGCCACACTGAAGCATGCGCAGGGGCAGGGGTACAGAGCGCTGGACTTCATGGTCACTGCCATGCCCTTTGGCACCTACAGCTCAGAACCCAAGGTACCCTTGGCTTCCTGACTCCTCTACAGTACAAAGTCTGCACTGTAGCATGGAACCCACTGGATCCTAGGCGCCAGCTTGACCTGCTGCATGAAAACACGATGGAAGGGAAAATAGGCAAAGACAGGCCTAGCTTTGTCATATGTCTACCACCAACACTTATAAGACACCAGCTGAATGTTTGGTGGCGCTATCTGTTCCTCTTTCTACAGAGCAGAGACGAAAAGGCATGACATGCCCTGAAAGGCCTTCTTTGTTGGTGAGCTAACATGGGGCAGCTTCCTATTGCTCTGCCCCCTATCGTGCTGTAGCCTGACCTTGCCGAGGCCAGCCACACAGGCCTTACAGCGCCCTCTTCCCGGACCTCTTCCAGTGAGGCTTTGGTGAAAGTTTCAAAAGAGCCAACAATTCTGGTGCCCATATTCAGGTGAGGGAATGGATAGCGCAAATGAAAGCTAGGTCAAAGGCGTTCTTCAATGAGAACTGCTACCTGCTGGCTGGGGTGCTGTTGAGTAAGGCACCACTTGATGCATGGGCATCAGAGCAGCCTGAAGCACATGACCTGACAGATCAGCTGATCAGCGTGCTGACAGCTCTGCGCTGATGTCATGATCTCAATACTCTATTGATACTATATTGAGCGTGCTTTTGAGGGTGCTTCAGCAATATTGCTGCTTAATTTTTGGAGCATTGCTATGCATTTTGAAAGTGGATATGCTCATTTGAATTGATGTCCATGGAAGGTTGTCGGACCCAATTAACATGACGTGCTGATGTGTGCTGATTTCCAAGTAGAGGTGACACAACTTCACTGTAGAATAATTGAGGACTGGGTGAAGATGACAATTGCTCTCAATGCCATTGCTGAATATTGTTGTAGCTCAGTGTATGTAGTCACTACTTAGCATACGGTATGCTAAGTGAGCCTAGGCCTAGTCGGCTCAGCCTGCAGGCTGTACTAGCGGTGTCTAATATGGACAATCTATGGCTTGCAAAGACCACCTAATGTTCCGTCTGCAATTTGATTGGGGTCTAAAGCGACTAAAGGGAGGAATGTAAGCATGAGAGTGCATTCATTCGTCAGCCAGGACATGACAGCCAAATCAGGCAGCCGGAGGAGTCACCGAGCCTTGGCGGTTGTGAAGAAAGTTGCCGTCAGGACGAAGCTGCTTTAGGTTTCATCGCAAATTGCGCCCAACGTCAACGCACTGGTTGTCTTGCGGTTCGCAGCGGCAGCTTGATCGGAACTGTCACATCGTTTGGCTCTGCCGTCTGCGGTTGATCTGCATGAGCGCCTGGCTCGACACCAGGTACACCACAGTGTGGACACGAAATACATAACACCGATGCTACGTATGACATAAGAACACCATCTTGGTGGCCAGCTTGAGCGCTGCAAGCGTTCCTAAGCGACGGGAGAGTCGCACTAGCTAGCTAGGGTTAACGACCTGCAACGTCATGGCCTGTCGTGAGCTGGGTGATAGCCGTGGGGCCTTCGTTGTTCAGCTTCTGATATCTCAATGTCCTTAGGAGTGAAGTATGTTGTGTATCGCCCACAAATTTTCCCAAGATTTTCCTTCAAAAAGAACCTGAGTTGCCAGGCTTTGGGCAGCTTCTGCACAGAAACAGGCGTTGGGTTCTGCTGACATATTAGCAGAACACATCTTGTATAATGTGTTACGCTTATCTGGATCGCCGCGAATCACACTCTGTACAAACCTGGACTCAGATCCCTTGACATCCGATCTAGGATGTGGCTCGAGGGCCTCACCCAGAATAATCAGGCAGCCAGTACGGGGTCTCAGTACGTTTTCATTTGCTCACAGATTGAAATTGCATGGTTGAGGAGGGAGGAACACCTGCGGTCAGGCGATTGCTGTTCACTCGGGCTCCCACTGGCCCCCAGGCTTCAGGCACCACTCCCTTTGATCGGCCGAATGGCCGCTTGGCCTCACAGTCCAGCCTCCCACGCAACCAGGTGCGACACCTAGAGTTGCACTTGCTCTTTTTTTGTGACAGCATGCATTTAAGAGTGGTAGAAGAACGAGAATGGTAGAGAAACACCCTGCAGCGCAGTGTACTTGGATTAACGTTATGGGGCGGGTTCTGCAAGGATGGAATCTATTCTATTGGCAGCACAAGGGGCTATAAACACAAGTCTTTTCAAACGAATGCACTGCTGCGAGGACTTGCTGGCAGCAGCAGCAGATGCATGCATTGGCCACAAGCCCATGCGGCTACCACATGTGTCACATGACAACAGTTTGGCAAGAGCGAATTTCAACACGACAGTGGCCTTTTCGCATGCGTGTACAATCCTCAGTAAGCTTGAAGAAATGCGGCTCGTGCATGTGTCACATGACAGCAGTGTAGCAAGAGCGTAATATAAGTTGACAGGGGTCATTGTGCGCGTGCACTCTTCAGAGAGTTAGAATAAGTGCGGCGTGTGCATGTGTCACATGACAGCAGTGTGGCAAGAAATTTCATGTGACAAGGGGTTTGCGCGCATGTGCAGTCTTCAGAGAGTCTGAAGAAGTACGGGTCGATTGGCGCTCCAAGCATGCTGAAGCCGGTGTCGTCCCTGCCCAAAGCCGAATCAATACCCCCGGCCCCGCGGTCCCCCGGCCCGAGCTCCAACAATTTCAGAAAATCCGACTCCGTCACATCCACTCCCGGAATGGAACAGGTAATGCCACCTGTCTTTCCTTGCTTGCCTTGCGCCTCACTATGCTATTTGCATGCTGACCTTTGCGCGAGGTGGATCTCACTTGTCTTCTCGAATGAAGGCGATTCTTATGTCAGCTCTTCTTATGCAGTGCGGCACATGCATGGGGCTGTGCTTTCAATTGTGAGATCAATTGCAATGCAGAGTTGGAAGCAGCTTTTTCCCAGTTCAAGTTGCAGCTGCTGCATGCAATCGCATAGAACCGCACTTTGTCAGAGTCCACATGAAGTGAGAGGGTCTCTGGCAACAGGAAAGGCGCCACGGACTTGTGTGGTGAAATCACCATATAGTGCCCGTATGAGTAAGAGTGTGTCTTGCACCCACAGCATTGACAGAAGACATGTGTCTTCCATCACTGCATGGGGGTCCACATGATTTGAGAGTGTATCTGGCTTTGGCAGGAGAAGACGGCTGCGGCGCAGGCGCACCTGCTGAAGGTGCGCGAGTTGATGATCCCCGCAGCCGATGAGCCGGACGAGGACGCGACGGAGGCCTTCCTGCTCGCTGCGCAGCGCGGCACCAGCACCAAAGTCAGACGGGTGTGCCCGCATATATGTATCCATGCCCGACTCCGGTGCCTCTAATTCTGCCTCAGCAGCAATGCAAGTGCATGGTTAGGAGCATGTATAGACGTCCCTTTACATTGCCAGGATGTTGGCAACGAGCAGAGCTGCAAGTGCATGGTTGGGCCCTTGTTTGGAAGTCTCAAAGTCCCCTGACATGAGATTCTTACACTGGTGCTAGTCTCAGCTAGATATGAGGCCTCTGGTGGTGTCAATATCCTCCTACTTTGGCAAGGGCACAAAGCAACCAGTGGTCAGCTACCATGCAGATTTGAGCGCCTACAATCTTTCTTGGACCACTTAGAAGATCTGCGACTTTGTGGTTCTGCGCCTGCCACAGATGCTGCAGCACGAGGGGCAGCCACCGGACAGCTGCAACTTCGAGGGGCGGACGGCGCTGATGCTGGCAGCCATGCACGGCCACCGGGACGTTGCTCTCGCGTTGCTGGGTGCCGGCGCGGATCCGAATGCGCGCGACAAGGAGGGCTCCACCGCTCTGCTCAAGGCCGTGCGCAACGGCCACGACTCCATCGTCTCGCTGCTCCGCTCCTGCGGCGCCGAGTGCGTTCCTACACCTCCTAGGGGTGAATAGGAATGTTGTCATAACAAGGTTGTTTAGGGTTAGCGTTCTCAATTACCCCTGTACCTCCTGCCCGTTGCTTGCCACACAGAAAATAGCGTATGTGGCGCCGAGTGCCTTCTGTGCTGTTTGCCCATCATTTGGTGTGTCACAGCAAAGTAAAGTTATGGGCCAAGTCTGCTGGCTTCCGCCGTTTCTTCTTGGTATTGTCTGGACTCAAGATACAGGCATGCATGAAGCAAGATGGATTCGTTCAAGAATTTTTGAGAAGGGATAAGATTGGCGCGAGAGGCCGCGCTGTAGCACCTCAGTGTATACTTTTCTGGAGGCTTGTTGGCATGTCTGTATGGACATTTGTGGCGAGCTTCCTCGTCAGGGACCTAGGAATTCTCAATGCATGCATGCAGTCCATGGGCAACTTGGTAACACTTTGTCGCCCTCGAGGCCGCCCTGCGAGCAAGTGTGCTAACCATGTTGTGAACAATGCTGGCAGGCTGGATCTGCCTTCTACAGAAGCCGCCGCGCACATCTGCACGTGTGTCTTCGAGTGCAACGTGCCGCTGCTGCGGCGCTTCATCAAGGCGGGCATCGCAGTCAACTCCGGCAACTTTGACAAGAGGACTGCGGTCCATGTGGCGGCCGCAGAGGGCAACCTTGCAGCGGTGAGGGCCTTTTGCTGTGCTTCTTTTTAAGAACACGCCCTTTTTTCCTTACCCTTAGAAAACAATTTCATTCAACCATCAAGGTCAGGCGGTCTCAGAGTGGCAGATAAGAGCCTTGACAGGTTCCTTTGTAAGAAGCTTTACCCTGACAAGATCCCTTACACCTAGAGATGAGTACCCGAGTAGAGCAATTACATCCGCTATGGCTCAGTGATAATGTCCTATTGGCATAGCTATGGGAAAGAAAACAGGCCGTCAGGGGGAAGGACAAAATAGGGAATTGGTAAGGGGTAGGCTATACACAGGAGTGCCCTTTCTAGATCTACAACCCCTGATTATTCACAAGGGGTACCAAAGACTAGTCTTTAGTACCCCCTGTTATTCACTGCAAAAGGGTGAATGACGTGTATGAACTTGGGGGTCTGCAGGTGCGGGTGCTGGTGGAGGAGGGCAAGGCGGATCTGGCGGTGGCGGACCGATGGGGGGCCACCCCCCTCGACGAGGCCATGCGCGTCGGCAGCCGAGCCGTCATGGACTACCTGCAGGTAACATTGAATTCGTTTGCATGTTTGTTTGTACGTCTGGCCCGACTCTTTCCACAAGCAATGCATCTACATCGCTCACAGAAAGCCACGCTCCTGCATGTGCCTCTTTCAGCGCTAATATGTTTGCAAATCAGCCCTTTCTGCACATGCCTTTGTCATTACGTAGCTTGCACATCAGCAAAATTCCGCACTTTCTGCACAAATTTGCTTGCAGATCAGCACAGTTGCCTGCATGTGCCTTTCAGCGGGTTATCACCCTTGGTTATTTCACCCGCAGGGACTCAATGCGCCAACTCAGCGCGATGACGACCGTACGATGGAGTTCCTGTACGCGGCCGCCCGCGGCGACACCACCAAACTCCGACATGTGAGTGCGCATGCATCTAACAGAAATTTAAGGCGACATTTTGTTGTTTACAGACGTACCCATCAGTGCTTATGTCCGCCCGCTTGGTAGTCGCTCTTGCCCTTTTGTGTCTTTCCCTGGCGCTCAGCTTTTGCGAGCGTCCTGGGTGACACTGTGTGCCCCCTTCGATGAGCCTCCAAGATTCTGCCACACCAAGTCCTCTGTTGTTCAGGCCGTGAGCAGGGAGTAACATTGCACAAACAGAGCTAAACGTTGAGATGCCCACTTTTTCAAGAGGCAAAGTATTTGTAAAGGGAAGCAAGTTGGAGGCATGCAGATGGCGCAACACAAATAAATTTCTGCTCGAGCCTATTCAATTGATGGGCAACTTGTCTGACGATGGGCGGAGTGCATGCGCGCAGATGGTGCAGTACGGCTTCGATGTGAACAAAGGAGACTATGACAACCGCACGGCGCTGATGCTGGCTGTGGTTGGAGGCCATGCAGCGGCTGTCAACACTCTGCTGGGCGCAGGCGCAGACGCCAATGTGCAGGTTCGTACAAACACGCACAAAGCTAGAGAGCGAGGCAGTGAATTTCCTTAAATCACTTTGAAATGCCGGATCTATCTTTGGGTATGTTGAGAAATTTGGCAGCCTCTTTATGTACACTGCCAGGGGTAGAATATTAAATTTGTGGGTTGAAGGAAGAAGCGAGGAAGGAAGCTTAATTTGTCCTATTGATTCATCCATAAGGAGCACCGGATTTTCACCAAAGGTTTGCGACACTTATGTATACTGTGCACACTCTAAAGGCACTGAGATTGTGGCATGTGCAGGACAACCTTGGGCATAATGCACTGCTGGAGGCGACCAAGCGCGGCCATGACTCACTCATCCGCCTGCTCATTGACAATGACGCCAAGTGAGTGCTCGACCCCCCTGCATCCCCCGCTGTCCCTTTGTTCAGGGAGTAGAAATCAATTTGCGTTGGATGGAGTGAAGACCAAAATGCTTGCATACTACTGTGCCCTGCATGGCTGGATGTCCGCGCTCTTCAACAGAACTGCGCCCTCTGTTTCATTCATGCGGGCATGAGTCCCTTGAGAGTGCTCTAGTCCTTTGGCCAGGCGGGTTCTGAGCCCGCCACAAGATACACACACTGATCCATCTTTACATGCAACATGGCTCTCTCTTGACCTGGACCCGTTATTCTCCTCATGTGCCATGCCAGGCTCGGGTCACACAAGATCTGCAAGCGTGTGTGTTGCCCATCTACAAAAAGACCTCATGCAACCTTGGTGAAGCCTGTCACGTGATTTCCTTGCAAGAGACTCGGCCCATAAATCTCACCGCGTGATTTCCTGTGCCAGGCTGGCATTCGCCCTCTTTGGCGCTCAGTTCTTTTGAACATGAAGAGGAACTTCAAACTTGAATTCAAAAATTCGTGTGTGTACAGGCTGGGCTTTGACGAGATCCGCAGCGCATCGGAGCTGTGCACGGCGGCGGCGCAGGGCAATGCGGACCTGATCAGGCGCTACATAAAGGCCGGCATCAACGTAAACGCGGCCGACTACGACAAACGCACCGCCCTCCACATCGCCGCCGCCGAGGGCAATCTCGATGTGGTGCGCGCTTCTGGTTTCATAAGTTTCTATGGGTAGTTAAGAGCTACAAACTCGTTCTAGAGTTCGCCCCACTCAATGACCATCAGCGCTGAGGGCGCCTCAATGTGGTGAGCGCCCTTGGTTTTATAAGATTCTGGGGATAAATAGGTCTAAAACCCGTTCCTTTGTTTGCCCCACTCGATGGCCATCAGCACAAGCATGCGTGTCCACACATGTGCTGCCCTGTGAGAGCGTGTGAGAGAGAGAGAGAGGGGGGGGGGAGACCCGGCTGCCGTGGGCACTCGTGGGCGCGCATGTGGCGTTCTGTGAGACTGTGTGAAGGAGAGAATAGTGAGAGGGAGAGGGGGGCATAATGTGGGAGGGTGTAAAGAGGGCAGATTTTGTGGTAGGGGTGATCTGTGCTGAGGGCTGTGAGAGTGTGAGAGGGAAATTTCCTTTTAAACGCACCTTCTTCTACCTCCATTCTTCCCTCCTCATGCTCCGTAGACTTCTGGGTCCAGACTTCTGGGTGCACATTCTAGACAGCTTTTCACCTCTCCAGGACAGCAGGATCTGTTTTTTGGCCTTTAAGCGAACGAGAGAGGCCAGGGCTCCTTTTCGCTTGGCTTCTTTCTGCCGCCTTCTGCGCCACACCGTCCCTCGGCAGAGGGGTCCAGGTGGGAGGGCGCCGGGGGGTCTCGGGGGGTCCATGCAGCTGCTGAGTGACATCTGCCGGCGTCGGCACAGGTGCGCGTGCTCCTGGAGGAAGGCTCGGCAGATTTTGACGTGCGCGACGTTTATAGCATGGACCCCTTGGATGAGGCGATGAGGCACCGCCGGGAGGAAGTTGCCGAGTACCTGCGCACCAACGGCGCCCTCATCGGCGGCCACAATCCTCTTTAGCGCCCCCTGCAACAAAAGGGTTTCCTGAGGGCGACTATAATCCCCTTCTAGCGACCCTTGCGACAAGGGTTTTCCAGGGTCCGAACGAAGACGCTTTAGGAGACCCCTGAGATCTTCAGATTGCCAGCGTGACGGCTGATTTTATTTTGTGGCGTGCATTCGCATTTTGGGCTGTGAAGGCATTGATTCAGGCCACATCTTTGATTGCGGCGCGCCTGCCTGAGAGCATTTCCTTGACTACTGAACAACGTTTGAGGACTGATGCACCAAAGCAAACCAGAGGCAGAGATGGATTCTGCACCTGCATGGATTTCATAATTTGGCCCTTTCCCTTGCGAGCATGATAGAGTGAGCTGCAGGAGGTTTTGCTCCCTCTGTGGGCTGTTTTCAACGGCGCATTTTTGGGTGAGCCTCATTGTCGCTGCAAGGTTTTCTTGCGAGCGCAAAGAGGACTTCATTTTGCTTTCCCAGCTGGAGACAGTCTGCCTGAACCTGAAAGCAGCAACTGAGAGAGTGCCCGTCGTGTTCCTTATCCCTGCTGCTGCTTTCCTGCATGCCTCTGTCAGGCTTCTGGATTCTACTAACTTTTGGGGTTTATGCAATGCAACACCCTGCTTAAGACAGAGCAGAAGAATGCCAAGAAACACAACAGTTTTTCAAATGCCGAATTGTCATTTTGTCAAAGACTGACGCGAGAGTGACTGTAAATTGGACCATGCCTCATTCCTGCTCTTGGCTCAGTGCCAGAAATGCATGTGAGCATGTGCCGGTCATCATCGCGGCTGCATCAAGACCTGCTGCCAAATCCCTGCAAAGCAAATGGCGCTCTCCTGTATTTACTTGCAGAATTCATGGGATTCATCCATGCATGTCTTGCATATTGCTCTTTGCCATGTTCCTGCCTGTTCCTGTATGTCGGATTGTGCGTGTGCACATTGCTGGTTTCAAATTTAAATTTTGAACTTTGACAATTCAAGCTTGAACCTGATTTTTCAAGTTGAACGGCGCCTGATCAGGCAGTGCGCTGCGCTCCCTGTCCCCGCAGGTGAAGGTTCTGATGGAGGACGGCAACTCGGATCTGGGCGCGCGCGACCGATGGTCTCTGGATCCGCTGGACGAAGCCATGCGCGAGCGCCGCGAGCCCGTCGTCAAATACCTGCAGGACAACGGCGCCCTCGTCGGCGGCATGTGATCGACGCCACGTCAGCGCCACATCAGCGCTGCATCAGTGCAACGTTGTTAGCGGTGCTGGGCAGCGCGGGTGTTCTTCTGATGGATGATGACATCAGCGCCACATCATCAGCACCGCGTTATCAGCGGTGTTGGGAGCCGTTGACACTTCCCTGCGATCTGACCACGTGCATCATGTCAGCGCCATGAGGCGTATAAGCTTGTCAGCGGTGCTAGGCACTGCAGGCGTCCCCTTCAATTGATAAGTCACCACCACATCGGCGCCACATCAGCGGCACTGCAGCTGAGCGTCGCAGGGGGATCCCTCCGCAAGGGAGTCAATCGCACGACAATCAAAGGAATGGTGCCAAAGAAAGTAAGGTGACGAAGCAGAGCTGCCAGGTTCAGCTGCTAATCCAGCAGCGGTCTCTAATCTGAGATGTGGGCTGCAGCTGCAACGAGTGCCGGATCCAGGGCCGCACCACTTTTTATTCCTGAGGAACAGTGGTTGGTGTGTGCATGGAAGAGGTGCAATGTTGGCTTGAGTACATTGCTCAGGCGCCAGCAGGGCACCTCTTCTGCACACAGCTCACAGTGTGTCCTGCACTTGTGGGCCCATTTCTAAGTGCGTTTTAGCAGGCACCAGGTTGAGTATCTGGCTCCTCAGTCTGTGTGATACAAGTCAAGGTAGGAACGTTTTTCCCACAGTAGGGATATCCTGGTACACCCAGAGTATCGAAGACGAAAATAGAGTGCAAAGACTGCATGAGGACTTATTGTGGACTACTTGCGTGGAAGACAAAATGTCACTAATGTCGCCCTCGCTGTACATATGTTTTGGGTCTGCATTCATGAGAAGCTGGGTCAAATAATTGGGGACACATATACTTCATTATTTATTAGTTGTCTTGTGATCACCAGTTGAGGTTTTCAAAAGTTGTCTGGGCACAAGTTGTTTGGGCAGCTCTCGTTGATACCCTTGGACATGCCGTGTGTGTGACCAGCATGCATATAATGAAAGTTCGCCTTTTACTAATCAGACTTCCCAACTTTTTTGTTCCAATGTCACTGAAGGCAGCAGAGACTGTCGGAGGCTCAAATGCAATATAGATCTTTTCAGTCCTGAAGATAAGATCTTTGTGCTAGTTGACAGCATTAATTATGTGCGGCTGCCTAGGACAATGCCTGATGCTGTCACATACAACGGTTGTATGGCGTATTTCTTACGATTCTGGTGGGTAGGCACTGCCTGCCAGTGTGTAAGAATGATTAGTCTGCCCAACCTAGAGGAGCACCTGAGAAAGGTGGGACAGTCGTGTTATGGCCTGCAGGCCCTGCCCAAATGTAAATCGGCTGCAAAAAAGGGATTTGGGAGCAAGACCGGTTTCACGATTAGATGAAGATTAGAGACTAAAGAATCTTCAAGCAAGTGCCTACGTGCGGACCACCCTATTTGACTTTGCTCCAAGCACATGCCACGTGGCAACTGTGCAATCATGTGCACCCCTTCTGCATGCATCGCATAGTGTGTGCAAAAACGGTTCCGATGTCGATATAAAAGAAAAACTAGGTCGTGAAGACTGCTGTAATGACACATAAATTCAGTGCTTGCAGCTATTCCTCAATTGGAAAGCTGGTGGCAGCAGCTTCCCGCAAGATAGGAAGCTGCTGATGGCCATGAGGAAGCTGCTGCCCGAGTGGAATTGGGTCCAGCTCCAAAGACAACATTCCTGAGATCCATCGTGTTTGCCAACGTAAAATTATTGGCCAGCAGGGGTTTGCGATGATTTGTTGTGACCGCTAGTCGCACATGACGCTTCCCAAGCGCCTAGTCCTGAGAATGTGAGGACAAGAAAGGGTGGCCCATTGCAAGGGACAGGCGCTCTTTGCACATATAATTGAAGCACCTTCACTTACTGTTTACAGGATCAGGCATAAAATCACAAATGTACGGGGACATTTCGCTCTTGCCTGCTGAAATTCTCGCTTTCATCGTCTCTACTGCCCAGCGAAGCATCGCCGATGTGATCGTTTGGCGGTTGATTTCACGATCATTCAGGAAGTCATGCATGCAGGTCGGGTTTGTGAAGGTTTTTGGTGCGCCAGTAGTGATGTCAGCATTCTGTCGTGAACTGCTCTCAGGTTTGTTCAATGCAAGTGTAGGTCCTTGAACAGGAGACAGAGGCGCTTTTTTGCAATGCACCTGCTTTTCTCCACTTCAACAAAAGTAAACACGAGACAATAGGACCTGTCCCTCTGGGTTCCTCCATTTTGAAGGTCTGCTCCTCGAGCATCGATATGTGCCATCAACCCAAGCAAGGCTATCCCTGTCTCGATTGTTTTGGTATTGACGGCAGTCTTTTGTACGTCAGGCGATAATGCGGATGTGTCCCTTGCTGCGGAGAATAGAGTGGCAGCCGGTTGGGGATGACCTCACGAGGCCTGTTGCCCCCAGCATGTGTGCTCTGATGGTCTCCTGCTGCCCACACCTCACACATCTCAGCCTCTTGCATTGTAAGATTCCGCGATCGGCTCTTATTTTCCTTGGCCAGCTACCCTCCTTGCAGGTCTGTCGTCAAGAGAGCCCCCTGAAATGCTGCATGTGTTCCTTTAGAAACGAGACTTGCTTTTAGGGCAGTGGGAATGTGGATCTTGCTATGGTGAGCATTCCTGTTGGTGTCTCCTGGGAACTGAAATTTGTCAGCGCAGGTACTCAGCCTTCAGCACTCAAGTCTGATTGATGTGGATCGTGTGCCATGGGAAGGTTTCCCGCAGCTGCGCTGCTTGGACCTGAGCTGGTTCGGAGGGCTCCTCTCAAGCCATCTCAAGTCGCTTGGGTGCGGGCGATTTGGGACCTATCCACTGGCGTGGAACTTTGAAGGATGGGTGCATGCTTTTTCTTTTGCGCTGTATCAATCTGGGGATGACATACAAAATCTGAGCCTGCTGTAGGAATTTCAACCAGAAATAATTCACACGACTGCTTGGGTATTGTATAGGCCCCAGCTGCTGTCGCTATCTGTACATGGCTGCGAGTTTGTGGAGGAAAGCCTGTGCAAGCACCTGTGCAGCTGCGTTGCCCTGGACATCTGCGGCACTGGCATAAATAATGAAGGGCTCCATACTTTGGCAGAGGTGAGTTCCATGATCACCACAGATATTCTTTGTGAGGCCCTGATGATCATCAAGATAGTCCAGATAACCGCAGCTGCCAAACAAGGGATGTGCACACAAGGTTCTTGACTGTATTGCAGCTGTTCCATCATTAGCTGATGTCTAGGCGCTTGGGAATTGCTGACGAATTTCATAGGCCCCTAAACAGTGCGTGCGCGCAGGATGCTCCGCACTTGAGACACCTATTGGTGTCACCCTTTTTTGCCAACCTGTGGATGGACCCTGTCTGGACGGAGGGAATGCTGGAAGAGCTGCGAAGGAAAAGGCCCGAACTTTACGTTGCGCAGTCGACGTCACCTCTCAAGACTTCAACCTATGAAAGCCTGGGTACTGGAGGTATTGTGCATGCCAGCTACTGTGGGTACTTCAGGATTCGACCATCAAGCACCTGACTAAATTTGTCATGAACAATGCAAAAGCCCAAGGACGGCAGCAGTCGGAATCTCAGTGATGGATGACGTTTTCTACCCCTGCCACACCTGCCACAACTTCAACTTAGTGTCTTTGAGTGCATCTCAGCATTTCCCCAAGAAATACATTTAGGCTTCATCCTCGCTAGGGCTGATTACGAGACAGTGTCCCAACTGAGACCTTAATTGCAACAATGCTGCCAATTGGTACACAAAGCTTTTTACACCAAATTCTAGCTGTCACGACTGTAATCACAAGCGACCAGCTTCCTACATGCAGGTCAAGAACAGATCTGGCAGGAAAGCTGGCATCCAAAGTGTAGCCTCCATCTTGTTCATGCGAGATCTGCTTCATGCTAGTCCAATGCGCAAAAATAGTACACGATGTCATTCAAGCAATGCACCATCACCCGTTACATGAGCTTCGCGTCTGCCACATGCTTTTTGCACTGCGGGCAGAAGTGGTGTGTGTCCATGCCAACATGACATAGCAGTCCCAGGCCCAGAGTCATCAATCCCCACATTCCATACGCCCATCCCCTTGTCTTTCTGCACCACAATAAACTCATACTTAGTCCGAATTACCTGCAGACAATATGAATTCAGTCCGAACTACCTGCAGAGAATGTAATTGATCATTGCAGGTACAGCTAGATCACAACAAAATTTGTTCCAAGGGACAACTGAGGGCATGCATGACACCACAGCAACACCACATTGCCACAGAGCCTTTCGAGATGATCACTGCAGCAGTGGCATCTCTGGGCCACGTACATGACATGGCTCATGCCCCTGAAGCCACAGGCACCGCAGTGGATGGGGATGGGCTCGTGGCCTATGGTTGCTCCAAGGAAGGCGGGGCCGTCCTGAGTTGGCGGGCAGTAGAGCGGTGCATTCGCAGACATGGGCCCCACGCTCATGCCTTGCGCCACTGGGGCTGGCTGGCCCTGAAGATCCTGGTAGCCGGGCTGGTTGTAGTAAAACTGCGGGGTGGGGCCTGCAGATGTGCCCACCTCGTTGGGCTTGTGGACTCCATCGAAGCCTGCATGGATGCAATGGATGAGTTGGGATGGTCCAGATATAGCACAAGATGGCGTAAATGAGTTCTGCTTTGCATAGATACTGTCAGAGCGCATCTTTCTGAGAGCAGCAATTCCATAGTATGGTGAATCAGGAACCTTGGAGTCTTGGACAGGGCCAGACAACCTCACCCCTTAGCTTCACGTCCTCGGGATAGCCGGCAGGTATGCTGGCTGGCAGTTCCCCGCTGTTTGGTGGGAGAGGCATGACCAGCACGCCGTTGGGATGTGTAACGGGCAAGTTTTCCTTTGGACCGTCGATGATCGCCGTGGAATTCGCCATTGCCGATGGCTGGCGATCTGCTGACGAAAAAATATATTGCGTAAAAAACTTACAGATAGATGAAAAGTTCAGAGACAAGGCTCCAATTGACACTTTTCGCGCCAGGTAACAACAAGAAGACAATAACCTTCCTTCTGTATATACCTTCAGACACGACGCTGACAACTCAACCCTTCCAAATGAGCCTCTCGAGTTCTATATCTTGACTTATGAGTGCGTTTCAAAGGGAGGAAGGTTGGAGGAAACACCTGGAAGCTGGTGAGAGCAAGTCCAGGAGTTGCTTGCAACGGCGTTCCTTCTCTTAGAGCTTCCTACCAGCTACTCGAGACGAATGATTTCTTGCCAAAATTGAATCGAGTGTTACAAGAGGTAAAGAATTGTGGGGACCTAGCAACAAGCCGGTAGCTTGGTACACGGAAACTTCCGCACTGGCAGAAGTGCATGCAGGTGCCCCTGACGCAAATCGAAAAGTAAGGATCTCGTACAAGCCAAATTTGGATCGCCCCAGCCCATCTGCTGAGTCAGAAAAAGATTGGAGCTGCTCCAAAAACGTGAGCAAAGGTTGCATTTGAGAAAACGTCTTATTCTCACTGCAGTGTATGTCTGCACTGCGCAGCTTAGTGAGGCAGGGGGGGTTTCTCTTCAGGGCACAGCAAAACAAACAGGAGCATCTGAGGGCAAGAACTCTTGTAGCGTTCTCCACGATGGCGCAGAAACGTACGTTCTGAATACGAAAGTGGATGCTGCGCATGTTGCTTGTGCTTTTAATGGTTTTTCCGGCATGTTCCCTTCTTAGAGCTCATCTGCATAATCTGCAGGATCCAAGATCACTGTCGAGAACCCTGTCGTGGATCTTGATGGCGACGAAATGACAAGGTAAACATGATATTTTGCTGTGTAACAATAGCGAATCGCAGTCATTCGCAAAGATTTCGCTGTAAGCCTCTTGGTCAACCATCACTGCAAAACCCACCAACCTGACGCCTTTGTTCGATGCAGGGTGATATGGGATGAGATTAAGAAGAAGGTGAGCGACCTTCGTGTGTATGTACCGGCACATCACGTGTTCCGAAGGTTAGAGCGCAAAATCCTGTCTCCTCACTGCAAGCTAAAATGTTGTCCCTTCGCAGCTCATCCTGCCATACCTTGACCTGAAGATCGAGTACTACGACCTGGGCCTTCCAAACCGCGACGCCACTGATGACAAGGTCACCGTCGAGGCAGCAGAGGCCATCAAGGTGATCTTTCTACACTTCTCAGCCGCATCTGTATCTAGAGATAGAACATTGCAGACATGTAGGCAAAGGGATTTTCAGAGATGAGGGAGTGCAAGTGAACATTATGCAAGTAGTCACAATAAGTCCCAGTGGCCACAGGTGTCAACTCAACCTAGAAGAGAGTCTCATGCTTTGGATGCTAGAAGCCTGCCTTGCATTGTCATGACTCCTTGAGCTGCACATGCATGCATGCTCAAATTTCAGGTGTTGACTTGCGTGCATGCATGCATGCACGCAGAGGGTGGGTGTGGGCATCAAGTGCGCGACCATCACGCCTGATGAGGCGCGCGTGAAGGAGTTCAGCCTGAAGAAAATGTGGCTCAGCCCCAATGGGACCATCCGGAACATCCTCAACGGCACTGTCTTCCGCGAGCCTATTGTGGTCAGCAACATCCCCCGCGTCGTGCCCGGCTGGAAGAAGGCCATCGTGGTGGGCAGGTGAGGCGCATGCATTTCTGTCACCCACAACCGCAGAAGTCAAGGGCGCCCTGGTGGCTCCCTGCTGCCATGCGCTTCGCTGTGGATAATTTAATTCTACAGGGTTATCTCCATATTCGCGACTGCATGCAACAGCGCCAAACCAGCTCGCAGGGAGACATGCAGGAGAAGGCTTGCCTGCATTGATTACATTTTTTTTGGGCTGAGAGTGTCTCATGGCTGCACCACTGTAGCATTCTGCTGCAGGATGAACACGCGATCTTGCATTGAAACATGGGACAACAATCAGTTCAAGTGCACCACTCTAGCATTCTGCTGCAACATGAGCACACAATCTCTGCATTTCAGCATGAGAAAGCATGAGAAAACATTCAATGAGCAACATGCCTGGCCTGATGGGTGTCATGTGCGCGCAGGCACGCCTTTGGAGACCAGTACCGGGCCACGGACTTGGTGATTCCTGGGCCGGGCAAGATGGAGCTGGTGTTCACCCCAGAGGGGGGTGGCCCCCCGGAGCGCCACACGGTGCACGACTTCGACGGCGCCGGCGTTGTCATGGGCATGTACAATACCGAGGCCTCCATCCGCGGATTTGCCAAGGCCTGCTTCGAATACGCGCTGGACAGGCAATGGTGAGGGACTGCTGCCAATGATCACAACCGCATGGTTCACTTTTTGAACATTTGTAAATAGCCTATGATCCCCAGCAACACTTGTTTGGCATCACTTGCAGCGGACAAGTTGCGTTCATTCTCATGTGCTTGTACAGTGTAGGAACTCAACTGGCTTTCATGCACTGGAAGTATTTAAATTGTATTCACATGCTTGCTCTGTTGCCTGCAGACTTTGACACTGCTGTTCCCTGCAGCTCAAAGCACGCATGAAATTCTTGAATGCATGCGCGCAGGCCGCTGTACATGTCGACGAAGAACACGATCCTGAAGCGCTACGACGGACGCTTCCTGCAGATTTTCCAGGAGGTCTACGAGACGCAGGGCTATAAGGAGAAATACGAAAAGCTGGGCATCTGGTATGAGCACCGCCTCATCGACGACATGGTGGCCCAGGTTCGCAGCCGCTGCCCCCCTCCTTAGCTGTCATGATATCATTACTAATCAGGATCATGTGATCGTTTGCTCGTGTGCAGCACTCGTGATAGCCTGACCTAGCATGCCTCCGCTTGGTCTATAATCCTCTGCTCAGAGCTCATGGCCCGGGCGCGCCGCTGCCTCCTGCCCTCACCCCGCTATTTGAAATCTTTCCTTGGAAGGGTGAGGTGGAATTTCTTAGATAGGGGTAAATGTGATACCAAGCTTGCATGCACCAATTGATTTGACCGTTGGCCTCCGTTTGGTCTCCTTGCACCAGATCTTAAGCTGATAGCTTAGGATGTGGGTTGCCTGCATCTATCCAGAAACTCGGTTTCCAGAGCATGCACAGTCGAGAGGAGAAGCAAGGGATGCAGAAGTACGCAGAATGGAGTAAGGCTGGTCCAAACTGTTGTCCTTGGTGGCCTGATGTGTGACACCATGTACAAGTCCTGACAGGATCTCCTGCCTCGGGCCACTATCAGGTTGTCGCTCTGTCATGACATGCACAAAGGATGATTACATGTGTATTTATATCTCATGCATGTCTCATGCGCGCAGGCGATCAAGTCAGAGGGCGGCTTTGTGTGGGCGTGCAAGAACTACGACGGGGATGTGCAGTCGGACATTGTGGCGCAGGGCTTCGGCTCGCTTGGCCTCATGACCAGTGTGCTGTTGACCCCTGACGGCAGGGTGCTCGAATCCGAAGCCGCCCACGGTATGTTTCTGTGCCAGGCCTCCTCCATGCAACTGCTGGATGGGACCTGGCAATCAACACAGGGTGCATGCATGATGAGTCTCCATGCATCTGCTGCATGGGAGGTGTTTTCCTGTAGAAAGGGGACATGCATGACAGGATGCACAGTTTGGTAAGTGAAACTAGATTGCAGGCTTGATGAGAGTGTTTTGTTCGCTCATGGCGACATGCATGGGACCAGCTGTCAAAGACTGCTTGCATGCATGCCGGTCGGCAGCAGAAGTCCACGACTGCATGCAACCTGTCCTGAGAATACTCGTAATTGGCTTGTGTACCAGCTGACTTTTTTAGCTGCTCCCATGCATGTAAGGGCCCTGGTACACACAATGGCCACGAGAGTAGCATGACCATTCAGAATTTTCTAGGATTCTGAACAATGAAGTTGCCGTTCTCCATTGTGTTGAGGGGCATGTGCTGCTTGTTTCAGGCACGGTGACGCGCCACTGGCGGCAGTACCAGAAGGGCCAGCCGACCTCCACAAACCCAGTGGCATCCATCTTTGCGTGGACTCGCGGCCTGCAGCACCGCGCCAAGCTCGATGACAACCCAGAGCTGGCTGCATTCGTGCACCAGCTGGAGGCTGCTGTCATCGAGACCATCGAGGTATGCTCATATGACTCCCTCAGTAAACGCTATGGGGTAAGATGATGTTTAGTGGTATACTCTGTTCCTGCCAGAGGCAAGGTGCGTCTGCAGTCAAGCTGCAGTTACTGTATGATGTGTGCTCCAAACAAACAGCCAATCACACAATCTCATCAGTAAGATTTAAATCTGCATGGGCGGGCATTTACTGTACTATGCATGCCTGCCATATGATGCTAGCATGGACAATAACTCAGAGCTGACTGCATTCCTGCGCCGGACAATAGCTGCTGTAATTAAAACCATCGAGGTGGCGATTTGTGGACACTTTCTGTTCTTTGTGGGTGCATTGCGGTAAAGCTATAGAATGCAGACATGGAAAGATATATTGAGCGCCAGAGTAGGGAGAAATCGCTGCCTTGCAAGTCTCACAAAGTGCAGCGCACCTCTCGGCCATGGGGCACTCTTGAGCAAATTGTGTACATGCAGTCAAATGGCGGATAAGTGAAGAATGTTTGCATTTTGATGCCAGCAGCCTGCTGGCAGCAGGCATGGCAGGAGATGGATAGTTCTGAATGGCCCAGGGGTGCTCTGGATTTTGCAGCAGGGGCCATGCATGCTGACAGGGCTCACGTGGTTATTTGCAGGCGGGAAAGTACACCAAGGATCTGGCCATCTGTGTGGAGGGCACCACAAAGGCATGCATCCTCCCCTGAACTGGAATTCCCTTTGGCTGATATATCCTGCATCTCCGCTGCATGCTGCTGCAAATACTTTTACTTCCTTTTTTTCGCACTGCCGTGCATGACTTTATCATGCCTATAGAGTTGGTGCAAGATCAATTATCTTGATTGACAAATGCTGTTGTGGCATTGCAGGTGACACCTGACCAGTACCTGAACACCACAGATTTCATGGACGCCATTGTGGCCACTCTGGAGGCAAAGCTGGCTCAGCAGCCCAAGCTGTGAAGTCTCTGGGTGACTGATCACAGCTCAGACAGCATGGCTGCCGTAACAAAAGAAGACTTTCAAATTTAGGAGTGGGAACAGTTTTCAAGCTTTTGAGGCACCATCTCACCGCGTCCAAACATTAGGAACCCAGAAATGAAATGATATCAGCTTACTCTGCTCGCTGTGTTCAGACTGGAGACATCTCTCTGCAACAGAGGCTTCAATTGCAGTGCCTTAGTAGGTGGTGCATAGTGACATCAACACATATATATAAATCTTATCTCTACCCAGCAGGGCTGCTTTATCTGCCGAAGCTGCAGGCAAGGGTGCACTTTTAAGGCAGGTGCGGTGTCTAAGAAGAAAGGCGGAAAGGGATGCCTTACGGTTACACTGCAGCGCGTCACAATGCGTGCAAGACCATAATGTTACAAGTTCTATCCACTTACAAAGGCGGTGCTCTCCAGAGAGCCACATTGCTTTCTCTTCTAGATTCTCAGGAGATCTAGATCTCCTGAGTGCTTTGTCAAGCATCAGCTTCAAGCACAGCTCCGACCCCTTGGATGCGCCTGACAAATTTAGTATAAGATCAACTCATCAGTTTGATAGAAACATCGTTGTATCCTGGCTCAGAAGTCCTTGATTGACCATTCGATACACTTCAGATTGACTAGGAGATACTCATGCGTTCCCACAATCAGAGCTGCTCCTAGTTTGTGCTACTTGCTTTACACCATTCTAGGATCCTAGACCCAACACTGGCACAGATGGGACAACGCCTGCTTCCTGCAATTTAACTAACTGTGACAAGCAAACTCCAGCCATCAATGTGTGATCGGCGCTTGCTCTGAATGTGATGCAACACGGCCCATTCCTACATCTCGCCATGGAGAACATTCGGTCTTAAGCACACCTGCTCGGTCATAGGGTGCAATAGCTGGCGTATGCGCCCCCACCTTACCCCAGACCCAAGCTGCTGTGCTCTGAGCACAGGCGCTTTCCAAGCGCACCCTCTAAGAGAAATACCAAGAAACCTTTCCTTGCACCTTCAGCGCCACCCTAGAGGCCTCCGCTTTACTGTTAGGTCTCAGGGGAGAGCCACGAGCCATTCCAACGAACACACTAGTAGCGCTTCAAAACACCCACGTGCAGGCTTTGTGTCCGAGCTGCTGCCTCTGCACGGCGCACTACGGTTGCAAGCATGCGGGCCCAGAAACTCCACAGCTAAGCTCTAGGAGAAAGGCCCGCGGCCGTCACTGGGAGCCTATTTCCAGGGTCTCTTTTCGCGCCTGCGCTGCGAGTTAAAATTTGTGGCGCTGCACCGAGACAGCTGCGTCTGCGCCTTCTTTGCCGCCGCTGCAGCGCTTTCCAACGCCTCGCTCACTGCGAGCTCAAATGCGTGGCACTCAGCTGTGAGGGCACATAAGAGCCCGCGGCCTGTCACCGGGAAAGCTGCTTTCGCGCCTTCATCCCTGCACCTGCCGATATTGCACTGCGCGCTGAAGTGCATGTCCCTAATCATCGGGTGCTAAGCCGTCACCGCCACAGCTCTTTCCGCGCCTTTTTCGCGGCGCGCTGCAGCGCTTTGCACTGCGAGTTAAAGTGCGTGGCGCGATTGTCTGGGACCAGCAGTCCCTGCGGCCGCGCGGCGTTCTCTGCCACCAGCATCGCAAACTCGGCCTGCAGCAGCGCCGCAGCCGTGTCGGCCGGGAATTTGCGCGCAAACAGCGGGCAGCCGCGGCCCAGCATCGCCCTCTCTCCCCTGCGCCAGCCATGCCCTTGGGTTAATTTCAATGGCATTTACTTATTTCTGAGCTGCTAGTAACTGTGACGAATACTGCTTTATGTGTATGGGATGTAGTATGTGGTTATGATGGTGTGTTTAGAATCCGCTCACCCCATACCCATTTGTACAGTGGTGGGTGGCACTGCCTTATGTCAAAGTGAGGCACAGGTGATGAACATAAAGGCCAGGGAGCCTGGATGGGCCTTCAGGCCCATCCTGAGAAGGCCGCTGACAGTTGATTGGCTCACATCCAGCCTGCAAAAATGACTATGCCACGGAGAAGACTGCAACATGCAGCACGACCTGTCTCTTAGTAGGGCGGCTGTCCGCAGCCAGATTCAGAAGTATCGCATGCCCAAAAATTTGAGCGGCAAGTCTGTCCAGCTTATTCCATCCTGTGCAGTAAGCATCAGGTATGGTCACTTTGGATCGAGCTGCCAGCAGCGCACCTGTAGACCGGCGGAGAGCCGCACTGCTGCCCGGCGGCGAGCCCCGCGGCAGTAATAAAGCCGTCGGCGGCCCAGCCGAGCGCGGCCGACACGTTGCAGGCCTTATCCCCCCGCTCCTCGCGCATGCCGTCCAGCGAGGCGTGTGAGACGGCCTCGGGCTTGAACGCGCGCGGGTGCAGCCGGTCCTCCCCCTCCGTGCACGGGTCGCACCACTCTGTGTGCGTCAGTCCCCCCTTGCAATCCGTCTCCTGCAGTCATGTAAGGCAGCTGTGTTAGGCAGAGTTTCAAGTCCTCTTCTGTTCTGACATGCCCAGTACTCTGAGTCAAGAGGCGGGGCGCATGCAGTGCCCAATTTGCGCAATTGGCCAGCGCGTGTAAGTGTATATTACTGTGCCGGCATCTTGCTGTTAATATCAGGAATGCATGCTCCTTGTGCAAAGTACACCGTGCCAAGCAGACCTTTGGCAATCACATTGTGCAAAGCATACTCCCTCTCAAGGCCTGTCTGATGCAAATTCAGACACCCCTCTATGTAAGCATAGAGCACAATCACAGCACAATCGCGTCATAACTTTGCTGCAACTCTCCTATGTATAACACTCCAGATCGCTTGCCTGGGGAAAGGCGAAGATTTGAATGCCAAACAGTAAAATAGTGCTGCTAGTTGCATACCTCATCCAGGCCCTGAGTGGCCAGCACGGTGGCAAAGTAGTGCTCATCACTGAAGCAGCTGCGCCAAGCTCCCCTGTCATCGTCCCATGCATTCGTGCAGTGCTGCTCAAACACCTGCAGCCAATAAGATCAGGTCGAGTCTGTGCCAGTAATGCCTTTCACGGCACAAGCAATGAATCAGACATCGACGCTGCTTGAGCAAGCTGAGACATGCAGCAGTGCGCCTGAGCTTTTTCAAAGCATCATGTATCAGATATAATGTACCCGCAGGCTAAGGGTCACCTTCAACGCGCGTACTGAAATATATTACGATTTCAATGAATCTTTGGGATGTCCAGGGCACAAGATATGTGTCAGCTGCTGCTCATGGTGTGCAACAATGTCAGAAATTGAGGAGGCCTGGAGCCACACCTTTGCAACCTTCTGATCATTGGCAATGACCGCCGCATGCTTCCTCACAACCCCAAACCTGTCAGCACACATTGCAATGCAGATTACAGCCATGCAATTCCACACCTCCTAAGTCTCCCAGCATCAAGCCATCAGGGGCATGCACACGTGAAAAAAAAGGACACAACGATGCACATTGCTAGTGGTGCCATGCTCCGCAGACAAGAGTTAGACACCGATCATTAATGTCTGAGATTACTGCTACGCACCATTGGAAGCTCTTCCTCCAGTGCTGCTCCTCCAGATCTGGCGCCATGCGAAACGTATACCTGCAACCCATCTCAACAACTCAAATCCCAGCATTTCCCATTCCACCCCGCACGCCTGCATGCAATTTTCTGCCGCCTTCCACTGACACACTCCAACGCAAGACATTACGGTACTCATGAAGCGCTTGCCATGCTGGTTTACCACAACTTAAGCAAGCACTGCAACAATACATGACTCTTACATGGTCACACCTGAAAGGCCATGCCATCCGATAAGGTACTGAATGAACTAAAACTATGTGCATGCAGTCCTCTTGATACATACCGCACTGTTTGGCACCCCCAGGTCATCCAGGGTTCAGGGGTGAGCAATGTTTAATCAAGGAGGGGCAAGGGGGGCTTGCCGGTAGTTGTCGCGGTAGAAGTTGGGGTCTGAGTCGCAGGCGTTAATGCGGCTCCTGCGCTCGTACATCAGCTGCTGATACACGACGGCCGGCGGATACAGCGGCGCGCACGACTCCGACAGCATTATGAACCGCTGGTTCAGCCGGTCCTTCAGCGCCTCCCTGCGCCAGGGGACCAAAGCCGGTGAGACCTGGCAGCCTATCATCATGCCAAACCTTCAGCCACTTTGCAGGGTCAGAATACTCGAAGCATTCAAGAAATTTTGCACTCGCACTGCCGAAGCGCTGTGCCATTCACAGGACTCAATCAGCATGCATGCAGGCAAGGGACAAGTGTCCCCTCAAACAAGTTTCTGCAGGAAGATCTCATCGCTTGACCTCTGCAACTACGCGACCGTTTGTCTGGTCAACCATCACGCCTGCTTAGCAGCTGCCAACGCATTATCAAGGCCACCGCAGCGCAGCGCAAAAGTGCTGGGGCAAGAGGGAACTGCTTGGAAGACAAGAGCCGCACCTGAGCAGAACGCGGGATGCGTTGGCGAGGGACCACTCACCCCAGCCAGTGGGGATGCTGCCGGGGATCTCACGGCCGTGGAATATGGACGGTGGCCCCGACAGCGTCTTGTTGGGCGGCAGGTGCACGTATACCGAGAACAGGTGCTGCCTATCCACCACCTCCCTCAGCCCTGCACACGCGCCGTCCATCCAATCACCACCAAAATAATGAAATTGAATGACGACAATCGCTCACACGCTCTTCTCTCTAAGAAGGGCAATTTGTGGAGGCTCTGCAGGAGAGACTGCTGACGTTGTGCCGCAAGTCGCACTTGTGAGCCTAAAGCCATAGCTCATTGTTTCACGCTGTTCACGCCCCAAGAGGCAAGGTGCGCCTGCGCACAAGCTGCAGAAGAATACCTGCCTCTTGTCGGACTTGCCGCATCCAAGCAAAGTGCAATCACCCGTGGGCGTGCGCAATCCTCGGTGCGTCATGCAGATCATAGTCATACTTAATGAGTATTGAGCTGCAGTGCTCCAAAAGGAAGATCCGGCTGTCGATACCAGGCCAGCAAAGCTTGCACGCGCATCCTAGGGGCTGCTAGGCCTTCAAGAGGCCTTTGAGAGGCGCACCCTCCCAAGCTGCGAACCTCTGAGCACGTTGCAAAGGAAGTTTCGGGTGACAAGGGAGGACGCGCACCTGGGGCCTGGGGGAAGGGCCCGCAGGAGCGTAGCAGCGCCCCGAGGGCGGCGGCGCGGGCGGCCGGATCGCCGGCGCGGCAGACAGCTGCGGCGGCGCAGTCGGCGGGCAGCAGGCCTCCCGCCTGCTGGAACCACATCGCCCACATCGCCGAGTGGGCAAACCCCTTGGTCGCCAGAAACAGCATCGCCACCTTCGGCACCCCCATCAACCCCCCGCATGTCTCCTCTGCGCCCCCTGCAGCCTGAAAGCAACACACCAGAGCACATGTCACTTGCGGACATCACTGGCAGTGATTGAACGGTTCAATTCGAACCTGATCACGTGAGTGCACTCAGCTGGCACAACTTGGCAACTTGTTGGAAGAGAGTTGCCTGCATTATTCTCGACTCGAGTCCTAAATTATTAACAATTAAGCATGCATGCATGGCCATAAGCATAGAATCGATTCTTTCCGCCCTGAAGCAAACAGCAGAACATTATCTGCGCATATCAAAGTGCTGCAGGAAGCGAGCTCGCACCGAGAAGGACTGGCTGCCTCCGAAGGAGCAGACGGGGCCATCGGTCCAGGTCTGATTGAGCAGCAGGGGCGAGGCGTGGGCGCTGCAAAGGCTCTGCGCGAAGGCGGCGGTCATGTTGGTGTGCATGAGGCTGGCGGGAACGCCCTGCGCCAGCAGGCTCAGGGTAAAGAATGCTGCTAAACACCAAAAATGGAACCCTGTGATAGTCATCCCTATGCGTACATGCACTGCAACAGATTATCAGCAGCGGATGTGGCATGCATTGTGCAGTGTAACACAGCAAGTGAAAAGGGATCTTGGGAAGAGCAAGAGACCTGCGCCAGGAGGCTGCGGTGCGGCCGGTGCCTCCGCAGACCGTGGAAGCTGCTCGTGCCCAGCAGGCACAGCGAGCCCAGCAGTGCGACCGCCACCATCGCTGCCAGCCGCGGCCGGCTCCTCCAAAACCTCCAGCTCTGCTTCAGCGCAAATGTCAACTTTGCAACCAGCAGCCGTCCGTAATGTAGGAGAGGAGATAGGGCTCCTCCAAAACCTCCGGCTCTGATATACAAGTCCATTATGTCATGAGCGCAACTCCACTGGCTAGGGAATGAGATGGGCTTGTGCTCTGGACCCGCTTGGAAGTGTTGGGCCCGCGCTCAACAACCGAAATTACCTGTCAATATGCAATGTGAGGCAGCCTTCTCTCACCACTCTGGCACTCACACTGCCTTTTGTGCATACAACACAGTTCCCGTTTGGAAACCTGGACTACTGTATGCATGTAGACAGCATGGGTATATGCCTTGCAGCAGGCCATCGGCAGGCACGGCGGGTGCAGCACCTGCCAAGGCGCGGAAGGGCTCTTCCTTTTGACTTCTTCTCGGCCGCTGGGCGTGGCAGCGTCGGGCTGCGCGTGCATGCCGGCCAGGTTTGGCGAGGACCCCCGTGAAAGCAGGGAGGGCTGCCGGGCGTCCAGCTGGCAGGAGGACTGGCTCCTTCGCAGGGAGGACCTGCTTGCGCTGGGGGGACTGCTTCTCTTGGGAGTGGCTGGCCTCTCCGGGCTGCTCCCCTCTTCTCGAACTGTTGAAAGGTAGTGGTGCTTCAGCACCATCTCATAGGGAGCAGCCCCTGCTCCCCCTGTGCATCAGGGCTGGCCTAGCCCTGCTGCTGCCCTGGCACGCGCGCATCTGCTGCACTGGAGCCCTGCTTTTGCAGGTCGCAAGGGCGATCTGGTGCGTGAAAGGCGTGGCTGTTCAGGTCGCTGGCTGAGCGGGATAATCGAAAGAGTTGCTCCTTTGGGGCCGCTGGCTTGCTGGCTACTGTGGATGCAACAGGCGGGAATGCCTTCTGATGCTTTCTTGGGGACAGAAACGGCCTGCGTGGGTATAGTGTTCCGTCTCAATATGAAAGAGTTAAGATACGCTCACATTAAAGCCTTAGAAGAAAATGCAACCCTCGATGTGTACACATAATACTTCATGGCGAGGTTACATTTGCAAGCAGCGCTGCTAGGGGTTGTTATTGCAAGTTTCCAAGTAATGAAAATTCCTTGACTTCAAAATGATTGAGTCCTGGCAGGTATGGGTACTGCCCCCCTGATGTACTGCTCCAATAAACTATACAACTCTATTAAACTTTACATCTGGTCATTGGTAGCAACCCGTACTATGGGATAATATTACATACTGGCACAGGAGTTCCCATGATTCGGGTCGTTGTAACAAGAGGAGTAATCTCTCACCAACAAGCGAGTGAACAAAGACTGAGGATGCTGATCCGCACGTTGATGCGCGCCGCGTATAGTCGAGAAATTCAACAAACACAGATAACGACTTGAGAAGTCTTCTCAGCACTTTTCTCGAATCGAAATCGCATTGCGTTCCGCTTCGTTCCTTTGCGGTGCCAAGTGTCGAAAGTACCAGAGGACCGTCCAAAGCAGGCAATACCTTAGTCACTGCCACCTCCTGACAACGTAATCATTACACATCCAAATCGCATGCCTGTTCTGGCTTGGCTGTCCTCACGAACAGGCTTTCGGCGCCTGCCTGGGCTTTCAGACAAAGCAGACAAGGACAAGCGCAAGACCGGTAGCCGAAACTTGAAGTCTTATCTGTCAGATCTTCTGATTTATCCAGCTCAATAATCATGGCAGCCTTCGCGGCATCGTCCCTTCCTGTGGCGGTCCCCTTGCAAGGAGCCTCCACAAAACGGTGCGTGAGGGGCGATCTGCCTCGACTTGGCTACTCATCATGCTTTGTTTCAGCTGTTTCTAGTCTTGTCCCAGTGCCGCTGGGAATATTATTAAGGGTTCATGAGCACGGTTCACCACCAAGGCGCACTTGCACCTCTCTCAGCCTGTACCATCAGGGAAGGTTTCTGATGCCTGCTTTTTTATAGATTGGGAAGCAAATCTCTGCTTCGTATGTTCCAAAGCCCGTATTGGGCCGGAATTGAAGTAATATAACTTGGATCGCAGGCTCATTGGTGCTGCCACGAGCCGCAAAACGCAGCTCGCACGCCCTACCACAACCTGCATGGCCACCAAAAAGGAGAGCGCAGAGATCATCTTCTCACCGTTCCAGGAGGTGTGTGCGGTCAAGCATCTGTTCAAGACCTCTCTACCTCCTGCTCAGGACTTCATGCATGTAAACCTTCCCCAGACACGTGAAAAACTGAGAGGATTTAAAAGGAATGACCATCTAATTGCATGGTGGCATTGCAGGTGAAGCCAGAGCTGGCCGCCGTTTCAAAGGTGGATAACTCTGTGGAGTCTTTTGCTCGCAGCCACTATGAAGTGTCTTGCGAGGTTGCCCTCAACGAGCAGGTGAGGATCACTATTTTGCTGAGAGATACGATAGAATCGTGGGAGGCATGGGCGACCGTCACATATATGCAATGGGCGAGCGCTGGTATTGTTCTGCTGAATGTGCTTGTGGATGTGCCAGGTTGTGTAGGCCACCATGACTGACTGATTGCTGTGATGACTGCAGATCAATGTGGAGTACAACATCTCGTAAGTCCAGCCTGTCCCATCAGATTCCATTATGATTATATTTGAACTTCCCGCATTTTATATCGAGAGAGTGTTTGTGTCTGAACACATGCCAAATATATCTTGGAGCAGTGACTGATGCGTGCTGCAATGTGCTGTGAGCAGGTACATCTACCACTCTCTGTACGCCTTCTTTGACCGTGACAATGTCGGCCTGCCAGGCTTTGCCGAGTACTTCAGGTGAGGTATTTTGCAGCAGAACAGCCCTCCAATGGCAGCACAGCCCCATTTCAGACCGGCCTGCATTGCCTTGGTTGTTCTTCACTGCGCCCCCGGCATGCTTGCATGCTGCAAGGCTTATACTTCAGGTAATGCATGCGACGAACAGCAACGATGATGGAGCAAGCACACTCTCCAGTGCCCACCATGCAGCTAGGCATGCACAGCACCTCAAAAAGAGAGAGATGCAGACATCAAGGCAGACATTGAACGCCACAGATGAGAGGAAGGACTGCCTCCAAGTGTACATCAGGCACTTTAAAGAAGGAGAAATGCAGACATCAAGGCAGAGCAAGCGCCACAGATGGGAGGAAGGACTGCCTCTCAAGTGTACTTTAGGCACTTTAGAAAAAGAGGAATGCAGACATCAAGGCAGAGCAAGCGCCACAGATAGGAGGAAGGACAAGTGTACTTTAGGCAAATTGGAGAGAAATAATGCAGACTTTATGGAAGAGCAAGCGCCAGAGATAAGGGGAAGGACTGCCTCTCAAGTGTACATCATGCACTTTAGAGAAAGAAGAATGCAGACATCAAGACAGACCGAGCGCCACAGATGAGACGAAGGACTGCCTCGCAAGTGCACATTATGAACTGTGCAAAAGTACATGGTGTTCAGCCATCTCCGGCTGCGTGCAGGAAGAGCAGCGAGGAGGAGAGGGAGCACGCGGAGAAGCTGATGGTGCAGCAGAACAGGCGCGGCGGCCGCGTGAAGCTGCACAGCATCCTGCTGCCGGAGACGGAGTTCAACCACAAGGACAAGGGGGACGCGCTGTACGCAATGGAGCTTGCGCTGTCACTGGAGAAGCTCAACTTCACAAAGCTGCGCGAGCTGCACCGCGTTGCCTGCAACGCCGAGGACGCCCAGCTCGCCGACTTCATCGGTGCGTGGCCCCTCTCCCGGTGCTGACAGCCGGGACGTGGTACACTTTTGGTCTTGCACCGGATTATTGCTGCGTGCCTGCAGCCTGTGCTGCCAGCATACTGCTAAGTGCGTGCCCATTTCAATTTGCATGTGTAGCATTGTTTCAAATGCTCTGACACACATCCCATGTTAGGACTGCCTGTGTGGCCTTGGTTGGAGTACTCCTTCGCTTCTGTATCGATTTACAGGTGGTCACACATGGCGTCCTGTGAGGCTCAGGGAACGTTTTGGATTGGTGTGCCAAATGTCAGTTGCAAGTGCCAAATACCACAAGTGCATCTACTCCCTTCCCAGGAATTGGCTAAATGTGGCGATCCGCATGGCTTGTAGCACATCCTAACTCTCACAGCTGCTGAGTGCTGCGCAGAGGGACACTTTCTTCAGGAGCAGGCAGAGGCCATCAAGACGGTGTCAGAGTATGTCTCGCAGCTGCGGCGCGTGGGCAAGGGCTTGGGAGTGTTTGAGTTTGACAAGTACCTCACAGAGCAGGATGGTGCTGCCGCGTAGGAGAGGCAAACTCCCAGCCTAGCTGTCAGATTTTTGGTGTTGTAGGAGCAAGCGGAGCGAATGGGAAATGATGGGGCTGCACACGTGTTGTGACTCCCTTGAATGTAGACCTGATATCCCCTGTTTGGGAGACTCACACTTGGATTGGATTTCTGAGGTAGAGCTTATGTGTCTTTTTTGAAGGGTCCCTTGACTGCACCCAGAAGAAGTACGCGTTTTTGCTGGGAAACATTCCTTGGGTGTTAGTGATTTTGTGCGGAGGGAAAAATGCCCCCGGCATTGCTTTGGCGCCAGGTAGAATTTTAGCCATTGAATGAAAGCAGCAGTTGTGCCTTGATGCCGAGGTCTGTGCTTCAACTTGAAAGTGTGAAAGTTTACAGTGGCGCTGATTATCATAATTGGCGATGATCGTATATGGTGTGTGCTCTTCCTAATGCTGTATGGGCTTATTTTGTACAGAGTAGAATGTGCCTAAACATCAAGGTCTTAATATGTCGATTTTCCCAAAATTATCAGACATCAAGGCACAGCGAGCAATCCTGAGATGGTTTGTGGAGCAGATCTAGGCACGTGCATGCAGATCGGTTTATCACATTACGACATGGACAAGGATCTGGTCCAGTTGCTCTGGCCATCAATGGACAAACACGTTTTGTCGTGTGATAAGTACTGATATAACATTATTGGTACGAGGTGGTGGCACCCAATGGGCAAGTAGTGTGATGAAGCCCTAACCCAGGTTGGCGCATGTGGTGTTTTTCGTCGTACGGAATAGTGGCTGTCCTGATCTCCGTGTCACGGTAAGAAGTTTAGCTCGTGAATTTTGGTGGAGGTCTATCTATGCGAACAGCACTTTGAAATGGATTGAGAAGTACCTGGACCATCGAATCCCCGCTCCTGACATTAGCCCCTTCACAGAGCAAAGCTCGCGGCGGAAGGCCCAAGCGCAGATCTAGAAATGGAATGACAACCATATCAGAGCCAATGAGGGTGCCAGATGGGCCGTCACCCTACCATCTTCAGGAACAGCTTGCACAAACCCGAGTGGGAGCCCGTGAAGCCATCGAGAGGATAGGCAGGGCGTACATTCGACAGTACTTAACAGATCAAGCCAAGGACTTCTACAACGAACTACCGTTCCTCAACTTGGGAACGAGGTAGGCCACCCAGAATCCTCCAGGTCCTAAAGCCCTGCAATCTCTAGGCACTCAAAGTGATCCTTAGAAGCTCTGCAGACTCCCGTCGATTATCCTAATCGCAAGGTTCTGTCACTGCTCTTGCTTTTAACCGCGCAGGGGGCCGCAGCGGCTTATGTCAAGGAAGTAAGAATCTGATAGCAGTCTGGGTTATGTGAAGGGCGCCGGATGGCAGCATATGGGCTACCGCGCTCTGCGGCAAGCCCGGCTTCATACGGGCAACAGACGACCACCACTTTGCTGTGGACCTGAAGCAGATGTACGGAGACCCAGTGAAATTTGCAGAGGGCGACATGATAGGCTCTGTGGGTGTCATGCTGCACAACCGGCGCAGAAACAGGCTCAACTGCCTCGTGGAGTCCCTGCAGCCGGGCGCATGCACGCTCAAGGTCCTGCAGAGCTTTGGGAACTGCCCAAAGTACATACAAGGTATTTGTCTTCCTCTTCTCAGCTGCTATGCTCAGCCAGTGCAGTTGGGCTGTCTTCTCCTGCATATTGATGTCAAGCATTGGCCTGAATGCATTCATGCTGCAACGGCGGCAATGTGAGTGGCATCTGGTCATTCTGTGTGACTGCTGGTGACATAATCCTTTCAAGCCTACGACATGCATGAGCTGCTACCAAATAAAGATCTGTTGGTTGCAGTGCGCCATATTGTGGTCGATGAGAAGAAGCTCGCCAGTCTGGGAGAGGAGGAGCGGCCGGTCACACATGGGACAACAGTGCTGGGTCCAGAACAGCGCGCCCTCATTGCAAGGTGCTTCACCTGTTTTTACAGGGGGATGCTAATTGCAGCTTGTGTTCAGTGTCCCCCTGTGTTTGGATGAGCAGGGGTGCATGATATTTAATGCAAGCCATTGCATGCTCTGTGATTGTTGCGCATTTTGTGAATGGGGCAGGGTCTGGGTGGAGCAACTGAACTCTTGTTGAGGTTCCACATGTTCAGTATTATGTGTGCATCCTCATTAAAACATGTCTATGTTGTGCCCTACAGGTCCGACACTATCTTCCTGGCAACAGGCTTTAACGGCATCGGCGATGGTGCTGATGGCATGAATGGCTGTGACTGCAATCACCGGGGCGGAGTTCCTGGATTTGTACAGGTGTGAATAGTGCCTAGCAGTGTCCTCAGTGTGGATTGCACCTAACTTCTGGTCAGATAAATCTTCGTAATCCTTGCATGTTTTGGTTACCGCCAAAACCAAGGAAATTTAGCACTGCAAGGCTGTTTGGAAGGGTCCAGAGGTGGTTCCAGAAAGCAACACCAAAAGTATTCTGCGCACATGTGCAATTATTGTCTTGGCTTGTCAATGACGTGCTCAGCCCTCTGAACAAGGTGTGCTGCTTTGAGCTGCATGTCTGCGCTCAGGTTTCAGGCGATGGCACACTCACTTGCCCTGACTATGTGGGCAACAACATGTTCTGCAGTCTGGGTGAGCGCCTTGATAAGTGTATTATGTGAAATTTTCTGTGTTCACTCTCATTGTGAAGCTAGCTCCACCAGTCAAACAGGACATTTCAGACCAGAGCATAATACTTGGGCTGCTGTTACAGGCAATATCACAGCAGACTCTCGCGCGGGCATCCAGTTCATTGACTTCTCGACTGGCGACTCCCTGCAGCTGACTGGGCATGGGAGGGTCCTATGGGATGAGCGCGCCCTACCAGGTGATCCACTCTTATTAGAATGGTGCTCATTTCACTGTATCTGGCAAGTTATTCTGCTTTTCCTATCTGGAGACACACGCATGGAGGATGGACTTGGCACTACAAGAGACCCCAGATACCCAGGAATTAATTAGCTAAAGGCGGTCTGACTTTGTGAATATCTGTGCATGCTGGACACTGTGCAGGTGTCCTGCAGGCAGGATACAATCACCTTCCTTGCCTGAGTCTTTGCGTGTGCACATGCAAAACGAATGTGAACCTCTGCATCGCTGCTGCAGGCGCACAGAGGACGCTGGAGTTTGTGACGAGCCGCTGGGTGCATGTGATAGGCGGCCTGCCCATTTCCACAGCCGGCCCCGTGCAGCTGTCCCCCTACAACCCCCTCCCCCCAGGGACAGCAGGAAAGGGCAGTGTGCTCACCGGTCTCAAACTGCTCGCCAAGCACAGGGAGACACCGGACATCATGACCTTTGTGTTTGGCGTGCCGGTGCGCACGGATGGGAAGAGCTTCTGCGAGGCGGGGCAATTTGCCTCCTTTGACTTTCCAGGCCTCAAGCCGGGGGAGACCCTCAACAGGACGTGGACCATCAGCAGTCATCCCGAGCAGATTGCTGCCACCGGCAAGTTCACCATCTCTGTCAAGAAGGTCAGTTTGTCCCACGACATCATGCTGCCGAAAAACTTTTCATCTAGTTGTGGCATGATGCACCTAGACTGATTTCGGTCCCGTGCAGATGGCCTGACACATGGGACTATCTAGCAGCGCTGTAAATGGAACAAATTGTATAGCTAGGGCTCCTGTGCTCTTAGGTGTTTTGTGGAGTTGTAACCAGGTCCTGATCAGTAGTGTCCTCCTTGATTGAGTCAAGGTCTGCATGCATGATGTCAAAATGCCACTTTTTCCCTGGGATTGCCCTCCTGCTCATGATGTGAGGCATATGATTGTGTACCGGTATATGCATTCTAGAGAAAGTGTATTACGTGCTGCATGCATGATGAGATGTTGACAGGATCCTTGGTGCAGTCATCTGCCTTTCATGTGACCAGACCATGACAAAGGTTGAAACCTCTGTGCTGGAATTTTGGTGCTGCTGCAGGCGGGGCTGGTTTCGACTTACCTGCATGACAAGGTAAATGTGATGAACGAGCTGGTCTTCAGGGGAGTTGACGGCGACTTCACCCTGGACAAGGCCGCCAAATGCATCCCACCTGCAGGTTAGTAAACGCATCACGTGATGTGTTCATATGATGCTGGTCTCTGGCAAACTCCACATCAGTAGGCTCTCTACTGTGGTACAGGCAGTGCCCTTTCATGCTGTATTATGACACAGTCCAAAATAGCGGCCCTGTTTAGGCTGCCATCGGCAGTGGGGATGCACAAGCGCTCTGCAGGATCTTTGCGTCAAGCCTTGGCTTCTTACTTTCCATTCTACAGCACATGAACGGGCGTATATTTGTTCGAATGTGCTGGACTTGTGTCTTTCCAGGGGTCTTGCTGGTTGCTGGGGGGATTGGGATAACGCCCATGAGGACGATGTTTGCCGAGTGCATCAAGCGCAGCATTCCAGTGACACTGCTGTACACTGCGCGCCACCTGGAGGATGCAGCTTTCCTGGCAGAGTTCCAAGAGGTAAGCTACACTTAGAATGAGAAATATACAAGGGACCCGGCTGGCGGGGGCCGGTATAAATACTGAGCACCATGCCCACGGTTGATTGGGCCTTGCTTGGATCTGGCGAGTCCGACAAGGGGGTAGGAGTGTGGCAGCATATACATCCAAGAATCCTGTACATCGCAGGATTTTTGAATGAAGCTTGTCTGCAGGACACACATTGCCTTTTACAGGAAAAACGTGGTTAACATAACAAAAATGACAGTGTACAATGGAGTCACGTGTACCTATTTTGTGCTCTGAGGACACAAGCAGTGTCCTGCACGGTCTCCTCTCAGTACTGCAAGACTCAATTGAGCTTGCGAGCAACTTATCTCTTGTTCGTGACAGTCTGTGCCAGAGGGAATGATGGTTCTGTCATGTGGTGAGGTGGCGTTTTGTTTGTCTTGCAGGGTGCAGCAAAGCATGACAATGTGAGGCTGGCGCTGACATTGACAGCAGAACAGGAGAGTCCGCCTCCGGGAATGACTACCTTCTCAGGCAGAATTAATGCAGCCATGATCCAGCAGGTGCTGCAATCCTCGCTAGCTTGCCAATTCCTACAGATCATCTTCAAGAGATGTGTAGTATTTTACCGGCAGATATCTTTGATTATGTCCTGCATCTCAGACAAGCTGTGTTTTGTTGATGTGTGGCACACTTGCAACAATGGGATCGTTGCATGTGCTGGCCATGCTAAGTTGGCGCTTGTAGAAGTTACTCATGAAATTTACGTTTTCTGCATTCTGCAGGTGTGCCCTGACGTGAGCAAGCGTGAGGTGTTCCAGTGTGGGCCGGACACCATGATGGACAGTGTCATGAAGGAGCTCCTGAGTCTGGGCCTCTCATCATCACAGGTGCATCAGGAGTCCTTCAGTTTCTGAATTGCAGGCTGACTTGCTTGTTGCAACTGGCAGTCCAAGGCAAGCGTTGTACATGAAGCAGGGGACTGATCAAATCCCCAGACAATTCCTGGAAGTTCTGAGGAACCCTGCTCGAGCAGAACCTCTGATATTTTTTTCCAAGGAGATCCTGATGGATCTCATGCGATACTGAGCGTCAGCTGTACTAAGTTGTCTAGCGCGTGGTGCAATCTGGGAGTTGCATCTGTCAAGGTGACCGTCAAAATAGTTAGTCTGCCCAATCTCGAGAAGCACCTCAGAAAATGGAAGAGATACGGCCTGCCCAAATCCAAATTGAGCTGCAAAATGAGGGGCTGGGAAGCTTGAAACAACAGCAAATTCACAGATATTTTGGGGTAGAGACTAGGAATTCTGTTGGCAAGCGCCTGCGTGCGGACCACTCTAGTTTACAGCAATTGGAACAGCATGTGTAACGCCGCTGTGACGGCATGCCTTGAAAGACGCCAAGCAAACAGGGGGGTTTTGTCCTTCATTGTGAATTGTTACGAGACAATTTGTATTGTAGTGTTTGCAAGTTTGTTGGTGTTGAAATGCATCTTTTAGCCCAGATAGCAGGAAGGGTTCGGTGCTTATTTTCCCTTGCTCAAGCTGACATCGATGGCTATTTTGTGTCAGAGAATAGCCTTCTTGTGATCAGGTTTCTAGTGTCAGGTGGGGTGAGGACCCTTTTAGGCATATGCTTTCTGCGCATGGGATCTTGGCATGCTTTTTAGGCAATTGTTGTTGGGATGATTTCAGTACTGAACACAAAAGTGGCAGTGCTTTGGTGAAGTGTCCTCGTCTGCAGTTCTTTCACATTCACATGTGTGGGTTTGACCGCATGGGTTTGACCGCATACGTAGCCTTTCAGGCTAGCTGCACGTGTGCATGGATTTAAGTGAAAAAGGGTTATTGGATATGTAGCGCCCAGTACTCATTCAGCAATGCAACCAAACTTACAGGGCTCACTAGCCTGGGCAGTGGTTTAAACCAAACTTTGAGAAAAAGAATCCGTATAAAAAGTACAACTTTTCCACCCATCAGCAGTACTCCCCTCCTGACAGTTAAGCATCAACACAAGCGCGCCTACACACAAAGCAAGCAGCAAGCAGTGAAGCCGCATTTCTGGCGGGAAACTCTGTCTCTGCAAACCATGCATGCGGGGCGATGACAAGAGTGCTGGCATGAACGCAGAAACAACCCCAACATGCCCAAGCTCAGATGGACAACAGTCATAGTCTCAAAACTTTATAGTGTTCAGCAAGCATTGTCGCGCACCAGCAGTCATGACCAGAGCATGCAAACTTGAATATAGAATATAGGAATTGTCCTAACTCTAACAGCCAAGGCAACAGCAAGCACATGTTCGAGTGGGCAGACACGTGGACGAGCACGATACCAATAACATCCAGATGTCTGCGCCGCTTGTTTCTTTCGTCACGTACAGGTGCAGCAACAATGTGCATGCAGCAGCAAACTCGACGCGTGCAGTGTGCCTAAAGCAAACGTCAAAGCAACACATTTCAATAGCAGGATGGATCCTAATAATCACCCTCAACCACTTCCTGGGTCATGCATCCTCGTGGAGCCTTGATAACCAGAAAACATCTGCCCTCACCCCTGCTCGCAAAATGCAGCAGCTAAGCACAGGACAAGGGCAGGTCAGGTTCCTAGCGCGACAGCCAAACTCAATAGAAGAGAGGCCACAAATGCCCATGCGGGCACAAAGAAGAGAGGCTCACACGAGCACATTATAATCAACTGCTGCCACCACCCAAGTTCGTTCCATGTTGTCCTGGTTTTCTGCACGCAGGTCGTTCGTTGGGAAATTTTAATGCACCCCAGGGGGACCACCCAGCGCTCTCTTGCCCCTTGTGCTGTAACATGCAAGGCTGGCTGCCTATCGCCAAAGACGATTACTCCAGCCCTGGACCAAAGATGCCATGCCTCGACATCGCAGCAGGAGGCTGTCAAATGGGGGGAGGGGAAAGCCATCCCTCTGTTGCCAGCTGCCAGGCCATGCAACTTCAGCCAATATGCCTGCAAATGCCCGCCCTGATGTCCTCTCTAGCAAATAGCACACTCAACACTGACTGGACCCCAGTCGGGAAGGCCCTCACACTAACAGACTCGCAGGGATGGCACATGCCGACCCCTCGGCTCACCACGCCCCATTGTACTGATCGGATCACAACCCACAACTGACTGAGCTGTCAGTCTGTGCTGCATGCAACTGTGCCGACAACCCCAAGTAATCTTGAGGGGCACAACTCAGCCACACGCCTCTCAGCACCAACCGCCCCGCAGCAACACCCACCAATTTACAGCAAGTCCTCAGCATTATCAACTATCTCATAACTAAGTGGGCGCTCTGGAGGCCCAGGCCAGCCACGCCGCTCAGCAGCAGTGTCTCAGGGGCCCAATGGATTGTAAGCCCTTGCCCATCACCACAACGTACAACTAAAAACCATGCGCGGCTCCAAAATTCAGGGCGGGAAGCGTCAGCGCCGAGCCAAAACACCGCAGCGCACCGGGGCCGGGCTGTGCTCCACAGTCGTCCCCAATTCCCTTACACGAGCATGCATTCTAGAGGCAGGCGCCCAGCAATCTCATCGCCTGTCATGTTGTAAGCTCCAGGTCACCGCGATGAACACACCCTCTTGCACGATACTCCCCCTCACTGACGGCAGCGGAGAGAGCCGTTGCCCCTGCAAAATATCCATCTTCCGTTCTGTTCTAATGATCCTCAATTTGCAGAGGGCACAACCTTCACACTGCGCTGCCGATACTCTGGGAACCCCTGCCAATCCAGGAGGGGGGGGGCCCCGGGGGTCCCCCCCCCGGTGGTCGGAGGGGGGGGGCACCAGCTCAGAAGGCTACGGGTCCCGGCTGCAGTGCGCGCTTGACGGTGAGGAACTTGTTGCCGATCTGCTTCCCGTTGAGGTTCTGGATGACATAGTCTGTCAGCCCGATGTCCTGGTACTCGCAGAAGGCGTAGCCCTGCAGCACGATAGGTCCAACTCAATTTCAAGGGACATGCATGAAGGTACACAGAGGGGAACATTGACTGTGGCCAACTCTGAAGAATACCTCACATGCCACAAACAGAGGAAAAGGCCCAAAAGAACAAGACCCACAGTTCTCCCCATGCATGCAGAAGTTGTGGTGGAACGCATGCATGCCAAAATTGCACTGTAGCAATGCCATATCTGCCCGGACCCAGATTCTAACAATGAGTTTATTGCTCCCATGCATGAAGCTAGGAGATGGGCACCTTGGAGTTGCCGGTGTTCTTGTCCATGACCAGGTTGAACGCCTTCAGTGACCCAAAGGGCAGCAGCAGCTCCTTCACCTAAGGGAAATGCAGCAGCCCACGTCAAACATTGCAGTGCTGTGCACGCATGAGCCCCCATACACCAAGCACACAGCATTGCTAAAGGTAAATGACAGTTGGGGAAACATACATCTCCCTTCATGCCACGCAACAGCACACGAGTGGATGCAGTAGCACATGAGTGGTCGTGAACGATCACATAATGCCAGTATGTAATAACAATGAGGGATGACAGCGTCGCAGTGATCCGATTAGTAGGTACTGTGCTTTCAAACTGGATCATGACTTCAAAAGTTGTGAAGAGCACACCTGGTCTTCGGTCCAGTCGCAGGGCAGGCCGCCTATGAAGAGTTTGTGGGGGGAATCTTGCACCACGGTCTTCACGATGTCCAGGTTGGACACATCCATGGTGGGGTCCGGGTCTGTGGGGCCCAGCATCACCGCCACGTTTATGTCATAGTTGTTCGGCCGCCTCACCTGGCCACAACAGCAAAGTTTTAGAGGTCGTGCACACCCAGAGGCAGAGGCCTCCCACACGCAGAAAGACACCCCAGTAGCTAAGGAGGACCCCCATGCAGAGTGCAATTTATGTACAATTGCAAGACTTGCTGTCCCAAGAAGGTATCTGGTACTGAGCACCTCACGCTCAGGTGAAGATCACCCCTTCCTGAAGAGTCATGCTGAACAAGTCAAGCCGTGCCAGGGGGATCAAGGAATGCATGCATATCTGCAACACTCCAACGCTGATTCCTGGCGCTATGGAAAGCAGAGGCTGTGCCACAAAGTGTGTATCTGTGGAGTTCAAAGCTGCGGGCTCACCCTGAGGTAGGAGTCCTTGAATGCGACGCCGTCAAAGGCCATGCAGTTGGAGGCCTCCTCTACAGACCGGAACTCCAGGAACGCATATGACTTCTCCGTGTAGATTTTGCAGGAGGCGATGGGGTAGCCTGTGGCCGCGCAGCCCCCAGTGCTCACCATCAGCTCGTTGATATACTGGCGCAGATCCGCCTATGCCCAAGACAGCCTTGTCAGCCCAATATCCCATGTGTCACCACAGATTAAGTAATAGTGAACTGAGCGTAAAAAATAATTTTTCCTAGATTCAGCGGAAGTGAAGCGATGAGCCGGCATTGGCAGCACTGCAGCTGCCAGGACAAACTCCTTAAGACAGCAGACCTTATTTAGCCTTCTATCGGTGCCACATGCAACGACATGCTAGCATTGCAAATGGCACACTGACTGATGCAGGAGATGCACAATGCAAGCGCGATCTTCTGTAGAAGCCACAACGCTCAGACACACCGCTATGTAGTGTGCGAGCTACAGGTCAGGATCGGGGGCAGAAAGCTCACATCGGTGGTTTCAGGCGGGAGACCGCCCACATAGATTCGCCGTGCTGGCCGCGCAGCATCCGGATTGAACATCTGATACCGCGCCTGGATCTGGGCAGCCCATGCCCTGCACATGGCAACAAGGCATTCAGTGTGTTCGTTTGTAGATCAAGGTAGGAAAGGAATCTTGCTGCTGCACAGGGCCCGTGATCCACAGCTGAAACATGCATAGGCACCTCTGTAACTGCCTGACAGCAGGGGGAGTAGGATTGCTTGAAACAGAAAGATTGCAAGGTGTGAAGCAGCAGAAGCATGGCTAATATGAGAGACTAAGAAAGTGAAGGGAAAGGGTAAAGACCTGTAGTGGCCGAGAGTGCCCAACAGCTTTGCTATCTGCGCATCCTTGGACCGCAGTTGCTCTCCAAGCGTAATAGAATCCAGGGTCATCCCTGCAATGCACGCGTGACCTTGCTGTAACAGCATGATGCTGAACAAAGGAGCACATACTGCAAATCTGCAGACACATGGCAATGCAGAGACACACTATACATTTGCATCCTGCTCTTCACTCCCAAAGAGCACCGTAGTGAGCTGCACGTTCAGAAAGTTAGGTGCTGACGCTCACCTGTAAATTGATTCTCAAGGCCAGTGCCTGCAAACACACGCCAGTGTACTGATGACAATAGCTCTGACAAAGGCAACAAGTGCTAAAAGTCCGTCAAGACTTCAATACAATGTCAATTCCTGGTTCCCATCAGATCACGTGTGAAGGCAGAATAGTCAATTCCCTGTCTCTATGTGTGGACAACTGCAATCACATCTGTCTTGCGAAAGGGTTTCTCTTGCAAAACGATATGCACTGAAATGCTGGAGCCTCTATCCGCGTAATAACTCTCTGTTACAGATCACTATTGTCCAGCAGGATGCAAAAAATATCCTGCAACGCTGTTGAGGATTGCCAAAGAAATTCTGTATTGGGCCATGACATGTACCTGCGCCTGGCATGCCCATGCCTGAGCCCAGGACACTCTCCGAAAAGTTGTGACTCGCCACCTTGCCGTTGATCTTTGTGTCCAGGTTTTTATCATTCCTGGGGAGGACACAGCAGTAGACATCAGCCCTGCGCAGAGTTGCTCTGGTACGTCCCATTGATGACATGTACTATTGCTCGAAAGGAGGGAAGGCTCGAGAAGAATAAATACGGAGAAGTGATACACCAACAATAGGCTCGAAAAGAATAAATACGGAGAAGTGATACGCCAACAATCAAATATGACGCTACCGAGCAGAGCCTGACAACACATAGAGGATCCCTTAACAGGATCCTAATTGTACGTCTCAGGACTTGGCCGATACATATCAGCACAGACGACGCACCCGTTGCCGAACATCAACACTGGTGTTGCACCTCCTTTACTCCCTTGGCGCCCACGGTCGATCCAGCTACCTAAAACAATCCTCACTTCATCACGATTACGCCGACAAAGTGCGTTGCTCCGGACCTCCAAATCGCTCCGTCACTGTTCGTGATACCGCACAATCCCAAGCCAATGACTGAGAAATAGCTGAAGGAATTCGGCTAACTCAGCGAGGCCCAAAATAGCCAACAGAAACGAGTAGCAATGCCCGCACTCCGCTGCGCTCCGAGTCAAGAAGCGGGAGCTCAAGAAGCTGGCGATGGCTATATTACCTTTTGGTACGAAAGGCGTGTGCTTGCGATACACAAATCGGACATCAGCCCTGAACACAGACGGCACGCCCTGGTTGTACTGCCTGCCGACCACCTGTCTAGCCCTCTTTACTATGCTGCAGGCTGAAAGATGTGCTCGCACCTCGAGACACGATTCTAGAGGTTTGCAGTGCAAAGAATTGTCCCAATCGAAGTATCATCTGAAGTTTATCGCTTGTGGGCAAGGCTACTCACCTTCGACAACTAGAACAACGACGTCCCGCCGCAAACTGATATTCCTTACTGCCCCTCTTCAAATGCCGCAAGAATATCTGCAACAACGTATCACAAGACAACGGGCAGAGGACGCTTCTCAAAACTGTCTTCTAATTCATAAAGCAGTGCAGGTCACCGTTGTCAGACAAAAGACACGCTGAGTAAGTCCCACTCTGCGTCAGATGTTGCCTGGTAATCTGGCCCAATTGTTATGTGGGACAGGGATCATTCATATGATTCCACATCAAAACTTACAGACAATGTACTGCATTAGCTTCTGGCCATCTGCACACTGGGTTGCGTCACCCATGAGTCGATGCGAATCGGGGTGAATGACGTAGGTGGCAGCTGCCGGGAGCATTTGCGAGATATTTCAATGCAAGCCAGGATTTTTTGCAGCCTTCCAACATTTGCGTCTGCTGTGCAGCGTGTTGGTGTAACATAACCCATTTTGTACAACGCATCGAAGTCGGACCGGACAGCCTATGGAGCAGTGACGGATCCGGACTGGGTTTGTAAGGACGCGCAAACAGCCGATCACAGTGTGTTCAAGCATCTAGAAAATATCCTCTTCCTCTCATAATGAACAACCTCCAAGCATCCTCTGCCATCAAATGATCTTTGGGGATCACGCCTCCAGAGCACAACTGCAAGACGAGTCACCCACTGGTTGACAAGCAAATCATCCTGTCATTCGGTTGTTCTCTGTCATTGCTTCTGCACATCCTCCAAAGCTCGCACAAGACCTCCAAAGTCCTTGAAGTCTTGTGACACACAAGTCACCTCCATGCCAAGGAGCCGACCGGCACCTGCAATGCAATCAGAAAGGCACCTTAAGGATTTAGAGAAATAGGATGCAGTTATCAAAGCATAACGAGCGCCAGAAGACAAATAAAGGGCTGCCTCCGGACTACACGTCATGCGCCAACAATACATTGATCCCAGACCCAGGTGAACTTTAGAACAGCTTGAGGGATTGCGACGATGCTCTTTATCCAATAAAGTGAGTCACTCTGTCTCCATATCACTCTGTCTTCAAGCGGTGACGATGGGATCACCTGCAGCTGTGTAAGGCCCGTGAGCAGCGAGAATGGTGCCCCATTTCTCCAGCATCTGCTGCAGCGCTTCTCTGCCCCCCATGATCTGCAAGAGCCCCTCCGCCTATGACAGCACCTTCTTATCAGACACCATGCCACTTGCCCTGTTATTGCAAGGCTCCCATGCATCTACCTCCTCATTTCATCTCCGTTCTGTCGGAGAACCGGCCCTCTCTGTCAGTACCATTGCTTGAGCGCACTGTCAGAATGCCCCATGACAGAGGCATTGAGATGTCTATAATAATCTTTACAAATTGAGAAAGGGCAATGATATGTGCGAATGCCAGCGAGGATCTCACGACAAAGGGACTTTTCAAGCATCAGCTACCGACACGGCAATTGCATGGTTTTGGTTATGGGCCTCTCGGGACAGTACTGTGCCTCACACAAGAAAGGATGTGTCATGAGGATGTGTCATGCATCAGCGTGCCCTCCCACCCTGCTTACGTGATTAGTCACTGGAGTGGCAAATACTGTACCTCAGCAGTGGACGTGAACGCCACTGCGTAAACGTGACCATCAGCCAGCAGCTGCCGCTCTGCAGCGCACTGCTCTGCAGTTGCCCCTGGCCGCGTCTCATAGGCATCCACTCTCACAGCGTGCGCCCCTGCTGCCTTCACAGAATGGGCCTCACTTACCCACAGAAATGCACGAATTGCATTAGTGGCTGTCAGCAGTGCAAATTTATCCGTGAAATGGCCATATGAGGATTGACAATGAGGGGGGCCCAGCTGGGAATCAACTGATGAACCAAGCCTGCCAGCTTGAGAGCATGCCCTGACTTCGAGAACTTTCTGCCGCTCAGTGAGCCCGGCAGCATAAAAACAGCTGTCCCAACCCAAAAGCTGCCAGACTGATTTAGCGAAAGAACAATGCAGACATTGGAATAGAGCGAGCGCCAAAAGATGAGAAGAAGGGCTGTTTGGCAGGTGCACGTTCATGCAACAACAACACAACAATCCCCCGGTCCAGGAGCACTGATTGCAATGCTCCAGCATTACTCGCTTGCAACGACCGGCTGTGTGCACATGTCACCCCCTGCAATGCAAGGCTAAATGGTGTGGCGGAGGAGGTTGAGACCCACCTGCAAGCTGGCCAGGAACCTGGGCACCACAGGCGGTTCTGTGAGACCCCCACTCACCAGCGGCACAGGGCATAGCACCCTCGCTCCCTCAGCCTCCCCTCGCCTTTGCAGCTCAGCCACAAGCCCCTGTGTGCTTGCCTGCACCCAAGCGCCTGGCATCATCTCTTTTACGCAGGCCACTCCTCTGATAAGGCAGGTGGTGTTCATGACATGCATTCGAGGGTGCAGCCACCACAATCTAGAACTAGTACCTCCTAAGTTGGCAAGAGATCTTCCATTAAATGATGAAATGAAATGATATGGTATGATAGATAACGAACTTATCCTGGACTGCTCCTCTTGATGCTGCTGGGCTTGACAGAATACCGTGCCTCAAGCTTCCAATTGACTTGGATCAGCTCATGATACACACAAATATCAAGACACCCGCCATCGGCATCGCTCTCCTGTGTGGAACCTATGTGTTATGCGCCATTGCCTGATGCATCTCAGGGTGTAAGGAGGAACACCTCCTGGGGGGTCAGAACATCCCTCACTCCGGCCTCCGCCAGCATTTCAGCGTCCGCTCCGAGCGCAGCACAGCGCAGCGGCAGAGCATTCAAATGCGCAATGGCCGACTGCAGGCTGCCATGCGCAGCTGCCAGCCTTTCCAGAACGGCCTGGATGCCGTTGCGCGATGTGAAGGCCAGGTGAGTGTAGCTGTCCAGGCTGGCAAGCTCGTCGTCCAACTGCTGCACCCCAGCTCACTGGTTGACAAACAGCCATGTATTGCTTGCCTTTTGCTTAGCGCCAAGGCTCTGCCTAACTGTGAGAGGGCAATGCACACTTTCCAATGACGATGAAAACAGCCCTGAGGGCCCATGTGAGATTGCATAATGGGCAATCCGCAAGATCTGTGTAGTGACTGAATGTTAGCCTATCATTTGACAAATGGTGCATCATTGTAGTGCAGTGCAGGATGTGGACGCTGACTGATGACAGGAGAGCGATTCATGTGTCCACCTGCATGCTCTGTGCGTCTGACAGGCGGGCGATCTCGATTGCAGGCACCCACACAGGCCGCGCGCCCCGCTCTGCAAGTCGTGCAGCGAGTTTCAGCGCATACTGGCGAGGGGACGTGAACATGACCCGCTTATTTGTCAATGGTAGAGAGTCAGACCCTGCAGCATGCATGCAGGGCCAGTCCCAACTTTCCTGAAGGAACCCAGAGTTTCTGTAACAAGTTAATAATTTTTTATATCAGCTGTTGGGAAGCATCCCCCTTTTCCATGCATGGCTCACCTTGCAGCAACTCACTGTCAAGCAGAGCTTGAGCTTGGGCTTCACAAACGCTTGCACTGGTCTGGACCCTATTCATTTGCTTAAGAAGCTTCCTTTCGAGACATCGTCGTTTTAAAATGCAGCTCCCAACATGGACGCCCTCTAAAATGCAATGGCATGGCCTCATCAAGAATGCTGCTGGACAATTTCTAAATGATTGCCAGACCAAAATTGAGCTTGGTTTCGCACAAGCACATCTCTCGTTCATCTACATTCAGTTACATTGATGTTGCGCGGATTCCTCATCCAAAGTGAATGTCCCACATGAGGCGGTGAGTCATTAGGATCCAAGGAAATTTAACGAGGTCGTTGCCATTCTATATTTGGAATACTTAGATAGTAGTCTTTGATATTTGGCAATCACGCATTTCACCTCATTGATGGACAAGGATCAAGGGAAGAAGAATCTGCCGTGAAGGACGTAGGAGTGCTGCGCGTCATCTTTCCAGTGGATATCACAGGATCTGATCATGGAAGCCGTTCCAATGATAGCCAGTGGCTTATTTGCGGGCGCAGCCTTATCAGTCTCCATCGCTGAGCACCCCGCAAGGCAGGACATAGATCCTGAGCAAGCTGTGCGACAGTTCAAGAAGAGCTACAAACAGATCGCCCCCTTGCAAGTAGACCGCTCATCCTCGATAAATATCACCTGTTTCAAATTGCTAACACTCCAGTACTCAATGTTCCTATATCGACTTTTACTGAGATTATTTAATTGCAGGTAGCATTGGAAGTTGTGCTTTCTAAATATATGCTCTCCCTTCTGATGCATTACAGGCTGGCCTGGCGCTTATTGCCTCTGGCACTTCTCTGTACCTTGCATCCAAGAGTGGCGACCAGAGCAGAAAGATCTATCTTGCAGCTGGCCTGAGCATGGCTGCTATGTTGCCCTACACCGTGATCTGCATCTTCCCCACAAACAACAGGCTCATGTCTGCAGAGAAGAAGGAGGATGCTGAGGTGAGTGACCCCTCAATGTGCACAGCCCATCTGAGTTTACAATGTCACCTTTGGTAGGGGATGGCATCTGCATATGCTGAAAGACCTGCCTGGTCCTGGACGTTCAGAACCATCATTTGAGATGGCTGCAGCTGCAGTGTAGCCTATGCATGTCTATTTACATTTCTGTATGGCAATCTCAGGTCAAGCGTCTCTTCGGCAAATGGGAGAAGCTGCATGCAGTGCGGACGATCGTGGGCACTCTCGCTTTTGCTGGCATCACCATTGCAGCCTTGCAGAGCTCGAAGAAATGATGTGACCGTCACTGCAGTGCAGAGCAAGTAGAGGAAGAGGAATGCAGACATCAAGGCAAAGCGAGCACCACAATGAGAACCAAATGTAGAATTTAAGGGCCTCAACAGTCCCAGGCCCCATGTCAATTGCCTTGTGTGCAAATGTCATTGCCACTGCTACATCAGATCTGCTGCGGCTTCAGAGCTGCTCTGGCTGGCGCTTTGGAGCCAAGTTTTGTCTGCATCATGATAATTTGCATCAGGTGAATTATGTAGTTGTTTCTGATCGGAAAATTGTACTAAGGGCTCACAGAGGACTGCCCAGGGCCAACCACGAGGTCCATGTGCCTCCCTGTACGCATGGCCTGAAAGCATGCAGCTCTTGGACTGCCGCAGATCAAGCTGTAATAACAATGATGATTCTTGAGAAAATGTGGACTGATATTGCTTCGTCTGTTTATTAAAACTGCAAGTCGGCTAGCCAGACTTCTCCACATCCCCAAAGCCCACTGTCACTGCTGCTATGGCCACCACCATCTCGTCCGTGACATCTCCTGCAAGCAATCAGCAAAACTCCTCATAAAATTTCGCCTCATCCCCACTAGCTCCAGCACTTCACAGCAGAAGGCGTGCCATGCGCACATTTGCCAGCAAATAACACGAGCTGCAGCTTTTGGCAAGGCAGGCATACCTAGCTCATCAATTGCAATGCCGCTTCCGCATGACAATCCGCCTTCAACAGCCTGCGCACATGTGCAGGCTGTACAGGCCAACATGTCTCAAAGCGTTTCTCATCATGACACCGGGTGTCTTGCCTTCAAATGAGCTGCTCTTTTAGTCAGGTTGGGTCTTCATCTTAGAGGAAATGCTGCTCCAATTTTCGCTGATGCTGTCCATCCGTATACAGGCCAACAAAAGGCTCACCTCGATCACTGCCTGACCGTAAGGAAATATCTTCCGGCACTCCTCCAAATCGACACGCTCCTGCAAGCCAACATTGCAGGGAAGGTTAGCCACAGATCCAAGATGAATCGGGCTTAAATGCCGTGCAGGGGCGCAGAATGGCAGCTTGACTGCTGTACCGCAGTGGCTAGCAAAAACAGAGCCATGTGCTCACCGGGTGTGGTGATCCAATCTTCACATGCAGTTTGAGGTTGTTGTAGCCTCCTGGCACAAGCCTGCTGACTGATGGGATTGAGTTGAACTCTATAGCGTTGCGGCAGGCTCTAGCGGCTGCTTTCTGGAACAGCAGACAGACTGTTTAGGCTTGCAGTCGAGTAGTAATGCACATGTCAATTATAATCAAGATGGATGTGCTAGGGAAAGAGCACTCACTGTAACATTTTGCCCGTGCCCATCACAACCTGAACCGATCTCCACAAAGAGAATCTGCGCAATCGGATTGATTACATCATCAAAACACATCAATTATATAGATTGGAGATTCATTGTCTCACAGGCGTGGGGCCAACCTCTGCCATGTGTGGGTTTTTCACCACTCGTCGTCCAGCAACACCAGCACTGGTCTGTCCATCAGTTGATGCTGTCGTCATCCTAGCTCTACTGCAGCGATGTATCCTGTTGCTTATATTATTACTCCTGTGAAGAGTTGATGTGCTTCTAAACAAAGACATAGACTCCGATGGTTCCAGCACATGAAGTGTAGATAGATATTCTGGATATCACACGGACATGCAAACGCAATCGCCCCAACACATCTGTATCTTCTCCATTCTTACATTGTTCAGAGACTGACAAAGTCTCTTGCATCATTCTTAAATTGAGATTTCTCCAAAACGGTAGCTTCCAGGAAGGTAGAAGCTGGTGGCCACTCATCAAGCATGCATGCCTCGTAATTCCACAGCCAATTGCAGTACTTAATTCTGAGCACAAGTTATTGGTGTAAGTAGCGTAGTACGTATAACGACCTTGCATCGAGTCCAGTATAATTGTGATCTCTATTCTGCATTGATCCATGAGGTTGCTCTCGCTGTGAATCCCCGAGGCAGAGTTTGAACATTTCGATTTGGATCTGAGCAGGCTACAACATACTGGGACCCCATAGCATCGGGCTCTGTAGTATTGGACGAACTAAAAAATCACAGCAGAGTCATAAGTCATCTTCCTCCTCAGCAAGGAGCGCATCTATGTTGGCAGCATCCTGGGCCGCGATTGCCCCGAGTGCTGCCCAGTCCCTTGGAGCACCCTTCTGCAACGGGGCTTCCTCCCGATCCACCCCAGCAGCAGCTGACCCATTCAGCTGCGGCGGCCGTTCGCCAGCCTTATGCTCTGGCCTGCGTCCGCTGCTCTTGCCGCATGCTGGAGCGGCAACTGCCGCAGGCTGACCCCTAGAGGGGACATCCTTTGATGTCCTGGCCAAATTAGCAGCAGTGGTCAGCATGCCTGCTCTCGCACGCTTCTTCGGCGGCAGCATCGTCTCCTGTGGAGGCTTGGCTGCCGGCTCTGCTGTTTTGGCTGCGGACGCAGCCGTTGCAGAGCTGACGGCCTTTCTCCGCTCGGTCGCCGCGATGGCCTTCTCCCTTTGGTGAGCAGCCAGCTCAATGTCAACTGCCCCCACAAGGGGTTGCGTCTTCTGTGCTTCCACAGCTGCTGACAAAACGCTTGCCGCGCTGGGTCCTTTGGAGGCGAGTTTGCTGCGCTCGCGCTTTCCGGGAGCCTTGGGGCCGGCTGCTTTGCTTGGACCCCTGGACAGGGCCTCTCGCTTTCCCTTGTCACCCTTCTTGTGACCTGGCGTGCGCTTGCTGCCATTCATCTGCTTCCCCTTTGCGGCGCCCTGCTTATCCCCTGCCCCCGTGTCCGCTCCAGCTGCCAGCCTGCCGCCCTGGTCTGCTAAGGGCTGCGCTGCAGCGCTGCTGGCCGGAGTGTCTCTATCTCTGCTCTGCTGCGCTGGCCAGTTGGGTAGGACAGAAGCGCGCTGCTCTGGTGGGATGCCGGTGCTGGCAGCTGCTGGAAAGTCTCCATCATCGGACACGTCGCTCTCAAATCCCCCAGTATCTCCCGGAGAGGCAACAGTGACACCCGCACTCCCAAGGTCAGGAATGACTGGCTCGCCCAGCATGTCATACTCCAAGCCTTCCAGGTCATCATCTCCATGCGCTGAGGGCCCCTCCACATTGTCCGTCCATCGCAATGTGGAAGCCGATCTGCCATCTCCTGTCACCGCCGCAGCCGCTGTTGGCCCTTGCTGCTCGCTCTCAGCCCCAGTCAGAGATACCTCAGGCCTCAAGCCAGCAGCCTTGCTCTCCTTGCTGCGAGCTGTTTCCCTCTCGGTTGCTGGGGCTGCTTCAGCACTGGCTCCCGATCTGCCATCTCCTGCAGGCCGCCAAGGCTTTGATTGCCGCCTTCTAGAGTCAAGGTTTGCCTCCGCGGCCCTAGAAACTCGCTGCTTCCTGCCCGTTTGGGCCGCCCGCTCTGCCCCAGGCGCCCCCTCCACTGCAGGCTGCCCCGCCGCTGCAAGCTGCCCACCCGCCTCCTCTGCTGCGCTGACCGCTGCCCCGAGCGCGCCATTCGCCAAACCCGGCCCGGGAGCTGCCGACGGGCCGGCTTCATCGGCGGCAGTTGTGTCGCGCGTCCCGGAGAGTCCCCGGCTGGGAGGGCTGTCTCCGGGGGCGAGCGCGCCCAGCAAGTCAAATGGCTCAGCGGCAGCGACATCCATCCAGGAGGGAGCCTCTGTTCTGGGGCGTTTCCGTTGTGGGGGGCTGTCGGCCGGGGCGGGAGCGGGGACCCCAAGCATGACAGATGCCTCACCCGCAGCGACATCACCAGTGACATCCCTCGAGGAGGGAACCAGCGTTCTGGGGCGTTCTCGTTGCGGGTGGCTATCCGCTGGCGCATGCGTGGGACCGTCTGCCGGCGCTTGCGCGGGAGCGGGTCCTCCGGGCATGTCGGACGCGGCGGCTAGCGCTGCGGCGCCGCGCTTGGCCCAGAGCTCCTGCTTGCGGCGCATGGCTGCGCGCTCCCGCGCCTCCTTTCTCAGCACCTCCTTCGCCCTCGGCCCCAGAAATGACAGGTCCAGTTTCCCCCCGTCCGGCCCCTGCGCCGCCATCAAACAAGAGTAAATTAAACAAAAAACATGTAGACGCCCTGATGAAGCCTGAGGAATGATTGAGGAGACTGTGCCGCCATCAGCATCTGAAAGGCTGCTTGGGGTCATGAAATTTAATAGCAGGAAATAAAACTGCATCCTGGAGTGCGGCTGCCCTCCATGTTTACCATGTTCCCATCGCAACATTTGGCATCTTCATCAAGCATCACATCTCACCATGAAAACTCAGACGGGTGACTGGCTTGGAGCTTTTGAGCCCATTAGCAAATTTTGACTGCAGATGAAATGGGCAGCGAGAAGGAGATCTGAGCATCTGAGCATCTCACCTCAAGCTGTGCCAGGGGTATGCCTGCTTCCGCCAGTTCAAGCAGCCCGTCATCCTGTGGCAGACTTGCAGATGCTTCTCCTGCGTCGTCTGAGTCGCCGGCCTGCCCTGTGTTGCCTTTGTCTTTCCTAGATCGTCTGCCTGTACCAATGAAATAGATCTCCTCAGGGTCGCCTTCTACATTGATGCCTGCTTGAGTTCTCACCATCGCAGTGAATGGAAAGCATGTAAATTTGGCGCAAATATGGACATGAAAAAGTGCACGCTTGATTCAGCCACAGAGCTATCGGCATCATTGTAGAAAAATACTCTCTTCAGGCCATTTGCTTTACACTAAGAGGTAAAGGAATAGAAACACATGGCAGATCAACAGTATCAGGAGCAAGTGCCTCACCCCGCCTAGTGCTGCCTGTGCCGCTATCAAGGATGTCCTGGACGTTGAGAGCGACATCACTGAGCATACTGCTCAGGCGCTGGCCCATATCGAGGTCCGCAATGCTCTGCACAGAAGCGCCCTTCAGATCCATATTCAAATGGTCATGACCATACTCGTGCTTGTGCAAGCTGCCAACCTTGCTGTTGCCTCCTTCCAGACTCTGAAGGAAAATGCAGCTTCACAGACTACACAGGACAAGGGTATTTTTCTCTCTGTCTGAGCAACCCTGCGCACAGTAGCGCATATCCCCGTTGCGCCCCATCAAAGTGGGACCCCCACTGCTGTCTGCATTTGCAGCGACATGCAGAACACGTGCATCTGCTTGCATGTTCTGCACAGTCTTCAATGGGCTGTGGATGGAAATCTAGAAGCTAACTGTTGAGCACTGATGCATCATCTGCTTTGCAGGTCTACCCTTACCCTTCAAGTAGGATATGCGGAAACCTCCTCAGCAGCACAGGCAAAATAGGAGCAAAAGTGACCTCTCAGCAGCACAGCTAGAATAGGAGCGGCAGAGAGGGGTGCACCGGGGGCAGGTCATCGGGGTCGGCGGCGGCGAAGACTCTGGCCTGCGCGCTGCGGTAGCTGTCGCAGAGCAGCTGCAGGTGCTTCAGCTCGCGCAGATCCCTGTGCGTCTGCTGCAGGTGATCCAGCGTCAGCGGCAGCATTGCATTGCGCGCACGCATGTCCACCTGAGCCATCCTGCTAGGGAGACAAACACTCTGTCATTGCACATGGCCTAGCAAGCTTACGTGTGAACCTGCGCTAGCGTGCGGTGAGCCCACTGTCATCTGCTGATGCAGTGACATGTCCAATTGAGCCATCCTGCCAATACACAAGCAATAAGCTCAGGGCACAAGCTACCTGCACGTGCAAATTGACAGGTGTTGCGAACGTCAGAAACACCTGCTGCTAGGCGCAGATGCGAAGCTATGCTTCTTTTGTATCATATACAGTTGGACGCCTTTACATGTATCGGCCGCTTCCTGCGCCTGAGGGTGCGAAAGCACATATCATCATGTACACGGTTTATCGGGCGCTGCAGTACCTAGAATCAGGCACACATTAAGCCATGTATCCGACAATCTGAGCTTTTGACACCCTTGAGAGAGCAATACCATGCAACTACTGTTGCAAAGCACGTGGAGAAGCAAGAGGCAGAAAGGGTGAGATCTCACTTGGGCTGCTGGAAAGGCAGGGGAGGAGAGCAGGCAGGTGGCCGGAGCACAGCCCCGCACACGAGCGCATGGCTCTCCACCAGCCTATTCACGACGGCGGCCACGTCAGGAACGCCCCTGCGCCGCGTTTCGCGCATGATGTCCAGCAGTATGCGCAGGCTGCTGAGCGGCAGGTACGGCCGGACCTTCTGTGCGCACGGCTGCGTCTCGTGCAGGGTGTATATTGCGTACAGAGCTCCCACCTGTATAGTGATACAGAGGAAAAAACTGCTGGAAATTGCAAGAAATAGGGACACTGTATGGTCTACAATGCTGGCCAGTAATGTGGATGGCCTCATGCAATGTAGCATATGCAAGAGGTGTATGATGTGAAGACATGCATGTTGATGAGTGGGGTGCTACCTGCAAAGCCAGCGATGGGGAGGATGGATCAGTGTCTGCCTCCACAGCCTGCAGTGCTGCACTCTGTTGGCCGGCATCTGTCATGTGCTCCGTGCCTGCAACACCGGGGCATGCGTTAATCTTGATGATTCAGGATGATAGCCCTTCCAGCCTGCAGCCCCTACAGAGTTTGTGTGTTGTAAAGAGCAGCATTTTTGCTCTTTTGTAAGAAAATGGGTGTCCTACCATGCATCTCAGGTGCATGGTCCACATCGGGCACGTCCAGGTCGTGCAATGTGCTAACCAAGCGGTGTATGTGCTCCTGATCACCTGCAAAGGAAGCAGTCATAAAGCCATAAGAAGCCATGAGCCTAAGACTCACATGACGTCTAAAAACACATTGTCCGATACCCAAGCCGTGCTACAAGGTCTGATCTCAGGGAGAGCTGCGACGCAAAGTTGGCCATGATCAAAACAAAGTGCCAGATGCGCCTTGTACCATTCTGAGAGGCATCAGCATGGCTGGGGCCCGGCTGCTCTGCATCGCCCTCCTCCAGCAGCAGGGCCCTCAGAGCAGCGCTGTCAATCCGCGGCACGCCAGCTGGCTGCTGCTGCCCCTCCGGTGCACGCTCCTGCTGACTGGGACCCCCAGAGTTTCCCTTGGGGCCAGCTCCTGCGCTCCTGGCCACAGCTGCCGCCAGCAGATCCCTGCCGGATGCAGGCCTCTTTGGTGGCCGCCCCTGCCGCGATGCAGCAGCAGCCTGCACGCTGTGCTGCGCTGTGCCCGCTGTGCTGCCTGCCTGAGGTTCTACTGGTGTAACAGCTGCTGGTGCGGGCGCTGATGGCTGCTGCATCTGATCAGGTGGGTTCTCTGCTGCATCAGTTGCAGGGGGATCATTTTGTCCTGCAGGGGGTTCGGCTCGGGGCAGAGGTGCCTGCAGATGATCGCATGCGACTGCAAAGAGCGACTGCATGAATCCTGGAAAGGTGGAATGCTCCAAGCAGCCCTGCGCAAAGAAGGTGCCCCTTCCTGACCAATTGTCCCACTTGACAGTTGTGGAGGGAGAAGCAGCTGCAGAGCATGTCGAGAGGGGATCCGCAAGGACCAGTGGTGGGGCAAGCACGGTGCTACTGTGGAATGGCCTGCTTACCTCATAGATGAGAGAGAAATGCAAGTCCTGCCAAGCCTGCCGGAACGTAGCGTAGGACAGGGGACTGCCTGAGTCAACCTTGTGCAAGAAAAGCCTCAACAACGCATGCACATCTTGCTCTTGAGGCGCCAGGCTTGGCATGCCTGAAGTCCCTGGCATCCCTGCTTCACCTCAGGTGTTTTGGATTGCCATCAGGCAATCAGAACTGCAAGAACACCGGCAACAAGCAATCAAACCAAAATCTTCCAACATCCTGACACTATGAGAGGGAAGGAAAGTCAGCCAAGATCGTGCAAGTCCCCTGATCAATCCCTGCTCAGGAACGCAAAAGAAATGGCCGGGAAAGTTCACAGAAATTCTTACGCTTGCAACTATCGCAGATTCTACCTCGTACCTGGCTACATCTGGCTGAGCAAATAGCAATCTGCTGACTCATAGCCGATGGCCTGCATCCTCATGCTGCAGGGCTTACAGCCGCCCAGGTACAAATGGCAATATCAGGCATTGCATTGCATCCAACAAAGCTACTAATTGCCGACGATGACATCGAGATGAAAATTTCCTCGCTTGAGAAAGCCTGGTCCCATACACGAAGATGTGTTCCTTTTCTGTGCATGCTCGGCCAGGGGCCTACTTCCACGTCATCATCCCCAAATGTCCGTGACGATCGCTGCAAGATCGGTGCATACTTAACTGGAAAGTCTTTGGGATTCACATTGACAAAGCTGCGTGAAAGTAACGTTGTCTTTCTGTGTAAAGAAAGATTGATTTGTCAGTGAGTTGATCTGTTTACTACATTCCCGTACCTTGGATACTTGGAAGGCAGCCGAGATCGCGCCAGAAGAGACTTTTCGAACAACTTTAACATTGTCATAACCGATAGAAACACTATTTTCTGTGATGAGCGCGTTGTCAGAGCGAAACGCATTTCTTAAAGGTGGGAAATTAGGACTTCACTATGTCGACATATAGGACTATCTGAGGGCTTATTTATGATCCATATTCTGGCTCTTTTATCTCGTGTACTCACGTTCCTTTGCTTACCATCAGGACAACTACCTCCTAGCTTCAGTAAGCCACAGCACGATAGCCAGGTCCCTAGGCGCTGCAAGCCCTTCAAAGCCATGGCTCAGGTAAAATTTGACATACTTTGAGACAACCTTGAAAGGAATTTCATTAGGAGGGGCTCCTGTGAGGAGCCTTCAGACAGTCAACTTCCCCTGCTTGATATATAGAGCGCGTGATCTCTTCTGCTGCAGGATCGTGGAGCTTCGGTCAGGGCAGATGCAGCCACCCTGGAAGCCCCTACCACTTCCAGCGCACCTAGCACGTACCCCACTGAAGCAGCAAGGCGCACTGCTTTCAGAGAAGATTTCACTCCAGAGCTGGTGAGTTTCCTGCTCGAGAACGTCCCAGCTGAGGTTGCTCAGCAGGAATCTTTAGTATTTGAATCAGCACTGAATTCAAGGTTGTCATTACAATCCATACATGAGAAGCCCAAGTCCTGCCAGGTCGCATTGGACGCGGAGGAAGGGAGGAATGAACTCACATTCAGTGAAGAGCTTTGTAGGACAGTGGGACAGTGGCACTTGGCTTCAAGTTCAAGAGATTTTCTATTGCTGCTCTGCAGACAGAGCCAGTGGAGGCCAACATTCAAGGGAGTGTACCCGGATGGCTGCATGGCTCTTTTGTCAGAAACGGCCCAGGCACATTCAGCGGCATGAAGCACCTGTTCGACGGATATGCCATGCTGGCCAAGTTTGAGTTTGAAAACGGCAGCGTGAAGGTGTCACACAAGTGAGTCCTTGGACCCTTCACATTCACATATTGAAGCTTTGGCATGCAGAAACTTGATTCTAGTGTAGGTTCTAGAGTAGATGCATGACAACTTGAAGCTTCATGGAGAGCTCTATGCAAACAATATCTACTGCAGTGTATGATTGGCAGGATGTCTGCTGCAGGTATGTGCAGACAGAAGCATACAAAGCTTTCCGGCAGACAGGAAAGATGCAGTTCCCAGAGTTCGGCACAACAGTCTCTCCACTCAAGTCTATGTGGCTCGCCTTGTTGGGTTTGACTGGCATTGGTCAAGGCATGCCTCTTTATATGACTCTCTCAGCTTTTCCAAGCAGTAAACTTCTACGAAGAAAAGTTCTGCTTGAAACTTTCACAGATATTGCAACCATCATTATTTGATCGCTGTGGCGATGGCTCATGACTTGTGATTGATGGACTCATCGCCCCTCTGGACATCCTGTACAGGCTTCACGGACAACTCCAGTGTGAATGTTGTCCCCACCCCGGATGGCAAGCAGCTCATATCCCTGACTGAGAGCGTGGCGGGGACCTTTCGCCTGGATATGGATCTCAACACCCTGGGCCAACTCAAATTTGAGGACGGAGTCAAGGGGCTGCTGACAACCGCTCACCCAACCCTCTTGCCAGATGGGAGCATGATCAACCTCACAAGCGGGGTACGCAGACATTTCTGTGCTTCTGCTATTGGGCATGATTTGAGCCCCATCTCTTTGTTGATTTCTGTTGTATGGCACTGATTTGGCGTGTTGGTTGCAGTTTGGCACCCACTACACAGTCTTCAGACAGAACAGGGCCACCAATGTCCGGGAGGAGATTGCTCAGGTAAGCAATACGCTCTGGACCATATGCAGATGGACTTTCATCAAAGCTCAGGGTGCATTCGCGAGTAAAATTGGCAGCAGCAGGAAAAGTCATTGCTTTGCATGCAGGTCCCACTGTGCAGTCCCCCAACGCCGAGCTGGATTCATGACTTTCCAGTGACAGAGAATTATGCAATCGTGCCAGAGACGCCCATCTTCTTCAATCTGAAGGTGCGTGCCAGACCATGTCTTGCCTGTTGTGTGATGCGTTCGAGGTCCAGTCACTCAAAAATTGCAGTCACTTGGAAGTCACTCTGTCAGATATCATCTAAGATATCTTGGACCTCTCTGCGGCAAGGTTTACTGAAGACAAATGTCAGCTTGTCTGCAGACGCACCTTGCCTCTGGCAAGAGAAACGTGTAATAAATGCAATTACCCCACGTTGAAGATGTCTGGATACCGTGCTGCAGGCGGCTCTCTTTGGGGGCGCAGACTATGTGATGTTTGACTGGAAGCCAGAGCAGCGCACCATCCTGCACCTAGTCAACCTGAAGACAGGCGCAGTCACGCAATTTGATGCGCCTCCCTACTTCACATTCCACTACATCAACTCCTTCGAGACTGCTGACGGCGCCAGCCTCTGCTTCGATTTCTCCAGATTTGAGGACCCGGACTTCATGAACAGGCTCATGCTTGACAACCTCCGGGGCAACAAGCGCCCAATTGCTGCCTCGCCTGTTGTGTGAGTCACCTCTTACTACTGTTTCTATCAAGCATGGCAGAAGAGGTAGCATTCTCATTATTATTATCATCATTATTCATTATTATTACATTTTAGAGACCTGTTATGAGCCACCTGAGGGTATTCTGAGGCGGAGGATATTCTTGACATGAAGCAAGCTTGTGTGATGCTTGAAACAGGAGGATAACGGTCCCTCTGGATGGCAGCTCAAGCAGTGCAAAGCTGGAGCCCCTCATGAAGGATGACTCGTACAATTTCTGCGAGCTGCCTCGCGTGAACCCCCACTACAAGGTGCAAATACCGCAATGCCCATCCTGACAGCGACATGCAAATTTACTCTTCACATGTCCAAATTACGCTGACATACAGGATGCATAGGCACAGCTTTTCTCCCTGTCATGTCAGAGGGTGCTTCCTTCAGATCAGGACAGCTAATGCCAGGTCGCATGCTTGATCTGAGAGGCTGAATCCTCGGTTGTGGCTGCAGGGCAAGGAGTACCGGTATGCATACGCGGTGTCAGCCAAGCTGCCTGCATCGTTCGGCAATTCGCTGGCCAAGTTTGATGTGGAGGAGGGAAGTGTGAAGCAGTGGCACGAGGCTGGCTGCATCCCTGTCGAGCCGCTTATGGTCCCGCGTCCTGGAGCACAGGTACTGCCTCCACCATAAATAGTGGAAGAAAACTAGAGACATTGAAGTAGAGCGGGCGCTCATCATCACTCCCAGCCCATCATCTGCTTCAGCCGTCCTGCATCATTTGCTAGATTTTCAATATCACTGTGGTTTCTGCAGTGCTTTTTTCCACAGCCGATTCATCAGACTTGCAAGTGTTGCCCCTGGTGCAAGGGGAGATGCTGCCTTGGCCAGGAAGCTTTTGACTTGTGAGGGATGGTGCTTGTGAGGTGGGATGTGCTGATCCAATTCGATTGATGCAGGATGAGGATGATGGAGTGGTGCTGTCAGTGGTGACTGGGGCGGATGGCAAGTCTTTCCTTCTTGTCCTGGATGCCAGCAGCTTCCAGGAATTGGCCAGGGCACATCTGCCCCATGGGATCCCTTATGGCTTCCATGGCACCTTTGTGCATGCTGATTGACCGTGTGAGCTTGTATTATAGATATCCATCAATGTTTGTGGCACGTTGAGTTGATATCATAAGCAAGATTCCGTCAAGGGAATGAATGGGATACTTTCTGTGAAGACTTTCGTTCGACTGCCATGTGATTCATTGTAAGGCAATTAATTTATTGCGAGCAAAAGTAGCATACAAGCAAAACACGACCGATACAAGGAATACTGATGAGTACTGATCAGTTGTTGCAATGCAAGCAAAACGCAAACTTCCTAGTGCGATCAGATGGCATTCAGTTCTCGCAATCGGCTGATCTCAGCATCACTCAAGTCAAGCTCGTCTCTCAGAATCTGGTCAGTGTGCTCCCCGAGCTCAGGTCCTGCCCACTTTGTAGATCCTGGCGTCCCGCTCAAGACAGGCAGCATGGCAGGCAGTGTCAGGCTCGGCCCATCTCCCGAAGGAGGCTTGGCCTCGTGGAACATCCCCCTCGCCTTGTACTGCTCCTCCTTCATGATGTCTGCAGTGCTCAGTATGGGGCCTGGCACAGCAATTCCTTACTTATTCACACGTAAGATCATGCATGCATGCATCACCTTGCACAAGGCAGCAGACAATGAGAATGCTTGCCCAATCCATTATACTTCAGGCGCAAGATTTCAGGTGCAAGCGGTCTCACCAGAGGGGACTCTGGCTTCTGCCATGACTTCCAGCACCTGTTCAAGGCTTCGCTCCTCCACCCATTTCCCAATCACCTGCACAATACAGTGACCTCTGCATCTCGTGCAAATTAGCACAGGAACCTGCAAACTTAGGTGATAGCCTGGATGTAGGTGAGAAAGGGCACCCCTGACACCCACCTCATAGATTTCATCCTCCCGCTTACACCGCTCAGTATTATTGCAATAAAGAGGATTCTGCGAGCCCATCTCTGGCCGCCCAATTGCTGCCATCAGCCGCGTGTATACCGAGTCCCCATTGCCGCCAATTATTACATATCTGCCATCCTTTGTCTTCAAAGTGGCAGATGGGACCACTCCTGCAAAATTCCTCAATCGCTCAGCCAAGCAGTTCTGTAGCAATATTACTGCAAAGCCAAGCTTGGTCCTAACATGCAGCAGCTTGAGCTCTTTACTGCCTGCCTGAGGCACCTAAGGCAAACTTTGGCTGCGTCAAAGTTCCTTCAATGAAAAAATTAGGCTCACAACAGTTGTCTTCACACCCCCTCTGCAGACTTGTAAGTAGCATTGCGCCGTGGCCTCTCTGGAGCTCCTTAGCTTCTCTAAAAATGCAGCTGCTTGTGTCAGATGAGCAGTCTTCAAGAGGGAAATCAATGCTTGATGCCTGGAGGAGCTTTGGAGCTATGGCCAGCTCACCTGAGATGGTGGATCCGGAGGGAGGCCGGTCATAGCCATGCATGGCAAATTCCGGCACGCAGCCCTCCAGCATGTTGAACACCGACTCACTGATGGCTGCATCCACCACCTGACACACAAAAGATACATAGCTGATACACAGACCTTTTGACTGAAGCACGGCCTCAGCTGAAGACAGTGCACCCATGGGAAAGGGAGCAGTAGCTCAAGCCATGTTCTCTGTGTGTTGAAAGGAAGCCAATGACGGGCGCACTAGGCGCCACAAACAAGGTGTGTACCATGTATCCTTGACATGATCAATTGGTACAAGAGACCAAAGCGCGCGCACACCTGGCCGGGGACTGTGTTGTTGTGCCGCTGCCTGTGCAGAAGCGCCATGACAGCCCCAAAGGCCGCGTGGAGTCCAGTCAGCGTATCCCCCAGCGACACATTCGTGCGCACCGGCGGCCGGTCCGCATACCCGTTGAGGTGCCGTATTCCCCCGTAAGCCTCGCAGACGCTCGCGTAGCCCGGCAGGCTCGCCTTGGGCCCCGTCTGCCCGTAGCCGGAGATCCTCGTGTAGATCAGCTCTGGCTTCAGATCCTGCCGCCGCGCCACAACTCACATTACCTTTACTATCATTATTATAATTATTGTAAGAATTAGGAGTCATAGAGAAGCATATACGTACATCATATATTGATATGATTTTTGATACACGCTTCTCCTGCCAGAGGTAAGGTGCGTCTCCAGGCAAGCTGCATGTAAGGGCAGCCAGATATCAAATTTTTTTGCGGCTTGCCAGGTCCAAGCAAGAATTAATTAACTTTGGGCACGGTGCTCAGCAAATGTACCGCCCATGCCAATGAATTTTTATGTTTACCGTTGGGTGGAGCACCCTTACTATAAGCTTCAGCTTACAGGCATGCCAGGAGATCGGCTGCACAGGCTTTTATCCCAGGGGTGCTGAAGGGGGACTGTAAAGGGGTGATTAGGGGTACCTTGGGGCCGAGGCCCCACTTCTCCATGACGCCCGGCCGAAAGTTTTCCACGAGCACGTCTGATTTGTTCGCCAGGTTGCGCAGCACTTCGCGCCCCTCTTCCTTGTGCAGGTCAAGGGTGATGCACCGCCTGTTGCGCCCCTGTCGCAGGGTGTTCCCTTCAGCCCTCACATTCTGTCTGGGATACTTCTGTGCAAAGAAGGCATTTCAAGGTCCTGCCATGGATGTGATGAAGAAAGGGGTGGGCAGAGAGGACAGCAAACAGGTGTCATGAGGAAACAGATGAGCAGAGAGGACCGCAAACAGGTGCGCACGTAGGTGCGCCACCAGAGGGATGTGCCTGTTGCGTCAGACATGCGGAGGGAGCGGAGTGCGTCGCCCCTACCAGGTGGTTCCACCTGGTGGCACAGGGAATCCACCCTTGTCAGGCCAGGTCAAGCGATCCACAAAGCAAGGCACCAACAAAATTATATTATTCAGCAAATATCTGTTGCAGAGGGGGAGGTTTCTCGTGCCTTAATCACATCCGCCCCAAAGTAGCCAAGGATGGCTCCACAGAAGTTCCCAGCAACGACTTGTCCGACATCCAGCACCTGAGGGGTAATTGATCATGTCGGAAAGTGAGGGTATATCTCGCATGCTGTAAAACAATCCATCTCCCAGAATGTCCACACTTGTACAGCGCTCTCTTTTTTGGCAGCCTCACCCTGATGCCGTGCAGGGGTCCTTCAGGGGTCTGTGCCGTGTTCGCCGCATCTTCGTGCTTCAGTCGCACAGTGATGCCAAGTGGATTTATCCTCTGACAGACGGGAGATCTTTGTTGCCGAAACAAGTGCTTGCAGCCCGTGATCATTCCTCTTGCAGATGTCGATCTGCGCAATATTTAGCTTGATCCTAGATTTTTCCCGTTCAACAACGACAATTAAGGTTCATTGTCTTCGAAATGGGGACGACTGAAGAAAAAGCTTGATGATCGTCGATTTAAAGCTGGCGCAAATGGATTTGCATGGATGGATTTTTTCGAGGCGGCGATATTGTTGCCCGAGGATACGCTCATAATTTGGGACGTTGTTGGAAGCTGCAATATGGGCTTCCTGTGCATCCTTCATTCTTTCAGAGGTGAACCCCCCTGCAGCACCGTTTGATAAAATATATGAAGCACTCGGAAACTCGCACGATATTTTGGCAGACAACCTGCAGACATGCATACAGCGCTCAACTTGCGACATCTTGCCAGGTGTACCGGCTTGGTACAGTCTGAGAGTACCCTGCTGACAGCGCTCCTACCGTGCCTGGGAGACAACCTATTGTCGCGCAGTTTTCTCTCGTCACATCCAGTGGTGCGTCTATTACGCAGCCCAGGCGCTTCTTGCGACATGGTGTACGATGATCGTAAATAGAATATATGGGGGCAGGCTGTTCCCGTCCTCGTCTTGTCGAGACCTGGGCTCTGAATACAGGATTTTTATTGTGACGTTAATACATTGCGGGGTGTTCTACCGCTTGTGTCGCGCTCCGTCACCCCGGAAGACCGGGGTTGTGTCAGAGCTTCACGGAGCTGAGGGCGTTGCAGTGTCTGCAGCGTTGCAATTGCCGAGGGTACCTGGTGCAACTAATGTACAGCAAACGTTGAAGGGGGACACGTTTGTGAGTAGGATGAGACATCGGACACTTATTCAGTCCAAAGTAAGTTTTCTGGGATTTGTCCTGATATTGTCCTGCCTTCCAGGGCCAGAGCAGCAATGGCAAGACACCAGAGGCTAGAGTTGCTTTCAAGTCACCCTCCGGAGTCTCTCGAACTTCGAAATCAGCGGATCTGGCCAAAGACCTTGGAGTTGAGGTAGTGATTTTCATCTGATCTCACCTCCTGTTTCTGTCTGACCAGCAATTGATGGCTGTCTAGAAGCAATTGCCAGCTTAGGGGTCAATTGAAACAATGAATGCTGCTTCATCAGGTGAAAGAGATTGACACCGATGTCAAGGGCCAGAAGGTGCTCAACTTCAAGGGAATAGGGCATGGCCCAGCCAATCAAAACAAGGTAGACGAAATAAACAGTAATGTCATTCGGAACATTAGAAGCACATCTTTAAGAATCTGCTTCATCTAAGGTTTCAAATAATAGGGCGACGTACGCATAATGGGATAGAGCATGCATGCACTTCCTTGCACAGATTTCCGTCATTCCTGAGTCGATGCAGTTTTGTCCAGCCATATCTGAATGTGTCGGCTTGTTGCATGTCAGGCTGCTGTGGAAAGCAACACAAGGGATGTGTTCAAGGCAAGCCATGAGCGCCAAAATGAGATCTCAGAGGATGCTCACAAGATGGACGCGACTGCTCACTCTGCTCAGGTACACTCTGACCCGGTGCACTGCAGATTGACATGAGTGTGCCCGGAAATTTCCTTATTTTAGCTGCAGGAGAGTTAAATACCCTTGCTGAGATTGCTGGCATGGTTTGCAGAACAAGTACGCAGACAGTTCTCACTCTGCCGCTGCAGCAGCTGGCTTCCCTCTGAAGCCCCAAGCCCGCTGCGAACGCCTCTCTGAGGTGATTTCTATCTCTGGCTTGCATTACATAGAAAGCTTTGCACTTCTTCTGGCAGATTATGCAGTGTTCTGTGCGGAGATACTCCGCAACTGTGCAGGCGGACAGGTCAGTACATTTTTGTGTCTTGCGGGACGCCTAATTAGCCCTGTGTGGCTGAAATGATGTGATCTCTCTCCATTTCTGCCCCTTTGTGGCCACCAAAAAGGGGGGTTCCATCACATTATCTAATCCGTAGGCCAAGCCAGGTCTGTTTTTAGGCGTCCCTCTTATGCATGTCATGTGACAGAGTGTGTGCGCTCTCATCTGAGGCCTTCATGTCCAGAGCAAGATGTTTAATATCTCTAGTAGATGATGGGAACATATGGATTCTGAGTGGTGTGCCCCATGATGTGGATTCGCAGGACAGGTACAGGGACACTGGGGACATGATAGAGAAGGCAGCCAAGCAGCCTGCACATCCGTCCAGACCTGATGATGAGGAGCACTGCGTCTCCAGGTATCAGGCCATGAAGGCAACTGCAGCCTCCGCACTCAACAGGCAAGCCTTTGAGATGTTCTCAAATTCAAATAAATGAGGGTCCAATGTTGACCTTGCACTTGGCAGATCTCTGATATTTAGCTGACAAGCGGGAAGGGATTGCATCTTTGCCCTCTCCCTGACGCTGCTCCGTGGACACAATTGACAGGGTGCACTAGTGCCAAAATCCAAGCTGATTCAATGGAAGCGAACAGAAATACTGAGAGGGGGGATGCCTGACACTGCCCATATTATGTGCAGGGCGTCAGGGATATACACCTCCAATCAAGACTCTGCAAATGAGTACGGCCGCGCGGCAACCCAAAAAGTTGAGTCAGCCTACAGGAAGGGAATAGATGCGCTGGACCAGGGGCTGCAGGTAAATAACCAATTATGCTGTGCATCTCAACAGGGATGAGCTCAGACTTGATGCCACCGGATGGCAGTTGGAATGCAGCAAATGTATATTCTGATCACCTCATGACGGCTGATAGTCAATCCCTAGAACGTCAATCCAAGAAGCAGGTGAGGGTCGTATACTTTCAAAATTCCTGACTATTTATGGCAGCATGATGTATGGTGTGCAGGCAATGAAGGACATGGCCAGCACTGCAAAGGCGACTGATGAGTACACCGGGCCCAATTCCAAGGAGTTTCCACACACCGTGCCCGCGAACAACAGGCAAGTACATCCTTTCGGCAACATACTTTGTCCCATGACCAGAGTCACCTATGATACCTGTCCTGCTTGTCTATAAAAGGGGCAGACAGGCCTTCAAGATCTGTCACTTTTGCTGCCGAAGTTCTGAATACCAAACTGCATTGAGAGGTCCAGGCCTGGGAGATTGTGCCCTTTTTGTAATGTGGTGTTTCTGACATTCGAGCGTTTTGACTGCTTGCAGTGAGGGTGAGGAGAGGCCAATGCGGCCAGAATCATGCAGCAGCAATGATTCGGAGGGTGCGTGGTCGACCGGAGGGTCAACATTCAGGGTGCATCCCCGCGGCAGGGGTGCCACTGAGCAGACATCGAGCGGAGGTGGTAGCACACAGAGGGGAGCGCGATTTGACCAGCTATTAGCAGCAATGGACGCAGCATGCAGCGTTTGAGCCACAGAGGCTGTCCAGTGCTAGTGAGGATAATGATATATCGCATTCAGACATGCACATGTGTCAGTCCAATGTTCTGCATTCAGTCCGACAGGGAGATGGCAAGATATTTTTACAAGAACAGGAGACATTTACATCATTTTCGCATAGCAGATCAGACTGAGTCTTCTATATAGCATACATGAGCAGTTCCCATTTTCAAAGCCAAATGTCAGCGAAGGAATGCAATGCATGATCTTGATGCGCTAAAGGCAACGTATTTAGTGCTAGACTAGGTATTCTTAGGTATGTCTCACAAGATGCGCCCAACATCAATCAGCCAAGGGCCTGTCAATTGTATGAATGCCTGCTGCTAAGGCAGCAAGCCAGCAATTCGCATTATGCCTTAAATGCTTTTATTCTTGTGATGAACACTACCAACAGATTTGTACGAGTCCATGTCAAGAAATATCTAGCCCCTAATGGCTTTGCATCATGTCGGCGCATCCACATCTTCCAGCACTTGAAGGAGTGTCTGCGCCTCAATCGGTATGACGAGCAGATCCGAGCCATCTTGCCCGCGCCTGTCATGCATGCACAAGAAAAGCATCAGCACAAGCTCCCATGAAGCATCTGGATCCGCACAAACTGCATGCAAACCTGCAAAACAGCCCTACAATATGTGCAAAATGGTGCTCTTAGATACTTATCCCAGTGAAGGTCTCAAGAGATGACTGGTCACAAGGTCGGGGAGTTTTCAAGACACATAGAGGATATTTCAGTGATATGCTCTGGCCATATTTAAATGGGCTCCTCAGGCTCCAACTGAAAGAGCGCCGCCTTCACATTTCAAGAAAGAAGTTTGCAAGGGTTGGTCACCTGGTCTGCAGCAGGTCGTGGTCCTTGAACTCTGTGAGGTGTCCCCTGAGCGCTGCATCATTGGCCACCAGCAAGCGCTCCCTGCTCATCCGGAACAGCTGTGCAAATGTCATCCCTGCAGCACACGAGCGGTACAAATGAGATCAATCATACTCCATGATAAAAGAGCCCACTCCTCTTCTAAAATCCTGCACCATTCAAAAGTGGGACCTACCACAAACGTAGCAAATACCACATGAGTACTTTGCACAGCAGGATTCAATCATTCATGGCAGCAGCATGGCTATCAAAGCTCGGCGAGGACACTTGTCAAACAGCAGAATTTTGCCGACGGTGGACTGACCTTCCTCTTCGCCCTCATCTCTATCCTCCATCTGGTGCTCAGCCAGCAGACGAAAGATGGCCCGCGCCTGTGGCACCAGCGTTCGTAGCACTGTGGCTGCATTGGAGCTCCTCACAGTCTCCCTGCCACACAGCAAGTTTTTTGTCCATGCACTATCGCTGCCCCGGCTGGCGGGGGCCGTTATAGATACTGAGCACCGTGCCCACGGTTGATTGGTCTCGCTTGGATCTGAAGAGTCCACCGAGAAGTAGGATTGTGGCAGCCTTTGACTGCAGCTTGTCTGCAGACCATACCTTGCCTCTTGGCAGGACAAGCGTGTAGTAATAATAAAAATAACTGTCGCTGCTACAGCATGCCCCGTCCTAGGATTTAGCTGGGAAGCTCTCTCATGCCAGAGGTTCATGCAGTGATGTGATTGCTTCCGGCATAGAGAGTGCACCAGTGATTCTAATGCGGCGTGCCGAATAGTACGCTTGAGGATATGCTCCTGACGAGCTCAGGTGGCTGATCAACAGGTGAACATCTTGGCAGCAAACTGAATGCTGCTGAGGATCTCTAAAGCACTCTGTGAGCGTGCAAGGCTTTGAGACAATGCAAAGAACATCAAGCAGGCGCGCACCTGCGGCCGATCAGAAGAGAGGGCATCTCGCGAGCCTCCACTGTGTAGGGAGCATAGGTGGTCACGTCAAAGTGGAGCCAATTGAATTGTGCAGCGGTGCGCTTGTCCCACAGCAGGCAGCTGTTGACGTGGTCCACTGAGGCCACCAGCCGGATCGCAGGACACCTCGACAGCTCGCTCAGCATCTCCTGCGTCTCCCTCCCCCTCAGTCCTGCTCATCAGTCAACACGTGACGCTTCTAATTACTATTGTACAGGTATAAAGATTACTAGTACACGCTGTACCTGCCAAGAGACGAGATGCGTCTGAACATGCTGCAGGTACATGCTGCCTCTAGTCCCTGCTCCCTTATAGAACTGGCCAGATTCAGGCAAGACCAAGCCAGACGTGGGCGTGTTGCTCAGTCCTTATACTGTTGGGGATCAAGGGATTGTAGTCATGGCAACCTTGGACTGTCAAGATGTCAGGCGCCAAGCAAGCGCATGCTTGAAAACTCCAAATTCGCAGTGTTGCTGTGGAGGCAAATCTGACCTGGGCCATCGATGTTGTGCAGGACAATGTACAAAATCCCGCCGTCCGCTGGCGCACTGCGTATCTGCTCCAGGATCGCGTGATTATCGCCGCCCCTGCGCTCACAATCCGTCATGCTTTTTCACAGATAATGTGAACAGCACGGAATACTGATTGACAAACGTGCTGCATGACAAGCCAGCAGTGCCAGAGAGACCTTATTGCAATGCTTCTGCAAGCTTTGGTTATAGACGCCTCACCTGGGCTTCTCAAACTGGGCGGCCACTGTAGAGAGGATCTCCCTGAGTTTGAGTGTAGGCCTGAAGCCATTGAAGACCACCACACCACCATCCAGCAGCTCCTTTTGGGCAAACTTCTCCAGCAGAGCCCTCTTGCTGCCCAGCCCATAGAAGAGCAGACTGTAGCCCTCCCTATGTGCAGTGAAAGACACTTAGTTCATTATAGAGTGCCCCCCCCCTGCAGGTGCTTGCTGCTGCAGCTTATATAAACTGTTACTGTTAGTCCGGATGGATGTTGATGTGCAAGTGATGCGTACCTCAGAGGCAGGAGCCACTTCGGAAAGTCCCTGACATACTTTGCAAAGAGCGCCTGCTTGGCTTCCTTATTTTTCACTGGCAAATTTTGCAGCTGAGATCGCGCATCCTCATCATTGAGGTCAAGGCTGAGATCTGCAAGACTAGAACATCCCCTTTTTGCAGATGCCCTTGCTGGCCCCTTGCTGCTGAAGTACGATGTCATTGTATATAACACATCAACTCCACGCTTGCCTATTACCAATCACGCCAGGCTGACTGATGGCTGCTCTATAGAATTTGTAGAATAAACCACGCAACTTGTGCTCAATTCGTATGTTTAGAACCTCAATATGACAAGGAAAGGCTTCTAATCGATAAAAGATGAAGCTGGATGGGCACAGATTTGCTTTTGGAGGCTTGAAAGAGGCTGGAATTGCAATTAAAAAATGAGATAAGGCAATTGTGCAAAGTAACACACATTCTCTGGAGGCAAACCTTGCCTGTCAAGAAAGAAAGAAAGAAAGAGAGAACGCACTAGAGGGAACCCCTTAGGAGACCCTAACATGCAGGGTGAGTTTGAAGGCACGTCTTGGTGACTCAGCACCCACGTTATCATCACTAATGGATGTCTCTTTCAAGAGACTCGGCAATCCACAGAACATCTAGCTCGTTCCTTGTGCAGCGTGATATAGAACTGACAATTTACCGTCACTAAGAGTTGGTGCAGACAAGATCCCTCTGAAAAGAAGGTCCACGTTTACTTCAGGTGAATTTGCGGCTGGCCAACAAAATGCTCCTCAGGGGAAGGGTGTGGACGACACTTGCTAGTCTCAGATGCTTGCAACAACCTGGAAGCTGCTCCGCGGCTTCTTCTTATGCAGACGACCTCTCCAACACGGCTGGACAACAAGTTCATGGCAGTGCTGGTGGCGATCAGAAGAGGCACATAGCGCAGCCTGCGTATGCCAGTGATGAAGAGAGCAGTTCTGACACCGAGATCGAGCTAGGACCGCGACCAATGACGCCAGATACTCGGTGCGTGTTTTGCTCAGATCACATGCCCCTATTTTGTTGTCTGAATAACCAGCCTTTGTGCAACTCACTGAGTGTGGATACCGCAGGCGATGTGGTGTCCTTGCGGTGAAGGCAGGCATGACACAGGAATGGGATCAGTGGGGAGCAAGAGTTCCTCTAACTGTGCTCTGGGTCGATGACTGCCAGGCAAGCTTTGCGTTGGCAAATCCTCTCCTTCTCCTTAATGAATCTTATTGCCAGTTCTTGTATTGCAATATTCCTGATGGCTTGATAGTTTTAGATTTAATGCATTACTGCAGGTGGTGCAAATAAAGACACCCGCGCGGGAGGGCTACCTCGCTCTGCAGGTCGGATGCGGCTCAAAACGGCCCAAGCAAGTGAACCGCGGGTGCGATTACCACCCGTCATACAAGTCCATGCCAGTGCCACCCCTCTTTTGGCCCTGTGATTTGCTAGTTGGATGAAGGCTTGCATGGCCGCCTGGCAGTTCTCCATTGCTGAATCAGCAGGGTATATTTGTCAAGTGCTGCACTGATTGTTGGGCAATGTTGGCGCAGGCAGCTGGGGCACTTTGAGTGGGCAGGCGTCCCCATAAAGCGAAGGCTGACAGAGTTCAGGGTGACAGAGGATGCGCTCCTGCCAGTGGGCACCATGCTCACAGCCGCGCACTTCACTCCAGGCCAGTATGTGGACGTCCAGGGTGCGGCCTCCACCTTATGCTCTTGCTTTGATCCCAAAAAGCTACAGGAGCTTTGTCTCCTGTGTGCTCTGAGGATGACTTCACGTGGCATTGCTGCTGATGCTCCTCCTGAACGCCCAGCATTGGAGAATAGAGTGGGTGGTGACAGGGCAGTGATGGTGTTGTCGTTGTTGCGCTGGGCAATGTTGAAGCCAACTGCCATGCATGCAATGGTTCCGCAAGCTTCTGATGATTTGGTCTGTTCAATCTAGAGAAGCACCTGAGGAAATGGGCCTAAGAGTGTTATGGCCTGCCCAAATATTACATTGAGCTGCAAAAACAGAGGCTGGGGATCTCGAACAACAGCAAATCCAGGGATAGATGAAGATTGCAGGCTAGGATCCTTCAAGCATGTGCCCATGTGCGGGCCACTCTAGTTTACAGTGCCTCACGACAGATTGTGTGTGCAGGGACAACGCTCGGGAAGGGGTTTCAGGGGGTGATGAAGCGTTGGGGGTTCGCGGGGCAGCCGGCATCCCACGGCAACAGTCTGGCGCACCGGGCGGCCGGAGGCATCGGCGCATGCCAGGACCCGGGCAAGGTGTGGCCCGGCAAGAAGATGGCCGGCCGCATGGGCGGCGTCACCCGCACCCTCTCCTGCGCCTACGTCTTCAAGGTGCCCTTCCTTTTCTTTCACTCCCAAACTGGGGCGCTGTTTCCCCCTTCCCTCACGGTGCTGATTCACTATTGGTCGCGGGGAGAGAGCCCCTGAGGATGAAACGAATCTCAGCGCCCTGCCCCATTGCTGCAATGGGTTCTGTCTCGACTCTGCGATGAGGATCAGGCAGCCATGATGCCTAATGCCAACCCTATCTCACCTATTCGGTTCATTAACATGGCCTTGATGTTTGTGCTCGCACTTGGGTTACCTTTGCATGTGAGTAGTTTTTGTCATTTCTCTGCTCTGGCAGCCAGATAAAGCTGGGTGTGCGGCTCTTCTGGCATTGGACTGTAATGCAGCTGCTGTCATGCTGGGTATTGGGCAACAGATGGGAGCCCAATGTGGACCTGCAGCGTTTATGCAGTTGCAGACCATCATTTGGCTCTCGATTCTTCGTCTAGTGAGAAAAGAGCTGTGCCTGGAGGCTTGCATGGGCCGTTTGGAAGCATACAGGGACAAGTCAGGAATGAAAGCTCAGTCATGTTCTGCTGTGTTCCTTCAGGTGGATGCTGCCCGCAACCTGATCTATGTCAGGGGCCAGGTTCCGGGGCACAAGGGGAACTTTGTGAGGATCAGCGATGCAGCACTGAAGACCTTTGGCCAGCAGCCGCAGCGGCCAGTGCCCACCTTCCTTGATCCTCTGCCGCTGGAGCCTCTGTTAGCTCCCAAGTCTGAGAAGAGCCCATTTGACTACAAGGAGTGATCTTTCTAGAGAGGGGACAAGATCGTATATACGTAGCGATATTTTAATGGGTGCACCGGATCCAACGCATTGATGACTTGGCGGGTGAATTGTGGTGCTACATGTAAGAAAGCATACATTCTGGTCTAAAGGAAGGTTTGCGAAGCAGCCCCTCCTGGATTTGAAAGGTTGTGTTGATGACCTTGGAAGCCTTTGCCACAGGAACGCCTCATGATGTTCTGACCTAAGCATATGTCAGCCTTCAACTTGACATTCAATCCAAGGATTGTGGTGTGTTGACAAAAACAATAGTTGTGTATTCTTGGGAAACTCTTCAAAAAATTTGGATTGCTTGTGCTGCTTCGGGATTGCCACATATGCCCTCCAATATAATGGAATGCTGCCTACTTACAATTCCCATGGTGGCAAGCACGAGAACACTTTGATTGCCCTTGCTCTTCGGCAGCTACAAAGAAAATATACAAGACGCTGGAAGCGACTTTATCGTCGCAATCGGTCTCTTCTGATCGTTGGTCTGCTTGTTGCGATCGTGCTGACTCTTATCTTCGTGGTGGCGAGAGGCACCGTGCGGCTCAAGATATTCAACAATTCATAGGTAAAGGCATTCGTGGATTGTTGCTAGTAGGCTAATTCTAACTTTATCTGGTTCTGGCACTGTACCCCAGAAGCATGGGTGGTAAGCAGATCTAGCTGTGGCGTTCTTCTTCCAGCGTCCTATCAATGATCCATTGTATTGTCTAGTAATGAAATATGACACGTCTGCTTAAAGCGCAGGAGGCTGGGTGTCAACTTGGGCATGGCCCCAGCATTTCCAGTAAACACACAGGAGTTTACAACAGATATCGATGGCGTCAGCACTTTCTTCATTATGTCAGCCTATGCAGACCGCATCATGGTAGTTGCCACACAGCTGGGGACCTTTGGAACGGTGCTGAGTGCAAGGTGCTCTATCTGCACTGTCAAAACTATTCTTGCCACTGTCAGCCTGCTGTGAGATCTGCATCTGCACCTGCATCTGCAGTAGCTATAAGCAAGTGCCATTGCAAAGGCATCTCACAGCAAAGGATGTGTATCTTCAGAGGGGATGCTCTCTTGGAGGGCAAGCACACATTCACTGTAGACACACTACTGGGCAAAAGGGATGAGCCTGCATTGGCTGTCTGCGCTCGCCACATGGCAGAGAGCATTGTGCAGGCCGGCTGCTCCAGGTGAGTCTGTATGCTGCTGTGCTTGCGACTTCCCGCTACAACATTTTTAACACTGTGTTTCAAGATCGCACCTATCGTGCTTTGGCATGACAGTTACCAGTGGGAAACTTTAAGTCATGGTGCCCTTCTGCCAGGTTGGTGTGCCATGAGGGGATTAGATAGCCCTTGAGGTGACATTGAAGTTTAAGATGACTTTCAAAGGTCACGGCTGAGATGCTGTGTGTTTTCACAGGCCGTTGCTGCTCTGTTTGGGACTGAAGCAGCATAGCCTGGACACCATGAGGGCCATAATCAAGGAGGTCGTGGCACACCCAGTGTGGTGAATGCATGCTGCCAGTATATCCAGCATGTACCAGAATGATCTATGAGGGACCCCTGAGCATCACCAGCAATTTTCGGGGCCTTGGCAAGCTTTTATGTATGCTTGCAATCTCTCAGACCTGCCGGCGTGAATTAAGTTCGGAGAGGGGTGCACCACAATGAGCGGGATGCAGCACACACGTAATCTGAGACACAAATGGATTTTGCACAACGGACCCAGGAAATCCTAAATTTGGCACGGCATGCGTGGATTTGATGAATATGCAGATGTTCAACCATCAATATTTACAACAGTGCCGCAGTCAGACACTCCAATATACAGTAAAGCCATCCCGTCATCACATCTGTTCTGTTTTTTTCAATCTCATGATCAACAGACTGAGCTTGTCAAACTCCATGCATTTTCTGCACCAAGAGGGCAGCACGCTTGAAACCCGAGCTGGACTTGCTTTGCCTGCAAAAACTGTCCATGCAACATTTGTATTCAATATTCACCAATCAAACTGCAGCCAGCCGGCCATCTCGCACTGTAGAGATGGTCGTGACTTGATCAAGTCACTGAGTGTGCCAGGGCATGCGCTGCCCTGTGAAGTGCATGGCGACCAGGAATGCTACACCCATGAACGCTGTCTGCAGCAACTGGCGCAGCAGTGCCTTCCCCACTGCCTGTTTGCATGCCACACAACCTTCAATCATCATTTCTGGTCACCAACATGGTCCGTGTGCTTGCCTGTCTCTTCACAGTCTTCACAGGGGCGACACGCTATCTATTATTACTATAATTACACGCTTTTCCTGCCAAGTGGCAAGGTGCGTACTGCAGACAAGCTGCACTAAAGGCGGCCACTATCCTACCCCTTGTTGGACTCGCCAGATCCAAGCAAGGCCCAATCAAAGGTGGGCACAGTGCCCGATATTTATACCGCCCCCTGCCAGCTGGGGCCATGCTATCTATACCTGCAAGTCAATGCAAGCACTTGCAGGTCTGCAGCGAGTGCAGCCCGCTTACCAGTCCAAGTAGTGTTTACTGATAACAACCCCAGGAGAACACTGCAGATCAGAGAGGCATATGCTTGGGATGACAATATGTACAAAACAGCACCAGCTGGCACTGCTCGTAACAGGGGTTTCTCACAGCTCACCTTCCAGGTGAAAGGCTCACTCATCGCCTGCTCACTCTCTGACAGCCGCTCTTCCAGCGATGCTCCGCTGCTGCTGGGGCCTGCCGCAGCTGCCACGTCATCTCCGCCTTTTCGCCAGCTCACCTTCTTTTTCACCCGCCTCTGCGCCCCTGATGTTTTTGATGGCTGTGCATCCGCGCCGGCCTGCTCAAACAGCCATGCATGATCATCATGGATCATGCTCGCGGGTCAGGGCGTTCAGGAGTTGACGCCCAGGGGGTCATGGTAGGAGGGCATACAGAATTGCCGTGTAAATGCTTTTATCTTGCATTTACAGGCATCTAAAAGAACCGCATGGGATTTTCCTGGGAGACATTGACCAGAACACCTTTGGAAGAATCTGGATTTGACAATCTGTGCACCTGCCTTTTGCGTCAAGCTAATCGCGGACTTGGAGAGAGGAAACCCCAGCTTGTTCAGCATTGCTGCCCAAAGAGGGTGCTCCCCTTGATAAAATCCCTCGTTAGCCTGATGTCACAGGGCGGTTCAGCATGACAAGGTAAAACTGGCCCTCAGTTCACAAATGGGTGAGATTGTGTCACTCTCAGAGGCGCATTGGAGAGCATGCCTGGTCTGGTCTGGCCGAGCTGTCAGCGGCAGGGGGTGAGGCTGCCGGGGTGGGATTGACAGGTGGCGGCATCAGTTCCGCCTCGGCCGCCTTCTTGGCGGCTTCCTCCGACGGCGCGCATGCGGCCGCCGCGGCTGCGGCCGTCTGCCGCTCGATCATGATCTTCATGCCCCTCACCCTGTTCTGATCCTTTTCCTGCGTGTTTGGGCATGCGCAAGGTCAACTCTGCCATTTGAGCAAGACAACAGCTGCATGTGACAGTGACCCTGTGTCACCAGAACATGTACAGACTGTTGAATTCTCAACAAACAAGCAGTGCACAAAGCCATCATCTTGAGGATCTGCGGAATCTCTTCAGCAGGCGGCGATGCTTGAATCTGGCGATTCCGCCGCGTCAAGCACCTATCATGACAACCCCGCTGAAGAACATCATGGTAATATGGTATGAAATATTTGCTGTTCTCTGCATCGGTAAGCAGAAGTTGACAAAGGGGAAATGATCAGTACCTTCCAGCCCACCAGGCCCGCCACAATGAGGTCCTCGAACGGCACTTTGTGGTGGCCGTTGGCGGCAATGACCATCTGCGGAGCAAATAGAGCGCTCAGGTTCATTGTTTGAAGGTCCATTGTTTGGAGCTCTTGGATTCAATGTTTGGAGCTAGCTCAATCAGCAAAAAATGAGTCTGGAGAGGAACAAGACAATTGGGGCATACAGGGAGGCCAACAATAGCATCGAATGGGATGTGCGCACGAAGCGGGGTACCCCGGTACTAAATAAAAAAAATATAGGGGTACATGCCAGGGCAACGAGCAAGAACCCCGGTCCTGTCACAGTACAAGGTCATGACTCGAGTGGGAGCAATGGGGTGTAAAGAAAGGCACCTGGAATCTGCGCAGCTTGTTAAGAACATGCATAACCGTGGTGTCGTCCTGATATTTCTGCAGCGCCGCTGCGTTCAGGCGCACGTCGTTGACCACCTCCGGCATGCGCGCCTCGCTGGCATCCTTCTGGAAATCATCGTCATCGTGCAGGTTGTTTATGGCCTGTCAGCATATGCATAGGCTTCCCCTCAGGACACAATGATCAGGCCATGCAGAAATGACAGAAGTGACCTTACCATTCTTTCAGCCATCACAGCAGGAGTCTGAAGATAAATTATAGAGGAGTGACAGCATGCCTAGAGCAAATTCGGACCTGCAGGATAGCGAACGCCACCGCTACCGCAACATGTTGGACAGGCATGCAAAATGGCTCCTTCTGATGTCATAAAAAGGTGATCCGGCTCGCAGCAGTCCGGCGGCAGAGTGTGCTTTTTGCATGGGAAGGGCAGAAGTGCTCACCCGCTGGATCTTGAGGATCTGTATGGTGGTGCGCAGGTCGCTGACTTGCTTTCTCACTTCCTGCGGCAAGTTGGTCACAGCCGCGTCCAGTTTGGTATCGTCCTCGATGTCCGCCCATCGATGCACGCGCGCCGCCTGCTCTGCTGCGCTGAGAGCCTGGCGCCAAAACAGGCATGGGGAACACTTTAACCAGTATCGTCACCTCTGACCGCTCAGGATGAGATCTAGGATCAGTCATGACCCTTCTCCGGCAAAAATGCTGATTGGAGTGGTTAATTGAGTGGCGTTCTTTGGGTTTTAAAATGCACCCTGTACATGGCGCGGTCGCACGCCAGGAAGCAGCTATGACTCAGCAGCTCAGCAGTCGCGGCACACAACACAGGGGCCTGACTTTGCAATCTCACGATAGAAGTACAAGCCTTCACATGCTAATTTACGGAGCGTAGGGACTAGAGTATGTACGTAGGAGTATGTTTGAGAGGCACACACCGCAAACGCTTCCACAGGAGTGAGCTCCTTCTCAGTCTGGACGCTGCTTGAAGCCTTGGCAGGTTTGGAGGCAGCGGACGTCTTCAGCAGCTTCCTTAGCGCCTCGCTCTTCTCTGGCGCGCAGTCAAAGGCCAACCTGGGCGCAATCAATACCTCCCATCTCAGAGCATGCTAGGAGCTGCGACCAGACTAGAGATGGTCCACACGCAGGCAATTGCTAAGCCATGTGTAACGCTCTCTTTTCCATTTATCTGTGAGTTTGCTATTGTTTTGAGCTCCCCAGCCGATATGGACTGGGGCAGGCCATATTCTGGCGCCCTTAGCGAGGGCCTCCTTATTACTGGGCGGACTAATATAAGACAAACACAGAATTGGCAGTGTTTAGCCAGGCATGAGTGGGGGGCGAGTGTTTGTCAGGGGGGTGGATCGAGATATGCTGACCTGCCGTCAGAGGCTGCAAGAGCAGGGTCTGCTTTGGCGCCCAGAAGGAGCTTTGCACAGGGAACGCTGTCTGCCAGGGCCGCGCAGTGCAGTGGGGACAGCGCCTCTGGGTTGTCCACATCTGTATGCGACAATATAACACACTAATCTCAGCACTTCCAAAACGTTCATACAAAAGTACATTTAGTATTCAGTCCATCTGGAAGCTTATTAATTACCACAGCGTCTGCTCCAAGTTGCACCATTCTGGTGTGGGCGCTGGAACAACCTTTAAATAGCATAAGGGAGTATAATTTTGGTAAAGGATGCCCTTGTTTTCATTGAGATGGTAGGAGAGACCATTTGAATAGGCTTATCAGAGGGAGTAGAGCAGAAGAGAAGTGCGCACCATTGACAGGGACGTTGCAGCTGAGCAGGTACGTGACGCAGGAGTCATGGCCCATGGCCGCTGCCAAGTGCAGGAGGCTCCAGCCCTTGGGACGATCCAGCACATCCGCCCCACCCTGTGCAACATGATCGCTATCTTATCAGATCCAGGGAGTCATGGTATATCTGACCTCCACCTTGTGCATTTTGGGACCTTTTCTGCCCTCTGGAAGCATCCTTCTTTGCATTGGGCTGTTCTGCCAAAGAGCCATGACGTACACACTATACAGCAGACAGGGTGCCTGCATTGCAAGGCCACCACCCAGCAGATCAACAGGTGGGCCATCACATGCACAATGCAAGCAGAGCATGCAAAAGACAGTAAGGCTACCTTAGTCACGAGTGATTTGGCGATGTCGGCGCGGCCGGCGGCGACGGCCTCCCCGAGGGGGGTGAGGCCGCGCTTGTTGCGGTCGGCGATGCACGGGTGGCGCCCGCGTGGCGCAGCGTCCAGCAGCGCAGTCAGCACCTCCACGCTGGCACCCCTGATACCCCAGGGGACAAGTAATGTCACCTCAGTTTACACTCGTGTGGATACCCCAGGCACAGGGGTGATTAAGAGAGGGGACTGCCACAGTCATCTTGATCACATACACGCAATCTGATATGGGTCAGAGTAGCTGCAACGTATGCAGCACTCAAGACGCACACAGGGGTCTCCTATTACATAAGAATGGGTTTGCTGCTAAGTGAAGCTATGTACGACCTTTTAGGCTCTCAGCTTAATGGAATCTTGGGAAATGCATCCCGGCATTGCGTGCTTGATTTGGATGGGCTGCTGCAGTAATTGCATGCAAGGATGAATCCTTGAGCAGGTAAGGGGGCCTCAAAGAGGCGTTTCTCATCTTTCAAAAAATGAGTCAGTAACTGTTTTTTTCTTCTTCTTCTTCTTCTTCTTCCTCCATTCTGAGTAAGGGCTCTTCTATCGATTCGCACCTTGCTGCAAGGTGCAAAGGGGTGTCATCGTGGGCATCTGAGGCCTCCACCCAGGCCCCCTTGCTCAGCAAGAATGTGACCGTCGCTGCCTGGTTGCCCAGTACTGCCCAATGCAGGGGATTACGGCCAGCTGCATGTGCATGAAACCATGAGCATGAGTTTCTGCAGCTTGCTCCATATGAATCTACCTTTGTGCTGCAAGACTTGCTAAATCTCAGCCATTTTCAGAGTGTCAGGCGCCCTTCAAGAGCCGACTTTTGCCAGGAACGCGACACCCGACGTGCCTCATTCCAAAATGACGGAGGTCAGGGGAAATCTTTGACTTCTGAATCGCCCGAATTCATGTTGCATGTTAATCTGTATAAGCAGGAACATCTTTGTTGACCCAGCAATGACATAAATTGTATTAAGGGAGTGCCAAGGAGCTGCACCTGGGTCATCTGGGTCAAGATCCAGGCCCTTGGACCAGAGGAATTTCACCACTTCCAGGCGACCCTGCCCACAGGCATAGTGTAGGGCGCTGATGCCTTTCTTGTCCTTTGCTGTCAGGTCAGCTCCCATGTCCATCAGCTCTTCCACCTGAGAACGGGGCAATATTGCGTTTTATGTGTGTCTTGAAGATGGTGTGAGATCTGAATGGTACAGCAAAAAGTAACTCAGGTATCCTTTGACGTCCGTGACACCTATTAAAATTAGGCAGATATAACAGGGTACAATATGAACCCAGACACGCACATCTCCGAGATATCCGCGGGCACTTGCTAGGACTAACAGACCATTGTTCTTCTTTTTCTCTTTGGCCTGCGGTAGCACAAACGGTATAAAGATCGCGCAAATAGACATCATTATCATATATTTCATTCAAAATTGGATGCGGGACACAGGTATATCTACATAGCCAGGTGGTTGTGTAGTGACGCATGACCATCACATCAGACACCTGACTGTGTACAGAAACACAGATGTCAAATCGAATCTTATGTATCGGTATGCTTACATTTTCCGCAACCTGTTGCATGTCTGTAGCTCAGCAGAGGACAGCCCAATGGCCCCTCAGATGCAAGAGGAATGACGCTTTCAGTAGCAGAACGCACGCAACAATGGTGCCTGTGCAACAGGTATTCTTGGTTGTGGGTGTGGGTTGGGTCACAATCTGTACGAAATCAGTTATTAAGGCATGTGCCACCTGATATCCCTGAGGATGAATGCCCTCGGACCAGCCATGCATGGTCTTAGATTCTGCCTGCTCTAAGTGTTGATCCAAGGTTCCGAACATTTTCCTATTCTGTTTGCACATGGAGCTCGGCGAGATGAGAAAGCAGAATTACCACCCCAAAGAATATCGTCCTTTACAATTCTATTTATGACAGAGTATTTGGCAGCAGCATCATGTTACACTTGATTACAAGTGCTGCAAGTGCTGCTTGGATCAACATTATAATTACAAAATACTTGTTCGTCGCGTGCCACAGCTCTAGGTCTACTAGACCCACTGGGTGGCACTGTTTTTCAATTAACGTCAGTGCTGTCTTTTTCAACGGCAAGTCAATTGAACAAGATGTCCTGTCACGTTGGCACAAAATCACATCAACAGACACCACACACCTCTTGACCAAACTGAAGGACAACAATATCGACCAACATGATAGTCACCATTTATTGGTAGGGACAAGTACAATATTAGCAACGTCAGGTTGCTGATTGTCACAAATTGTCACAAAGTAAGCCCCAGGGGCATGTCTTGAGGGACTGCTGATTGTCTGAAGTCAGCAGCTCTTTCTGTTCAGTGACTGGTACAGTACCAAAGCTTTCAAAAGCTTGTTGCACAGCGCAACACGTTCAAATGCGCCCTGCCTTGGCATCAAAGGGAATCACCTATCAGGGAAACAATGCCACTAGCGGCAAATTAGACCTGACATACATTTGTCATACACTATCAATTATCAATCATCAATTATTAGGTCCTCCCAGAAGGGCCCTCAGACAGTCTGCGCTGTAAGTCAAATGCAGCAGCAGATGCCCACACACTTTCCACAATCAAATGCCACAACTATGCAAATAATCCCAGCAAAGAAATGCCGATACACACATCAATATGCTACACACACCTGAAGAAACACCGAACAGAGGTGAACCCAGAGGGTACGGTCAACTATTTAACTGAAGAGTCAGCTGCACAATACAGCTTGCTGGCTTTATATTAGATACCAAATAAGCTGGGATTGGCTGGGATGGAAATCATTCTGTGCAGCCTGGATGGCTGCTGTTGGAAGGGTGGTCAATAAAACAGAATATATGGTCAGAATATCTCGCGCAAATTGTGCAGTTTGCAACAGCCGCGCGGCAAAAGAATTATTCGTGTCACAGAAATTATTGCGGCACATACAGTTGAGGCTTCCAAAGCACGACAGCGTGCGCGCCCAAAATTCTAGTTGGCCGGTCAAAAGAGATTTTCTCATTCTTTCCCAATGCGGAGAGGCAAAAAGCCGCTCACAGTCATACATGTGGGCCATACATATTCAGCTCTGGCCCCGGCTGGCGGGGGACGGTATATTAATACCTCACTGAGTCATATCTGGCGAGCCTATCAAAAGGATATGTGGCAGCCTTTACCTGCATCTTGTCTGTAGACGCACCTTGCGTCTGGCAGGAACATCGTGCAGTAATTGAGCTCTTGAGTGTTGTTCCCACAGCGTCATTCGGGGATTTGCTTCAGGCGCATCAGCCTCAGCTTGAAGTTGAGAACCTTGGTGGCAGCGCGTATCAGCACAGGATCCTTGCTGCGCTGCTGTCGCTGCAGACCTGTGGAAGCCATCAGTCCAAGATTAATAAAAGAGCCCTGCACTGGTTCCAAAGCATCTACTTCACGGACCCACAGGGGGACAAACAGCAGTGGAACAGCTTGGCAGTGCAGTAAGAGCTGCAATAAGCTCTGGCACTGACTAAGACCACCCTCAGTCGCCATACTATGTCAGACAATTGCAGAACCTTGAACCTATCTGCAAGGCCCGAGGCAGGGTCTATTTCAGGTTCAGCATTTGATGACTCAGCGCAAGCCCAAGCTAGACCAAAACCTCAAAAATAGTCTCTACTGCATGCAAAGAGTACAAAGGAGGGGCACAGAAAGAAAGCTATGGGGTGGGAACAATCATGCCTGGGCATGAATCTCCTCTGTCTCCTTGATCAGGCACCAGGCCCCATCAAGGCGTCTAAATTTGAACAGTCTTCAAGCTTTTGATTTTGTACTTTGCTTTGTGGGATTTTTCGCACCCATGTTGGCCAGGCAGCGTCCTGCAGCCTTCTTGACAGCGGCGGGAGCCGCTGAGGCAGCCGAGCACAGCTCCTTGAGCTTGTCTGTGCCGCCCGCCTCATGGATCGCCATCTCTGCCTCCCTGCTGGTGGCCGCCATGCTCCCCAGTGTATCGGCTGCTCCCACCTGAACACCCACAACGCATTTTATATATTATGGCGTCACATGAAAATTGGGATTTACTCGCTTAATCCACTGCAGCTTCACCACCTGTGAGGCTGAGCAAAAGGCAGTATCTTACTCAGCTTGTTGGCCACCACGGCCCCTACATGTCCAGAGATCATGCAAGTACACTGAGAGACTGGCATGCAGGATCCACGTGATCACAGCCAGACATGTAACAGACCTGTGCAATGCCAACGATCTGCAATGTGGTCTTCATGTACTCAGCTTCTAAAGTTGCATCCATTAAGCAAACGCGTATCAAAGCAAAATTGAAATGCAGGGGATCACTCCTTAACCAGCACTCTCTTGTAGGATTTGGTGGGCAGGCCAAAAACCTGGAGAATGGGCCGTCCAAAGGTGAGCAGGTCGACCAAAACCGGCACAGCCCCGTCAGCAAGCAGGGCATCTGTCATGGGGCGTTCTCCTTGAGCTATATTCTTGAGAGTTCCCACTGCGGGGGTCCAGTTCCACTGCTCGGGGAATCGCAGGAGGCCGGTGAGGGAGGCAACGCCGCCGGACTGCCGGAAGTCCTCCTGGCACGCTGCGTTCCCTTCCGTCAGCGCCTGCAGCGCCCACGCTGCCTGGCCCTGCCGATGATAGTAAAACGTCAGACAAAGCATGTCTGTGACCCAGCCAACAGCAATGACACGCGCCGGATGCACAGGTGGGAGCCAAACACCAGGTACATTTAGGGATCTTGTCAAAGGATTTTGGAAGGCATGTCATGTTTGTCATGCACATGGTGATCAAGGCATTTTATATGCATGTGGTGATCTGAATGCACGTGGTGATCTGGACTGTCTGAAAGTAGATGGCGACCCTCCTTCAGTCAGTTCTGGTCAGCAAGAAGGGACAGAGCCGCAGCAGAAGACAAAACGTGGATTGACACATGCTTCAGACTAACTCAGTCAGTGCAGTTCCTAATATTGTGCTGATTGATCAAGCGCACCCTGACAGCTGGCGCGGAGGTGGTCACGAGGGAGATGAGCCGTGCGATGGCTCCGGCCGCACGCACTGCCTCCTGGTTGGCCGTGTGGCCCCTTACTAAGCTGCCCAGCGCCCCCGCAGCTTCCTCCTGAGCCGGCGCCGGGCCCGTCTTTGATACCTGCCCGATTCCAGAGCATGACTTTTGTCAACACTCAGTTAATGCCAATTAGCCAAAGCCTTCGAGGCCCACATGGGTGTCATGGCAGACGCCATCAGGAGCAGCAAATAATTTCAAGCTGCAAAGCTGCAGACAGGTATACATCACAGTTCTTGAGCCCACGCAGATCAAGCGGCCGAACATTGTTCTGACGACTTACAAAATGTGGCATGGCTTCTACCCCAGGTGAACGGTGCAGCCATGCAAGCCGGGAGATATCGGCATTCAGGCAGGGAAGCATGCATAGAAACAAAGCATGATACAGCAAATAAGGAGGCATGAGGAAGCAGGTGTACGTTGCCGTTGGCAGGTGCATCAAGCAGATTCACAAGTGGCGCCACTGCGCCAGCCTCCCTGACTGCCTCCTGATTGGCCGCATGCTTTGATGTAAGATTCCACAGAGCGCGCGCAGCGTGCCCCGCCACCTGTCCCTTCTGCACAGCAGTCATCAATTAGTCATCAGTACCTCCCATTGTGCCCCCTTTCAGTGCTTTATCATCAATGCCTTGTTTGTGTTGCGTTGGGACCCTTAGGCCTCAGGTGGCCTCTAATTGGGGCACCCCGATATATCGCACGCAACCCAAGGATGCTTGATAAAGTTCCCTGGCATTGCACAGGGTCCGGCATTCACCAGTGCACAATTGGCACGGCTGAGCTGGGAGCCACTAAATCAACGACAGTTATATGTTGTGCCAAGCCAACGCTACTTATAGTGCATGACGTACAGTAAGTCACACCGACCAACTTTCAAAGCAAGGTACACTATGAAGTACAAGAACTCTCTACGGCCAGAAATCTGCATTACTCACCTGATGACTGAGCAGCTTGACCAAAACAGGCAGCGCTCCCGCGTCGACGATTCTCTCTTTGTGGGCTTCGGTGCCGGCTGCCAGGTTGGACAGAGCGATGGCGGCAGGCTCTAACAGCGTCGCCTGATCAGGCTGCTCTGAGTATTTGGTAATGAGGCTCAGCAGTGCAGGAACGCCCCCGGCCTCGCAGATTGCCTCCTCCGTCTCGGGACCCCCCGCTGCATCAGCAAATGAAATGTCAATTTGGAAACAACTTTCTAGGAAGTAGTGGAAATAGCCAGCTTGGCTCAATTGGTGGACATTGACAGAGCCAATGAAGCCTGCAAAGCCCGCACTTGTGAGGGCGCTTGAAAAGCTGAGGCTTTTTGAACACGTTTGCATAACGCATTTCAACAGAGGTTTGAATTGGCATACTACGCAGCGCCAGTGTTACTTGCTCATGCACTGATAACTGGCAGTAGGCACAAGCCGTCCTCTCCTGGTTGAATCCGTCCGCACATGCTGGCGCGGAAGGGGAGCCAAGATCAGGGCTAGTCTGAGCACTGCGTCCTTCACAGGTGACAGGCCACAGAACAGCAGGGAACAATACCTGTCAGGTTCTGGACGGCCCAGACGGCGTGGCGTTTGAGTCGCGCTTCGCCGCTGTGCAGCAACGGCACGAGCGCCTCGATACAGCCGGCCGCCTGCAGCTCCGCATGCGCCGCCTGGCATGACAAACCCATTACTAATCAGCACGATCACCTCCCATCCTACATGCTAGAAGTCGACATGCTGTTGCAACGGAGTTCATGCCGAAACTTTACTGACTGTTTCCAAGGTTGGGTGTGAGCCTTGTCTTCTCACAGACTAGTGTCTTCTGACACTTTTCTTCAATTTCCTCCCCTCATCAATCATGAAGCATATAAGCATGCACATGCCGACACCCTTGCTTGATCCATTTTTGAAGGGAGTAAAACTAGTGTCCTTTGACCCTGAAGTCAAACATCATTACCATCAAATTTAGCTGCAGCCACCACAACCCGGTTCGATCAGTAGTACCACCTACAAAAAGGGAACGGTTAACTGCCATACCTGGTAGAAGGTGAGGCGGTACAAAAGTGCCGCGGCATGTTCGGCCGCGCGGCTGTGCCCGGCACCGGTGGAGCTTTGAATGAGTGAGAGGACGGATGGCACGCCGCCGGACTCGCGCAGGGCAGCCTGGCTGCCCGCATCCTTGCCCACAACGGCCTGCATGGGCAGATCATTCAGATTTCAACTAACTACTTTCCATTCAGGGTTTGACAGGTGTCCCAGCAAATCTCAGGCCAGCCCCTAATTTGGCAGGGCAGGGCATGTGCTTCGCCAGCCGGGGGCTTTGCAGTTGCAGCTGTAATTCTGAAGGACCCCTGAGATGTGGCACGATTTTCAAGGGGGCACAAGCGAACTTCCCCTTAGCATGGGCCACCAGACAACCCAATCAAAAATTTCCAGTCCTGAAAATTCAGGTGGATCACAGCGAATTCATGGCCAGCTTATGGCAACAAGAAATCTTGCAGCCCCACCGCAGAGACACGTAGCAAATGGGTTGCTGAAGGTAGGTTTACTTTTTATCAAGACATGACGAGAGGTAATAGTCCCTCTTGTGTTATGATAGGGCCAAGGCGCTCAGACATAAGTCACCGCAACAGGCAGCTGAATCCATTCACTGCAATGTGGGCTTGTTGCTTACCAGCAGCGCCTCTGCAGCGCGTTCCTTGACAGTCTCACTGGAGCTGCAGAGAAGGTCCACCAATTTAGGAATGCCGCGGAATCGGGCGACCTCCTCGGGCCCGGGAGCGAATCCCTGCGCATCGCAATTGAAGGTGAGAATTTTGTTGCGAGAGAAGTTTGGAATAGCAGCTCATTGAGCTGTCCTCACAGGAAGAGACAGGAAGCCGAATACTGCCAGAGGGGTTGCTCGTCTGCACAACAATTGACAAAGTGCATGCCTCTATAGGTCCTGGACAATATCTGAAGAAGGTCTGCACCTCTGAGTCTTAGTGGATCAGAACAAAGCAAGGCATGCATGGCAAAAGTGATAACAGCACCTGTACGAAGCTGGTCAGGGCGGCAGCGGCCGCTGCCTGCTTCTCCCAGCTGTCTTGAGCGTTCAGGCTGACACGCAGCAGCTGAATCTTGGTGTCCGGGCCGCTCCTTGATGGACCCAGGCGCTCTGCGCTGTCCTCGCAGTCAGCATGCTCCTGCTGCCCGGTCTTGCCCGCGCCTGCTTCTGCACATGCACACTTCGTCATTGGTAAGGTGCAGCGCTGTTGCCCAGCAAGAAGTGTTCGACTCTGTGAGATTGAACCCCTGTACACTCAAAAAGGCACCATCAAAGAACCCCAAGCAGACGTGGCTTGCAAGGCAGTGAAAAGTCCCCTTTCACTGATCCAACTCTTTGTTTCACAGCATTTTGCAGAGAGACCTCTAAAAACTTCCTGGGTCACATGCTTGGATCAGGCACAATTCTGGATTGTGGTAATCTCAACATGGTAAGTGCACACCTGTGGTAGTTGTAGGGAAACTGGCGAGCAGCTGCACGAGAGCTTCCACGCCCCCCGCGTCCAGCAGGGACTCCTGCATGACTCGGCTGCGCATGACAACGCCCCCGAGCGCCTTGGCGGCCGCCGCGGCAGCCTTGGGATTGTCGGATCGCGCCATGCCCAGCAGCTTCGTCAGGCCCCCCGCCTCCCCCACTCCGATCTGTTGCAGACATTGTGTTTTTGTTACACGCTGTTCCTGGCAGAGACAAGGGGCGTCTGCAGACAAGCTGCAGGGGGAAATTGCCACATATCGCAGCTATCGCTCACATTGCACAAGTGTTATTCCTCAATTTGCATTTTTTTAAATTTGATCACCAACAATGTGAACATTGCACCTCACGAGGGCCGGCAAATTTCATCACCCCCAATCATACTCCGCAAGCAGACTTCCTAAAGACCTGAAGCTTGAATTTTCAGCTCCACACTGCTAAGAAACTGGAGCAAAGGAAGAGCGCGAGCTGATGCAGTTACCTGGAAGGCCTTGTTGTTGGCGGAGGCGAGCTGGCCGATGGCGGCGGCGGCGGCAATGGCGGCAGGTGAGTCAGCGGGTGATAGCATGGCGACTAATGGAATTACTCCCTCGGCCTCCCACACCATATCCCCTGTCATACCTAATGTTTCTGAGTGTCCCCATCTGTAGTACTTCAGGAACAAGTATGCTTCTTTATTTCATACCCTTCGTTGACTTAGCGTGATGCAGGATTCTTCTGGCAGGATGATCTTGTCGCTGTTGCCCAAGATGCACAGCAGTTTATTCCGCATGCAACTGCTTCCTAATGTTTGCATGCTGACTCTGAGAATCACAGTCCGGCATCGGATATCTCCCAGATTGCCTGGAATGTGATATGACTATATGACTGACCTGTGTTCTTGGCAGGCTGCCCCTTGGCCAGGTCATGCAGGGCCCATGCGGCGCCTGTTTTGGCGACAGGGTCCTCAGACTCAAGTTGGTCCACAAGGCTTGGGATGCGGCAGAAGTTGGACGGTTGCAGTGGAAAAGCCAGCTTCAATGACTCGGCTGAGGGCATCTTTGTCAGGCTACTGGGCGCCCCTGCATGCATGCGGAGCAGCGCTTCAATTCTCCTTAACATTGCCACACACTGCTTGAACGGAAGCTCTGGTGTAGAGAAACCTACAAGGAACTTGCAAAACACTTGCGCCTGCGCCAATCCTGCCTGTGGCTGGCTCTTATTGACAACAAGTTGCTGTGCTGCAGTGAGCATTGTACCTTACACATAGCACAGCCGAATTGACGTCTCCTAACATTGGTCCAGGTTTTGCACTTACAAGATGTGACTGTTTCTAAGCTGCATGCAGATAGGAAGGGGCGAAAGAGGGGACTTACACTCAGGCTTGATGCTGGTGGGGAGCGCTTCCATGCTCTGGTCAGGGGTTGTGGGGGCCCAACTGGGGGCGCTCACAAGCTCTGGCTCCTTGGCAGAGGTCGCTGGCACCATCAGGGGCGCCGCAGCCTCTTGTGGGGCCTGTTCCTTCGCAGGGCTTGTCACCCCTGCATCCCTGACCTGTCGCGGCGTCTGTGCAGCTGGGATGGTCTTTGCAGGCTTGGTATCGGCTTGCTGAGGGGAGCTTGGCGGGTTGGAGTTCGGCGGCCTCTCTGTGACCGGCGCAACTGTGACCGGCGCTGACTTGGCAGCTTGCTGGGAAGCCTGCGGGGTGGCAGGTGGCGCATCTTCCGCCTTTTTTGTTGTCACGGTCCTGATCGGCACCGGCGTGGCGGCATCCTGAGGGGAGGTTGTGCTCTCAACCCCGTCAACGGCGTGCTGATCTGGCTTGACAGCAGGTGGGAAAGACGCGGATTCCTGAGTTGCTGCCGGCGGCTCGGGCGCGCGGCCGGCCTCCTGCTTGGCGGGGGACTCCTCAACGACGCCCAACGCTGACTTGGAGCGCGGCACCTGCGGCCCTGGCGGCGGCTGGGCCGACTTTGCTTCGCTAGCGGGGGCCTCGGCGGCCAGGATCTCTCCAGCGGCGGCCGGCAGCGCGCCGGCGGCGTCGCCGGCGGCGAGGAACCGCTCCTTGGCGGTGGTGTGCGCCGCCCGGGCGCTGACGAAGGCCGCGGCCTCGGCCGCGAGCTGCGACTGCAGCTGCGCGGCGGTGCGGTCGTGGCGGGAGACCCGCTCGAACGCGGCGGCGTTCCCTGCGCTCAGGCTGGCCGCCCGGCGAGGCGCCCCGGCAACGGCCGCTGCCGCGGCCGTGGCGGCCAGCCCGGGCTGGTTACCGAGCGAGGCCGCGCGCGCCTGCAGCGCCTCGACGTCGATGCTGCGCAGCGCTGCTCTGCGCTCAGCCAGCAGCGCTGTGATAGGTGCCGACGCACCTGTGTTGCACCAGGAAGGCAGATGTCAGACACCCAATGACTGCTGAATCATCAACATTTCAGTAGCGCGGTGTGTGCACACCGTGGCTCGCGCAATTGCATTAAGGTGTCTGCAGGACTTTCCTGGTTGCCTGTCCCTTCTTGGAGGCATGGTGTGATCTTTGGGGCGGGGAACTCTTGGGTGAGGAGAAGGGGTGCCAGGGCATCGGTTGCACCTGAGCGCCACCTGGGGCTGTCGTCGGCCTCTTGGGCCTCCAGGAATTTGTAGCGCTCGGGGCGGTGCAGGATGCCGCCAGAGTAGGACCTCCGCATCTGCGGGCATGCACACAACGTCACAAGCTTGCACCCACAATACCATCAGACACTGCTGCAGGGTCTTTTCTTGAGATAGTCAGCCTTTGGCCCCGTCAGTGTTGATACTGAACGCCGTGCCCGCACTTGCATGAATCTTGCTTGGATCTGGCCGGTCCAAGACAGAGCAGGATTTTGACAGCCGGGGCAGTGTGTGAACAGGCTAGGGCGCAATGGAGAAGCACCTGGCCCTCCTGTTGCATGAGCTTGGTGTCAAGGGGCTCCATGAGCTGCCTGAACTGGCGGCCACGTTCCCTCCAAGGTGACTCTGGGGCAAAGAAGTCAACGCGCAGCTGGCCGTTCTGGTGCAGCAACACCACCCTGTGGTGGGGCAGATGGTAAACCTGAGCAATAAAGCTGAATAACAACTGAACCAGGAAAACATACATATGGCAGGGGACACACATGCAGACACGATGACACTGGGAAAGCAGGCAGGGCAATCCCACGACGAACGTAAAAGCTTGATCGGCCTTTGCACCTGTCCCAGAAGCCGCACAGCCTTCGCACGGCCCTCTTCGATGTCTCGCTTAGGGCCTCAACATCGCTATTCGGCTTTAATGTAACGATAGTGCCGATCGATTGCAGCAACGGCTCGCAATCCTTGAACTGCCGTTCAAGGCGAGCCTCCTGGAGGTACAGCTCCTCCGCTCCACGATTGATGGCCATCCCTACGCAGAAAGTGAAATACATGAGAAACACCATCTCTGAATCCTGGAAGCTGCATTGCTGCGATATATGCAACGGCGCTGTGCGCCCAAGCCAAAACCCTGGACAAGACGCCCAGTGACCGCGGTGCCAACAGGGTCATATACAAGCCTGATGTGATAGAAGATTCTAGCAGCACGATGAAAAGCTCACATTTCTCAGGATGTTCCAGTTTTCTGGGCGACTGGTCTCTGGAATCCTGCTCCCCAAGTGACCGACCAAGTATACGACAGGAAACTAAAGCGAGAAAAACCCAACATGGGGCAAACTGTAGCTCTCAGATATGTACTCAAATTTCACAGCCGAGTGCATCCCACCTAAGATTGTACGAGATTCCCATACACTTCACGGCCACGACGTCACCCCAACTTCCCAAAGTGTACTACAGAAGCGGTTACGGGTCCTCCCGAGACGCCTATTCAAGATGTTAGATCTCTAGAACACAACTGCGACAAATTTTGCCAAAGGCTGCAATCCAGAAAGGTAGCCGGGGGAAAACCTGATCTGATGCTTGGAATGCCAAGCGGATGAATGGCACCGTGGGCCTGTGCCTCATTTTGGGAATCTGAGTGTTGACTTCATTTGCATCCATACATCTCAACAACCAATTTTCTGTTAAAGTAAGTACATCTCACCAAGAAAACGATGACGAAGAGGGATGTCGGATCAGAGCCGAGAGCAGGATGTCGGGGTGTGAAAAGTTCTTCAGCAGCGCAGCCCCAAAGATCCCATGCCCATAATCAATTTTCGTCTATCAGAGAATCTTGGAACTACCTGGTTCTCTAAGGCGGATTAGATCTGTGGCTTTGCACAAGATCGAGCCGAAAGTTACCAAAATAGGCAATCTAGTGGAAGTGTAAGCGTTTCATCCCAGAGCCCAAACCAACCCATGAGCCACCACTTTTCCCAGAACTAGAGATGATCCACACATGGATCCTGTCTCTCCCCAGTTTGGCGAACTTAAGGTTCTGTTGGATGTTTACACAGGTCTAGACGGCTGGACCCACCAGCTCACTCATGATTCATGACTCGGACTCCGACTCAGACTCGGAGTCTGATCAGTTAATCCTGTAACTTTGAATATATAAATACATGCCAGCAAAGACCTGCCTTTGGTGTGCTCAAAATTCATTTTTTTATCGGCCGCCGGCTCTGCCTGGCAGGCATGCATTCGGTGAGTCATGAATAGCGCGATACTACCTGAATAGCTAGATGGCACGAGCGCTCTACGAGAAGTGTGGCGTATATTAGTAATATGATATTACACGCGTTGGAAGCGTTCCGAATGACTCATTGATTCAGCCTGCACCTGACCATCACGCTCCAGTTCAACAGGAATGATGGGGCTCACTGACAGGCTTATCTAATAGGCACCGTGTGACTCTGTGACACTCAACAGCTTATTAAAGTCGGCAGCACAAAATTCCAGAAGCCAGCGCCATGGCTAGGATGACGTCACACCATGAATGGGGCAGACAAATTCTGAACATCTAATGCAAGCACCAGCAACTTTAGCAATGCATTTCCAGTGGGGGGTTATACCTGGCAAGCACAATGACTGATGGTGGCTTCCCCATATCAGACCCACCAATTGCCCCCATGGGCCCACCAACGCCCACAGCTAGGGAGCCTAGCTGGCGGATTGGGGAATGCTGGGGGAAATTGCTCACTGTCAAAGTGTCAATATTGTCAGAGTCATTGCCGGTACTAGCAATTATCCGTAGCACCGAATTTTGTCTGTACAGCCTTTCTCTGCCGATTGGCCCCGGCCCATGCGGCCACCTTTTGCAAGGTACTGCTGGTGATATTTCTCGGCCACGTAGTACAAGCCAGCTTCCTTCAACTCCACCACCACCTTGTCCCCCCTGACTGGCCTGAACGCCCTGTTGGCCAGCTTCTCATTCACCTCCTCAAATGCCTGCAGCAGACCCAAGACTTGCCTGATCAGGGACTCCTCAGAAGAGTTCTCTAGGCACTGTAAGCAGCAGTTCCCGTCATTCACAATTCAACAGTGGGGGTGCGCACTCAGCTCCCTAGTATATAATCCATATCAAGCATTCTTGAGCTGCAAGTGATTGTTATGAACACGCCCTTTCATCCTGAGGATCGCATGCGTTGCATACGCTCTCATGCAAGGTATCATTACCCATGTGATGCACACATCAACACACCTTCTCCGCTTCAGCCTTCTGTTCAGGCGTATGGTAAAATATGGCGCTCCTGTACTGGGTGCCCACGTCGTTGCCCTGCCTGTTCTTCGTAGTGGGGTCCACGTGTGCAAAGAAGGTGTCCAGCAGCCGCTCATAATTCACCTCGCTCGGGTCATAAACCACCTGAGAATCCAAAATAACGCTTAGGACCCTCACAATGATGCCTTCTCACCGGCATCCCCACAAGGTGATACAACAGCTATACGCAGCAAAACGAATCTAGCAGCTCAATGGAAAAGCTCACGTTGCTCAGGACGTTCCAGTTTTCTGGGCGACCGGCCTCTGGAGACCTGCTCCCCATGTGAACGACCAAGTATACGACAGGAAATCAAAGCAAGAAAACCCCAACATGGGGCAATCTGTAGCTCTCGGGTATGAACTCAACTTTCACAGTCGAGTGCATCCCACCTAAAATTGTACGAGATTCTGATACACATCACGGCCACGACATCACCCCAACTTCCCAAAGTGAACTACAGAAGCGGTTACGGGTCCTCCCGAGGTGCACATTGAAGATGTCAGATGTCTAGAACACAACTGCGGCAGTTTTTGCCAAAGAATGCAATCCCAGAAAGGTAGCCAGGGGAAAACCTGATCTGGTGCTGGGAAAGCCAAGCGAATGAATTGGATCGTGGGCCTGTGCCTCATTTTGGGAATCTAAGTTTTCACTCCATTACATCCATACATCTCAGGAACCATCTCAGGAACCATCTATCTAAGGCGTGAGGACGATCACAGAAAGGCACCCACCAGAAAAGGCCAAGGCTTTGACGAGAATTGTTGGTAACTGCAGTGCTTGATATGCCATTTGATGGCCTGAGATTGTTATACTCAATGTGAGCATGGTGAGGTTGTGAAAGCACCCACCTGCACGGCCTCTGTATGGCCCGTGCTGCCGCCGCAAACAGAGTTGTATGTTGGGCAGGGGTCGTGGCCGCCTGTGTAGCCGACTGAGGTTTTTATAACACCCGGCACCCGCTGATAGGCCAGCTCCAGTCCCCAAAAACAGCCACCTGCTCCCAAAGCATTAATTAGAGATCATTTCACAGTTGCTATTGCCAACACAGGTGTGCATGTACGAGCACAGCAGTTACAGCAGTGAAGCAACGATTTTGCTGACAGTGGATAATCTGGATATGGTCCCAGCAGCAGATCAGACAACGCCTAGCATCTAGGAATGGTATGTCTAGTAGCTAGGCAGGTTTTTGCTGACCTGCAAACGTGCCAAGTTGTTGGCCTGGAGGCGCTGCTGAGGGTGCTGGGTCACATGTAGGCTTTGCTCTCCTTGCCCACGCCAGTGTGTCCTCCTTGCTGCCCTGTGCGCACAAACAGTCTGGTAAAGGCCCTGCCATGTGCCGTGTCAAGCTGCTAGAGCTTCGATCAGATCGAATCTCGCACCGTCGTGCTCTCGCCATTCCCGAAGATTTTGGAAAAGAAACCCATCACTGACACTGTCGGCGAACTTCCAAACTTCCTAGAATACGTTTGTTTCGCTGGCTTCGACAGAAAGTGACCTTGTCCTCTAGCTGTGTAAGTGCGCCCAACCAAGCTGCAATGACACGATTTTTCGATTAGATGAAGCTTCGCAAACATTCTATTACGCTTCTAGGTTGACTTGTGATGGTATGTTATGATGTCAACATCATGGCTTCAGGAGAGACCAGCTTCTCGCATAGCTTGGGCAGCTTCTCATTCCACGCCGTCGAACCGATGCCTCCCAAAACTGAAGCACTGCTGTCTTATCAAATGTCCGATGATTGGACTCCAATCGCAATTAGCTGCAGGCGACTTCGAGCAATGTGTCCTGAAGCCGATATAGACCTCTGTGTGCATGGCATGCAGATGTCGTGCTAGCAATCATAGCTGACACATCGCACAAGATGCGGTCTTGTGTGCTCAGCTGTCAGCCCCAGATTCATGATCGGCATGTGACTCACACATCCAGTACTTTTACTTCCAGAAAACATGTTACGGCCACTTCCCGAAAGAGCGGAATGCCCCAGCATAGAGGAACGGGTGTTTTGGTGCCCTCTCGGCAGCACGAAAAAGACAGGTGAAGGACGTTGAATGCTGTGGAGTGTACAGAGGAAATGTCTTTACAGAACTCAGATCATCTTTACTCGCTGACACTGAACCAAAGACTTCGTTCCTGCAGTTTGAGACACACTCTCCTGAGGGCAGCAGCTGGGAGCTTGGGTGGGGATGATAAGGAATCGTTCAAGAGAGAATTGTCGAAAGTCGAATCAGATACATCTCAGAACCCAGAGTCCAGAGGCTCCGGTGAGACGGAAATCAGCGATAAGGTGGCAAACCAGACAAAGTGCGCCCTCACTAAAACACCCCTTCTGGTGGTTCCCAACAGGTCTCTAAAATGCAATTACAATAGTATAAAAAACACCCCTTTCAATACACAACAGCAACAACCCCCCTTCCTGGTGGAAAGAGACTTCGACATCAGTCCCAAAGTTCTCGAAAAGGGACTTCGAAGGTGGGGAAGTCCAAATTTGAAGGTGATGTGTGCACGCAGGCACATGCCGCTGACTGCAGTTGAGTTGCTCAAGGATACAGTCAACATCCTCTACAAGAACTTCTGGCCGCTCATCCTCATCTTTGCCCTCACAGACCTGTCCATGTTTGTGCTCCATCGCGTCAGCCACCGCATCACCAACGAAGGTGAGCTGCCCTGCCCACCTGCCTGCTCCCACATGACACTCAGGTCAGGCAGGTCAGTTGCTCCCTTCGAGCAACGTGCTGACACTTGTTCAACACGTGGCAATGTGCACTTGGCAGCTCCTGAGGAGCATGCATGCATATGCAATCAACATTGACTATCTTTGACGGTTGTATTCCTTCCATTGGCAATATCCTTTGGTATGCTGCCGGAGACGGCATTTGTTGAATGGATTGCACCCATTATATAGTCGGCTCATGATCTATTGACCTGATTAAGAATGTCTTTGCTTGCCGTGCAGCTGCTGTGCGATTCTTGGGAGGATCCATCACTCATCAAAGCGTGGGCAACCTGTGGTTTCTCAGCAACAACCCTGAGATTGCCAATTTTCAGACAGGTGATGTTGCCTTTGTATATACTCCCCGTGAAACATGCCTTGAAGAAGACGCAGTACGAGAATGCATGCTGATCATGCTGCCTTCCGTGCACACTCGTCCTGACAGCGTGGTGGAAGTGAAGCAGCTTTTCCATGCAAGCCAGTTTTTGGCAGAAAAACTTCCATTGAAAGACAAAGCAAGCAAATTTCATTCTGTGCAGGGTATCAGTACCTTGTCGCTGTATTCTTCCTGATTGTCTTCCCCATAAATATCCTCATACGGAGCTTCGCCTCGACCATCACCATCCTCTACGCCTGGAAGAATGCAGGTCTGATTCATCACCCACTGATTTTCTCCCTGCTCTTGCCTGGATCTTACCTCTCCACTTTTGCCAATGCTCTTGCTGAACGAACCTTCTCCAGTAATAAAATCCTGTTTCGGTTGATTTGACACCTCTCAACGGCTGCGGGATTGATATTTTTATAAGTCCAATTCCCCCCTGCCGGCCGCTTCTGCTGGGAACTCGTAGAGTAGCTTATCAATTTAGAGGCCCCCGGGCTCTGAAAGGGGTATGCACCGCGCGCAGGGGAGCCGAATAAGTGCCCAAACCCGAAGCTGAGACTCTAAAGCAACTATTTATTTAGGGTCGTGTGGGGTCTGAAGGGGGGTTTGGCCCGCATGTAGGGGACCCTAAACTTACTGGCTAATGATAGTCCTTATGGCCCTCTGGGTTAAAGTCCCCCTGGGGTCTGAAAGGGGTTTGAACCGCACGCAGGGGAGCCGAACGAGTGCCCGGACCTGAAGCCGACCTTCATTCCGCCAGTGCGGTACATGTGGGCGAACCTGCGCTGCGTGTGGCCCAAGATGCGCGGCGCGGTGAGCCGGGTGTGGTTTGTGGATCTGCTGGTGGCGGTCAGAGTTCTGCCGCTGCAGTGCCTGTCGCTGCTGCTGCTGCCGCTGCCCTGGACTCTGCCGCGCATCCTGGCACTACAACTCGCCAACCCGGCTTCCGTGGTGGAAGGTGCGTTTGCTTGCACCCAGCTCTAAACAATATGAGCTGAACAAGAAAAGCAGCTCTGGACAAGTGATATGTAAGCAAGTGGGGGCGTGCCAACAGCATATCCAGCAAAGTGAGATCTGCAAGAAACCCTGCAGATCATGCATGTCAGGCAGACATACAAGCAAGGATCCAAATTACATAGGCTCTCTCCATGCATAGCTTCTCAAGGCATCTGGGGCAATTGCAATTAACTGGGTGTCTAATTGAATGCAACAATAATAGTCGATGCAGTGCCTGACCACCAAACGATCCCATGTTATTCTTTGGACTTGTGCAGGTAGTGAGTTGATTGTTGTCAAACACCTTGACATTAAGCAGATTGACTTTGGGTGCAGGTTGGGAAGGGGACGAGGCTCTGAAGCGCTCGGATGAGATGACAAAGATAAAGGGGGTGAAGAAGGCGCTGCTGTGGCCCTACATCGGCCTTATTCTGGGCATGCGCTTAGTCAGCATGGGCCGCACGCCAATTCTGGCCGCCATCCCTGGCCACATCATCAAGGACGTGCCCGAGATCCCCTTCATCATCTACTGCACCCTCATGTTCCTGTCTGTCGTCCTCAGCAGGTTTGTAGCTCTTTTCAAGTTTTTAGGATCTTCAGAACAGCTGAAGAGATAAGCAGTCAACTTATGGCAACGTATTTACTCTGGTCGCTCTTCTCTGGCTTGCTTGTTATACACTGAACATCCAAATTATTGCATCATTGATATGCTGTTTGTGGTTGAGTATTTGCCTACTGGTGATGCACATATAAGAATGCTTGCCTGGCTGTGCAGGTTGCAAGACGTGCTGCCTCTTGCTGTGTTCAAGAAAGGCAAGGATAGGGAGGCCGCCTCAGAGGCGCAGCTGAGCTTGTGATGACATGGTCTGGCGCATGAGTGGACGATCCGAAAGGTTTTTGAGAAGAGGAGCAGCTCTCTGAAATCAGAATGATGTGCTTGGCACGTCTTGTGCAGGCATGCAATGCAATGCCTGTGATGAAATTACCGCAATCTTATCAGGGTATACCCTGATACTATTTAGTAAATCCTCACCAGTCACATACGTATGTGACTGGTGAGGATTTGCATTCCTGGACTTTTTGCTGAGGTCCATTTAAAAGCAGGTCTATTGGCAGAATTTTCCGCATTGCTTCCTCAGCACATATGTTATGATCTTATTCTCTCATGAGAGGCCACCCCTGGCAGCGGCTGCAGCTGGTTTGCGCGATCACAGCTCTAATTGGAATATCATACATCTTGCCTGTTCCTGATCTGGGAGGCTGTTGCCAGGTTTATTTTCTTGCATTTTCTCTTAGGGTGTAACACTATCGCAGGTGTGCAACATCAAGATCAGTGTCAGAGAGATGGAAACCATGCTGGGCATGCTGTGCAATGACACGTCACCAACATCGGACCATCAAGATTGAAGGATTACCTCTAATGCAGAGGCAAAGTCACGTTTGACATCTGTCAAGCGGTTGGCAGTAATTACTTTCTAGCATTCAGATGATATAAAACGGTGCTTGGTGATGACAACCAGGCTTCAATCTTCTGCAGATGGTGCACTATAGCTTAGCAATTTTGGATTAGAATGTGAAATATGAATAGCAATCATGCGAGGACAATCCTTCACATCGATTTAGATTGCTTCTACTGTGAGTTCGTCCCTTCTGTGCTCGTGTCTTGACCAGTGGTACTTTCTTTGAGACACGTCTGATTTCTACAGCTCCTGACCTAAGTGGCGTCATTCACAAGCAACACAGTGAATAATATAATTTGAGTGATGTAAATGGGTCTTAATCGCTGCAGCCATGGATGGGCAATAAGGCCTTTCTGGGATGCACCCAGCCAAGTAGATGTATCGCATTGGACCCGGAGAGGAAGATTGGTGACATGGCAGGACGGTGGGCGAGGCTGAGGTCTTGAGATTCTGTCGCTGTCGCAGGCCAAGTGGAGCAGAAACGACTCAATATCCCTCGAAACGTCCCAGTTGCTGTGCAGCAGTGGGAAGGACTTATTGCCATCAACTATGCGGCCCGTGCAGCAGGCATCACCCGCCACATGCGCGTTCATGAAGCCAGGGCCCTCTGCCCTGAGCTGCAGTGTGTCCATGTTGAGACCATTGGTACGTCACTGCATATTACATGCCACCTTCATTGTCACACAATGTCCCAGAACTTACCTAATGAATTGCCGATATGTGCTGGCAATCACTGGTATGTCAGCTGAGAGATAATGCTTTGATAATACCGCAAGAGTGACAGTAAGTGCTGATCCAGAAATAATGAGTTCTGGAGCGTTTCTGAGTTGAGCAGGTGGGGATGAGCTGGTGGACACAAAGGACCGCACAAAGCAGAAGGCCTGCCTGGAGCGTTACAGGAAGGCATGCATAGAAATTCTGGCAGTCCTGCACAAGGCTGCACCACAGGTCTGCTACTCATTAGCTGGCTTCATGCATTGGATTACAAAACGAGTAGAGCATTGTCATGCAGTAATACGTTTAATAAATTTTGCATGCTTGCAGGCCGTCATTGAGAAGGCATCAATCGATGAGGTGTACATGGATGTGACCACAATGGTGGAGAGGGAACTGAGAGTGAGCCCAAATACCCAACCCTGCTATTGATTACTGTGCTTCACATCAAGACCACTTGCAAAGCGCACATCCTGTGGGAGCTTTGGAGTCCATTGGATTGTCATTGCATTGGTGGACGAAAACGAGTTGACTCCACATAATGGAGCAGTCTCCTACATGTGTTGCTGGACGTACCTGGATCCTAGATCTCTAGGAACCGGAAAACGTGTCATATTCTTACTGAGACTATATCAAACGGGGTCTCCACGGTTGATTGAGTCTCTCTTGAATCTGGTGAGTCCAATAAGGGGTAGATGTTGTGGCAGTCTCTGCCTGTACCTTGTCTGCAGCGCACCTTGCCCCGGACAAGCGTGCAATGATAATTGTAGTAATTATCAGCTTTGGTTTGTTGGGGGTTTGGCAGGAGAGGGCGCAGGCTGACAGCTGCAGGGAGGCGGAGACTGGGGAGGGGGGCGCGCACGATTGGGAGGCCGGGGGGTCCCCTGTGGACGCATTCTCATGGGGGGGCATTGTGCTGGGGGGCGGGCCCCTCGATGTCGGCAGCGAGTTTGAGCGACGGCTTTCCATCGGCGCAAACATTGCCTGTCGCCTCCGCGGCGCCGTCCGGGATCAGCTGGGTGAGCCACGGCTGTTGCAAGCTTCCTGCATTTGTAATCCTGATGCCAGCGATCAGCGCACGCATGCAAGATAATTGTGGTATTCTGCACCCTATTGTACTCAATCACTGTGATAGTTATGATGGTAGAGTGCAAGTGCCCACGGTGTGAAGTGTGTTGATGAAAGAATGGACTTGGCATATATGCATGTTTGCGGCATGGAGATTGAAAGTGTGCAGTGCTGTAGGATTCACATGCTCGGCGGGCATTGCAGCGAACAAGCTTCTGGCCAAGGTGGCCTCGGCCATGAACAAGCCCAATCAGCAGACCATTGTGCCCCCCAGGTACTATACTTTATCCATCAAAATAGCTTGCCCTTGCACTTGTGCCCACTTTTAAAAACTGCCAGCACATACGGAACGCAGGCGGTTCATAGAGCTGGCAGGAAAATGTCAGCTGACGGGCGCCTAATGATGTAACCTAGTGCCATTATTGTCACAACCCCCTTGTGTATGTGGCAGGGCGGTGGACGAAATGATGAGGGATCTGCCGCTGAAGAAGCTGCGAAACTTTGGGGGGAAGCTGGGCGCTGAGCTGGCGGCCATGGGCTGCGTGACCGCCGGGCAGGTTTCTGCGCTGCCCCACGGGCAGCTCACTGCGCGCTTTGGCGAAGAGCGCGCCGCAGGCATCGCGCGCGCCGTGCGCGGCTACAGCGACGAACCTGTCCAGGTAAGCCTACTGCACGGTATGGCAAGGTGCTACATTGCTTCTTTCCACGAGCAGAGGCCGAGGCATTTGAGAGGCATGGCCTGGTCCTGGGCACTCGGATTGGCTAATTTTGATGAGGATATCCCCCAGAAGTCTGGCAGAGTGTGACCATGCTTTGTCTGGGCAACGTTTGGCAGATTATACTTGCAGGGTGGGCAGCCCTTTCTAGGCATTATCTGTGAGCATGCATGGTGCACTGCCACTGGTTGGACCAGTTTATTCATTGCAGGGCTGAATTGACAACTGAAATTTTTAGACAGGTTTAGCACCTGACTGGACGAAGCATGTACAGACATACTCTCTGTCATGTCAATTCCCTTCCCCAGGCTCCAGGAAACATGCACTTCTGTTTGGAAAGGGGTGATAAGGGTGCACCCCTGTCATCCACAACCGACAGGTCAGTTCATGAGTCATGGGGCGCAGGTGAAGGAGCTGGCCAAGTCGAATCTGGCCGTCAATTGTGACTAGACGAAGCATGGACAGGTGTGCAACGTAATGTGTAAATATGTCCGGGGAATTTGATCAGCATGCATGGTGACGTGTCAGGTGAAGGAGCTGGCCAAATCAATGCTGGCGGCCAAGTCGTTCAACGCAACGAGTGCACCGGCCGAGCTGGACCGATGGCTGCGCATCCTGGCCGACGAACTCTCCCACCGCCTCACTGAGGACGGCCTCACGCACTCCAGAGCGCCGCGCACCCTCAGCCTCTCCTACAGGTGCTGCTTGTACACATCTATCACCTGGTCACTGGGGTGTCACCATTATTGTTGCTTGGACGTCCAATCGCAGCACTGATGTTTGGCTCACTGCAGACCCAGATCCATCCTTGCTGCATTTGCTTTAGGCAGGCTATGGCGTGTTTGAACCAGCAGCCAACAGCCCTGCACACTTAACGGTCTGATGTTGCATGCTGGCCAATGCATTGCTGCAAGCTATCTGATCAGGAGTACGTTGTGGCTGTGCAGGGGCAGCAACGGCGATCGCAGCAAGTGCTGCCCGGCGCCGAGGCCCACCAAGGAGGGCTACACAGTGGAGGCCCTGAAGGAGGCCGGCTCTATACTGCTGCGCAAGTGCCACGACATCTACCCCTGTGCGCGCCTTGCCCTGCAGGCAAGTCTCACCACTCCGGATCTGCTCATGTGGTGTTTACTGCTGTCGACATCAGCTTTGACTGCCAGGACATGATGCACACATGAAAGACAGTGCCACCTCCAATATGAGGAAGGAATTTGCTAAGCCCCACTCGCAGTGGTGCTACGCTTTGTATGGCTTTAAGGAAGCCTCAGGATGTGGCATCGAGTGAGTCATTGAATTTGAATTTTGTGGCATTGTTGCAGGCCTCGGACTTCTACACCCTGCCTTTGAGCGATGACCAGGGTGCCATCAGCCGCTTCCTCACCAGCGCTACAGGTGCATTTCAGCCCACCATTTGAATATGCAAAGTGGCACTGTGAAACACCAGAAAAAAGGTGCATCTGTGCATTTACGCTGGCTTGCTACTGCTGTTGCTAGACAACTGAGCCCGGGCCAGGCCGCTTACTTCAAAGAATTCAGTCTCGGGACTGACAAGCTGGCTTGTGCTGCGGGGTACGAATACTGAGCACCGTGCCCACTGTTGATTGGGTGTTGCTTGGGTCTGGCGAGTCCATCAAGGGGCAGGAATCTTTGGCAGCCGATATTTGCAGCTTGTCTATAGACGTACCTGGCAGGGAGAGCGTGCAAAAACAGTGTTAGTAAAGAGGGATGAATTGTTGCAGGCGATGGCGGGGCAGCTCTGCCAGAGGCGCCCAAGCCCAAGAAGAGCGGCCCGCAGCAGCCCAGCATCGCGCAGATGTTCAAGCGCGCGGCGGCAAAGGCCCCGCCTCAAGGGCCGCCGCCTGATCAGGCGCCGGACGCAGCTTCCGCCCAGCCGCCAGCACAGGAGGCATCGCCTCAGTCTGTGGGCGACCGAGGGGCGTCTGATGGGGTACCCAGCAACACCCCTGACGCGCAGGCCGGCTCGGTCAGGAGTCCTGGACAGCGGGAGGCTGCCCAGGGGAATGCAGCAAAGTCAGGGGAAGGGGGCCATACAATTCCTCTGGCAGAAGGACGACAGGGCAGCCAGGATCAGCCAGGCAGCAAGAGCCCACTGCTGCAACTTCCCAACAGCGCAGGAGCCTCGCTGCAAAGGCAGTCCTTGCAAGCAGCAAATGATGTGCGCAGCAGTAGGCCGGCTTCTGATGCACAATGCAACATCGCAGACAGACCAGATGCCGAGATCGCTGCAGCTGGACAAACAGAGTTGGGCAGAGGAGCAACTGACACAGCAGGCGTCCGTCAGCCTGAGCAGAGTCAGCACCCCCACACCAGGGATCCTGGAGATGCTGGGCCCCCTGGACACCCAGATGCTGATGTGGCGGCCACGCCTTGTCAGCCTCCAGGTGGCGTTGTGTCATCTGGGCCCGCAGGTGGGGCCGCAGGAGCGCAGCCCGAGTGCGATCTCACGAGCGTAGATGTCGATGAGCAGAAACGTATCATGCGCGAGATCTGGCTGAGAGGTCAAGGGAACGCTGGCAGACCAGGTAGCGGTGATGTCGGGGGTGAGTCAGCTTCGGCACCGGCCGTGGCTGGTGACAGATCGGCAAAGCGGGGCCGAGTGGGGACTGCTGGTTCTGGCAACGGCGCTGCTGCCAAGGAAAGTGCCAGCAAGCAGATGCGCATTTCTGCCATGTTCAAGGCGCCCAAGAAAGCTTAGGGGGCGTTGCAATGCGCATGCACACGGCGGCCCATTGAATAAAGCGGCCTATTTTGGATACGTCATGAGTTCATGTATAACATGACTTGATTTGATCGAAGCTACATGCAATTGCGATTACATGCGGACACTATAGGAGCACGGCCGGCGCGAGAAGTTTATAACTGGTGCAAAATCATCACAGGAATGGTTCCTGTATGTGTACACGTACAGCTATGCACTGCCCACCATAAGATAGCCTAGCTAGACTTCAGCGAGCTGTAGATCGTCGTGCTTCAGTCGTCACACTAGAACCAAGTCGACTGACGTCCCAAATTTGCCCTATAAGACCGCCGCGGCGTTGTAAGGTGACCTAGCAAACAGCCGCTTTCGGCTAGCTGTACCTTTCTAGCCTAGTCACTACTTTAACACGGTGTTGAAGGGAGGCAAGGAGCACAGTTGACAATTTGCTGTGTAAGACCATGTCAAACTTGCAAAAATGATGCAAATTGCTTGCAAGTATCAATTGTATACAATTGTATCTCTCACATGCAAATTGCTCTTATCTCCCACATGGGGGTGTAGACCTGTACGCTGCAAGGGTGCATTTGCGAGTTGACAAGGCTGCAAGCCCGCCTGGGCCTGTGCATATCGGCCCCGGCCGGGTTCCGGCTGCAGACGGACCTGTGTCTACCCTATGGCCCTCTGGGCTCTGGCCGGGGTTCGCCACTCATAAAGATTATGATTAATATTACTATTATGATAATGATGATGATGATGATGATGATGATGATTATTATTATTATTATTATTATTATTATTATTATTATTATTATTAATGCCTTGATGGGCTCAAGGGCCAACAAGTTGCCAAACTTGGCTGGTGTGTCGAAGAACACCTTGCAGGAGAATCGTAGCTGTGGAACACAAAGTCATAGAGCATCCGATCAATCTGGGGACTTGTATTCTTGCACCGACAGGAAAGGTATCGAAGTTCGTGAGGAAAGTATGAGATTAAGAATTTGAGGAGCAGGAGCAGGCTTATGACCTAGGGAGGATGTCTGCTCAGAAGATCTTTAAACTCTTTGGCAGTGTTGCTCGGCAGACAGGACAGACGCTAGATTCCATTGGGCTGAAGATACAGGGACAGTACGGTTATAAGGAGGGAGGTGAGACCCAGACATTAACACTCTTCCTGCTCTTGTGGGTGCAAATTACAAAGGATGTAAGTATCCATGAACTTCTGAGAATGGATTGTACATCGGGAAAAACGTTCTAGAAGGTTGTAACCTGCTGAGAGGATGCCTGCATGATTAAGTTTGGCTCACGCCGTGCTCAATATTGCTTCTGGACTTTACAAGATCACTAACCCAGTGTTTTGCTGCAACAGTGCCAACGCACCAGACGTTGCAAGGGTACCTGGGAAAACGGCCTACTCTGGGAACAGGCGCCTTTGTTGCTCCAAACGCGTCTGTTATTGGAGACGTGAAGTTGGGCAACAACTCCTCTGTATGGTATGGAGCTGTGCTCAGAGGTACGTCATCATCGGTTTATTCAATTTGCTGTCGAAATCTTTATCGAACTGATCCGAGGGTCGTAGTCTGCCCCTGGCAAGGGTCTGGAGCAAAGCACACCTGACTGAAGCCATGCTGGCAGATTGCAGGCGGACTGTGATCAAATTGCATGATGTAGTCCTATGCACACAGGTGACGTCAACCACATTGTTGTGGGGAACAACACCAACATACAGGACGGAGTGACGGTGCATGTAGCCAGGCACAATCCTCAGGGGAAAGTGGCACCCACCACCATTGGAAACAACGTCACAGTAGGTGTGGCTCTGCTGCTATTGCTGCGTCCATCTTGCAGATGACACATGGTATTTCCATGCTGATGCAGCAGGAGTGCACTGCACTAGAATTTGCTGAATATGACTCGTTTATTGGATACCATGGTCCTGGCATTCAATTGCAAAAGGAAAGAACTGGTCTTGATCTCTCCTTTGTGTCCCAGGGCATGGAGCTATAATCCACGCAGCCACTGTGGAGGACAATGTGTTGGTGGGCATGGGTGCCACCATTCTGGATGGCGTCACGGTGAGCTATTTGGCAAACAGCATTTGCCACGCTTCTATGAGCCGCATTGATGCATCATGTTTCCAGCAGTAATGATCCCAAGCATGAAGCATCCTTCACGCAAGCCAATATACTACGCATGCGCTGCAGGTGCAGAAAGGGTCTGTGGTGGCAGCTGGCGCAGTGGTCACGCCAGGGAAGACAGTGCCGTCAGGCGAGGTGTGTATTTCTAAATGTCACAGGCACCTCGGCCTCAAATAAATTGTTGCTGTTTGCTTATCTCCCCTCTCATGCTTCTCACTCTCAATGGAAAGGCCTGGCACCACCGGAATTGCCTCCTGTTGGTTTTTACTGAATGAGTATGGCGGCCATTCTATGGCCCAGGATGAGGATGCCAGGAAGGCATCTGCAGGTGGTTGGATTGGAGCAGGACCTTGTCAGATGAGGACCCACAGACTTTTCTGAGAGGATCAACACCACATCCGCCGCTGCAATGTACATGTACATGTTCAGGAGCTGGCTGCTGGTGCGTGTCCCAGGTGTGGGCGGGGAACCCAGCCAAGATGCTGCGCAAGCTGGAGGAGGAGGAGGCTGGCTTCATAGCGCAGGCCGCCAATGACTACGCCGCACTGGCCGCTGTGCACGCTGCCGAGAATGGCAAAGGCATGGAGGAAATCCTGGTGCGCCCTACCCCTCCTGTTCCACTTCATTCAGCTTCCTCGTCACCAAGAAAGATTATTTGCACTTCGTCCAGCATCCTGGTGACCCAAAATGAGAGAGAGGTATATGCAGACACTAAGGCAGTGTGAGCGCCAGAGATATGAGGAAGGGCTGCCTTGCAAGACAATATAAAGCGGCAACAGTACAATGATCCTCCCAGCTCAGGAGCACTAACTTTGGTAGGGCTCAGAGGAGATTTGGTAGTCCACCTCGCATCACGGCTGCCACTGACATCATCCCAGAATTATACAGTCAATTTCCCTGGCCAATAACTTCATTTTCAGCAATCTGCCGGGTGCCATGCTTGGAGCAGCTCCTGCAAGAGACTTTTGCATGTGGCATCTCCCGGCATTTGTATGCCTGCCGCTGCTGTCGCACTGTCTGTGTCAGTGCAATCATATATGTGCTGCTTTCATGCATGTGTCGAGGTAATGACCAGCAACCTCAATTCGCCTGTTCCTTGAGCAGCCTTGAGCTGTGACTTGCCTGTGTGCTGTGGGTTGGGCTGACAGGCTGCTGTCTGGTGTGCAGTTGGACAATGCGAGGAGGGAAGACAGGGCGCGCAGGTCTCTGGACTATGACTCGCACATGGGCGTGGAACGAGACCCCATCAGCAGAGAGATCATCAGTACAGCCAGCCACACATAATTCGCCTGTGCTCGGTTTGAGAGTTTGAAAGAGAAGCCTTCTGTGTTAGAAAGTGCCAAACTTGGGGTTGTGACTGTCTAGAAGAGGCCTGCCTAGGTCGGATGTAAAGATAGTTGCTTCAAAACTTGCAGGAGGCTCCTGAGGCAGCCTTGTCCACAGTCATGACTTGCTCCGCGCACGCGACTTGCGCCACGCGGCGTGATGAATATTGAAAGGCATGCTTCTCCAGGGCAGCAAAATTGCCCTACACGGCAAATCGTACACAGCTGCAAAGACGGAAAAAGATCGCTCTGCCTTGATGTTTGCAGACCTCTTTCTCCAAAGTGATCCTCCTGAACTTTTCCACAGAGGCCACCATGCATGGCCTTCAGAGTGGCTTCTCCTCTGCAGTTGCCAACTTTGGCTGCATGAGCTGCCTCTCAGAATCCTTGCAGTTGCATTCTTTGCAAGTCGTGAGACCATTTTCGTACAGGGCGGTGGCATTGTCCTCTGTCTGGGTGTCTGCACCCCGATCTGACGCTTGGGGTCAGAGGTCAGATTCTTTCGCAGCCTTTTTGGGGAAGCTGGCATCGGTGCAATGTTAAGGAGCGCAGGTCAGCGATTGGCCGGCCGTCTGTTGTGGAATGTTAGACCTACTGCAGCAATCTTGCAGGCAAGAGGCCTGAAGCTAGACACTGGAATTGTGGGACTTCCTGTTGTACCTAATGCACGAGAAGTCCTGAAGGACAAGATAAACAAGGTGCTGGGAGAGGTTGCGGAGCAGATCCCTGAAGAAACAGAATACAGGAAAGCCATTGAAGCAACATACAACTTCAGGTAGGGCTTAGATTGTTGTAGTATGCCAGACACTTCATAATTGTCAGCAGTTGGGCCACTTTCAAGAGATCTGTTTGCGATCGATCTAGGTTCCTTAAGGATTGCATTTGAATCAAATCCGCCATGTCACAGCATGCATTTGTGAACCTTCCTATTCCGAGGCAGCTGAGAGGCAAGAATTGACCTGTGCAGGATGAGGGCTGTTGAGTCAGGAGCCTCAGATGAAGAGGTGGAGGAGCAGTTCACGATGCAGCTGGAGCAACTCATAAAGCAGTGTGACGACGAGCTGGGCCTCATACCCAAAATGGCAGAATGGAAGCCATGGGACGTCCCTGCAGGACACAAGGCAGGCTCCTTCTTCTGCCCATCTGCGAACTGAGCAATGCAGCAGCTTTGCAAGATCACGACTTCTTGCATTCTTCATTCAGTGCTCCTGGAACGGGGGATCAGTGTGTTGTAGCTGCATTAAGGTCCTTACGAGAGGCATCTCCTCCATTATCTCTAGCGCTCGTCCTAGTGTCTGTAGACTGCCTTGATGTCTGCGTCTGTCTATTTCTAAATTGTTGCAGTCTCCATTTCAGTCTGCGAGCTGATCTGAGTGTGTCTATTGGGGTGCAGATTGAGACCATCGTGGAGGAATATGTGGACACTGTGCAAGGCCAGCAGAAGGCCTGAACACAAGCAAAGAAGATCACACATCTGTTCACAGCCGTCTAGGGCACGAGCATGATAGGACGAACATTGACGCCTGCCATTCTTGCAATTGTGTACATTACAGAGAAAAGACCTCCTCATTACCTCCGCATGAATGGAGTTCCTTGCAAATTATCCCAATTGAATAGATTCTGTGCCTTGTAACTCATCGATATAAATTATCACTGGGAGTAACCTTACGGATGACTGGCCCCATCTACTGTACAGCAATATTCAAATTGAATTTGTACCCTAGTATAAATCAAGATAACGCGATCATCCAACGTGGCTGTGGTGTGCAATAAAAAGAACATATCAATTCTGAAGCAATAGGGGTGGCACCTTCATCTGGACCTCACCGGTAGGTACCCAGACTAATGTGCAACCAGCAAGCACCCAAATAAGTTACTGAGAGGCACAAGCAGCGCAAGCAGTCGGTACACTCTTAATTCCTGACAAATCCCATCATTTATTGATGACCAGTAGACCAGTCTGCCACAGTGTGCAGAACGCTGTACGTACTGAGCCGCACTCGCATCCCGTCAGCACCACTTGTCATCGCTGTATCGCCACCTGAGGTCTGCTGAACCCTGCCTGCCCTTGTCGCTGCCTAGCCACCTGCAAGAGGCCTGGAGCCTCTTCATGCACAGCCTGATCAGGCCTTGGTGGCGGAGTTGATGATTTTGATGAAGTCGGGCTTGAGGGAGGCACCCCCGACGAGGAACCCGTCGATGTCAGCGGCCGTCGCGAGCGTGTCGGAGTTGCCGGCCGACACCGAGCCGCCGTAGATGATGCGCGTGGAGGCCGCCACGTCAGCGGACACCTTGTCCGCCAGCCATCCCCGGATGTCTGCATGCGTCTCCTGGGCCTGCACGCACAAAGAGAGTGGTTGGTGATAACGGTGGTGAAAAGATTGTGCCAAAGCCGGCAGCCGACATGTGCTGTCACATGTCTGCATGCGCTTGACAGCGTCGCATCAAGCATACATGGTTTGGATGGGGAGATTGCCGCCCTGAAACGTAGGAAGAAGAAACATGCACGCTGAAGGGCATTCTCAAGCAATGACACCGCAATACTAGATTTCCTTATCAAACTCTGTGGAGCTAGCGCTGCAGTGATGCATCACCCATAGAGGAGATGGCAGCGGTGCTGCAGCCAACAAAGGTGACTAGCATAACAAGAAGAGTTGGTGAAAGTCATCCCTTTGCTCACCTGCTCTGGGGAGGCAACTTTGCCGGTACCGATGGCCCAGACGGGCTCATAGGCGATGACCACCTTGCTCCAGTCGCTGATCTTGCCTGCCACGGGTGCCAGCTGGCCAGCAACCACCTCAAAGGTCTTGCCGGCCTCGCGTTCCTCGAGAGACTCTCCAATGCACAGGATGACCCCCAGCCCCTTGTCCAGGCAGTACTTGGTCTTGTCCGCAATCAGCTGCGCGCACATGCACGCACATGCTGTGCTCAACAGCCTGCCATGTGTAACAAGCGCTATGTCCAATCAAGATTGCTCTGCCGATTTTCTCTTTTTCCTCAACGCCGACATGCCCCCCAATGGGTGTCTATACAGAGCTGCTGACTGTATTGGGTCGTAGAGGGTAAACCCTCAGATCTGTTACACAATGTCTGATAAAGCGCACCGTCCGCCAGGCAACATGTATCTAAGAGCACAGCTACCAACAAACGGGTGCTTAGATCTGAGCTGTGTCAGAAGATAGTGCCAGCCCAAGGCGCTAGAATGATCATTGCTTGTCAGATAGATCTCAGGGGACTTCGGTTCATTTTGGGGTATAGGGGCGGGCTCAAGCGCACCTCACTGGACTCGCCGATGAGTGATCTGCGCTCTGAGTGGCCCAGGATGACCCAGGGCAGGCCAAGGTCTGCCAGAATCTCCGCGCTGCACCCAAATGTAAAAAGCTAAGCTCTGCCCCAGTAGTGATGTTGAATCAGACGGTCAAATTGCTGGAGCGGAGTAGTGGGGGATGGATGGTGTAAGGCCCAGTGCTCACCTGAGCTCTCCAGTGTACGCGCCAGATCCCTTGACCCATGCGTTCTGGGCAGCTATGGCGAAGTCCTTGCGCAGGCTGGACTGCACAAGTGGGATGTGGACAGCTGTTGGTGCCACTACCACCTCTGCAGGAAGGTCAGCAAAAGTCAGACGGACAGTAAGTATGGCAAGGCTACCTTTTCCCCCGTGATGGGGTCTGAGGTCAAGCACGAGATAATACTGGGAAGTTTCAATCGGATGTGCCTTAGGGCAGAGACTTGAAAAATGCTCTCTTACCAACGACATCAGTATCCGGGATCTCCCCTTTGTTCAAAGTTTCCACCAAGGACTCCACCAGTTTGATCGTTCCATTCTGCGATGGGCACAAGCGCGGTCATGACCTCCAAGGTGAACAACGACATCAAGATTGGGTGGTGTTCCACCACAATGAATTTCTTTGCCAGGCATTAGTCGGAGGAACACTCACACATTTCCAATTGCCACCTGCGCAAGACCACAAATAATGGTAAGGAAATGCCGGAGGAATACGTGACATGGAAGCTGCACCAAGAACCGCAGGGATCATTACGTACCGACGAAAAACTTCCGCGCGCCCATGCCGCCTGATATGTTCTGCAAACAACAGAACGTAACAGATAAGCCCTGTTTTCTAAAGAGATAAACTGAATGGCGCGTACGTTGGAACCAAGGTCCCCGCTGACCTATCCCAATATTTGAGAAACCCTAATGTTGACCTGAGGAGCTGTTGACTTCAGGAAAACATGATGGCAAGTCATCCTTCCAGACATCTATTGCCCAAATTGTTTCCTAAGGTTGCAAAACTTTCGTAGGAGACAAGCAGAAGATCATGACCCATTCCACAGGTGTGTCTGTAGCAGATCACCGCAAGTATTTCTAGCCTGAAGAAACTTCTGACAACCTGGATACCTTGAAAAACGACAATGACAGTTCAAAAGAAGATGAGAAGGGGACCACGCTCAGGTTCCTCCAGTCATGGGCATGGAAAAGGGAGCACAGGTCAGATTCCGTTTGTGTTTGTCCCGATAAGTCCAGCTTTATTTACTATGTCCAATTGCAATCATATTCACTGATGGCTTCTTTAAACTGTGCAGGCCAGACAAGTGGGTCATCCTCCTTCCAAATGTTGCTCTTTGATGATGTGTCATCAGAGCCTTGGCATGCCTGACACAGAGATAACTGGTCCAGGACTGATATTGGTATACGGGATACTGTGGCAGAACCAGGTTTCAAAACCCGTACATACATTGCCTTCAAGTCCCTGGCACCGATGAACAGGTAGTACTCACAATAAAGCAGGCCAAGTTCACAGCAGAGGGTTTTGCATCCACAGGTAACCCCTCCACTTGCAACACAGCCACCTGCTTCTTGCAGTCCTGATCTTCACTCGGTGCTGAGCCCAGTGTTACGCTCAATTCCTTGCACATTGCCTGATCAGTTCCAAGTTGAGTCAGGCGCATCTCATGCGGTCTGGGGCAGCTCATTCTTGTGCTCAACTCCTTGCATAGTGCCTGATCAGTTACAAACTGAGTCAGGCGCACCTTATGCGGTGTGGGACAGCTCAGTCGTGTGCTCAGGTCCTTGCATGATGTCTGATCGGTTCCAGATTGTCCCATGCAGTGTGGGACAGCTCCATTGTGGTGGCCAAGTACTTTGAGCGGCATGCTGCGCGCTATAAAGGGCTGCGCTGCCTTGATCTCAGCGCCGGCTGTGGGCTGGCCGGTGAGTGCAAACACCCCACATCTCTTAGGCAGATACGACCCATGAAGAGGAATTTATCATTGTTATTGTTTTATTATTATTTCTCGCTTGTTTAGCCCTAAGGGCTAGGTGCGTTGCAGCAACCTCTCAATCTCACCCTCCAGCCTTCCCTCCCTTTCTCCACCAGCAGTCGTTCAGTAAAACTTTACACACTCTACACAGGCATCAATCTTGACATGCGAAATGAAGAAGGAATGCTAATTCGCAATAATATATCCAACTCACGCTAGAAGCGTTTGAGAGGCGGAGTCTTTCATGTGCAGGCATTGTGCTGGGAAAGCTGGGCGCGCATGTGACGGCCACGGATCTTCCGGGGAACCTGCCGCTTCTGTCCGACAACTTCAATATCAACGGTGCACCCCTTAATCCTGACCTGCTCCTGGCGCACTGTACAGATTGTGCCTCCAGACAGCTCGTTTCATTGCAGATCCTCATATAGAGGTGTCTTGTTTAATGCGCATCCTTAGTCCTGACCTGCTCCTCACTGCACCACACAGATTGTGCCTCCAGACAGCTCATTTCACTGCAGATCCTCGTATAGAGGTGTCTTGTTTGTTGCATATTCTTAGTCCTGACCTGCTCCTCACTGCACCCCACAGACTGTGCCAAGAATGCCTATTTCACTGCAGATCCTGGGCCAGAGATGTCTTGCATGTCGCTTGCTTTGCGTTTACACGGCGAGGCAGCCCATTCTCCTTATGTCTGGTGCTCGCCTGCCACGATGGCTGCATTCCTCTTTCTCTTTACTGCAGAGCATGCCTAGAATGCTCTTGGATTGTGTGAGCAGGAGTGGCGGCCAGAGTGGTGCAGCACTGGTGGGGCAGCGATGCTGCGTCCCTGTCTCCACCCTTTGATCTTATCATCGCCTGTGGTGAGCCGCCCGAAAACTTTACGGACCTGCACTCCTGATGCAATCATATGTACTTTACTGTTTGCACAATCTTATGTATTCAAGGGGTGGCCAGTAGACGGGGTATGTGATACCACAGCAAACACAAGCATTCGTGACTCTGGGTTGAGAACTCCTCATTAGGCTGTCTAACATGGCAACCCTTTCCCCACTTTGGGTGTTTGCCAGTGATGATTTTTCTAAGTCATCTGCAAAGTGTTTTCTATACAGCATAATTTAATGGGTGTGCTCGCGACTAGATTAGTGAAGTAAGGTGAGGGCTTGTGATCGCAGATGTGATGTATATCAATGAGGCCATCAGGTACTTGACGACAACGCTCAAGGCGGTGTCAACAAGGGACACTGAGATTCTCATCGCACATGGGAGAAATCGCCAGGCAGAAGGGGCGTTTCTGGCAGCGTGTGAAGGCAGCTTTGCAGTCACAGATATCACGAGTGACGAGCTCGATCCAGTGTACCAGTGCAGTGATGTGCGAGTGATGCGATTACAAATGTGCTGATTCCATAGGATGGATGTTGACATGGCTTTGGCAAATAAAACAGGTGTCTGTTCATTTATCGTACAGCGGGAGATTGAGCTCTTGTCCTTATTATCTTTATCTACACTAATGTTAAGGCTCTAGCAATCTTCTCACACAATCAGTGTGGCGGAGGCTGTTGTCTGATACATATTGGCCCTGCAAGTACTGGTCAATGACTTGTCTCAGCAAGATGCACTGGTCCATTAATAAATTATACACAAAATCTTAACCATCCTTGGGGTGATATGATCGGCGTAAGCATGCTTGTCAGTCATTAATGTAAATTCTCAGGCCTCCACTGGCTTGTGCTTCTCTTGCAGCGGCTGATCTGTCTTGTCAACAGCAGTCCAGCTGGCATCCATCTGCTTCTGAAGGCTGGTCCGCATGTCCAAAAACTCACTCCGTAGAGCCTCCATCTCAGTCATCAGCTGTGTGCGAAGGCCCCCCATCTCTGTTTGACACTGCTCCACTTGGCTGTTCAGCCTGACCCTCCAGTCTGCCAAGTCCTGCGAGCAGGTGCACAATTTTCTTTATCTGGGCGGCAAGATGCCCACCACGATAGTCCAGGGGTGTTTGAGGAGCCCATCAAACAAGCCTGCATAGTCTTGGCGAGTACATGGAAATTGACGACAGAAGGCGTGATTGTACCTTTTTCAGTCCCTCAACGCGCTGCACGAGCTTTTCCTTGCTGCTCTTCAGGGCCTGCATGATCGTGCGCATCGAGCTTGGCACAGTTGTTATGCGAATGTGCAACATAATCTTCTGCCCCATCTGGCGGGAATGGAGTCGCTTACCTTGACTGTAGGGTCGTTCAGATAAGGCTTCGGTGTATCTGATGAGGAATTCATCCCCTGAATGGGAAGCATTGATTCAACAGATCGTTCAACACTTCCACAAGATTATTGCCAGGAACTGTATGCCAGGAGAGGATGAAGAAATGTACAAGAGGTCAGGCAACAAAGGCCTCGACTGGACAAGATCTTTACATGTTCTGTGTTCTCCATCCTGATGGCTGATCGCACTGGATAGCGAGGTTGCAGAGCTGGGTCCAAGATCTATAGGACAAGATTGCTTCCTGGTTTTAGACTGCTGGGCTGATCAAGCCAGAAATGGCCCCCGATCTAAGATTGGTCAGCCTCAAGAACAAGCTGGACGTACACGCGCTTCTCATTCACACCCTGATTTCGTATATTTTGGCGGATCAAGTCAACGAAGTCAGAAAGTGGGGGGTCCGGCATGGCTCCGGTCCCCCCGGCCCCGCAGCTTTTGAATCTGGTGTTGAACAGCTGTGGAGCCAAAATGCACAAGGAGGGCATGATCTAGTCGAGAAGGCACTGCGAAGTACTATCAAAAGCATTTCTGGCTATACATTGCAGAGGCAGTTTGCAGTAAAGGCAGAAATTATGGCTGCCAGGAAACCTTGCTCCACTGGGAATTTCTTCGGCAAGAGTTTCCCCAGGGCCATCGGCAAGTTGGGCGATGAAAACAAACTTGTCAAGACCGATGACAGCCCTCAGCTGCCCAATGCTCCGCTCTTGCGTAGGTCCCCACTCCAAATCGGAAGTTGTGGAGTTGATAACAACCATTCATAACTTGCAAAATGTCTTAAGTTACAGCACTTTTGGATACTTCATTGATGATGAAAAATGTAGGTAACAAGAGAACAGTACTTCACAAGTTCTTCTGCATCTGCACAGTCTGGGCAGGAAAGGCAGATTGGAATGCTGGAGGTGCAGCGCCCAAGCGGATGGGAAAGCAACCAAAAGCGCCACTTTCTCCACAGGATGCATATGCGTTGTATCTGCAGTCCTTGGTGTCGCTGCCATCTGCTGGTAAGGATTTTGCAGAGACAGCCGAGGTATCAGAAGATGACCTGACAGTGCTCAAGGTGAGTACCCACAGAGCTCAGCCATGTGCAATCAGAGGCAGAATTATGTCTGCCATGTGCCTTGCATGCAACAGTGAAGCCAGAGGTGTGCAGGAACTTGCCAGGTGATACTCTACCTGACATTGTATCGGCGATCTTCATACAGCTGAACCTTCTTGTCTGGCTTGCAGCATGATGCAGCCTTGGAGGGCCGAAAGTCCTGGGGTGAGCTGTCGGACAAGGAGCGCAAGATCTTTGAGGACATTGCCAAAGGTTTGCACGCAGCCTTGCACCACTCCAGCTATCTATGTGCTTTGAAGAGTCGCCTGCATCCCTTTTGCCTGACTTCCACCCCGTGATGAAATCTCCTGCTCGCTTCAATAGCATGTCTTTGACAGCCACCCCCAAGAATTGTTGTCCTCTAACAATTTGATCGTCATCCAATGCCCTCATGCTCATCAAGTGATGGCAGTAATTGTGCCCATCTAAATTCATTTGATACCAAATAAATATGCCGCAGAGGACACCAAGCGCTTCCAGGAGGAGGCGGTCCACTACGAGCTGCGCAACCCGGGCTGGTTTGCCGCATGGCTGCAGCGCCAGAGCGTGGCCCCCGACGGCAGCCGCGCGGCAGCTGCCGGGGGCGCTGCCGGCCGGCCCCGGCCGCCGCTGACGGCGTGGATGGCGTTTGTTGAAGCCACGCTCGCCCGGCTCCAGGAAACGCACCCGGAGGCTGCCGCAGGCATCAAGCGCGTTGAGCTCATGGTGGGTGCACTGACAGGGCTTCAAAAAAGGTCCACGGGAGCACAGACAGCAATGTTAAGGTGCATCTGAATAGTCTAAGACGTGTGAATCAGTCCCGCCGTGCTTGACTGGCAAAATTGCAGCATGCACCCTTCAGCCCTGAGCATCGTTCCAGAATCAATTGTGGGTCACCTTCTGAAGAGGACCGCAAGTAGAGCAGGAAAGGTGTTATTTTCTCAACATGTGCCCTTTGTATTGGCAATGGGTACTGAGATGCTTAAATATGCTGTGCAGCGGTTGGCCATGAAGGAGGCCGCGCCCGTCTACAAGAGCCTCACGGCCGAGGAGAAAGCCCAATACATCAAGATAGCCGAAGGTGGGCGGCAGCCAGCCTCTGTGCTTTGCAACCCTGATAGATGACAAGCAGAACATTTTATGCTTCCCACATGTCAGCCTGCACCCCATAAGGTGAAGGGAATTGCTGGGAGACCGCCATTTGCATGCAATCAAAGTGGAAAGGGACGCAAGCAGGGAAAAGGCTGATAACGATATCACAGCAAGGAATGTTTGAACCAGGGAGTTTCTTGATTGTGCAGAGGACAAGGAGCGCTATGAGAAGGAGCTGGCGGCTCTGCCAGCCGAGAAGAAGGCCAAGCTCAGCCGCAAGAGCTCCAAGAAAGCCAAAAAGACCCGCGGCGCCGCAGCGGTGCACTTCCCTTGCTCATTTCCTAATGCACATGTTCATGAATGATGGTCAGGGTGTGGGGACGGGTGCAGCGCTGCATGTATCAAGAAAGGACGCACCTTGAGCACGTCGCTGCGGCCTCTGTTGTTTTCAGCACAAGCTGCAAGATCTCACCGCGCGAGTGGCAGCTGCATCAGTCATGCAGTGGCGCAACACGAACAATTTGCACGGGAGAACATTGCAAAGCCATCTCTGCAAGAAATTTGACAAGCAGGTTTTTAGTCACAGTGTGAAGACAACCAGAAGCGCCATTGATTCAACGCGCAGCATGCAAAGAGGGCTACAGTGAACGAGACCCTATTTCTGGTCCTGAATGCTTGGGACCTTATAAGCTGCGCATCGTGCGAAGTGTGGCACAGCGGACGAAGCCCTTCCGCCGATGCCTGACTGCATTGTTCTTGTGCTGCGCAGCGTGCAAAGAAGGCTGTGCAGGAGAATGCAGAAGAGCAGCAGGCAGAAGAGCGGCAGGAAGAAGAAGTGGACACCACCGGCATGACAGCGCTGCAGGCGTGGGCCGCCAAACAGCGCGTCGCGCGCCGCGCGGCCACTCGCAAGAGCGCCGCGCCAACCCGTCGGCCCAGAAAGGTGGGCACCCTTGCCACTGTACACGCTCCTATGGCCGGCAGACTTGAGTGCTTCTGTACAGCACCAAATGGGTTTGTCTTTGGAGGCAAGGCAGGCCGATGTGCCTCTTGCTGCTGGTATGAGTCAGGACACGTCTGAAGCATGCCGCCTGTTCCTCATCACGGCCATCTCATACAGAATGACAAACCACCGCAGTACTGGTGAACACAAGCGAATGCCAAATGCCACAGGCCGCGACAGGACCCCCAATGCTGGCCATGAAGTGCAATGCTTTTGCTAGAGCGTCGTCAAATACTGATGAACATCATTGCAAGGGAAGCTTGAATCTGGTGCAGGCTGCGCAGAGAAAGGCGGCTGCAGAGGAGGGAACGTTGGAGGAGGACGCCCCGGCCGCTGAGGTGGAGGCTGAGCTGGCAACATTGCCTGATGAGGCGTACATCCGCACATGCGCCACCGGCGACAGCGACGTCAGCAGCGATGACGAGGACGATGACGACGACGTTGACATCAGCGATGATGACGACACTGACTCAGCGCACGGGGAGCCCTCAGTCATCGCTGACACACAGGCCGACGAGCCCATGACACAGGCACGCAATCCCAACCATGCACAACCATCCAAGCCGATCAAATCGTAGGCGTCCAAGCGAGCATGGAAAGTCAGTACAGTCTTGACTCTGCACAATGTCTTAACAGGGTTGACGGCGGTTACATTAGGCACATTAAGAGGGTTGCAGGGTCAGGAATCCTGGCTGCATGCTGCTGCCATGCAATGACAAGCCCGCTGGTGCTTCAGATCATAGATGATGATTCTGTTGGTCCTGCACGGTGTCCAATTGCAACCTCTGGATCATCTCGGCCTTTGTGTCTGCCAATCTCCCACTGTTAATGGGATACTTTGCTGCTCAGGGGACTGAGGAGAATGGCGTTCTGAGCCGCGTCCGCACTGCGATCAGTGCCGGCATCGGTTGGCTGACCACCTCCAAGCGCCGCGGCCTGCTCAGCTCCATGCAGGGTGCGCGCCAGCTTTAAAATTAGTCCAATTGCATCATCATTGTTATTATTATTATTATTATTATTATTATTATTATTATTATTATTATTATTATTATTATTATTATTATTATTATTATTATTATTATCATCATCATCATTATCATCATTATTACATGCTTGTCCTGCCAAGAGGCAAGGTGCGTCCTGCAGACAAGCTGCACTTAATGGCTGCCACAATCCTACCCCTTGTTGGACTAGCCAGATCCAAGCAAGTCCCTATCAACCATAGGCACGGTGCTCAGCATTGATACCGGCCCCCGCCAGCCAGGGCAATAAATGGATCTGACCTGTCATAGTACCTGGAGCACTGCTTGGTGACCTGCCTGCTGCCAAGCGCCACTATATTTCTGACAGCGTTGCAACGCAATGAAAATCAGCATAGACACGTCACCTTTTACGCTCGCTTGAGCTCTATTGATCCGACATAGATCCGGCACCTCTGCGCTTGCACTGCAGTTCTTGCGAATTGGTGTAGTAATCCTGAGTTCCGGCGTGCAGATGCGCCGATGGCTCAGGAGGAGGGAGACTGGCGCGGCGGCCGCGCGCCGACACCCCGCAAGCTGGAGGCTCTGTACAAAGACAGCGAGGGGACCCGGGCAGGTCCCAAGCGGCGCAGACGCGTCAACTAGCTTGGCGCAGCAGCAGCAGCGCGCCCGGCTCTATCATACCTTTTGTTGGAGGCTTGAAGGGAGCTTTGAGAATTCCAGTGGCAAGATGCCGTAATTTGCTGGAGGCTTCAAGCTCAAAGAAGATGACATGCTCTCCTTTGTCAGAGGCTTGAAGGGAGCTTCAAGGATCCAACGCAAACATGCCTCACTATTCTGGGGGGTTCAAGCTTGAATCCTCCTTAAGGAGGCAATGAGATAATTTGACATCAAGTTGAGGAGAGCACCACCAGAGATGAAAACACCAGATAGAGGTTTCAAGGAGCTATGACAGAACAAACTGCACTGGTACTGCCTGTATGCTACACTTAGGGACTGGGTCTTACACAGTCATACTGTCCACCATACATACTAACGCTTGCAGAAGGTCTTTCTGTGAACTTGATTATGTCTCTCAGCCAAGCAATACAAGCACTATGCAGTCAAAGCCTTGTACGTATATGTGGTCATAAGTATGTGACTGTTAGAACAGTCACGCAATTCTAGTGCATGGCTTAGGTTACATGGGAAATTGGCTCAAGCCAAGCTTGCAAGACCAGTAGCAAGCAGGAATCATTTGTTTCAGCATGCCCACTTGACAAATTGACCGGATTAGACAATCAAAAAGGGCCCAAACGCGCTCCAGGTACAGATGTTCATACATTAGAGTACATTATGATAGATAAGGTGACAAACAAGGACAAGAGTCTGGTGTGCCGACATTTATGAAATGCACCACCCATATGGATGCATCTCTAATTTTGCTGCCGCCTCTCCATGAAGAACTGCCCCACCAAAATTGCCCAGTGAGAGCCGTTAAATCCTCTCCCCATTCACCTTGCATGTATGTACCGCTGCTGCCGCCATCGAATGCTTGCCATCTCTTCAGCAGGAATCCCGCGCTTTGCCCAATCAAGCTCTTGGAACGGCTAAATTCCAGGCCAGCTTCGGGTCAGTTCCAGGCCTGCTTCAGGGTCATGGCTGCAGCATTCTTCTGGGAGCCCGTGCCGCGCATCTCACGGTTGCCTGCCCATGCAAAGTGATCGCAGCGGCCTGCTGGGGGATTCCCCGCCGCCCTCCTACATACATAGAACACCCGCCCTGCACGGCAACACGCATCACATCAGAAGCCTGCATATGTTAATACTGTAATACTCATTCTAAAACCCGCATTAAACAATTTATTTTTGGCCAAAAAGGGTGGATAAACAAGACCCTTTCTCCCAAAATAGGAACCCTGTGATAATTTTGAGACCAGATTCGAAAAAATATCGACAAGCCCAATCCAATGGAGCGTGATTAGGGTATTTTTCTTGTCAGGAAGACCCCTATACTTGCTTTGAAATATTACCCGCACTGCCGGGGGTGCAGATTAAGAATGACACTACAGTGTGCTATGTCTACCCAGCCACATGTCCCTTGCAGAACACCATTGCATGCCACGCTGCCATGCATCAGTCACCGGTGTCATGTCAATGCAAAAAACCCAAAGCATAGGAATGGTAATTCACTTGAGCTCGCAAGGGAGATGTCGTCTTTGTAACTCATCGCCAGTTAAACACAGCCGAACAGACACGCATGCAATGCCAATGTGCCAGCATAGCAGAAAGGGATATTTTCCAGCAGGGGGAATGGTATAATCGCGGGGGCTTACCCTGGTTGACTCCGCCCTTCTTGACCTGGCGGATGACACAGGGCTCTCCATGGCCCTTGCACAGCGGTGGCTTCATGCGGTCCTGGATCTGCTTCCAGACCGCCTTCGCCGCTGTGTTCTGGTCCGTAGCCACGCTCGCACTGCCCTGTGCATCTGCAGCGCACAGCAACCATGTTTTAGAGATTTGGTCACCTTGCTACCTTGATCGCTCTCAAAGAGTGCACCAGGAAATGAAGAGCAAGTGCACGCCAGTGACAGCCTGCCTAGGCTAGGTGTGAAAGTAGATTCTGCAGAACACAAACCCACTGAAACCTGTGCGACGGACATGCCAACAAGGGTGCAGGAACCCCTTCAACAGCTGAGCTGAATCGCTCATTTCAAGGCAGTAAGAGAGTAAGACAAGGCATGCAACAGTAGATACTCTATATCAACAGATTATTCTGCACAATCTGTGCTCTGAGGCAGCAGGCGTTCACCTGAATCGCCGTCCCAGTTGGCAGCAGCCTCAGCCAGGTAGTCATCCCCGCCAGCCATTCCCTCTGCCTGTGGCTCATTCCAAGTTTGCACCTGCCCGACAGCGTTCCCTCCGGCATGCGCAGCGCTGACTGCCCGGTGAGCACCACTCCCGTTTGCTGCTTGCCCCTCAGATTTACCTGGCTTTGGCGCGGCACATGCCGCAGCGCTGCCGGCACCTGCCTGCGTGCCGCCGTCTCCGATGCCTGCATCCATTTGCCCTTCCCTTGGTACAGGGGCTGCAGCCGCGCTCATTTCCTCAGGTGCACGGGAATCCTGTGGGTTCTGATTCTGTTCTGAGGCATGACTGGCTGCGCTCGCGCTCTTCTGCACAGTCTGAGGCTTCATGAAGGCTCGCAGGCTGCTCTGCACGGGCCCGGCCTGCAGTTTGGCCGCCTTGCTGTGTTTCTGGGCTGCCCGCCCACCTGCCCGCTTGCCCAAAATGGGCAACCGCTGCCTGGCTTCCCTGGAGGGCTCTGAGTGCTGCGAGCTCTGCACTGGCTGCTGTGTCAAGCAACACTGCCTGGCCGGCGCTGACCCGGAGAGCCAAGACCGTAGGTTGCCCTGTTTCCCTGCAGAGTGATACTAACACCTTTCAGGAGACCAGACCACACAGCTTCAAGCCACAAATATAAGCAGTGACACTGACAGAACAGCATAGACAGGGAATCAACGCTGCACAATAATACGCACACCTTTTGGAACACGAAACCCCAAAGCTCTATGCCACTGAAACAAGCAGTGACACTGACAGAACGATATAGACAGAAAATCGATGCAGCCTTGCATGCATTCCATCCAGACAAGGATTGTATCGAACACTTCTGTCGACTGGCAAGGCAAGCACTTGTTGGCAGAGCAATCTAACTTTAGAGATCTCGACGCACCAGTAAAAATGTAGCGGGAGCAGAGCGGCGGGGGGACCTCCTCCACCAGGATGCGCGCGTGTGGCGCCAGCTCAGCCCAGGCAGGCGCATGATCGGACCCCTGTACATGTATGTCATTAAGTATTCCTCAAATTTAAAATTTGAGGAATTTTTGACACTTATTGACCCCAGTCCCTCAAACCACTTCTCCTACATCTGGATCCTGGCATATTTTGACCCTGCATCTAATACATGACACGGCATACAGGATGCCAATATACGCCTGCTCGGGCCAATTCATTTCAGGGGCAGGTGAAAAATATCAAAGCCCAATACTCTAACCCCTCAACATAACATCGCAACCCTCAAACCTTACTAGAGCGCTTGCAGGGGGTACTGAAGACTACCAAGACGAAAGTTGTACCCCCTGGCGCATGGAGACTGTATTGTGGCACACACCTGTGCGTCCATCCGCACGTCTGCGGCCGTGAACAGGTCGTGGAAATCGGCGCCGGCCGCCGCGCCGTCGGGGCCGGCCGCCAGGATCAGATCAATGCGCGTCCCGTAGTTGTTGATGCGTGCCCCCGATGCCGTGCTCCAACATGTGTACGCCTCGCGCCTGCCACAATATTAGATCATATATTTTCTACAACTGAACAGACAACTGATGGTGCACTCCAGTGTATGAAAACAAGGCGAGCTGGTCAGCTACCACAATAACATCCTCTGCGCCTGCCGCGGAGACCAGTGCAACTGCAGAGCAAGACATGACAATTAGAAGGACTCCTGAAGGGTTGCTACCCTGAAACACCCAAGACCAAAGACATTGTGTGCAAGAAGCTGGCCTGCAGGGGGTGGCTAAACCAGACTCTGCTCGACTCATGCAGAAGTGCTCAAAACATGCAATGCAGTCCAGCCCTTCACTGGCTGCAGGTTTAACATGAGGTTCAATGTGGGCATGAGATACCTGTCTGGGTGGAACTTGCGGAAGACATCAAGGAAGGGGCCCCCGTTGCTTGTGAGCAAGCGCGTTAGCAGGCGCCGGTCGGTCCGCGAGGTGAAGGCATCGATGGGACCAGGGTCGCAGCTGTCGATGGGCGCCAGGCTGATGTTCAGGTCTCCGAGTAAGATTACACAACGCCCAGACGCGCGCAGCGTCTGGATCCGGTGGAGCAGGCCCTGGAGCACAAACCACTCCAGCTATCTATGGGCTTTGAAGAGTCGCCTGCCACCCCATTTGCCTGACTTCCACCCCGTGATGAATATAATGCTTCCAAGCAAAAAATTGAGGCTGCTTTTTGCGAGGCCAATCCAGATGGAGGTCATGTAGCGGCTCTACGGCAGCGCTGCGCAACATAAGACAATTGTTTTGCACAAAGGGTGCCCTACGCATTCCATCACAAGTCTAGGATGAGCGTGCTTTGCCAAAAATGTCACACTACCTTGGCAGACATGGGCTAGCCTCATGCTAGGGCTCTCCAACGACAGATCTGGCCTTCTGAAAATTCTCACCCAGGCCCTCGGCTGCTTTCGCATGCATGCAAGACCAATCTGTCCTCTTATCCATGCCCTCAGCTGCCTTTGCATGCATGCAAGATGGGGTTGCACCTCGTAGAAGCGCAGCTTGAATGCATAGCGCTCCTCAGCGCTTTCCTCGGTTGAGATGGCCGGGCCGTACACATTGACAAGCACAAAGGCTCCATGATCAGTCATCACCACACGCCCCTCAGAATCCAGCCTCTCAAGCTCCTCCTGTGAGAAGCTGCACACAAAAAAAAGCAAATTACATCTACTGCATTGCGTTATGTTTTACTACATCCTTATGGAGGTTCTCTGTGTAAAACCTTGTCTTGCCATGTATGCACCTCCATGGGTGCACATGCCTAATTCACCAGGGTTAGAATCACTCCATCATGTGAGCCATGTCAACAGAGACAGAAGCATGTATTGCAACAAATATGCTCCTTGCAAGGGTGCTTGGGCCTGCACCTGTCAAAGAGTGTGATGCATGGGGCACTCAGCGCGTCCTGTGCGGCAGTGAGAGGCGGCGCATCTTTCACTTTTCCAGCGCCCTGTGGGAGAACGCCTGCGCAACAAAATATGCCATCAAAGAGATATGGCCTATCTGCAGGGCACCAAGCCAAAGCTCCAACATGCGGATATCTGAACCTTGATAAAGCAGGCAGACACAGTCATCATAGGTGCAGCAACAAACCTGAGAACCCGTCCAGTGCAGCAATGGGTGCAGCCACGCCGCTGCGGCAGAAGGTGGCCACTCCAGAATAACCGCCCCTGGTCCGGCAGTACGCAAAGAACGAATCCCTGCAGATCACGCACGCTATTTACACGGCCATCATCACAGTGATGCTGAGAACATGTTCTGCATCTGTAGGTGCCTGCTGGCCCTTGTGCTCCTCTGGCTGTACATTCACATCAGTAAGGTACTGTCGTCTATAGTGCGCTTTAAGCAATATACGACGCACCAGCCATCAGCCAAGGCCAGGTCCTCTGTAGCTTCCTGGCGTGCTAGTTTTGTCTCCTGGAAGCATATGATGTCTGCAACAGAGTGGAGAGTCAGGAGGTCAGATCCATACTTTTGCCAAGAATCTGATTAGCTAGATAGCAGTACATGCATGCTCCACGGCAAAGCATGAACAAGTAAATCAAATTTATGATCTCACCTGCTTCCAAGAACTGCAGCAAGTTGATGAGCTTGCCATCGAAGCGGCGCTTCAAGCAAGCCCTCAAGCCATTGATGTTCCACGTCACAATTCGCATGCTGTCTTGGCCATGCCTTTCTATTTTGAGGAAAGGTCCCTTCACTCTGTCTGCCTGCTGAGTGGCTAAATATCGTGTAAAAGCTCTACAGCGCGGAACAAAGACTCTAATTGTCTATGAGGTGCGACTACTGCACCAATCGGGGCTCGGCTACTCGCCACTCCTCTCGATCTGCTGAGTACGACTGACTGTGTCCTGGTCCCATGCAGAAACAGCTCTTGATCCTTCTCTTGATGCGCGGCTTCCTGCTCTTGACGTGCTGCACGAAGTAGTCCTCTTCTACTGGTCTACACAAAGATTGCTGTCCGTCAGGCTGCTCGACCTGAAAGTAAGGCCTTCTGTTCACTGCTGCCAGAGCTTCAGCAGCAAGAACTTCTTGTCGCTCCTTCTGCAGCTGCCTGTGCTCCCTGATTACTCTAGCAGCCTCCCAGATCAAGATAACAAGAAGAGGGATCATGATAGGCGCAAGTTTCAACACATCTGTGATGTTCCTCGTGCATGCGCACAAATCTGGAGACGATTTCTCATCAGATTTCGGCGGTTACCCACAGCAACCTCTCCGAGCAATCCTAGCGTAAAATATGCCATCGAAAAGGTCGGGAGTGCTGTGCTACAGATGCAGGACAGTCGTGTCAGGTTCTCGCCAGGTGGAGATCTGTGCCGAGGCGTTCCTTACTATTTAAGCATGCAACACTGCCATTCACTCCAAGGCTAGTTTCCTCTCATTTAACATGTATCACCGAAAATGTATCTTTCCTTCCTCCTGTATTTAATTCTGAGGACCTTCAAAGAGAGTCACAGAACCTTAGTAATGTGATAATTGCTCTCGAGGAAGTCCCTGGCTTCAATCCTGGTTCGAATTTGGCTTAGTGTGCCGTTTGTGCAGTGCGTATAGAGCACACCATTTTTACATAGATCATTCATACCAGGCTGAAAACACCCGCTCTCGTCCGCTCCCGGAGACAAATCTGCCATGGGCGTCACTAGTAGTGGGTTGGGTGACCACCTGCAACCCGACGTGAAGATCTGTCCTTTTGCACGCTTTCCTTTTTGCTCGGGCTTCTTTTGTGTTCTTCGGTTCCTCCTCCACACTTTGCAATTGCAGGCATTTCTATAATATTGACAATGCAAACGAAACACGCGCAGCGAGGTCTCCGGTTCAATGTCCTGCAGCGCCTTCCTTTGCGCCTTCCTTGTGCACACGGGCATGGACAAAACCACACATGAATCAACCCTCCGTGGACACGCCCTGCCCGCCGCATGCACGGCGAATCTTACACCTCTGATTCAGCTTTCCACCCACGCATGCATGCATGCAAACTATGTTCACACGCGCACCGGTACCGCAATGATGCACTTAACACAGTGGCATGCGCAACACTTGAATAAAAGTAATATAGCCTGCCCCCTTCAACGAGTGAGCATTGCAAGTGCGCAGTGGCAGCCAGATAATGGCACGGTAGGTTCACACACAAGTAGAGCACCAAGGTCAGCACAGTCACAGAACGGTTTAGGACTACAAGAAAAGTACACCTAATCAATATGAATCAATCTCAGACGCATCGTGGTTTTGTGAGTGGGTGTCCTTCATCAATTGTTTGCATGAAATATTCTGCACCCAGAGGTCCTTCTACCCTAATTTGCAATGCTGCCTCTCCCCACCATCTACACCTGACACCTATTTTATCTATGTCAGATTAATATATGACCCAGCACCTGTCTTGGCCCCACCAGAAGGGTGCACTCCTTCCTATTTGTACATTTGCTTGATGCTATGTCCAATTCCATGGCTAGCTGCGCACTAGAGCCAGTGCCGCTGCAGTACAACAATAAAAAGAAGGAGACCACCCCGCTTGTCTTGAGGTCTTGTGGGTCAGCTTCCACCCTTTGAAGTCTACCCCTGATGCAGCAGCCTGCGGCCCAGGAGTGATGCAATACCCTCTCCAAGGTTGAACACATCTGCGCTGGTGGGCAGCTGCCGCCCAGTCGACCTGTTGGCGAGGCCGGATGCCTGAACATTCGGCACAGCCGCTGAGTATGCCGAAGCAGACAGTGTCTGCACAGACGGCGCCTGCGCAGCAGCAGCAAAATTTCAACTTTGGCGTCAGCAGATCTGGGATGCTTGAGAAGATGCATTTTACTAGCGATATCAGCATGCTTGAGCGGCTTGTACCAGTTGCAATATAGCTGACACTGCAATCGTGCAGTAAGAGGGGCCACTGATGAGGTAAAACGCCATCATAACCTCTAAACACGCTTGCCATGCAGTCAAGACTTGGCAGCAATCGCATGCATGCGGCGAGGACAAGTACAACGTGACTGAGCAGTTACTTGCCTGGGCAGGGTAGGCGGCGGGTCCCTGGGCCACAGGGGTGCCAGTATTGAAGTAAGACTGATCCACAGGAGTGGGATACACCACGTAGGATTCCACGCTTGGCGCCTGCGCCCCTGCAATGCCAGAAACACACATGCAAGTCTCAGTCAATGCATCTGTTTTTTAAAATTTAATATTTAGGGTTTTTAGGGTAAACCCTAAACACCCTAAGAATATAAGATAAATGTGGCGACTGCTGATGGGAAAGATGTGCTGGTAAATATTAGAATTAGAAAATAAAATAATAGAATTCTGCTGGTGCTGACTTGAGCTGGCAGAATGCATCTGCTGACACCGCTCAAGCCAGCACACATGAACAACACAGAGCAGGGCCTGGCAACCGCCGTGGGAAGGCTGTAAAGGGGGTGAAAACAACACGGCGTCTTCTAAAACATGACTACCAGAGCTTGGCAGAATCAGTTTGTTGATATAGGATAGAAGTCAGTTGCTCTGCAGCGATGCTGAAGGTAACAAGAGAATGGTGCAACAGGCAAAAGCAGATTTTATCACGAGAGAGAAAGCCAAATTCTTACAGTGGTACCTCACAGTAGCAGCCCGAAGCAACAAGAAGAAGGTGCAAACCTGCAACGCTGGCAGCTGTGTTTGTGCTGCCAACATAGCTGCTCTGAGGCAGCAAAGACTGGCTCGGCCCATAAGAAGCCACAGTAGTGGGAGCCTGGGCCCCTTGTGCTGCTGAGTAGGCAGCATCCGCCGCCTGGGGGGCACTGGCATAGTTTCTGGCTGCGCTGTAGGCTGCTGTGACAAAGGAGCTTGTGCCTTGCTGCTGCTGCACTCCCTGGCTGCTGGGCCCTGCTGACTGGGCGCTGTCTGAGGACGTGGCAGACTCCTGTGATGGTGCGGGTGTAGTCACTGAGTAGCCGCTGTTCTGCCCCTCCGTGCTGGCCTCTGTAGGGGCTGGGGCTGAGGCTGTGGGGCCCCCAGCAGATTGCTGCTGACCTGGAAAATGGCAGACACTTGGATTAGGAGAGGTTGTAGTTGTCCTAATTGTAATTGCCCCACCCTAACACCGTGAGAAATACATCTGCCCGCATCTGTCTGATTCTGTACTTTGCTTCGAGTATCTGGCAGAATGTCATACGAGCTTGTGTACAATGCTGGAAAATAGCGTGCCTTGACCTCACGGCATGCATTTGTTCAGCTCAGAACCACAAAGTCCAACATTAAAATCCGATTCTTGGCTTGTGACCCTTACCTGACCCATTGTTGGAGTAGGTGCTGGCATCAGGGCTCGCATTGGTGGTGCTGTAGGTGTTGCTGCTTTGGGTCTGACTGTTTGCACCACCGGCGCCGCCGGCCGTGGCTGCGCCGTTAGATGAGTCAGACTGGCTGCCGCTGCTCTGCCCGTTCGAATTCAAATTCGAATTTGCGTCTGTGGCTGTGGGGTCGCTGGAGGGCGCCCTGGCCGCGTACATCCTTGATTTGAAAACGTTGTCCTTCTCAAAATGGACTCCCTTGGGCCCCAACTGTACACACAACATGTTAGTCAGTGCACAGCCATGCACGCATATATATCTACCCTCAAGCATTCCACCCAATAACAAGCACCTTATCAAGAGCACTTGCCTGTGCAGCAGAGAAGAGATAGTTTGACAGGCAGTATTTCTATTGTGCCCCTGACACATTTGCCCCCACTTCACAGATGCTTTCACCAAGCATGCGCAGAAGTGTGCCAAGCATGCGGAGAGAGACTCAAGAGCATTGAAATGAGAACAAATAAAGTCTTGGAAAGCAAGAGAGTTGCTCACAGAGAAGATGCCGGGGGAGTCGCCGCCGTTGACAAAGGTGAAGGTGCCGTCCTTTCGAAATTGAATTTCATCGCCGCTGTTGTTGTTGGTGAGCAGCTGCAGTGTGCCATCCTGGGTGGACGTCACGGTTGGCAGGTCCCCTGGCTGAGTCGCCCTTGCAATATCAGCCTTGAGGCTGCTCGTTTCTGCCACCACCCTGCATTCACAGCCAGCCATCCCCTGAGCAGTCGTCAGAACAGCCCTGGGCTCAATCCCTTCAATTGCTAGAGTTTCAGAATGTTTCTATTACAGATTTCGTGCGTTCTACATCAGTCGTAGTCAATGTACATCAGGTCGAGGGACTTTGTACCTGTCCTGTATGGCACTGAGTGCGTTGGTGGAAATATTTTCCAAGATGGTGGCTTGCTGGAGCCGTCGACCCGCCGGCATCGCCAGATCGCTTGAATGCATAGCACTGCTGGTGATATCCCCGCTGTCGGGTTGGATTGCTGTCGCTGGAGATTGGGCAACAGCGAAGCTATGGCCCTGTGGCCCTCCGCCGAACTGCTGCTGGAGATGGCTTTCGACTTGCTGGCCGATGCCGGCCCCAAGAATGTCTGTCAATCCTCGGAAGGCATCTAAATTATTCTGATAAACTTGGGCGTGACCAGCACCATCGGAGACGATCACACCAGGAACTCTCTTGCTGATCGTGACTGTCGGGATCTTCCGAGAATACAGACCCCCTCCGTTTGATTCCCCTGAGATCCCCTGAGTCCCTGCGCCCGCGAGGCCGTATGTGCCTACGCCTTCTGCCATCGGCCTATTGGACCCTGAAACCATCAGATTGTCTGCAAGTTGTCCAATAACAACATTTGTCAAACATGCCAAGATGAATGTCCGTAACAGGATCCTGCCGACTCTTGAGGTCATCCTTCCGGTCGATGCGAAATGTGATGCTGTAAGATTACACTATCTGATCAGATGCCAAGTCTGCCCTTTCTGAAACAAGATTGCTTTACTAGGTGCTCTATGTGCATTCACTCGGCTTCCTGCCCCTCGAGACTATTTTTGACTCCCTTGCACGTCACTTCTCCAAGGTATCAATTACCTGACAAGTGAGTGACCTTTTTGAACAGTTTTTTATCGTTGTGCGATACTTTTTCTTAAATTCCAGTAGTCTTGGAAAACGGCCGGCTTGTTCTCTTGTCAGCGGCATCGCCATCTCCAAGGTTTCCAACCTTATAACTGCGGCGGATTTACAAGATATTGATGAATTAGATGTAATGCAATATCCATGTAAATCTTGATAGCAGAAGCTGCCGTTCATCACTGCATTGACTTACGCGATTCAGGTCTCTGGATAGAAAGAGTCACAGCGCTGCGCCGCCCTCTTCTAATGGCGTTTGGGTGCTCTATTGCCTCAGCACCGCTACCTATGCGTTACCAGACGCTCCAAAAGGCCCAAACTTGTACTCCTAGGTTCCTTTTGAAGGTTGTCACAGATCACTGAGCGACTACCTTGTGCATTTATGATATGCACAGTGCAGCACAGTGTGATGGTGTGACCACTTCTAAGTCAAGCACGTGTCCGCTCAAATGAAGCCCGAGCGGACCTAATATTGGGGCCTCTATCAATCTAACGAAAGCACACCCAAAAGACCAAGAACTCGTAAATCCTCACAAAGGTGCCACCTGGCGTCTAGACGATTAAGATCTTAAGAGCTTTGGTCTATATTCTTGCATTGTTAGTCTGGACCTTGCATTGCCCACTGGATAACATGGGGTACTGAAGAGTACTTTATCTGATTACTGTTGCATGTTGGTACTGGCATGAAGTACATTCCAGAGAGGTGCTCACTTCTGCATGTTCTCGATAAATGTTATCCCCCGGAGCTCTATTTATAATTCCCTTTCCATGTACGTCGCTTCCACTACATGATGGGCAGAATTAGGAGCCCAATAAACCCTTTGATGTGATAAAATGCTGAATTGTTCCAATTGCGAAATCTGCCAAAGCCTATCTGGTTCACAGGAGCGTTTATGCCTGTTCGCCTGTCAGCGGCATGCCTGATTCCAAGGTTGTCGAATTCCGAATATAAGGCCGAAGTACCCAACATCGATCAAAAGATATATATTTATTTCAAAATTTGGTGTAATCAGATTCAGAAATTGACACCGCATGAACACCTTTGTTCGAAGGGAGTGGTGCTACAATGATGAAAGCGGAGCAAGGCAGAGTCCTGAGCCTCTGCATTCTGATTCTTTGCTGGAACGGCAACACATCCTCTGCGGCTCCATCTACTGCACCCCCTCTTGGCACTGAATCCGTTCTCCCCGAGTAAGAAGCTTTCCACTGTGCTAACTCTTTTCCAAGAAGCACTTCATGGCACTCAGCCCTGCGTCCCTTCTATTGCTATTTCATGTGAAGGCACCTTACATGTAACGACCTTGCTGGCAGGTCATCCAGCAAGGGATTGTTAGAAGGAGAGGGGTCAGCGCAGATCTCAGCTGGAAAGGGCAGCGCAGTCCTGATACGGTGAGTACCAGACCCCCACAAAATATATTTATTTCAGTCAGTCATGATCAAATCTAGTGCGCGTCTCCCAATGATAGCCAGTTGCTCAGTGCTATAGACTTGGCTGTGATTTTTGGCGCAGGGCCACAAATCCAAGGCCACCATTGGAGGCCACTGTTGAAACCATCAGCACATATTCAGATGGCTCTCTATCAGTCAACCCCCAAACAGATGTCACAAATATCACTGCCAGCACAGCGCGCTACGCAGTGGTGCTCAAGCCTGGCTTCAACAAGTCAGAGCTGGCGCCACTGTGTGAGTTTGCCGCCAAGAACTTTGGAGTGGTCTGCCAGCACACACTGACCCGCACCTCCTCTGGTTTTGTGACAGAGGTGCGCAGCCCTCTCAATGTTGTTGTTGTTGTTGTTGTTGTTGGCTTTTGCTGCCAAAAGGCAAGATCCGTCCTGCAGACAAGCTGCAATTAAAGGCTGCCACAATCCTACCCCTTGTTGGACTCGCCAGATCTAAGCAAGACCCAATCAACCGTGGGCACGTTGCTCAGTATTTGTACCGCCCCCCGCCAGCCGGGGCCGATATTAGACACAGCATTATCTGGATCAGGATCTGCAAATGGCTCAGAAGCGGCCACGTTATTACTATTTTCTGTGCACAGGCAAGGGAGGATCAGATGGTGGCTTTTCTGGCGGCGGCTGGAGATCTGGTCAGCTATGCGAGGGAGGACGAGCACCTGCAGCTCTCTGCTGGAACATTCCAATCACCTGAAGACCTGAGCGCACAGGCTCTGGGCACCACGATATCACAAGGTGCTCCCTTTTGTCTTTGCTCATATCTCAGCCATGCAGATCAAGCGCAGAAAGCATCTTGTACCTGTGCAAAGCCTCTGTCTCGCAGTGCAATATATCCATTTCTGGTGGTAGCACAAGGCGAGATTTCATTTGTTTGCTGCACATTTTTGCCATGCTGAGCATGCGCAAAATGCACTTTTCCTGTGCATGGCTTCTGTCCTGCAATGCTTCTGCTTCAAACTTGCTGATAGCATAAGATGGTTGGATTGCTGCAAGTCTCTGTCATGCACATCACACGCTTATCGCAATACTCATACCACGCCCGTGCATGGCCTCTGAGTTTCAGTGCCTGTGCCTTGAGCTTGCTCATAGCAAAGACATTGTTGGTTTGTCAGGAGGTGCGGTGAAGGGATGAGAGTCTTCACTGTGTTGGTACAGGTCTCTGGTCGCTGGACAGGATAGATGCCAGATCTCTGCGCCGCGATTACAGATACAATTTTGATGGGGACGGAAGCGGCGTACACATCTATGTGATTGACACTGTGAGTCACCTGCATCTCATCATAATTAAGCTGACACATCGCCACAATGTGTATTTTGTTGATTTGGCATGGCCTTCCGCTTCTATGCATGGCTTTTCCTGATGTCAACTGCTGGGAATTCTCTCAATAAATGAAACCGCATTTGATTGATGAGGAGAGATAGAAGTCAAGCAAATGGTAGTCCTGTCCAGGCAAGAGAATATATATTGGGGTAAGAGCTGCCTTTGCTTTTCCCTGGAAAGTAGAACATAATTGATGGGCGCAGGGCATTAACGCTGTGCACGAAGAATTCTTGAGCGCCGACGGGGCGGCCTCGCGGATAATGACCGGGTTCTCGATCGACGGCGCGACCCCTCAGTCAGACTGCAACGGCCATGGAACACATATTTCTGCCACCGCTGCCGGCCGCTACTTTGGCGTCGCCAAAAACGCCTTTATCCACCCTTGTGCGCACTTCCCATGACATTTTTCTCACAGCCCTCTTTTCTTTTGCACAAAGCCCCCTTGCCAGCACCTACCAGGGGGTACTTTATACTACTGGTAGTACTTCAGGGGTGCTTAATACTACTGATAGTACTTAGTACCCCCTGCATTTACTAAACGCAGTAGTACTTGAGCGCTTGAGGAACCCACAGCTCTACAGGAGATTTGGCCAGAGCCCCTGCAACCGCACTTCAAAGTGTATGCCATCCGCTGTCTTTTGTTAGAGATCCACTCTCCTGCTGATCAATTCCTGTGTTCCCTGCCTTTTTAAACGTGCAAGCACACTTGCCGCAGCCTCTCTTCGAGAGAAAACCTGCAATAGTCACCATAAACCAAGCTGATATTGGAATGCAATGCTCTGCAGTGCGTGTGATTGGGTGCGACGGATCGGGGTCCATGCTGGATGTGATTACTGCGTTGGAGTGGGTGCATGCGCATGCACAGCCGCCGGCTACTGTGCTGATGTCCCTGGGCGGCCCGGCAGCACAGGTAAGACTCACGTTTATCTAGAGTGAAAAATGAATATCAAATTTCTTAACACTTTCAATTGTACAGTATGTGGTTGCAGCAAAGACCGCCCCGGCGGACGGGGGGCGGTACAAACACTGAGCACCGTGCCCACGGCTGATTGGGGCTTGATTTGATCTGGCGAACCCGACAAGGGGTAGGATCTGTGGCAGCCTCTAAGAGCAACTTGTCTGCAGGACGTACCTTGCTTTTTGGCAGGAAAAGCATGTAAGTAATGATATCAATAGAAGACTTGAAGACTGTGATGCGCAGGTGTTTGATGACGCCTGCCAGAGCCTGGTAGACGCCGGCATATCCGTAGTGGTGGCTGCTGGCAACGAGGGCACGGGTGACTCACCACTTACTAACCCACGCATGCTAGCTAGGAATGACGTCAACGTGCTGTGTGGGCTGACGTCAGTAGAAACCGATATCAACTCTGAGCATGACCACACTGCTGGTAGCCGGTCCAAAAGCAATGTGCGCAAAAGAATCCCTATTGAAAATATTAACCACGCTGGAGAGTTGCACAAGCGTCTGCCCAGTGCATTTTGTGGCCCCTTTGAATTATATCGACCTGAACTGGGCAGCAGCCATATTAAAGGGCTCGTCACAGCAGGAGCGGCCCATCTTAAAAGCAAGGGCAGATCTCATGCAAAAGCAACTGCGCCGCAGATGCGTGCACGTTCAGCCCGGCGCGGCAGCCGTCGGTGATAGCGGTGGGAGCGACCGGCGCTGACGACACCATGGCCAGCTTCTCGAACGGTGGAAGCTGTGTCGACCTGCTCGCGCCCGGTGTTGGAATCCTGTCTGCCGGCCTGGGCTCCTCCACAGCCACAGCGTGAGAGCCCAACTGCTGCCTGTTTGTGTGCTTTGTATGCTGGCCTGTGGCTGGCAGTAGTTATTAAATGAGTGTTTTGTACTCCAAGATGAGGCCAGCCTGAGCTGTGTAGCCAAGACATGCACCCCGACAAGTCCAGACAGCATGCAACGCCGGAGTCCAAATATCTGATTGGGATGGATTGAGAAGGGCTTGGAGGTTGCACCACCGCTTGGAATCAGTGAAGCAGCTTACGGACGAATAAGATTTCTTCTGCTTGATGCCATTTTTTGTGCTGAGAGTTTACATAATCTCACAAGGGTGTGCTGACAGGTTCAAGAGTGGGACGTCCATGGCTGCCCCTCATGTGGTTGGTGCTGCCGCCATCTACCTCGAACAAAACCCCTCCGCTCCTCCCTGGCAGGTACCCCTCTTCTAGAGCAGCCTCCCTTGTATGCGATTTCAAGTTGATATGCCCTTCTTCGATCCAGTGCCAGACTCCTTCTAATTCATTTCATCTTTTTTCAGCCCTGTACATCATTCTTGATGACCTGCTTGAATCTGGCAGCTGAAAGTGTGAAGCGACTTGACAGGTCACAATCGTATAAATCTGCATTTTGGCAGGTGTGTTTACATACAGAACTTCCAGTCTTGCATTTGGCATTGCCTTGCCTTCTGGAAGGATCAATGCGCAGGTGCAGGCAGCACTGCAGTCAAAGGCTAGCTGGAACAGAATCCTTGAAACCAGCCTAAGTGCTGACACTCCAAACGCACTCCTCAATTCTCTCCTGCCGCCGCCCCTGAAGGTCTCCTGGGTCGGCAACGGCAGCAGCTTCCTCGTTCTGACAGATGACAACCAACAGTACGTCCCCCTGTCACATCATTGCTATTGCATGCACAGTCTTCTGAGACGCAACACACTTGCGCCGTTAGCGCCTGTTTTGGTTGCTTGCCGGCGCAAAATACTTTTTAATCCCTGCCACAGTAGTTCTGGTGCATGTGAGATCTTCGGAGAGGTACACATGCTCTTAGCGTCTGCATTTACACTTGCCTGCTCAAAACCACCCCCACAAATCTTTGGTGCACAAGTGTCAGCTGCAGGTTCTGCTGAGAGGTAGGCATGATCATGGCATCTGCTTTGCATGTCTGCCTGCTTCAAAAGCCTTTTCAGCACTCACAGTTGTCACAGGTATGTGCTGCATTTCAGGTCTGCATGCCGAAGTGCAAAAGGTACACCCGTGACGTGAAAATCTTCTCTGAAAACTTTGCATGTGTGTGACAGGTTGGGCTACCAGCTTGCAGTGGAGCTGACTCAGCGTCCCCAGGGCACCGTCACCATCTATCCAACCCCAACTGACTCCTCAGGTGAAACTCTCATGTACCTGCTCCTCATATGGGGATCTCTTCCACAGCCAGTTTGCTAGTGCAAGTCATCAGTGTACCCTCAACAGGACCTCTCCTGGATACATATCAAACAGAGATTCAACATTCAGGGCCCTGGACACTGAACAGCAGTTGCTTGACTGCAGACGCACCTTGCATAGTAAAAGTTGACCTCACTGATTCACAATTCATACATGCATCATGTACGTGCGCTCAGTAGCGGGCGCACATGCACGCAGGCCGTCTGGTGCTGAGCGGGACATTTGCCGCCAACTCGCTGAAATTCACCGTGGCCAATTGGGACCAGGCTCAGGGGCTGCTGGCAGCGGCGGCGCGTGACAACGCCCCTGGGGACAGCTCCTTGGCAATCGACTTTTATGTTGTCGCCCCTAGCGACCCGGACATTGATGGAAATACGCACGTGTTCCATGTCGTGGATGAGCGGACGCTGCCTGGAGAGCATGCAGACTTCCCTCTGGTGAGCTCACTTCTCTGATATTCCCTGGAAATAAGCAACAGGGGACTCTTACTTAATTTGAATTAAAATAGTATAACCTTAATTTGGCAGGGGTTACTGTAACTTAGTGTACATATCTGAGATACACAGGAGGAAAAGGTCCATGCCAGGTCAAGTTTGGAGCTTCAAGGCAGCCTGCGCACTGTTCTAGAAATTTGACGCGATGGAGTGAGGCTTCAGATGATAGCAGTCACATTGACTTGATGGGTTGATGAGTCAATAAGTATGAGTAGGGCAGCAGGGAGATCCAATTAGTAACTGCAATGTAGTAATTATAAAGTTCTTGTGATGGCGTGTGGCAGTTGATCACCGGCGTTCCCTTCACCGGAGCAGGCTCCACTGTGGGATTCTCCCAGGACTACCACCCTGCCGCCTGTTCTGGCGCGGCAGAGACGCCCCTGCAGACCGCGCCGGTGCGCTTTTTTTTGATTTCAAACCCGCTCGCAACTCGAATTTGTTTTCACATGCCGAAGACATGCAGGAAGTGGCTTATTGCACTGGAACAGAAGAGGACTGTTGTCCCAGCATGCAGAGATCCTTTCTCAAAGATTCTTCTTTCGTCTTCAGACTCTTCTTTCTCGGGAGATACCTTGCTGGCCTGGGCAGTGCTGTAGGAGAGTGGGATGTTGAGACCAGGGCAATTTGAAATAGCAAACCTATAACATATCAATATGACATCAAATGATGATAAATTTCTGTGATGGGATATCATATTTATATAAAACGATGTCCAGATGATGTCAATCAGAGTTCAGGGACTGGCACTTCCTTGTCTGCGACTCATTGGGAATATTAATGCTCAGTTCTGAGTATCTCTGTGTTGTGGCAGGACGTGGTGTATGCATTTAAGCCGGCGATCAACTGCGCGGTGTCTGTGTCACTCTGCGGCTCGGCCTTTGACACGAGACTGGCGCTCTACAGCCGGGCAGACGACTGGACTGACTTGACAGAAGTGGCCTGCAACGATGACTACTGCCAGGACCGCAGCTATCTTGAGGTGTGCATTCCTGGCTTAAAAGAGCATGACTGACCTATATATTTCTAAAGGTTATTACACGTTGTTCCAGCTTTTCCAGCTATTCAGCATTCCAAGGCTAGGTGGATTTCAGCAGCCTGAAGTGTGCACACTTACAGAGTCATTGGCAATCGCACACGGCTGAAACGTACTGCATTTTGGGTGTTTTCTGTGCGCCAAAAACAATTTCAAGTGAAAAAGGTGAGATAAAAGATTTGCTTGAAGATGATGGTGCATGGGGCAGGCAGTGATGTCAGCGGGGAGCATCTATTACTTAGTCATCTCCGGCTTCCAGGCAGCCGCCGGACAGTACCAGCTGGACGTGCGCTCTCTTGACGGCTCCTCCGTGGCAGGGCTGCAGCTGCGCGGCACCTACGCGGAAGCTCCCTCCGTACCTGCCGCCGCTGCCGTCACGAACGCCTCCCAGACAGGTGTGCCTGTCTGATATATCCGTGGTTCGAGGCATGTTAAGAAAAGTCTCCAAACAGACTAGATTGCCAATCTGCAAATCTCAAAAGTTTCCCACCATCGTAAGGAAGTCATGGGGAAATGTACAAATATGCCATGTCAGCACTTTCAGAGCATGCCTGGATACAACATAGGCTTTCAATTGTGCTTGCTTGCCACAAGAAAGAGCTACATAAAATTTCAATCACATGGGAGCAGAAGACTATACTAACTTTGTTATTTGGCTTCACAAATGTGCAGGTGTTGGCGCACCGGCAGATCCAAAACTGCAGATACAGCCGTGGGACGGCGTTGCCTGCCCATGCGGCGCTGCCATGCTGGAAAGATCGCTCACCTGCACAGACGGCTACCAGCTTCTTCCCCTGTCCAGCTGCGCTGATGTCAGCGCTGCCACTGCCAGGTGGCCCGCCATGTCATCAAAAGCCTTGCTCTTATTATATCTCAAAGCACAATTACAGCAAAGACAATTGTGTGCTGCTGCTTCGTAGCAGGCTGTTCATGCATCTGCTTCACCAAACTGGCCAACACATGCTTTGCACTTCTTTCTCCGCCTCTGTCTGATTGTTGTGGGTTGAGATCTCTTGAGATTTGTGCTGCACTCTGCACACACCCAGGGTGCAACCAAAGACCTCTTCAACGGTGAACACTTACGGATATATATATAGATAAAGACCTTGTCTCGTGGCAGAAATAGCACGTGGGTGTTCCTATGTTTAAATGTTGATAGATCTGACCGTGTGTATTTCCCAGATTTTCGTCATGCAACAGCAGCGCACCCTGTTCAGCGGGGCAGATGCATGGGTGCGGCCCTTGGGGCGCCTGTACAGGCTCCAGGAGCGCTGACATCAGCGCTGACGCCAGCACCTGCCCCGTCACCCACCAATTCAGGCAGGCGGCCTGCACAGGCACGCACCCCGTTGCAACTCGAGGTGCTAAACACACATTTATTTCATGCACTCTGCCTAGGACAATAATGCACAACACATTTTGTGGCTCGCTCTGAGCCTGGCATAATGGATTTGGGCAACCTTTCTATGCCTGCATCCACCATGTGACCCAAATGTTCAATACAAACTTTGATGGCAATCTTGAAAGTCACTTGATGCCCGACTTACAGCGACCCAGTGCCCATAATGTATAGCGTGACTTATAATGACTGATGTCAACACCAATTCTGAATGCTTGAATGCACATGTAGGTCACGCATGTCTGCACAGGGAGCGAATTTCTGTCGTCCTAAAATGATTAGACTTCCAGGAGGGCAGCATTTTGGTGTGGATGTGCATGCAGCAATGCCATGAGGCTGATTGACATGTCATGTACAGGGGCGCTGCAGAGGGAGTGCAGCTCAGCGGCCCAGTGCGCGAGATATTTTTGGAGGGCGGGTGAATGGTCGCCCTGTGACAGCTCATGTGCTGGCTGCAGTGGCACTGCCGGCCTCATGACCAGAACTATGCAGTGCTGGTCTGTCCTCGGCAGCACCACAGCACAGGCAAGCCGCAAATTTGTAACCCAACTATGTCACCCACCGTTCACGCACCAATTGCCACTAAAGCTGTCCTGCTGGTATCTCCTAGGAGGCCTCTCAATACAAGTCTAAAAGAGAGATGGTGAGAATTTGGGGCTGAGGTCAGTAAAAAGGTGCAAGCCAATGCATGTGAGTTATCTCTGCATGGATATTGCTCAAAAATTGAGGGATTGCATTGTTTAGACCACGATAAAAAGTGTTGTGGGCTGCGCACAGGTGGCAGACGGCTTGTGCCAGCTGGCGAAGCCGGCGGTGTCGCAGGTGTGCAGCGCTGAGTCAGCGTGCCAGCTGCGCAGCGGCGTTGACTGCTCCAGCAACGGCCTCTGCAGCGCCTCGGCCGGCAAGTGTATCTGCAACCAGGGCTGGCAGGTGATGTTCCCTCCTCCGCTCTTCTTCTACTGCAGCATCTCATTGAGTGTAATTCCATGCAACCCACATCATGTGTCCTTTTGCATCAGGTCACCTGCAAACTCACGGATATGGCATCGTGCCAGTAGCAACTGCGTGGGTGTTATTTCAAAGATATGAAACCTAGACTACAGTATGCTATTGAAGGCAGCAAGGACTTTCATTCCTGTGCCTTTGGATTATGAATATGCAAGCGATAGGATGTATCGGTGTGGCAGGGAAAGTACTGCCAGACACCCACAGACTGCGCTGGCAGTCTGGATGCGGCAGGCAACTGCTGCGCGGCTGAGCTATCGGCGGCCGGCGAGTGCTGCGCTGCCGTGGATGCTGACATGGCATGCTGTGTCAGCGCTGAGCTGGACGCCTCCGGCACCTGCCTGGGCGCTGCCAGCAGCATAGACCTCCAAGGAGCGCCTTGCCAGGTGTCACCATACTAGAGCACATTGCAACAGTCCAAGTAAACAGCACATTATCTTTTGTCGACTATTTTCGGGCACGGGATACTTATCTGGGCAGGACAGAGAGTTCGAATTTATCAATTGCAGACTGGAATATATTGCTTGCATGTTAGCTTGCATGCATGCATGCATGATGCATGCATGAATGTGTATCATGTTTGCTTGAAGAGAATCATAGGACTGAGAGTCATGTGCAGGGAACACTGCTTCCATGATTTAAATTGATGTTCAAAAATGAATGCTGGGCAGGGCATGATAGATGCCGCCGGCTTCTGCTACTACGGGGTGGTTGACGCGTTTGGAGTCTGTAACGGATGGGACGCCTCAGGACAGATCGCGCTGTCTCTAATCGGCGCACCGGCCAGCGCGGCCTCGGCGGCGGCCGTCGCGGGCTACCTTGGAATTGACCCCAGCCGCTTACACCCCACTTCTCAAGCTTCCGCGTGCGCCCACAATTCTGCTGCACTTGCACCATTGATCTGTATTCAGTTCTATAACCGGCCAGCAAAACCCAGGCTAGAGGCCATCGGGCATATATGCAGGCAGTCTGCAGCCACCACTGGGGGGCCTGCCTTCTGTTTGCTGTGTCGAGATGTACCCATCCATCATCGATGCAAAAAATCAATGCAACCATGCAACTCTTGCATGCCTATGCACAACGTCTGCAAGGTACCTACTCGAGAGCTGGAAGACTGCAGTGCTCTGACCCTCTTGCACCTGATAAACCTCAGCACTGATGAGGCAGTTCAGTGAGCATTTGCTTTGACCCGTGTAAAGAAAACTAAGAGTTTGCGCTGCTGCAGGGCGGTTGCTGCCAAAAGTGTGGAGAGCAGCCAGGGGTCCAGTCAGCGGCGGCGGCGGCTGTCGGCTGCCGGCAGCACTACGGCGCACTTTGTCATTGACGCATTTACCCCCAGCAGCCGTGCAATCACCTCATCAACCCTCACCATGGGCCAGGTGTGCAGCCCTAAAATCCCCACAGAAAACTCAATTCTTAGGGTTCATACAGGTATATAGAAGCCTCCTGCCAACAGTAACGCTCAATTCAATACCAAATTCAATAATTGCATCAAGTTGGAATGGTGTGAGTGCTCTCCCACGCAGGCTGTGCCGCCAGGGCATTGCTGCTGGTGCAAGTAAGAGTGCCTCGAGCTTGAATTACAGAAGATTGGCTTCGTCCCAATACAAGCTGCCATATATCCTTTTCTTTGCCAGACAAACTAGATCCTAGCAAGATCCAATCATGAGGGCACTATGCTTTTGTTCTTACCGCCCCTTGCCAGCCCAGATCCTCCTAGCTGAGTAGGGTGATACCAAAAGTACAAATCGTTGGTGGGCACAGTGCGGAGTAATAATACCGCGCCTGGCCCCGTCACCTGCCAGCCGGTGTGGTGTGACTAAACACAAGTGTGGCATCAAGAAATCTTACTGGATTCAGGTGGAGTACTTGCTGGGTGTGGCAGCCGTTGCCAGTGGCGGCAGTGCCAAGGTGGCGGTTTTGGGAGTGACGCCGGTGTCACTGTGCGGCAACGGCGTCTGTGAGACCGGGGAGCGGCCTGTTGCCAACACCAGCTCTAGCATCGGGTCCGCAGGTGTGCTGCAAGCTTTGCCCTGCTTCTGCCTTAATCTGAGACACCGTATGCTGAGAGCCATCTCAAACTTTTTGTCGTGTCACGATGCTTCAAAGCTGTGCCTCCTCCTGATAAGGGGCAACAGACATGTCCCGCCAAGCAACAGATCAAGAACACAACAAAATCATTGTCTGGGTCGCTTCTGTGGAGTTTGCAAGTCCACTATGTGCACAGCATGCAAGGCTCTCCTGCATGCTCTGCCTAATTATGCGATCTTCCTCATGTAAGATTGCATGCGTCACTGCAGGCTGCCCGGCAGACTGCCCGCTGCCCTTCGTGCCCTGCCCCAAACCCCCCGGATCGCTCTCGCCCTGCGGGGGGGCCCCGCGGGGGGTCTGCGCGTCGGCCAGCGGCGCATGCGCGTGCGGCCGCGGCTACGCGGGCGCCGATTGCGGCGGCTGCTCCGCCGGATTTTACCGGCAGGGGACGCGCTGCCTCGCCAAACCCAACAGTGCGCCTACAATCATGATTGCCTCACGCTATTGCTGCCAAGAGGCATTTTTTATTATCATTATTATTATTATTATTAATATTAATACACGCCTTTCCAATCCATGAGGATCGGATGCGTCGGACCACCGTTTCTATAACAGCCTTCCAACCTTCTCTATCTTGGGCTTTCCTCCACCAAGTCAGAGATAAACCAAGAAAATCCAGGTCCTGTCTGACATAAGGACAAAGAGGCATGGTGCACCTGAAATTTAGCTGCAGGTGGAGGCTAGATTGTTTGCGTCTGTGGCCCCTTGCTGAGCCTGCACATCAGTCCCTAAGAAAACTTGCCTTTATGTTTTCTAAGAACGTGCATGGAGTTGCAGGAAAGAGTGCTGCACTGGTCCTACGGATCTTTGTGTGGCCAGACAAAGAGCGGTCATCAGTACAGAATACTAAGGGATCTTGTTGAATTGAGAAGAGCTGCTACAGCTGAGAGCTGCTTGAAGGTATCATCATCTGTGGGAAGGGCTCTGCATCAGGGTCATACTTTTGGTGTCGACATGCAGGTGGGGCGGAAAGCGCGGCCGCTGCATGGCTGGGGGCACACTTTGCCACGGTGCTTATCATGGCAGGGGCGGCTGCAATATTTGTGGCGGCCCTTGGCTCCGCTCTGTGGTGGTGCCGGCACAAGCAACTCCAGCAGACTGGGAACCTGAAGCAACAGCTCATCAAGGGCTAAATTTACTATAGATCAGTAAGCTTCCACGCCTAGAATGCAGTCAGCAGCGAATTGTTCTGGAAAATTCTGTAGCACAGCATCTGCCAGTCAACCCTGCCTTCTGCACGGAAATATGACACCTCTCAAGACACCCTGGATAGATCTGATTCATGTATAGCTCTGTGCACTAATATACAAGGGCAATCGGAGATGCGCATGTGATACGGTACCATGATCACATAATATTTTGAAGACGCGGATATGAATCCCGTTACAAGGTTGTCAATGTTTTACGGAGTAAACATTCTCTTTGGAGGCAATCGCAATACATTAATTATCTTTTTGAGTGTCATCATTCAGCAACTCATCACAAGCATGAGCGGTAGAATTGTCAGATTTGCCGACCAGCTGCAAACCCAAAGCATACTAATGTACAACAAGAAAATAGGTACCCCGTCAAAGCAGTCGCCTGATCACTGTGATTCACAGCCCTTGCAGGATTATGGGCTAGATTGCAGACAGAGAACACGCCACGAGCACTGATCATGTCAGCATCATCATTACTGACAAGCATTCAAGCTTTACCACCTTGATGAGAAGGCCCAAGTGTTAGACACAGAAACCTGTACCGCAAAATCTCAAAGACACAACTAATCTGAGCATTGCTGGGTACCAGACACACGACATACATTCCTCAGGCACCCAAGCAGTGCAACGCAAAGATTGCCCAGGGCCAGAATTACTGGAGACAAAGTTTCACATAAATCCAAAACACGCTGTTCAGACAGCCCCTGACAAGCACATGCCAGGACGCTAAGCATGCCACCAGACTTCTTGAGTGATAAGATTCGAATATAACCATTCCCACAGTTGGCATTGATAATGACTGCAATCCTGGCTGGTGGACAGTTGTTCACATGCAGCTGCCCACCTTGGACATAACAGACAGTGCTTTCAAGATCTTCCATGTGAAAGCCTTGATCTCAAGAGTTTGAATCAATCCCTCTTCTCCTTGCACGATACCGACTCGCATGCTCTTGATCTTCTTCTCTTTGCCCTTTGGCATGCCCGACCCATTCAAACCTCCAGCAGTTTTCCCTCAATCAGGTGTGGTCAAGCCAAAAAACATTGTTGACAGACAATCACTCGGCGCATACGTCTCAGCTCAAGAGGAAAGCCTGTCTGCGTCCTTGTGCAGAGAATGCATCGTTGGTGAATTGCCCACTTGAAGGGATGACAGAAGGTTAGTCATCCTGGCGAGGAGCCGCGTGGTGTGTGCAGCTCAGCAGCTTTATCCCTGCTGCCAGAATGCAGCTGCAGCTGAGGTACGATGTGCATGTCATTGCCAGCAGCGGTTTCCATGTCCTTAACGGCCCCCTGTGCCCCCGTTGACGCCTTGCCGGTCTGCGCGGATTGCATGCACAAGGAGCTCACTGCCTGCCGTGACTCTGTTATTCGTACAGCAGCATCTGCACTCTCACTGATTCCTCTGCTGATTTCCCACAAAATAGTGCCCATGGCCAACAGCATGTAGCTTAGATCTAGCATTTCTAAATCTGGTGGCACGAAGGCCGGGTATGCCATACAACAGTGCAGCGTCTTGGAAAGGAAAGCTTGGTCCGGCAGGAGCTTGATGGCCTTAGCGCACAGTGGGCATATGGTTGTCGCTGTTTCACGCTCTCCAGCACAAAGCGCATTATGATATCACGCATTGCACAAGCCCTGGGTGGACCTTCTTGCTCCTAACAGGCAACAATCTTCTCGACGCGCACCACAGGGGGGTCAGTAGTTCGCTCCTACCATCCTTCCAGGCACCTTCATGTAGCACCCTAGAGAATACAGGACTTTGGGCGCAACCTTGGCTATGGCAAGCGTTCCAACAATTTCTGGAAATTCTTGGCAGGATAGGACTACAACGCACCCCTGGCTCCTCGTCGTGGCTGAAGGAGGAGGCGGGCTCGCCGCTGTCGCGGCCGGCGCCGGAGATGAGGTTGCCCTCGTCGTCCAGCTTGTTCTCCTTCTTCAGCTGCAGCCGGTACTTCTGCAAGTGGCTCGCCACGTTCTCGCGCGTCAGCCCATCCACGTGCATCAGCTGCGCAGACCATTTTCTTTTCACTTTTTTTTTGCCATGTCAAAATACTGGAATCACCTGCTCGGAGCATGCCCGCCTTCCATGACAGATGCTTCATGCATCGCGCTAGGCATCAGAGTCGGCATGCAAGCAGGGCATTCAGCACACGGCTCCACTGCTGCTTCCTTTATGTGCCTCGAGCCTCAGATGATGTCAAACCAAAGCCTTGGCCTCTATTCAATCGCTTCAGACCACTGAGCGTATCAAGTCAATTGTGAGCAGCCACAGATAGCAGCCAAAGAGTTGCGCCCACTCTGGTGTCACACTCAAATCTTAACACACTGAGATACAGGTGCCAGCACAGACTGCAAAGGGCATGACAGTGGGTGCAGGCGGGTGGCAGAGGTGGGGAAGCACGCCTGCATGATGGTCTTGGGCACGGCGTTCTTGAGGCCCAGCTGCTCCACGGCCTGGACAAAGCACTGGTGCAGCTTCGCCGTCCACACCAGCCGCGGCCGCTTCAGCGCGCGCGCCTGATTCTCATCCGCGTCATCTTCCCCTGAGACAGATATTACTCACTGATTAGTCATCAGTCAATTATGAGTCAGCAAACAGTCACCGGTGACTCAATCTCCCTTTCGAACGCTGCAGTCAGTGCAGACTTTTACTCCACCGTGTATGATGAGTTCCTCCTCAGGGTTGTCATCCAAGAGACTCTGTGAAAGAAACTGAAGACTGGAAAACCAGAGTCAAGGGCTTCTACAAGCAAGCGCTCTCACCAGTGGAGGTGGCTTTGGGCCCCTCCTGCTGGTTCCTCTTCGAGGAGGTTGCTCCCATCCCTTGGGGATCCCCCCACCCAGGCTGTGCCGTCTGCTGCTGCTGCTGCTGCTGTCCAAAGCCTGCTGCACAAGAAACAGGTTTCTCCAGCGTGATAGACAAGCTACAGGATCCAAGCAGGGAGGCACCGCATGAAGGCAGTCGTATACGTTGTGTTGCACTGGGGCCATAAAGCAAAGGTGCAAGCTTGGCAGGCCAGCACACCTTGGTATTGACTGAGGTTATACGGGTTGGCCATGGTCGTGGCAGGGTTGAAGCCATACAGGTTGGCATGCTGAAAGCTTGGGTAGCCCGCATTGGCTCCACCGTTCTGCTGCATCCCCATGCCTGGAGGGTAGCCTTGGCCTGAGGAGGGATACTGCTGCCCGTATGACTGCCTATTCTGAGCAGCGTCATATCCTGCAGTTTGCATCAGCCTCGACATGTCCTGAAAGGGCACTGACTGTGGCTGAGCGGCCTGCTGCTGCATCGGCTGGAACTGCCCAGAATTGGGTTGACCTGGGTGCTGTTGCTGCGCCTGGTTGTTCTGGTCATTGAAGGCGCCTGCTGCAGGCGCTCGACCATCGTTGTTCGATGGGGGCAGGCCAAACGCTTGAGCCAGCACAGGCGAGATCAGGTGGGAATTGAGAGGGGTCAGCTCATGAAGGCCTGGCAGCTGCAGGAAACCTCCTTGCTGGTTCCAGCAGCCGTAAGGACCGCTGCTGGGCCTCTGCAAGGAAGGCCGCGGCTGCTCAGTGGACACCTCGTGCGTGCCCATCGCAGGTGCTGGCTCTCTGCTGACTGTTCCTTCGTCAGAGGGGGCTGGAGCCCAAGGTCTTCCCCTTTCTGCACACTGATCTCGGGATGCTTCTGCAAAGCAGGCCCGAAAGACAGCAGGATGCGATGCACCCGGAATGACGCATTTTTAAAGATATTTCTTGAGCTGCACATATCTTTCGGCACGCCTCGTGACAGAGGTGCTTCTCGGTTCTATCACGGCGTTCCTGCCCACATGCTGGAAGGCAAAATATGCCCCAACATCTGGGCATCCAATTGTAATCATTCAGGCCTCCAATTGTAATTATGACAGTTTCCTGTGCCCCTAAATCACAGTGATGTCTTCCCTGCAAAGCGGAACAGTGGTTTAGCGCGTGCCAGGAGGCGAACGCTTGGTGCAATGTCAGGTTTTTGCGACATTGGCAGACTCCCTTGCCAGCATGATACCGGCGTCAGATCATCGACACAGCCTTCTAACAGCGCAAGATCGCGCGGGGAAGGGCGCGGATGCCGCACTCTTGTCTTGGGTAAACGACAGCTTGGGCTAGCTCGGCATAGGAATCTACCGTCGTTGTCTTGCGGAATGCTGGCAGCGAAGGAACATATGGGGTCAAGAAGACTTGATCAGGCTGCAGAGAGGCAGCGGCCTCCCTTCGTGCAGCGGACGGGCAGCTACAGAAGCATTGCGCCGTGCAGAAGCCAAGCAGAAGGTTCTTCAGGGGGTTCAGTCGGTGAGCCAGGGGCCAGACGAAGGTCGTACAGCGCTCCCAGGCCTCCCCTGCAGCGGCAGAGGCCGGGACCTCAGCGTCCAATGGACTCCAGGCAGGCAAAGCCTCAGCATCCCTCTCAGCAGCAGGTGCCTCAACGGCCCAGCAGCGATCAGCAGAGGGTCCCAGCAGCACCCCAGCAGGAAAGTAGCGTTGAGAGAAACCAAAGAGAGCCTGGTACCTCTGTTGCATGGAGCACCTCCAGCAAGAGGCCTACCCTGGTCCACTTCTGTCTGCAGTACCACACAAGCTACGGCCAGCAGATCCGGCTTGTGGGATCACATGAAAATCTAGGTATGCTACGTACCATATTTGCACCACTGCTCCTGCCTTAGGGGCGCGAAAGATTAGGACATGAATAACAAGCATACAGAGCTGATGACATATGAATCGATCTTGTCACTGCGTTCTGTCATGTCACTGCCCTGAGTGGGTGCATGCAGCTCTCCTATATTATATAATATAACTCCCATAGTAATACGCAGCTCTCCTTTCGTATGCTTTCAAATCACAGTACTATGCACGCGCATCTTTCTGACATGTGAGGTTAATTTACAGGGTCGTGGCAGTTGAGGGAGGGGCCAGATCTGCGCTGGACAGAGGGGGACAACTGGAGGGCCACGGTGGAGCTGCCCGGGGGGACCGTTTACGAATACAAGTACGTGCTGCTGGACTCCTATTCTGGCCACGCGCTGAGCTGGCAGCGAGGCAACAACTCGGTGCTCGCCATCAAGGCCGGCGAGGAGTCTGTGGAGGTGAGGATTTCAGACTTCGAATTCGAATTCAGGCATTCGCTCAAATGGCTCAATTTCTGCGACAGCCAAATGGCATCTGCTTTAGTTCAACGATGGTGTCGTTGCCGCTGCAGGACTTGCAAGGCCCTCAGTGGCTCATATCCTACAGCTGCATTGTCACCATCATTGAAGGGGTGCAGATGCTGGCATCAGACTTGTTGCACTCACTTGGAAGGAGTCATTTGCAGCCCGTGGCTTGCATATTTGTCTGCGTGTTGCACGGGCAGCGCAACACTGCTTGTAAAGCATTCGCTTGCAGCATGCAGAAGTCATCCCTGTGTGCATATTGCCAGAGCAATGCAAGCCTGGGAAATCCCTGTCCTGGAGAAGACCAGAGCTGCGCAAGCCTGATAAATCCTGTCCTGGAGAAGACTCTTTCGGAAAGAGAGAGTTGAGCGGATGCGTGCAGGTGATTGACAACTGGGAGGGCCAGCCGGGGGCAGCGGTGGTGTCACGGGGGGCCTCTGTGACGCGGGAGCGAGCGCTGCTGGACTGGGCCAATGAAATGGAGGCGCTCGTCACCACCCAGGTGCATATTTTACCTTGGCTCTCTTTCACTGCCCTCAAAATCCCTTGGAACAGCACTAAACAACACCCCAGCACCCCCGAGAAACGTTGTGGCTTTGTTGCCGAGAAGCAAGCCTGCAACATCGGTACATTGGTCTACACCTGCTGCATTGTAGCAGAGTTCTGCAAGCCATGCGTTCCAAGCATGCTTACATGCAATCGTCTTATTTCATATACTAGCTCTTGTGCAAGGGATGATGCTGGTCGGTGACTTCCTCTTTATTCTGCAGAGGAATGGTCCAACGAATTCGGCTTCCTCTTCATTTCGCAGAGGAATGGTCTAATCAAAGCGACTTTCTTTTTGTCTTGCAGAGGAATGATCTGAGGCGGGCGCGCATGGAACTGGCGGTGGCGACGGAGGACGCGCAGCAGTCGCGGCTGGAGCTTAGGGTAGCGCGCGCTGAGCTGGCACGCTCCAAAGCGCAGCAGGCGGTGGTGCAACACTTTTCGAAATTTTCTTTCACAAATTCTTTGTGAATACGTTTGCGACTATTTGGTCATGTCCAGTAGCTCCGCACCTGCACCGTCTGGGGTGGTTTTTATTTGCATATCCAGGTTTAGGAAGGATAGATCACTGTGGTGGGAGACAGGAAGGCATGCTGGCGTGCAGTTCCTTTTTGACATCTGGGGAAGAGGCAGACACCAGCAGAATGGTGAAGGTTTGAGCAGCATTACAGATTGTGATGCCGGGGAATCTGGAGAATTATGTGCTGGGATGTGCGATGCAGGAGCGGAGGAAGGCAGCAGAGCTGGAGGCAGCGAATCAGCTGCTACAGCGGCACCTAGTAGAGAGCACAAACTCGTTCCGCGAAGCGCTGGAGCTTGTGGAATCGCTTATGGGCGGTGAGTCATCTCATTCGTTGGTTCCCGAATCCGTGCTCACACTCACTGCATGGGTTAAGTTACAGAGTGCTCGACTTCTGAGTTGACCTCGTCTGATGAGCCGACCCACTTAGCTCAGGCAGCCTTGGATTTCGTCATTCTGTAGCTTGACCTGGCAGCTGGTTTTAGTCAGATTACATGAAGATATGGTTCGTCGGACAATACGGTTGCTGCGCAAAAGTTACTGACATTGTTCCCACGATGCGAGATTTGTCAAATGTATCTTTGAACTCACTTTGAGAGTGGTAATGTGCGCTGTGCAGCTGAGGACTTGCTGGGGGATGACTCAGAGGATGACGAGGATGACTCACCATCCAACTCAGACGGCGCAGCCCAGCAGCCCGGGAAATCCCAGCAGAGCAATAATGGCACAGCCAGAACAGGAACCTTCCAGGATGGCAGAGATGGTGCCAAGGCTGGGCCAGGACTGCAAGAGAAAAAGATGGAAGTAATGACTTGAATTGCTTCTGGATTGAAGCCTCAGGTCTAGTCTTTTCTTCTTGTACCCAGTTTTGCACCATAATGTCCAAGGGCTCTCTAGCATTGCCACAGGGCATTGTGCTATTACCTTTCCCTATTACTTATCTCATTGATCCTGTGATCAGGGAGCATCGAATGTAGGCATAAGGCCACAGACCTGCTTACGCCTGTCTCAGCTTTGTATCCTGATGAGCTCTGTCAGTGCATGGTAGAGCTGACAGAGAAAATTCTGTGTTTCTGGAACTGTTCCTCCAATGCTTGGTTGAATGGCTTTCTGTGGCGTGCGTGAAAGTTTGCACGAGAACCATGCTGCACAATTGTGCTAGCAATTCTGATCATGAGGCCCAAAAGAGAGTTCGTGAGAATGCTTTAAAGAGAGCGCGTGGCAACTTGATCTGGATATCAGCAGTGGACGTTGTCAGCAGTTTGCTGTGTCACATGATCGTTTCAGTCTCAAGAGGGTGTTTGAAAGCATACACGCGCCATTCCTGATCCAGTCGGCCGATTGGCAGATTGTAAATGTTCTGCATAACAATTCTCATCGAGAACTTTGGGGTGCATCGTCTACAATCCAAACGTAGCATATTAAGGCCTACGTGTGCTGAGTGTCAAGCAAACATATCTGAATATGCATGCGCAACCAAAAGAAATCATTTTCCTAAGCATCAGCACAATGCCTGTCATCACGTTCCCACTTCTTTATAAAAGGGACATATTTCCAGGTGATGAATATGTCTCTGCATACTCCTCCGCGTTCACGGCAACAAATGGCAGAAGATCCTCACAACAATCGTCTTTGTACACGTTTCAACCTCTCTGGTACCAGCATATCAAGTCAATGGGAACAAAATTGCACTGGCTTGTGTGCAAGGAATCAAGCACACTCTGGAGTAAATCATACGCAAAACAAAACAAAATATTGCAACTCCACTCAACCTCATAAAGCACTGGGATTGATCACTGGATTGGTCATCCCGGAGGGGGCGGCGGCGGCTTTTCTACGAGTGACTGAAACTGCATGCTGTGCACTGCCCATTGCAAGTTGTCATATCCCTGCTGCTGCTGCGGCTGCTGCAGCTGCTGCTGAGGCACAGGGGTGTTGTACTGGTGCTGGTATGGGTATGGCTGTGTGGGCGCAGCAGAATATGCGTATGCATATGCCGTCTGTGCGGGACCGCCAAGGTAGGCGCCGGGAGCAGCCGCCGGGAAGCCGCCCTGGAAGCCGCCCGGCAGCTGCTGGAAGCTTCCTTGGGCCGGCGCGCCGTTCTGGGGCGTTGCCTGCGGGGCGGCCGGCAGCGGGGCGAATGTGGGGTGCATTGGAGGAGGCGCAGTGAGAGAATACACTCCATGCAGAGGCGGCTGCGATTGCAACGGCTGCGGATTTGCGGGCGCCCACTGCTGGCTTGACTGAGCCGGCGGCTGCTGCGTGTAAGGGTGGTTCGCAGCAGGTGGGTGGGGGTACATTGGTGTGTAGGGGGCGTAAGAGGGCAGGCCATATGCTGTATATGACACTTGCTGCAGCGGTGTGCTGGCTGCGTACTGCATGCCCTGCAATGCAAACTCCACAAGTTAGCATGCACTGTCCTGCCAAGGCGTCACAGCGCGCATCTGGTAAATGTAGTCCCAAGCGTGCTAGGTACAAGGTGTACACCTGTTCTCTGAAGGTCTAGCTGTCGTCCCGTGTCCAAAATACAGCGACACATCAGAGCAATGGCTGCCCACAAAGGGAACACCGCTGTGTCTTTCAACTTCCAGGCTTTGAAGCTATTGCTGCCATCCAAAAGGACACCATTCAGGGGTACTGTAGTACCTGTGCCGGCTGTGCCAGAGCCTGCAGGCGTTGCAGAGCAGCTTGGGCGTCATTGGCATCTGGGAATCATCCAAGAATTATCTTAAATTATTATGTCACACTTCTTTTGCCAAGGGGCTGGTGCATCCACAGACAAGCTGCGTTTACACGCTGCCAAAATCCCACCCCTACGCGCCAAATTCAAGCAAGACCCAAATAAAGCGTGGGCGCAGAATTTACACCGGACCCCGCCAGACGGGGCCATTAAGAGAGAGGCATACGCATAATCACTTTATGCAATGTCAGAAATTGTACCAGGGGATTGGCCTCCCAGAAGCGCGCCCGTTTCGCGGCGTGCTCTACCGACTCGCCACCCCCGCTGCCGCCAGAGCGGCTTCGCTTGAAGCCCCTCTCCTCAGGTATCATTCCATTCACTAGCGGCTGCATGCTCATGCCAGCATTTCTCACACACGGTAGCCCAAAGGCATTGTTAGCACGGCTCGTTTTCTTGCTTTGCAGCTTCAAAAAGACGGGTTGCACCATAACCATTCCACACTTGGGCATATGCTGAGTGTACAGCAGCAGTAGGCCGTCAAGATTGCCAAGGGAAACTGAACCCACCTCAGCTGGCTGTCCAAACCAGACTGCAGGGTTGGCGGTTGCCGGTATGGGTGCATTCAGCCCAGGGAAGGCCACAAGCTCCTCCGTCTCGCTGGTGCTGCTGTCGCCATTGTGACTCACTGCAAATGCACACTTCTACTAGTCAGCAGTCCAAACTTGCATGCCAGAATTGACCTGTTATGTTGCCTTGAGTGTGCCGTCTGTTGCATTCCAGTCCCTGTCACAGTAGGCACTCCATAAGGTTTCCTAAGCATGAAATTGCAGTCAAGGAAGTGACGCAGAACAGTCAGCCTGTGATACAGCAACGGATGTTTGTCTGCCTAGGTAACGATTTTGTGAAGGTTTGGTTGAAGCAGAAGAGAAATCAGGAGAGCCCACCAGATGCAATAGGGAGGGCATCCTGCTCAGTCCCATCGTCCCCTATGATGACGACCTCGTCATCAGACTCCTCATTGCTCCACCTCCTTCAATTTACCAACCACAAGTCAAATGCTGCACATGCAACGCACTAGATCTGCCTGCGATGTTCAGGTTTGACGCTAAAACCCTTTTTCAGACTGGGGTTGGATGCTCCCAACTCCTGGGAAGCTAGTCAAGATTGATACAATGCTTCTCTCTTCACACCGACCTCGCAATCACGTGCGCAGCTCCATTCTCCCCATGTGGCTGCATATTCCAGATGACTTGGGCTGTTTCCAAGTAAATACTTTGGGCGAAACATCCTCAGACTCACACACTGGTGAATCTGCATAAGGTACCACAAGACAGAGCGAGGGCTGTCTTCAAGCACCCGTGTCGTGCATGTCATGCAATTGCATTGCCCCGCTTAGAGGTCCATCTGCGGCCTGAATGTCCACAGGAATACATAACTTACTAAGGGTGTGCTGACCTGTAGCCTGGGGGGTACCCCATCTGGCGCATGCGAAAGAGCCAGGGCGGGGGGTCCTCCGGCTTCAGTCCCATGGCTGCCCGCAGCTCCTCGGACAACACTCCCGGCTGCAGGTCGCTGAATTCAGCGCCCGCAGCACTCGCCTCCAGAAAGTACCTGGCATGCACTTGCCACGTCATGATCAGGTTGGGTAGCACAGGTCAACATTGCACATTGTTTCTGCCAGAAGGCAATGTGTGTCTGCAGACAAGCTGCCTGGTGGCTGCCACATGCCCTACCGCTTATTGGACTCGCCAGATCCAAGCAAGACCTGACCCACCGTGGGCACATAGCAAATGTAGGAGAAAAGTAGGAAAAAGAATTCAGAAGAATTCTTGCGAAGGTCAACGATTTGAGGGTGCCGCGCAAACACAGATCCACTCCTCTGTATTGATGCGTGCCATGCAAAAAGCGCGGTGGCAATAACGGTGTGCTCAAGGAGCATGCAGTGGCGTCATTGGTTGCATGCAGATGATGTTAATGGCGTACCTTCCGCTAACAGAGGTGCCTCTGTTTCCCTGGTGCTCGCTGCGAGCCCTGCTGATGGCGTCTGCATCCTTGCTCAGCAGGCAATCCTACACGCCCACATCAGCTTTCGCTCCTAGTGGTTAGTCCGCCCAATCTAGAGGAGCACCTGAGGAGTTGGGCCCCATCGTGTTATGGCCTGCCCGAACATAAACCGAGCTGCAAAGACACGGGCTGGGAATTCACAGAAAGATGAAGATAAAAGACCAGAAAGTGTCTATGTGCGGACCACTGTAGTTCCTCTGTCCACTCCAGAAGTCCTTCATAAGTAACACGACAGGATTCATCCAATCTAGCTTGCAACCGATGATCTGGACCTGAGCAGCTGTGACGAGCTTCTGCTCAGCACTCCTGGCCCGCCGCTGGGCTGATGAAACCATCTACAAAGTTGAATTTGGACAATAATCAGGGTATCTCATTTGCAAACCTAGGGACCATTTGTGGCTGCACTATGGTGGCAAGGTCCCCTTCTTCTCTCTTGCACCGGTTCAGGCCATTCGATAGTCTTGGGTGTGCATGCGCGATGGCAATCAGAGGCATATCAATCCGCGCACTTGCGCAATCTTTGAGGGCGTGGCAATAGGAGCCTTGCAGCTGCCCCGGGTTTTTTGATGGACATGTGAGGCATATTTGTGATACTCCGGCCTTTAGGAACCAGATGGTCTCTAGGACATCTAGTGTGGAACTCTGCATCTCAATAGTTGTTAATTTCACTCCTATTGATTTATGCACGGCTGCGCACTCTGAGGGCGTGGTAGTATGAGCCGCAATTGAAGCAACGCGGCCGGGAGCGCCGGGGCGCGGCAGCCACGTATTTTGTCGGGCCGCTGCTATCAATGCGCTCGGCTGCTCTCCTCTCCGCGTCCTGAGCGTCCAGCGGCCGCTCCGAGCTGCAGTCGTACTTGGGCACATCTCCGACCTGCAGGCCAGGACTTATAGTATGATGTTATTTTGCATGATTATCCTGCCAAGAGGCAAGGTGCGTCCGCAGACAACCAGCCCTTGAAGGCTCCCCTTATCCCACCCCTTGTTGGATTCGCCAGATCCAAGCAAGGCCCATTCATCCGTGGGCGCGGTGCTCAGTACTTGTACCGGCCCCCGCCAGCCCGGACCATGCATTTGCTTCAGCTCGCAAATGATAGAAATGCAATCCACTGGACCCTAATGTGCCAGCTGGACCTGCTACATGTGATGAGCACAAGGTAGGAAAGGCAGGATGCAAAGACGAGATATGCTGCACGCCAAACTAGATCCTATGCCTTGATTGAGGCAGCGGAAGGTTGCTGCAACCTTTGTTGGCGGTTGGAGGTTGAAGGCTTGGAGGTGCCTCAAAAAAGTGAAAGAAAGTGGTCTGAGTGGGTGCAGCATTGCACAGCTGGGCGTACCATCTCATAGGAGAGGTTGAAGCCTCGCTTGGGATGCTGGGGGGATGTGCTGCGGCTCGGCTTGTCAACCCATGCCAAGGGGCCGGCGACAATCTCACTGGGTAACACGGATGGTGTGAACTCAAGCGCCCCGGACACCACAGGAATGCTGGTTGTCAAGGCAACCTGCACTCCCACACAGCACCGCACTTGCCACAAGGCTAAAATGTATGACAGCGAACGTGGGCATGATGGCAGGTCCATGAAAATAAGACGCGTTGTGACCATAAGACGCGTTGCACCTACCTCAACTGGGTAGGAGCGTCGGTGCCATGCCAGCCAGTCCTGGAGCACCTTTTCCAGGTATAGCTTGCTGTCCCTGAGCCAGTAGTATAATATTACTGTACTATCGAAACATATGCGAGTGAGTGTTATATATTGGATCTATTAGCAGTGTGTTAGATTTCATTGTGTTTAGGATGTTCACATCTACTATACAGGACTTACTTGGGAAGTGCCTTGTAATGGACTGCAACGCTTGCCCCCTCATCGTCCAGCGATGCAACCTCCATCAATGAATTCACTTATGACCACGTTTTCCTGCGGAAAGATAGAGACATTGCAAGCCATGCCTAGGAGCATCTGCCTTTGTCGTAGCCTTCACCTGCCTCCGATGTCATGTGCATCATCTAGGAATGCATTCCCCTTATCGTACAGTGCTTCCTTATTCAAAGGCAGCCACCCTTAGAAATGGAGCGAATGGGGAATTCTTGGGGTGCATGGGATTCTGAAGATTGTCGCCTGCCAATGTGTGAGAGAGAAAGAGCCCTAAAAGCAATCCATCAGTCAAGCTCAGATCAGTTCATCGAGATCTGGCATGCAATCCTGCAATCCTATTCATTAAAGTCTGCGAAGATCCTCGCATCTTTCTGTCTAGAAGGCGGCCCGGAGGCGGTGTATCTGAAGAAGTTCAGCTTGGTTGATTAGGTTTCAGAGCACCGTCAGCGGTTCCAGGGCAGCCATGAACGAGATGGAGGTATGAATGGAATGTTTCTCTCATAAACATCAATATGTTGTCATCAGGAAGGGGCCCTCGTTGACTTGATACTTGCTTGCAGGTGGAACGTCAAATAGACCAAATGGTCAGCTTCATTAAGCAGGAAGCCGAGGAGAAGGCAAACGAGATCTCAGTGTCAGCGGAGGAGGTGCAAATCCACTATTTATACTTCTCTGCTGCTGTGGTGTTTGCTAGTATTCGTGCTGAGCTCTTTAGGGTCAAACTTGGATCCCCAGGCTTATGAAGCTAGCGCCTTTCCTCCTCGTTTGACTAGTCTTTCCAGTGCATTTTGATGCCTTGGAAATGAAAATAGCTAGGTGCATTTTTACTTACCTGACACTAGCTGCACTGTTGCTGATCAGGACTTCAACATCCAGAAGCTGCAGCTGCTGGAATCCGAGAAGGCAAAGATCAGAAAGGAATATGAGAGGAGAGAGGGGCAGATCGAAGTGAAGAAGAAGATGTGAGCGGCATTATTCTTACTGGACCTCGCATGCACTGGAATCTCTGCCCTATGTGCAGCATACAAGACACGCTGCTCTGTGTAGATGCTAAACCTGTGCAGAATTTGTTGTGAATATGGTGCTTAGCGGCTCATGAATCATTAGCAAGGCTTTATTTGTCGTGCAGCGAGTTCTCAAAGCAGCTGAACGAGTCGAGGATCAAGGTGCTCCAGGCAAAGGAGGGCTCTGTACACAGCCTGGTCAAGGACGCCCACAAGCAGCTCCTCACCATCTCCAGCAACAAGAAGCAGTACAAGTCGCTGCTCACAGATCTCACTGTCCAGGTATCTTTCCAGGCTTGCCTTCAGCACGCACCTGCTATGCATGCTGACAAATGTAGTACCACGTAGAGGTCGTCTCCTTACGAAGGGTTAGATGACAATATAAATTCCCATTCAGCATTAAAGGTTTTATTCTTGATGCGTCGCCCACTTATGTGTTTGTCATGGTGTGTGTCTTTAGTGACATCCCATCATCATGACTCCATCCAATCTTTGAGTGATGACGGGCTGAAATTGACTATTCTGTTTATAACGGCGTTGAGAGATGTTGGTTGCTGCACAGGCGCTATTCAAGCTGCAAGAGCCCAAGGCAGTGCTCAAGGTGCGCAAGGAGGACCTCTCTCTCATCAAAGAAGTCCTGGAGCCCGCCAAGAGTAAATTCACCGAGGTGCGCCCCTTCTGAACATCTACTCCTCATGGCAGATACTCCTCAGGGCATAATTAGAAATTTCTGTTCCTTTGCATGTTTGTGCCCAAGCCAACAGCCTTATGAGCACTGAGCTCTGATGCGTTCCTTCTGTGACTCCTGTCAGTCTGGCACCCATACAGAGCACGTACGGGGAAGGAGATGAGGACATGACGATGCTCAAATATTGTCAAAGATCGATTTGCAGGCTTTGGCAAGGGAGGGATAGAACTGCTGTGCTGAAGGGATATTCCTTGCGCTGGCTGCCAGGTGTATGGCAAGCCTGCTCCAGAGATCAGCGTGGATGAGAAGAAGTTCCTGCCGCCCGCGCCCAAGGACAGCGATGACGAGGACAGCGAGTCATGGTGAGTCATCCTTTGCCACTCTCCTGTGCACATGTCAACCCCAGCATGCCAACACCTGCAGTATGACTATGCATGCACGAGGATGCAGAATTTGTGCCCCTGTGCTTTGACTTCTCCAAGTCATATTCTTCAGGCCAGTTTGGAAACTGGCCTGAGTTCTGTAATTGTGGTGCGCAGACAGGTACTTGAGAGCATGATGCCGCGTGTTCCCCCTTATGGACATATATATTTATCTCTGTGAGATTCTCCATTGACCTGCGTTGCGCTGCGTGCAGCACGGGTGGAGTGGTGGTGTCTTCCTCAAACGGCCTGATCGTCTGCTCCAACACTCTGGACGAGCGGCTGCGCATCGCCTACACCCAGACACTGCCAGACATCCGCACCACCCTCTTCGGAGCCGTCCAGCGCGCTTGAGCCTCCGCCCTTCATGGGACATTCTTCAAATTCAATTCTGGATCTGACCTAGTTGAAGGATTGGAGCCTGTCACTTAGGCGGCCCAGTGACTGTGGCTTTAACAGTGTCCAGTCACTTGGCAGGCAAATCGGGTCCCAGCTGCAAACTCTGCTGCATGCGCCAGAGGTGTATCTGTTGCATGCAAGTCCTGGGGTGGAGAATAAGTCAAAGCTGGGTGTCTTGCAATGCGCCAAGCGGCCGGCAGTAATGGACAATCACCAATTGTAGGGCTCAATGCATGCAGTGCTCAATGCACTGCGCAGTGATAGTACTTGGTGGCCATGCATTTGTCCAATGAATCCAAGCAGTATGCAGTATCTGATGGTCACAACAAAAGGCTATGCATTTTAGTGACATATGGGGCGTGCCACATTTCAGATACCGGCTAGTATAGGAGTCTGCCTTCTTATCAATTTCGCCCTTTTGAGGTCAGGTCAGGCACAGACGAGGGTCAAGTGTGCCTCTTTTCGTTTCTTACAAAAGTGGGGTAATGCACCTGTAAGGACTGGTACATCCTTGGCTGAAACCGCCGCATGGAACCCATCGCTTTTGTGGTGGCCAGCTGGAGCAACAACACAACAACAACACAACTAGCGTGTGCGTGTGTTTACAGCACTCCGTCCAACATCTGCAAGCGTTCCACATGGCTTTCATATCAGAAATTCAAGCACGTGCTGAGGTTGTGAGTTACTTGCACCATCTCCCCGTAATACCCTCGAAGTATTGCCCCACACTAAGTACGGCCCGTTTTCCACCCACATAGTGTGTTATGTAAAGATTGACTGCTGCTTTTGACGGGCAATTTTATACATGCAAATTCCACACCCAAATAAATACAACAAACCCCAGCTAACAATCGATTAATCATCAGGTTGGACCTCTCCTCTGAAGCACCTGCCATCCATGCCTTGTGCTCAAAGTCACAAGACTTAGCTGCGCAGCATCTGCTCCAAATTGCTAGAATCATCTGCAATGTCCATAGGGCCTAAAAAGCATCGTTAGTTTTTGAAATGGCTCAAAAAACACTTCTGGCGCACTTTGGTGCCATATAAGCCCAAAGTGCTATAGGAGCGTTCATGCTTAGTACCAGTGTCATACTTCAAGTCAGCCCTGAAGGAATCCCTGAAAAATAACGCACATGCAATTGCAAGTTGCAAAACACTTCAGGAAGAGCCAATGTAGCTTCGTCTTTCAAATTCCCACTGAGTCAGCATCAGCTGGATTCCTCAGCAAAGCAATTCTGCCCCAAACTCAGCAGTGCCCATTTGAATCTCCATTTGGATTTGACCTTAAGCCGGGAATGCCTCGACTATCGAGAATACGCTGCGAGTAGGGATGTGGCGACCAAAAGAAAAGCTCGCCTTCTGCAGAATGTCCTTCCTGCAGCGTATCAATCATATAACATTTTAGTCATCCCTCCCTGGCAGACAGAAATTATTGTTACAATGATTTTGATCAAAATTGATGAATATTGATCTTAGACCCTTCATCGAACCCCGAACCCTAAATCTACCATCGCACTCCCCGTGGAAAAATAATTACTTAAAAGGCCCCTTCTCTAAACCCTAAATTACTTACTCTAAATATGTATTCCCTTAACCTTGAGCTAACAATCATTGTAGAAACCTTTCCGTACATCAAAGATCTGGCATGAAAGAGAGCCCTCAAATGACTGGGCAGGGCAGCTGACAACATCCCAGCTTGAAGTGTCGTGTCATTGCATGCTGCCCTAGTGCAATTGCAAGACAGCTAAAGAGCTCTGCATGGCCCCTACTGTCCATTCTCTCCTCTAAATTAATGCCAACATAAAGGCCGCACCGCGAAACATGCACGGTAGCCGCTGTCTCTTTGGTCCTGCAAAAGGGATATGGCACCAGGAAACATGAACAGAGTCTGCCCTGTCAGCACAGCACAGCACAGCAAAGCAGCAGAGCCGCGAAACATGCACCGTAGCCGCTGTCCCTTTGGTGTTGCAAAATATTGCCCGCACACTACGGCATCAGGAAACATGCAAATAGTTTGTCCTGTGCTGCAGCCTCCTGACAACACAGCACAGCAAAGCAGCAGCGCTAGTAATCATAAAGCAGTGGGAGAGAGAGAGAGAGAGAGAGGCAATTCCAGCGCACAGTGTTTCTTATAAGGATTCTAGGTGGAAGCCAATGTGGCTACAACATATGCCACATTAAAACTTTTGAAGCCAAAAGTGGCTAACAGCTGAAAATTTCATAAAATTTCTCCCGAAACCGGTGATTTTGGGCTTCCGAGGCTGGTGAGTGCATTTTTAAAGCCAATCGGTGGCTTCAAAGAAGGACACCCTCAGGGTAATATGGGCGCCTCAAAAATGCCCTGTTTATTTGTTAAGAGCCACATCGGCTTCAGGACGCCACTGAAAGAAAAACTGCCAGCGCACCATTCTGGGACAGTCCGCTCAGCGCTGTCGTGCACGACCATCATGTGCAAGTCAAGCAAGGCTCGCCGGAACAGCGGGTCCAAAAACTCCGCCCCCCCCCCAAGCGTGGTCTGCAACGCCCCACAGCTGCCTCTCAGCATGCATGCTCCACAGAGAAGGCTGGAGAAGATTCAAATTGAGAGCTTGTTGCAACGCACCTAGCCCAGAGGGCTGGCACAAGCGTGAAATAATAATAATAATTGAAATAATAATGGATGCTCCACAGATCAGGTGCAACTACCACACGCCTCTTTGCAATACAATTGACCTTCTGCAAAACTCCTGCAGACTCTGAAGTGCAGACCTCTTTATACGAGCATTGGCCTCTGATCCCATATGTTCGACCCCATGCTTTCCTTCACCTCCACGCTCGGACTCAAGTGGAACATCCTGACTGCTGTAGTACTCATTTTAAAAACCCGCATCCCCCCCGGTGCGGGAAATTTGTGCTAGGCAATTTCTGGGGGCCTTCTGACCTCAAAAACACCAGGCTCATGCTGCGGCCAGGGATGCAGCAAAGCAGACGCCCTGTCGGAAGACAAAAGAAAAAATCCCCACCTCGACAATGAGCAGGCGGGCTTTGGCAGAGCCCATGGCTGTGCAAAGGCTGGACAGAATCCTGACGCAATCGCTGTCGTCCCAGTCGTGCAAAATCAAGCGCATCACAAAAACATCGCCATCCGCAGCCTTGGGCAGTGTCTCTGCATGCATGCATCTCATGCGAGTCAGATGTTACGAATAATTTCACAATCTCATGATGCGTCACACTTGTCTCAACGTAGTACAGTTTGACAGCCCCCAAGGGATCAACCGAATTGTTCAGGGCTGGGGCAAGATTTCAGAGCAGCCCCGGGTAATTTTGAGATGAGCAAAATGGCATCAGGACAATGTCCCGAAGCCACAGGGCTGTGACTAAGGGGCACCCTGGAATCTTCAGGCAGTTTGAACCACTTAGAGGCCAGAATCCAGAGAAAGCCTGCATCTCCCTGTTGAAAATCCTTGGGAACTTCAGGGATGCCCCATTGTTTCAGCTACTATCGCCCACGCCATACTTAGGGGCTGGCCTGATAATCTCTTTAGGGCCCCTGACAAAGCTTTGTCAGGGGCCCTACAATGTACTCATGCACACATGCTGGTGCAGACACAGCCGGGCATACGCCAAAGGGCAGCTCATGGGGACAATCCGAAGACATTAAAGTCCATGCAGTGCATCGCAGCTACCATGCATGCAGAAGCGCTGGTGCAGAGGCACACACAGCCACCTTGCACTAACATCATGCAAATGAGCATGCCAAAACGGCCAACACGTGGCGAGAAAGGCTCGATGAGCCTATGCGGCTACATACAGCGGGCTGTAACCTTAGCGCTACCATGTGACCGTCAGGCCTGCAGTCTGGCAGGAGGGTGTTCCCTCCTGCCCGCAATGCCTAAGGACCAGGAGAATGACGACAGAAAAGAATCCAGTGTTATATTAACACTCCCACCATATGGAAATCACTTAAAACCTTACACTGGCTAGCAGGCAGACAGGCAGACTCTAGAGGCTGGATTTGCCGGAGCAGGTCTTCTACTACCGAAATCGGCCTAATTCAAGACAGATTGCACCTTCGTCGGATGCACGTAAAAAAGGCAGTATTTTGAATCCAGAATGCAAGATTCATACAGCCAGCTCCAATGGAATGCCCTCGTTGACAGCTTTCCAAAGCTGCCTTCAAAATCTTCAGAGCCTCACTATTCTTGGAGTTAAAAGTGATATTCTCACCTTCTTTGAAGACGATTGATTGTTTCTTCAACTATGTATTAGGCCGAGTCCGGTATTCAATGCAGCTTAAACGCGCACCTGCGTTGAAAAAATCGCCTGCCACAAATTCCATGCGGGGGGTGAGGGTGGACCACTCGGGGTTCTCCGCCCAAATTTCCTTCGCCCTCTCGATTATCTGCGCAGCCACGCTAGCTAGATTCATCATCATTCACCCCAATCCAGTCACAATTCATCATTTGTCTGCCAGCTGCTTTGTTTGCTTGCATGTATGCTTGCCAGAGTTTAGTGCTGCTGACGGTAGCTTCACTGCTGATCCACCCTTACTGCCCGTGTGCTAGGCAGGGCTATCACTCGTGTCTACAATCTTTGCATCACCCTTAGGGTTTTCAGGATCAGGGTTTATAACCCTCAAATATACAAATAAGTATAACCCTCAAATAACATTCAAATAAACATACAAATATCCTGCCTACACTCCGATGCTAGCGCCGCAAAAAGCTGCTCCACACTCACACACCTATCGCCGATAAAATGAGCTGCGAGCAGCTCTATGGCTGCACTCGCCTCAGAGCGCAAAGCAGGACAGGAGGCAGCAGGCCCAGCAACAGGGTCCAAAACAGTAAAATGGCCTGCAATATGCACATCTAGCAGAGTGTCCAGGAGGAGGCAATGCCATTGGAGACGTGCCTGGGGTTGGTCGAAGAGGACCCCCAGCGGCTTACGGTTTACGGAGAGCAGGTGCGCCATGAAGGATCCGTAAGCGCCGCCAATGTCCACGATCCGCGAATGCCCGTTCCAGCCGTAATCCGTAGCCATCGCATGCGTCCCTGCACCAATGCGGAGAACTCCTGTTGCCCTGCAAATGCACAGAGCAGACACAAGCCTAGCCAGTAGCCGCCATGCTGAGGCAGAAGTTGTCATTCTTTCAGGGGACGCAATGGCCCGGCTGGGCTAGGAGAAATGGCGAGGGCTGCCCAGCGCCAAATTGTACTTTTGACCGTCTTCACAGTCACCCTTGACAGGTTCTAGTCTTGGGAGGAGAGAAAGGGCGTGTACTGAATCCCATGGACCACATTTTCAAGATGGCAGTGCCATAGGAGAATGGTACCCGCAGTTACGGCCATCTCCTCCAAAATTGCCCCCTTACCACTGCCGCGATTTGAGTACATCCTCCATAAGGACCGTTGTCAACATCACTTGCACACTATTCGCGCGCGCAAAGTACTCGAACAGCTCTACACAGCATTGCAGGCGGAGGGGCCCTCACCGAGCCCGTCAACTTGCTGCATGGCTTTGCAGAATAGCTGTTCCTCCTTCGGGTGCAGCTGCAGCCAATCGAACTGGCTGAGCCCATCATGAGTTTTCTTCCACGCGTGGCCGTTTGTACGAACCGCCCACGCCAGCTCATCAAACGCCGGGTTGCTGTGCTCAGTAAAATACAGAATCTGTAGAGAAAAACAGCAAAGCTCAGCACCCCCAGTAAACAAACCTACTGGGTATGTATAGCTCCAGCACACATCTCTAAACTTCAGAATGCAGCAACATTCAGAATCCCCCCCAATTCTGCTCTCTCTGCCCATAAACATGGCGGTGTCACAGCATTCTCTTCCAGGAAACTGTCACGAAGTGTCTTGTGATGTGCAGTTCTGTTGCCAGCCTTCCTGATGGGATTATACATGAGAAGACTCAGCAATGCTAATTGATAACAGTAGTTCAGCTTTCTCTACTACCCCCGTGCTGAAGCAGAGGAGACTCTGAGTACCCATCTCCTCAAGGAAGTTGAGTAAGAGACAAAGTACCCAAGTCCAACCAACTTCACCACGTGGGGTCATCCAGATATTTCCACCCGGCAACACTTGCACGGCTTCTCGCATCGGCAGGAGCGGCAAGCATCAGAAGCAGCCGGGAGACAGGACCTCACCATTTCTCGCAGGCAGTTGGGGTGGTATTCCCGGAGGCAGGCAGACAGGCGGTTATTCTTGCACCCGACAGCGCCGCCTGCCTCCTTTGGCTTGATCGCAGCAAACACTCCCATCTGAACGGCGCTCCTCAAAACTCTGTAGAGCCGCTTCTCGTCAACACCTGCGACCATCACAGAAGTCATCGCTCATCAAGAATTGCAGGAAGATGCGTAGGATGCAGCGCTTCAAGGACACGCACACACAGGCCACACGTACGATGTGATGCCAGCCATTGAAGGCAATGCTCACCCAGGGACATGGCGAGCTCCTGTGCAGTTCGGGGGCCCTTCATGCCGAGCTCATCCGCAACACCCAGCTCAGCCACGCTGTACAGAACCTGCGTCGGTATGAAAAATGCCTGTTGCCTCCCATGCACCATCCTGCCTGAGACATCCGTCGTGCCGTCCAGCATCGTGCAGTGACAGCAGCTATCTCCGCACCTGTGCTTGCCAGGCACCCATGCAGATGTCGAAGAGCGTCAAAGGCGGGGGCTGGATCCATTGCCTGAACCGCTTGAGCAGGCTAAGGAGCCAAACGCAGAACGCGAACAGCGGCCAAGGTAGTGGATTGCTCCAGTCCCTGCATCATGCAGACAAGAGCACTTGAACCAACTAGCATTGCACATTCAACTAACTCCACAATCACAAAGGCACGCAATAACAAGAAGAAATATTTAACTCAATGCCGTGACGGACGCACCTCATAAGCTCGGCTTCCTGCCAAGCTGCTCCCATTGTTGCTCGGCGTATAAAAACCCCTCTGAAGGGCTACAACAAGCGAAGAGGGACAAGTGCTACCTCAAATTGTCGAGTTTAGCAATGGTACTCCTCGGGACGAATTTGCAAATTTTTAATTTTGCAGCCGTCTCCGGTGCATTCAGCGTTGAAGAGGCAGTCCAAAATGCGATACAAGAAAAGAGCAAACCAAAACAGCAGAATACGGAGATGTCACCGTATGTCAAAATATGCAAGTCGCAAGCAACTTCATCGGCAGAATAATCATCGGACTTGAATGAGACGCAGAAGGAGCGTATTCTTGGACAAGGCACCATCTCAGACCGGATCCATCACGTGATGTTAGCCTGCCTCACGTCACCAGGCCCTGCATGATTGCAAAGTGCAATGGGTGAACCTCTGAGATATGTATTGAGAAGCTGAGTGCTCAGAACAAGGAGCTCCACCAGACCCTGCAGAATGCAAGGCTTGCATGCCTGTGAAAGAGGGAGTTATGAGGCGTCAGTGCTGATGTCATGATTGTGCCTTGCAGGATCCACTGAGCTACCGGGTTCACTGGAGACACCGGAGCAAGTGGCTTCACTGGAGCCCCTGGGGAGACGGGAGCAACAGGCTTCACCGGCGCTACCGGCTTCACCGGGGAGACGGGCGCCACCGGCTTCGAAGGCTGAAATTCACTAGAGCCACAGGCGTCACTGGCAGCACTGGCGCCACTGGCTTCACAGGTGAACCTCTGAGACACTCGCACTCTGCCATTTATGAAATGTATGCAAACAGAAATGATCGAGGTAAATTGTGTACCGTACGGGGCACCCGGTTCCACCGTAAGTTGCCGTAACATGCCGCCGTGGCTTCGCTATGCGGAGTGCCTGAAACAGGGGACTCTGAATCAGTTGATTTAGAGTCCCCTGCCTGAAAGCTTGAAGGAGTCGCGAGCAATACAGAGACAATGCTTCTGCTAGTGGGGAATGGTGCATGCCCATCTTTCTTGTGGATCCAAGCCTGAATTTTTGTCCACTCAGGGGCGCCTTGCTCAGCGTTCATGCCTATGATAGCTTCCATCTAAAAAATCCGGACTTCAGCATGTTCCCGCACCTCAATCTTCAGACTTTTGGATCGTTAAAAGTATACAAGTAAAATTGGTTTTGCGGGCATAATCGCCGTTTATGGCTATGCCGCCTGGGCAACAAGGGCCCAATTGTGCTGAAGTGTCATTTAGGCATCATCTCACCAGCAGCTAATAATGTTGCAGCAACGTGACAAGCTGCCGATCTTAGGCTCCCACCAATGCAGGGCAATACATTCAGCTTATAAATCACAGACATTTCCCTCACAATCAAGGTGCTCAAGGGTGTCTGCACTCTGCATCGCTTGTGCATGCATGCTGCGTCATTCGGATGTCTTGCGTTCCAGGATGTCCTTTATGAAGAGTGTGCCGAGCGCAAGGAAGGACAGCAGCACTGACGCAGAGAAGGCTGCTTCTGTGTTGTACTCCTTGTAGGCGCTCTCCACATACAGCGTCAGCGTCTGGGTCTTGCCGATGATGTTGCCTGAAATCACCGACACCGCTCCAAACTCGCCCATCGCCCTCTGCAGCGCCCCATCACATTATCCTCAGATCCATGTCAGGCAGCCATTGTGTGGGCAACCCCATGCTGTAATTAGCAGAATTTCTGCTCACAAGAGCAACACAAGCAAGGTAGGTGCACAACAGGCAGTCCTGTTCTGTGTGCATTGTCCATACTGCGCTGTTACCCCCTCAATCCATGTTCAGGCAGAAAAGAGTGCGTTCCTGTGATTTTGGTTGGGTGCATGCCTTCCACGATATGCACATCACTGCTCCACAGGGATTCCCAGATCCAGCATTCAATATGGGGTACAGGACAAGTAGCCCCTAGCTACAGAGAGGGGTCAGGAGAGCGGAAGCCTGGCTCGAAGCGTGTGAAGGAGAAGAACACTCACCGCGTTAGTAAGGATGACGCCATAGAGAAGCCCCCAGCGGATGTTGGGCAGGGTGACATTCCAGAACACCTCCCAGTCAGAGGCGCCCAGAGTGCGAGCAGCTTCCTCTTCCGCCATGTCCATGGCTTCCAGGATGGGGATGAGCTCGCGCACCACGAACGGCAGCGTCACAAACAGCGTCGCCAGCGCCATGCCTGAAATGGCACAGAATTCAAATTTGAAGTCAAATTCATCGACCAACGGCCGGATCCCGTTTAAGTAGGCTGCAGACTTCTGTAGGCCCCGCAAACGCGGCTGCAGACGCCCTGCGTGCATGCCCTATGGCCTCTGGCTTTGGGCTGAACTGAAATAATAGTAATTGAAATTTGAATCCGAATCCGAATATTAAAAGGCCTGCAACCACGGTATGACTTGCGTGCTTCCACAGATGCAATCAGAGCGGGTGTTGTGGTGAGACATGCATGTGCAACCCTTGTCACCGGGGTCTTGTTGAACAGCCGTAAGATCGCCGATGTGGAATTGCAACAGGGGCTGCCAATTGTGCCTTGCATGCGCGCAGCGAAGGCGCAGAGTGGTGCGCTGAGCTCGGGAAAACATACGATGTCATTGACGACAAAATTTTACAACGAAAGGGCTGGCTGCCCACCTGGGAATGCGAAGACAATGTTGAAGCCCGTTGCGCGGATTACGGGCGCAAACCAGCCCTCCCTCCCGTACAGCAGCACCAGCATCAACCCTGTCCTCCAGACACTTACGAAATTCAGTACACGTATACTTGTACATCGACACAGCGCAGCCCTCCTTCCTTTCAAATCATTATTCTGCACAGAATGAAATACAGCATGCCTCAAGACAGGGTAGAAGTCAGTGCACGGGTGCTGCAAGAGGCCAGAATGGAAGGTCATTTCACACAGAACGAAGATAAGGCAGTAAATATGACATACCTGTGACGACAGGAGAGATGCTGAAGGGCAGATCCAGCATGCTCATGACGAAGGTCTTCCCCCAGAACTCATTGCGCGTCAGCTGCATGGCTGCCACTATGCCAAACACTGTGTTGATCGGCACTGCCACCAATGCCAGCAGCAGCGTCAGCTTCGCCTGAATATTGCACAGCGCAGCACTCTCTTACACACCTCACACTCGTGCATACAAAAGCTGCAGTTGCCTTCTGCATGGCGCAAGGAATGAGCCCAGCAGACTCTTCAAACTGGTAAGACCGCGCTTCTCTCTGGGTTTGACGAATGAGTAAATGGTGTATTGCTAACAGCGTTGATCACTGTACGCCTGCACTGCACTCGACGTGCCCAGTAAACACAGATAAAGGGTAGTAATATCTGCGCGGTGCAATGGAGCTCACCGCATGCAGGAAGTCCTCATCCATTAGGTGTTCCACAAAAGGACCAACTCCATTGCCGAATGCCTGCAGTGACATTGCACCTTTTGGAAGTGGACGTGTTTGGATATAAAACATTCAAAGGTGAAGCGTCTGCAGGTTTTAGAAGCATGAGTGATGATGTAGGTGCCAAAGGAGAGGTGCACACCTGGACGAAGACATTCAGAAAGGGTACAAACAGCACAAGGCCGACATAGGCGAATGCGATCCCCACGAGCGCCTTTTTGCCAACAGTGTCGATCTGCAGTCAAGCAAGCCATCAGGTGACTGCGGAAGAAAGTCACTCATTATAAGTCTGGCACTGGTGATGTCCGATGCTGTTCAGCCAAAGTGAACAGAGCCACACCTCCCCGCTGCGTACTCTTTTCGCTTTCTGCAAGCCTCCGGAGGGGCCTCCAGCACAGACAATAGCTGTAGCCCCTCGTCTTGGCCTCTGCCCAAGGTCAGGGAAGGATGCAAGCCCAGCCGTCCTCCCATGCCTCCTAGGTTCCAGCCCAGCAGCATGCACAGCGGGGCATAACTGACAGCTAGGACACAACGAGATGCATCTGGCCTGCCATTGCAAGCATGATAGGAGCGGCCTCTGGGGTAAGGCTAGCCTTCTCCCAGTGAATGTGACAGACTGGCGGGCAATCAGGCCTCCTTGAGTTCTCTGGGCCAGGACGATCATACCAAAAGATACTATGGTGCTTCCATGAGCCCTTAAGAGTCACTCATTGCAACGACGGCCCTTGAAGCGTACCGCTGTGACCTTCACATGCACATGCTTCTCATACGTGATAATTCTAACGAGGTTCCTGTCCTGCTCCTAGATGTATTTCGTTAAACCAGTAATCAGTACGCCTTCTCACGCCTTGTTTTGTGCAGATGATCTCTTCCTCCTCCTTCAACTATGCACGTGCAATGAGGAGAGAATGGCGGGCCACGCCTTGACAGAAATGCAGCTGCATGCGTATCCTCTAAAGTTGAACTGACCTCCGACAGGTCCCGAAACGACCTTTGCTAACAACAGATTTGTTCTGATTCTTCAGCAATCAAACACGATAAAAGCAGCAATCACCATCCTTGGAGCTGCTTCCACCAAAGTCCCTCGAGAGCGTAGCTGGAAGCCACCGTAACCCTGTGACAAAGCACTCCCATCTTTTGTCATCCTGAGCTTCTGCTGGATAGCTCAGTCAGATACCCAAGCCTGGTCTCAGAGACAATAAAAATGTGTTAAGAAATAGTAACAAGAGCCTCAATCCACAAGAAGGGCCACAGTGAGGGCAGCTGGATGCAAAGGAGGCACTAGTATTTGCCAGCGGTCATGGCTTTCAGTAAGGCGTCGTTGGCCTTATTATTGCTTGTATTCGTCTCAAACTGCCAGCGCAACGAGGCGCAGCTTCTAGCGAACATCAAAAGTTTCCTTGGCAACGTTCCGACCTTCGGCTCGAAAGATGTTCCAAAGTTCAGCACAGACGGACAGTACGCCCTTAGCCCTGTTGTCTCAACTCTTGCAGAAGATGAGAATTGTCCTTGATGCGCATATAATTAAGATGATGTTTGTGCATGTATCCGACCCGAAGTTTGTCTTGCGCACACAACATCCTTTTCCTGACCTTGACCTTGCAAGCAGCACATCAAAATGAGAAGCTTGAATTCGCCACCTGTAGTACATCACCCTTTTACAGAACCTCGAAGTCCTTGCTCGAACTCTTACAACTATAGACTTGTAATCACAGGTCTGACATGGACTTGAGATGAGCACAGGAACCCATGTCCCCTGAGCTTTACTTCTCAGAATTCTACTCACAATATTGTTCTGCTGCAACAGGCGGGTCTACGTGAGCGTGCCAGCACCCAGCAACGTCAACTTTGGCACGGTGGATCCCCAGACTGGCACATGGGCGTACACAGACAAGAGCTTGGGCGCTGGAGTTGAAGTTGGCCCCAATGGAGCCAGTATCCTCTCGCGCAACCCCACCCAGGTGTGAGGCTTCGCAGCTGTAATGATATTCTGCATTTTTGGCAAGACTTACCAGGGCAGCTGAAAGCGCTAATTGATACCTGCCGCGCACTAATGGAGGTATTTGTGCCAGAGCATCTCCACCCCACTGTACCAGGCCTGCTCCTGCGAATGACTCAATTGCAGCGGCTCTGCTTATAACAAACACTCCCTCCGCGTTGGCTGAACCTCCTTTTCCATGAATGGCTTCTGGCACGGACAATTGTCTAGGACTGTCTTCATCAAAGTTAAGAGACAAGGGATGGGCGTCTGCAGGGCGTGGATGACTTCTCTCAAGCAGCGCGCATCGGCCCAGACGGTGTGGTCCTGGGACCAGACAAGGCCAGCGCAGAGGTGGGAGACTTTTGTCTCATTACATTGCTTTCGACACAGAACCCTGTATCCCTTCATTGATCAAAGTGGCAATCCACAACTGCATGCCAGGCTGCCATTGTCATTCATATATTATGTACTTTTACATCGTCATTATGTACAACTTTTTTAACATAGCAAGCTGTAAATTTCATAGCAAGCTGGGCGTGCCTGGGCACCCCCTCTGCTTGGAGAGGTGGTGACACATCGCCCATCTGGCTCCCAGGGTCTCATGATTATTTATCTACATGAGGTAAATACACAAAGCCCTGAAACATCAGACTGCAAACCCAGGTGAATCGTGCGGCGGACCAGGCACTCGGCAATTTTGGCGTCAAGAATCTCAAGATCAACCCCGATGGGATCATGATCAATGACGGCAACCGCCTCAACTCCTCTGTCACTGTGAGAGCTCTGCTCCAACCTCCTTGCCATTGCAGCGCCTTGAGATTGCCTTTGATTTCAGAAGAATACAATATTGGACACCTCTGGACCCTGGCACCCAGACAAGCTCTTTATCTTGTAGCAAGTGATCAGGACGGGGATGCAAAAGACAAGTCTGGCCCGGTGCTGGGAAAAACAGCAACATGTCTGTCTTGCAAGGGGCATCAGCTTTAAACAACCACTTGCTAAGCTCTGCGCTGGATTGGCCTGCAAATAAGCCAAGCATCCTGTCAGTCTGTCGGTGCCTTCCTCTGTCGATGTGCCCAATTTTATCTTCCTTAAGTGTCATTCGCAGCTGAACAACCGGGGGAATGCAGGGCAAATGACCGCCTCAGATTTGATCAGCTCAGCTGGACCTGAAGGCACCAGCCTAACCTCAGAGTGCGGCATTCTATCACACAACATTCAGATGTGAGTGGCCATGCATGCAGGTAAACAACCAGGGCATCCAGCTGCAGGGCAATCCCACAGGTGGGGGCGAGAGCCACCTGTTCATAAAGCCAAACCTGCGGGTGGGCAATGACCAGATTGCCGGGGCAGCCGCGCCCGCCAAGCAGCCCAGCAACGTGCAGATCAGCGTCGGGGACGGCAAAAGCACCGCCACTGAGCAGCTGCAGGTGCGCAGCGCGCTGTTCAAGATATATCTTCAAACAGGTTATTTTTCCAATTGTCGTGGCTTTCATCCGTCAGCTTCTGCTTCAGAGCTGCTGGCAGTTTTTTGCTCTAGACAACCAGATGCCACACTGTTGATGGTGCATGCTTCCTGTCAAGTGCATGGACTTTCATCAAACTGTGCACTGCTATCCTGTCGTGCTTTCCTGTGAACACACTCAAGGATCGATTTCTCACTCGCAGTTGGCCATGCCATCAGGGCAAGAGACTGAGCGTGACGTGGAACCTGTTGGTTTTGCGGGATTGCACTTCTTGCAATGTGAGTTCTGACATGAGCGCTGATGTGGCAGGGGTACACAAACTACCAGCTGGACCCTAACAAAGGTACGTACAGCCAGGTGGGAGGGAACACCGCGCCGCCCTTCATGGGCCTGGACCCTAACGGCAAACCATACACTTCATTCGCGCGCGCCCCCGCCCCCGGCCCGGCCGCCGCCCGTGTTGCCGCTAGCGCCGCAGCCGCCACGCAGCAAGTGCGTTTTCAAGTTTGAAAAGTTCTGGACGCATGCGTTCCTTTCCTGATCAGGAAGAAGACCCATGGTTGTACTGATGATCTGGCCAGACAAGAATACAAGCTAGACACAGAGCCTGCCCCTTGCTTGTACTTTTGTGTTCTGCGTATCCAGCCACCCCTTTGAAGCTTCCCTGACGCTCCTGCACGGCATGCCTGCGAGTGTCACTGCTGCTGAAACCCGCCTTAGAAGCCCTGTACATACCAAAGTTCTCTTGCAAATTTTTAAAAGTTCCTGAAGTCTGATGAAGGCCGGCCTGCTGCGCCTGCCCGGGGGCTCCTGCCGCAGAATACTGTTTACATTTTCCAAAAAAATAACGATATCTTCCCAAATTTTTCATCGTTTCAGGATTTATGATTGCAATATATGTAATGTGTGCAATAATTTGCATTGATAGATTTGAGTGTGTGTACAGGGGCTCCTGCCGCAGAACGCTGCCCAGGGCGCAGGAGCGGCTCCTGTATATGCTCCGGTGCAGAACCAGGCGCCCGCGCCGCGAGTGCAGCTGGTGACTGACAAACCGCTGCCCCGGCAGTACCAGTACGGGGGGGACCTCGTCCGCGGGACCCCCCAGTCCGCGAACGCCTACGTCCAGCAGGCGTGCCTCGCCCCCTGGATTATAATTCAGGATTTGGGGTTTTTGCTTAGGAATATCATGGACCCTAAGGTACCAGCTGAAGCTGCTTTGCACGAAGGGACCTGAATTCTACAAAGGCAGCGATGCAAAGGCAGGCCTGGCTCAGGCAGAGGGGCAGGCTTTTTCTGCTCCTTTCCACTGCCAGCCAGTCATAGCATCGCACCCGGTGCCAACGCATGGCAGTGCTTGAGTATGATGCCCTTTCATAGAAGAACTTGTCCATGCGATCTTCAGGCAGCATGGAGAAGTCTTGCGGAGCCTCTGTGCATGCGTCATGCATGTAGTATGTCTGGCAAAGAGCAGCAGGGACTGAGGTCTGAGATGTTGGCTGGCTCCTGCAGGTGGTGAACAGGGATCCTGCAGGGCCGACCCCTGCAAACAATCTACAGCCGCAGCAGACAAGCAATGCGCAGTGGCAGGCCGGGAGCAACGACGCGCCAGTGGCGGCCCCGGCACAAGCCGCGGCGGCCTGGGGTGACGTCAGCAGTGACGTCAGCGGCAGCAATGGTGACGTCATGTCCTTCCAGCAGTTGGGCATGATGGCTCCGGCAGTGCAACCGGAGGCGGATGCGGGCAGCCTTGGCTATGCAGAAGGTGGGTTGCTTTGCTATCATTTTGTGTTCCGCGGACCCCAGTTTGGCCCGCTTTACTAGGGAAATGAGCTTCTTGGGCTGCAACTTACAGTAATTAATATATGTTCCCGCAGGCAACTTCTCGCACCCCAAAAACCTATTGTTATACCATCTTGGTTCAAAACAATTATTTAATGCAACTTTTAGTTTGACTAGTACAGTATCATATTTGTTATTGTTGAGCGTGTGGTGTTGTGTATCGCTATGCGCAGGCCCAATGAGCGCAGAGCAGCTGGCCTCGCTGGACATTAACAGCTTCAAGAAGAAGAAGAAGAAGCACCACCCCTCGACAACGCCCCACAAGCACTCCAAGGCCCCCTCCAAGCATGCCGAGCTCGCGCCCAGCGGTCCAGTCAACCCGGCTGCCCAGACTTCTGCCCAGCAGCCTGCCCAGACCTCTGCCCAGCAACCTGCCCAGTCGGGCAGCGGGCAGCAAATCACCATGACTCAGGCAACCCCCAGCTCCGTATGATATAATTTTTCAGATATTATTCGCTCAGGATCAGGGCAGATAGATCCAGGGTTCAGGGCTCAGGGAAGGAGCCTTTACATATACTTTTCGCCAATGATGCTAGCATTTTATCCCATTTTATCTTGAGAATAATCGCATGCGGTGACCCTGCTTAATAGTAGCATTCCTCCATTGGGAATGCAATGGTGGATTCAGGGCTATTCTTCACTTCCAGGCTATATGACACTTAGTAAACAACAGTGGGGACTGCTTGCACAAATGACAGTCACGCAAGCCTCTAACAGACGGGGCAGCTGCAAAAGGCCTGCAGCACACAACACACAACTGATTGGTCAAATTGAACTCGCCATTTAGGGTTAGTAAGGCATTACCTTTCCCGGGAATATGATAATGGATAAAATTTGAATGCAGGCAAACCCGGCGGCTGCGGCGACCAAGGCGAGAAATCAGGCCCCGGCCGCGGCCATCGCAGCTTCGTTTGCTGCGCCAACGCCCCAGGAGACAGCCGCCATCGCCAGCCGCCTCAAGGTCGGGCTCCCTGACTTGTTACCTAATTATCAGGGTTTATGGTTTAGGGCCCCTATTACCACCCCTATCGCCTCTGTTTTTGAATTAATTTTCAAATCGCCTGCCTGGAGCGCAGCGCAGGCTACGGCGCTGCGCCCTGCATGCCCCTAAGAGCCAGCTGGCTTCAATGTTCAATTCCTCATCGGCTGCCTCGCTGCTTGTCCATGCAACTGTACACCATCCTCAGGATCTGGCACCCAGCAAAGATTCTTTCCACCCCACCCGAACCCGCGCTTGTCAGACACCACCGGCCACCGACCGGTGCTTGGGGCGGTGCTGTAAGTGCACCTGACACGACCAATTACACAAGTCCATTAGTTACTCATGTACAGAAGTGTGTGCCTGTGTGCACACAGGAGGTGCTTGGGGGCAGCGAGGCCGACACCGTGGGGGCAGGAGGGGACAGCTCGTTCCAGAGCAGCGGCTCCAATTCGAGCGGCGGCGGCCCCGCGGCGGCGACACCGGCCGGGGACGGCGCTCCGGCGGCGGCTGCGGCCGTGCAGCGCGCATCAGACGCCGTCAAACAGCTGCAGCAGAGCACCGCCAACCTTGGCCGGCGGCTGCTGCGCGCCTGATCAGGCCGGCCAAGGGACCCCCCGGCGCTGAACGGACTTTCAAGTCGGCGCCTGATCAGGATAACAGTTCACCTCCCGTGCTGACTGGACCTCAGAACTAGCGGCTGCTGCGCCCTTGATCAGGACAGCCAGGGAGGGACCCCCGTGCGCTGACTGGACCTCCAGAATTGCGGGGGGTACGCCTGCTCAGGAGACCTGGGATCCCCCGAGCCTGATCGGGCCGACAGGGGACCCCCCTGCGCTGACTGGACCTCGATTGCATGCCTGATCAGCACGGTTGGGGGGTTCTCCAAGCGCTGACTGGGCGCCAGAACCGGCGGCTGCTGTGTCGCCTCACCAGCATCCGGGGAAAGCCCTTTCTGAGCCTGATATTGGTATTCTCAGCGTGCCTGATGAGGGTGGCCAGGGCTTGTGTTGTGTTTAAATTGACAGGCCCTCTCTTTGGATCTTTCGAGAAGCAAGAAGAAGGACATTCCTTGCTGTGAGGAACCCCAGCACTGTTTGGATCTTGAAGCTGGCAGCTTTGGCGTGACTGATCAGTGTGCATTTGCTGACTGAACAGTGCATGCCTTCTGTGCTTGGGGCGGTCGGGACAAGGCAGAATGGAGTGACAGACTTCCTGGCAGAATTACATGTGTTTAAAGGTCCTGGAGGTAGAGTCATGTTGGTAATCACTAAGGATGCGCATCTCAAAAGACATTGCATTTGAGGGCGTGGATCATTGTGTTACCTGGGATGGATGCACATGGGATTGGCTGCTCTACATAGACAAAGTCTGATTCTCACCATGATGTCTTCCTAGGCTTCTTGCATAGCCTTGTATAGAATAGAGGCAGGCCTTGAAGTTCACATGCTCAGCCTTTGCTGCCAGAGTTGAAGGACTGTTACAAAAATGAAAGGTTCGAGATCAGAGCCATAAGGCGAGCGAAATTAGTGGTGAGGTGCGATGTCGTTCGACAATAAGGTATTCTCGAATCTGATGTCTGCACTCCAATTTCTCTAATTGAGTTTGTTAAGCTCAAGAATTGAGATGAGAACGCCTGATGCAGGATGCAACCCAGTGTGTGGCCTGATTGATATTCATATGAGCATTATTGCACTGGTACCAAGGTCTTGACCAATTTGCTCCCGTGTGAACTCGCAGATGGTCAACATTTCTTGTGTAAAGACTGTACTACAGTATATACAGACAGTGTCCTTGGGAGTGAGCCTCATTCAACGAGGGGTCAAGATTTGTACGATACCACAATAATGACTTAAATAGCAACAACAACACCCCCCGCATGTGAAATTTCTCAGCGGCCTGTCGAGACTGCAGCTAGACATGAATAGGCCCTTGGAGGTCAACCAGACTAGTTCTATGACGACAGGCCTTGCACCTCACAGGCACATGCAGCAACACACTCTTTCAACCCAAATCCAACAAAAGCACAACACTCGAAAGTCCTCAACAGCTGTTCGTCCAACCACAAGCATTTCTGCTGTGAGTTATAGTCACAAATTCTAGCCAATCCTGCTGTCCTAGCCAGCAGCAGGCGCACGCTCACACCCTCTAAGATGATACTAAAAAGCCGTGCCCTCTGCAATTGTACGATTTGTCCATAAACCGGCTCGGTCTATGCCGATCATGGCGTGCCGGGTCTCAATTGGGAAGTGCTCGGATCTGGCGAGTCCACTAAGGGGTAGGGCATACAGCAGCCTTTCACCTGCAGCTTGTCTGCAGACGCACCTTGCCAGCTGGCAGGAAAAGCATTCAATGACTAATTGTGAATGGTCTCAATCCACACCATCCACTCCGCCGTTTCTGCCATTCGTGTCCGCGCTGCCATTGGCGCCATTGGCCCCAAATTGACTGAAGAGGGCCGCGGCAAAGTTCATGAACTGCCCGGGGTCCACCTGTCATGGGCAATATCCATCGCATGAGCGATGTTGCAGGCAAGATGATTTTTTGCAAAGAGCAGTCACAGCTACTCTGCATGAGTTTTTGGGCAGCCACAGGTGCTTGAAGAGCTCAGACATCATCAACTGGTGGTGCTCAGCTGTGAGTGTCAACGTGCATGCAGTGGGAGACACAAGCACTGCCATGGACATTAACAGATCTTTCTTCGCCCCATATACAGTGTATTAGCATTTATGTTGCACACACAAATTTCTGAACCGTCTATCCCAATCATACGCGAAGAAAACTTGACGGAATGTAAATGGGTTGCCCAAAAGTCGGCAACACTGAAGATGCCCCATATATTTGCTTGTGCAGAACTCCCACCTGGCCGGAGTGCGCCTGTTGTTGCCGATACTCGTTGGCGTGCACGTTGGACGGCCGGTAAGTCTCCATCGCCTGCACAAAGTCCCCGAAGCGCAGCTGCCGCACGTGCGCCGCCGGCAGCTGCTCGGCAGCTTCCACGAAGTCTTCCTCGCTGTCGCTGGCCGCTGTCGCAGCCATGCCGCTGGGCAACCCGATTTGCTCCCCCCTGCCACACAACCCAGGAACTTCAAGAGCCTACAGATGAAGAATCTACTCAAGAGGTGCTTCCAAGTTTCCACATTTTGGTCTCGCAAGTATTCTTCACCAAGGTCAGTGATTGGGCGGCGTGATACTGTCATCATCATGTGTTTGTTTGGCTTTCCCTAGAGGGAAGAAAGGGCTGTGAGCCTACGCAAAGTTGTAGTCGAGCTAGACTTTGGACATGGATGCCTGAAGCTGCCAGCAGGCTAGCCGCCGCTGTCCTCTCGGTGTGCCAGAAGCTATTATGGCACACCAAGACATAAGGGTCACCTGCTTACAAGCTCAAGGATCCCCAGCTTGCTCTGTTCGCACTCACGAGAGGTGCGATACCTCTCACGGTACGCAAACAGAGCATGCTGAGAAGCCTCATGTGGAGCCAGTAAATAAAATTTCCTCAGGCGAGCCCAAAAGATTGAAACTGATAATGCTGGCGTAATCCTCGACGACCAAACATTCTGCAGCTTCCAAAGTATGTCCTGCCGTCCTGCACAGCTGCAATGTGGGGGGCTGAAAGAGCGCTCACCGCAGCTCGGCTTGACTGAGCTCATTGGCAGGGATGGAGGCGGCCGCCGCGCAGAGCTCATACAAATCGCTGCCGCTGAACTGCTCCGTCTTGGCCGCCAGCCGGGCCAGCGCATTGTCCTGCAACAGATATTACTCCTACTATTAATGATATTATTACTACTACATGCTGCTCCTGGAAAGAGGCAAGGTGCATCCTGCAGGCTGTCTGCAGGTGAAGGCTGCAACAATTCTACCCCTTGTGGGACTCGCCAGATCCAAGCAAGACCCAGTCAATCGTGGGGCACAACAACAGATATTGAGGTATCTCGTCTACCCATCTGAATCCCCAGCACGGCGCACACAAGAAACAAGAGAGAAAGCCGAGCTTCAATCGCTGCTCAAGAAGGGCCGCAATGTCAGATGGGATGCAGTATGGAATACTCGATGCCACAGAGTGGCTGCTTTGACTTGTCGGTCTGCAGCCTGCTCTGTGATGACAGGAGGACCAGCCAGCAGGGCGACCGGGGGCAGAAAATAGCCGGTGCAAATCACTGGACAAGTACTAACATAACACTTAGTGTTGGTTCCCCTGGCGTCGGGTCAAAATGGGGATTGTGCACCTGAAGGAGGCTGGGGTCGACGCAGTGGGGCATTTCGCGGTCGTGCTGCTTCAGGATGATGCGCAGGATTTCTTTGCGCGCGCTCTGATTCGGCATGCCCACCTCAAACTGCGCGCCAAACCTGGCACCGGGGCGAACAATTCAAGTTCAGCGCATGCCGCATACAGGGAGGGAAGTTTTGGGGCACAAGATGTTATACTGTCGTGAAAGACTTGCTTCCGCCCGAGCCACAAGTTGGCGCAAGACCAATGCTCGCCTCATGGCAAAAGGCATGATGCCGAGCGTTGGACCCGCATCATGAACACATTGATCGGGTCTTCCCTGAATCTGGCGAGTCCATCAAGAGGCAGGATATGTGGCAGCCTTATCCTGCAGTTGCTTGCAGACAGACCTTGCGACTGGCAGGGACAGCATATAACGACAATAACTAAAGTACAGCACACACAAAAAAGGACGCCTGCGGGCCGCGCATTTGCGCAGGATGGCATTGCCAGTTCCGTAAGGGACCACAGCAAGAAGATGGCGCCTGGCACAATCTCTATAAATAACACGAAAGAAGCCTGCAGGCGAGCACCGCGGCAGGATGGCTTCGTCAGGGTGCACAAGAGACCAGATCCCGCCTCCCCAGTTCTCATGTTCAACACCATATACGGCCAAGAGAAGCCTGCGGCCGCGCACCGGCGCAGGATGGCTGGTCGAGGTCAAAGGGGCGGTTGGCACCCGTCCCATTGATTTCCAAAAAGCGTGTTCAAACATGCTCAATTACGAAAATAACGACAATTTAATGACAAAATCGCGCACCGGCGCAGGATGGCTTCGTCGAGGTCGAAGGGGCGGTTCGTCGCGGCTAGGACGCAGACGTTGGCAGCGCGGCGCGTGGCCATTCCGTCCCAGAGCTGCATGAACTCCGTCTTGAGCGCCGTCGTCGCCTCGTGCTCCTGCGCCTTGCGCATGCCCAGCAGCGCATCCACCTCGTCTGCGCAGTTATTACTAATTATTGCTGATGTTACTAACATTACAGCATGACAAGTCATGTGCAAGAAAAAAGAGGGTGAAGGATTCTAGATGAGATGGAGGGTCCCTTGGGGACTGGCAGGCGCAAAGCGGGTAAACAGGCTCCATTTAGGAAGCATTGACAACTCGCCTCGCAGCGGTGAGATGCAAGACAGGAAGAAAAGTGCCAGCTGGTGCGCGCACCCACGAAGATGATACAGGGCTGCAGCTTGTAGGCGAGTGTGAAGGTGGCCTGAACCAGCTTCTGGGTCTCGCCGTACCACTTGCTCTGCAGCAGGCTTGGCTTCACGCATATGAAGTTGGCGCCCGACTCCTTCGCCAGAGCCTGATACCACATCAGAATGACAGCATGAGCAGCTGGCGATCCAGCTGTACTCAAACTGTGATTGCAGCTGTGAAGGTACCTTAACTCTAGACAACTCTCTCTAGATGCAACTTTTCAGGGTGTGCCAAGCAAAAGAGCAGCTGCCTCGAAGAAAGCGAAGCAACCACTTGCGCTTTGATTGGTAGGACTACCAACAAGGCAGGGCAAGCAGGAGCTCTAAACATGCTATTGCCGGGACTTGAATTGGCTGGCCTAGGAGCGCTCAGTGCGTAAGGTCATTGCTTGCACCACATGATACCAGCAGTGGCACCACCAACAGTAGAGAGCCTTTGTCTTGGGCGGGATCTGTATTGCGATGCAGCACAGGTCCCGGAGCCAGACAGATGCTATCTATAGCAGGTGCGCTCGTCTTCAAACTCAATACTACCGCTTGACAGGGCACCAAGATTGCTCAACAGCAGACAGTGTGCCCATTCACAAGGCAAACATGCGCCTGCCTCTTCAGAACCTGAACAATGGAAGCACATTGCAAGAGAGAGCAACAAACGAGAGAAGAGCACCTTTGCGAGCATGGTCTTGCCGGTGCCAGGAGGTCCATACAGCAGGACTCCCTTGACCTGCCTCAGGAGCCGGCCGCCATAGAAATGCGGCTTCTGCAGCGGTAGGATGACCCTGTTCACCTGCGCATCACACACCCTTCCAGTCATCACGCGCCCCTTGCCAATGTCCCGGCAACCCCTGCCATACCGCTGAGAGGTGTACTATATTTAGATGTAGTAACCCCTGCATCTGCAGCAGCATGTGCCAGGCAGTGTGATGATTCCCACAACCCCCGAGCACGAGCACATTCCCTCGAAGCATCAAACTGACATAAACTGCGCAGAGCCTTGAACAGTGATTATAAACCTTCAGAAGGGCTTGGCTATGGATGGCACTCACAAAAGGCATCTATCAGGAGTGGCGCGTATATTGCAACTGCAGTGTTCCAAGCGCTCTGCCTTGATACAACAGCGTTTGGGTTCAAGCTACAAAGATGCAAGCAAAGTAAGCAAAGGTTTACCAGGTCCTGCTTGATGCGTTCGCAGCCACCAATCTGTGAAAGGGTGACGTCGATTTCGTATGGGTTGACCACCTCTGAGGCAACAATCTGCAGTGACACACATCCATGATACCTCGATTGATTGCTCCCATTGCCTAGCAGAGTTCAGCCTGGAACTTGAACACATGCCTTCTCTAGCAGACTTGCTGCGCATGTGCACAAAGGTATGGAATGGTATGCCAGCTTTCTGGAAGATGCTGCGACTTAAGGATATGGCACAGAGGAAGGGCTCACATCTTCATAGGGCGTCGTCTCTAGCTTGATGCCGAGTCGTCTCTGCACCATTTGCCTGCGCCTCTTCGCCTGGGAGCATAAAGCAGGCATTGATGTGCAGTTCTTCGAGCAGTCAGAGAACCACACGTGTCATGAGGCACGTTGTTGCGTGAAGTGCACAGAGTACGACAGAGGATTGGTGTCACAGTAGTGGTGATGGACATCCAGAAGGTCACCTGTTCCTTGTTGGCCTTCTCAGGGTCTAGATGCGACAGCACCCATCGCATTAAAAAGGCACTGCCGACTAAGCTAATTCCAAGGTAGATCAGCTGCTTCAGAAGGACACAGAGAGTTCAGTGGCCTGCATCGCTGTCCCATGCCTTACTGGAACCAATAGGGCTGTAGATATCTCCTTTGACTGCTGCGTTCGGTGCGTTACGAGACCAATTACGATTACTGCTTGACAATTTCCTGAAAGGTACTTCTGGGAAACTTCGGCAGGCCTGACTCTTCGTAGCAGGAACAGGTCACTGATGAATATTAATGCGATGCAAATATCGTGAGTTGCACGCAACTGCAGACTCAGAATGTATGACGGAACGATCACATTATTACCTCGTTCCAGACAAAAAGCTGGGGACAAGGTTAGAAAAAGCCTCACCTCCACGGCAACTTGCTTGCCGCCCGCAGCAGCACGTCTCTGCGCCATTTTCTTGTAGTAAACACTAAAATATCTGTACAAAGCAAGCGAAAGGCTCATGCGCTGCGAGTCGGAAGGTACGGGAAGCACCAAGGAGCTCTGGCCCTCAACCTTGACAGCAAACTTGGGGGTGTCAAATTCAAGTGCAAATCAGCAAGTCGCACGTCAGGACAGTGCCAACTCGCACTCCAATGATATGATCATCATTTCCTCTAAAATTGAGCAGCTATCGCACTCCTTGTGCACATTGATCGAACTGAGGATCGAACTGCGCTGTGCATTGTACTCACGCGAGGATTAGTCAGTCATAGTAAGCTTACCTTAAGGAGACAACGTCGTCAGACAGTCTCGGAAGCCTGCTGGCTTTGGTGAAAGCAGAATACCAACGAGTAATCAATATTCAGACCACATTAAGTTATGCTGTACGTGATCTGTCTTTTCAGGATTTTCGTGAACTCCGCAGTTGACGGTATTGATCGAGGGTCGTAAAAACACTGGTATCTGTCGGTGTCGGAAACTCTTAAATTTCATATACCTGAGACGATCTTGGGTGTGATGGAAAGCATCTGGTCTTGAAGTCTGGAGTGTCTGCAATTAGACGCTTTCAAGACGTTCTGCCGAGCAAAGAATTTCACTTCAGTTTTGTATTGAAGCCATCGTCAAGCAACCAAAGAGCAGCATTCACGTCCAGTGGAGGGTGCCCTCACCAAATTGCGCTGCTTGAACGCCACCCATACCTGCACCAACGACGATGTGGCAGGACAACAGCAAGCACAACGCACCATCGTGAGCATAAGAAGCTGATGTGGCCAGCATGCTGGGTGTTGGTGTGCACAATGGGTGCACTCACAGCCAGCGCGTGCACAATTTTCGAGTTGAACGACTCGGGGTTTGCAGCCAACGCGGTGCACCTGTTGCACATGGAACCCATGTTTGGAGGCGGCAACAATGGCACCCTCTTTGTGGATGCCACCAAGTTTGCCTACAAATGCTCGGAAGGCGGCGGGTGGGACTTTCTATATACTGAATTCTTTCACTGTGTATACTGTCTCTCATCAGGATGTCGCTTGATATCTGCAGCAATGACCATGTATGCAGGAGCAATTCTCACCTTAGAGGGCTGTAAAATCAGATACTAGTCTGATGCAATGTGTGCAATAAACCCGGGTGCTGCATGCGCAGGTGGCACGATTTCTTCAGGGTGGAGGACGTGTTAGTTCCCTGGTCCAAGGGGCGCGAGTTAATAGAAGGGGTCACGTGCCGAAGAATGGGGTTCCAGGACATTGATGTCCTCCTCGACCGGCGCTTCTCTTTCAGCTGGAATGATGTTGATGCCATGGGCGCCCACAAGGTGCACAATTGTAGAAAAACTTGATTTCTTCTCACTTCAACCTACACATCTCTTGCTTGTCTGCCTTCTTGTCCAAAGGTCTGCATTATGATTTATCCTTGCTGCGAAAGCTTAATGGAACGGTAGAGGAACTGCATGCATGGTGCATGTCGGTAAGTTGAAACACAACAGCTGACAGAAGCCTCTGGATCTGGCAAAGGAATATTTCAAGCGCTCTTGACAATTCAATTGGCATGCTTCGGCCGTTAGTAAAGCAGTAAAGCAGATGGTATTGTGCGTGCAGCTGTGGAGGCCGCAGGAGTGGGTGCGAGCGCGGATGGACTACAAGCTGAGGGCGCTGGCAACCTACCCTCAGCCGACGGTGGGTTTCCACATCAGAGGGGGCGACAAGGGTGAGGAAGACGTTCTGCAGGTTCGTCTAATTGACCTCCCTTCAGTGCACTCACAATACTATTCTCACGCCCTCCGCACGGCAGGCCACTGTAAAATGCATGGTGGCAACTGTACGCCCGAGTGCGCGGGGTACTGAAGTACTAAAATGCACTGAGCACCCCTACTTGCTAGCGCCAGTACGCCAGTACGTCTCCCCAGTGCGAGTACTGGTTCCAAAACTCCTGAAAAATGCAGTACTGGTACAACCCTGGTAAAATGCACTTCAAATGGCATGCTCGGGCTGCACATTGTATCCATGCCCTGCAGCTGTGCCTCTTAGAAGAGAAGCTGGTTGGTGTATAGATGGGTGGCGTAAATGTGAGCTGACCATGCATGGTGTGTGCAGAAGCGAAAAACGACGGAGCCGGCTGATTTCATCAAGGCGACTCTGCGGGCATGGCCCGGCCTGAAGGTAATGGGCCATCCTAGCAGCACTGCCTTGCTGTAGCCTGACAGACTTAGTACCATAGAGCCTAGAGACCTTCGGAGAGACCTTAAAGAGGTGCTTCTCGTGGGTGTGGTAGCAGTGACTTGCTAGCTCTAGGATTGTTTTGTTCTCATTGAATTTCATTGAAACATGCCTGGTAAGGGGTGCCAAAACTTGTGTTCCTGGCCCTTGGTCCTGCTGAAATTGAGAGTCTTGAGCCTGGCGCATGAGTAAGTATACAGATACGTAAGATTGGGTGATTTTAGCAGGTGGGCACGTGTATAATGGTGGGCGATGACTTTGACCGCATCCGGGAGGCTGAGCAGCTGGCGCGCAAGCACCTGGGCTGCCAGATCTTCCGCAGCGTTCCCTACTTCCGGCGCGAGGGCCACGTGCAGGTGTGTGCGTTCCCTCCCTCCCTTCTTTCCTCCCTTACTAACCCATCAGAGCACTGCTCTCGGTTTTCTGAAAGAGGTTTTGTTTGTGCTGATCACCGCCTTTACAGGTATCTGCCACAGTGTTCTGTCTCCTTGACACCAAAGAGATCACCACATGACCGCATTGCACAGTACACTTCACTCGCACTTTGCCACTCCAGTGACTAGCCTTGTTAACAGGGTGTGAGGGCATGCCACTGTCTAACACATCCTTTTGCGCATTTTCCTCCCTCAAACCTTCTGCTGCCTTGTCTCTGGGCGCATGCATGCCAAGCTGCAAACATGCACACCAAGCAGCAGCAGTCAGGACTGGGGTGGTTTCCTCTGGAGCCGCCACCTGTGAGACTTATGAACGCTCCTTGTCTTGAAAGTGTCTTCCCTGTCTCTGCCTGCATCCTAAGCGTGAGCACTGCTCTGAGCATGCAGCATGCCAAATAAATCCGGCCGAACCATCAGCATCTCTGGGCAGACTTGTCAGCACCCAGACCCACGAGTCTTTGATTCTGCAACGGTTTACCCGCTGAAAGGGGTACTCGTGCGGCGCAGTACCACTTCAACATGCAGGGGTTCGAGGAGCGATGCACAGGGACAGTGGATTTTCTGACGGATATAGAGCTGTTGGCGCGCGCGGATTATGCCGCGCTGACTTTCAACAGCGGCCTGGCACATCTGGTGGACGTCCTGCGAGTCTCCCTGTACGGAAAGCACCGCTCGACCTTTGTCGACGCTTCCTACGCGAGGCGCGCACCCCGGTTCAAACCCCGCTGTCTGCAAATTTTCTTGTTGCCTTTTTCTGTTTCGGGCAGGCGGGCCCGCTACATGCATGCAGTGTTCTCCTGCCCAGTATCAGGAGCTTTTGCCATGCACGGCGGTGGGTGCACCCGGATATGCTCTGCATGCCGGCTGTATGAGATCCTCAAACATGTTAAGAAAAGGGTGCGCGAAGCGGGAGCCGAACTGCCTACCGGTGCACTGCGGTTTGTTTGTGTGACGGGGGAAGAAGGGCTTAATACGTCCTTTACACGCAGTAAAAGGTATTGTTGGGATGTGCAGGCAAGACTGGTGGGAGCCAATAAGGCGGCATTTACGGGAGGCGCGGCGCAAGCTACGCCCCCGGCGAGTGATGAGGCGGAAACAACCGCTCTAAGCGGGCGGATTGGTGTGAACATTAGCACTTTTCTTTTCTAAGCGCAGTTTGTTGTTCATGTTGACGTCGTCTGAATTTTGTCTACGGTACCTGGGAAAATGGACTTGACTGCCGTGCATTGTCATGATCATGGCATGCACTGCTTTGACTGTGCACATGCGTGGAGAGAACTCACTTCTTATCTTCAACTTTACAGGCTGTCATCAAGCATCGGAAACTATTGCAGCGGTGGCAGTATCTAATGTAGCTGTAATATTAATTAGATGGTCCTTGCTGCTGTGTGGTCCCGGATGCTGTACCATAGGGCATACATGCTCAAGTGATTGATAGCGCTAATGCCAGTTTCTGGGGTGTCCAATCTGCAAAGCAAGGCATCTTGAAGACTTCAGCCCAGTATGTGGGTAAGCCGTCTTGTGTAGAGCGGCTTGTTACCCTCGAAGGGCTGTTGCCTCAGGATCTTGCCGCCTTCTGTATCAAGCTCGACCTGCTTGCACTCATCTCCGCCCTCCGGCTTTGTCCCCCATTTTGCCCTGCATAGAGAATCACAAATGCAGGAAAGCAGCACAAATTAGACATTTCTCACTTGTCTTGTGCATGGCTGGCAGTGCTAGCCTGGCACCCGCTGCCAGCAACCCCATCACTTCCTGCTGCTCTGAGTCATCGAGCTGCAAATTACATGCATGCAACAGCCTCAAAGCCAATGCCCAGCACACTGTACCAGGCTGTGCTAAATTTTGAGAAGCCCCCTCTGCCTATCACATGCTCTTCCTCAACTGCGTGTGTATGCCGAACTATAAACACGCCACTTGCTACCTAGTGTGCAGCATTGCCTCAAGCTTGCACCTGAAATGCTGGTGAAACACACTCCCTCATAATGTTCCAACAACATCTATGCCCCACTGGGCCAAAAGGCCAGGGGGTGGTAACCTGCTATAACCTTCTGCTTTTGCACCCCTTAGCAGTGCATTGAGCTCGCACCTGAAGTAGGTGAGGGACGCCACTTCCCAGGTGTCCCAGCCGACGTCCTCTCCCAGCCGCCATTCGCGCCGCTTCCATGCATTGCGGTCTACGGTCACATTCTTCTCCCCCTCCAGCATAATGCGCATCTTCTCATAGTTGTGCAGCGGGAGCACCACCGGCCTCACCAGATCATACACCTGGAGTCCACAGTCGTTGCGCTGACATTAGAGAATATAGCTACAGTAATATGGCCCCGGCTGGCGGGGGGCGGTACAAATACTGAGCACCGTGCCCACGGTTGATTGTGTCTTGCTTGGATCTGGCGAGTCCAATAAGGGGTAGGATTGTGCCAGCCTTTAACTGCAGCTTGTCTGCGGGACGCACCTTGCCTCTTGGCAGGAAAAGCGTGATATAATCAAAAAATGATGAAGGACACTCGAACCCGTGATTGTAACATTATAGCTACTGGCCACAACAAGCGACCTGACCAGATCATACACCTGGACCCACAAGCAACCAGCACTGGTGGCAATAATGCACACCAATTTTTCTGTTAGCTGTCATTCTAGTGGAAGCTCTGGTACAGCGCGTGCCTCACAGCAGCAGCTCCTTGCATGCTCACACAGCAGGACGCCGCCAAAGCATCATATCACCATCAGTCATCTTGCTATTTCATGAAGCTTCATAAGCATGCATGCTCTGGGAGCCACAGGAGTATCTGTGCATGCACTCTTCCCTTCTTGCTACTGCAGTTCTCAACAAAGCTACTACAGTCTGTAGCCAGTGGCAAGAAGTAGGGGGGCACCTGTCCAGCATAAAATTGAGGGCCACTCGAAAAAATTTGGCGGGCATTCCTCCTCGTGCCACCTTGGCAAGAGCAGTAACTAATACTGTGAGGATCACTGCAACAACCTCTGCTGCTATCTTGTGTCCAGGACGGAAGCAGCGCACCGATATATTGATGTCGGGACAAGTGTTCGCGACGTTCAGTGTTTCAAAGCCGGCCGCTCGTACGCGAGGGTAGAAGTCACAGTCGCTCATGTACACGGTCACGAACGTGTCGTACTTCACCTGCATGCATGCAAGGCAGTTCGGCAGAGGGTTGCCCAGGCCTCTGAGACTTTTTGGCATGCATGGGGAGAGCAAATAATAATAATGATACAGTAATAATAATAACGGAGGCAGATCTGGCATTTGGTAGGCACAGGCAGGTATTCCTAGAAGTAGCAGACAATATGAAACCATGCCCATGTCATGCTGCGGCAGGAAACTGAGCATATTGATCATGCTGAAGCGCTAAGTGTTCATTCTTTGTCCTGTCCTATCACAGATTATCCGCATGTAGACCCCTGCTTAAACTATTGCCAGTCCCTACTCTTCATCTATTGCGACAAAGCTGTTGTGAGGTCCGAAATGGCCAGCCTCTGTTTTTGCAGCTCGATTTGGACTTGGGCAGGCCCTAACAATGATGGCCCCACTTTCTCAGGCGCTGCTCTAGATTGGGCGGGAAAACACATCTTGGGCATGCGAACGTAAGCCGGGAAGCACACCTGGCGTACCAAGGAGGTCCGGATGGCGGAGAACCAGTCGTAGGCGAAGTAATGGATGCCCCAGTTGGGGTGTTGATCCATGACATGCTCCATGCATCTGCATCCTCACATTCCCAATGTCAGGCGAGCCTAAGGCCAGCAAATAAGCACGTGGAGTCCCACAGCATTATTCTTCCCATTACATATTTTCCAGTTCCTAGAGATGTAGGATCTAGGTGTATCCGGCAACACTGGCTAGGCAAATCACCCCGTATCAAATTCTCAGTCATGGTACTTCCGCCAAAAGTTCAATGCCATACCGATGGACTCCACCAGGGCATTCACCACCCACTCAGGACAAAGTGCTGGGCCTTCAATCAGGCACAAGGTATGCATTGGGATGACAGGGGCATCGCAGGGGGAAGGCAGGAGTCATAAGCCTCTAATTGGCCGCGACGGCTGCAAACGGGAAGATATTTTGCGCACCGAAAGATCTCCTCAGAGAATGTGGCAGTTGCATTGGACGCCATGAGAGCCACGTCAGCATGACCCCAGAAGTAGTAAGTGTAGTCCCGTTCGACGGCGATGCTGGCCATGAAGTTCTGCAGCTGCGAGAAGGTGTGCTGCACGCGCGTGGGAATCACCTCACCCACTATCGCGTTCACCTGCGCGCACATGCCGGTAGCATGTGAGCCTGCATGCATGGCTTGATTCTAGATTTTGTACGAGTGCTAGGGGGTAGTGAGCCAGTACAGCTTCAGTCAGCGTACTACACCTGCACTAGCACCTGTACATTCCAGACAGCCCTGCATCTATTTGAGAGCATGTATCAACACCACTGGTGGTGAACATTCTGCAAGAAAAAGCAGAAGACTACATGGTACAAGACGCCATGTGGCACTGAAGTCAGGGCTTCACACGGATGAGCTTCAGTGAAGGGTCAAGGCCCAGGAAAGACAACAAGCCAAGAAGGACATGGTATCTGGAGCCCAGGTGCAATCTGAATAGGACTTCAAATACAGTCTGAAGTTCTGAATGCTTGCCTGGGGGTCATGCACCAGGCGGTGGCTGTCAGAGTTGTCCACAACAATTATGCGCCGAGCGTAACCGGCAGCCTCATAGGTCTGCAGTGAGGTCAGGAAGAGCTCGTAGTTCCAGGAGAACAGAATGAACACTGCGCATGTGATCTCCGGCCGGGCCTCGCTGCACTGGGTGACTAAGCGGCCCGGCGGCCTGTCGCCGGGCTCCTGCTGCCTGCGCGCACATGCCGGCACATGCTCGCTGCCTTGCTCAGGAAATTCTATTATCTACTTTTCGTCTTCACGATTGTCCCTCCTTCTCCTGACGACCAGCGCGTATCAGAAGCCTGAGCCGTCATGGCCAGCTCTGCTCCTTGTCAGAAACTCTCCATAATTATATGCAACAATTGGCATGCTCATTGCCCCAGACTGGACGCCGGGCAGCGCTGCACAGGTGCGTGTCTGAGCAGCAGTTTACAGACAGACAGACAGACGCTCCCTCCTTCAGTGAGTGGTGTGTACGGTAGTTGACTTTGCCGCGCAGTCAGATCTACATCAGCAGAGTATGAATATGGCGTCCTGGGGTCCAATGCCGTGATATGTTTTAGAGGAAGATCAATATAGGCGCACCTGATCAAAGGGGAGCCTGCCATGCGGCTATGCCTGCTCCCAGAGCGGCCTGCACTGATTGCCAGGCGCTGAGTGCCTGCATGACCGTCCAGGAGATTTGTTGTCTGGCTACCGCCATGGTCAATGCCGCCACGCTGGCTGTTGAATAAATAACCCAGTTCGATCAGGTTCAGGCAGAGCAGCACTGCCAATGCTGCACCTATGCAAGTGCTGTCCACCCTCAGAGCACGCAGCATCGCGGGTCCATTTTTCGCCTCAGGCCCTGCCCAGCCATAATCTTCGCCTCAGATGTTGGAAGTGGGTTTTCGTTCGGTACTTCTGAAAAAGATCTTCTTATACGGTCAGTTTGACCACATTTGCAGTGAAAACGTCAACTTACTTCCACGTTTATCACGGCCAGCAGCGGATGAGCATTAAAGGCCATCGGTTCTATTTTTCAGGATATTGTGGACTGAGCGAGTGGACGTCTCAAACCAGGTGAAGCACGTCAAGATACATGGCATGATGAATGATGGACTAATTCTCTTACCTTCAGCAGAAGTTGTGTTTATGGTGATATTCTACAGCCCGAAGAAAGTTCAGGATTGTGCAGGAACGATCTCCATCAAAGTCCGTCAGAGCACCAGCATTTCCTGGGGCACAGAAATGTTCCCATCCTTGTTGTCACTAATTACGAAATTTGCATCTTCTACGTCTCCCAAGATGATCCGTCATGCAATGGTGATCGTGACTGCATTGACGCCGGCTGTTGTGAACCCATTTTGGAGTGGGGTCCCCCCGCATTGCTGAAAAAGGTCCCCCCCGCCATAATTTGTCCCCTTGCCGATCCCGTTTGTCCTCTTTCATCGTGAAGCTCTCCTGTACTGTGATAGCTTCAGAAGCCAGTCAGAACTAAGGATCATCTTAATAGAGGCCGTCTGGTGCAAGACATCATGCTGAGAGGAGGTGGCTCTGCAGTCCTGGTCGCGATCTGCATCCTCGGCATCTCGGGAAGAAGTCTAGCTGACACATCCAACGCAGCAATCGCGCAGACCCTGCAGGGCGCGTCGAATAATCCACAAATAGCAGGCACAAGCGCTAAGACAGGGACAGCGACAGCACCTTCCGCCAGCACCGCTGCTGTGTTCAGCCAGTCGTCTGCAGCTGCACAGCCAGCGCAGCCAACCTCGCTGCAGGCATCGGATGTCAACAATGCTCTTCTACAGGCGACCAGTCTAGCGACGCAAGTGCTTCAGAGCGCACCGCCCGCGCAAGCGTGAGTCTTCTGAAGCACCATCTTAGTAAATAGTGCAAGAGGATCTGGGACGATCCGCCTCGACACTGCCGTGTCCGGGGCAACAGATGCCCGTCAGCGATGGCTGATCGGTTCTAGCTTGATTTTCTGGCACAGATTTGCGGCGTTCTTCAGGCCAAACGATGTAGCAATCAGAGCAAGTGTGTCAGGTTCCCATCTCACAAGGCTGGTGACACTGCTTGCCAGAAGTTACACAAGATACCTTGTATTAGGCACTGCTTGCAGACAGAATAAAAATCGTTTATATATATGATTGGCTGATCTGCAGTGGGAGTGCATCACTCTGAGGACTCCTCTGTTCTGGGCTGTGCAGGATCATCCCAGCTGGCAGCACTGCCACAACTAACAGCATCACAATTCCCAGGGGACAGGACCAGGGCAGCATGACCCTGAACCCAGATGGAGTCACCCTCAAGAGCAGCCCCGATGCCCCTTCCATGACGGTGTGACTCCCCCGGAAATCACCCTGCTTTGTGCACCGCGCATCACCTTTCAGCTACCAGCAGCATGTGAATGTTGCAAAGCAGTGGGCAAGACTTTGTGCTGCAAGTGCACTAGAGACATGACAGCTGATGAGTCAGTAACGATGTACCAAAAGTGATTTTGCTGCGCAGATCGGCAATGCAGGTGTGAGGTACAATGAGCCGGAGGTGAACCCCATCCCAGAGCAGGCAGAAGGCAGCCTCTTCCCAGGGCAGGGGGTGAGCCTCCTTCACTATGACATGTTCATCGTCTCACAGCTGGTGACACAAAGGATTGCCCTGGCAAGCAGCTGCACTGGCTTCTTCAGACTTCAGACTAAAGACTTCACAATCTTCAGATTTGCGAATGATCTCCGGCAACAAGTGGCAGCTGCTGGCACGAGGGGCAGGGCATCTTAATGCTGACTCTCAGCGCCCTTTTGTCAGTGTCGGATCTCAAGACCATCAGTACTGGGCCCTTCCACACAGCTAGACTGGCCTCCCTCTGTAATATACTCAGCATGCCGGCACTTATCTGCCAGCAGTCATGGGTCACACCTGCAGGAGGCTCTGCTAGCGCCTGCACTTTGTGCTGCAGACCGGATGATTTGCAAGGGTGCAGTGCCGGCATGCAGGAAGCCCAATTGGGCACATCAGTGGGGAAAGGACAAATGATGACAGAACCCCCGGTGTCCCGGCAGAGCTAGCACTTTAAGCACTTTAGAAAGGGACTGTGTCACAGCCACTTTGAGAAGAAATAATTCGCCCATGGTGAGTCATCAATGAGTCATGCTGACTAATGCTGACTCACCGCTGTGCTGTGCTGGCGCAGCTGAGCGTGGTGCAGAACTATCCCATCAATGACCAGGGCACGGGGCCGGCGCCGGTTTCGAAATCGAACTTCCAGCCGCTCGGTTCAAACGTCGGGGGCATCACGACACCAGCGCAGAACGCGGCGGCCGCGCTCGCGAGCATGGGACAGGGAGGCCACAACAGCAACGCCCAGGCTATCGGGGCGAAGCAGAACAGCAACCCTTACTTCCGGTGCGCGCCCCCTGCAGGGTCGGGAGGGATTTTTGAGGGGTCTTGACTTTGGTCTGGCGAGGGCCTTTGGTCCCTTGAGACTTAATGAGGTCGCTGGCACAGACTCCTGTTGAGTATAAGTGTCCAATGAAAACCTTGCCCCTTTTGAAAGGTGTGGTACTGACACATGCTGGGCATTGAATGACTCTCTTTCTTAATTGTCCCAATAAATTCATGCTATTTTGTGCTTGATTTATACTGCATAGAGGGCACGCTGAGACCTTCTTGTCAGGCACAGCCCCTGTGTCCTTGTCGGTCATGCAGGTATATTTTACAGACCCTTGGGAAATAAGGCCAAGACTTATTCCCTGCTGTAAACTGCTGAGCACCTGTGCAGATGCTGAAAAGATGCTGAAAGTTGGGCATTGCATACGCAGGAACGCTGACACACAGTCCTCAAAGAAGACGCAGTCCTACGCAGCGCAGATTCCCGCCAATGCCCAAGGCGCGGCCGCGGACCCCAACGCCGTAACGCTGACTGGACCCGGCGGCAACTCTGTCAGCCTCGGCCGGCGGTTGCTGCGGGAAATCACTTCTGAGGATCTGTAAAGCTGCCGTGATAGACCGCGATTACTGGCGGTGGCTGTAAGATAGGAGCAGGCTAAATTTCATGGGTGTTTCATTGACTTAGCATTGTTGACAGGTGCACATGGCGTGCCTCAGGCTGGTGATGAGGCTCAGGCTATGCAGGCCATATGGTTGCTCATGCTCATTGATGAAGGCCACGGTTGCAAGGCTATCATAGTGATAGTCATGATAATTGCAGAGCAGCAACAGATGGTGCCTATGCACATGTGTGTGATGCGCAATATGAGATATTGTAATGAGTGTCAGGCCTTGCCATTGCTGAAATGCACAAAGGCTGATGTCAACAGGAAAGCAGGCTCCGAGCCGAGGGACTCCCAGCCGGACTCCGGACTTCGGAAGAAGCATACAGAGGCGCATGCAAGACTTTGTGATGCACTAGTGTGTTTACTATTTGGTGCCCTTACTATGGCTCAGCACAGGCTGAGGAACGCCACATACTTTAAATTGTTGGAAAGTAATTTCTCTTCACTGAGCATGTTCTGGCTCTCCATACGTGGCAGAGGGGACCGCTGCCGCCGTCCCAGGCGGCAGCAAATTGGCGGCCTCGAGGCGTGGAGAGCTCTCCACGCTTTGCAATGAATATTCTGAAGACACAGTCTTTCACCACGATCGGCATCCTTCCTACAAGATTTAAAAATCATGCAAAGTCACCGGGCACACTGCTGAATCTCATCCTTGTCGCCCTTGTCAACATGGCACAGCCGGCGGATAAGCAGGCTGATGGCAACTTTGGCAAGAACGCTCTCATGAGCCAGGACAGCAACCTCAGCAACAACAGCCTGGAGACAGACAGTATTCCAGCCCAGCATCGGCAACGTATGTCTCCGGACCACCACGTTCATATGCCAGAAGTTCCATACAGCGAGGTGAGCTATGGACCTATCCTATGCCTGTGCATTGTCCCGATCAAAAAAGTCTCTTGGTGACATCAAAGCTTTGACAAAGACACTTCTAAGTTGCCTAATGTCTATGTGCAAGATCTTCGTGCAAAAGGATGTGTCCACACGATCACACCAAGCACACATATGTTGACTCTGCTTCGCATTTCGCACGAAGCTTGCTTAAAAACAGAAGTCTGATGATCTTTCAAGAAGGCAAAGGTAGGTTCATGGTTGTGGCCTGCACATGTTGAACTGCCGTGCCCCACTGTGCAGCTGCCTGATGAACACCAGCACTTCAGTCAGCGCGCTCCTTGGCTGCGCGCTGCGGTGCTGGGGGCCAACGACGGCCTCGTCAGCGTGGCATCACTCATGCTGGGCGTGGAGGGCGGCACGCATGAGCTGCATCCTGTTGTCCTGGCCGGTGTGGCTGGCCTTGTTGCTGGCGCCCTCAGCATGGCCGTTGGCGAGTTTGTCAGCGTGTCTTCCCAGAGGTACAGATTCCTTTTCACCTACTGCATCTTTGTCTTGGATCTTGTTGTCATGTACATGCCATTCCTCGCTATTCTGGACAAGTTGAATGAAGTGCATCTCCTGTATGCATGGCAGACCATGCATAGCTGCCATCAGCCTTTCAGCACTCAGCAGGGGTCCCCCCTGTTGTGCTTTATCTGGTAGGCAACTCCTTTGCATGATCGACATCTCAATAATGATGGACGATCTGTGCGTTGCAGGGATGCAGAGGAAGCAGACATCGAGAAGGAGCGCAAGGAGCAGGCAAAGGGGCCGGCGGCGCGCCAGCACGAGCTTGAGGAGCTCACCGCTATCTACGAGGACCGCGGCCTCTCACAGGGCCTTGCTCGCCAGGTGACTAAGCATGATAAACCCAGTCACAGGCGCTCTGTGCGATGACTAGCCTGGAGCATGCCCATCTGCTGGGTTGGTGCAGTGCTGGCATCACCTCTTCCAGAGGGATGAAGCCGATCACTTTTTCCTGCAACGCATTATTTTTGCTTCTTCTTCTTCTAGAAGGATGTCTTCATCTTCTTCTAGAATGATGTCTCCATTTTTAACTGGAGACATTCTCCATTCCTTATTTTGCATAGGTAATATGGAAGGATGGGTCTCTTATTGGTAGGAAGGCATGCATACAGCCAAAGCCAAGAGAGGCGTTTGAGGAACGTGACTTTTGAGAGTTACGGTTGTGCATAGATCCGCTCACTGCATTGTGGGATGGTTGCACCGTGGTTGTTTTCGAGCTCTAGTAGGGGTTTGAAATTCACCCTTTTCTGGCGCGCCAGGTGGCGGAGGAGCTGACGGCCAAGGACGTCATCCGCGCGCATGCGCGCGACGAGCTTGGCATCGACATTGATGACATGACTAACCCTTACCAAGCCGCCGCATCCTCCGCCCTCGCCTTCTGCATCGGCGCCGGGCTGCCTCTTCTGGCGGCGGCCTTCATTGAAGACCCCAAGTGGCGCATTGTCTCAGTGGTGAGCGCCTGTGCCTCTTGTTTGTGTTTGGACTGCGCTGTGTGGCAGTAGCAAGAGCAACTCTTCTGGATTGTTTGCATGTGTGCCCTGCTGCAGTGCAGCAGAAGCAAGCAGCGCGTTGTCTCAGTAATGAGCGGCTCTTCTGTTTATTTGCATTGTTGCACTGTGGCTGTGCAGCAGGAGCAGTGAGGTAACCATGTGATTGTCAAATTTCTTTCGGGCTGTTGGTGTATTTGCACCATGCTGTCTGGATCCGTGACTGCAGCTTTAGAACTTGCCTTCAAGCTTGTTTCAGGACAAGGCTGTCAGATTGGGATAGATGGAGTTACCGTGAATAGGTGGATTTAGGTCATTTGAGCGAGTTCGAAGCATGTTATTATAGCTGCTGTGACCCCGTTGCAAGGGCCCGCGGTGTTCGGATACGTGCTACATTAATTCAGGAAGCTCGCAGCGCTCCGCGACTGTTCAACTATGGCCGCTTCCAGCCTGGGGTGCATCCCACATCTTTCATTAATCAGAATATAGAAATGCCTATGCCTTAGTACCTGTACATTATTCATTTACAGGGCCGCAAGCTTTGTTGGGCCCAAGCTTTGTCGGCCGCAAGCTGGAAATCTATTGGCTTTAAGCCCTGGAGCCCAAAACTGTTTGCCTTGAGCTGTTCACACCTCGGGAGAGGTGAGCAGAAGTACAAGAGTTGCGTCTTCAAAACATGTATGCGCTGCAAATGCGCAGGTGCTGACATCAGCAGCCGCCCTGCTGGTATTCGGGATCATGGGGGCGGTTCTGGGGGGCGCGGGGGTCATGAAGGGTGGCACGCGCGTTTTGATCGGGGGTTTGGCAGCCATGGGAATCACCTATGGCTTTGGCCGGATCTTCAACAAGGGCACTACTGCTCTCCCATGAGGGAATGGACCCTTGCTGCTATAAGTGATTTGCCGGATTGCTCTGCAACGGCTGCAAGGTCTTTGGGCGGATCTGTACTATAGAGTCATTCTTGGGTTAAAGTCGTTATTGAGTTGTTGCCCCTGGATTGGTCAAGTGCATTGTGTCCGTCATTGTGGGCGGTCATGGTTTGGGTTTCTCAAAGCAGCTCGTGATTTATTGTCATTCTGGACATTCTGGAAAGCTGCCTAACATATTTTGCCTTTTCTGTTGCACCATTGTGCTTCCCCTGATCAAGGACAGTAACTCTGTTGGTAGCGGTCAATTGGACATTTGCAGGCATTCTGCTTGGCAGATATTATGTGTTGCAGCATTAGGAACCTTTGCAGCCTGTATGGCTTTTACACCTTGAGACTGCGCAAGAAATTGGAGCGCTAGAGTTGCAGCTCAGATCTGATGATGCCCCCAGTGCTGGCGAGCATCTGCGGATATGTTGGTGTATTGAACATGATGATACTCTGATGAAGCTCGCGCATTCTCAATGATGTCCGGGAAAGTTGTGTGATTGTCTGACAATCATTGTCATGAGCTCTCGGTGCCTCGAGGCACCGTGCGTGGTGACCTCATGCACATAGGTCGTGATGCATCTCTTGGTTGTGCCTGTACAATATTGAAATAATTGAACTTGTTGTGAAGAAGACGCCAATCCTCAAGGGTGAAGCGCTGGAGCTTCAGATAGCATCTCATGATCAGCATGTCCAGCATGCTTTGCTGAGGTGTCCTAGACTGCAACAGTACTCCACGACAGTTTGACATACAAAGCGACAAGCCAGCAACATCTTCGGCAGTTCAGAAAATGTGATAAACTGATAAATACACATTCGCTATCTTGAGGAGTGTTCCTTATTCCTTTCTAAGTCGCCTGCGCCATCACAAAAAGGACCAGGCATCGAGGCTTCCACATGTCCTGAGCTGACAGTGAGAATAACGTGCGATTTTCCGTGTCCGCTGCTCTATGTCAAGCGTTTTTGTTTGGCTTCTCGATTGGACATTCACACTGCCAGGACACCCATGGGATGGAGTGAGCTCTGTTGCAGCGTTGCATGGTGTCATTTCATCTGGTAGACAGCACTGAAGGACTATTTTTTTCATATTCTGTGTTCTCCTGGGTGTTCGCAGACCAGCGTATGATCGAAGAAGGGAAGTACTAGAGCAACAGACCAGGGGACCGCTTTAGTTTCCAGGCACTGAGAGCCTAGAATGGCTGGTAACAGCTGGTGGCGAGGACCAAATAACAGCAAAGATAGCAAGTCACCGGCAGCACCATACTTTCGATTTCAGGGCGGTCAGCCCAGCTCACCAGACAGCCCTCCTGAGAGCATCAGCAACATGGCTCCTCCACCTGGACTACCTACCAGGCAAACAAGCAAGGCCGCCAGACAGAGCGCAGGCCCCACTGCAGATGCAAGCCCTGCTGGCACACCAAGCCAGCCCTTGAGCATTCTAAGAAGGCCCAAGCAAGAGGATGCAGCAGTCAGCAATTCTTCGGCTTCCCAGGGTCTCACAGTCACTAAGGGACAGTCGCAGAGGACTGTAGATCCCCAGAGCTCGCCTGCCTCCAATGAGTCACCACAGGGACAGGGACAGAATCGCAAGGCGCGCAGGGCGCACATGCAGGGACAAGGTGCATCACCAACAGCCCAGGTGCATTCCCTGCGCATGCAACTTGACTCATGCAACCTTACTTCTGCTGTCTGCCTGTTTGGGGAGCTGGGCTGTCCAGAAGGGAGCACTGCATGCATACACCCATGCCTGGGATGAACAGCAATGTGGCTTTTGGTAGGTTACGGTGTGCCTTGGCTGTCTCCTGTTAGAATTGTCAAGCATTCTGGCCGCCTTGAGCATCATGATGTGAAGCACCTCTTGTGCAGCAAGCTTGGCGCCTAATTACTAGCTGTTCACTGATCTGTACAAAGTGCAGTAAAGATTTCCATCTGTTTGATGCATGAGCATTTGCTTGCAGCAGAGCACAGCCGTTCTCTCAAGCAGCGCACCCCCCAGCTTTCTGGAACAGAAGACCCCCGGGAGTGCAGGGCGCCAATTTGGCGCGTTCCCTTCACCCACCAGCCGTGACTGTGCTGACCAGACCATGCTGGCAGCTCCTTCCCCTTTGGGCAGCTGCACTCCCTCAGGTGAGCGCGCTACTGGCAAGAATTTGGTCGATCTGTCCTGGCATTAAAGGTGGCGCCACGCAACTCGTAGGAGAGTCCTTGAGAGGCCGCATGGATATACAGAAATTAGCACTTATGATCAGTAAGGCTATTGGGTGAGGGTGATGTAAACTGCACCAGCACTCTTTAGTTGCCTGACTGGCGCTAAAGCGGTTTGACAATGATGATAAATTGATCAGTACTGAGTGACCATCGGAGATGCACAGAGATGCAACTGTGGGGCGGCCAGGCTCTGGCGGGGGGAGGAAGCTGCGATACCCAGCGTATTCCAGCCATGAGGAGCTGGGCCATGGGCTCAAGAAGGGCTCTTATTTCAAGGGGCCCATAAGGGTGAATGCGCACGACCGAAGCCAGGCCTACATCACGCTGCCTGGCCTGCCGTCCGACCTCATGATCAGGGTGCGCCCCCTGATCCGTACAATCTCACCCTTCAAATCCATCCCGACCACAATTTGCAAGTGTGGTTCTGTAATAAACAAGCCTTTATGAGTGCGCAGCTGAGCTGATGTGACTTGGTCAACACCATTGTCAGCCACAAACAGGCGGTGTCATGTTCCAACAGTCACAAATACGCTGATCTGACGTGTTTGAGACACATGGTCAAGCCGCAAAGACAGCCTTTTCCCGCACGTTCTGCATGCTGTCTTTGTGTACATGACAGCCCCTTGTCATTCGATGAGTGCTGCATTGCCGAGAGCTTCTCCAATTAAAAACTCTAGTGATAGGAGTGGAGCAAGAGGTTCCATTGTGACAGCTGCATTATCGAAGAATGGGCGATGCATTGAAGGAGAAGTACTCAGAAATTTGTTGTGTCTGCACTATGCGTGTTTGCATGCATTTTTGGGCCACAACAGTATTACAATTGCCAAATTCTTCACGGAATCCAGACACATGAGAAGTGTGTGATATGACAAATGGGCAGTGACAGACTGCCTACAAGACCAATAAGCCTCAGGTGGCTCTCAAAAGGTGTCTAATGTAATAATAATAATAATAATAAAGACTGAAGAGTAAGAATGACTGAATGCACTGGTGTGGGCTTGCAGGGCTCCGTGGCGCAGAACAGGGCGGTGGAAGGGGACATAGTAGCGCTGCAAATTCTGCCGCCGAGCTCCTGGTTCATTTCCAGCGCGCTAGTGAAGTCGGCCGGTGCCGACGGCAGCGCCCTGCACCCGTCTCACTCCACGCCGGCAGCGTTGACGGCTGCGGCGCTGGACCTGCCCAAACCGGGCAGCCCATGTGGGCAGGCCGGCTCTGCAGAGCGGAGCGGTGCAGATCGGCAGGCCACAAGCGCTGTGCCGTGCGCAGAGCTTCCTTCAACGCCTGAGCCTCATTCGGCTGCGCCAGACGAGGCTGCAGGTGTGCCCATGAATCCAGAGCCATCTGTTCTCTCAACTACCGCCACATCTGAGCGTCTCATCTATAATGTGATGCTAGCTCGCACTTCACTCATAATTGAACCAGCCAGTGTCCACAAGCTTTCCTGCTAGCTAGCGTTGAGCTTCAATATCTCAGCATGGACTGTCTGTAGAGTGCGGCCCGAGCGACGGCACAGCCGGAGAGGGGCGGCAGGGGAAAAAGAATGGGAGGAGGAAGGAGGGGCCGCGGCTGAGCGGGACGCATGCGGATCTGGTGGAAGCTACGCGCGCCCAGCTGGAAGCTGCCTTTGGCAACGGCTCCAAGCCCCCCTGGGCAGACGCTGGCTCGTCGGACGAGGCCCTCAAAATCATCAGCGCCCTGTGAGTGGCTGCAATTTTGAGCCAGTGATACAAACCCGTGTCTGGCCCTGTCTTTCAAGCATCACTGCGAACACCATGCACAGAAGCTACCTTAAGTGCTGCAGCTGCTGCATCTGGCATGCCAGTGCACAAGTCACAGCGTGAGCTACTGTGAAGTAACCGTTGCATTTCCTGCCTCAACTCTGCAAAAGAGTGACAGCCAAGCAGGAAGCACCCTCGTCAGCATCTTGCTGTTGATGGCTGGGCTGCCCCGCCTTGAGAAGGACGCAGACCTCTTGAAACAGTTAGTCACAAGTAGTCATAATCAGTCATGATTTTCCGTGCAGGCTGCTGGAGCGGCCGGAGCTGCGCGCGACGGCAAAAGTGGTGGCCGTTCTGGAGCCGTCGCGGCGCCGGGGGGCCATTGTGGGGGTGCTCAAGGAGGAGCCGGCAGGCAACGCCCTGCTGCTGGTGCCCTGCGACCCCCGCCTGCCCCGCTGTCTCGTCCGATCCTCGGAACTGCCGCCGGACATTAAGTCCTCACTCAAGGCGAGTGCCTCCATATCATAGTCACTATCACTGCATTGCCATTACATGCATCTTACAGCTCACAGTGCTGGGTGCGTTTGCAGCAACCTCTCAAGAACCCCCCTCCAGCCTTCTCTGTCTTGGCACTTTAGCCATGTCACCATAGTCTTGAAGTGCTGCCATGCCTGGGGAAAGCCTTGTTTGCCGGACTGGCTGTAAGAAAGGAGAGTATTCCCCTAGCAGGCCAGAGGTTCTCTCGTTTCTGCCTGGAATTATTGCCAGTAGCTGGTGGGAGTGAGACTGCGATAGGAAGCTTGGCATGGCATAAATGGTTGCACATGTAGATGTTTTTCATAGTTTCATTCCCATGGCCCAGTGTGGCATGCATGCGTGTAGGTGGTCACTTATAGAGTGCTGAGAGTGCAGCTAGAGAGCATGTGATGAATGCCTGCTGCTCCTTATTTCAGAAGAGGGTCACTATTGAAACTGTGACGTGGCATGCAGGCGGAGGCAAAGAACCTGGTGAGCAGCGAGCGGACGCTGGTGTCCGGCATGATCGAGAGCTGGGATGCGTCCGCGGCGTTCCCTCTCGCGCAGATCCGCTCCAGCCTGGGCCAGGCCGGCTGCCTGGCCACAGAGAACAAGGTGGGGTGCTGTTTTTATCACCTCATGTAGTGCAGTGATACAAGTGTAAGAGAGGGTCAAGTGGTATTCGCCTGGGAATGGAAAGGTTTGGGAGCATTACTATATGCAAGGTGCGGTGTTACCCATGACATGGAGCAAGGCAGTGATGAAGGAAGCAAGAGAACTTCCCAAGGGATGTGAACGAGTAGACACGGGCGTTTCATGGAATTTATTGGGGTAGGAGAGGTTATGTGATCACACTGGTGATCTCAGCAGGGAACGGGCAGACTGGAGAGGATCTAAATAACTTGTCTTTGGCTGAGTACTATGGATCTTGAATTTGTAGCGAGTGGAAAATGCGTTTAAAATATATTTCAAATTGCGTGAGCTGTGGGCAGGCCATGATGCACATGGAGGCTGTGACGGACGAGCCGTTCAGCGACGCCGTTATGGCCTGCCTCCCGGCCACGCCGTGGAGCATTAGTAACGATGAGATCATGCGCCGGCGGGATCTGCGATCCACTAGGTGCGGCCCCTGATCCATTCCTTACGATATGAACAGCTTCAGACCTCCCATCACACTGGGAACTGCCAGTACACAAGTGGTGTGGCTGGCCATAATAAATAAACACAAAGCTGAGCGCCTGCTCGGTCCTCCATACTTGTTCCCCAAAACAGGCACTCAGTGTCAACAGGCACAGCGATGCACATCTCCTCCAAGTCACATCAAATAGATTGTGATAGCTCCTCTGCAGCCACAATATTCAGCACTTTGAGGATTACCACATGTTGCTTGTGCACCAAGCGGCCCCGCCCACATCAGCAGCTCACATGCGCAGCACGTAAAAGACAGGATTTTGCGTAATGTCCGATGCATTCTTGCAGGATCTGCAGCATTGACCCGCTTACCGCGCGAGACCTGGACGACGCGCTATCCATCGAGCCGCTGCCGGCCGGCGGCGGCTGGCGCGTCGGCGTGCACATCGCGGACGTCGCGCATTTCGTGGCGGCCGGCTCGGCGCTCGACAAGGAGGCGCAGGAGAGGGGCACGAGCGTTTACATGGTCGACCGTGTCATCCCCATGCTGCCGCGTCTGCTCTGCGAGGAGCTGTGCTCGCTCAACCCGGGTGAGTCCTCATGCCGGTCTCGGTGGAACATGCAGAAAATAGCACTGCTGCTTGCTGCCAGTGGGCCGTGTCCCAGTGCAAAATTGAGTATTGAGGGCATTGCTATGTTGCAAGAGCAAGGAGGGAATCCTGTTGCTCATGTAGATTTGCTTAGTTTCATGCTTTCAATGGTGACTGGAATCAATTAGCTGTACTGAGTTTGGACAAGGCTGGCAACAGGTATATTTGATGAAGAGGGCTGTGTGTTGCCCTTCTCATGCTTCACTGACACATCAGCATGACAAAGCATGAGCGGATTCATCTTGTATTGTCATCAGGCATTAGCTGCCAAATTCCCGTGTTACGATGTCCACAGGAATTGATGAAGTGTGTGAAGTTCTCTTGCAGGCGTGGACCGGCTGACATTCTCGGTGATCTGGGACCTGTCAGACGACGGGCGGGTGCTGAGTCAGTGGGCGGGACGCACCGTAATCCGCACCTGCGCCAAGCTGGCGTACGAGCACGCGCAGGCCATGATCGAGGGGACCTTCGACACCGCCAAGCCCCCTGTCGCCCTCTCCAGACCCCACACATGGCCCCAAGTGCGCCCCTCGATAATGGGAACCTCGCTGGGCGCTTCTCAGATGCACGAGTATATTGCACATTGGAGAGCATTGTCTCTGTGCTGGGAGCTTGCTGCACTCAGGGACTTGCTTTCACCTGAACAGCATAGGTCCTTAAGTCCACTTACCTGTGCTATACAGCTGGATGTATATCTCTGAGTGCAGTTTCATTGCCTGTTGTCCGTTTGAGTTTAATTTTGTGCTGGGTGATGGGGTTGCCTGAGTACTTAATGGCAGATGCAAGCTGCAGGTATTTCTCCTCATGAACCTGCCAAGCAAGGCTGCCTGTGAGCTAGATCTGGACCTGGCTTAGAGCCTGCAGTGCAAGCTGAGATCTAAGCATGGGGTTAATAAGTGGTCCTTCTCTTGCTCCCCTTGACCAGGGAGAGCAGGGGGTACTACAGACTACTAGTGGTCTTTAGTACCCTCTGGGGGGTATATAAACGAGTGATACCCTGTCTAGTCTGGATGTCGGAGTGCCAAAACAGGCTCTCAGATATGGCAGCTGCCGCGCAGGTTGTCGGGGACGTGCTGGCGCTCCACCGAATTGCGGCGGCGCGGCGAAGGGAACGTTTTGAGAACGGGGCGCTCCGACTGGACAACGTGAAATTCAACTTCACGCTCGACGCCGATGGCAACCCCTGCGATGCGCAGCCCCACGGTGACTAACTTAAACACCCCTTACCTCTGCCCCTTGTGACATGGGGCAAAGAATGCTCGGACCTCAGGAGTGTCAGAAAACTGCTTCCGCCCGGATTGTGAAGCTGTCTAAACGCTAGGATACAGCAATTTGAACCTGTGAGGAGTGACTGGACAGGCTGGCATATCATCTTTAGTCAAGCTTGCTCAATGATTCTTTGCAGTGGACTGTTTGCAAGCCTGTCCCGTCACTCAAGAGTCTCTGTCACTCATTTGCAGACATGGTTGGTTGTTTGCTTGAGAGATGGAACTGAAGTACTTTCTTTCTTGGTGATATCCATGCTCAAGAGCATTGAATTCTCCCTCTGGCTGTTGCAGTGCAAAGGGAGGCGAACCAGCTGGTGGAGGAGTTCATGCTGCTGGCCAACATGAGCATAGCTGCCCTCATCGCGGGGGCGTTCCCTGACCGCGCCCTCCTGCGCCGCCACCCGCCCCCGCACCAGCGCAAGATGGAGGAGCTCGCCGCCACCGCCGCCGGCCTGGTTAATCACGGCTCACTAATGCTCAGTCATGAAATCATGCATGCATCAATCATGAGTGTAGCATGTCAAGTTGACCCTGGGCACGGCAGACAAGTTGCCGCCACGGCCGCTGGCCCTGTTAGTCATGCTTTGTTACTCCTTAGTCAACGATGCCTGCTGGCATCACTCTTGATTATGTCAACATTGTCTCCAGGCGCGCCCATCCTCGCAGGCATTGCCCGTGACATCGTGCTCATCGACTCGAGGCATACACGGGAAGCTGCCAGCCTTGAAATGGTGGTATAGGGGTGTTTGCCAACCAATTACACAGCTGTAACTGCATTTATATTCTTGTCAGGAACAACAGAGATGCCTGCGCTTGCAAACGGCATATCCTGCTGCCCCGCTGCACAGAGCATCAGGGGTGACTGAATCTGTCTACAATACTTCAACTTGTTCTAAATACTCCCTGGCAGCATGGTGTTCAGAGTGAGTAATTGCTGTGGCAGGATGTGAATGTGGACGTCGGATCGGCTGCGTCGCTGCAGGCGTCGCTGGCGGCTCTGCGCGGCCACCCGGACCCGCGCATGCTCGACATCGTGCAGCTGCTCGCCACCAAACCCATGCAGGTGTGCCACTCATGTCTTCGGCTCGCTCATGACACCTTTGTCCTGTGCCTCCACCTGCACAGTCCACAAGGCCACAGCTTAGCTCAGGCGCACCTGCTGGACACCTTCTTGAGGTGGTCTTGGAAGGCCACAAGCAAATGAAGGCTTGGCTCTGCTATATATATCATCAGCTTCCACTAGCTTCCTTCAGGCAAAGCAGCAAGACTTTGGACACAAGCTAGTGGGCACTATCTGGGACAATACCGGAGCTGTACATCCCCTAGTGCATTGTTCACCTGACCATGCCAGCCCTGAACATCCATGAGCTTCCTGTGCCGCCTGCTGTGCTTACTCATTGCTCATGTGCTGGCCTGGCGTGAAGTGACAAGGAAGCAGTGACGCTTGGCAACGAGGTAGTGGGCACCTTTTGGGCCTGTGCCACCCTGACTGTCCACCGGGTTTACGGCGTTACTTGTGTGCTGACTGATCGCTGATGTGGCGGCCAGCTGGCGCGCTACTTCTGCACGGGCGAGGTGGAGGACCCTGCTGACTGGGCTCATTACGCACTCGCGCTCCCCGAGTACACCCACTTCACGTCCCCCATCCGCCGCTACCCCGACATCCTCGTGCACCGCCTGCTCGCAGCAGCGCTCAAGCTTGGTGAGTCAGTGATGACTCAAACTTACCTGCCTGACGTTCCATTGCTGTATCCAACGGTTGGTATTATCACAGCACAGGAGCAGCTGTGGCAGCGCTCGGGCATGATGTACGCAGCTCACATGGCCAGCACACAGCCCATTGTATACAAGGATCTCATTGTGACTTTACGCTATGCGTATGGCGTTTTTGGGGTACATTTCTGTCAGTTGCTGCCAGGATGCTCCTCAGCTCATGCAGGTGGTGCATGCTTGCCTGTGACGTTCAAAGATTGGAGGCGCGAGGATGTAAGTATTGGATCTCGTTATTTCTTGCAGAAGAAAGCGGGGAGCTGGCAGCAGCGCAGCCGAGCGATCAGTGGTGCGAGCAGCAGGGCCTGCTGGCCACCAAGGCGTGCGCTGACGTGGCTGCCCACTGCAACGACCGCAAGCAAGCCGCCAAAATGGTCCAAGTACGTAACTGCTCCTTTTATCTACACCTATGATTTGTTAGGGGGTCACACACCCTTTTGGGAGGCATTCAAATTACAGCGCTGGCGCCTTCATGAGGTCGCGAGAGGCTCAGGCAGCTGCTGTCACCCTGCGGGCAGCATGTGTGCTTGTTGCGATGGTCTCTGCACATTGCTGAACGGTACAAATGTAGTCAGCTTTCTACATCATTGCTTTTGACAGTGGATATGATTGACACTTGTATCCAGTGTCAATCATCAATCACAAATTTGAGTTCAAACTCAAAAACCAGTGTGCGCGTCTCAGGAGGCGAGCTCGCGGCTGTACCTGGCGGTGCTGCTGCGGCGGCGGCCGGTGCTGTGTGAGGGCGTTGTCATGGGTCTCAACGGCGCGCGATTCCTAGATGTTTACGTCCCCGACATTGGCATCGAGCTGCGAATCCAAGTGGAGGACATCGCGCCGGCACCCGTATACGGCGACTGGGACGCCAAAGCCAAGTGGGTGCACTTGCTCTTGGTGGCATAGCATTGCATTGCCTGCTGAGAAGCCACTCCGTGTCCTCCCGAGCCTGTAGGCTCTGCGTCTGCATTGTCAAGGCAAAGGGCGGGGGGGCTATGCAGTGGAGCTGTCAAGACTGTCTTGTTTCGATGGCGAAAGGGCTTGTTCTGGGAGTAGAAGCAGCAATGCAGAAGGCCTGTGCTGGTAGATAGGTGCCCAGTCGATAGTGCATCTTGCTGAGCTGACAAGGCCAATGCTGAAGATTTGCTACTAGGAGCTTCAAGACCGGCTGCTCATTTGCACATCGGCGTTAGCAGAAGAGGAAGCATGGACGTTTGCACACGGAACTAGTCAAGCCAGTCATCTGGACTGCGCCCTGTCAAGGGGAGGCGTGAATAAAGCCATGTGAAAAATATGATTTTGATTGTGCAGGACGCTTGACATCAGCCGGCCCAGGAACGCTGCGGTAGACAGCGACGCGGCTCGGCCGCACCCGGCCGTGCTGGCCGACGTGGACAACATCAGTAACGCGCGCGGGGACGTCCGGCCGGCGGCGTTGCCTCTGCAGCTGCGCATGTTCAGCCGCGTTCCCGTCCTAGTGTCTGCCCGGCAGCACGGCGCCAGCGGCCGCCCCGCCGAGCCCTTTGCCCGCCTCTACCTCTCCGGATGACGTGAGGGTGACTGATTGCCGGCGTCGGAGGCTCAGATTTGGCTGTGGCCTCCGCCCGCGTGTATCTCTCTGGATGACGTCAGGCTGACTAATTGCTGGCGGGGGAGGCCAGTTATTGAGGTTACTGGTGTCGAGCATCAAGCCACAAACTTTGGCTGTTCCATTTGCCCCGCCTCTACCTCTCCGGATGATGTCAGTGTCACTGATGGTGTGCCCTTTGCGCGCCTGTCCATCTCCCAGATGACACAAGGATGACTGATTATTGGCAGCGGAGGCCGATGTCTTGTGAGGCTTTGTGCGTCAAGCGTCATGGAAGCTAGAGGGTCTCATGACAAATTCACCCCAGGCTGTGATGCCCTGTGCCCGCCTCTATCTCTCAAGGTGACGTCAGGATGGTTTGTAGAAGGAGAGATGCAGACATCAAGACAAACCAAGCATCAGAGATAAGAGGATGTGGTGCCTCTCAATCAAGGACTGTGCATCCAAAGTACAAATGAAGTCCCGGCCCAGGAACTCTGATTGACAACATTGCTTGTATGCATGCCAGTCTGGCTGATTGTTGGTGACAGAGGCTTAATGTTTGGTTGGGGCTGCATGTGCCAAGCATTGAGAGAGCTGAGGGTCAGGTGACAAATGTATGACAGGCTGTTATGACATTGTTTGTCAGAGCGTTGCTTTTGCATGACTTGAAGACCATAAGACCAGTACGTTCCAAAAATTGATGGTCAGGCACTGCATTAATATTATATATGTGTGTGCCATACGTAGAGGCATAATATTGACTGACGTTGTGATTTGGTCAGCATGCTCCACAGCCTCCCATTAGCGGCTGGGGAGAGTTTTAAAAGCATCGGTGATGTCATTTGCACAGGCACATGTGCGACAGGATTGGTGATGACTTACCTATTATAATAAGCATGTGACCATTGTGATTGACACATTTGTTATGACTGCAGTTCAATTTTGCAATCTTGCACACTAATATTGACAATCATGTGGGACAATTAGTCATAGCAGATCAGTGTGGAAAATACTTGGCGGTTACACATCTGAAATTGACGGATCTGGAAGTACATGCATCAAGCACGCGATAAGCCAGCAAGCAGAACGCAAAAGGAACCTATCATAGACAGCATAAAAACTCAGCTGACCACATGTAAGGCCAAATATTGATCCCCGCTTTGCTCAGCAGGCCGTCGAATTTGGAAAATTAGGCAGTTCTGACATGCAGACAGTATCAATGTAAGCATAGCATCGACTGACATCGCCAGGGTAGAGACACTTGGTCTCCATGGCATTGACAGTGAGTTGCCACCAATGACACAGGACTAACAGCAACAATGAGATCACCCTGAAAAGTGACTTACTGCTGGGAGCAAAGGCCAGCGAGCAGTACAATATCCGAGTAACTGACGCATTCCAGGGGGTACTGAAAACTCATTTAGCCTTTGAATAACCCCTGCTCATCCCATCCCCTGCTGCAATGCTCCCAGGAGGCAGTGCTCAGGAAATTGTCTGTTTCAGTTCCACATCATAAGCTGCTGCATGCGGCACTTGCAGCATTAACATCAAAAGAGTAATGCTGAAACGATTATGCGCCCACATTCTTCCGGCTGTGAAGATGCAGCCAGCAAGGTGCACCTTCCTTGCACCGAGCATGGAAGGTGCGGGTGAAATACGATGGCTGCATGGCGTGTGCTGCTGACATCACTTATCGTCATGCACCTCCCAGCCCTTGAGCCGGCGCACAGATTGCTCAATGGGCACCTTGTTGATGCAGGCATCCCTAATTTGCATCAGCCCGCGCTCGTTGAACTCCCAGTTCTGCATGCCACACCAGTCGCAGAGTCACATATTGAATTGCTGAAACATCAGGCGTCTTGCTTCTGCATTATGCAAAGGCCCTCACCCTCACTCCTTCCAAGAGATATTAAACACTACAAGGGGATGGCGATAGCACCCCTTGGGCACTTGAGGAACAGCAGAGTGATTGATCAGGGCTCTTGCAGCTGTCTGTTAGGGCATGAGCCAGCATGCTCGCAGCAAATGGTGTAGCTCCTGTGCAGCAAGCAATGACGAGTGATGTACTGTGGTTGGCAGGTGCAAGACAGGGGAAGAGGATCACCTCATTGCCGTGTGCGCGGAACCACTTGCCATCCGCATCATGGTATTCGTATTCGAACCGCACAGCAATACGGTTGCCATTGTAGGCCCTGCAGAACACCAACGCTCAGCCAAGACAAGCAGCATCCTCACAATATTATCACCCTAGGACTGTAGAAGACCGTCCAAAGGAGGATTGGAATCGAAAAGCGGTCATTCAAGTATCTCCCACTCACCACAGCTCCTTGACAAGCCTGTAGTCCAGCTCTTCCTCCCACTTGGCTTTCAGGAATGCGGTGATCGCTTCGCGCCCCGAGAAGAACTTCTCACTCACGTGCCACTCGCAGTCTGCAGCCGAAATGTTGGATTAAAGTGAATTTTGGCAGATTACATGACCTGATACTAGAGTGTCCTCTTCCTCGTTGTGCAGCCCGATTCCCTGGGACAGCTTGCAACGTGTGCACCTGACGGGTATGGCTTACCTGGAGTGTACGACAGCGGCACTTTGTTGTGATCTCTAGTATTCCATGCATCCTGAAAGCCCAGGTAACCCCTCAGAATCTTGGAGAGACGTCCCATGGGTAGGGCATTGCAACAACGTGCCGCAGAAAAGGAACTCAAACCTGGGCGGCCCTGGTCTTCTGCAGGGCCGTTTCCTCCGTGAAAGGCGGAATCGGGTATTTGATGGGTTCCTCCGCTACAGTTGCGAACACACGAGACGCACGTGCACGAGATCGGATGCCAATGCCCAGGTGCTGCAAGGGCAGGCGCTGCCCGCAAAGCGCGCGGCTTACCAACAGGATCATCTTTAAAAAGTCTAGCTTGCCAGCTTATAGTGTCTTCTTGAGACCTTTGCAGGATTTTGCCCTCGCTCAAAAAGTTTACGTCATGCTCCCTCAGATTCCGCAACTGAGGAAGCTTCCTCTGGACTTTGGCTTGAAACGTGCCCCTGGGAAAGGGCACCGAGTTGTGCTTGCAACACACAAAGCCCTCGGGATGGCTGGTCATTAGAGAGCAATAGTCCATCAAAACTTACATTCCTACCTACGCATGCGCTTGCACTTGCACGTGTGCACAGCCCCGAGTTGAAGTCAGCTGACTTAGCCCACTCAGCAGGCTGGCAATAACTTTTACCTTGAACTGAACGCTCCTAGTGGTCACCACGTCATTGAGATCTCGATCACCAAATCAAGGCAAGCACAGTGTATCAATCCTGGATCACCTCAGGCGAATTTTGCTTAGGACAAAGTCCTGACCACGAGTCTGGAAAAGGACGCCTAGTGTCATGCATACAACATGCATGAATTAATACATTGCAGAACAGCAATCTGAAGCTCTTGATTTGCCATGTGGCGCAGTCTTCATTGTCCAAGCCCAGGCAGAGCTTCTCCTTGTGAAATACCTTTCAACCTCTCAACGCTATCACTAACTCCAACCAGCAAGCATGCAGAAAACAGACAGATGACTCAGCAGAGCATTGAGAAATCTAACCCGCAAAACAGTCCTTTAAGGGCCTGCGGGTCCTTTACTATAAAGCACACGAGTAGAAATCATTCACGCCTGAGGAAGCACACCAAAAACTGAGATGCATGCTCTAGACTGCACGCTAAGGGCTGTGATATGTACAAGGAGTGAGTCCTGTTGTACAGGCTAAGGAAGTGTGGCAATATGTCCAGTCATCGTTAAATGGCTTATGTAAAAGGTCTCCAAATTGCTCCGGTCTCTCCATGAACTGTCCTCTGGGAATTGGAAAAGGCCAAGGCACAGTATACTTTGTGGTGAAACAAAGGGCGTGTCCAGAAGGTCTGTTGGGAGAACAAATTTCGCGGATAAGCTCATACGCTTGGCATGCTAACAGGTGATGTTGAAGTCCCAGAACATTCCTTAGAAAACCCAAAAGGAAGACTCGTTCGTTCAGCCACAAGCCTTGGGCATCCTATACCCATCCCCGCTGTAGATCTGGAATTGTGCTCGTTACTTCAAAAATTGCATTGCACAGTTTTTGCTGCTGCAGCGGCTTTGCTGCTCTAGTATGGCAGCTGCACCTGTGTAGCATTCAGGCTCTCCTAAACGGCAATGAGAAAGAGCCTTCTTCATCTTGAACTTGAATTTGAACTTGAATTCGAATTCGAATTTGAATGCGCGCCGCCCCCACTCTCCGCTCCTGCAAAGATGACAGAAGATCTGCTGCGTTGCGGCCTGCCCAGGGATATTGAACTCCCCTCAGAACACACCATGAAGCTGCTCCTGCTGCCTATTCGCGCGCATCCCCCTTGGCCCACTCTGATCAACCCTTGATCACCCTCGCTCGTGGCGGAGCTTCGCACCCCTTGATGATGCAAACACCCTTGCCGGGCAGACGTCTGCTGCCCGGCAGGTTCTCTCGGGCAGCCAGGACCGCTGCTTGAAGCAGGACATGGCACGCCCCGCGACTCATGCCGCTGCCCTTGCCCGGGCCCGCAGCACTCCGCTCGATGATCACAACCCACCGGTTGACCACTTTGCGTTGCAGACGCGCTTGCATCACCGGTCCGTTCCTGACATGCACGCTGTCTCAGGGACGCCCCGCATGGGGCGCCCGAGCCCGCCGCGGCAGCTGCCGGCGAAGCTTCCGCGGCAGCTTCCTCCGCCCGGGAAGCTGCCGCGCATTCCCCCTCTGCACCGCCTCTCCCCACTCCCATTTGCTCTTCTGCTGTAGTCTGATCTGGCTGTCTGCGCTCTTCTGGAGTCCCTGGCGAGCAGCCAGCTTCCATGTCTGCAGCTGCTGATTTTCCAGGCAGCCCCACAGCTTGGACATGCACAGCGCCAGTGCTTTTGGGGCCTTGTGTAAGGCCCTTCTCAGATGGCAGGGCCCACAGAGCGGTCATCTTCTGTAGCGCTGCTCGGCGGTGGATGGCCAGACTAGCAACGCCTGCACAGATAACATAAGGATGATGATACATTGATCAAATGATCAAGGAGTCTGATTATAAAAAGTGCGCTGTAAATTACTGGTGCCTAGCAGTGCCAAAAGAGCGGTCATGCCTAGCATCACAGACTTTATGGATTGGGCAGATAGATGTACATTAGTTATTGCGCTGCATTAAAAGCTTTGGAATGCAGATTTGCTGAACAAGGCTGGCTGGCTCAATCCTTCAGCGAACAGAATGTTTGCTCACCTAACAGCAGCAGGAGGGCTACTGCAATGCCTGTGGTCAGGCCAGCAATGCCAGTACGGCTCCAAGAGGCAGCTGCTGCACCCGCCACCTGCATGCCAAGGATCATTTTCAAGGCTGAAAACCACCGGACACACATTCAGGCCATCAAAGTCTCCTTGAAGCAGGGCAGACCCTGCATGTAATATTTGCAGTAGTGAGTGAGGTGCAGGGGAAAGTTAATATCTTAATTAAAGGCGACTTGATCTCCTTCATGTCATCAACCTCTCCTTGAAGCAAGGCAGACCCCGCACGCAAATTATGCAGCATTAGAAAAGGAATGCCATTTGAATTCAAATTTGAAAATGCAAATAAGATGACTTACCGGGCCGGGCTGCAGGCTGCCAAAGAAGGCAACAGCGGCGACAGCGGAGGGTGCCGGGGCCGTTGTGGTCTGCCCAGGATCCACAGAGGGCGCTGATCCGGGGGCGTTCACTTCTGCGGCCGGTGGCGGCAGCTCCTATAGGACAACCATCGATAAAGATGTCAACACTTGATCCCCTTCAATGGGTAATATGCTTATATACTCTAATATAACCCCTGCATTCTCCTTCAAAAAATTATCACTGGAAGGGCCCCTTCCCCAAATCCCAAATTCAAACCCTGAATCCAACTTTGCTAAGCCTAAGGGTCGATACCTTGACAGATGGTTGATCAATAGGAGCGGGGGCCGGCGGCTGCGGATCGGTGTAAGGCAGCGGCGCCGGCTCTTGCAGGCTCGCGCCCTGGACACTTGTGGTGCTGCTGTGGTAGTCTGCTGTGTACAGCGGCTGCCACAGGTTCTGCAACAAGCAGGCGACAATCTTTGATATTCATTCACTTTGCCTTTTAGCCAAAAATAGTGCCTTAAAATGGTAAATAGTACCATGCACATTTGAAGGCACCGCCTGGTTGTCAGCAGCGTGCCCAATATATGCAAATCAGGGTGCAGCACGCTTGGTTCACTTGGTGGCAAATTTGCAGATCAGTTGCGCACATGCACGGAAGCAATTGAGCACACACAAGGCCTCTGCTTGTTCATCTTCGTTACTCGCAATGATTTCTTTTAATTTGACCAACAGTGCGCGCGCCTGCAGGGAGGGGGGGACGGCGAGCGCGCCCGGCTGGGCAGGCTCCGGGCTGCCCGGGGCGGAGGGAACGCCGGCGCTGGCCGCGGCGGCCGATGAGTCGTTGGCTGAGCTGTCGCGCACGCCCTGCGCCCGCGTGGCGTTGTCAGCGCTGCTGTAGACCGGGCGCCAGCTGGAGGGAACGCCGCCTGCTTTCGCGCCGTCCTCGTTTGTGTACTGCCCGGGTAAGGGCGAGCGCACCGGCGGCGGCGGCCGGGCCCTGCTGATACCACATACGTAATCTTGAGTGCCATCAACTCTGCTTCAGCATGTACTTACAGCAGACACCGTTAGCTCCAGACACGCTCAAGATGCTAAGGGTTGTCTAAAGTGCAGCTGCTTTTTGCACAGATACAAGGGAAAGAGACACGCGGGCATGGCTAAAGTTGTCAAAGGTCTTGCTACACGACAGAGTACGCTGCAGCTGTTGAAGGCTGTATAAAAATAAGCCTGCAGGTCTCTGCATGGGCGAGAGCAGGTCTTTGCATGGGCGTAGGTGATTACTTCCTTATATTAAAATTTAATCAATCACCTGGTGGTTGACGGGAGCGAAGGCGGCTGCGCGCGGGGGGCGAGGAAGGGTGAGAAAGGCGGCAGCGGTGGCCCCGGCCGCGTCTGCGGCGATGGCGATGTGCCGGGATCCGCGTAGCGCTTCTGCCGCCCGGCCGCCGGATCAGCCAAGGGAGCTGCACCGAACAAACTTCACATTTCAGATCATGAGAGCCGCATTCCATGGGACAATGCAGCACACATGCAGGTATTGCACATTTATTGAAGGCCAAAAACATCCTACATCAGTACAGTGGACAGGATAGGGTACACAGAAGAGCACAAATTACAGCTTTCCTGACACTCAGATATAATCAGATCCAATTACAGTGCAAATGCAGGTGATACATAACTCGTCAAAAAACTCTGTGCTAGGAATCAAGGTGGTGATCTATAGACAAGAAAAGAAGCCAGACAACAAAGGTCCATGACCTCTGTCCCATCTGCTTTCAGTATGCTTCTATCAGTATGGATTGCCTAATGGAAAGAGAGGAAAAAGGCAACATCAAGAGGAGCGCACTGTTGGATGCTCTTCTCAGGGGCGTGTAGGTGAATAAGCTATCTTCTGAGCTGAAATCTGCACTGCCTTGGCCCGCACTATCTGAAGGCCCAACCGCTGGCTGAAGGCTAGGGGCTGGGGGCAAGGGAAGGGGCATTAAGCCGTTAAAAGGGGAAATATTAGGGCCAAGGGAGGGCAGAATCTTAATGTGCCCCATCAAATTTTCTCCAAATACATGCGTTCTTGGAACATGGCTCTGTGGCGCAGGTGCAGGAGCCAGATCTGGCGCAACGCCACTGCGGCCAAAATTGGCGCCATAATAATTAGGAGCAGGTGCCGGCACATGCCCGTCCTTCTCACCCTCAAAGGGACGCAAGACGGTGGGCTTTCTTGTGCCCAAGACTGCACCAGGGCTGGGGTTGATTGCTGGTGCAGGAGCGGGCATTGGCTGGAAATTCTGGGAAGCTGGAGGCAGCTGCCGCAGGAAAGCCTCGGGAGACCGGGACAGCTGCCTCTGGGATGCAGACTCAGCCGCCGCTGACACACCGCCTGCTGACTCACCAGCCGACAGGGGCGGTGACGTCACCAGCGCTGACAGCCGCCCGCCGATGAACGTGACCGGTGTCGGCGGAATCACAATTCCGCTGTCTGCATCCGGTGTTGGCATGTTGCTGTCTAAATTACCAGAGGGATCCTTGTCTGAAGCCTTGGTTTGGTTATTGCTGCTGGGGACTGGGGAGGAGGATGCTGGCCGGTGTTTGGGAGGGGCAGGGGCGTTAAAGGGGGATGATGCAATGTCGGGGGAATAACCTGAGGGCGGGGGAGGGTTCCGGGGGAGATACAGCGGCCCGGAGGGGGGCAGGGGGGTCCTAGGTGCGGGCACTAGCTGGGGACTTGTCGGGACTGCCGAGGTGGTTAGGTAACTGTTGGAAAGGGTGAATCGGCCGCTCTGCCCATAGCCGGCCGGGGGAATGCTGCCCTTCACAACACCCTGCGAAAGAAGAGCACAAACAAGTTTAGATGATGATGTGCGGCTCCGGTGCAAAGCAAGCAGGGGCGATGCGACGCAATTTATGGAGACATAGCGGCATGCCTGGGCGGCTGTGATGGCGAGCTCGTAGGTGCCAAACTTCCCATCGAATCCGTCCACGATGATGCCATATGCCACGCCAGCACGCACATCCATCTGCACCACATGCACTAGCCAGTTAGGAGGACGCGCCCAAAAAAGCATAGCTCCTCTGCGCTCAGAAGGGCATCTACTGAGTAATGCTTTTGAGCATCACCACTGCTCTTGCCAGATGAAACTCTCAAGCTAGTTGCACCCCTACAGGTTGCCGCACTGGGCTTGCAAGGCCCTACCACTGCTATACTGCCAGGCAAGCACACATCCCCGGATGCCCGTGCCGCCGCCTAAATTGAAAGCATGACATGCCTCCTTCCTTGCATTCCACTGCACCCACCACCTGAACTGGGAGATGTCAAGCTAACACATGCTACAAGGCATGCATGCAAAAAGAGGGACTGTTTGGAGCAATTGTCTGAGAAGCAGCGGCAGCAAAGGAGCCTCACCGTGACCTGCGATTGGTAGCCGCAGAAGTCGTCGTTGCAGGAAATGGGCGTCAGGCGGGCGCCTGATGGCGACAGCAGATCCGCGACGACATAAAGTTTTGTGTCGAATGCGTCCGAGTGCGCGGCCGAGGCGCAGAGAGATATGGTGATCCGCGCGTCCTGTTCTGGCGCCAGGTAGTACGCCACATCCTGTTTACACACAGCAGATTTAAGATCAAATATGACTTTTTTTTCTCGATTAAAGTCAGCTGAAGGTAAGCAGTCTCTGCTGATGGCCCTTGTGAGCAGCAGCACTTGCAAGCTTCAAAACTATGGGTTCATCCCTCATGTAATGCTCTTAGCTAGTTTGCAAGCAGTATAGAATGACTGTTCTCTCTGCAAACATTCAAAATCACTCTTTTTGCAACACAAGCAGCAGGACCCTTCAGTGGGCAAGCTTGCACATGAAGAGATAAATCTGGATGTTTCTGAGTCAAGCCTGCCAATGAGGGCAAAAAATGCTCGCACGTCTCAGTGCTCATCCAATGGGTAATCTAACACCATCTCAAAAGGAGTATATATCATCTCCAGTGACGCTAGAACAATAGAAAGTATCGGACAGGAGTGTAAAGGAATGCAGGAGGGAACGCGCCTTGCCGCCGCCCTGGTCGGTGTATTCCCCCGGGCAGTTGAGGGTGTAGTCATCGTTGAAGAAGTATGTGTTGGCGCTGTCCCAGAAGGGCAGCGTCTGGATCACCTTGGGGTACTCCAAAGCATCCCCCTTCTTGTCAATCACCTGGAAACAACAAGTTTCTTTTAGTCAACCACCTGGAGAACGAGATTGACCCCCTTGTAGATCCTCTGGATAAGAATGTTTTCGCCCTTCTGAATCACCTGGAATGAAAAGGTTTCTGCTTTCTGTGAGCCTCAGCCTTTTCCACTTAGAGAAAAATTCCGGGCCGGGGGCCGCCAGAAATATGTCTGATCATCAGGTGTTGATTGTCAACGAATAATTTGAATTTCCGCTGAATCATGCCCAGATGGAGCCTCAAAATCCCTTAATCTTGTAGACATTGACACACAGAAAGTGACACACGGATTGTGGCAGGGTGCAAAGACGGGCCCTGCTCGAAAGGATTGTTGCCAGTGGTTTGGTGCAGAAACATGCAGGGTGTATGATCGGTGTGGTCAAGGGTGGATCGGCAGGGTGGGGCGCGCAGCTCACCCGCAGCCGGGGCCGCTTGCCGTCGTAGCGCGAGTCGTTGCTTCGCAGCGCCATGTCGATGTAGAACTGGTCGCTGTCCGTTGTCAGCCAGGCGGCCGCGCCCACGCTCACCCACAGCACCTGCCGCAGAAATCGAATTCAAGATCGAAACTGATTTTAAACAACCTGAGATTGCTGGAAGCTGTGCCTGTGGGTGGTGGGCAATGGTCATGCACGGACCTGCTTTTTCGGCCACAGAATCCTAAGCACAAGTGCATAAATACCCTGTTCAATGCAGTACTCCAGCAATTTGTTCTGGCCAGCAGGGGGGATGAAGAGGTAATTAAAGTGGCAGGCCACCTTGGGGTCCGCCCAGTTTTTGGGGGTGAAGGAGAGCTCGCCAGGGTAGACCGTGGCGCGCGATGGCTCTGACACGTTCACAACAGCGTACACTATGCCACTCGGTGCCTGCAGAATGCCAGAAGAAAAGCAATCAGCGCCTTGGAAATCAGTGTCAAAAGCATGCCTGCATGTGCACCCCTGCAAGAATTCAACTTTCAAAGGCATGCATCCATCTACATTTATAAAACAGATGTTTTGGGCATAAACCCCGCGGCCGGCGCGGTTCTCAGCGAGCGGGAATCTGCGGCGGCCGGCCGCACCCGGTCTCGCCGCTGGTGACGATGACTTGCCCTGTGTTACAACTTTCTTTTTTGAATTTCAGCTTCGGAAACGGCGGCAAATCGCACCTCGGCCAGGGACACATTGACGGCGGGCGGCTCGAAGCCGGCCTCGCCACAAGTGTCAGTGACTCGCCCTTTGGGTTTCATTTTAAGATTTGAAGTTGAAATTTGAAGAAGTACACACCTCAGCGAGCGAGACATTGACGGCGGTCGGCCCGAAGCCGGCCTCGCCGCCGGCGACGGTGAAGGATTCGGGGCTGGCGCGCAGCGCGTTGAACATGTCGATGTTGACTAATATCGGCGGCGAGTCATCGAGCACATGCGCGTTGAAGGGCCCGCTCTCGGCCGGCTCGTACACAACGCCCCAGATGCCCGACGCAGTCAGCACTCCCGCTATCTCCGCCGGTGTCGCGTCTGCGGGTGGCGTGCATTGCGTTCATTTTCTTTCAGCTTTATGGTTTTTTCGACCCTTCGTCGGGAAGCAAGCAAGCACTGTCAATCGACATGCATGACAACCATTCCACCAGACTCTTGTGGCACAGAGGGCTCATCAAAGCTGCTGTGTAGCCGGCAGGTGATGCTGCACTCGGCCCTTTCCAAACACAACTCTTGGCGGCTTCAGCACTTAGTTGTGGCACAGGCATGGCACATGGCACATGGCACAGGGATCACCCTAATTACCCCTAGCTTCCTTAAAGCCTAAGGGTAACCAAGCCGGTAACGTTCTGCGGTGGCTCCAAAAACCCAAGGTTCCAGAGAAGACCCTAAATCATCACCCTTTGACAATGATGGGAAACAAGGATCCTAAAGGGGGAAAACTCACCGCTGGCATTCTGCAGGTACAGAGCGGCGGTGCCGGCAACGAAGGGCACCGCTTGAGATGTGCCCGACCGAAACTCTGTGGCGCTGTCCGATCGGCGGGATGCCGAGATTATGTCCTCCCCGGGCGCCCACACGTCCACGCACTTGCCTGCGGGGGTGCAGAGAAACAAATTTTCTCTTAGTCAGCGTCTCGCAGCACTTGCAGGATCCTGGATTTCCCAAGTACGAGCCAGGCTTGTTCTTCTGAGGGATGGTCTCTCACAAGCTACCCAACCCAAGTCGTCCACCACCTGCATATTCATGGTGTCCCAAAAAACGAGCCTGGTATGTCTTTGCATATTTATGGTGTCCCCAAAATCGAGCCCGGTATGTCGTTGGCATCCCAGTCCCAACGATGCTACAGACACAGGGCTAGAAAAGGGTGCAAGGGTGATAACTTGCCATAGTTGCTGGCAACCCCCGGGGAGATCCACAGCCGAGCGTCGTCGCGCGCCGTTGCCGCCACCGTTATCGCAAGCGGCTCCCTGCGCATCCGCATAACTCCCTCAAATCAGCGCCACTGGCAGCACTTTTACTGTAGGTGTACACCTTACCCACTCACGAAGATTTTTGGCAAGGAAGCCAGGCCAGCAGAGTTATCATGGATCATGTAGCCCTGTATCAGCTCGGACAGATACAGTTCAATTGCCCATCTCGTGCACATGATCATACTGCCAAGCATGCGCATCGAGCCCCTGTGCTCTCTAAGGTCTGCATAGACAAATCTCGCTCAGCACTTACCTTCAGAAGGAGCCCTCTCCATTCGCAGGGCTGGTTACACCGCCTAAGTGCTGGGTGCGCAGTGGCTTAATAAAGTTTGGGGGGGTGCAGTTTTTTCATACAGTAGATTCAGGGTGTAGGGTCACCTGGCAGGGCTCTTGGCGCAGGCGTCCGAGTCCTCGTTCCCGGCAGCTACGACCACGGAGACTCCGGAGAGAACCAGTGCTCGCACTGCCATGTCCAGCGCATACTGCGGCTCCCCTCCCAACGCCATAACCACCACCGCCGGCGCCACGTAGTGCTCCCTCACCCAATCCAACCCCTCTATCACCTGCGCACACATTTGCAGCCCACATTTCATTTTGCTTGCCACTTTTGAAGTACTAGTTTTACTACCCGCTCGCCATTTGCAGAGCCACAAAAATTCACGTGTGGCCTCTGAAGTACCAGTCTAGTCCCGGTATCACCTGTGCGCGTTTGCGAATTCCCTTACGTAAAGGGTAGCCAGTTTGAGGGCCACAAGGGCTCAGCAGCTGTGGCCTGTGAAGTACCAGTTCAACCCGTCTATGGCCTGCGCACAGTTGCCTCCCATGGGTCGGGCCAAAATCCCTCAAGCGAGCGCACGGCGAGCAGTGATATCTCACACTTTGCCACTCTCCAGGAATTGAAGAAAGGGAATTGAGGGTGCCCAGGTCAGGCATTGAAACATAAGCAAGGGGCGGAACCTGCGAGACGGTGCCGTTTCCGAGGCACTCGAGCGAGCGCACAGCAAGCAGCGAGGCGTTCTTCGCTACTCCATACGTCAGCCCGGCGGCGGCCGCGGCGACGTGAGTTCCGTGCCCGTTGCAGTCTTGCCCGACCCGGCCGCTCTGCAGCGAGGTGAAGACTTCTGCCGCTCGGCTGCCGACGTTGCCGTCCCCGTAACGGAACTCCTGGTGCGTTACGTGGATGCCCTGCATGCATGCATGCATGCATGCTATGAGTGATGAAATCCAGACAGTCATTCTTGTTGAGATTGAACAAGCCATTCCACCTGCCTTGTTTGCACCAGCGCGTCCTTTTCAAATCTGGGCTGAGATGCATGCAAGCGCTGAAGTTAACTTATGCCGGGCATGCGGCAGCCGGGCGCACTCAGGCCCTGCTTCTCAGCAGAGGTGAGATGCACGCATGCAGATATAGATGCTATGGCAGTCCCACTGACTGTCACACTGTCTTCTTGATATGCCTTTCCTCTGCGCCGGAGGTTTGATGAGAACAGAGGCAACCCCCCATCTATACAACGAATGCCACGCCGCCCGCAAGTACTCCAATCACGGCACCTGTAATCACCAACATTGTATGGCAAGTGCCCCACCGTGTCCACGATGTAGATGTTGACTTCCGTGCCCAGGTTGTAGTAGTCAAACTCCGCATTCAGCGGCAGCGCCACCTGGTATCAACAATAAGAATATCATATCTTATCACACCTGTTTGGCAAAAAGACAAGTCAAACCCAAGAGAAAGTCCTGCCTGGACCGAGCCATGGCTCAAACACAGTGCATCAGAAGCCTTGGTATGCGTCAGATGCGATGCTCCTTATCTACATGCCACCAACGATCTGCATGGTGCACATGCACACAAATACCCTGAAGATCTACACAAGCTGTTAATAATTACTCTGATTTCAACCTTAAGAGCGCAGTTGGTCAATGCGGTTGGTCAATGCGGTCGGGGGCCGAGGGCACACACCCCTCACCTATTGAGGGGTCCCAGAGAATGCTGACGAATCAATCGAGATTCAAATCTCGGCATGCATCATTAATGCGTACCTGATCGATTCGGTCGAGCGCCCAGGGTGCCGGCTGCTCGATGTCGGCTGCGCGCACTTCGGTGTCCTCGTGCACAGACGCAACCTGTCCAGAGTACACGCGCAGGAACGCCTCCAGCTCCGAGCGCGTGAACTGCGGTCCCGTAAACCCGTGAAATTAGTCACCAGCCCCTTCTTTCTCAGCAACATTATTAATGCCTAACACTTGCAATTGCAGAGCCAATGTACGCATCCCCGGCACAGTCTTGGCAAGTCGAGACACCTTGGCTCAGTTTCAGCAAGCGTGCTGTGAGGCTCTTGGCTGCACACGCAAGTCACTCTGCGAAAGCAGTGCTGTCCTTTCACAGGGCCCATGCACCAAGGCTTCTAAACTGGTGTGTGGGGTGGAAAGGTTCCTTTCCTCCAGAATCTGCTGGCACTGTGGCTCTAAGACAGATGGACCTCACTATTGAGCGAGGGCACTGTAGCATTTGTCCAGCAAGCCACACAAAAGGGTGGACTGGAGCCAGGAACCGCTCACCTCAGCAGCAAAGCCGTTGAACACATTGGTATAGCGAGCAGAGCAGGCGCCGCTGAAACGCCCCGAGTCTGCTGCCTCTGCCTCTGCGCATGCTGCATCTGTGCCACCCCCTTCTTTCCACACCACTATCCACCTGTGCACAAACCTCACTTTGTTAGTGCATACTTCACATCATACTTCACATATTACTACATCTGACGCCAGCTAGATATACTTCAAGCTCGAAATGAGTAAGTAGGTCATATCACAGCCTTTGTTGAGCCACAGGAGTGCTTCCTCAGGACAGCAGCTGGCAGGGAAAGCAACCTGCTGACTCTAGTGAACTCCCGAATGTCAATTTTGGATCAAGCCTTGAGCACACAGCACACACGGGCGCTGCGAGGTTGCCAAATGCAGCGTACATGGCTGTATAATAGTGGCAGAGGCTCTGATGTGACAGTGGGGATGCTGGGGTACCTCTGCTTGGCTGTCTTAGTGGTGCTTGCTGTTGAGTTGGTGATGGACTCTGTATGGATGGTGGCGTTGCTTGGGGAGGAACTCTTGTCCCCCCACTTCTTCTGGAAGCTCGTCATCAGCTGCTGGCGGTTCCTAGAGCATGCACAAGTGCAGCTTCAGATTTAGTGACATAAGCTAGACTGGGTGACTAAGATGTCCTTGCCTGCACAGCCTTTGCGAGCCTTCCAGGCCTGCGAATGCCTCTCTCGCATCGTGAAATATCTTCAATGTACGACATGAACGTTACGAGACAGAAGTACCCACCTGCAGCTGGTAAAAACGGGTGCTAGGTCTTTCTGGCCCAAGTCCATCGTGCAGGCCCACTCGGTCGATGTGGGCGCAGTTTGGGGACGCCGCGCACTCTTATCCACGTCTTCCGATGCAACAAGCATCAGAATACACAGGAAGATGGCCTGTCTGTGGTAGAGCCTGGCACAAAGGTGCACAGGACCCCACGATGCCATGGGCATGCAGGCCGTTGCTAGCGCCCAGGCAAGAGCTGGCGTCCATCAAATCTCAGCAAGAGACCAACTATCGAAGATGTTCTCACCATACCCAAATGTGCCGGCTAAATGGAGGGTGGGCAATGAGCCAAACGCACGTGGTATTCTTGATATGAACTATCCTCGAAAGGGACAAGAGCCGAAAAACTTTGATTCTTCACATCCGATCCCTTATCTGGTTTTGATGTAGAGCTAGATGCAGAATACGCACAACACTGCAGCCCACCCTTGCCTCCAAAAAAGTCAACTTTGGTGACGAATGACCCAAGCCGACTTCGCTTCTGAGGCCAGGTCTCGAAGGGAATGCTAGCGGCCCTTTGGGGATTGCTTTTCTTCGTGTATCAAATCTTCCCTTCCTTGGGGACCTCACGGAACCTGAGCACCCATTATGTACGCAATAGTACAGTCAAAAATCTCGCCGAGAGCGGTTTCTAACTGCTCGACGAGAATCCCCGTAAACCGTAGTGAATGTTCTACGGACCAGTGGAAAAGAGGACACGAGCTTGTTCACTCCATTTCATGCAGATCTCAGAAATACTTTCAATAAACGAACAGACAGCCCTGTGAGAAGCAAGGCATCTGTTCAATCGGTAGCATAAACTGTCAGGACTGGACTGACAGCGAGATTTGTGACTGAAGGAGACTTGCGCAGCAGCTTGGCAAGGCACTGGTTGCAAGGCTTTGGCCGCAGACTCCATAAAGAATGGCCTCTCAGCGTTCCAAGAGAACCATAAAGGCGCCCAAGAAATACTTGGAGGCGGAGGGTACGTCAGCAGCGCTGTTGGTCAACTTTGCTAAACGCCTCCTGTCAGATCATTGCCACAGAAACGAGGGCGACAGAGGCTATTCATGCCCAAGTTGCCTTCTTTGACATTCTTGGTAGTAGAGTAGTCTGCAAAAGGGCGCCGTGACCATGCCCATGGCGGGTTGAGTTATGAGTGCATTGTCACCTTACGTTTGGCTAGTTATGAAATCACAGGTTCACCCCCAGTGAGCAACCTGTAACGTTTCCCGTGATTATCAATAGTGAGCAGAATGACTCGAGACAGCTTGACACGACGGGCATGTCTGTTGCAACCTCCTGCAGTTGCAAAAACTGGCTGGATGTCTCACTATTCTGAGAGCTTTGGTCTTCACGGGCGACCATGCATTGTCTTCTTAGCGTCCGTATCACGATCGCCATGAAAATGACTACAGGCACCAGCAACAAGAAAAATCCGCACTTTTTCGAGAACCTTGCCCGATGTTGGCCCCAGTGGAAGCCACCTTGTCTTGCGAGCACTTTTGCCAAGCGTGGGCGGAGCTTGGTCGGAATGTTCATTTCACGCTCTTGCCATCACCATTAAGGTGCATTAAGATGGGTTGGAGGCCTTCAGGAGGATTGCGCGTACATGGCTAAAAGAAATTTGATCGTTAGCGGTGGATCGTTTTAGGATGCTGACCATGCTCGCTCAAGATACTACTCAAGTGGGCCTCGATATCAATTATAGAACTCACGCTGACAAGTCGCCACTGGTGTTGAGCAGATCTGGACGATGAGGACATTTTGCCCCCCAAGAGAGACGTCCTCCGGTTGGTGCGTGAGGAGGAAGGGACGGACGACTTGCTGGATAGAGTCGTGTACCTATTCTGGGAGGACGATGGCAGCTGGTATAGAGCCAAGATCAAGAAGGTGAGCCCAGCCCAAGACCAGAGTGTTTGTGACAAGTGTCCTGCAGGTCTTTGTCGATGTTTATTTTTCAAGGTGGAGCAATGTCAGTCATGTTACATCAAACAGCAACAGTTGCTGATATTGTCTTTGCTGGGCTTGCAACGTCTGATTCGTTCTGCATGCTGCAGTTTGACCCCGCCACCGGCTTGGCAAACATATTTTACTTCGACACGGTCGAAAAGGAGGACGGCACAAAGTTGGCAGTGCTCATTGGCGAGGGCAAAGCGGCCTTCAGTGCGTCTCATTGCTTCCCTGTGCTTTTGCTGTGCATGCAATATTTGCTCAGTGATCCTGTCACAGTAAAGCTGCCAATCACAGCACCCATGCATGATCTTCCAGCTCGGGAGGCACAACAGGACTCTTGCCTCTTCCTGCAGCCAAACTCTATCAGCTGTCATGCAGACATCTTGCTCCTGCGTGATCAATGCTTCATGTCTCCTGCCCTCTGACAAAAACAGCACAACAACACCAAGCTGCAATTTCATCTGGCCTGCTTCATGACATGCGAATGTCTTGAAGGCTTGGCAAACTCATCAGCGAAAGAGACATGTAGACATCAACGCAGTGCGAGCGCCAGGGACAAAAGAGGAAGGGCTTATCGCGGTTGCACATTATGCAGCGATTACTCAGGCTCAGGAGCTCTAAATGACCACATTGCATGCATGTATATATTTAGAAGGTTTCCTAGAGGGAGGTGATGCATACAAGTGGGGCTAATGCAATCCTGTGCGCAGGGGAGTCAAGGAGAAAGGGGCATGTGCTGAGCGAGAATGAGCTCGAGCTACCAGAGGAGTTCATAGACAAGCCAGATCCTGAGGGGGATGTGGGCAGCGGGAGCGAGGAGGAAGAGGAAGGGGAGGAAGATGATGGAGAGGGGGATGGCGATAACGAAGCCGGGGGTGACAGCGACGATGATGATGATGTCAGCAAAGATGATGACAGCAGAGGCGGCAGGCGAAGAGGCGCCAGGGGCCGTAAGAGATCCAGGGGCGACAGCGCAGAGGTGTGTAGCACTCGCTCACAGTGGGTCTGCAGTGTCTCTGGCCAATGAGGCAGTGGTTACATAGAGGACCTCTCTTGTCAGGGCACCTTTCTGCAGCTGTTTTGCCATGCTGAAATGCTGCAACACGTAGATTCATTTAGAAGCCTAGTGGTCACCCCATACCATTTGTTGCCAGCAGCTTTGCGACTCTTATTCGCTGTTCCAGATTACGAGTACATGCGTCTCCGTCTCCTCATGCGCTTGTCACCAGAGGTCCTTTGAACCTTGCACGACGTGCTAAATTTTGCCTGCAAGACAGAAGCGACATTAGAGACAGATATTTGAGATATGGGATTATTGGCGGTGCAGGACAGCAGCGATGGGGAGGGGGGTTCATCCGGGGGACCCAGGGCGAAGAAGGGAACGCCGCCGCCCGCCAAGGGCGGCAAGCGGGCTGCCCAGCCAGGCAGCGGCAGCGGGCAGTCGTCGGCCAAACGCAGCCGAGTGGAACCGCCGGCCGCCGCCGCACCGTCAAAGCGTCAGGTACACTGATCTGCTCACGCTCTGCTCAAAATTTCCCAATTGTACTGTTTTGACGCTGTGGCAATACTCAGCACCGTGGCTGGCTTTCTAGGAGCTTGTCAGTTTTGCAGGTGTCCATAAGAGCACACTGTTAATCAGTGACATGTATATTTGAAGAACTGGGGCTGCTATCCACCGCCCACATGTCTTTGGAGGAACCTTTCTTAGCTTGGTACGCGCTTGGATGCGTTGGAAATAATCTTCTGTAAGAGCATGACATTTGAGGCATGGACAAAACTCTGCGGTCACAGGCATAAGTGCATGTGCATGGGGTCGCAGGTGACGCCGTCCACCAAGGCACAGGAGCTGCTGGCGGCAGCCGCCGGCCGCGGCAGGAGCAATGACGAGGACTTCCGCGCAGCCGAGCGCGCGTCCAAAAACCTGCTGGCCTCCATCCTCGGCAAGAAGGCCTCCTCCGGCGCACCCACGCAGCAGTTCTATGGTGCGCGCCTGCGCCTAAGAGGTGGAACAGATAATATACGCCGCACATCTTGCAATGCTAGCTCGATCAGGCGAGAAAGAAATCAACCCATTGCTGGCTGGAACTGGTTCTGTCCTGCTGTGTCATGCATGTCTTCTGGCCTCCTGCAGGAAGGTATATATATATGCTGCGTCAGTGGGGTGGGAAATTTTGGTACTTCAGGGTACTACTGGACTTTCCCCACATCCCTGCGTTGCATTCCTACTAGTAAACCGAGTGACGAGCCCTGCCTAACCCCGCTTTTTCGTGCAGCATTCTCTTCGCATTGAGAAGCTGCTGTTCTTCCAATCCACGTTCTAAACTGCTGTAAATAGTGAACAACTTTGATTTCTCCAAAGGTCTTCATCGGTTCCTGTATCAGCCTTGCCTGCACTGCAGTGATGTGTCAGCCTGTCTGCAAGTTTATTCTTAGATGCTTTCAAATTGCAGGTGGTAATCAGCCGAAGCCGCAGGCCAAGCAGGCAGCTGCCTCTGCTGCCAAGCTGGCCAAAACTGCCAGCAATGTCAAGGAGACCGAGTTCAGGGAGAAGGTATGCCTCATTTCTTTTCTCTGCTATCACGCATCATTGCACCGTGACATTTCTGTCCTGAGGTTTCACGTTTCTCCTTTCTTCTGTGCTTTCTAGTAGTGCATGTGTGTGGCTTGCTGTGCTGCTGTCATCTTTCTGTGTTACAGCCTAGCACTGTACTGAGGGGCTGAAGCAGGAAAGGTGAAGATTCTGTGTCACCATGTGTGCTGTTGCGATTACAGTTCTTCTCAGCGTGACTTTGACTAGATGTTGGGAAGCAGCAGCAGGGTGTCCTAAAGCCATTGCTTGTTCCAGCGTGACTTTCATCGGAAGTAAGGTCAAGCGGCAGCTCAGTGTGCTCACAAGCTTTGGTGTCCGTTTTCGTGCTGCTTTATTATTGCCTGTCTCAGCCTGTTATTGGTGCGTTTTTGGGAGCAGAGTGAGTGTGCTGAAGGGTCTCTGTTCGATTTTCGTGCTGCAGCAAAGGAGGGAGATGAAGGAGAGTCTGACGAGGGCTTTGGAGGAGCTGAAAGCCAAAGGGCATGAGGGCGACTTGCCAGCGCCAGACATGGTCGCGCAGCGGATAGAGGCCACCATGTTCAAGCACTTTGGTGCGTCTTTTCTCTAACCCACTCCCTGCCCCTGCCGTCCGTCGGGTGCTCAGAAAGCAGGCTGGTATGCTGCAAGAAGACGGGGGAACTGGCTGCAGAAAGAATGAAGGGACACAAAGTGCATTTATGGTGGTGAGACATTAATAAAGGGATACGGAAGGCATCACTTCGGAGAGACCGTGCACAGCACATATATATTTCTGTTCATTGGAATCCCGCTGGGTGGGGCACCCCGTAACAGCATGCATGCATGTGCATAGACAGGCCTAGCTCGGGGACAGGAAATGGATATACATTATGAATGGAACATTCTTCTTTGCGCAGGGGGCGTGAACAAGGAGTACGGGGCGCGTAACCGCAGCATCCAGTTCAACCTGGCGGACAAGAGCAATCCGGACTTCCGGGCCAAGGTGCTGCGGGGGGACCTGGAGCCCGCCAAGCTCATGACCATGCACACTCAGGAGATGGCCTCCGAGGTGCCGCGCGTTCCCTCCCTCCCTGCCCTGCATGCCTAGTTTGCTCATGCAATGGTTGCATGCCATGATCTAGCATCTACTGTTGACTGTGCTGGGCTGCCACTGATGCCCCTGCAACGGGCTTGCACCGTATGGATGTGTCTAGTGCGTGCTTGGACTCCTTCTGCTTGGCAGGACAATGCGTTGCCTCTCTCCCTGCCCCTTCAGTCAGCCTCATGCATTTATTGGCCCTGTTGAGGTTGATTATCATGATGCCCTCCCTTGCAGCTGTTGCGAGGGGCCGTCGCTTATGCTCGAACCCAGGTGCACTAATGTCTAATCAGAGTCTCGAGTCACGCTTCAGCTTGGCACTGTTAGTGGGTGCCGGCAGCTGGAACGCCGCACTGTTGAAGCCAGGAATGCCAATTTTGGCAGGGCAGAGCACAGCGCAGGGAGGGACAATGTGGGCTCGTGACGTTTGAAGTGGCCTTGTCTCTGAGTGCCGCCCAAGCTCACAACGTCTTGTGGCTGCTCCGCTAAAAAGCCAGCAATCCGCATAAACCGTGGCTCGTTCCTTTCTGCAGGAGCAGCAGCAGTGGCGCGCACAGAAGGAGGAAGAGGCGCTGAACAACAGCGTGCTAGACACTGCCACGGCCGCACGGTTCTCGACGGCCGCCGCGCTCGAAGCGCGCGGCCGCACCGGCGACGGGTGCGCTCCTGCCACACCAGAACAAAAAACTATCCTGGGAGATTTTGCGACCTCCGCAAGGAACATGCAGTGCTTTTGTGTATCACACTATGCAAGGAGGTTGTCATGTGTGGTCCATATCAGCATAGTGGTAACCGAGGGAGAATGCAGGCGGGGGTCTCAGATCACAGCACTTCAGCACTTGCAGATCCTGGCCTCCCATTCTGCTCTTGCTGACTACCCTATGGGGCGGTTTCTGCACATTTTCAGTGCTGACGGTGTAGCTTTGTCTTTTTTACATTGCCGTGATACAGTTTCAATGCTGCCGGTGTAGCTTCTTCTGGGTTCACAGTGCCGCGGCACAATCTCAATACTGAGGATGTAGCTTTCTCTGGGTTGACATTTATTATTACTGTATTGATATAATTACAGCTTTTCCAGTTCCTAGGATCTAGGATCTAGGTACGTCCGGCAACACGTGTATCAGAATTTTCAATTCTGTGCGATCATGGCATTGCAATGAAGTCCAAAACCTCCATTACATAATCATTCCAGTTCTTCTGAGGCCTGCCTCTGGGTTGACAGTGCCGCTATAGACTGGCGCACCAACACGCTGGCCGCTTCGCCGCCGCGCACGACACCGGCAGAGGATGCCGCCGTGGCCGCAGCCGAGGCCGCGCTAAAACAGGAGCCCAAGCAGGCACCCCTCACCTCGCAGCCGTCATCAGGTGAGTCATCCTTTCACCTTCACGCCCCACGTGATGTCACTCTTGGAACATCCCGGATGAATTTGCAGGGATGGGGCAGTCAGGGTCATGGCTGAATTAAGACTGGACTACGAAAGGTTGTTGTAGAACTTGGGTCCTCGGAGCACTGTGAGCTATGGCAGACACATAGATACCACGGCTTAAGCAGTCCAGCGGTGGAAGTTTTGCCATAACGCTTTGCGGTCTAGGTCTCCAAAATTCTGCTGTGACCCTGATTGGCTGCCGCATGCATTGCCATGCCTAGGTTTGCAAGGAGTAGCTTTGGCAAATGTAATGCTTTTTGGGAGGATCATGGCACAACTGGCAGAAACATAGCTCTCAGGCTCAGGCTCATAGAGTTGGATCGAGGGCCACTGCCACTTGTGGTATGACTTGCGGCATTTGGAGCATGATTTGCTACGGCAGACACAAATCTGTCTCGGATGTCTTGCTCTGCTGGAAATCCGCGATAACGTTCAGTGATTCCCTGATGTTTAACCGTGACCCTGAGTGCCCGCCACATGCACTTTCCTGCCCGGCACACTTACCGAGTATCCTTCATAGCTCCGCCCCATGTGTTCAAGCACAGTGCGCTGCTACTGCAAATTGTTATCTTGGCCAGCTGAGCTGATGTCCTGATCTGGAACTCTGGTCTTTCCAAGCAGGAGGCGCCGCTGCCACATCAGCCGGGAATGAAAGCGGAGCCAAGCCGACCACAAATGGCACTTCTGCGCCCTCCTCAGCCCCACCGACATCCGTAGCAGTGCCGGCCTTCGATTGGACCAGCATCAAGGTGGGCTGCCCAGCCACTGTATCTCTTTACCTTCTTTATTACACGCTACTCCTCCCAAGAAGCAAGCTGCGTCCTGCAGACAAGCTGCAGTCAAAGGCTGCCATGACCCTACCCCTTGGTGGCCAGATCCAAGCAAGACCCAAATATCAGTGGGCACGGTGCTCAGTACATATACCGGCCCCCGCCAGCCGGGGCCGGATCTTGTTTGTGTGAAGCGGTGTGATGCGAGCCTCGGACATCCCTGTGTGTTGGGCCAATTGTTGTTTGTTGTGTGCCGTGCAGTGTTCTGTTTTAAGTATGTGCTACTTGCAGCAGTGTGAAACTACAACTGCATATGGTTCTCCGTGCAGGCCCAGACACTGCAGGAGGCGTCCAAGCAGAAGGAGCAGAGCCCGCCAGCATTCAAGCTCGAGGACGATGGACTGAAGAAGGAGATTCAGAACCACAAGGAGACCGGCGGAATTAGTCATGATGAGGTCAAGGCCGAGGAGGGAACGCCTCCCGGTGACGCGGCGGAGCCGGAGGGGGGAATCGAGCTGGATACACTCCTTGACTTCTCCCCCGACAGCTTCTGGGATGTGCTGCCTGATCTGGCGCCCCTCATCGCCTCCTCTTCAGGCCGCACCCCTGACGTACGTCTCTTCACCCCAATTCTATTTCTTTTTTTTTGAAATTTGAGTAAGTCGGTTATCCTGTCCAATTGAGCCTGTGTTAGTTGATTATGATACGATAAGTCAGTGACAATGCAAAGGTTGTTGCGCGCTGTTACTGCTAAGAGGACAAGATTCATCTGCACGAAAGCTGCAAGTCAATCATTTGAGCCTGTGGACATCATGCTCTGTCCCTGTGAAGCCACTTGTGTAAATGTGCCAATTATTGCTGAATTACAAAATCATGAAGATGAAATGTGCGTGTGGGTGCAGGCCTGGTCTGCTAAAGTCACGGTGCCCGGATCCCAGACATATGACATCAGCGCTGACTACGTGGGCGGCACCGCTGACATCAGCCAGCTCATGGGCAATGCCGAGGTGTGACACCTCACCCTGAGCAATCCCTCGTCGTGAGCACCTGTGCTCTGCAAACACCTACACCCCTTCTCATCTTGGCAGCATGCTGACTGACACACATTGTGCACTCGCCAGCAGCTGACAGCTGTGAGATGTGCAGTGCAAGGCAACACTTGTGTACAAGCCTTCGCCCATGCACAGACTGACGTTGAATGGCAATGCAGAACAGTCTGCTTGTTAGGCCCACGCTCTTTATGGTGGAATTTGTGCTGTAAATCATGGGTTAATTGGGTCTTGCATGGATCTGGCGAGTTCAACATGGGGTAGGATTGTGGCAGGCTTTGTGTGCAGCTTTGTCTGCAGGATGTACCCTGCCTTTTGGCAGGAAACACGTGTATAATAGTAGTTGTGTGGGGTGGATTGGGCAGGTGGTGATAAAGGGCCGCCTGTCACTGGAGGTCCTGGAGAAGTTCTGTGAGGAGCTGCGCAGCTCTCGCAGCCGCACCTGCACGGCTGCACTCGTCAGGTGCGCGCAGGTGCCACCATGCTTCAATACGGGCAACAAATTGTATTATGTTGTGTTGTGTCACAAATTGCCCCATAGAATGCCCCTAGCTTCAAGCCTCTCATTTCGGCTCAGGTAAATACTTGGCTTTGTTGATAGAGAAGGGGGGCGCTTTACATCCCAAAGGACACCTCTCCATTCACTCGCCAATTTTGCTAGCGGATAGCTGCCATTCACCTGCCCATCCAGCTTATTGAAGAGTAATCTGAGCTACTTGGTTCTGTCTGTCTGGGAGTCAGGCTCCGCTGGCCGTTCTCTGTTCCAGTGTGCGTTATGCGCGAGACTTCTCGGCACAGCTGTCTTCCATTGATTTGAATCCGAATCTGCGCAGGTGCACGACGGCGGCGGAGGCCTTCAAGGAGTTGTCGGATTTGTACGAGGGCAGGCAGAGGTGCGGAGTGGCGCAGTTTGGCGCTGGTCTGGAGGCGTACCTCCTGCCGGGCTGCGAGCTGTCGGAGCGCATTTTGAAAACTGCCATCCGCGCGGCGCCCCTTGACACCCGTGGCACAATCCCCCGCGCCATCGGCGCCGCCGAGATGCTGCTGCTCTTCGTGCATCGCCGGGTGAGTTGCCCCTCCCAATCCACCCTTCCTTCCACCCTTTATGTTGCATGGAAGGAAGCATTTTACATAAATTTTAGGTGCCCCACGTGCACCCTCTGCTGTGGTTTTCTCCATATCCAACAGACTGAGAATTCCTGTGCTTGTCCTGGCAAATTTGTCATCTGCCCTGTGAACAACATGCGTATGCTGATGTAGCCCTACCGGCCGCCCACTCTGTCCATGTGTTGCGGATTATGAGACCTGCTTGTTTCATGCTGCTTCTCAAGAGTGGTTGGTACCGGGCTCCTTCCAGCAAGCCCGCTTGCATCTCATGTGTGCAAAGGGATCTGTGTTTAATGAAGGTGTCTGTCTCTTTTTTGGACAGGATTGGCAGCAGATGGAGCGCCCAACAGCCGCAGAGCCCAAGGCAGAGCCAGCGAAGGGAACGCCGTCGTCCCCAGGCACCTCTCCGCAGCACCCGACCACAGAGGCCTATGACCCCAGGGCACCAGCCCCCAACCCTGGTGGGAGCTCGCCTTTTGGCCAATTGACTTCAAGTCGATCTGCCTTTGTCATCACTTGGCTTGGTGGAATATATCTAGTATAATGCCCCCCCCCCCCCCGAGAGATGGGGTGATGAACAATACCAGGGGTGATCAGCAAAGAACCCATCAGGGTCGATTGGCCTCGCGGCCGCAGCGGGCGCCACTTATAAAGCCCCCTATCCGGGATTGAACCCCCGAAACCTTCCTAGCCCCCCTGGTAAATTTGTAGAATAGGGGTTTTGTGTTACTGGGGTTGTAAGTCTAAATTGTAGAGAATTAGTCACAAAAGCTGGCTCAGGTGCACAGTCAAGTTGGACCTCTTCTTTACCTGCTTGGATCTTTGAGCGGCTGTGTGCACCCCACCGGCACTTTGGTCAGCGTTGTACTATGGTTGAGCAGATGGAGTAGCAGTGACAGTGTGCTTGCAATATGGGGTCTCTGCAGACAGGGACTGCAGAGTCACTGGGTTAAAGTTGTGAGGATCGCCTTGCGCTGCTAACTTCTAGAGAGGATAGGCTAAGATTTGACTGTTGTCTTGGTGGATGCAGGGCAAATGGCGGCTGAGCAGGCGCCTCCCATTGCATCTCATGCCTCCCCTTTGCACAGCGGCAGAGATCCCAGGGCGCCAAATGGCCATGTCATGCAGGTGCAACCATTCTTTTGCACCGTGTTAGCTGCTGGGCAATGTGTTGTGGATGTGATGATTAAGTTGGTTGGGAGCTCTTGCTACAAAACGACTTTTTGCTGCTTCTGCACCTATTGTCATCGATCAATATCACAGCAAAGACTCGGTAGGACTGTTGCCAAAGGTCGGGTATGCAGAATGGCACATACTTGATATTTTCTTTGCTCCCCTGCACTGCCAAACATAAATGGGGATGCTTTTTCGGAACACCAATCTTCTAACAGATTTCTTGATTTGCGGGTACAGCAGCAGCAGGCGCCAAGTCAGGCCGCGGATCCAGGAGCGCCAAATCAGGCGGCAGGTCCAGGGGCGCCAAATCAGGCGGCGCAGCCTCCTCCGGGCAAAATCGAACTCGATTTCAAAACTCTGGGCGCCCTGGCGGCTGCCCTGGGAGTGGGCACCGTCAAGCTGCCCACGGCTGCCCCAACCCAGCCGGCCCTCTCTCAAGGTAAAGAACGCTGCACCACCAGGCATACAAAGGACACTGCACCACCAGAGTCTAAAGTCTGTGATTTATGTATATTATGTTGGTCTTCTCCGAAAGCTGAGTTCATGAGCTGAACCCCTTGGACTTTTGTTCGGGCCGAGAGAGGGTCGTCACAAGGCATGTTGACATCACCAGGGTAGTAGTCTCAAGGTTCCTTGTCGAATTATGCAAGCTGGTCCTGTAGAGCAAGGTAAGGAATGCATTTGGCAGGCCATGATCCGCGGATGGCTGGACAGCCGCAGCCGATGCCGTACCCACAGCCGGGGGCGTTCCCTGCTGGCCCCACAGCACAGCAGCCAGGGCAGTGGGCGCCCCAGCAGCAGCAGCAGCAGCAGCAGCAGCAGCAGCAGCAGCCCTTCCAGCAGCAGCCTGGGCAGTTTGGGCAGCCGCAGTTTGCCCAACCTGGGCAGTCTTTCCAGGCCCAGCAGCCGCCTGCACAAGCCCCTGGGCAGGTACGCCACTTGGGGACTCGTTCTGTCTGAAGTGACGAAGATGTCCAAGAGGTCATAGGCCTGTACATGATCAGACACTGTTGAAGATTGGGTTTTGGTGAGATGGAGGAGACGCCTGACTTGTGTTTTGTGCAGTCACAGGGGCCCCAGCAGCCGGTTTTCCCACCGCCGCCGACGCTGCCGCGGCCGGTGACGCTACCGGTGCCGCAGCCGGCGCCGATCACGCTGCAGCCGCCCGGTGCTACTCCGCAGCCGCGGCCGGCCGCGCCAATCACGCTACGGCCGCCGCAGCCGGCGGGGCCGCCCGCGCCCATCCGGCTGCGGCCCCCCGGCCCGATCACGCTGCGCCCCCCCGGCCCCCCCGCAGCCGCCGCCGGAGGCCGCGGCGGTGGCGGCCGGGCGCGCGGCCGTGGCGGCCGCGCAGGCCGTGACGCCGGCCGCGCCGCTGCTGTGGCGCCGGAGGCGCCTCGGAGCAGCCGCCCAAAGGTCATGGGCCCTGGAGCTGCAGGTGAGACGCACTTATGTCGGTGATGGCTTGCAAAGGTTTACACCATGTCTTGTGATTGAATTTCCATATTGCTGTTTATTTGGGAAGTCTCCAATCGAGATGTCTGTGTGCCCATGCTGCCGTAAACGGCGGTTATTTACTGAGGTACGTGCCTATGCTGTTGCAGCTGTTGCGGGCTACCGGCCGGTCTCTTCACCGGGGCATAGTGGAGAGGGCAGAAGGTGATGACAGCCAAAGGGGGAGTTTGCAGGGAGAGTCATTTGAGTTGAATGCATTGTCTGGTTTCACCGATGCATTGACAATCCATGAACAGTCGCTTCTGGCAGCAGATCGGGCGTGTACCAATATTCTGTCCTTGTCTCACATGTGGGCCTTTGAATAATTTGGTGACTGTGTGAGGACACGATGACTTGTGTGCTTGATGGTTGACGCCAGGTTTGTGCGTGGTGACTAGGATGTGAAGGCTGTCTGAGTGTGTGGTGTTCATATCAGGTCTGTCAGATGAACTCGTTTGCTGATTTGCTGACTTGAAATAATGACTAGAAGAGCAGGCCTGAGGCCATGCATGTATAGCAGGCTTCTGTGTGCTTGATATTTGTGTGTGCTACGTTTTGTGCTGACTGGCAAGGAATTGGAAGCTAATTGCACAACCTTCTGGTGGGTGGAAGCAAGCTTGAGGCTTCTGAGTACTTGATTGGCAGTGGAATTCCACTTCCAATGGCAGGCAGGCAAATCTATGTAAAGCGTTGCTGGTGCCAGCTTGAAAGCTTGCATGCTTGGACACAACAAACTTGATCCTCTCGATTACTTACTGATGCTAGTTTGCTCATATTTGCTGATCAGCAACAGCTCTCTAGGGCATGGAGAACCCTACAACAGTTGAAGGGAGATACTGAGCGTTGGTCCGTTTATCCCCTCGATGACCTAGGATGACCCAGCATCGTTCACCCAGCTGCCCGCGATGCTCGATTTCTTAACGACAGACGTGATCGCCGGCCATCGATGAACGTAAAGAGACCATATGTGCCGCCTCCTGGCACCTGAGGCCCAGAGAATCGCGTGCTTGAGGTGGGACCGATCCTCTTATACGGACGTTGGTGGGCTGGGCAGGACGAACGTATTGGGACAGCGGCAAAGGAGAGGAGAGGAGCTCCCTTCAAGGGAATGTTGGCCTTGAAACAGGTAAATTGCATCGGCAGGCGCAGGTCGATTTCGGTTTGCGGCAGGCAGCGCAGAACCCGAACAGTCGGTAGACATTGAGCGGCGGAAAGCCTCCTAGACAAGCAGAAATGCGAGGCTCTTTCCTCGGGCAGTACGCAGCGCATCTGAACGCATGAAGCATTACTTCTGGACGAACATGAGGTCGTGGGATGCGAATGGGAAGAAGGGCGCGTTCAGGCTCGAGTGGGGCAGCGCAGGATTCCCTCCATCCTTCAGTGCAAGTCAGTGGGAGTGTCATCAGCAGGAACCAATTATTGTCTCTGTGGCAGGAACAATGCTACAAATCACAAATGCAGTCCCAAATCAGATATCCAACCTGGGCTTCTAGGTGTCAAAGTTGGGCATCGGAGCAGGCAACATCTTTTTTGCACCAAAAGGCACCTGATTGGGCTGCGCTCTACCGAGAGCAATAATCAGATACATGCAGTGCGTTATGGGGGATGGTGTTAGCTGACGTAAAAGCTGAAGGCCATGTACGCCAAGGTTGCGGTCGAAGAGATGTAGCGGATAAGAGCCTTTTGATGGTGACTTTTGTTTTTCTAAAAGACCACCATGGTTGAAGAATAAGACGTTCAGGATTCTTTCCCACCCGACCAAGCAAACTGTGGCTTGCAAGGGCATCTGTCTGCCTTTCGCTTTAGCAGATTATTCACCTCCTGCCCACTAGTCAGCTCAGCTCAGCAGCAGGCAGATCAAGCAGATTTCCTGAATAATTGCGGCAGTCTTCGATCAATCATGTTGCTCCTACTGCAGATGACAGTGCAGCACTGCTGGATCTCTCCTAACAGGATGTTGATCTCTTGGTGCTTGATGCCGCAGGCCTGCGCAGCACTGGTAGTGCTGCTGCTGGCGACTGCTGCCACAGCACAGCCGCAGGGGAACAGGGAGAAGGGGCAGGCGCCAGAGGCATGCTATGACTCGCGGCTTAGTAACAGCACCGCCCGAGTGGCCTACACCCGCTCGGCCGGTCCCAGAGAAACCACCTTCACATTCCTGGTGCGTCGCTAATCACATGCATACCTCTCAATACCTATGTCATCTGCGCATTTGCCCGTCTCCTGCTCTACCAAGGTCATCAAACAGCCTCGCACTTGCCAGGTGATGTGGTCAGCTAATTATGTGGAGTCGTGTGGTGTGCTCACCACCGAGAAGGCTGAACAGAGCCCCATGTTCAGCTTGTTGTGTGAGCCTCAACACCTTTCAGAAGCCGCTTGGCAGCCAGCAGGGACCGCAGCACACATGCAGCATCTATTCTTGCAGCAGAATCAGCCTTTTGTGACAAAGCGGGCGCCGTTATCATGACGATGAAGCCTCGCGCCAATGAGGCAAATCCAAGGGGCAACAGCTGCAAGAAAAGTGCATGAGCCTGGCAGAAAAAATGCCAAGAGCGGGGCGGGGATTTGAACGCGGGTACTGTCTGTTCCATGCGCAGGTGACGCCGCAGCAGCCCATCACCACATTTGCAGTGCGCCTGAGTGATGCGCTCGCGCGAGACCCCAGGAGAATAGTCCGAGCAGACCCCAACAATGGCCAGCTCACAGGCTACAGCCCTGCAGGTAAACTTCTGACCTTGTCACTTGGGGTATGAGGATATCACATCGATTACCTTACAAATTGTCTGTTCCTCTCACTTGTTATGCCTTGTAGTGTAGGACAGCAGCTATGGGTGCCAGCTGTAATGGTCATCTTCCCTGGTGCCACATATCTCCTTCTCAGTCTTGCGCTGAGGAAGAGGGGTTGCAGAGGAGACTCGTTGGGGTTGCAAGCATTCTTGCATGAGCACATGCTGTGCCTATGCCAGGCGCTGTGCCAAAGAGTTGTATGGGGATTCTTTAGTGAGGAATGGAGAGGAATTCTGGGGTCTGCAGAGACTCCAAGTAGAACTTTTTTGTTGAGGGGGAGTTATTGAAAGCCGCTTGTGTGGCGCACAGGCGGCCCGTCATACCAATGGCCGGTGGCGAACGGGACAAGGCCACAGCAGTTTGCGCTGCACGTGACCAGTACGGGGCGCGGCCTGAACAACACAGTGCAGCTGACAGACATCTGCCAGCAAGACCTGACAATTACCGATGCGTCTGGCAGCACGGTCTTCCAGCAGCCACAGCTGTCCAGCAACCAGCCCGGCTCCTGCATGTGCGCTGCCATCTGCTCATGCATCCCCAGGAAGCCCCAGAACATTTGCTGTGACTTTGGTTTTCAAAAGATTCTGTGGGTCGGACCACCTGCTGAGCATGACTGCTCTTCCTGGGGTGTTTTTGGCACCAGGGAAAGGGGTTGTTTGCTCAGGAATGATAGTTGCAAATCCGGCCGGTGCTGACTCGGGCCATGCGCGCAGTATATACGTGGGCAACGCGACGGCTTGCGCCTACACACTGATCACAGACAAGGAGGGCGTCATGGAGCAGCGGCTACCGGTGTCCTCCAGCAGCCTCCCGCCGGCGCCGGCCCCGGCGTTCGCTCCGGCGTTCGCGCCGGCCGTCGCCCCGGAGTCAGCCGGCGCGCCGGCGCTAGCGCCGGCGGCGCTGGCATTCCCTCCGCTACCGCCGGTGTCGGCGCCCGCGCCGGAGCCCGTAACGGGCGTGCCGGCCGCCGCCGTGCCGGCCTTCGCGCCGCTGGCGGCGCCGGAGCTGTTGCCGGCGGCCGCGCTCGCGCCCGCGCCAGCGGCCGCCGCGGAAGCGGCTGCTGCGCCTGCGCCAGGGGCCGTCACGGCGTCGGTGGCGTCCGCTCCGGCCTTCGCGCCACTCGGCACCGTCTCCGCGCCGGCGTCTGTGCCGGAGGCCGCCCCGAGCGGCCCGGTGGCGTCGTACTCGCTGCCGTCGCCGTCCCCGGCGCCGGCTGCGCCGCCGGTTGAGGCGCCCGCGTCTAGTGAAGCGTCTCCCTCTCCCTCACCTTCACCATCACCATCCCCCGAGTCATCATCATCCTCGCCACCCCCGCCTCCGCCCCCGCCGCCACCCCCGCCACCGCCGCCGCCTCCGCCGTACTCTGACGCCGGCTATCGCGCAACTGTCGGCCAGAATGTGGCCGTCGCTGAGTCGGGATCCTCCCCCTCACCAGGTGCGCTCCGCCTTCAGCGTCACATTTCTTTGGATTGTATTTAGCAGGCGGCAGCCTCGAGAATTCTACACTGCAATGGTCCACACCTGGCAGCACGCCTGGCAGCGGCTGTTGTCGGGTGTTTTTGTGCATTTTGTATAGGGAGAATTCTCGATTGGGAGTTGTCACGAGAGGGGACTGAGGGGTCCTGTGGTGTGCAGGGTCCGGTTCATATGGAGGCAACAGTCCGTCACCTTCGGGCGGGACTGATTACAGAGGGTCGGACACGCGCGGAAGTGACCCGGTCGGCTCCGATACTCGGGGCAGCGACCCTTACGGCAACGGCGGCCGACCCCCCAGGTTTCACCCTTTTTAATTCCCCCGACACCCCACCAACACTCGTCTTTCGCTCTTTGCGCTGCCGTCTTTGCACTAGCACACGAGATCTCATTGTCATGTCCTTCACACCCTTCACTGCACCGCAGGGGCTGAGCAATTACTTTCTTGGTTGTCCGAGCTGTGGATGGGAAAGGTATTGATTTTTTTCTTCACGCTGCCGAGGCAGTGGCTTCCCGCTCAGTGGCACCCACACAAGCAGCAGAACTTTGAAAGTCAAATTCAAATCAAACACTGCATGCAAACAGGCCCCCGGGAGCGCCGCCGTTGCCGCCTCTACCACCGCTGCCGCCGCAGCCGCAGCCGCCGCTGCTGGTCTCAGAAAATGACGTTGCTAGCCCGAGCCCAACCCCCTAGTCAGGCCGGGTTTTACTGGGGGCAGCAGAAGTTGCTAGTAGTATTTTTGGAAGCGTTGGGCGGCGCGCCATTCTGTTTGAAGGGCTGCAGAGCACTGCTGGGAGTCCTGAGCTGTGGCTGTTTGCCCTTGGTTGCTCACTGGCTGGAGCATGGTCCAGACCTCTTCTGGTACATAAGAGACAGGCTGCCTCGTTCCTAGAGCGGCACGCCGTGAATTCTGTACTGAGCGCCAGAGCATACCAACAGGCGCATGAATGGTGGGAGTTCTGACTTGTTTGTGCAGTGCGTGGTAGAACAAGGTGCCTGCCTGAAAAATGGCAGGCTGTGGATGGCATCTGGTGTTCCTGTCTGAAACTCAAAGTTCCGAACTCAAGTTTGCTTTCTGCGTTCCGCAAATATTGAATGAATGTTTTGGAAACGAGGGCTGAGAGGCCCAGAGTGTGGATTGACCTTATTTATGAGCACTGATTGGGAAGTCCTGCAAATTGACGCAGAGACAAATTGGCTGTTCAGCAAATCTATTTTGCGGAGGATAGGTGTAGAAGAATTGCCATTGAAGAAGATGCTGTCTATTGTTTGCAGTGAGGGCGCACACACTTTGGGTGAGAACTTGAACAGAAAATGTTCAGGCCCAGCATAATTTGGATAGGAGCCCATGTAATTAAAGCATCAAATTTCAGGAACAAGTGGCTTGCAACATCCAATCATACTTTACAAAAGAGGAGCTGACCAGAAAAATAGAGTGTGTACATGTCTACCAATCACATCCAAAGTCTTTTTCAATAACACAATTGGTTGTTTGCCAATCTGCTGTGCTGCAGACCAATATTTTCCCACTCTGTCCATACACAATTAAAAATTCCGTGCTGTGGGTCTGCAGATGTAATGTTTCTGCTGCCATTCCAACAGGACCGTCGTGTGACATCCTTTCTCCTCACATTTTTTCTCCTCACAGCAGATTGTCTTGTGAGCTGAACTACAAGAGTGCACTATTCAACATTTGCAAATTTTATTTTTGCTCTCACTCATCTCACCTGCATTCACCTGAATATGTCCTCAAAGCATGCGCATTCTTGCACTCTCTGCTATGGCCGTGGGGGCGTTCCCTCCTCCCGCCAATTCAAGCCCGATGACTAATTCGGCACGGCGTGCGTCTATTTTGCGCGTTCCCTCTCGAGCAGCATCTCCATTGTGCGCGCGTATGCCGCGTCCCGCGTGGCCTGGGGCAGGACACAAACTCTTACACAATCCATTCTCAAGAAAAGGCGCACAAGGCGCTCATCATGGATCCCTTGCATCAGCTCACTCGTAAATCAACTTTTACAACTGTACCACTTCCACTGCGAGGCAGCCCGTTCTCCTTACTTTTGGCACTCGATCCGCTGTGATGTTCGCAGATCATTCACTCTAATTGCATGTGCATGTGCATGATGAAAGAGATAAGCCTTTGACAGCCGCAGCAGCCGCCTCGGGCTAGGCCGGCAGATCGGTTTCTGTGCCCCTGCTTCAGGAATGCACTAGTATTCAGGGCACCAAGAGCAGTACCTTCTTGTATGCAAATTGCAGCCGATCGAACTGCATCTGCTCGCGCTCCTTTGCCGCCTCAAGCTCCTTCTTGCCCTGTTCAATCATCACCAGATTGCGCCTCGAATCCCTCAGCGCTGTCAACAGCACCTCCTCCAATGCCGTCGGCCGCCTGCGCAAATTTGTCACCCCTCAAACTCTACAACTGCGGCCAAAGGAAGCCCATCTGGCAGGCATATGGCAATTACAAGGTAAGTGTGCACAAATCAACGGCAGTGAAGGAGCCATTAGCACATGATAAATTTAGTATGTCGTCCAAAAGGTAAAATGGATCTGGCGACCGGACCCGCGACCTTTGTCAGGAACCCGGGCACACTCTCTCTGCCATATCTTGTAGTGTTTTTCCAGGGCAGCTGGCGTGCTGCAAACAGGGGAAATGGGGTAGAAGATGAGGGACTCACGGGGGCTCATGTTTGCGCTCGGCAGGCTCTCCCGCAGTGAGCACTCCTGCATCCCCCGAGCGCTTCAGCGCAGCCTGCAGCGCCGATGCGAATTTGCTGTTGCCGGTCAGTGCTGGTGGCACGTCCACACCTGCATCGCTGTCGCCATTGTCCAATTCTGTGCGTTCGCTTGTGCTCTCCTCTGCCTCTGGCTCGGCATGTGCGCGCAACTGCCTGCACTTCTGCTGCTTTGATCGCCATGATAGCCCCTGCTGCAGATATATAAACATGATCAGAACGCCACACCATGATTCTGAATCCGCCTGTAGAGGGTGCATGTGCTCCTGATGGGGAAGACCCTGAGGCTTGCTCGGCCAAGGCACCCATTCTGACAAGCTTCCGGTACATGATCGTCCAAGATTGCGTTTGCTGAAATTGGATGTTCCAAGTTGAGGCACCAGGGCGTACGAATTTTATTTTGCCTGGCATCAAGAAATGGGACCAAGAACAGAGCATATCAGATGTTCATAGTAGACACTAGGAGAGTGCAAGCAGTACAAGTGACATGTCTATTCGACGCATGACGAGTTTCATGCAATGTCCTGAGCGACTAAACCTCCTCGGGGTTTGATATCCAGTGCCATCATGATGCCATGACAGAACCAGCAGAGCATTACCCTGATGCATCTGCGGTCTACTGATGGCAGTTGTGGAAAGAAGAAACACGAAGCTGGCCTTGCGAGCGCTGCTGATCTAGAAATTACCACAGTGCTTCGACTCCCCAGCCCCTGCATGCCAAAAATGTTCATGGCCACAGATATCGGCGCGGCCCGTGCAGCGATAGTGACAGCGAGACAAGTCCAAAAGAGAGTCTGCGGCACCAGTTGGCTGACTGACAGTTCTCGTGTACGACCTCTCGCTCGTGGAAAGCGCTCCAAGACCATATCCTAGGATCTTGCAGAATTCGTTTCCTATCTTGGCAGCTCCGAGACGAGTTTCGGAACGCGCTCAGACTTCAACAAACAGAAGGCCCACCAGCACCGCATAGTCAAAGTCTATGACCTTGAGATCTTGTCACAGTCACCCTCCATGCGAGCTTATTTCTTCTCCTCACGCTTGATTCTCGTTCCAGGATACACTTGTAAAAGTACATCGAGCAGGGCATCGCCCCCTCAGGCAAGGTGTAGATTCAGATTGCATGCATCAGGCAACAGCAAGGTAGAGGGACCACCTGGAACATTCGATCACAGATCTGTGATCGCGTCGAGCGCCAGCCAGATCATCGAGACACGCTACCCTCAGCTGCTAGACTTGGCTCAGAAAGGCAAGACCGTCATGTCTGTTATCCCATTTCTTTAATTTCCTGTTGTTTGCGCGGATATTTAGGTTTCAAAGGCCATCTGACATCCTGTTATGCTGTGCCAGGAGTGTTGGCAGGAATACAAAGACCTGCAGACTACTCTGAGCGCCGGACAGATGGCTACAGGGTACGCAATCCAATGACATTAGTCTAATTTTCTGTTATAATAAATCAATCTTGTTGGCTCATGCTTCAAGTGTCATGGCCAGGAACCAGAGCTTGTGTTTGTGGTCGGCACTGCCCACTTCTCAGAGCAATCTGCAGACGATGTCGCGCGGGTCATTGAGGTAACATCAGTGCATGCCAGCACTTTTGCCCTTGCAAAGCCAATATCATGCAAGCAAGGCATGAATTACATCCTGAAGGATTGGTCTTGGATGTCCTTGTCTTGTGCCCCTCCTCGTAGTACAATTGGGGCAGCTGAGGACTCCTGTAGAGTTTAGAGTTTAGAGTGCCTAATCGGCTTTTCTACTTGTTCTCCTTGTGAAATTTGGGCTCGCACCATTGCTGTGGCTACTAGACTTCTCGAAGATGGGCTAGGGACGTTGCAGCTGCCAGGAATTGTGCAGGCGATTTCTGCAGGATCCCTGGCAGCTGCAGAGCCCCCTCACATCCTGCAGCCACGTCTTAAGAGGTTTTAATAGCTGCAACAAGCGCTGCACTCCCTGCTGGTGCACTCGACAAGAGCTTTTTTACATTACAATTCACAGCGGGCTGAGGTGGCGTGTGCTGGCATGGCAGGCAGTGCAGCCAGAGAATGTGGTGCTGGAGGTGTGCAGGAGCCGGGCTGCAGTGATGTATGATGCTCCTGCAGAACAAGCCGGGCCGTCCGGTCGCAGCCAGGGTCCCAATGGCATGAGCCTCAGGTGTGGCTTGAGGACCCCACAAGGACCACTTCCTTCTCCTAGAAATCCGAGGAAGAGTGTTGCCCAAGAAGAAGTTTGAACGCAGCGCGCTGAAAGATTTGTGGGTGATGGAGTGAAAGAGCACAGCCAAACCTGTGCATACCAGAACAGCTGTAATTGAGAAGGGAGCGACCCATCAAACACTTGCTATGTCGCATGCACGTCCTGCGATACACGCGTGATTGCCGTGGCTGGAAATGCAGCGGGCCAAACTTTGCATCGGCGCTGCTGCGGAGTGCGCGGCTGGGAGGGAACACCGCGATGCTGCTGCGCGCCGTGCTGTCGGCGCAGGCCGACCGCGTCTCGGCCGCGCTCGGGACGCGCTCCGGCGTCGAAATGCGCGCCGGCCGCCGCGCCGCCGAGCGCATCGGGGCGCAGATAGTTCTTGGTGGGGACCAAATACAAGCAAAACGTGGAGAATTTTTGCGTAATTTTTGGCCTCGTGGCCGTCTTCGTTTTTTGAGTGCAAGTGGAGCAAATACCATTGCATGTGCATGTGACTTGCTGTGGAGCAAAGCAATGAAATAGATGATAGCTGGTGCATGCGTTGTTCTTTACGCCATTTCCAGATGAACATATTTGCGAGCTCAACGCTTTTGTTTCATACTTATACGCTGGATGGTCGACATATTTCGAAATGCATACCTGCTGTTCTTGAGATGTGTGCAAAAGGCATGTTGATTGACCTCCTCCCGGCTGCACGGCAGGGGATCGGCCGATAGAGATAACGCTGCAGAGGGCGTGGTCGGCGCTGAGCTGGCGCCAGCGCGCACGATTAGTCGACGCGCTGTGGCAGAGCCAGGGGCAGACCGCTGACATCAGCGCTGACGCCATGGAAGCCATGAAGGACGATGATGTCATCAGCTCCGTGCTTGCCGAGTACAGCGCAGCCTTCCCAGAGGTGACCCTCAATCATTGTTGCCTGCTTTCCGTGATTCTATATTCTCCCCAGAAACAACAACAGGCTGCGGTACATATAATTTGCGTGGTCAATTCTTGGCAGCCACATCTTTCCATGCCAGATCTCCCAATGATTACGGGTCTGCATGGGCTGTCGTGTGCACATTTGAGGCAGAGGATGTCGTTGGGTGATGTCCTGCAACCGCAGCAAATCTTGTGCAGGGTGCCTTCTCAGTTTCCTGCCAAGTAGTGGAAGTCCATAGCTCATTCATGGGTGAGTCTGTATCCATGACTCGTGGGATGTCCATCAATCATGACTAAAAATGACCTTGTCTCAAATTCACAAAACCTTTCTCAAGACCCGGCAATGCCACAGGTGGTGGGCCCGCTGCTGCATGAGAGGGACATGTATCTGGCGTGGTCCCTCAAGCGCTCCAAGGCGGTCAACGGCAGCCGCTGCGTTGTGGGGGTGGTCGGCAAGGGGCACCTGCGGGGGGTCCTCTACCACTTAGTCACCCCTGGATCCAGCGGGAACCTGCGCTTCAGGTTCAAATTCAAATTGAGTTTATGGATTCGAAATGAAGGTTGGGGACTGTGCAAACTATGGGAGCAGTGTACAGGCAGTCCTGGAGGAAAGCTTTCCCCCTCTGTTGTCATAAAATGGTGTGCCTTGTAGGGAGGATGCTGAGCTTCAAGTGAAGGCCATGTTAGTCAACGGCTCACTGGTGCTGATCACCGCTCTTAGAAAGTATAGATACTGTAGACCCCTTGTTCATTGGCATCGATGAAGAGCTTCTTGACTTTGTTTTGTGCTCTCCCTAAGCAGCCTCAGCATGTCATTGAGACCAGTGGCTTGTGCAGGGACCTCGTGGGAGGCAAGAATGCCGGACTCAGCCAACGGCAGCGGCTGCAGAAGGCGGCAAAGAGGCTGGCGCTGGAGGCGCTGCTAGCTGGCGGCTGCTATGTGGCCTGGACTGCAGTATTCCCTCCAGGATGACTCAGAACGACTGAGTCACTGGACCACTCTCGTGAATTGGTTGGAGACCCTCTGTCTCTGAGGCCTAGCCTATGGTGCAGGGCGTGTGGCAGGCACTGTGGACATCTGGAGTCCCTTGTATGATCTGTGTTGATCATCTTAGAATGATGATCAAGAGTCCTCTGAATGGGATTTCATCCCATCGGGACACAGTCATTCGATTGATTAAACTGTACACTGTACCATACTGACATTGCAAATGACTGGACCAACGCATACACAAACTATGGGAGGAAGCTTAAGGGTAGCTGTTAGGGTACTTTGGTACTTTGGGTACTTTGCATAGCCAGAATTCTTTCTTCATGCAGGTTGCAATTGGGCTGCATTGGTTGGGCGTCAAAGAGGGTCTTTCGTTCATCCAACGTGCTAATGTCCCTGCGTGAAGGCAAGTATGAGTCTGTAGGAGTCCATCTGCATTGCAGAGGAATTTTTATGTGTCTGGAGACTCCAGAGGCAACCACCAAGAGCCAGAAAGTCAGCATCAACATGCGGTGGTGTATTCGTGAGATTAATTGAATTATTCTAGGTATAAAGAATGCAGTGGTGATCAGCAGAAGACGAAATGGTCGGAACACACGTTCTAAGGCCGGTCCTAGAAGTGGGATAAATTGCTAAAATTGGAGACAGGTGCTCCAGCAGGGCGGGGAATGTCTCTCGAGAGGCTCTTGCTTCCCGGGATGCTATTTGTCATGCAGTAAACCAGGACAGTATGTTCAGTATCGATGTGAAACATGATCGAAAAACTCATTTGAAGCCAAACATGAAACCCCTAATGCTCGGCCTCCTTTGGTTGTCTGCATGTGTGGTCGATGCTGCAACCTATGAAAAGACAAGCTCGCCCGTGCTGAGCAACAATGGGCCTTTCTTCACTACTAACTTCGGTGTACCAATTGCCAACAATAACGCATCTCTCACTGTCGGATCGCGAGGTGTGCCTGCTATCTTTTTCCGCTTCACCGGATGCCGGGCATTAGATGTCGAATTTGCCTACCTGTCCGTCCGAAAATTGCCAGATCATGGCTGGTATGTTATGAATAAGATTCCACAACAGCTTTCTCTAATCTTCAGGACTCTGTTTACTATAGAATCGAGATGGAACCTGTTCCTCTTGACAGCCGACATGACAACGTCCAGCTTGCTTGTGTTCACGCAGATTGCACACTTTCGAAATTGTCGGAAGCGTGTCCAGCAGCTTATTTTCAATCAGATTGTCAGATTTACAGAGAGACTCGTGGTACACTTTTTATTTGCCAGGTTAAACGGGGTCAAAGAAGAGAGCTTGTTGCTTCACAGGCCCTGTGCTGCTTGAAGACTACCAGATCTTGGAGAAGATTGCGACTTTTGACCGTGAAAAGATTCCCGAACGCGTGGTGCATGCCAGAGGCGCCGTAGCGAAAGGGTATTTCGAGGTCGATTCGCTCGTCCTGTTCCATCCAGCCTCCTTCAACAATTGCAATGTTGGCTAGTGATGGAGCTTCATGGTAACATCCAAACGAATGTGGCTGTGATGTTACTGGGGCCACAAAGTATCAAGCTGCCCACAGCTCATACCTATACTGCAGGTGACGGACGACATCACCGCGCTAAGTTTCGCAGACGTCTTCTCCGAGGTCGGCAAGAAGACCGACATCATCGTGCGCTTCTCGGTCGTGACAGGCCCGTCAGGCTCGCCGGAGTGGCTGCGCGACCCTCGTGGCTTCGCCATCAAGTTCTACACCCAGCAGGGCAACTGGGACCTTGTCGGCAACAACATCCCTGTGAGTGCAGCGCTCCCCACATGCAACGCCTGCCTGTATCCTGAGCACCAGTACAGCACCAGCTACAACCTTACAGCCTCATGGCCTACCAGGGTTGTTGCCGATCTGTTTTGCAGCGGCTGCCTTGTCACAGACCCCTGTTCATTGTGAAAGCCGAGTCTTCTCACGCCTCATTGGTGGATGCATCACAGTTCAGCAATGGCAAGCGCACGCAGAGGACAAGTTCCTCTGAGCCAGCAGAGCACTTACAACTCTGCACGGATCATCACACCACTTTTGCATGCATGCATGCAGGTGTTCTTCATTCGCGACGGCGCGCAGTTCCCGGACCTGGCCCATGCTCTGAAGCCCAGTCCAGTCAACCACCTGTCGCCAGGCTGGCGCACCGCCGACTTCCTGTCATACCACCCGGAGAGCATGCACATGGTGTGCTGCTGCCCACTTGCTCCCAGCACACCTACTTTGTCTGTCAATGTCCAGGAAGCAGGTTCTGAAATTCAGTGGCGGCATTGACACCTACAGACAGGATCCTAAAAAGCCTTTGATTGCTGGTTATCTGACAAATGGCGCTCGCAATGTGCAAATTTTATTGTGTGCTTTTGCTCTGGTTCTTAATGCCAAACTTGCAGAATTGGCAAGTGGCGCTCATACTGGCTTCAAGCTTCAAGGTTGGATGTATGCCCCCCTTCCTGCTGTAAATGCCAATAGTGCAGACTATGGCATTCCCTTCTGCGCAGACCTGGCACAGACAGGCAATGCCATAGTCAAACCTGCAGACCTGACTGGCAGACAACTTTTGTCCCCAGGAAGGCTGCCTGATGCACAAGACAGACAGCCTCCTTCAAGCAAGCAGCATGAGGCAATGTGCGTGCAGGTGACTTATCTACTTGATGATGTGGGCATACCGGCAGACTACCGCCACATGAACGGCAGCAGTGTCAACACATACTCGCTCATCAACAAATCCGGCGGAGTCAACCTCGCCAAATTTCGCTGGGTGCCCTCACAGGGTGAGGCCCTGTTTCATGCACTATCTCAGGGCAGTAAATATTGAACCTGGACTTTGATTTTATGGCAATGGCCAATAGCTAAGCTGCATGGCATTGCTTGCTTTGTGCACAAACTGCTATATATATTGCTTTTTAATATATTGGCATCTTTGCACTTGTGCTTTTTAAGGATGTGCATCACACGCAATGTACTGCCAATCATGAGGTTGAAGGCAAATAGGTCTTCAAGCAGTTGTTAAATGGAGCAGGAGAAGCGACGCCAAATAAGCTTTTAGTTGCTACCACTAGTGCATAAACTGCTTGATCTGCCAGAATCTGCCAGGATCTGTAGACATTTCATTGCTGGTTCAGGGCAAGGCTCCTGAACTCTGTGACACGCTAATTGTCCAACAATGAGCAGGACATTCTCACCTCCTCAGGTGAGAAGTATCTATTGGACGAGGACATTGGCAAGGTGGCCATGGCACACCCGGACGGCTCCTCTGCATCTTCAGATCTCTACACAGCCATCGATGCCAAGGAGTATCCGGAGTGGTACCTGTACATCCAAACCATAGACCCCTCTGCGTCGACAACCCTCGCATTCGACCCCCTGGACCCTACCAAGGCAGGCCATGATCCTCTCTTCTTGCACCACCATGCCATGCAGTGCGCGCTTGCATGCATGTGACACATGCTACCTCGTGAATGCACCTATTTGTGCAGCGCGCAAGCCTCTCCTATTGAAGCCACAACTCAATTTGCGGTCCGCTTTCCTGCCATATATGCTGTTTGCAGCTCTGCAGCATGAAGATGTCTGTCCTCTCATGTTTGAGAGCCATCCTGGAAAGCATTCTCTACTGTAAGCCGTGAGATGTGATAAAGGGGAAACAAAACAGAAGTCTTTCGAGGCCCCTTGGTTTGGACATGAACAGTGGTGCATGGGCCAGGTTTGGCCGGAGGAGCAGTTCCCAATGCGGCGAGTGGGAAAACTGGTGCTCAATCAGAACGCTGGCAACTTCCACAACGAGAACGAGCAGCTCGCATTCTCGCCTGCCCACATCGTGCCAGGTCAGCATGCGCCCGCCTCCCTGCCTGAAGTCTGATTGGACAGAGCTCTTCCCTCGCCTGATGTCGTGTTCATTTTCTTGGTTGAGACTATTTTGAAGAGTGTTTTGAAGCCTATTCCTAGAATTCTGTGGGCCCACAACAAAGGTAGTGGCAAATCTGCCAGCATTTGGCCAAAAATATTTACAGCACATTTGCAGCATTAAAGGCTGTAGCATGCGTGCCTGGTTTAGTACAGCTTCCTGCTATTCACCCGCAAGCTTGTGTCATGCATCTCCATTGTCAGCAGTCTTGAGGCACAAGAGGCAATCCTATCTTCCAACAATCAGAAATTGACTTCAAATTCAAGTTCAAACAGCACTGACTGCCGCGCAGGCATTGGGTACTCGGACGACAAGCTGCTGCAGTGGCGGCTGGTGGCTTACGATGACACTCAGCGCTACCGCATCGGCCCCAACTTTGGGCTGCTCCCAGTGAATGCACCCCGCTGCCCGGTGTACACCACTCGCCAGGACGGGCCCCTAAACAGCGCCAATCAGACCGGGGCCGTCAATTACTACCCCTCCGACTTTGCGAGCCAGGTCAGATACTTCTGCTCCCTTTGAAATTCAAATTTCGAATTGGAGAACAGCCTACAGAATTGTGGCTTTGCTTTCTATGCCCTGTCATTCTCTGCTGCATAATTCTTCATGTAGGCCAGTAGACCTGGGATGATCACGTCTGTATTTACTCGCGCATGCAACAACAAGCTGACGAAAGCTAGTTAAACTCCTGATCTTGTCCCAATCCCTCCCTGACCTCACCCGTAACCTCACCCTAATCTTCCCCAAATCTCTTTCATGATGTTTCCGTTTGGCTGAGACTTCTCTGATCCCTGACCATCCTGGCTTTCCTCTGATCTCTCTCTATCTCTCACTTTTCACTTCTCTTGATTGTCTGACACTGACAAAGCTCTTGCATGAACAGCCGCTGGCGGCACCATACCCTGTGGACAACAGCAGCGTGGGGCCGGCAATGCGCGTGCGCACAGTCATCGACAAGACGGACAATTTCTCGCAGGCCGGCGCGCGCTTCCGCTCCTTCGACTCGGCGCGGCAGGTGCGCGCATGCCCCCGCCCCCTAGTCAAGGAGAGATGACCGCTAACAACCTGTGCTTATAAGTTGGCTAGCACTGCTAAGCATCCCGACCTTGAACATGTTAGGGGTTGCGCGCTGAAAATATAGTCAGAGAAACAACCGCACATGCAAATATATGGTGCAATTGCATGCTGAGGCAGAGCGCAACAGTTTCTGCAACAAGAACAAGCTCGTGCGGAAATCTGTGCCTTAAAGCCAGCAGGAACGGTCCCTGATGTGCAAGTGGCTTCCAGCTACAAATCACAATGGCTTTTTCTGGCTGTGGCAGAACCCGAGGCTGTTGCATTTGAGTCAGACATGCTGCAGCTGCAAGTGAGCCTCTTGCATTTCAGTGCATGCACACCACCAAGATTCAATGCTCTCCTCATGCGCGCAGGCTCGGTTTGTGAAGCGGCTGAGTGGGCTGCTGAGCTCGCCCATGGTAACAGACGGCATCGTGGCTCGCTGGATGTCCTACCTGCAGCAGATGGACAGCAGCCTGGCCTCACAGGTGATCCCTTTACCTGTCTGCTTATCACAACTGCTCATTAATCGATGGTCATTGCTTGAGGCTTCAGATAGAGCATACATAATGCTCCTGTCCATGAGGCTCAGCACAGGAGAGCAGATCAGACATGGTGATTACTACTCATGCTCTTGCATGTTCTCCTGGGTGGGTCAGTAGTATTTAAACAACAACTCAAATTCAAATTTTCGTGAGGCTGTCTGCTACTTGTGACAGGTGTCCAGCTCTGTGGGGAGCCCCAAAGCCGCGGCCAGCCCCGCCCTGGGACCGGCTGTGATGCAGAGCTCGACAGGCCGCAGGATGGCGTAATCAATATAAACATAATCATGAATTCAAATTCAAATTTGAAGATGTGCCTGTGCAATCACAGGGCAATTCCTGATACACGCAATGTGTCAATAGAACATGAGTCTCAAGCCTGGTTGGGTGATCGATGATCAGTAATGACAGATTTAAAGGAAGGCAAGTCAGCGTGCCATCAAAGGGTGACGGGGGCTGGATCCCAGATGATAGATTAGACTGGCAAGGACTCGGTAGAGAACTTAAAGATCTTCTGAACACAGCTGTCTGCATTGTGATGCAATCTCTCCTCTACATAACAAATAAAGAATTCTTGAGGCATCTAACTCAAGGCTTCTTCACCACTCGGAGCAGCGGCCCGACAGTGGTCTGCGTCTGCAGCAGCGTTCCTGAGCCAAGCAGGTCCCTCACATGCCACCTCATGCCCAGCGGCGAGCTGTGCAGCTTCTTCTTTTCCAGCTCCTTCACAAACATCTCCGGGTGGCGCCGCCTCGTCAGCATCCCCAACAGCTCCTGAGTCATGGACACACCCGCCACACAATAAGGGATTATGCATGCACATCATGCTACATGTTGAATGAGCCAACAATGAAGCAGAACCATGTCTTACATATATGATGCCACCAGGAACGAGCGAAATGCATGTGTTGGTCAGTCCCACTCAGCCACGGCAGGCTGCCTAAAGCTTGTGATGTTTCAGGAGATCACATTATTGCCTTATGCCTCGAGGCCGCAAGGCCTGTAGTCAGAAGTGGGTATTTATGGAGTGACACCAATGCTGCGATTTCAGACCCCAGCGGCAAAATGTGCCTCGTCTGATATACTGTATATACCTAGCTGATCCATGACAATAGGTGGTCACCTTGCGGCCTGCTATGATGCCCTTGACGACAGGGCCGGCGTTGGGAAGTGCAAAGAGGAATCTGCCGGGGACTGAGTGGCGCGTGAGCAACCCCACATGCAGCAGCAGCGACACATGCGCCTCCGTCACCCTCTCATGCGATTCATTCCCCCTGAGCACATGTCGCGCACGAATCAACCACCCTGGCATGCGATTTGCGAAACAAAATCGCTCCTTGAAATCATTTCAGGCTTGCTTTCAAAACCCCGTATGAATGGAATCTGTACTAGGAGATCACTATGCGCCTGTTGAGTACAAGGTATATTTTGTCCTTCAGTCAGAAGATCCTTGCTGCTGTTGCATATGCGGAGCTGGGACGCTGTGCTCACCTGTCATCTCTCGACAGGTGCCACATCAGGTCCTCGTGAGAGATGTCAATCCCTGTACACTGGGGCAGCACTCGCTGCATGTACCATTGGAATACCGCCAGCACAATATCCACTGTGCCTTTCTCCTGTCCGACAAGCCCAAGCCCAACTTCAGCTTCACAGATAGCCACCAAGCCGCCACAGAACACCTGAATTTCCTGCTTCTCTGTTTGCCAGATGGGTGCGAAACTGCAGAGTTCTGCCCCCGTGGTATCCAATGACTCCAGCAGAGAAGCTACAAGCAGCTGCGATTCCATGTGCATCAGGCCGCCAGGCATTATGAGCTAAAGGAGAGCAAAAACCTTTTGCACATGCTCTAGCCTGCTGATGAGCGCTTGATAGTCTTCGATTGGCAGGTAGGCATAGACGTCTTGCAGTGTAAGCAGCTTGAACATGCGCAGCTTGTTTTGAAGCCTGCAGCACATGCGACTGTCAGCATTGACACCTCAAGCGAACCCTCATTCAAGCAGCATTGATGCTGCAGTTTTGTTGCAAAATGCATGTGCGACATTATTGTGTGACTGCTGGCTACAAGCAGCAAGTAAATTCCTATATGGTATGTGCGGTGGAAGGTTCAGGCGAATGCTGCCCACCTGAGCTCATCCAGTTGTCTGTCCACCACCGTCCTATCTTTGACAATGCTGTATATCTGCGATCGGAGCACTAGAGGTGGGACATCCCTGCTCCAGCCTGAAGGGAACTGGGCTCTTAGCAGCAGCACTGCTGCAAGAGTGTCGCTGGGAAAATTGCTGAAATCGTCTTCGTCGACCTCTTCAATGTTTGCTGGCAGATCTGGCGCCTGTTCTGTGTCAGGCACTGCAAGAGATGCCTCTCCTGGTTTGTTGCCTTCATGCGCTGCCTCCGAAGCGGACTGCGACAACAGTAAGAAGAAGAGCATTCGGTATATACCGTTTGGATGCTAAGTAGAGCAGGCTATTAGTCGGTGCCTCGATCATATACTTCAAGCAGTGGAGGTCTGCAAGATCTAAGGATCCAGCTCTTTCTTCGCATCCGGAGTAATCTGACCACCAGCACTTGAGCTGCACTTTTCCACAGTCATCATCCAATCGCCAGCATTTTTATCGGCGATGATCACTGGCGCGGTGTGGACATCTTAGACCATCAAGGAAACAAGATGTTCACCTGAAGATCATCATCGTCATATATCCTGATGAGCCGCCTTCTCTTTGGAACGCGAGCCATGTCTTCTCGTCAACTAGGGTCTTCTTCCTGGATGCACAGTCTCAAATCTGGGTCCGCCAAGGCAGCTTCTCCCATTATGAAGGTTAGTCACCTGAGGTTAGTCACCTTGATAATGACATTCGACAGGGACGGTGAATGGGGATGATGCTCTTGTGTTGGTATTTTCAGGTCGGCAAATCCAAAGCCAAAGGATATACACGCAGGGCGTCTGCAGCCGCGTCTGCGGGGCCCGTGTGTTGTTAAAAGCCACAGCAATCATGCATGGAATACCGTAGCTCATGCCTGCAGTGGGAGCCGGCACATGACTCATCGGATGCCCCACGAGACGGCACATTTGACAACACTTACTCCACCGTTCAGTGTGACACTCTTAAGAACAACTGGGGAACAACGTTTGGAAGTCACTGTGCCTGTTAGATGACAGGGATCGATCTGATCATACTATGATGCATGGACATGACCCGCATGCTCATGCAATTGGCAGCATCTTCAAAGGGCGCAAACGCAAGCACTGATTTACAATGGACAAAATACATATTCAAGAAGTCCCTCAACTGATTGCTACCTACTTTCACTACATAATACATTGGTTCCCAGGACAGGATTCTCAAAGTAGTGGAGCTGCTTAGTCACAGGTGTGCTGCTGTGCCCTCCCTGTAAGCAACGTCCTGGCAACTGTTTTATTGCAGGCAACTGGGCAGACCCTTTGTGCACCAAAGCCACATAAGATGCCTGGAAGAACGCACGCTGCGACCCCTGACACTTGTCTGGCTAAAACAGCTGTTTCCTGCCAGCCCTGCCGGCAAGCATCTGCTCTTCAAGGCAGCAGCTCCAAGCAATCCCAGTCAGCATGCTCGCATCGGTGCTGCATGCTCGCTACTGCTTCGGAGGCCCCGGTGGAAGTCAACTGGTAGGAACATGCTGCAATTTCAGGGCCGCCCCAGCTGTGCCTCAAGCGGAGGGCTCCAGTGCGAGCACTGCCAGAGCCTCTTCCACCTCAATCCAGTCTCTCACTCGCCTGATCCGGTCATGCGTGGGCCTGCACATAAAGGCAAACCTTGCATTGAGCACTCCGCACTTCTTTCAATTAGTGCCAATCACATCACCACTGGCGAGCAATCCTTAGAGCCACCGGTGGCACAAGTGGTAGTGCTGCCATCATCTCAGAACACCCACCAAGATAAACATGCTTTCCTCAAGTGTATGGCAGATGTGGCCAACAGCACAGATGAGATTTCACTGAGAATCAAGGCCCCTCACCCGTCAGAGGTTTTGCTCCAGGGGTAGCTCGAGTTCCAGTCATACAGCAGCACATCAATGCCAGCTGTCGCGCACTCCACTGCATAGCGGGGGTTGTCATCTATAAGCACCGTCGCGCCGATCTCCCTGGGACCAAACAGCATATAATGATTAAAAACCAACCAACCCATGGCACTCGCAGCCTGCCTCTCTTACAGTGCCCATGACATGCTCAGTGTCCCAAGCCAACAAGCCTGTGGTCAACAAATTCTGGGCAGAATGCAGTAGGAGCTGATGCCCGCAAAAGCACAAATGCTTGAGATCCACGTCACTCGCCCCAAACCTTGTAAATGGCGCACTCTGGCGACACAAGACCCCGCAAACGACTACTTTAAAGCGACCAAGCCTGGGGAAATCCTGCGGCGTACCTGCAGATCTCTGACTTGGCCTTGGACTTGCCCTCCAGCGCCCAGTGGTTGCCAAAGTGGACCTCTGAGAAGATGCCTGGAAAGTGCTTGTCCACCCACTCCAGCGTTGGCTGCTGTATGCAGTGCTGCCGCGATGTCACAACCACCAGCTCGCAGCTCTTGCCCAACCGCTGCAGGCTGTGCAGGGCGCCTGTGATGCAATATACAGGAGCCTCAGCCTTGCTTGGCATCACCCTTTCTATGCAGTAGAGTGTCAAATCGAGCAGCTAGGAGCTAGGAGCTGTGTCGCGTGGGAGTAAGAAAAAGTGCTACAGTATGTCAATTTGTCTGGCATGCTGCCTCCCTTGTTCAAGATGTTGCAAGAGGTCCTGCACAGCGTGGGGAGTCCAAGGACGTGCCTGGGATCGGCAGAATGCCTGCTGCAAAGTGCCGCGACTTGAAGAAATCGTGGACTATGTGATTCGATTCATCCGTTGAACAATTCCATATCTGCAGTAGCAACCATCAGGTTGCTTGAAGACAAATAGACTAGAATATTTAGCAATAAGCAAATGCCACGGTGCAATACAGGAGGCAATGAGAAGCAACAAGAGGCAGCAGCGCACCTTTGCGAATTCATATACAGAGTAGTCTGGGATGTCATACTCGAGGCCATACTCCTCGTGGCAGAACTTGTTTAAGCTATGCAAAAATCTGCCCAAAACTGCAGTCACACAGAACCATCAATTACATGTCATTCGTTGCACGCATGCTGATTGTCTGCATGGTACAGACCAAAGGCTTGGCAATCAGGAAGTTCACAACGAGGTGGATGTTCAAAAGCCGTCCTCACCTTCATCGACATCCACTGCCACTCGCAATTTGGCTCGTCTCCTCTGCTTATGCACATTCGGCTCCCGTGGTAATGATCTAACCCCACCCCCTAGCACTTGCACATTATTGACGGCAGTTGATGCAGGCTCAAGACTGACAACCGCGCTCTGCCTTGGCCTGGACAGCTGCTGTGGTGTGTGCGTGCGTTGTGCTGTGCTGCGGTCTGGTTGGAAAGCTGCCACCGAGGTCAGGGGTTGAGCCACGGGCCGCAGGCGAGGTGCCACCTGCACTCTCAAGGACTGCGCTGCTCCAAAGAACGACGCCCTGCCTGGCAGCTCGTGGCAACAGGATTGCAGCATCGCTCACAACAATCGGTACTCTCCCATAACCAAAGCAGCGATGGCTGCTCTGTGCACAGGTCAATGCTGCTAGTTGCAAAATGAAAAGTTCTGCCTGCTGCTGCAAGCTCATGCCGTCTGGCCTGGGGGGACCGGCGGGAGGACCCTCGGGAGATAGCTCTGGCGAATGCAGAGAATTTGGCGGAATGCATGAGCTCGCCATGCACATTCAGAGAATGGATGATTTACAGCTTCGATCGCACTGCCCTCCGCATCGACATGGCAAGTGCCCATCCAGCATTGTCAAAATGTGCCCTGTGCACATGCCTTGTAAGCCAGCTCCAAGCAAAGTGTCAAACGAATTTTTGAGCGGTATGTATTAAAGCGGTGGCGCGCGCCGGCCGGCTTCAAGTCAAGAAGTTCTGGCAGGCTTCTCAATCTTGGGTTCCTCAAGATTACAGTATGAGGACTCCCGCCACAGTGCGAGTAACCAAAATGGACTCAGTCAACAGACAAACTTGAAGCCCTCTTCGAGCTGATCAGGTGCATGCAGTACTGTAACTTCATCTAGAATTCAATTTTAGAGTGGTCGTCCCATGGTATTCATTCTGTCATCGCCATCTACTACCGTTCAGGTCCATGCCTTGTCATTGTCCGCCCACATCCAGTGGACACTGTAATTGCACTGGCTGCAAAAGCACAGTAGCAGTATACCTTCTCAAGCTTTAAGGAAGTTTACACGCATACCAACACGCGATACTCTTGGACACCACGCCCATAGCATGCTTGGGGGTGTGCAAGTTTGCAACATGCTTGCAGCCCAAGGTATTTTGCATGGCTTTACACGCGCATGCAAGCCCTGTTGACAACTGAAAACAGCCGCAAAGCACCCCAGTAATATTACTCTGCCTTGAGCACTTGCGAGCCAAAATAGTGCAAGACCCAGTCAATCACACCGCTCGTGTAGCTCTTCAGCCATTTATCTACCAACAAGCCCCTTGCTTCTTCTTCTGCACCAAATGTAGCACAGCTCTTGATCATCAGGCATGTCAGAGCTGATGCCTTTGCGACCCCTTTCCTGTAATGCTGCTGTGCAATTTGCTCTTCCTTCAGCAGCCCACCGTCACACAGTGCGCTGCAAATATTGCCGCCTATATGTGCTCATCTTTGGCCCTTATCCACCCTGACGGCTGCCAGCAGCCTTGATGGTGAGCGCAAAAAAAATTGCTCCCCACACAGGCGCTTGCTTTCGCATGCCCCCTCACAAAGAAGTCATTCCCTCCCACCAAATCGGGCAGCCACGCCGAACTCAGCCGTGCACATGGCATGCCACTCCACATGCTTTCCACAGGGGCCCTATAGTTTACCCCCTGGTTCCCATTATTGCCGCTATAAACGGTGCACTTTGCATGCGTCGCCTACAATATTTGTCATCAGATGAACCGCTCTCGTGCGGTGCACTTGGCATGTTCGCCCCACCAAGGTTGTCATGAGATCTACCGCTCTCAAGCGGTGGACTTGGCGTGCGCGCCCACGATCTTCTCCTGGATATGGTTGGGGACAACGTCGTACTTCTCCAGCTGCATGGAGTACTGCGCGCGGCCCTTGGTCATGCCACGCAGCGTGCTCACGTACTGGAACATCTCCGACAAGGGCACGCTCGCCTGCAGATCAAGATTAAATTCAAATCTCAACCCTCATGAACTCGACAAAATCCTCACAATCCTGATCGACGCTAGCAAGCGGCGCCCTTGGCGGCCGCAGGGTCATTGGAATCTAGAAGGAGTGCACCCACGTGGGCTGTCAAGGTCGGCTGCAACCCTGAAATTGTGTCATCAACCCCAGATCAAGCTTTCCTTACCCATATATTGTCCAATCTGAGCGAGGCCCAAGGTCAGTCGCCTTGCAGTTGAATGACCAATCACAAATAAATCAAAATATCAAATGTGTTCCTTAAAGAGCACCAGGACTGTAGAGGGGACACCCTCAGCAGCAAACACTTGAGGCCAGTCTCCTTTTCAACATCTCAGAGTCAGAGGCAGGGCGTGCCTTGATGAGGCGCAGGTTGCCGGGCTTGTCGATGAACTCGCCGACCATGCCGCGGCGCGAGTTGAGGTCGCCGATGACGTCACCCATGTGCTCCTCGGGCGTAGTCACCTCCACCTGCGGTGCACCCCATAGTCAGGGGTGACTTATTTTGCATGCAGTGGCTCTCGCAGTGACTCCTGGGCTAACAGCTGGGGGCAGCCATATAACAAACATCTCTTTAGGAGCTCCTCCTCTTGAGCCACTGCTTGCCTGTGCAACCTGTGCAAGAATGACCTGACAGTTTCCTCCTTTTGGTACCCTCCAGAGGTTGGCCAGTGATGGACTTTTGCATTTGGCAATTAAAGGTGCCCACGATATGCCCCAGCAGCGCAGCAGACTGCCGAGGGCCGCAAGCAGACCTTCAGGTTGCGCTCAAGCAGGCGCGCTTAGCCCCTTGCGCATGCATGTGCAAGCACAGCGTACTGCAACAGGTAACAAATAGTAGAACCTCCTGCATATCCACAAACTGGCAAAGGCGGGAAGGACACCTTCATGATGGGCTCGAGGAGGCGGGCCTGTCCCTTGCGCATGCCCTCACGGAAGGCGCCGCGCGCAGCGATCTGGAAGGCTAGCACGCTGGAGTCGACATCGTGGTAGGAGCCATCGTACAGCGTCGCACGCACGTCCACAACCGGGAAACCCGCCAGAATTCCACTGGACATCATCTCCTCCAGACCCTGTTCCAAAGGCACAAAATCAATCTAACACACCACCCAAATCCCTACTGCCAGTGAAATCCTGGACGTCACACTCTGCTTGACGACCTCCCGGCCTCGGCCCATGCGGTGAATTTGCAGGGCCGCCTCAGACGTGCATATTTCTGTACCGCCACATTGGTCCCAATGTGGAAACTCCTCAGGACCCCGCTTACGCAGGCAGAGAAGGCTTGATCTTGCATGAAATTCATCGATCTGCCAAGAGGCAGGCAGGATAGAATATTCCATGCCGTCTTCTCTGTCGTAAGTCATAGGAGACATGCAACCAGGCCCACAGGAAGGAGCAGTGCAAGCCAGATGCTGCAGGACACTGAAAGAGCACATAGAGCAAGAGGTTTGGCAAGGCCAACTGCACAGAAGGGGGTGGGCTCACAATTCGCATAGCATGCATAAATCTGCGGGGAGGCAGGGAGGAAGGGACACACATTTTGGCAATCTTCATGCCACCCTTAGCTGCAGCCATGGGAGCATGGTCACCAAGAAGCGATTGCACAAATGCATATGGGGCATAAGGTCTTGCATGGTGGCTTGCATGGAGGAGGGTGGGCGCACCTTGGTGACACCGGGGATGTACTCCTTGGGCACGGTGCCTCCCTTGATGTCGGAACGGAACTCGAATCCAGTGCCCGCCTCGCCCGGCTCGAAGCGGATTGACACCTCGGCGAACTGGCCGGATCCGCCGCTCTGCTTCTTGTGCACGTATTTGATGTCCGCCATCTGGCTGATCGACTCGCGGTAGTTCACCTGTGGCGCGCCCACATCGCACTCCACCTGCGCAACAAATACTTTTTTTAAACAAAAAGAAAAGATATGAAGCATGTAAAAGTTAAATTTTGATTTAAATTTTAGCTGGTGGAGATTAGATTTCAGGGCAGCAGGCGTCCCTGCTGCCACATCAGCTCTCATGCGCAAGGCTTGCAACATTTCGATTGCGACACTGCATCGCTAGCACTCCGCTATCATGCACCAGGTGTATGACAGGTGTTCTGTACGACAGGTGTACTGTAGCAGCCATGCAGATGTCAAGTTGTGCAGCGAGGAAATGCGATACTCAGCAAGGGGTACGTCAAGAGGCGGGAGGGAACGCGCCTTGAACTCGCGCCGCAGGCGGTCCACGATAATGTCCAGGTGTAGCTCGCCCATGCCTTCAATGACGGTCTGGTTGGTCTCCTCATCGCGGGTGAAGTGGAAGGAGGGGTCCTCCTGGGCCAGCTTGATGAGCCCGTTGCTCATCTTCTCCAGGTCGCCCTTGCTCTTAGGCTCGATCGCGATCTTGATGACCGGGTCTGCAAGCATGCAGAACATCAGCTCAGTACACCATCTTTGTGCATGCATTTGGGTATCCTTCGAGTCCTGCGCAGGTCGTTGGCGTCTGAAGTGGGGCAATCTCCATGAAGTGGCGACATGCAGGATACTAGCCAGAGGATGCGAATCTGAGGGCCACTAGTATGTCTCAGTGAAGCTTTGATGCCTTTCAAATTACAAGCTTGGCAGGGCAAGGATATACACATGCAGCAAAAAGCTTCACGGCCTGAATTCTGCAGGATAGGCTAGAAGAGAAGAGGTGGCTGCAGTGACTGTGCAATGAGAGCACCAGGTGAAGAGACACACCGGGGAACTCCATGCGCTCGAGGATGATGGGCGCCTTCTCATCGCACAGCGTCTCGCCGGTGATCACGTCCTTGAGGCCGGCCACGGCGATGATGTCACCCGTGCGCGCGATCTTCACATCCTCTCGGTTGTTGGCGTGCATCATCAGCAGGCGCCCGATGCGCTCCTTCTTGCCCTTGTTCGCGCACAGCGCGTATGTGCCAGCCTCCAGGACGCCACTGCGGCGGGGCAGAAAATTAAATTGAATCCCTCCTTCAAATTTGTGTTTCAAGTCTTGTTCCTTTCGTCATGCAAATATCAGATGACCTCTATGAGGGCACCCTAATGCATCAGCTTCCAGGATGTGGGTCAAAGAACCTGCTTCAGGACCTTTCTTTCAGAAACGATTTTAAATCTTGTTCCTGTGAACATCGGTGGTCAGAATACCTCTAGGTGGGCGGAGCCCTGTCACATAATATTGCCTTGGTGAAACGAGGCGATCAGCTGGCATGTCAACATGCATGCCCAAAGGGCTCTGAGACGGTCTGTCCAAACCAGGTGCATGCTCAACTCTGCCTGGCATATGAAGAGCACAACATCAAATCGCAAAATCACAATCGTGCTGCGAGCCGCCAGTTCCTGATGCATCAATTATACACAAAAGCCCAGACCGAGCACACGACTAGAGCCCAGAGCACAAGGAGCACACACCTGTAGATGCGCAGGAAGGTAAGGGAGCCCACAAACTGGTCGGCCATGATCTTGAACGCGAGCGCTGAGAAGGGCTCGGCGTCGTCTGGCTTGCGGGTGAGGGCCACGTCGGGGTTGTCCACCTCGGACCCCTTCACCGCTGCCACCTCCAGGGGAGATGGCAAATACGCAACCACTGCACGCCCACGCACATTATCAAAGCTTGATCCCCCCCTCAACAGATAAGCTACCATAGAGAGTAACAGATAAGCCCCGTTGCTTTGCACCCTGGTGCAAATACACAGATGGAGCTGACATGACAGCAGACACGCTTTTGGGTTGCCTGTGCTTGAGAAATGTGAACTGCATCTGCCTCGTAATCAAATAAACAGAGATGCAGACATCAATGCAAAGCCAGCGCCAAAGAAAGGAGAAAGGGCTGCCTCGCAGTTGGAACACCAACAATTGCTTCCTTTCCATCAATCACATGCATGGCAGGCGGGCCAAAGCTGTCAGCAGCAGTATGGATTGTGAGTTGATCATGGACAGCTCTATTGCAACGCACACGTTGCTGCTGCCCTGCATGGGAAAAGGATGCGCACCTGCGTCCAGCAGAGGCTGCACGCCCTTGTTCTTGAAGGCCGAGCCGCACAGCACCGGCACAAATTTGTTGGCGATGGTGCCCTTGCGGATGAGACCCCTCAGCGCCTCCTCATCAGGCGTCTGCGCCAGCACGTCAACTTGGTTAGTAAGGGCGTTGTAGTCTATCTTACTAATATCTACTTGGATACAGCTGTGGCTCTGCACCAAGGCAACACAGGGCCGAGCAGCTTCTGTGTGAAACTCATTTTTACCCTTGCTTGGACCATTTGCTGGAAGGATTGGCTGTCGATGTCCTCACACACATGAAATACCTTTCAATTCTTGCTCAATACAATGGCAGCGACCAGCAACCGGATGTTTAGCCTTGATGCTGGGTCAGCCAATGCATCTCTCCAGCACAGCTCTTCCAGGTCATATATTGAATACTCCATACAATGGAGGAGAGGGGAAATAAAGAAGAAGCACAAGGGGGCGCACGTTTCCCTCCAGGTAGGCCTCCATGGCGTCGTCGTCCACCTCGATGGCATCTTCCACCAGTTTCTCATGCCACTCCTCCGCCATCTCCTGCAGGTCCTCCGGGATTGGGCCCACGTCAAAGCTGGCGCCCAGCTCCTGCAAGAACAGCCACCGGCACTCTCAGCACCATAAACTATTGACAGGCACATTTGCATCCCTTCAATTTGCAGCCGAATGCAAAGCACGACAACGATTGGCACTTTCAGCGCCTTCAATTTCCTGATAGCCACAGGTGCATCCATGCAATGCTGTTGCCGATTTGCCACAGTTGCCTAACAGCCAAACATCCATGCAGGAGCTGTGGCAAGAACAACCATTAATCAACACACAGGAATATCCCAGGAAGCCAAAACTGCCCCTCCTTCGATAAAGTACCCCTGCGCCCTGTTGTGCGCAGGAGCCACACAGTGGCCCCTTGAGAGACCAACCTGGGTTGGATTCAAGGCATATAGATCTGCGATTGTTTCAAGTGGTCATTGAGCATTCCTGGGCCGGAAGAAATATATATTACTGTCGCATGATCTGCACTTGCTAGGCAGTCCTTCCTTTCATTTCCGGATCTCGCTCTCCTTTAATGATAGCTCATCTAAACAGAGCCCCTTAGTAGTCCTTTTCTTTTTCAGCACATGTCCGTGCTGTCTGCATTCCTCTCTTCATAATGCTTCATTTTTATTTTGTTCCACACCTCGCCGTCCCATGTTATGGCGTTCATGGCCACGAGGTCCACAACTCCTTTGAAGTTGTCCTCGGCCCCGATGGGCAGCGTGGTCACCACAGGCTTTGCGCCCAGGTTGGCCTTGATCATGTCAACTGTGCGGAAAAAGTTGGCGCCCATACGGTCCATCTTGTTGACAAAGCAGATGCGCGGCACGCCGTACTTGTCCGCCTGCGCGTGCGACACATTTATAAGCATGCATAAACTTGTGCCTACATGCACTTGTAAGTAATGCATGCACTCATCAGTAATGCATGCTTGCTCCAGCCCACGATGAGCGCCCATTGGGCTGCAGCTACTTCTCAACAAGTCCTGTATGCTTGGGGGGCCCAAATTGATACCAGACAGGTGTGAGTGCCACGAGTCGCATTAAAACAGAACCTGATAGACAATTATGCCTTAAAATGGTATCTTCCTGGCACTTCATCTGAGTGACTAAGTTGGAGCCAGCGAGGTGTTGTGAAACAAGATATGATAGCCAAGTTATGCTATGTCTTGTGCTTCCCAGCGCTCATGAAGACGACAGGGCTTAAACGTTCACTCACCAGATGCACACCCACCATACCCCAGGATTCTAAATATATTGGATAACTAAAACCAAGTGGCCTTCACTGGCAGCTCTCCCAAGGTGAGGGCTATATCACAGCAAGACGGGCTGATAGGCACACCTGTCGCCACACGGTCTCGCTCTGCGGCTCGACTCCCGCCACGCTGTCAAACAGCGCCACTGCTCCATCCAGAACCTTCAGCGCACGCTCCACCTGTTGCAGGCAAAATTGAATTCAAACAAGCGCCAAGTCAGGGAAGTGCCAGCTCAGGTAGTGGCACACCAGGACAATGCCAAGTCAAGCAAATCCAAACCCATGCTGAAGTCTGATCAGGCTGACAGTGCGCAACAAAAAGACCTGAAACAGCGCAAACTTGCCCTGTGCCTTTGCGTGTCGAAGTGGCTTCTGTACTGTCAGCAGTTGACACTCACAAGGCAAACACCAGAAGCGCCAGGCATCCCTTAAAAGGACACTCAAAAAGACATCCTGCAAACAGTGCAGATGCTTGGATTTTCCATACAACATGCTGCTAGCACAGCATGCAGAAGGCGATGAGGGGTGCGGCACTGCTGCGAGGGAGATAGAAGGGGTCACCTCGAGGGTGAAGTCCACGTGACCGGGAGTGTCAATGATGTTGATGAGGTGGTCCTTCCACGTGCAGGTGGTGGCAGCGGATGTGATGGTAATCCCCCGCTCCTGTTCCTGGACCATCCAGTCCATCGTGGCAGCGCCCTCGTGCACCTCCCCAATCTGCACAGAACCCACAAATTTCCTTGCCGAGGTTCTTGTAGTGTTAGTAGTTTGACTGGGCTACATGAATAGCTATGCCTCTTCAACATGGACGAATGCAACGCATGCACGCCACGTTCACGGAAGAACACACATGCAGGAGGTCCCAGCTGCTCATCACAACCCTGGAGAGGCTGGACTCTGTAGAGGTGTGTTCATGCAAAAGTGTTGCCGCGGGCCCTTGATTGTGCGTGCATGACACCGGCTATTCAAGCGCCAGCGGCTGCCAATGTGGTCAGGTGCAGCAGTATCAGTCGCACCTTATATGACTTGCCGGTGTAGAAGAGAACGCGCTCGGTACATGTTGTCTTCCCGGCGTCGATGTGAGCGCAGATTCCAATGTTCCTGTACCTCTCCAGTGGCACGACGCGTTTGCCTGCGCAGAGCGTTGTAAGACTATCACTCCAAGAAATGTAATCTGAGCAGTTGCATCTTTCATGCGATCCTGCTTCATCAATTTGATGTCATTGGCAATAGGGTCTTGGGCCGGCAAGCTCTTGGGCAGCATGGTGCATAAATTGAGATGTCCTGATAAAGAGCTGAATGCACTCACCAGACTCTGCATCAGCAACTGTGGCTGTCCGGATTGTGGAGGTTCTGCGAGAGACACCGCTCTTGAGGGGTACAGGAGCGCCCTGAGCAGGAGCAAATATCTCAATCACGACTTTGTACTTATTTTTTTTGTTCCTGAAGACCTCTTGCATTCCTGCTGCTGTTTCTTGTGGCTGCTAGCACTCAGCATGTAGTAAGATATTGATAAGGGACACGTTTGATACTCCAAAGAGAATACAATTTCACCTCAAGAAACAATATTACACCAGACGCTAGATAAAAGGAACAAGACCCCGGTATCATGAGCAAGGAAGAGATGAGCAGGAATGCCAGGGCTCAGCTAGCTTTGCTTTTACTGCATTACAACTCTGCGCACCCTCATTCCACATCCTGAATTCTTCAAGACGTTCTGCTGTGCGCCTGTGGTACCCGAACACCGTGGCAGAGCCCCAGTCTGCTGTGAGCTGGTGCTAGCTACAAGCACGGAAGTCGTTGCGGACCTTCCCAGTGCCGATTGCTGCCCGATCATAGTTGGAAACATTACTATTCGACAAGACAAAACCCGAATTAAATTTCACCCGTGCACTTCTACAGGTGCTATAGTTTTGTTTGTGCGGCCTTGCAGATGCCACAGCACCTCATCCCTGTGGTGCAGGGTTTTCCATGATAAAAAGGGAACTTTAAGGGGAATGCTTCAGTACTGTTAGGGTAGATGGCATGGCGAGTTTTCGTTAGAAATTGGCAATGCAGCACGCTCTTTAAGGCAGTATTGTACGATTTGATCAATTTTGGGTGCCTGTACCAGTGTCATAACGCCTGGATTGGTATATTACAGTGTTGTAGCAATAAAGAGCCAATCAACACCTAGGGGAGTGCTCAGGGGCAGTCATGGCCCGCAGATATGACTCTAGGACAACAATTTTCAGCCCGGAAGGCCGTCTTTACCAGGTGGAATATGCGATGGAAGCCATCTCCAACGCAGGAGCGGCACTTGGTGTCCTTGCTGTTGATGGAGTTGTCCTTGCAGCAGAGAAGCGCATCACGTCCAAGGTGTACCAGCAAAAGAATATACTGATCGTTTCATTCGCATTTTCAGATAGCTCAGAACATGGAATGCTGCATGTCGGATGTCACAGTCTTTGCAAGACTGAATGTGCATCGAAGTGGTGGTGCTGCACTTTAAGTGCGGGCTCGTCTATCTGGATATCAGCATTGTCATACAGTCTTATATTTCAGTACGTAAATGATGAGCGTTCAATCTGCTGCAGCTTCTGGACACAAATGCAGTAGGAGTGAGGAGGGAGAAGATGTACAAGCTGGCAGATCATGTGGCGTGCGCGGTAGCTGGCATCACAGGTGAGCACGAGCAATCCTCCGATTCTGTTCCACCAGCAGCACAAGCCATCAATGAGCGCAGCAAGCATGCTGGACAGTTCTGCAGAAAATTTTCCATGCGACTCTCCAGTCTCCCTGCGCCCAACACCTGTCTCTCACAGAATCTGTCACCTGCGCGCAGCTGACGCCAACATCCTCATAAACAAGTGCCGGCTAGCGGCGCAGCAGTACGAGTTTGCCTACCAGGAGCCCATCCCAGTCGAGCAGCTGGTGCGGTCGTTGTGCGACAACAAGCAGGGGTACACCCAGTTTGGCGGCCTGCGACCGTTTGGCGTCTCCTTGCTCTACGGCGGCTGGTGCGTGACTTGCCTTGTTGCGCACATCCAACCTTGTGCTCTGTCAGATCAGCTTTGACCCATTTGTGTGGTTTTACGAGGGTAAGTCATTGCAATTGTTTGTATTTCTTCCCTCCATGGCGCTCGCACTACTCTGTGTGCTTTGCATATTCTAGCTGTGTTGCAGCTGAAAAGGTGCATCCACAGCAGAACTCCCAGGGAAGATTTCTCAGAGTTTTGAGCCTTTTAGACAGCGCTTACAGGAATGCTGCAAACACTGCGAAGCAAGCATATGGTGCATCAGGGGGTTGGCAGTTGACAATGACTGATTTGCATGGCTGCTTGCAGGGATGAGGACAGGGGGTTCCAGCTGTACCAGAGCGATCCCAGCGGCAACTATGGTGGCTGGAAGGCCACAGCCATTGGCGCCAACAAGCAGGCGGCCCAGAACCTCCTCAAGCAGGACTACACCGATGAGATCACCCTGGACATGGCCATCAAGCTCGTAACCAAGGCAAGTCCAGCCTGACAGCGGTTCAATCACAGCTCTCACAAAACGTGCAATGACTCTTTGTATGTCATCAGAGCATCATTCGGAATGTGACTCCTAAGAAAGGAAGAGCCCATCTGGGATGAGCTGTACTCCACCTGTGATGCCTTCGAGAAACCCATCAGAATGTCAATTTGAATTTCCTGCCTGGAAAGGAAATGCCCATTTCAGGAGACTGCTATTGATAGTTTTGAAGGAGCTGGTTGTGCTGGTGCAGTAGCACCTAGTATATTTGTGCTGAGCTGGTTTTTTGCTGGGATGCAGATCCTGAGCAAAACCATGGACAGCACATCGCTGTCCCCGGAGAAGGTCGAGCTTGCCACCATCTCAAAGAACGCAGCTGGCGAGGTAGCACAACCTGCTTCAAATCTTTTAATTCTCCGATATAGTTTATAAATACTAACTTTAATATTCTACCGCTTCACAGCATAGATGTACTTCCTTTGTATCAGTATATTTACAGCCATGTCAACATGTGCCGGAGTGCTGGGGCAGGCGCGCTGATATGGGTCTTTCGTTTTTTCAACAAGATCTGATGTGGGGAGTTCCTCTTTGTGACAGGTGGTGTACCGGGTCTATGAGGATGCCGACCTGCAACCGCTGCTGGATGCAGTGAACGAGGAGACGCAGAAAGAGAAGGACGCTGAATCCTGAGCTCTCTCAGGCTGGTAGCAGCCACTGGAGCAGGACCCTGCTGAGAACTATGCATGCGTTGCTGTCACTCATGCAGTGTGGCTGGCGCATAGCTAGCGCATGTGTACACTGCAAACTTGTCTCTGAACTGCAGTGCAGCCACCGCAGCAGTGCTCACAGATCTGCAGAACTCTGAGGATATCGCTGATCTGGCAGAGCCTCTGAGCTCCTGCGGCCTTGAATAATTGCCAAGCCTGTAACAGAACGGTTCCTAGGCCTATAGGTTCCAAACTCTGAACAGGTGACTTGAAGCTTGTTGGCTGATGCCCGGACTTCTGGGAGATTACTTTGTTAACGATATGTTTGAGAGCAGCTCGCCTTCCCGCGAGTCACAAACCAAATGCCTTTAAGAAATTTTCCTGAAACTGTCACGTACGGTACATCAGGACCCGGTACGGGCCGTCCTTGTGACAATCATTTGCTTCATTCAGTGGCTGGGATCTTGGGCACTGCCAGCCATAGGTCACGGGTGCATGCATGTCTATACAGCTCTATGAGAATTAGAAAGCAATTATGACTGGCTGTTGAAAATTTGCATGTTGGACAGCACCCTCATGATTGACTGGGTATTCCCGGTTTATCACGCCTTTTCCACCGTTGGTATCTTGGTTTTACCTGCGAGATTTGCAGTGAGGTGACGGGGAAACGTGAAGGTGAGCCACGAAGCTGAATCGATCAAAAGCACATCAACTTTTTCAGGCATCTTGCGCAGACACAATCGGATCAGGGAAATGGCGTCTTTCACCGCTACTTTCGCGCCAGCTCTTCCAGCAAAGTTGTGTGGTGCCGGCAGCAGGTCGCTCAAGGCCAGCAGCAGGGCTGCCGTCAGAGTGTCAGCCAAGGGCGATGGAGCCCGTGTAGACAGGTTCTCGAAGGACAGCATCATGTGCGTTATATTATCTTTCCTATTTGCCCTGGTTGCCACGATACAGGCATGCAGTACGTGGGCACAAATACCGTACTAGAGTTGCATCCAGACTGGAGGAGCTGTTGCTGTCTCCTTGATAGTATCTTGATTCAAAATGAATTAAGGTGCAATAAGCACATTTCAAACCTGTGACGTTTTTAAAGCAATTGGTAGTATCGTGGTGTTTGACTGGGCAATACTGGTGGCACTACTTGACACTGGCCCTGTGCGCTGCAGTGTGTCTCCGTCGATTCTTTCGGCAAACTTTGCCAAGCTCGGCGAGCAGGTGAGCGTATGTCACAAAGTTTTGGGATCGGTTTGCTAGCCCAACAATTCTGGAATCTGCTCTTTGGTCCTTGCGATATCTGCAGACACACGAATGCTACACTGCCTTCACCTTGTTGACAGATGCACCTCACTTTTACCAAATACCATGGATGTCTATTGTACAGGTGCTTGCTGTGGTCGATGCTGGCGCACAGTGGGTCCATGTCGATGTCATGGACGGCAGATTTGTCCCAAGTGCGTACTGGCTTATCTTGCCATCTTGTAGAAACAGCCAACAGTGATATGCACATTGTGGACTCAACTTAAATCAGAATATTTATCATCACTGCTGTTTATCATCACTGCTGTTGGTGCAGACATCACAATCGGTCCTCTGGTGGTCGACGCCCTCAGGCCGCTGACAGATGCAGTTATCGACACACATCTGTGAGCCTCTTTCTCTCCGTATCTTACTTTCCCCTCGCTCGCATGCTCGTGCTTCTTGTCAGGCTTGCAGCTTCCCACTGACATGCATGCATTGCGTGGATCGCATCTCATGCATCATTTATGCAGCATGCATGCACCAGGACTGCTGAGCTATGTGGGAGGTATGAAGCATGTCAGAGTGGTGTATAAGATGTACATGCCAAGCATACAGGAAAATAATTTGCTGGGTGGGCGCATGTGCGCAGGATGATTGTGGAGCCAGAGCAGAGGGTGGCTGACTTTGCCAAGGCAGGCAGTGACATCATCAGCGTGCACGCAGAGCAATCAGCCACCATCCACCTCCACCGTGTGGTCAACCAAGTGAGTGATCCACCCTCTACACAGTGATTGACCCTCCTACATGTGCCCTTTGCAGGCGTCTATATATGACCATAGGCTTGATTCTTCCAGTGGCACTAATGGCAGGGCCCCACGGCGTAAGCCAAGCATGAGCACATCCTGTATGGCATTTGGTGAAACTTCTTAGGAAGGACAGCAATTGTGGCACCAGAGGAACAGTAGGGGCAATGCAACATGCTGGGGACGGCTGTGATGCAAGTCTTTGGAGGCAGTGGCCGAGGTTGTGAGCAGTATTTGGTGAAGTGCCCAAGCGCTAGCATGCATGATCTTGCACTTGTGCTGCAAATTGGTGGCCAGCGCTGACTTTGCGTAGCCACATGTAATGGGGGAAGTATTGTATGTGCAAGGATGGAAGCCTTAACAGCCTTCACCTGTCAGATGAGGGGATGGGAGCACCGTGCTGTGCTGGACAGTGCAACAAAAAGACAATGCAGAGAGGTCTGCATGTGACCATTGATGGGTCTGTGCGCTGCAGATCAAGGACCTTGGAGTGAAAGCTGGTGTGGTGCTCAATCCCGGCACATCCCTGACCACCATTGAGGAGGTGTGTTGCTGCCTCATTGCCCCTCCATCCAAATTAAATATTCCTTCGTAGCCAATGGTGCATTCTCCAATCCAATCGAGCAAGCCCCTGGTGATAGAATTGCAGGAAGACCCCCAAATGTTGCCTTGAAACATTTCCCGCACCGCCTTCGGTGCGGGGTTCAGAATACAACAGAGTGATCTTGTGACCTCAAAGAGTGGCGCTGAGGAATCACCAGTACGGTATCTCCGTGCATGAACCCCTGTGCATGCGCAGGTCATCGAAATTGTGGACCTGGTGCTCATCATGAGCGTCAACCCGGGCTTTGGAGGCCAGAAGTTCATCAACTCACAGGTCGACAAAATCCGCCGCCTCAAAGCCCTCTGCAACTCCAAGGTGGGCAATGAGCCACCCTCAAACTCTCACGGAAGTCATGTCTGTGAATAAGCGTCTGCAGCGTAGGTAGTCGGCTGCTGCAGGAATAGAGATGCACACAAGTAGTCAGCAGTGTGCTTCAACTGATCACTGTGAGAGTCATGTGGAACTCTGGGTAGCCACAGCATCTACTGCTGCAGGCATGCATCTGCATGCCTTGTATGCCTTGATTCTTGCAAAAATTCCAATTCTGTCATTTGTGATTGATTGACCACTGTCGAGACCGTGAGCCTAGAAAGCTTTGTCGTTTGGCACGCTTTGTACCATATACAGGCTGTGTATCTCTGCGACTGCATGTGTAATTCTCTGTCCTTTGGTAACCAGCATGTGCGCCCCTAGGGGATTAGTGGGACAACATCACTTCTACCCCCTGGGACTGAAATGAAAGCGTTGATTTGCGTGACTCAGGGAGTGAACCCGTGGATTGAGGTGGACGGCGGGGTCACCCCTGCAAATGCCTACCAGCTGATTGATGCCGGCGCCAACGCACTCGTTGCCGGATCAGCCGTCTTCGGTGCCAAGAGCTACAAAGACGGTGAGCTCATTTGTTATTTGGAATCTCCTAGATTGCAATTTGTTTTGGCTTGTGTTTCGTTGGATTTTTGTGTGAAGATTGGCATATGAGACAAGTGTTGGCTCGAGTGGCAAGTAGGCTAGTTCAGGTCGTTGCAACAGCAGCAATTGCTGGTCTCCCCTGCTCATGTTTTCTGGGAATTTGTGTTGAAGCCACTTTGGCAAGCCCTCATGGGGCTTTGCTTTGCAGAGGAGCTAAGAGGGCGTTTTCTGGCAGTGACTGATTTCTGCCTGTGTTTCTGTCTGTGCAGCCATTGAGGGCATCAAGAAGAGCAAGGCGCCCTCAAATGGAGTGCCAGTGTCTGCCTGAAACCAGAGCGTGGGTATCATGATCAGAGAATTGGCATTGAGGCTCCAGGGCTCATTACAGTCGATGGGGGCAGCGAGGGAGGACTTCTTAAATTAATTGTTTTCTCACGATGTTTGCCAACGGTATGGATTCCCATGCAATCTTGTATACAGGACAGGTCTGAGACTGTTCCGCAGGGAGTTAGAGAGACCAGGTGTGACTGTGAGAAGACTGGCCCTTATTGGCCTAGAGGTGTTCACAGATGTACGAATCCAAAGTATCCAACAGGGAGGATCAAATGCTATCAACGGTGCAGGCACGCTTTTTTGAGTTGCAAGTTTGCAATGCAGTTGTAGGTTGCCAGTTGTATGGCGCACATGCATGTGATTCCAACTCCAATCTATTTCTTGTTGGATGCCATGCACTGTTGACAGCTGAAAGAAAGGTGCCTTGATGGACGGGAGCAGGTCTTGGCATTTCTGAGTGGCACTCAAATGTGCACCACATGTTCTTGTTTTCATTGTCTTGCCAATACACCTTTTGAATTACAACGTCTCACACATGCCAAGAAGGGTGCCCGGTGATGACTACTGAGTCACAACAATCTGATGAGACTTTGGTCGGTACTCAATCATGAGGAAACGACAATATCATCTTTCGGGGCTGAGGGCACTCTTCTTGGTCATAATCATTGATCCTGCATACAACTTGAGGCAACTTGCAAGCCTATAGGCTAGCTAGGCTGCTTGCGCAAAAGGACTGTACATTTCAGGAGCCCACCACTCGGGTGACTAGCTTTGCTTCCATTGCACATCCATCCGGGATCTCTGTTCATTTTTGCAACGGACCAGTTGCCCTATAGGTACACCGCTTCCGCAATGTGCATGCCCAAAATAAGCATATACTAGATAGCGCTCTCTTTCTTGTTCTGACGTAAGCCGCCTCAACCCTGCACATCGCATGCGACTGGATCGTTATCAGAAAAAGATCCTTGTAACAAAGGGTGACGGATTTTGACACCGTGCACAAACACACGTATTTTGTGTATAACAATTAAAAAGAGTTGAAAGAGTTGCAGCACACCTGGTGGTTCAAATGACCATGGGTATGACAGTACTTCCCACTGGGAATTCCCAGAGGCCTATATGGCCATGCTGCTTCCACAACTTTACTGGGCTAGAGAGCTGTTGCTAAGAGAAGTAAGTACAACACATGAAGTGCAGCATCAGCACCGTTCAACAGATTCAATGCAGCAGCCCAGACGCCGTGCCATGTGAACTTGTTGCTAGAAGCCTGCAACCAGCACCCCAATCAAATCAGAGGAAGAGGAGTGCACCATGAAGGCAAAAAAAACACCAAAAGACAGAAGAAAGGGCTGTCTTGTAAATGGACTTCAAGAGGTAGGAGAAAGGGCCGCCTAGCAAGTGTACTTTCTTTCCATGCATTCAAGTACCACAGCACAATTGATGCATGAATCAGCTCCTGCGATGCGATTGCTGGAGCAAGCTTGTTCAACATAACACCATTGAGCAGTTGACTGGCTGCCATAAAATCAGCAAACAAAGGAGGACCGTGGTACACCTGAAGCCTCTGGAGATTCTGCTGCAGGCACCAGCGCCGCGCAAAGGTTGCCAGGACCGTGTAAAGCACATGGAAAGCTGCATGAGTGCCCAACAAAGCTCTTGGAACGACCTCCCTGTGCAGCACCCAATACAATTTCAATGGCACTCATTTGAGTGCTTGCAGAGATTCACATCTGTCGGCTGGTGAAATGACATTTGTGCAGGTGAACAGTGCAAATTTTACCGGATAGGGCTGGCAAATGCCAGCATCCCAAAAAGGGCCAGCTCGCTGGCAAAGTAGGCACCGGTGGTATAGCGACGCAGGAAAGAGACATCAGGCGGGGCTGAAGCCAGGAGGGGTGCCAGGGGCTTGACGTGCAGCCATATGTACACTGCCTCTGCCGCAAGGAAAGCTGCCACTTGGACCCTGACACTCGCCCTTCATGCCCAGAACTGTCAGAAAAATAGTATATGTATTGAGGGAAGATCCGGTAAGTTTGGAAACCTTCAGCTAAAGTGAAGAATTGATCAGCACGCTGCATGGACGGGGCTGCCAACCTTTGTGTGCACCAGGCCAGAATGCCGAGTGAGATCCACAGCAACACGATTGGAGTTATGCTCATTTCAGAACCTTCTTCATCGGGGCCCCCGCTTGATATTGCATGCGGTTGTTTCGCTGAGTATGAGCTAGCTCTGGCAACGAACTTTCCCTGCTCTGCTGGCTTCCTCACACCTGAAGTAGGCTCGATGCTTGCGTGGCTTTGCCTCCACGAATTCTGTGACTCTGTATTTATTGATCTACATCGCCGGATCGTTCCTAGATGATAATTTGTGAGGCTTCTGATCACCACATGCCGTGCTCCAACCTGCATCCATGGCAGGTGTTTACAAGAGAAGGACATAGGGACGGACCGGGTGAGAATCATCCTACAATTCTGTAAGATCCTTTCAGACTAGGTCTGTGCTCCGATTGTCCTAGAATTTCTTGATCTCGTTGTTTTGTGTGCCATGCTCTTGTACTTTTGGCAGCACTTCAATCCTCCACTATCATGCGTATACTATGAGAGCGACACCACTTTGCAGGTGATGTAACATTGCAGCTTTGATAATGTAGAATAGAAATAACATGCTCATCCAGGAGGGGCATGCAGAAGGGCAGGTCATAATTATGTGCAGCGGTTCGAAATTGCGCAGGTCAGCCAGAGCTTTCTTTGCTCGCCCCAATCCTCGTTCCTACGCTGCTGTCGTACCAGGCGGATCCAAGTACTATCTTCCACATTTGTGGTGAAGGTCAGGCCCCGAAACGGTGGTTGCCCGGGTCGGACATCAGGCCATTTGTTGCCACGTGACAGCCTCGGCAGGCAGCTTCCATTCCAAGAGGTGACCAGAGGGTGAATATTGTACCTGATAAGACACGCTGAGCCCATCGCTTAGCATTTCTTCTGCTGCTCTTCGGTGGGCACAGCCCCTAGCTCTTACAGGTATGTGCATCAATTTCACAAACTGGCTCTGCTATTTCAGCAAACCTGCCTCAACATCACTTTTCGTGCAATAATACTTCTTGCAAAGCCCCCATTGTCTAGGGACTTTTTTTTTCTTGTTGCTCGAGAGTGGGGGGATAACTTGGTCGGTACCTGCCCAAAGAAGGTTGTTGTGGTACGCGCTGCAACTTTACAATTGTCAAATCCCACAGGGTGTCAATGGAAAATATCCTTGCTGTTTTCGTGCAAGTTGCTATATGGCCCCATATGACATGCTCAGAAATTATAAAGGTTGCATCATGCATTGCCCCCTGATTGGGTTCAGACAGGCGACGGAAGGAGGCATTTGGCCAAGCATGGAAGATGTGCAGCTTGAAACACGTTCTCTTCGGAATTAAACCTTCTGCTCAGGAGTCACAGCAACATTATCTGCTGGGGTGTTAAGGTGGATCCGGATGGGACTGCCAGAGCTTGCATCACATGCCAGCTCTGCTCAGCAAAATGGGCACAAGGGCACTGACGTGTTTGCCAGCGCAAGCGAGTTTGACTCCACACTCGAAAAATTGTCCCCTCACCTGCTGGCTCGGCTGAGTCTGCACCCTGGTGCGCTGCTGACTCAACCTGCCTGGCTCATTACAAGCTGACTCTATTTTTCTCTGAGAAGACATGCCACAGTCACAAGCACGGTGCTACAAGCACGGTCCTATAAGATTTAGCTTCCAACTGTCTTGGCGCCCCATGTTAGTTGCAAAGCCAAATTCAAGCCAGGACTGCGATGTGCATGCAGCTAGACAGAGGAAGAGAGCCAGTGCCTAAGCATGTGCAAGCTGAAGGGTTAGTAAGTTATTGTCAGAAATCATGACAGGGATCAGAATATTTGACAATGTTTCTGGGCAGGGGGAATGGCAGGGAGGGCAGGGGGCGGAAGATCGCCGGGCACGCCGGGCAGCAGCAGCAGCTGCGCAGGATCGCCGTCGGAGACCGCGTCCAGCGGCAGCCGCCAGCCTGGCTCCGACCGGCACAGGCGCCGGGGCAACCGGTGCGCGCCCAGGACTGACCACCTTACTTGATCTGACGCATGCGACGTCAAGAGTGAAACACCGTTACCCTCCTTCTATGAGTAAACTCATGCCACACCTAGCTGATATCAGATGTCATGCTTTCATCTGCTGTATTGTGCAGCATGTCAGTACGAGGGGTAAACGGTGCGCGCCCGTGCCTAAACAGCTCGGTGCCGGGAATGCGCAGAATAATGCACACCCCCATCCAGTGGGTCACATAACTGGTAGGATTGTCGTTAGTCAAGTACATGGACAAGTCTTAGCTCCTGCTTTCGTGGTGTCATGCTCGTGTTGGCAGTCGTGTGGGCAGCCTGTCAAAAGACATGACAGCAACACCTCAGAATCACAAGGGACGGGTGTTCTGAGCTGCTGAGGTGCTAATAATGTGCATGCGCAGGTCATGGGCGAAGCAGGCACCCTTGCCCGATTTGGTCGCACCCCCCGGGCTGACCCCCCCTTCCCGCTCCAGTGTGGGGAGCCTGCCCAGTCCCCCCTACTCTGCTGACGTCGAACGAGCCTTCCGCCAGCGGGGCAACACAGTCAACAAATGTGCGCGCACCTGCCCTGTGTTTCTGATATCCAGTGGACTCTAATTATAAAACTCAGAGTCCCCTGTGATATCCTGCTTTGCAGCAGCGCTGGTCCAAGTTGGTTGCAGCAATGAAGGCCTTGGCTTGATGCACCAAATTATTTGCCTCGAGCTTTATGAACCAGGTGTACCGAATTTGAAGCGCTGTGGCAGGTGTTGTCTGCTCCATTGGCAGGTCATGCTCTGCAGGTTGCTTCATAAAAAGATCCAAGTTTGTCTGGAACCCAGGGTTTAGTATTATTGATTTCACGGATCTCTACTCCTCTGGTCTTCAGTAATGCTCCACGATTCTAGGTGGTACAACTCCTCTGGAAGTCCACCCCTCTGCACGCCATCTAGAGGAAGATCCAGATGACCTTTAGATGGGGCACCCTATTACAGCATGCATAGCAGAATTTGCACCGGAGCATGGGCAGGTATACAGTTTGGGTCTGACGTGTAGCCTGTTGATGGACCGTAGCTTTCAGCCGGCCGCGCAGCGCAGAGAGCACCCCGGGATCCACGCCGTCAAGGGGCGTGCCGCTCCCGCCGTCCCACGAGTCGCCTCCCTCAGCGTCCAGTCAGCCCTGGGAAACTGTGTCCCCCAAGCCCCCGGGATCCCACCCTCGCCCCTCCTCCAGCCGCCTCAACAGGTCCTCCCGCTCCCCTACATCTGCTATGTTACAGATATTTGTTTCGTGCGAAAGAAATGCAGTAAAAATCGCAGAGACAGGAGGCTGGACTCCTGTGTGATTGCACAAACATGCAGGACTAGATCATTAAAATTGCATGAAGCAATTGTCACTAGGTCTCTCAGTCTCACAGGTTCTAAATATGCATGGGCAACACCACACTCTCAGAAGATTCGGGTGATTAACCGTAGGGTTATTTTGTTTTGACAGGCAGCACCAGCCCAGGAAGCTTCTCCTGAGCGACGCCGGGCAGCGCCTGCTGCGCGCCGGCCAGCGCGGCGGCTCCGAGGCCGGCTCCGAGGAGGGCGCGCCGTCGCAGACTCGCGCTCACCCCACTTCCAACGCATCCGCCACGTCATCACCCATAAGGGAAACAAACGCTGCCGCTGCATGTGCTGCAGCATCAGAGTATCTGAGTCCACTAACAGCGGCCGGCAAATGCAATGGTAGTAAGTCCCCGCGGTCAGAAGAGATCCATGCGAGTGCCGGCCCGGACGCTGCCGGGCGGCCGCCGCCGGCGACCGCTGCCGCGGCCGCTGCGCCCCCGGGAGAGGGGTCGCGCGCGGAGGAGAGCGGCGAGGATGCGCAGAGAAGGCTCGAGCGGCTGCGGGTGAGATCTCTGCATTTTGGGGCAGAAGAATCTGCAGTGGTGGTATGAGCTGCTGTACTCCTCAACTGCCCATCAGCAATAGCGATTGAAGTCTTCCGTGCAGGAAGTCTCCTTGGAAAAGATTCACGACTGCGATGCCCAATTCAGACGGACATGCCTCTTGCCTTCTATGCGCACACACTGAGAGCACCTGGGGCGACCGTGGTCATTTGTACTGCACCCACAAGAAGGCAGCTTTCATGAGCTCACCTGTGAGAATAGGTGTTCTCGTGGCTTGGTTCAGTAAATATGAGGGTATTACAAATAGTGAGCATGTAATTTTTCTGTGTTGTCACCCGTGGTGCAGACGGAGAAGGAGCTGGCGGATGACCTGGCGACGCAGATGGCGATGCAGGCGCAGCAATTAGTCGCCGAGCGCGCTGACATGGCGGCCCGCAATGCTGAGCTGGCACGCGAGAACGCGCAGGCAAGCAGACATAATAATCTATTGCCTTCAACTGCCTTCCTCTTTATCTGCTTATTGCCTCTCTGCGTCCCTTCTACCTGTATTGCTCTGTTGGCACATGCCATGATTCCCTCACCTTCCATTTCTTATGCTGTCTATGGTGATCAATCAAAAGATATTTCGCAGCTTTAATCTATAATTTGGGCAACCCATCACATGACATCAGAGCAGCCATGCTTGAAGCCTCACCGTTGGACACACCACGGTGGAAACACCGAGTCTTCTTCTCTGATGTAGCGTGATAACATTATGCTTGTAACATCGAAAATCCCTTCCCTGCTCTACTCAAAGTGATAAGTTCTCCCTTGCGCGCAGCTAATGGCGCGGCTGGAGTTCCTGGAAGCTTCGCGCGGCGCCGCGGCGGACGGAGGGAACGCGGCGGAGGACGGGGACGCGCAGCAGCCAGAGCAGCAGGCGCTCGAAGAAGAGCTGGGGTTCCTGCACGACCTGCTGCAGCGGTGGGGGCACTTTACTGTAATCCTGTCACCTTTAGTAACCCTGATTTGTATTCCTCTGGCCTTTTGAGATCAGACGACCTCAGCATGCAGAGCAGGGGTGCGCCAAAGAGAGGCCTGGCTTGGGCAAGGGGCACTGCAAAATAATACAGAGTGTTTGCTAAGTGGAGTTACAGTTGGACAACTCCTGGCAATTCCCGCGGCTGGGGATTGTTTATCCGAACCCCCTGTATGCTGAAATGCACCGGGCGGCATCAGAGTCATCCAGGAGGTTCCCACAAGAAACCTTCTTTATAAGCATGACCTGCTATCGGCAGTTCACATGAAGAGGCCTGGCAAGGACAAGTGGCATGCACTGTCAACATGCGACGCAGCGCTGTGATCGAACAAAGGATGGTGGGGCAGTCTTGCAGGATTGCGAGTTTTGCAGTGTCAGAATCACGCGCCGCTTCTTGCTGCGGCATTCTCTTGCATCATGGCTCAGCAGGAACACACCTGGAGGCAGTTCTTGGAGCATCTGCCATGCGAGACTGATTGCAATGAGAAAACAGAGCACGGAAGGTGGTGTGTGGTGATGCAGGGCCGAGGAAGAGAAAGCTCTGCTGGAATGGCAGCTGCAGCAGCAAGCAGTCACTTTGGCTCACCCGCCGGACTCTGAAGGTCATGGACTTGGGGGCTGACATCTAGGCAGAGCCTGATGCACCAGGCTGTTCTGTGCATATTGGGCAGAGCAAGGAGATTCCCAAAGATGCATATGTTGCAGCACTGCAAAATTGTTTGATCAGTACAGAATGGCAGCAGACAGGCAGGCTAAAACTGCTCGAAGGCTGCAGGAGAGCATTGCGGTGGTCTTGTAGCCTCTGCGGAGCAGCCAGATGTGCAATGCTGGCAGCTGCCCTTGCAAAAATGAGGGTTTGGAGCTATATAGCGCGATGTAGAGTTTGCAATGCATGGCTTGGATTTCTGCAAATTGCATTGAGGTCAACGCAACGGCAGAACTTTGTTAGACACAGTGCTACACCATTTGGTTTATAGGCTGCAAATGAGTGCGAAGGTGTGTACAGTTGGTGTATTTTCAGAGGCTCAGTTGGTACTTGGAGCATTCATATCTATGCCGATTGTTCACGGCGTTCAGCATTGAGATTCTTTACGTATGTGTGCACGCCCTGAAATCTTTCCATAACAAATTTGAGTTGCTTTAAAGTTGAGATGCTGACCAGCTGGTACTGATGAACTTGGTACAGATGCATATTGTTGTCAGAGAGCAGTACAATGAGTGGCAATCTAAGATCACTGGTCTTATATGGTAGCTGGGACCTGCGGTGCTTTACAATATGATAATATCATCGATGCCTTGCCAATCTCAAGATGAGCTCATTCCTCATGCATGACATGTACATCAATGGGATGGGGTATCGATTGTCTGATGCAATTAAGGCTTTTAGCCAGCTCCTACCATCCTGCCTACTAATAGTATTCTAAATTGCATTTGATCATGATGTGCTGTAGCCCACTCACATGACATGCATATGCCTTCGTCTGGCAAGCAAAAGAATGCCAATACAGATTGGTACACACCTGCGGCCAACTCCCTACATACCAAGGTTCCAGATGCTGCTGAGAAAATTATATCCTAGACGCACGCTCCACAATGGAGTTCGAACCTGAACGAGGCATATTGTGCATTAAAAATCACTTCTGCCGTTCTTGGGCTGCTAGTATAATATTGTACACTGATATGGCATCAAATTGCCATCCAAGTCATCATACAATCAGCCTGGAGATTCTGAACGTTTCTCCCGCCCCAGCGCTGAAGTTGATGCGGGCAGTAAAGCATCACTAACAGCTCTCATGGCTCTCAGAACACATGGCAGCCCCTTCTGAGGCTACACAACAATGCCATATCTCTCAGCACATCTTCTCATCAAGTCTGCCTCAGCTCTCCGCAACATCACTTTGACAGGATCCCTACCTTCTACCTTATAGCCTCCACAAAAACGACCTCTCCTATGGCCCCCTCGATATCAGTGCTTCTCACAACGCATGCCGGGCCCACAATGGAAAAGAACCACAATTCATGCAGCGTATTGCGCTTGCAGATGAAGGCCTCCATCTGCTCGTGCCCCTCGACAGCTGCCGCGCTTGAAAATTGACAGAATCCTCAAATTCAAAAATCAACTCAACAGGTCACGCGGCAGCTTGTGCTCACGGACAAATGCCTCCATTTGCTCGCGTCCCTCGACAGCTGCCCATTCAGTCTGAAATCTCAACCCCAGAATTCACAGTTCAATTCAACAGATCGCGCAGCAGGTTATGCTCGCGAATGAAGGCCTCCATCCGCTCGCGCCCCTCGTTGGCAAGCACTCGAATGCGCTCTACCGTCAGTGGCTTTGCGGGCAGCTCAGAACGCTTTTTTAGCTTTCCCGCCGTTGAGGATTCGTATTCGAACACCTTCTGGGCGGTTTCCGTGAGGCTACGGGGAACCCCGTCGACCAGTCCGTAACGCCACCTCATCACTGTGCGCATTCTTTCGTCCCCCAGGACATCCAGTGCGAGCTCGATCACGTTCTTCACACTCCTGCAAAGTCAGAGAATGCTACATCAGAACTATACGAGGATTGGCGTGCAGAAACAGAGTAGGCTTTCGATGGGTATGTCACCAAGATTTGCCTCCGACTCAGTAGGCTCAGGCTTGTCCTGGGGGTCATGCTGCAAGAGGCAGGCAGAGTTGCACTTCTTTGCAACCCAACACTGCTGATGATGCAATGATCTAATCAAGAATCCCCCACTCCTCGGGCGCTTTAAGCCTGAATTGCCAAAGCCTCACGCCTCTGGTTCCAAGGGAAAGAAAAGCATCCCATGTGCAGAACCGAGAGGGGCAGGCCCCGTCCACAAGAGCTGATGGGCCAAGATAATCTCACGCCCCCCTCACACACATACCCAGCCAAACTATGCCATAGCCCTGTGTGCAAAGTACTATACATGCAGATCAGAAACTGCTTGTCACTTGCTGTGGAAAAATCTGTGAAGCGCCGGTGCCCACCTTTCCTTTTCCTCCTGCATGTATTCGCGCTCCCAGCCATCAGAGATGGCCTCATCGCCGAAGACCGCGGCATTCTTGTCCCCATTCACTGCCTTCAGGTCCCAAGAGATAGTGTTCCTCTTGCGATTCAGGATGCCTGCTGCTCGCTGTTCTGTGATTCCCACCTGCGCGCACACAGCACCACCCACAAATCAGCCCCTGTAATTGGGTACTGCAAAACCCAACCTGTGAAAACATAGCGTGGACATACGCATCAACACCCCAGTGATTCTGGCTTCAGCCCTGGACCAGGTCCAACATGCTCCAACACATATACGCACACCAGCGGTACTCCCTGCGACAACTAAGCACCAAGACAAGACGGGGCAATTTACATGAAGCAACAGCTTGCAAGCCTTGCTCCTTCAGACCTCAGCTCCTCAGAAGCAGGAACTGGCAAAACTCGCACAGGGGCGTTTGAGCAACCCCTCACGCATAGACAGGGGACATCTCTTGATCCAAAATGAAATACAGGGTGCATTTGATCTCTAATCCATTGGAGGGAATGCTCACATGCGCAGCGATCTCCGCGAGAGTGGGGTTGCGGCCAAGTGATAAAGACAGGTTATCCTCCACGGTCTTCATCCGACGCGCCAGCTGCTGTAATGCACCGCTCATCGGCAGGAGCCCGCTCTCCTTCATCACCATCTGTGCCATTGAAACACAAAATATTACAATAAGTGTAAGGCATAGCTTCTCTGATTTAAACTTGCTCCAGAATGAGGGGGGCCAGATGGCCCTCGCACTGCCTCGTATTCCTTGCATTCTGTCCTTGCTGAGTTTGCGTTCGATTTCATTCATATAATTTTGTGCCCCAAAATTCAAGCTGGCGGGGCCGGGTAAAAAACCGAGCATCGTGCCCACGATAAACTGGGCCTTGCTTGGATCTGGCGAGTCCAAGAAGGGGTAGGCTTGTGGCAGCCTTGAAGGCAGCCCTTAAGCCTTTTTTAAGGCTGCCACAAGCCTACAAACTGCAGCTTGCCTGCCTGTGTGGCAGTAAAAGCGTGCACCGATAACATAATAATAGTAATTGAAAGTGATCCAAAAAGCTTCCAGGTCCGGAGGTGTGCCCCACCCTGGTGATCCGGCTCATGATGTAGTACCAGGCGTAGGTGGTCAGGCGCGCCCCTTTAGACGCGTCAAATATCTCCGCCACTCGCAGCAGCTCCTGTTTCGCCTCCACCATCAGCTCGGCCTGAGTCATGCCCTGCGCATGCACATGCCGGCACATGTCAGTACCTGCTGTCACAGGCATTACTAATCTTTTGAAGTATTTTGTAGATGGCCCCGCTGCTAGCACCATCTGCACAAATCCAAGCAAAACAAACTCCAAATCGGAGTCAGCATTGCAGCAGAGGGAAAATGAAAGCAGGCAAGCATGCCAGCGCCAAGATGAGACTCTGTTCATCGAATTGTATTACTGCATCACCAAATTCTTTGCACCAGTGACAGCGCATCTGAGCCACCATGCCTTAAGAAGCAAAGTGCTTCCCACATGCCAGCTAATTGGTGCACTTTACAAACGCAGGAAGAGCCCTTTTCACGAGCACTACAAGCGGACCCGGCTGGCCTCAGCTGGCGGGGGCGGTGTAAATAGTGAGCACCGTGCCCACGATTGATTGGGACTTCCTCGGATCTGGCTAGTCCTTGAGGGGGTAGAATTATGGCAGCCACTACTTGCAGCTTGTCTGCAGAACGCACACTGCCTCTCGGCAGAAAAGCGTGTAAAAATAATAAGCAGGACTACGCTTGCCACAGGGGTGCCTCACCTGACTGTGAAATTTGCCGGTCAGCTTCATAAGCAGGCCCATGTTCACTTTCACAATGTGGAGCCCTGCAGCTTGCCCGGCCTCTAAGGCTTTATGCAAGGCCTTGACAGATGGCAGCCCGGCCCTCTCTGCCCATTCCTCATCTGACAGCTGGCGCCCCTCCGCCACTGCTGCCTCGCCCCTGAGCTTCTGCAGCTGCGCCTCCCTCTGTAAGCAGCACAGGCACGAGTCAGTCATACTACGTTGCTTCCAGTCGATTTTGTACTAACCCCATGCCTAAGACTGAATCTCAGAGTGCACGCCCAGCATGGCATTGACAAGCTGAAAGAAACAACGCTTGATTTTTTGTTCCTTAGGTGAATTCTGCCCAGAACAGACCTGAGTGAAAAAGGCCAACGATGGCAAAGGTGTAAAGCAGGATGGTAGACAACCAAACCCATGAAACCATCAGCAACAGACGCAATCATGCCCTATCCTAGCTGCCTGATTTATGGGCACGTAGGTACCTTGACGGCTGCGCACAGCTCAATCTCCTCCTCCCTTGTCAGGTAGCGCGTTGTCCTAGCTTCCTCCACGTTATCCCCCTTCCCAAACTGACCACTGCCGCTGGCTGCACCTGCCTCTGAACCAGCCAATTCCGCTGCGCTGGTCCGCCTCCTAGTTCTCTGCCGCCCGCTGGCCACTGGAGCAGCCTCACCGATTTCCCCTCTGCGGCGAGCGCGCAAAGCATGAGCGCGCCTGCCGGACAGCTGCCGCTGCCGCCGCCGCACCATTGATGCCGGGGTTGCCTGCCTGGATCCCCTGCCGCTGGTGCTTGCCCTGCAGACATCCAGGCAATCAGCATGAGCGACTCCCGCACAACACAATGACGTAAAATGCCTTGAAATGATGGGAAAGATGAGCGGGAAAAGTCGCCAAGAGAGATTGAGGGGCAGAAGGCTAAAGGAGCAAAACGTCAGCTCAAACCGCTTAAAAAAGCCCAGATCGGGCCTACGAACTGCTATCATTCCATCCTCTTCAACAAGCTGATCATAGGGAACGACAGTGTATTTAATACCAAGGAAGATACACTGATTGGAGTTTTACCCTGAGGACAGCTCAGAAGCTGAAGCTGCGTCGTCTTCCGCAGCGGCGCGCTGGACGCCAAAGCGCTCTGCCCGGGCTGAAATACCCCGATAGATACCCCCGTGCGTGAGGTCCTCCTCGGGCCAAGACTCAGGGAGGGTAGAGACCGAATCAAGGGTCTCGGGCTCACTCCAAAGCCGGGCTGCGACAATGGTGCTATTCCGCTGCTGCTGCTTATCTCTGCGAGAATGCGCGCCTGAAGCTGCTGACCGTGGCGGGACCGGCACGGCACTGCTCGTGGAAGCTACACACGGGCAGCGACATGCAATACCCTGTCTGGAGCTCCAAGAAATCATTGGACAGAAGCTTGCAGACACTGCTTGATGCTCACCCTTGTTGTGAATGTGTGAAATATTACGGAAGTTTAACCGGACGATCAGGCTTCCCAACGGGTTCTACACAGGACCGCGAGATTTGGCCGCGTCGTGGCACAGTGAGGAAGTATCCGAGCGAACGTGCGGTCACGCGAAAACCCTAGATTCAATGACGTGCAGGAAGTCCTAGCAGGAAACTGATGGGGGAATTGACATATGGAACTCGACAGGAGGCACCAAAGTCTCGCAAAGGGCAAAGCAAATCCGTTCCCGCAAACTATTGGATAGCTCCTTTTGACGGCATCGTGCATCTCAGCAAGCGGGAAAGCATTGCGAAGCCTTTGTTCCGCTTCTGTACCTGGAAGAATGCAGATCTTCTTCAACAAAGTCTCTGCGCTGGAGGTCGAGGCCCAGGACACAGTGGAGTCAGTGAAGGTTGGAATACAGGTGGGCGTTGTTTGTTTCGTGTTCCGATCAGACTGAAAGCAGCCACTTTGGCAACCCACCTCAGTCAGCCTCTTCTATTTACTTTGTGCCAACGTCCTCTTTCAGGAATTACCAGTCAACTAGTTCTTATGTTTTTTGCAGGCAAAGACGGGTATCCCGTGCTTTTACCAGCGGCTCATCTATGCGGGCAGGCAGCTGCAGGATGACAGGACCCTGGAGCAGTGCTCAGTGGAGTCTGGCAGCACGCTGCACCTCGTACTGCGCCTGCGGGGAGGCAAGGGAGGATTCGGAGCTCTTCTGCGTGGCGCAGGTGAGACATCTTGACGAGCTAGCTGTCGAAGCCTTCACACCTGTTGCCTGATTCTGCAATCTCTTATTTTATGTCTGGCAGTGCCTTGTTGAGCCTCATTTCGACCTTGCAAGTCAAGCTTCTTGTCCTTTGCAAACTTAGCGAGTCACGACAGGCTCGTCAAGCCGATCAAGTTGCAAGAGTTGCAAGTGACCTGTCGCACAGCAGCACCAAGTGAGGCACAAAGATCCAGCCAGGCCTGGTCTTCTGAGGGGTGCACTGCTTGGCGCTGCAGGCCGCGCTGCGCTGACTGACAATTTTGACGCGTGCCGGGACTTGAGCGGGCGGCGCCTGCGCCACGTGAATGCTGAGCAGAAACTGGCGGAGTGGGCAGCCCAGGCAAAGGAGCGAGAGCTGGAGAAGGTCGGCTTGAAGCACATTCGCGCCCAGGAGAAGGCTGCTCTTCGCGAGGCCAGGGCTGAGGTGTGTACCGTCCCCCTTGGCCCCGTCAGAATCACCTTTGCCTATCGGCGGGGTCTCTCTCTAACATGCCTGTTTTGTGTTTTTTTGCATGCCTCCTAAGGAGCATCACATGTACTTAGTTTCTTACTGGGGTGAGAAGTCGTGGTGAGGGTGAGGTCATGCAACACATGTTTTGCAGATGTAAGCATTGTAGCAATTTTTTAACGCTCCAGGGAGGCCTTGTGTGAGACTGCGAGAGATGTCCCGCATAACCTCAGGAGGACTGAATTACAGTGAGATGACTGTTAATATCCGGACAGGACGTGTCGTCTCTGTAACATTGTCCCATTTTACACTTAACTTTCTGCAAGCAAACGCTGCTTTTCTCCAGCTGCAATTGAAGCTGAAACCATCTAAGACAGTCTTTCTTGCCAGGTGGACATGGAGGACATCCGCACAGAACAGGACGCGGCGTTGGAGCGCGCAAAGGACGCCGTGGCGAGCGCGCTGGCCGGCAGTGGAGGCAGCGCCCCCGCAGCCAAGCGTCCAGCGGCCGACGCCACGGCAGCTGCCGGCCCGGCCACCAAACGGCGCCGCGCGAACAAGCGCCCCTTTGGCGTCGATGACGGCCTCTCCAGTGATTCCGAGGATGACGATGGTGCATGCTCTTCTCTGGTACCTTGCAAGGACATTCATTTGAAAGAGGCAATTTGCCTAGACCCTTGTCAATGGTCCTGCGCGGTTGTTGGATGCTTCCGCGGCTTGGACCAATGCAGCATGCCGGCCACAGAAATATCCATGAGAACTGCTGAGGAACCTGCGGCGTTGTCGACGGGACCTCTAGTGACTGTGAGGATGAGGATGGTGTGTGCGCCCCTTACATGCCATGTGACAGACTCAAATCAAAGGTTTTAGGTGACACCAGCCCTTTCTGCTGGTCCGATCCCACAGACTCCGGTGGATTCATGGGCTTAAATGCAATCCGGCAGCCCTAAGGTGTCCTGGCTTCTGTGGCGGACCAGCGAGAAGGTCTGGCGACATGAATGACGCCGACTGTGCAACATATGTTTTATCTGCCGGAACGACAAAAGTGCTAGTGGTCATCTCAACTTTTGCACAGTGGCCTGGGTTTGGGGGGTCTGTAGGGTCATTTGGATGCTGGCCTTTTGCACCGCTTCGTGTGAGCAAGGGGCGTGTAGGGCAGCCAGAGCAACTGACTTTGATTTTTATATTTGCAGAGGAGGATGTGCTGGATGCCACGTCGCAGAACAACAGCTGCGTGGCAATGATAGTGAAGGGCAGCGTCACCGCGAGCGCCAGCCGCAGCAGCGACGGCTCCGAGCAGGAGCCCCTCCACCTGGCAGCCGCCGGCCGCTCCCCCAGCCAACAGGTATGTCACTTTGTGGTAAAACCAATTCCGTGCAAGTCACTGGTGCCCGTGGGCTGACCATTCATCGTTTCTCGCTTCATTCAGACTTGGCTGTGATAAGAGTGGGCATGAGAGGAGCAAATAGACCTTCTCAGGCTTTGAGGGCCCCTTGTGGTTCATCAATTGGCATGACAGAGCCCCTTGCACACTTTGTTATGGATTTCATGTCCTTCTGGGCTTGGTAGTCAATCGTTTCTATCATGGCTCCCACCCTGCCATCGTTTGGTTTGACGTGCTGTACTGAGCATCACTCTGCAACCGCGCGCAGGCTTCGGCGTCTATAGTCGAGACGGCCGCGCCGGCTGTAGAGCCCGTCGCAGCAGCAACCTCGGTGGTGGACAGCAATGCAGCTGCGCCGAGTTTGGACCTGGCGCAGGTCGGCAGCACTGCCGCCTTGATGGAAGTGGCCGTCTCGAGCGTCGGCGATGCCGCGGCGGCCGGGGCGTCGGTGGTCGACAGCAGCCTGAAGGACCGGCGGCAGAGCAACGCAGAGGTGTCCACTGAGGTAGGTTTGACTGCCTTCCATTGTGAGCCCTACAAGCTTCGTACTGGGGAAAACCATTTTGGTGTTCCCTTGTTCCCAAAATCGAAGCATACAAGTCCTGAAAGGAACATCTTCTTGAGCAAGTTGGCAGTGGTGCCGCGAGCAGAACCATCACCCTGAATATAGGAGCGTATCAGGTTGGGAAAGTGGTCGCTTGCAGCGGTGCACAGCCGCTCTACAGCATCGTGTATGTTATACCGTGCTTTCTGAAGCTGCGGAATTCTGCAAACAACGGTGCTTTGAAATACAGTGTATCACCCGCAGGTTCCACATTCTCATCCTGATATGCTTCCTTTGAAGCAGAGAAATTCTGTGATTGTGGATTTTGCGTGTCTCCCACTGTCAGGCTCGTGAGGCAGCTTTGACTTGTCTTGAGTCTGTCCAGCACTGTAAGGTTCCTGTTGCTTTCACCTTGCTTGTACCTGGGCAGCCTCAATACTGTACAGCAGCCATGTATGATGGGGATTCTTTCGATTTCTATGGTCGCCAACGTTCCATTTTTTTCATTCTGCAGGCGGCCCCAGCAGAGCCGGTGGATCTCGCCCAGTATAGCAGCGCGGCAGAGCTGGAGGCGCTGGGCCTGGACAGGCTGAAGGCAGAGCTTCAGCGGCTGGGCCTCAAGTGCGGCGGCAGCCTGACAGACCGCGCAGCACGCCTCTTCCTGCTCAAGCACACCCCCCTGGCCGACCTCGACAAGAAGCACCTCGTCAAGCCGCCCAAGAAGGCCTGAGCCGCTGTAGAGTCCTTTGCAGCAGTCATGGCGCAGGTTGTGCAGCATCTCTATCATTGAAATAGGACAGGGTCAACACAGATTCTGCTGAAATGGTGGTATTTATCACGAGCAGATTGTGGTGCACGGCCAGTGTGCAAGTCCGGGTGAATGCAGAAGTGGAGCGCCAACTGGTTGTGCTTGACCAGCAGGAGCAGCAGCAGCAATTGGTGTGTTACGATGATGCATTTTGCACAGCACAGCAACGGGACGGGGCTTCATAAAGTGGCTTTGCCCCTGCAGAAAACGATAAGAAAAATTTTGGAACACTGAAGATTACCAAGGGTTGCAGCAATCCATGACTCAGAGGAACTTGCTTCTTTGTTGTCTCTGCACAGTTCAAAAAGTCAAGCTTGTGACACGCCAATAAACAATTCACAGAATGCAGTATTGCGTGGTGACGTCCTGCACATGCTCATGAATGCTGATCAGTGAGGCCTAGGCCCAAGGGAACATGCATTTTGCATGAACGCAAGCTGGTGCCTGTGCCTATGTAAGATATGCTAGCCCTTTTCATAGCATGTGTAAGGCTTCCACTGTAAGCTCAAGCGATTGACCACACAACAATTTGCAAGAGGCATGCACTCCTAATATCATATCTGCCGGGAAACACACTGACGTACCCATCTCTTCATTCACCTGCATGCGTTCATTTTGGGGATGATCCCCACAGAGCATCCTGCACTAGACACTACTAGTCTAGGTAGTGCCCGGCGTACCATACGCATCAGCTTTCTTGCTGCTTCTTCAGGACAACAATGAATCGGTAGGATATGCACTGGGCTTCTTTGTTGGTCCGCAGGTCTGCATCCGGGTGCGGAGGTTGCTCCATGTCTCCATACACACCCTCTACACCGAAGCCAGCCAGCCTGGCAAGAGGCTGCAGCTCCTGCCAGGTATACATTCGCTGTGCCACAACTTCCTCTCCGATCAGCCGCCAATTTGATGTCCCCTCTTCTCCTTTGTCTTCTTGTTGTTGTTGTTGTTGTTCCGGATCTGGCTCGCTCACTGCCACTGTGCGATAGTGAACCTGTGGCAAAAGTGCAGTCCTCGTAAGCAGCCTGGCTTTCCACCGCCACAGAGCTGGATTGGTAGATGTCAGAACCCAAGAGCGCGATGACAAGTTTTCAGGCTAAGTGGAGTGTAATGGGCTTGTGCTAATCTGTAGCATGCAAAATGGATGCCTGCCCACCCAACAAGTGGCCTGCAATAGAGGCCTCTGCATTCTGATGTGCAGAAAGGAAAAAAGAAGACAGAGAGTGCCAGAGACATCATGAAGGCCTGCCTCAAAAGTGAAAATCATGCAGCAATGATGTCATAACTTCCATGCCAAGAAGCATGAAGTGACAGCATTGCATGCATGCAAGCATGCAAGAGTGAAGTCAAGTACATTTATTGTCTCTTCCCTTTCTAGGCCGCGAGTTTAAAAAGGAAGCCAAGCTGGAAGCTACTTGAGGTGCTCACCTGTGAGCAGAAGTCGAAGCGGTCTAATTTTGTGCCAAACACAATCTTCAGGTCATTCTCTCCCTCTTCTTCTCCCTCCAACTCCCACTCATCTCCCTGGGCACCCATGTTTGCCCTTCTTCACACCCACACAAAACACCCCCAATCGGAATTTTCACCAAGGGACTTTTGGTCAGGCACAACCACTGCAGCTTGCATGCTCCCACATGCTCCTGGCCTTTGGCGGGAAGCTGCAGTTAAGAGGCGGGTCACTAGTGTAGACTTGGGTCTAGCTTCAGCCTTTTGTGAGAATTATTTGACAGACTCATTTGCGCAATGAGAGCTCAGGATGCATAGTTTTAACAGAATGACATCGGGAAGTATGACACACCTGAAGAAGGTTGCCATTGAAGACATCATCCAAGGGAGGAAGCTCCATTACTAAAAGTCCTTCCGGCCGCAGCGCATTCCCGGCAGCTGCCAGCCAGCGCAGCGCGTCATCGTTAGTCAGCGCATGCGCCACCGTATTCAGCGGGAGCAGCGCCAGGTCAGCCGGCATAAACTCCTCCTGCATTACCCCCAGGAGGGTTTAAAACTCTTGCAGAACCCTTGCAGCCTTGAGCTCACCCTGCTGCATTGTTGTGCTTACCAGAAGGGCGGGAAACCAGGCATACACAGCTCAAGAGACAGCGCACAATGCGTTCAGCAAACAGTTGTCAGCGTTTGAGACTGCAAAGCAGGTGCGGTGTCGTCAATCTAGCAAGCGTGTTTTTTCTTGCGGCCCTGACTTATCAAAGTCTCTAAAAAGGGTCCAGGTAGTGTGGTTCCGTATCTTCCACAACCCACTGCTATTCACGGACAGGAGGGCTTCACATAATATTGCACAACTGCTCACCGGGAGATTGGCCTCACTGCTGAACACCTCCTCCAATCGCCCCTCTATGAATTGCACTTTGGCGCCAGCAGCTGCCGCCAGCTTCCCTGCATACTCCAGCATTCTCGGGTTGGCGTCAAGTGCTGTCACTCGCTCGATGCCCTGCAGGCAAGCCTCCACTGCATGCCTCGCTGGACCACACCTGCTCATATCCAGAATATTTGTTACTATATTGTTATCGCTTTCCAGTCTAAAAGAGGGGGATCGATATCTGATGAGAGCTAACAAACCTTGAACCTCCTCGTCCTGAGGACTAGGCACGTCGAACAACATTTGGATCATTGAAAAATAATTGAGACCTGGACATGCAGAGCATGGCATGCTAGAAAATCACCATTCACACATTCTGATCAGGGGGGAGCTGTCTTGAGATATTTCAAGATGATGGGCATATGATAAACCAGAGTCTACTTGACAGAGTCTATCTTTGGTCACCAGTGCATGCCAGAATTTTCATGGTGGCCTTAGGTGCAATTATTTATGACGATGGTGTGCTCACTGGTGAAAGAGCGCTCACCCAAATTCGATGAGGCTCTGTGGGCTGCCCCCACATTTCCCCTCAGGTGTATGCTGGGCGTAAGCGCCAATCACAAAACGCATCTGCACGGACACATGCAGATGTTTCAGGTGCTGGTAGATCCAGTTATTTTAGCAGCACTGGTGGCTCATCAAGAAAGTCAAATTCACAAGCTGGCTTGGCAACGCTTCATCCACTGGCAACAGTCAATTGTGCAGATGGGCAGCCCAACCTCGCCGGCAAAATCACGCTCGCTTCTGCAGAAAATCCGGTCGTACAGCTCTGGCTGATCGTAGAGGGACCAAGAAGACTGACCAGGATCCAGAATAATTATAGAGGGTTCCTCTTGCAGGCTGAGCGCTCTGCTGCAGGTCGACCGGAGCCCTGACAATGACGACATATCTCAGCTCAGTACTTTGATTCTGTGATCAGCTGCCTTCAAAAGCGGAAGCATCAGGACCTGCAGCTGCAATTGTAACAGGGACAAAGTACCTCGTCCGCTCTGCTGCCTCGAAAGATGCTGTCCTTGCAGACATGTAGATCGGAAATTTGCAGATTTCGAAAGCTTCGTATATTGTTTCGACACATCAAAATGACCTGCTTTGGTGTGGGAGGTGCGCATGGCCATTCCACGAGCAGCCATCGTTAAATCAGCTACGAAGGACTTGACTAAAAATTGCCTTGTAATTTTCAGCATAAAGCAATCACAAACATTCAATGACGAGCTGGCGCGCTTTTTCTGTGATCACATGCTTCAAACGCCATGAGCTGTAACAGCCAATGCTGCACCAGAACAATAAAGTGACTGCTGTTCGCGCAACTTAAATACTTCACATCTTGTCTAGGAAGCACAAGTTGCAATTTCCGAAGACTGTCGGGAATGTCTGGTGTGAGATCGAGACCTTCAGATTGACAAATCATGGATAGTTTCTAGGGGCATGAGAAAATCTTTCCCAGCGATGCATCCAAGATAAAGCCTTTCATCGTCAACTTCGTATCCGATTGCGATGATTGCGTTACGTGCTGCGTACGTTAGAAAGGAACAAATTCCTTGAATCGTCGTGAATCGTAGGTTATTTCTTGACAACACAAGGCTTCCTTGCAAAGAGCAATAAGATAGCAAATAATGGCGTACTTTTGACAGCAAAGATCCAAGGTTCCGAGACACTCCTGAGCACGACCGAGAAGCACCTATTTCATGCAGGCTAGCTGCTGTCCTTGACTTCTTGTCGTAGTCAATCTCTCTTTGTGCAGCACAGGACGAACCTTCTGCTTACTCACACCGCCTCAGGTGCTGCCTTCAAGCTCATTAGTATATGCCATGACCCTCGTAATGCCAGCAGTGCTGAATCATCCGATCGCATTGGAGGTCATCGTTGCTACCAAGTCAGTAAATTTTGGCTGCCTGCTCATTATTCAGGTGCTGCACTAATTCGGCCGTTATACAGGTACCAAGTTTGCGTCAGTGTCGTGAACCAAAACCTTTACCTTACCAGGTACACTCTCCCTTCCTTTCAAGCAATGAATGGACAGAACATCGAGCAAAAGATCAAGGCTTCACGCTCTTGAGGCTGTCTGTGCAGATGCACCTCACCAGCTGCAGAGGATTTCCCTGACATGAAGCGCCCTCATCCATACCATGGCAGAGCCGTGTAATTCTGGCTGATGGCCATAGTGCTGTCAGCTACGGCCACAGCCCACGGAAGCAGACTAGCAATAGCTGCCGCTGCAGAGCAACAAGGCAATACTGCAGGTGGGGTGAATCTTACACCCCCAGACAAACAGCAATCATATGCCTTCATCACCTTGGGCCCCGGCTGGCAGGGGCCAGCAGCACCGCGCACACGGTTGATTGGGTCTTGCTTGGGTCTGGCGAGTCCAAACAAGGGGCAGGATATCTGACAGCCTTTACCTGCAGAGCTTGTCTGCAGACGCACCTTGCTTCCTCACAGGATCAGCATGTAGTCATGAAATAAAACTGACTCTGCCCAGTCAGAGGCAGGTGCTCTTGCATGATGCAGTGCGGTGCAGCCAGCAAATTGTTGCAAAAGGCAGTATGTCAGCATCACTAGTAATAGTGACAAGTCTGTGGATGCAGGTGTTTTTCATGGCAGGCAACTGCGCCTGATGGGAGCCACTGACTTTGACAAACCACAATCCACTGCTCCTTCACCAGGCCCCACAAGCATGTAAGTCAGCACAATTTGGCGCCAATTGACACACTCTTCTGTCCAAGGCATTCCTACAAGTATAGAGTGCTGCCGTTGAAGACCTGCTTCAGATGCAAAGGAAGGGTGAGAAGCTCTGACAGAGCATGCATGATTTGATAACAAAAGGTGCAATTGAAGGGACTTCCGTCTGGTGTTGTGCAGATCACTTCTGCCGCTTGTGGCAGCTTCTCCGCTGATGGCCCCTGCTGAGACCTTGCCTCCTAGCATCGGTTTCTTGGCAACCAGCCCGACAGCCGCCCAACAGGCAGGAGTGGTGCGCGCTGCCATGCTCATATGCATTGAATCCTCTGAGCTGTTGCATGGGCGCTGTTTTGGCCGTCTCGGCCGGTCAAAGCAACAATTGGGCATGTGGTACCCCTTTCTGCCATCACAAGGGCCACCTTGAATCAAGTAAGTTCCTTTTACTGCTGAGAGCATTCTTGCATGCCCCACCAAATTCATCCAAACGCTGCAAGACGTTTTCAACGAAAAATGTGCACAGGTGCTTTGCTGTAAGGATTGCCGAAGGATAGATCTTCATAGGAACCATCCGCAGTGACAAGAGACTGCTATATGAGTTCATTGAGAGAGTCGGGCGTGCAAAGAGGCGCTGAGCAGAATGACTTTTCTGGACAAGCATGTATAAGAAGATTATTTGGCTACGGCTGGCGGGGGGCGGTGGAAATACTGAGCACCGTTCCCACAGTTGATTTGGCTTGCTTGGATCTGGTGAAACCCAACAAGTAGTAGAATTATGGCAGCCTTTGACTGCAGCTTGTCTGCAGGATGCAGCTTGCCTCTTGGCAGTAAAGGTATGTAATAGTGATAATATCGATGTCTTCTTGCAGGCGGCTGGTGGGGCAGTGGTGGCGCCCTCTGCGGCGTGGGCTGTGACTGGTGCAGGGAATCCTCCAGCCAATGCCACTGCGCCAGATGTCGCCTCCATTCCCGATTGGGGCAACAACCCTTTCGCGCCCCCGGTGCCGGGAAATCCCAATGGGCTCATTAGCCCCACCCCCCTGTTCAACACCATCCTCATCACTGGTGGGTGCCTGTAAACTGAATTTTGTTCCATGTGGCTCCCGGACGACCTCTGTTTCATGAAAGAACGGGAACTGCTGGTGCTAACCTTCAGGATGGGATCTGCTCCGGGATTATGGCTCATGAGGTGGTGTCCCCCGGACTGTTTGGGTTTGTAGCTTGTGTGGAGCTGCCTCTTTGCTTGCAGAATCATACATGTATACCGTTGGTAGGAGTTACTCATTAGGGTGACTCACCGGTGTAATATATGGCAGATGACCTCTCGAAAGATGAGAATTGCCCACATTTTACAAAGTTACTCTGCCCAAGGGTGATTTAAGTCGGATCATCTGAATTCTCTCGACCAGAGGAACAACAGGAACAAAATCCCAATGATGCAGAGGTGAGGGATTCGCCCACAGCTTTAGCTGCCACTTAATAGCTGCTCAACAGCGGAGCTCGCCTCACAGAGATGCTGAAGCAGCCGCAGTTTAGCCCTATACATGGAAGGTGTGAACTTCAAAACTAAGCCTGCGATGCAGGGGTAGGCATTGCAGCGGTGCTGGTGTGCTCCATCGGCTGCATGGCATCCTGGCGACTCGTGCACCGCAACCAGCTGCCGCGCACATCCTCAGCAGGTACAAATGCATCCCCTTCCACTGCTGTTGTAAACAAGTATGTAAGGCCCTGATGAATGACAATTGCTGTGAGCCCAAATTGTATGGTTTGTCCCAAGATCTTAGCATATTGCCTTGCATCGCCTGGACAGCTTGCACATGGCCGCTGCATAATCAGTGACTGTGTGCAAGCCTTTCAGGCAATGCAAGGCAGATCCATCAGCGTGAGTGCTAAGATCTTGGGACGTACCATCCAGGCTACTTTTGGCGCAGGTTTCTGTGTCATCACAGAAAAGACAGTCCATGAGGTGCTGTGAGGTGATATAAAAGGCTGACAAAGGGGTTGAATGGCTGAATGGGTCACCTGCATGTTGCAAGTGAATGTAGCAACCCGTCGCATGATCTGCACGGTGCAATACGTTGATTATTAGTTCCCGTTTTAATGGCCTCCAAGCCAAAGCACAGACTTGTGAGGAGTGGCTAATAACAACAACCCGAGACTGTCAGCTTCGCTGGGACTCTACGATCATTGCCCAAATGACACGTGACACAGCTCCTTTCGAGGCTTTGCATGTCAGATATTCCTGGGCTCAGGGCTAACTCCGCGTGATAGCTGCACACAATCTTCTTATTGGTTGTAATGCCTCTCACCTCTTGCTGGTGTGCATTCCATGCTTCACGGGGCCTGTCACTAACAGGCTCTTTTGCCTTTATTACAGCAGTGGTGGTGGGTGCTGCAGGCAGGCAGAGGGGGGAGGGAGGAAGGGAGGGAACAGATCAGGACAAAGGGGACGAACGGGTGGTTCCTATGCGGCGCGCAGTGATTGTGCGCAACCCAGGAGATGATGTCATCATCGGCGTAGAACTCACCCCTTCTGCGGGCCACCCTGTGGATGTACCCAAGCATCAAGTGCGCCCCTTCTTGCCAATCTGTATTGAGCTCCTTTATTTTCCAGTGCTCCAGAGTGGCTGACTAAGTCACGCAAATGCACTACCGGGTACCCTCAAAGGGAGCACATTGTAGAGTCTCACTGAAAGATGCTGATAGAGACAGGACACGTTGCATGCCTGCAAGGTCACTGGCCTCATGAGCTGCAGCTGCAAAAAATTTGAAGTCGCTGTGCAGAGGAGTGATTTTGACCAAGCACTGATGTTCTCAATGTGTGTTTTCAGCAGGAGAATGGCAAGGATCCCCAAGCAAGCTCACCGCCTCTTGCGCACTCAGACAGCGCCTTCCTGGAAGGCCGCTTGTCTGAGATCAGTCTCAGATAGATATCTGTAACCAAAACCAATCGTGACAGAACACAAGAATTTCAAACAGTGAATTGAAGCCATATGAGCACTACACCAGGAACTACTTAAAATTTGCTTCAACATTCTCAAGTTCTAGCTAAATAGAGCTGGTTTGCTCACAGCAGGCCTACAAGCTCAATGTGTGTTAACCTCTCCTGTGAGCCTAAGGTTGCAATTGTACGAGAAGTTTCGCAACATGGCATCTGCCAGTGCTGCACAGTGGTAGTAGGCAAAGCTGTGTTGGGTCTGCTTACATGCAGACCCTTTGATGTATGATATTGCTTGTCATGAGTCATGTTTTGGTGTTTGAGGAACTGAGTCACTAAAGAGTAGTAGCAGGCTGGCCGGTGCATGTGCATGCGCATGCGTAGGCTTCAAAGCTCCATGCAGCAGGGCTGGGTCCGAACCTGATCAGGATGGAGCATGAATCTTGAGAAGTCAATGTGGCAGTTTGTGACACTGTAAAGATTTTCAGACACCCAGAAAATTTTTGGTTGTGACGTCAACGTGCTGAGTAGGATCATGTGATCCATCTGACCACATGCGTCATCACCTCCCCGCCAACTTTATCGGATATCCGAGACGACATTCCCAAGAAATCGCATATATCCTACCCTGAAGTTGGACGCAATTGATGTGGAGTGCCTAAACGTATCGACAGTGGTGAAGGCACCAATGGGCACGAGCAATCTTTTGCTTGCATGCTGCCTCCTCTTGATTGCTACCCCCAGTGTGCAGAGCAAGGACGTTGTGTACATCATTAGCATCAGAGGTAAAGGCTTTATCTAATTTTACAGCAATCTACAAGCAAGGATCCCAGGTTGTAGATCTTAATTTCCGTGATCTCTCGCAGATCTCCCTCGTGAACAGCAACTGGCTGCCTCTGTCCTGGTTGGACTGATAAATAGGAAGGCGACAAATCCGACGGCATTTGGCAAAATAAATCCCACTGATGACACATGGATCGAGTCTGCTCGGACAGAGGAGCCCTCTCTGCAGAATGCCACTTTCCAGCAAGTGAGATCCCTTGAGGAGCTTGGCACCATTGCCAAAGCATCAGGTATGGAGCGGAATGATGCGCAATCATACAATTCTGTCCTTTCAGGCATTTTCTTGCCTCCCATCATGCGACCAACGCCATCAAACTCGTGAGACTCAAGCCATTTGTCTCATCATGCCTTGCTTGAGGCTGCTGCAGAAATCAAATACCGAACGCGGCTGCTGCTTCCATGCAGGAGCGCTGCAGTCAAGAGTGCTCTACTCGCCGGATGAGCCCTGGAGCTTTCCAAACATTGTCACATTGGCTGGAATACATCAGAGCGTGCCAGTACCGCTCAACACCTCCTTGATTGGACAGAACACAATGCTCTTGGGTTTCTCGGTCTTTGAAGACCTACCTGTAGTGCTTAATGCACACTTGCAGTGGAGGGATGCCCCCTCAGCCACTGATTGGGCCCTCACCAATTTGCACCCGCTCTGCAATGAGACCGGCTCCCTCGTGGTTCTCCAGGTACTATTCTTGCCCTTGCACTAGGACTATGAAAGTCGCGAAAAGAGACTACCAAATTCTTCTACTAAAGGTATACAAAACGCAGTGGGGCTCCGTTACCTGCCAGTGTTTGGAATCTTTTAATGAACCTGCATTTGAGAGTCCAAGTTGCCCACATGCTACACTGCACGCCCTGTCCAAAAAAAGCATGCAAGCCAGCTTCCTGAAGCTGCAGCCACATGTCATCCAAATGTGTGACATCGCTTCTCGCTCTGATTGCGTACAATCTGACAACACTGTCCCTTGCCCGGGGTTGAGATTTGTGCCAATTGATCGACCCCTGTGGCTGCTGTGACTTGGACGTGCCAGGATCAGCAAGTCTTCAAGCTTCTTTCTGCTCATCCCTTTTAGTGTGACATCTGAAGTTGGAAGTCAAGGGGCTCCTTGCGAATGCGCAGGATCCAGGGCTGCTGCATGCCGGCTTCCTAGCAGACATGGTAGCTTCCCGGCAGCTGTTCGCATTCCACCTGCCGGAGATGTGCGATGCCAACACAACCTCAGCCGCTCTCTATGACACCATCGCCGAGGCTGCTCGCTCCCAAAGCAGCCTGCTGTCTGTCATGGGCTACTTTGGGACACAGGAGGTGCATGCATCCTTTCTTACAGCACCTCATATGGTGATCGTGGATTAAGCATTACATGCTTTTCGAGTCCATGTGCTTCTTGGCAAACTTGTCTGATTCTTTAAAATGTTGCGCACTTGCATTCCTGGTGCACACACATACTGTATTATTTGATTTGCTTGTGCACATATGCAAGCTTATGAATGATTCCAGGAGCTCATGGAATTTTAAAACTTTTGCCTTGCGTGTGCGCAGGTGGTGGCCATATGCAGCAAGCACCACACAGAAGTATCCCTGGTGTCAGACTACTGCTCTTCTTTGTCATTCTGGTGAGTGCGCGCCCCTTGCCAGCTCTCTCTCCATGAGCCCTTGGTATCTGCTGCTCACAGCTCATGCTGTGCTCTGGTCATCCTGGGTGCAACAAGAAGGAAAGAGCAGGGCTGGCATTACCGGAGGTAAATTCCCCCAAGCAGAGGGTCACAAAAGAGGATAGATACAGTGTTTCTCAGGTCATTGGTGATCTCCAGATGTGATCTCTAGAAGGGGCACCCTATTACAGCATGCATAGCAGGGATGCGTAAAAGACAGGCCTGGTTTGGCCAAAGGGGCACTACAGACACCTGAGCATGGAGAGACAGGAGATGGGCCGAAATACAATTTCCTAACAAGTAATAGTGTTTGCTTGGCAGGTCGCGCATGCCAGCTGTGACTGGGCAGCTGGTGCAGTCGCCGCCGCTGCCAGCTGGGCCCTACTCGCGGCTTACCACCTACATTGCTATCATTGCCAGCGACGGAGACAACATGCAGGTTTGCAGCCATCCATCAAGCACTCATTTCAGGCTGTAGACTTCTTGGTCATGTATCATGTTGCCGGCATGCTTCTGGACACTGCAGGAACGTCTTTCTTCCAATTCCAAGACCCGTAACAAAGGCAGTACGGCCCACTGCCCGGCCCTTGCTGCATGCAATAACCACCTTTCCACGGAGAGAGATGAGACCTAGTGAGTCGAATTGGAGAATGGCTCTGCATTGCACTCTTGGACTGGACAGCGAGAGTCACTTCACTGGCTGTCTAGGGAGAATCTTCACTGTTTCATACATTCAATCTCTGTTGTCATACGTTTTCCAGTCTCTGTTCCATGCTTATCCGTGTTTTAAATAGTCACGTTGCGCATGTGACAGATGGCGTTCAATGTGAAGCGGCAGCGAATGGAGGACCGGCTGAGCGAGTGCCAGGTCATCGGCGCAGCATGCCCGCCCGTCACATGGACCATTAGTAACCGGCTGGCCGAATTTGCGCCCTTTGTCCTCACATGGTACTTCAGGTGCAGCTCTCCTGCCTCCCGAGCTTCCATCAACAAATGTGATCTCCTGTTTTGCCCAACAACCTTGCTTATGCCAGCATTATACACGCAGGGCGCTCTTGCAAAAAGGAACAGTCATGCAATTGCATGCCACTGTCTTTATACTACACTTTGCAGATGCATCACAAATTCCCGGCAGATCCCATGGATATTACAATTTAATTGCCGGGAAGTTTCACATGTGTTATGTTTATATGCGGCTTCTGTGCAGGAATGGGCTAGTGACGGGCAAGGACAGTTTCCTGATGGGACCGTCTGGGTTCGGCTTCATGCATCCAAGCATCATTGCCCCGGACGACCCGCTGGTTGACCAGATGATCAGTCGCACTGCTGCTGCTGCCGCCATGCTGTCCTCGTCTGCGTGCGTTCCCTCCACCATTCCAATTATTGTTCACAAAAAAGCAATGATGGGGACCTTAGTCATCTGTATTAGCTGTGGGCTCAGAATGATTGCTGCAGGTTCACAAATTGCTGTTTGCACAGCTGCCTGCCTGGAGGATTGCAGTGATAATGGTACTGAGTGGTAGCGCACAAAATCTAGTTTCTACTGTCACCATGAATGTGCAGCCAGGCATGCATCTGTGCACATTTCATAAGCCCCAATCTTTTCACGTCGTAGTGTGTTGTTTGTCATCAACTAAATTGGTGTTTTATTTTGAGCTTGAGCAGGTATGTGCACTGGGACAACTATGACAACGAGCCAGCCATGCAGGCATATTTGGGCAGGCTGAGCAACACAAGCATCCAGACAGTCTTCAGTCCAATCACCCCCTATGTGCCCGCCAAGATAGGCAGCCTGGAAACCTTCAGGGAAGTTTACCGCTGGCTAGGGCCGCAGGACCCCGGGGTGAGCGTGGCGCAGAAACTGGGGGAGTTATCCCGGGGCAGCCTGGGGTATCTATATAAATTACCCGATATCAGCATGGCTCTGGTGGAGGAACTTGCGAGGAATCTGCCCTCGCATGTGCAGCTTGTGGGCTACAGGGAACTCGCTGAGCTGGCAAAGTCCAGAAGGGCACTTCTCGGAGAATCTGCAGATGGCGGCACTGATGCCGCAGCCAGGACACTCGTTGAAGGAGCGCCTGTGGGCATACGATGAGTAATCACTTAGCAACGTTCCATGATCATGCATATTGAACCATTGATACTAAATTATGTTTACTGTGGAGGTTGCAGCTGGCCAAGCTTTGCAGTTTAGCAGATGGGACGCTGCTGACTGTGTTCGATCATTGATGAATCTCCTGCTGCTGACTCATGTGGCACATGCGCTGATGTCAGCGCTTCAAGATTGCCGCAAGGGTGACATCAGCGAGGTGCCATTAGTCGGCCTGCTTTCCAATTGTACCAACAGTTCCTGCCGGGCTCATCAAGTATTTACTACAATGTGCTGTATGGCAAAGGTTACCATTGAACGGTAGCAGCATGTTCCACCATGTTACTTGTATCGGTCCAGGGGCTCCAAATTTTGTTATCATTGGCAATAAATTCATGGCAAGAGTGCAGGAATAGATGTGCAATTTTGTAGCTTCTAACAAATATGTTGGCTGGCTGAAAATGCCAGGCTTGCTATTGGTCTTGTATTTGTCTACGAAGTGTGGCCCGGGTAGCCCAGTACTGTCTTTTTTATTGAGCTGGTGAACTGTAATTGAGAACTGGTATTTTTTGTCCTGATTGGCAATGGCTCAAACAGGTGTGCTGAGCCCAGCTGTTCAAATACTTTTTGAATTTTCCAGTTTAGAGTAGATATCGGTCTGGAAGCAGCACACACCAGGCATGCATGCTCTGCTGTGGGACAACATGCAGTACATTGAGATTTGGTGTGAAGATTGTAAATTTTAAATTGTCATGATCTGATCAAATTTACGCGTTGCTGCTGCGCAGCGGCTGGCAGCAGCTGGCCAGAAAGACTCTAGAGCTCTATGAACGGTATATGTACATTGCCAGAAAAGAAGAAGTATCAAAATAGCCTTTTAGTAGCCTTGAAGTCAAGACTACAAGGAGCCAAGCTTAGAGAGTCCTGCATGTCATACTTGAGGGGGCCTTCCAATGACTCATTCGGGCCACGTGGCTTGAATTCGAAACTCCTTGCAGCAGCATCGTGAGGAGGGAAAGTCGTCTAATTGTAACCAAAATTTTTGTAGCTCACAGACCTCGTCTCTGCAGAAAAATCGTGCACGTAAGTGTACTACCTATCTACTCACCCATCAAGCGCCACGGCGTTGACGCTGTGGTGTCGTGGAAGAGTGGGACGTGCATTTACGTGAACACTTTTTCTGAGGTTGACTAAAGCCTGGATTCTGGGTACAGCAGGACCTCACAGGTACTCGAAAATATTCCTACCGTCAAAATGATCTTTTATGCGATGAACGCTTGGTACCAATGTGAACAGTGCCTGTTGGAAGACTCATCTTTGCCTATACATCATGGGACCCTGGAACTTCTGGTCGACTGTAAAGTATCAATCGTGCCTTTTGATTCATTCCTTTATACATTTGTATTGTAGGTCGACAGTTTTTTCGGAAGCTTGCTTTAACCCTATTCGCACCAAGGTAGGCTCCTATATTCTTATGCGATTCCTTGGCGATTTCAGCTAAGAGCTAGCGAACACGAAATTTAGTGTCATGAGAGCAAGATGAAAAGTAGTTGAGCACAGTGGATTTGAACAGCTCCATGTGGCATGTGCCCAGGGGACCATGAGACCCTTCAGGTCAATCTTTCTCTTTTTGGTACTGTCAGCTGCAACAGCCCAGGTTCTGGCAGCAACGCAGCAATCGAAGAGGTTCTTCAAACACAAGCTGCAGCAAGCCAGCAACAGCGCAGCTTCAGACCAGGAGCAGCAACCCCTTGTGAGCACCAATGACTTGCAATCTCCCGCAAGGACAACAGGCACAGCCCGGCCGCAGAAGGAAATTAGAGTGAAGGTCCGCAGACAGCGAAGACATAGGAGACGTGCAGGCAAGGCTAGAAAGAAGGACTTAGATGGTGGCGTGAGCACAGAGGGTACAGATATATCCACGGAGAGGGAAGTGCATCGGCCATCAGGATCAGAAAGGACTGCAATTAATAGCGCCAGCGCAGAAAAGGCTGCAGACGAGGCACCTCAAGACTCTGACAACCTCAGCGGCGGCCAGAAGCAGATCAGTGACGCTCAGGGCACACAGGAGGACTCCAATTCAGTGGATCAGGCTGAATCTACTAGCAGCAATGTTCAGTCAGCAAAGAAACGCCCTCGGAGCACCAGAAGGGGCAGCAAGCTAGCAAGGAGGGCAGGCAAGGGGCGCGGCAGAGGGGCACCAGCCGCCAAGCATGCGGCGAACGATGACAAAGATGACTCAGCCTCAGAAACTCTTGCCGGTTCAGAAAGCCTGCAGCAGGAGCCAGCGGCAGCTGCAGTCAACACAGAAGCTGCCAAGCAGGAGCCAGAAGCACGCAGAGCCAGATCAGGCGCCGATTCGAACTCACAAAATGCGAGGCGGGCCCGCAGTGACGGCAAGCGCCGGACCGCGAAGCCGCTCCCGCACGACGGGGACCCCGCGGAAGGTTACACCGACCGAGGGGACCCTGGCGAGGGGGACCAGGGGGACCCCGGCCAGGGGGACCCCGGCCGGGAGGAGGCGTTCCTTCCGCTGGACGCGCCTGAGCAGGTGGTGCCTCCCGATGAGTCCTCCCAGCCCAAGACGCTCTTTGGCGAAGGCAGCGCGGCTGATCCCCAGCAGAAGGACGCTCAGCAGCCAGCCAGCGAAGCAGGGAGGGGCGAGGGGGAATCCAATGAAGCTGCCAGACCTGATGGGGGGAGTTCAGGGGAGACAATTGAGGCTGGGAAGGGAGAGCGCGCAAAGGAAGGCAGCGGTGTGTGGGAACCGAAGCAGAAGTTGGTCAGTGGAGAGTCTGAGTCAGCCGGGGCCGCCGTGATATCAGCTCAGAGCAATGACCTACGAGAGGCGCTGGACAAACTGCGGGGTGAGGAAGTGGGAGACGGCGTCTGGGTGCTCTCCTCAGAAGATGTGCGCCATAGTACCCTTTGCCTCTTTCCTGGTTTAATGGAACCAGCATGCCTGACGCCAAAATATTTTGCCTATGCATGCACGCTGCTTGGCATGCATTGTGCTGATGTCTGCATGGTGCTGACGAATTTTAGAGAGGATTGGAATTTGATTCGTCTTGTTGAATGCTATGAAGAAACATCTGTCGGTGTGGGTTGATCAGGGGATCACTGATGCCGCCGCAAAGGAGCAGCCTGAGGAAGCGGGCAGCGCTGCAGGGTTCGCGGACAAGGAAGCTGGCGGGAAGGCACAGTCTCAGAGCAGAAACGCAAGCAGCGCCAAGGCAAAAGCTCAGCCTGAGGAGGCTGGAGCCAAGGAGGAGGACAATGCCAAGGATCCAGATGCGACCAAGAAAGTAGCAAAGCCAGAAGGGATCAGCCTGCAGGAGCCAGTCGCCTTCAAGCAACTGATGGACCACTTCAAGATTGCCAGCTTCCTGGATGTGCCTTGCGGCAATGCAATTGAGGTGTCGAGCAAGGTTGACGAGTTCCCTACAGACCACCCCAATGACATCAGGTGACGCATTGTCCTCTTCGGTTTTGATGTGCAATATGCCCTTTCCAACATTGAGATTGCAAATAGATCCCTTGGCATGCTCTAGATGCGGTATGACCTTGATCAGGCAGTCCCAGGCGTGATCTTTTGAAATCTCAGGTAGGAACTGGGAAGTATACAGGAAGAGATGGCTCCAGTGCTCTGAGACAGCAGAGTTACAATTGACGAGGCCTCTTCATACAAAGAATATCCTGTGCTGGCTGGGGAGGCGTGGCAGATTTTGCCATGCAGCACTAGGCAACAAAAAAGTCATAGCTCAGGACTTTCCTAATACTTTTCATTTCTTTTTCCTTACAGGAATTCCGTCCTTCTCCCATAACAGGGGTTAACCTGTAGTAGCTCAGAAAGTTCACAGAGCCTCTTGTGTCCAGGTACTACGGGGTGGACGATTCAGAGGAGGCCATAAATTCGGCGGTGAGAGTGCATGGCAAAACCCCCAAATGGAGCTTCCATCTGCAGGATTATGTGCGCGGAGACCTGCCTCAAGCAGACCTCCTTGGCAGCCGCGCCGCCCTCCTGGTAACAATACACACCCCATCATTTTCTACACAGTTTCATGTATATATCCTATATATTTCTTAGATATCTTTATTAAAACCAGTCAGAAGCTGACCTTTTGTGGGTCCATCGTTGCCTCTCCAACACGACATGTCTTGCCCAATAAGAGCGCATCTGTGATGCCATGGTATCCCTACCTGCTGAGATGGGTTTTTGAGTTACATCACTAATGCTGCACAGAGAAAGTGTGTACAGAAAGCACTTCCAAGAGTATGCATTGTATCTAATCGACAGGGCAAGGAACCCTTAATTTATATTGCGTGCCATGCTGGGACTCTGTCCTTTAGAAAGTACTGGAAGCCCCGGATGGCGGGAGGCGGTACAAATGCTGAGCCCCATGCCCGTCCTCGATTGGTATTGCTTGGTCCTGACGTTTCCATCAAGGGGTGGCTTGATTGGCAGCCTCTACCTGCAGATTGTCTGCGGACATACCTTCCCTCGGGCAGGAAAAGCTCGGAATCTCAATAGTAAATGACTGACGGTCATGCTGTGCTGCGCATGCAGCGGCCTGACATGCTCAGCATGGTGGATCTCCTGGCCAACTTTGCACGCTCGGGAGCCTCGCTAGCCCTGCTGGGCTCCTTCGAGGACACTGCACTGGGGCCGGCTGCTGAGCTGGATATGACCAACGGCAGCAATGACACATCCATGACTAACGGCGCGCGGGACGGCAGCGATGCCTTCTTCCTGAGCCTGCGCGATGCGCCGTTTGAACTTAACGAACCCCTTCAGGTTTTTCCCATGCCCAAGGGGTTTAGCGGCAAACCTGCCGATGACTCTAAGGATGCTGAGAGCGGCGCGCCAGCCAAACAGATGCTGTTGTTCTCTGGGGATTACCTAAGGGGGCAGGACTATGATAACATGCGCGAGCGGGCAAAGCAGTGGCTCTCTCAGAATTGAGCCATGAATAGAGACAATGAAATGCATGTGGAAAGAAGAGGGTCAGG